TTCACAAATCCATTTTGTGGAAAAAGATTTGTGAAGCGAAATATAAAAATTTTGTGACTTGGTATCCTTCTGTGTCCACCTGTGTCCGCCTGTGTCCATCTGAATGGACACAGGTGAGCAATTTCGTTTCACAATCTATTTGGCAGCCCATGCCAAATATAGTAATTTTTGCCTCTATTTGGCAGCCTACTTCTGGGGGCTGCCACTTAACTTCGCACTCTTGGGTGGCAGCTGGGCTGCCAAATACATTACTTTTTTTTTTTTTTTTTTTTTTTTTTTTATAACAGTGTCATAACATCAGTGGTAAAACAGGCAGCGTTCTGTGGATACATTGCCTTGCACAGCTAATGCCGCCGGAGGTACTAAGGGCAGCGACGATGACATCTTCACAAAACAGCCTTCAATGTACACGGTTAGGGAATGATTTATTGAAGACGTCTAGGTAGCAGGTGAGACGCGTTTGCTCCGAGCGAAAACCTCTCATAGGCATTGATCTCCAAATGGCACCTCCAAAACTGTATGAGCGGCCTACTTGAAAAAAAAAGTCATTAGTTTTCAATGAGACAAGACAATGTCACTACACATAACCATGACGTAGAAGACGGGAGCTTTATTAATTTGAAGTATGAGCGTTATATACATATACGGTTCCTAGGAATGAAAAAAAAAAAAAAAAAATAGTTAGAGGCCAAATAACGCTGGGTAGGCTGCCAAGTAAATAATGAATGTTATTTGGCAACTGGGCTGCCAAAGAGAGTCTTGAAAGTTGACTATATTTGGCAACTAGGCTGCCAAATAGATTAATCCTAAGGTGTTTGCACGGCCTCGTACACACCTTATTTACACTGCTCCCGTACAAATAAAAAAAATTATTTGCACGGAGGCGCTTTTTTTTATTTGTACGGGGTCTTTATTTCAGTCTTAAATACCACTACCAGGAAGCCTTCCACGACACAAGCTTAGATCCAGAGTCGATACCCAAGCATAAAATACTGATCAGGATATTTATCTTATCAAGGTCGTACGTAGCCCAGAGTAGATGTTGGCATCCTTTATGCGACTCCGGGACTAAATACAGAATTACAAATGATTTATCTATAATTGAATATACTATGCCGCTTTACTTTGCACTTTTGTTGGCCGTGTTGTTATAGATTGTGGATGGTTCCCCGATGCTTTCTTTCATTTAACGCGTGCATACATCTTTAGTATTTCCGTACACTATTAAGCACACAACGATGAGTTCAGTTATTAGGATCCTCTAATGTGTAATTTGTTTTGGTAGATATTCAAACAATCATACTACCATACCCATTGCTATGATGAATAGCGTGCCATGTTACTACTCTCTTTCTTTTTCTCTTATATGTCCTTATCTCTGTCCTTCTTTATTAAGAGCTCAAGCGTCCTTGGTACTATTTTTTGTTTATCAAATTCATCAAAATACAATGGGTAGACCGCAGTTTGTTTTGTGGAATATCTATCCTCTCACCCGTTTGTAATCCGAGAGATTACTTTTCTTATGATAGGTGGCGCAGTCCGCACTCAAAGCCGATCGTGCCATAATTACCTATATCACCATATCTAAATAGCTAAAATACTTTAATAGCATAACCGTGATTTATAGTGATAGAAAAGGGACAGAAATACTCTTTTCTGTAACGTTGATAAAGATCCTTATTTTTGTCTCATTACATTCCAAGTTTGTTATCATGTTCAATCAGGGTTGATTTTTCACCAATAAAATAGCCAGAACTTGCCTTAGGTCGTAGCACGCACATGTAGATGCTCACTGCGTCTAGGGACTAGCTTCATGTTGTACAATCACCTGAAAGAAAGTTAGGTCAAAAAAATAAAATTTTCAAATGGTTATGAAGAGAAGCACTGTCTTCATTCCTATTTCTTGCTGTTTTCCGTCAGCATGTACTGTCCAAAAACTTCAGTGATTATCCACATTGGCCTCATTAATAAAAACGCAAAATCCCATCTTGGTTGATGAAGTATTTTTGTATGTCACAAATGAGCTGTTTGTCAGAGATCTAAAATAAAAAAATAATAAATAACCCACTTTGACCAGACTTTCTTTCGGGTGATTGTAGAGCGGAATAGAGCGTGAAAAATATTTTATTTTGTAGATAGTAAGCAGTAGAAAAGTAAGTGAGAATAAGTTATGGGTCCACACACCACACCCATGGGGTATTTATTCATTTTCTGGTAGAGGGACTTATACCAGGTAACTACGTATCTATCTGTAGGATGACAAAGGTTCGTTCTAAAAAATTCATATCAAAGATTTATCGCGTCTGTGTGTGGCGCGTTATTGCCACTAATTTCTACTGCTAATTTTTAGCGCATTAGTGTTTTTTACTCTAATTTTTTTCTATCATAATATTGCATACTGTGGAATATACGACAGAGCGCGATGAGTATCGCAGCTCCAGACTCCCCTCTACTCTAGACTCACCTTCGCTTATCTCCTTCGAAATAAAAAGCTAGAATTAGGTAATCTGTAGGATACACGTTGCTGCTTGTAGATGAAATAGAGACCCCGTACAAATAATTTTTTTTTTTATTTGCACGGGGGAGCAGTGTACATGTATATAAGGTGTACGGGGCAGTGCAAATAAATTTTTTATAAGTGAAAGTTTATTTGCACGACGGGCCCGTGTAAATTACTTCATCCTTATGGAAATATCGATATCTCCTTAGTGCTATAGATAAAGTCATTCGTTTCAAACAAACCCAATTGGGATCGCTCCATCTGGAGCCGCTAGCGGGCGCCGAAGCGTAACTTAAAGTGGGTTTTACGCTTTCTGACGAATGCTAATTTTGCAATTAGGTGATGGGTGCAATAAGGCATAGTATGTGGCCAATCTAGAAAATCATTTCAAAATTAGTTGCAAAGCTTGATAAAAACAGCAGGATGTAATATAGACATACTCAAAGCCCCGTTGAGCCTTCAGAAAAAATGTACTTTTCCATTTTGAAACCAGTCGTGGTAAATATGTGCCAGTTACATGGCAAGAAAAGAGGTTTCCTTTAGGAAAAGTCGGTTAGGTCGCGGAAAATAGCTATTATAAGCTCATTCTCTGAAGAAGCACTGCATAAAGGGTTGAAAAAATGGGATCCATATCGTAGCAATACTAGGTGAGCGATCCTTGCTTTGTTTAGGCTCTGCTTTTCAAGGTTCTGGTGCAATAAACTATACAGACATAGAAATGACATGATTTTGCTTTTTCTATGGTTATAATGATTTATACAGACATTGCTCCATGGGTCCTGAATAGAATCTTTTTAAATCGAAGATAACAAGTTCCACTTATTGCTCACTGTAACAGGAGTCATTCATGCTTAAAGTCAACCTTGTCACAATTTTTGATACAGCCTCACTGAATGGACTTTTATATCTAGCATCCTCTTTTGTACATTGGATACAGCAGCATGTAGTAAGCACCTAGTGCTCAAAGGAAGAAACAACAGTTACAGTGTGCAGTACATTGACACCTTTACTGAGGGTATTTCTATGTTGATGAGAAGCACTCCATGAATGAAAGAGAACAGCATGAGACCTGATTGTATGCCGCCTCGAAGCTTTGAAGAAGCATTGATCTTTTACGTCCACTGATGCGGTTGAAGTACTCGTGCATAATCACACTTCTGTTGGCGTTAGTGTTATCCTATCTCAAAGTAATAATGGGTGTACGCCAGCCTATTCTAGCTAGTATCACTAATTTTCTGTAAAGGTGACTTGACTGCACTTTTAGCGATCTTATCAAGTTCTTGAACTAGGATATCATTCATCTGTAGTATTTCATGTAGAACTGCTTGTCTACATAGGGCCGGCTGTGTCCATACTTTGTGCATCAGTTAACTGTACATTGACGTTAAAGGATATATAAGAAAGAGCGAATACAGTTTCCGTGGCTGCACTCTTTTCTTTATACTTTGCTGCCTTGTCAATGTTGCCTGAAAGGAGAATATGGTAGGAACCCATTCTATATGATTCACTATCATAAGAGCTATTCTTTTATCGGGTGCATGTCCTCCCTGCAAGGCCCTCACAATATCAATAACATGAACCAGATTCAGGGTCACATCGCAGTCCTTAGCCTTCTAATGACCGCCTTAACCACCTTTGCCTAAGATGCTGTTGTGTATAGCGACCACTCCAAGGGACTGCTATCACTTTTGTACGGCGGTTTCTTCTAGTGTTAAAAATCATCCTTTCTTATGTCCTGATCGGGATCGGCTCCTTGAGCCCCGATAGCATGGAGAGTAGGTCATGGTCTTTGAAGATCAGACAAGAGGCAAGTCATTATATTCGTGATAAAAAAAAAAGAAAAAGCTCGTCAGCAGGGCAGTGAGATGGAGACTTCAGACAAGATTCATTTTATCATGTACACTCCAGTCTCAATGCTTTGCAAAATGTGCAAAAAGTGGATTTTATATACGTTCTGCGATGCTCATTGGCTAGATTCACATTTAATTCAAAAATTTTTATTTTAAATGGCTGGCAAAGGGTGAGAGCAGAAAGACAAGCAAAAAAATCAGCCAATTGAATTGTGGTTTTAGAATAAATATTTTGAATTAAATGTGAATCTAGCCAATGAGCATCGCAGAACGTATATAAAATCCACTTTTTGCACATTTTGCAAAACAGTGAGACTGGAGTGTATGTGACAACCACACGAGAGCATAGACTCTACATGCTTTTCATTGTTTACATGAATAAGGTTTAAGGCTGTGCTGATTGACAAAGCTCTAAATGCTTCCTCTTTGTCTCTTGCTGCCCTGCCACACATGCCCCTTCTGTTGGTTTGTTTGTTTGTTTTCAGAGAATCGACTCTTTCGTTCAGAAGATGTCCCTGCTACGCCTCACATTACCTTTAGCACCGCCATAGCAAGCCTCGTCTATTTTTATACGCGTACCTGACTTTCTATTTCACTGTGTTCCAAAATGTATAAAAACACCCCTTTCTCTCTGTCTTTCTCACCACAATCATCATTTAATTCAACCATCCAAGCATTACACAGAATCAATTATGACTAAGGCGAATCGAAGCTACTGCTGCTGTTGTGTCCCATTCCGCTTTGCGGTTGCGATTTTTTCGACGATAGCCCTTGCCCTTGGAGGCGCCAGTCTCTGGTCTGTTCTCCGAGTTGGAACCACAGGTAGATATTTATAATATTATTATGCCTCTATCCGCCTCTGCAGCACTTATATTAACACCACATTACCACTCATTGCTTCGAAAAGACTCTACCACTCGGATCGCAGCATACATTGCCACGGGTGTTTATGGGCTTCTCGGTGTGGCAGGTCTGATATCCGTGTTCTTCAAGAAGTATGCATTGGCTAAGAATTTCTCGGTCCTGTGGTGGACTGTCACTTTCTTGGTCACGGTACTCTCTGTGATCAACATCATTTTCTTGGCAACGCGTGAGAAAGAGGCAGTCATGGGCCTTTGCAGGACCCAACTGTTGAAGGACGATGACAGATACTTTGGGCCTTACGACCCCAATAGTCTGTTCGAGGATGTGGATGGCTGTTATAGATGGGTTATGATCATCACAGGCATTTGCACGGCTGTCCAAGTAGTGCTGATGGCAATCGGAGGATGGGTGGCTAGCAAGTACACAAGCGAAGTGAAGCACCACAAGGAAGGGTTGACTTACACTTATGGCCAGGGATATGGTCCTGTTACTTCTCAGCCTCAGCACCCACCATACCAACCTGCGCATCCCTACACTCACATCAGTGGCAAGCACTAAACAAAGACATACAGTATATTGCAAAAGAAAAGATAGCATATTGCAAATCAAACCGCTTCCTGTATATAATACCTTGATACCACAATTTCAATAACAACAATAAAGTTCATGCCAAGAGTAGATTGACATGACGTCGGGTGTTGTTCTTCCTTCTTAATATTATGTTTTATAATGTAAAGGTCAATGCTTGGATGTGAGTTAAGTAGTTCTACATGGAATGGAATCTACCTCTCCTATTCGGAATATTTGCTCTTCAGGAACGCGAAATGTGCCTTGTCTGTAGGACGAATGCGGCTTTATAAAGCTTTGAATACCATCTCATTCCTCTCCACTCTTTCTTCCGCTCTTATCGCATTCACACTTCATTCACTCTTTTCTACCATTCCTTTTTTTTTTTTTTTTTTTTTTTTTTTTAATAAAAAAAAGCATGATTGGCGACCACAGTACTAAAGCTTCCCAACATGTAGTATCAGATGGTCGTTGCGTTCGCGCAGGCTCGAAATCTCTCCACATCAAACTTCTGATTATCCTCTTGTCTGTTAACTTCCTAGTGGCCCAAAGAGTGGGAGCAGTGGCTGAGTCCAGAGTTGCAGCCTCGGGTTCAGTCAAGAGCCCTGGATTGATTTTTGCCATTGAGGAGTATCAACAAATGTACAACAAAAGTATAGACTGGAACCAGAACCAAAGCTTTAATCCACAGCAAACATCCAATGTTGATCAGATTGTTGATCAAAATACATTTGGTGGCCGAAGCCCTGATGCCAGCTATCCGATCCATGATAGCGATGGTTGTAGTAGTTCAGGCTGCTCTTCTGGCAAGACTCAGGAGGGGAAAGACTCATTGAGGCCCACAACAGAAGTTGACCCTGATATTCGTGAGCTAGTTGAGAGTATGTCTCTCAAAGAACTAGCAGGCCAGATGACTCAGATTCAGATTGGGATGCTGCTCGATAGTAAAGGAGAGCTGGACGTGGCCAAAGCCCAGTACTGGATTGGGGAGTGGGGAGTTGGAAGTTTCCTTGATACACCTACAAAGTAATGAAGCATACCATCCCCATTGTCATCACTCCCTGGTTATTCTTTTAAACTTTGGTATGATATCTTATACCCTATTTCTTCCTTAACGCTTGCATTAACGTATCAATATGTTGAACACCCCTAGCCATGGCGGAAAGTACATCTCCTATTCCCCTAAGCGATTTTCGAAGATAGTCGGTAAAGTTTGTTAAAACATTTAGTCGTCATATATATGTATATATTTTAACTCAATGCGCCATCAACATCTACACTCATACGCTAGAAACGCACTTCCGATATATCATCGGAGGGGCATATTTCTTTATGATCGTTAGATGATATTCAAAAGGTTGCTTTATCCACTGGCAAGGGTATTCCTGTGATTTATGGGTATGGAGTAGAGTTGAGCAAAGGATTAGGAAGAAAAAAAGGTGTGTTCCTTTCTTTTTTCTTTTGGAAATATTAAGTCACGGATCTAATCAGTTCCGGAGGGTTTTGCCGTGATTTTTTGTTAGATTGGATTCGGTCCATGGCGCCAATTATGTGGATGGTGCTGTTATATTTCCACAACAGATCGGCCTTGCAGCTACATTCAACACGACCCTTGCGTATGAGGCTGGCCGGATTACTGCAAAGGACACGCGTGCTGCTGGTATTCCATGGGTGTTTGCACCCATTCTTGATATTGCTGTCCATAAACTATGGCCTCGCGTGTATGAGACCTTTGGAGAAGGTTTGTACTATCAAAAATTGCAAAAATATAGTTGTATTTTGTTACCTTCATAGATCTTCTAAAGCTACATGCTTTTTTTTATATGCCTATAATTAGATCCTCATGTCTCTTCAACGATGGGTGCTGCGATCATCCGGGGTCTACAAGGCAATTATAAAAAAGATCGCACACGCGTTGCTGGATGCATGAAGCATTTTATCGGCTACTCAGCATCTCGCAATGGCCAAGACAAGTATGGCCCTTTTCTTCTCTTTTTTATACAGAATGAGATACCTCGCCAATAGTTACTCAAGCATAGTCTTGTTCTAATCTTTCACCCGTTAGGGCTTCTGCGTGGATTCCAGACAATTTGTTAATGGACTACTTCGTACCTCCGTTCCGAGCTGCTGTCAATGCAGGCGTTGCGACAGCAATGGAGACCTACATCGACGTAAATGGGCAACCTGTAGTCGGATCACATTTCTATTTGACAGAACTTCTTCGAAATCAGTTGAAGTTTGAAGGAATGTTGGTAACTGATTGGCAGGAGCTCGACCGATTATACACTGAGCACCGTAGTGTCCCATCTCTCAAGGAAGCAGCGCTCCAGTGCCTCAAACAAACATCAATGAACATGATCATGGTCCCTGAATCTAAATCGTTTTCTGAAAATGCAGGCTTATTGGTTCAAGAAGGGAAACTGGGCAGAGAACGATTAGTAAGTTCAGTAGCCAAGGTCTTGCAACTTAAGAAGGATTTAGGACTATTCGATCAGCCATTCAGCGACCCCAAGTTGTTAAGCTATGTTGGGAGTAAGCAGGATATTGATGCAGCCAAGGATGCGGTTAGAGAAAGCATCACAGTGCTCAGGAACAATAAGGGTGCATTGCCTTTACGTAAGAATCAAACAAAAAAAATCGCTATAACAGGTCCTGCGGCCAACTCTCTGAGAGCTCTTTCGGGAGGCTGGTCAATCAAGTGGCAGGGTGCAGAGACTGATGAATGGTTTCAAGGTCGAGGCGAGACCATCTTGAGTGGCCTCATTAAAGAATTTGGTGAAGGTCATGTCGCTTATGCAGAAAGCATTGACTTTGATGGCAATAGTATCAGTAACAGTACCGCCAGTGCTCCACTGGATGACGCTATCCAGGGCGCTGATAGCGTGATCCTTTGCCTTGGCGAAGGACCATACGCTGAGATTGTCGGTAACATCAATGATTTGGACCTGCCTAATGGACAGTTGGATTTGGTACGGAAAGTTAGTGAACGGATCAAGGGTACAAGCACTAAACTTATATTGATTCTTGTGGAGGGCCGTCCACGAGGGCTGCAGGATGTGGTGGAGAAGGTCGATGCGATTGTCTTGGCATACCTACCTGGTCCTTGGGGTGGACACCCAATTGCCGAGATCCTGAGTGGTGCTGTGAACCCATCTGGGAGGATACCCATGACCTATCCTAATGGATCTAGCGATATGACTACCAACTACTATCGTATGGGAGTAGATCCTTACAAGCCTTTATTCCCATTTAGTGCTGGTATATCCTACTCCTTAGTCGAGTACAGCGATCTGATTCTAACGTCTAATGTGATGTACCTGAACGCATCCAGCCATAATTCAACAGCAACCCAAAAAAGCTCTCTAGAAAATGGCTTTAAAACGAGCACGATAGTGAATAGTAATGATATTAATGATCCATATCATCAAAACAACTACCCATCCAATAGACACCATGAGACCAACAGGACATCGAATATGGGCAAGTCAACTTCTCCTTTCATTTTTGCAAAGATCAATATCCATAATAAGAGTAGCTACCCCGTCAAGGAGACCATCTTTTGGTATGTCACTCAAGACTACCGTAGTGACATCATGCCTGAGGCATTCCTTTTAAAGTATTTTCAAAAGGTTATGCTCAAACCATATCAGAGCATGGAAGTTCAGTTTAAGATCACTCCGAACACTCTGACCTATCACGGAAGGGATTTAGAGAGGAAGGTCGAAAGAGGATCTTTCACCCTCACCGTGAATGCCATGCGACCCGAAGCCAAATCAACTAAGTTTAATCTCGTTTAAGAAATAAATTAAAAATGTCGCTTGCTCGCTTTAATATTGTTATCTGATAATCTGAAAAAGCCGTTCTGTTACCGCTATTAACCGAAAAAGAAAAGTTGTCACGTTTGGTTTGGTTTGTTTATTTTGTTAAAGTTCAGTATGGAGCATCGACGCACCACTACCGTAACCATAGCCTTTGGCACCAAATGCTTTGCTATAGCAAGTCTTGCAGTATGGTACACCTTGACGATCGGTCATATTGGTAGAGTCTAGACTCTTGGAGCATTCAACGCATCTCAGACATAGCTTATGGTATTTGGCTCCTCCAGGGGCAAGAGCTGATTCCGCATGGTAAACTGTCTTTTGGCAACGAGGGCAAATATCGCCTCCGCCACCAAACACTGTCTGTCTTTTAGGCGTCATAATGGTGCCGGTACGGTAGTAACTGGTCTTAGGTGCTGTTGTGCTAAAAGTACCGGAATTGGCAGAACTTTTCTTTGGAGTTAAAGCTTCCGTGAGAGCTATCCGAGTTTGGGAGTTGCTCGTTGTGTTATTCAATGAAGCTGATGAAGTGTTGGCTGTTGGAGTCCAAGTACGCGTAGCAGCTGGAGAGGCATGGTGCGCTGGTGAGTAGCTGAGGTTCTGGGGCTTTGAAGGTACATTTGGAGTAGGCTCCTCATCCCATTCATCCACTGAGACTGCCGATGGTATTTGCTGATGTTGGCGTTGCTCCTGTTCCCTCAAATTCAACCGATCAGACTCGTTGGTGAGAGTGTTTGAACGTGCAGATGCTGAAGAAACTGAGGTTGGTGGTGTTGAGTGGTGAACTTGGTTTTCTTGTTCTTGCTCCGGAAAGCGCTGCTGTTGTCGCTGTTGTTGCTGCTGCTGTTTCAAATATTGAGATAGATACATGGGCTGCGCCGGCTCAGACTTCTTATTAGCAGCCTCTGTCTCCCATTCATCATCTTCCACAGTCGGTTCTGGTGCTTTGGAGTCGCCATTTCGGGCTACAATACGGAAGGGTGCGTACTCCAGATAAGATTCGTCAACTTCAGATGCTGGCTGTGGGCTCGGCTCAGAATTAGCTGGTGCATGGTTTCTTTTTGGAAGCGATGGGGGGCCTGAAGATACATTGGGGGAAGATGAAGACAGTGGAGCCCCAGTTTGGAAAGAAAGAGCCTGTCGGTTCCTTGCAAATTCGGATTCTGCATCCTGGTAATCCTGTTGGTTTGACACGGAGGAAGTAGAAGATGAACGAATGTTCTGGTTCAAAAACAGAGGCTTTGTTATCGGCTGGCTCGAGGCAACAGAGGAGATGGATGAGAGTGAGGGCGCAGGGGAGGATGTTGTAGCAATAGTTGAACCAAAAGCAGAGGATGTGTCCGATCCAGAGAGATATCCGCTGTTATTGTTGTAGCCACCACGCTCTCCTCTGCTCCCCGTGCTTGCATTGGAGCCTCCAGTCAAATTAACATTGACTTGACCGTACCTTTGAGCAATGCGCTGTGCATGGGCCTCATCGTACGCTTTACGCGAGGCCTCTGCTTGCTCTCGAATCATATCTAGCGAGCTCTTCTTCTTGAGGGTTGCATTCACTGGGGTCAATCGCTCAAGTCTTTGCTCCTCTGTCTCTTCATATGGTTGGTGCTGCTGTTGGTATTGGTGTTGCGCAAGCCTGGACTGAGTCAATTGTGGGCTACTGCCACCAAAAGCACCATTACTGCTTCCGCCTGTGTTATTACGAGCAAGCTCTCCTGTACTATTGCTATCGCTGATGCTACCGCTGCTGTTCATAGGACGTCCAATGCTTTGCTTGAATAGGTTCTCAGGATCCTCTGGCACTAACACTCCAGCAGCATAACCATAGCCGGTTGGGCCCCATTTCTTCTTGTGGCATGTCTTACAATATGCCTAGTACCGTTGGTAATGATAGGTTATAAGCAAAATTAAAACAGATAGCAGAGCATTCCAAACAGTAATGACATCTTTTTAGTATTCCATAGTTTTCTTTAATAACTAATTCCATATTTACCTCGCCTTCATGCTCAGCCAGCGTGCTGGAATCCAGACGGCGGTTGCATTCTCGACATGTAAAGCACTTTCGATATGAAGAATCAAGAAAGAAAAATAAATCGCGTCAATATTTTGTCATCGCCTAAATAAGCAACAATAACAGTCAAAGGATGCTCTCCACATACCGCTTTGTGCCATGCAGCACCCATTGGTCCGATGACTTGCTCAGCCTGGAGGGATATGGTAAATCGGTAGAGATACAGAGATAGCAACAGAGTTAGTTTAAAAAGTCTAGAAGGATGTAGTGCTAATGGAAAGATGAATGTGAAATACACTGTAGACGGCCTTGGAGCATCGAGGGCAGCGCGGACTGGTAGGAGGAATAAAACGAGGTGGCATTTTTTTATGCTCTTTTCTTCTGATTATTGAAAGCTTGCAATTATTACGAAGGGTGTAGCAATGGTCAAAGGGATAAAAAAGATGGAAAGTAATGGAACAGGTGCTCCCATGTCTAAAACGTCATTTAACATTGGCGTAGCCAATAAGATTTGCATCCTTCCAAATTGGAACTTAGCCACCACAAAAATGTTGTGTCGCTAATTAATGTCTCCATGTCCCGCCAATCCCATTTTTTAATGGCGTGACAAGGGGTACAATTATAAAGCTGCGAAAGTTATTATTTATTGGACATACTCAAAATGACTCAACGGGCTAAAAAAAAGAGAAAACTAACAAACTACAGACAACATATAAAGAGTAAGCAGTGTAACAGTCAAAAAATAACCTCCTACTTTGAGAGAGAACAATGGGATATTAAAAAGGCAATAGCAACAGCAACAAACACATATAAAATTTGGAAACGAAGCCTAGACCGTGTTTGAGTGATAGCGTCAGTATATGCTGAATCATCCAAAAGTGGTAATGTGTCCTGACGTTGATGACGATTATCAGGAATTCGGGTTTCGTTTTGCCCATAGCAACTTCCTTTATCATCTCTGCTGACTCCTGCTACATTTCTATATGTAAAAGTTGTATCGTCGCTGCTACCATTACTATTGCTATTGACTATTCAACTTGACTCTTCCAAAAATGTCGACAAGCGCCATCTTGGTGGTGCCTATTTGCAAACAGCAAAAAAAAAAAAAAAAAAAAAAAAAAAAAATCAGAAAAAGAGTTGACTGGTTTTCTTATCTGAGGTACTGTACAATGAAGGAAATATTTGCTTATTGGCTGTAGCTATGCTATCAAACTATCTGTTATGAATGTTACCTTCAGTCCTCGTTTTGTCTTTGATGTATCTCCTGCGAGACACTCTCTCACAAGTGTTGCCTGCTTTACAATCGTCAACAATGCTGGTTCACATGACATGCCATTGCAGCCTGAACGAACAAGTTAACGCAAAAAAGCAGAAGTTGGCATCAATCTTTTTGAACAGAGGCTGTAACACTACATAGCGAAGTAAACAATAAATGTCATTGTTATGAATTTCCTACCAAGGACTGCACTGTTTAAAGTGTCCGCAAGCTGGTCTCGTGCCTCTTGCTTCAGAAAGTGGCCATTAGGTGATTCCTCCGGATTGACATAGGCTATCACCGAAAATACATCTTCCATCTGTTTAATGTAGCCTTCCTTGCCATCTGGGTCCAACTGTGTAAATTGATCAATAACATTCTTTGCAAAGTCCAAAGCATCTGGACCTGGATCAGCCTTGACAAGCTCAATGAATTTCTGGCACTGTAGTTTGAAGTTCATTTGAATTGAAGCCTGTGTAGTGTAAGGGCTATGTGGATCAATTGATAGCACGCGTGGAAAGGCTGAGTTGCATAGCTCCATAGCGGATCCGATATCTCCATGTGAGATCAAGGAGCGAATGGCTGTTTGTAGAGAGTTAGAAAGTCAGGAGATATTGAGATAAACAAGAAAAGCCAAGTACTCCTTTAGTCTGCCAGAAGTTAATCACAAACATCATTAATTAGTACGAAATGTCTTCTTTACCTTTGCGGGTCTCCAAGTTCTTGAGTTGCTCGTCGATATGCAATGCATATGCCTTGTCAGCAGTGAGTGTACCATTACTGAGACTATCATCAGTGTTGTTATGATGGTTTTCACCCATAGGCGAGTCTCCTTCCTGGTCTAATTCTTCTCTATCTGTTTCCATAAGAGATGCGGCGTCCCCTGCTTTGTTCTGACTATCATCGGAGGCATTCCGCGCCATAATACCTTGAAATTGACCTGTCGTGGTCACGGTTGAGATTCCATTATGGTAGCTATTAGTTCCATTGCTGGATGAATAGTGGTTCATGTTACAAGTTCCATTGCTCGCATTGCGAGTACTCCCATTTTTCCGACCATCCGATACTTTAGCCGCATCCAAGTCATCCTTCATGAACGCACGAGCAGTTTCGCCATAGCAGTTGTGTAAGAGGTAATCGAGAACAAGTTGCCGTGGAATAGTTGTGTCAATCTTGCTTGAGTCATGCAGTTCAGAATCCAAGTCCATGTCGTTTTTGTGTTGTGTGGGACACGTTTTCAAATGATGAGGGGTTTTTATGAATTAATTCAAATACAGTGGAGTGATGCTTCCGTTATGTAGAATGTAGACGAAATGAGAATTGAGACTGAAATGTGAAAAGAATAGAGGTAAAAAAGTGTATGGGGAAGGAAAGGGGATCGCTTTTATTTCTGCTTAAAATGTTGTGTTCTCTCTACTGTCTTTGTTTACATATCATCGGCATGCAGCGAGAATAAGGAAGAGTGTTCTTGCGAGTCAGCCAGCGGCTGATAGGAAAGAATAGGTCCCAAAAGAATAAAACACGCTACTGCGAGTAGGGGACACGGGTTAAAGAAGAGAAAACAAACAGAACGTAGGCAAAGAGGCAAAAATGAAAATAAATGACGACAGGCAGAGGGAATATCAGAGTCATTTGAGCTTAGATCAGACGGATACCATGGGTCTCAAAGTTCTGCATGCAGGAATGCAAATATATACAAGTCGATGTATGTGTTCCCACCTCAGTCTTCTGACTGCCATGAGTTGTGATCACGAGCCTTGTCACACAAAGAAACTTGGTGGCGATTGCTTCGCCTTATATTTTTGTGATACTGCCCTTCCCACTTGCTATCTACTATTTCTATTCCTTACGATCATCTTCTCAAGGAATGTTTATACATCCGCAAATAAAGATGAATTATTGGCAACTACAAACAAAACAAAAGCACGGGTGAACACAGCCTCAACTGGTCTTGAAAGCCCCAGCTGGGATGAATGATAAAGGTGTTTAGAACCATTCTTCTGTCAGTCCTGTACCTCCAAATCCACCTGCATCCGCTGGTGTAGCAGCCACGTCTGGCGTAGTTGATCGTTCCAATTTAAGGTTAAGAGACAGGGTGGATTAGAATCCAGTTCCATTAATTTGTAGTAAGTTACGCATCTGTCAAATGGGCATGATTTATTACCTTGAAAGTTGTCAAAATCAAGGTCGTCCATGCCCTGATCAAACGGTATAAGATCTAAGGCCGCATTCGGCAGAATTTCTTGTTCTGCAATTGTACTCTCATTTTGATCAAGCTCTGTATTATTATACATGAGCTTTTGGTACAATGGCACAATGTTTGTCTTTTGCATAATCTATTTAATAAGGAAAAACGAACACTGGCGAGTGAATTCATCAAACTAATTTATTCTTTTGGAGGGGGAAAGGTAAAAACGGGCTTTATAGTACCTTCAGCTTCAGCTCCATTATAGTTTCCCACTTGCTGACCTGCAGTTTGATCTCTTTGTACGACTTCTTGGTGACCTTAGAGCGCTTGGATCTTCGTGTCCCCATACCAAGGTTTGACGTTGTGCTGAACATATTTTTCCTTTTTGACTGTGTATCATTCAAAAAGACAGTTGGCGAGGGCACCCTTTGAAGAGAGGGTGGAGCAAGGGTTTGGCTTGGTGGCGCCACTGCGCCTGAGCGATTATCCTTAGACCTGTTCTCGTCTGAAGAGTGTAGCCGAATCAATAGCGTTGTAGATGTAAAGTCTAGGATCCTTTAAGTCGGGAGTATAGTCGATGTTAGGTAGTGTTCACATCGTAGAAACTATAAACATTGCCATTAGCAATTCAATTGATACCTTTCATTCCTGCATGCCAAACAAACGCTAGGTTCTACTTTTAATACGGGTAAGGTTGTTTCTGGCTTCATATCACTGTCCATAGCTTCTATCTGCCTTATCAGAATTGGTGTACCGCCACCATACCTAGAAAAAAGTCTCACCCAAGAAAGTTCAGTTTCAGGTCTTTCGTCCTTATCCACGATCAAAAAGTAAGTTATAGAGGACATACATAGTTTGAAGATAGATCCATTCTCCCTCATTTATCACATAGAGATCACCTTCATTTTCGGCATCAGTAGAGTTCTCAAGATCGTACATGAATTGGCCATGTGCGCACAAGAGGCTTGAGTTATCAATCATAGTTGGCTGCAAATTTATAGCAGGCTTTTTGATATAGTCTAGCCATTTTTTGATAAACCCAGCTTTTTTTTTTTTTTTTTTTTTTAAGGGAAAGGAAAAACGGGTTAAATTATGAGTAGCTGTAACACGCTTCGACAAGGACATATTCACAAACCTTACTTGTGGAGACGGCATAATAGTTCCTTCCTGTCTCCATTTGCCGTATACGTGCTCCCCGCATAATAAGTTCAGAAAGTTCAGTCTATATATGAAAAAAAAAAGAGGATTGGATAGTTTCTAATTGATACAGTTGTAGCTCTCTACTTGGTTCTTACATACCTTCTCAAATGATGCCTTGGCCGTCATTTCTTTTATGTTCTCGACATGAGGCTGAAAGTTGTCAAGGCATGTTGTGCACTCGGTAGCATCGCTGGAGGGTAGGTTTAATGCCCCAAAAACACGTTCTAATACATCTAAGGCCTATGAATACCAATCATTAGACCACGAAGCCCAATGTTAAAATATATAAAAGCCGCGCACACAGCCATGCGGAGGAAAAATATACAACATATACGTCGCTCCAACTGACCGCTTTATTAATCAATTTGCGTTTTGACTTGTCCACTGTAAGGCGACGATGAGGACAGATAATATCAGCTTTATATGGATCAGCCATGGGGTTAGGGTCATCAGCAGCCGTCCCATTCGATGGATGAAACCGTGGGCTTGCCTTTAGCCATTCTGCAAGCCAAAGTTTGGATACCCATGCAATCGTTGGGCTTTTAATGCCCCTAGATTTCCTCTCGAACTCATCGACGTCTCGACGATGTACGATACGATAGAGCTTGTCTAACCACCAGTAGTAATAAGAGAACATTTAATCTATGCGTCAATAGCTGCAGACCATTTTGGAAGGCAAATACAGCATTTACCACATCCTCCTACCTTGGACAATATTTCTGATGCAATTGCCGCAAAAATCATGTATAGTCAGCATAGGAGCAATCTCAACCTGATGCTTATTCACTAAAAGTTCTTTAGCAGCCTGAGTTTTAGCAAAATTAGAGCCTTGAGTAAACAATCGAGTTCAGTTTTCATGGAATTTTTTTAAAAAAAAGGTAGTACTTCGCTAATGCGCTTGCTCTTGGTAAAGGCCTTTGGACACAATTTCCCATGTTCACAGATAATACTGCTGTTGTCAAGCTTCAAGCAAGTATTACGTTCCTGCTGTATGAATTTTATAAGTTCCTCTGTGGCTATATAGCATTGGCCTTGCTATGTAATAAAAGCAAGATTAAGATGCTTCTTCGAAAATCCTTATTCCGAAAGCTTCATGAGGTTGTGGATTTACCTGGTCACTATTCACATCCCAGCAGCTATAGATTGCCTTGCGTTCACCACACACTTTTTCAAATTCTGATTTGAGCGTTTCTTTACTAGTGGATCCAGTCCGTAATAGCACTTTGAAGGATAAGCGTGTTTATTCATGATCTATGGTATGCAACAATAGCAACAAATATAGCAGAAATAACAGCTTACTATTGCTCATATTTGTTTATCTCATTTCCATGATCAGTATTATCCCGCAACACGATGTCAAGCGCCTCTCTTGGAGGTTTACATGGCTCGATCTGGCACTTGGCTGTACTTCTGGTATAGGTCAGCATATACGCGTTGCGGGAGGAAAGAATGCTGCCGTTCGTATGGGATCAAAGTAAAAGGGAGCCATGTCAAGTTAATCTCAATTCACTACGAGAGCTTGAGATAATAACCAGTTCTATGCTACCTACTTTTGGCTCTTCTGGTCATTTGTTCCTTTATTTCTGGCCGATGTTTTCTTACTAGTGGGGTTTGCCTCTGACTCAGAATAGCTCTCAGGGTCAAATTTAGTTCCGTGAAACTGCCTTACCTCTTCGTCATTCAGAACGAACCACTTGTTGCTCCTAAACATATAGTAAGGGTTGAGATTTAGAATAATTCATATGGCATTGATAACTAAGCATTATTGGCATTGTTGCTTACTCTTTATTCAGTACATGTGCCAAAAAATGACCAGAATGGGCGCTTGGCCCACTGTGGACGAGGACTGCTGTGAGATTATAAATGGCATTCTCTTTGGTCCCCAGTAGTTCCGAAAAGTCAATTGTTTCGGGAAAGCGGATGGTATCCTTGGACTTCTTTTTTGTCCATGTAGCACTATCATAGACGAAGCGCATCAACTGGACATTTAAGACCTAAATATGCGATTGAAAATGGGTATTTTAGCGTATAAGAGACGAGAGTCACCAATACTTTATACATGAGTTAATCATATTTCCACATACTGGTGGCAGCTTATCAATCCTGACTCTTCTAGTTGCATCTTGTAATGAACCGCAGGTTGAGCACGAATATCTAGAAGTTAAAAAAGACAAAAGAAGGACTAAGTTATAGATCAGACATGGGAGTGCAAATACCTTTTTTAAGCTGGCTGTTACTTACTGATCTGCTCCTAAGAGTTCTTCAGGCTCGATGAACTCTTCAAGACAATCCAACAAAGTGCAGTTATCCTTGATGTTAAGAAGCAATTCATAAAAAGTGCAGTCTCGTACGGATATTTTTTTACAGTTCTTGCATTGCGTGTGATACGAGTAGCGGCCTTGAAACTAAGTTGAGCAGTATCAATGATAGTGGTGAGTAGCCTTCATATTCAAACGCTCTTTATAGTTCTTATGCGGAAATAGGTCTCTACCTGATTATTGATAAAATTGCCCAGCTGCCCATCCGCTTGCTTTTTGAATTGATTGTCTATCTGGGCCATAAACAAGCTACAGAACCTAGCAAAATGCAGAGTTGTGGAGCTTGTAGGTATGTGACATGTTTCGTTCAGACTAAGAGAAGAGCTTAATTGAAATCTTACTCTTGTGCATCCTGCTGCATAGCTGTATCCAACTTAAGACTCGTGACAAGTGATTGAGGATTGTAATATGACTTCGTTCCGCAATTCAGATGCGCAAATAGTAGTTGAAGCTGATACAGGGCGTTCTGAGTTGATTTCAAAGATGTAAAAAAAGAGTTCGTGTTATAATGGTCTTTCATTTGACAGTAATAAAGATGGTTTTATCTTACCATAGAATTGTCTATATTGGTTTGGAAGCGGCATCGATATATTGCGTCCCGAAAGGCCAGATCATGAAACCATACTTGAAGAAGTGAATTCACATAGCACGTAGCACCGAGGTTCTAATGTCAGTGAAGAATGCAGATTAGACCAATATCTACCAATAATTTAGTCCGATATATTAAACTATTGTAGCTACCTTCATCCCAGCAGGAGTATCCTCTTGGCGCTTTAGGGGCTCAGGGCATTGCCGAACAGCGACCTTAGCAAAGTAAGATTCAAATGCATCTGAAAAAAAAAAAAAAAAAAAAAAAAAACGTGTTATTACAGATATTGTCAGTGCAATATTACAGCCAGGTAGTACACTATATATCTGGTGATAATCCACAATACCATCACTCTCCCATTGGGCCTGTCCCATGTAATTTAGACAGTGAGGATTTCCATCCTTGCATCGGGAAGCAGAACAAGAGTTTGACTTTTCTCGACTGGCTTGAGTATTTCCAGAAGATAAGTTAGTATAATGGTTGCCACAGTATGGAAATCTGGAGTTGCTACTGCTTTTATTGCTGGCTTCATTTGAGCCATTTCCCATGGTCTCATGTTTATTATTCGTAGTAGGGCTTAGGCCATAGACTGCACGAATATGCTCCTCTGTCAAGTCCTCGAGTTGGGTGACCTCTTGGCCCACAAACCGCCACTGTTTATCTGCTTTTTTTCCAAGGAGTGCCATCTCGAAGGATGAAATGGAATGTCGTTGAGAAGGATGAAGAACTGAATGTTTATGTTGCAATTGGGAACCTGGCCTAACTGTATAAATTTACAGGAGCCAAATGTTTCATTTAGCGGATGCTGTCCTACATGTTCATTGACGGCCTGAGAAATTCAGGAGACGTGTTACTCCAGAAATGTGACTGTGACCACATTCTGTCTCTACCCATTCATCTGATAGGATATTTATTTATTTTTATTTTGACACAACATCGTTCATTCTTCATTGGAAAGTCAACAATACACGACTCCCTCAAGGCCAGTATTTATTATTTCAGCGTCTAAAAGGCAATGGAGGCGTACACAGGACTATTCGGTTGGGCATTTTTGCCTTCAATAGCAACAGGCATACTTCAATCCATCTGGTACTCCTTAAAGTATCCCGTTGACTCTGGAGCCAAACCAGCACCCAACACACCTAAATACCGTCGCCACTACAACCGCATCTACTGTGCAGTTGTCCTCGCTTACTTGGCATATACAATAATTGAAGTCGACAGAGCTACGCAGACCAATTGCTATGATCTGCTTGATCTGAATTTTCATACATTTTCTCAGAAGCAGCTCAAGACAAGTTTTAGGAAAGCATCCCTTACATTCCATCCAGATAAAGTCGGGCAGGCTGGTGCAGGTAATAATCATATTGTTTATTTTAACATTGAAGCGATTTTTTTTCTTCTATTATTTCACTGACTTTTTTTTTTTTTTTTTTTTTTTTTATTTAAAAAAAACCATACCATTTTCGCATCATAGATACGTTCATTCGCATCAGAGCGGCACATGAGGTCCTGAGTGATCCAGTAGTCAAATCGGCATACGATCGATTTGGACCAGACGTTATCACTTGCACAACTTGCAAGACTATTAAGGATCACATCACACGTGGCCTCTCGTCGTTTTATACATACTATCTTAGTACTGGAGCTGTCTTAGTACTGATGAGTCTTATTGGAAAGGGACAATTTGGACGATATTGGCGCTTTGTTGTGCTCTTTGGGATGGCTGGATTGGAACTAGCTATGGTGACCCGTTCAAAACCGCTCACGTCCCTGTCCTATATTATACCCCACCGTGTTACCTTTGAACAGATCGCTATCCTTCACCAAGCTTTCATTTCAACTTTCATTGCGATCTCTCAGATCGGACCAATTCTAGTCCCTTCGAAAGAGCAAGAAAAGAACAACATGAAGGCTCTGATTGACCGCCTAGAACTGCTAACCGCACTTTCAAGTAAGCTTTTTTTTTTTTTTTTTTTTTTTACAGGCTGCAGATATATGACCTTAAGATTACATTTCTATTCAAGCGACATATTAAATATCTCAAGTCTCATGATAGATGCTGAATCAATTGGACAGCTGCAGAGTACATTCGATGCTTTTAGAGGCAGTGAGACAAATATGGCGCTTCTTAAGCGACAGATGAGCATGATGGCATTGGACACACGATTAATGCAGGACCAGTTGCTAAACGAAGCTCGGAACGCTGCCCAGCGACGGCTGATACAGAGGAAGAGCACATAGCCTGAATTAACCAGCAAGTTAGCATTCATATTTTATATTATTCAAAGTAGTATTCTGAAAGTTGGAGTGAACACTGACTAACTGTTAAGTCGCTCCTGTTCGTAAAATAGCGTTCTTCATATAAAATTATTCAGTTTCTTAGGCATGTAGAGCAACCAATTGTTAATTATTGTTCCGTACACTTTCTTTTTTTTATTTTATTTTATTTTTTTTAAAGTCATGATCGGTTTGCAACGCTAGCACCGTCTCCATTGACTTCGTCAAGTCTCTTTCTGTGAGAGTCTCTTATTAATATTAGTGCATGACTGACATTCATGGATGAGAGATCGTCTTTATGATTAAAATTCCATCAATTTGTTCCAAGAGCGCAATAGTATGGCCTAAGACCGCTATGCATGTCTCATATTATGCGTAGGGGGAAAGGATGTAATCTATAGTAGGCTTTTCTGCTGATATGAGTTGTCGCACGAAGCGAAAAGCGGAGGATGGGAAAATGCATTGTTATGCTTCGCCCAAGTCTCTAGGCAGTGACTTCAATTAAATTTTTTTTTTTTTTTTTTTTGGCCATTTGCTAATGCAAGTGACATCTCAGAAAGTCTTCTTTATTCACCATGACCACAATTGATCAACAGCACATTCCTTTCTACCAGCAACGCTGGGTCACACCGCCGCCTACAACAACCCTACCTCCGCAGGTTGTCTCCAAAGTCGCACTTCGATTTGCTACTCCAGCATCTTCGCCACGTGATGTGTCCATTTCACCGAGTTCAAACTCAAAACAAAAGACATTCTTGCCTCGAACCGCACTTCAGGGATCAGCGGACCATAATACCAATTTTGAAAAGCTACTAGGCTTTCAAGAATGGCTACATCGGCGAGAGTTCTGGGAAGAGTGTGCTATTTTGGAGCGAATGCACTATAAAAACAAATCACAACATAGGCAGGCAGGCTATTTTCAACGGCTATGTGAGGTATCTACCTAAAACTTCAAAATGTATAAATATCGATGCCATGTTAGCGCCTTCCCTCACATCAGCTTCTGCTCACAATATATCGTAGTGTCGCCGCCTTACTTCACGCATCAAAGAAGTCAATATGGTCGGACTTATTGATGAACTTGTAAAGAAGTTTTATTCTGAGAAAAGGTTGGTCTCCATTGTGCCTCTATAGCTTTTAATTTATGTCATTCAAATAAGCGCCCCAATAAACCGATGTACCTTTTTTTTTTTTCGTAACAATATTACTACAGCTTGAAAACCGTATCTGCTTCAAACCTTCAATGGGACTCCATTCCCTATCGGTCAACCGTGGCTTTCACAATGACTCGCATAATCAGCCTAGTTTTGTTGCACAAAAAATTACAAACAGCTCTTCATGAGACATATGGGTGCGTACATTCGTTTATGCTGTGTTCAAATGACTGTCGCTTTCAGCGAAATTATTACTTAGATAAAAAAAGACTAATTTTCTATCTTTTTCTTTATTATTTGACGCTCTCCAGAGCATGCTACCAGCTCATGTCGAAAACACAGTTTATGTCATTCGCCTTAGTTGCAATTGGACTGTGTAGCAGACTGTCTCTCTTATCAAAAGCATGGGTTGGTGAGTTGATGGATTGTTACGAATTACTAAGTGAATGGATCAAATCATTCCCAAACGAAAAAGGCCATTCAGAGCTTGTTGACTTTGAGGCGCAACTCCCGGAGTCTTTACAAAGTATTGTTGTGGGCTATCATTCTGAGGACTCAGATGCACTTTCCCTGCCATTAACAATACATTCAAGTAAGCGACATGAAGAATCACCAACATTGGCACAGGATTTGGGCGAAGTTATTCAGCGATCATCTTTTCTACCTTCTTCAGAATCACCTTTGGCGCCACATACACTGCATATCTCGAAGCAACGAACGATCTCTTCCTCATCTTCAGATAAATCAAATTGTGAGGAAGGCAATGATATATCCTTTAACAGTGACGGCAACCGACGGTCCGACCTTTTCATGGAAAATGATAATGTGTTTGGAAAGATGGCCTCATCTTCTCTTGCAGGCATGGAAAAACCAAAGAAAATGAAACTGGATTTGGATACAATTTTCAGCAAGGATGAGAAACAAAAAAGGCAAGGAATCAAGGAAAAGAAAAAGCTAGGCAAGAAATATAGTGGAAACGGGACTGAATCCAATTCTTCCACATCTCCATCTATACGATCTTCGCCTGAACCGAGTACTCGCATTAGACTTGAGAGCGGCAAAGGCTCTATTGGTAATTTTGATGACATTTTCGATCACGATCAATCAAAGATCGCACCGCCATCTCCGTCTGTGAAAGGATCCGCACCACTGCCAAGAAAGGCCGTACAGAAGGAGAAGAGTAAGGGCAAGGGCAATAACAAGAGAGAGATTGAAGATATCTTTGGAGCGATCATCAACCAGAAGAAGTCGAAGACAACAGAGATTGACAACATTTTTGGATTGTCGGTCAAGAAAAAGGACAAGTTAATTAAATAAGTCTACGCATCTGATTGGTTGGAGATATAGTATATATTTATATAATACATTCAGCTCGTATTTTTTTATTGATGCCTGCTCCTTCGATATGAACGCTTTTTCTCTCGCGAACAGCGTCCTTGAAAGTGACAATAGCGATTAGAAAGTGTGGCCCCGAGAACTTCATCTTAAAACCACCCATAACTGCAATTAACTTTAACACAGCTCAATCAGTTTCTCCTGCATCATTTTCAGGACCTGCGTTAACAACTCTTGGAAAACTCGCAAAAATCCATATTCTCACTGCCCCAACGTCCCAAGATACGAAGCAATAGAACTTTGTGCAAGTCGACTGGAGATGGCACCGGCCGAAATAAAGGACACCATGCTATTGGTTCCCTAATGATGAAATAATATATGTGTTAGCAGTGTTTAGAAGAGGCCATTGATCAAACAGCTGAGGTACTTCAGTTTTCTGCACATCGCGACGTTTTTTTTTTTTTGACCTGACCATTCATTGGCCTTCATAACAATTAAAGGCTATCGATTATTCTACTTCATGAGACAAAAAAGAGGGATATCAAAAAAGCTCCTTCGAATAGCCAGCTCGATATGCCATCAAGCATCGCACTCATAACACTAAAAAAAAGTAACCGCTAAGACAGTCGTCATACAATACCTTGCTCATAAAGATTCCGAAAAAACAAGTTAAGCTTTCGAAGATCTCATAAATGTATTTGTTCGTCGAAGACAAACACTACAAGGACCTGCTTCCACAAGTTCTTTGCGAGAGGACGTTATAATAAATGGCAGTGTCCGCAAAGACTTCAATCGACTTCGCGAGTCAAAATTGGAAATAGTCAAGAATCACGATGATTAACATGTACAGTCATGCCTCTCTGTTTTGATAAAATATCAAAAACAGTGAAGCAAGGTATTCAATCCAATTCAAAAATATATTTGAACCTCTGTAATTTGATTTCTTGATGTTCTTGTTTGATTTTTGAGAATGTCTTTTGGTCATGGAGTGAGAAGGATAGAATGCAAATCGTAATGTCATGTCACGACGGTGACAATAAATGTTTCAGTTCAAATTACAGAGGTTCAAATATATTTTTGAATTGGATTGAATACCTTGCTTCACTGTTTTTGATATTTTATCAAAACAGAGAGGCATGACTGTAGTTAAAATCCTATTTCTTGTTCCTAGTTCAAGTTATTGGACCTAGACTCCAACTTACTCACCAACTTATTTATCTAGGTTTTATCCCAGAGAAGGTTCGATCGAAATCGATCCATGGCTTTAATAAATACAAGATAGTTGACCCCAAGCTTCGTCTTCTCATCAAGAATCGATATCCTTAACTTACACCTCAGTCTCTGCACACCGATCACGATATTTTATTAAGCATCGTTCTTGAAATCAAGAGTATGAGCCGCCTTCAGCCATGAAGCAGCATATTTGAAAACCACGGAAATTGAAACCATATATGCCTATCGCTGCCGTCCCCAAGAAGAAATCCATGACCAATTTATCTCACAAAGAACCGGGCAATACGGAAGCTAAATTGGCTAAAGCAACGCAGCGGGAACACCCCATGGTCGTCCTTAATATTGGCACTATACAGGTAAAGTTTAAGAAAACTCTGATGAATGACATCTCTTCAGAGAATGAGCGACAACCCTTACGTGACAAGCACGCTTTTATAGCAACCACCAACTACTTCAATGATATTGTCCATTTGGCGGTCAGAATGGGAAAAAAAAAATTAGGCCAATTTACTAAGCGTATTTTCCTCTGATAATTTCAAGGAAGGAGATTCAACAATATTAAACAACAAATGTTTAGCGGTTTCAAATAGTATAAATGTAACGAAAATAGCAAAAGAAAAAGTCAATTTAGGCAATCAAGGTCACACCGAAAACACTAAAAGGGCCCTTGCACCTTCATTGCTCCATAAATGATTATCTCTATTCCCATAACTACCCAAGGGTCAAGAAAGTCGAGGATTTCAGTTGTCGAGCCCAAGGGCTGGGATTATTGAGTAACAGAATAGGCAAGGCGGAGCTAAATGAACGGGCCCCATACTCGTTGTTATCGTTGTTACGAAAAGAGGACATATAGAAATGGGGTCTAGGGGCTCCATGGAAAGGTAAATGAATGATCGATTATATTTACTCCTTGGCTGACAAGGATGTATTCAGTATACACCTCAATTTAAAGATCTCCAAAGTATCTTACAATATGTTGTGCCACCAGGATCCATCATTACAAAGCTCCTCACTCCTGTAAGAAGGCCTTTACAGTTCGTAAGGGATCTCGAGGGTTTAGGGACAAGACTAGACTAGTATCTCTGGAAGATATGCAGCGGCATACATCCGACAATTTTGAACCGGTCAAGGGATTTATCCTATCCGAACCAATGGGTTCGGTCTCCAGCTACAAAATGTAATATATTTCTTAACACAACTTACTTAGTTTCTTTGAATAACTAAGGTTCGGTCGCAAGACTATGTTGCTGGTGGTGTTAACAGGTATTACAATCCAAAGGATGCCCTACATGCCAGGAATTTGTATGCCAGATGGATATGCGGAGAATGTATTTTAAAAATGCAAAACACTCATGTATCGAGATGTGATGGCAGTATACAATATTGCCAATGCTGTTCGTGGTTATTTAATCTTTCAACAGCGACCACTCTATCTTTAGCCTAAGACGAAAATGGAGTGGCAAGATCTGGATCAGGATCGGTGGATGCTGATCCTCACAACATTAATCTGCCTTTTCACAGTCACCTTTATGACGTACTTTGAGAGAGACTTGTGCTGTTAGTGGATTTGAACTCACTCTTTCTCCCTCTTTCTCCTCACTTCCTTTATTCTTACTGTTATCTTTTTTTTTCTTGGTATCCCTCATCCCTATTCCATTGTTGTTCGATATCAATTCTGTCATATTCAGAGGAGACAAGAGACATTTTTCAGTGATTGACCTTTATAAAACATCGGCTGGTGCAACGTATCTATCCTTTCACTGTCTAAAAAGGCTCAGACAAGGAGAATCACGCAATCAAGTCGAAGCAGACTGTAGCGTTATTGGAAGGAGACTGCATACAGTGCAATAATCCCAAAACATCACCGTTTATCAGCAAAGAAGGCTCTTTCTTTTGCTGACAGCAAGGGTTCTCCATCATTGAACACTTATCTTATATTCCCAACCATACTGCACCTAAGAACTTCCTTGTCCTCTGTCTCTGCGCATTCCTGATTGCATTTCTTGCATTTCACTATCTTTACCCTAAAATGGTATGTTGCGGAACCCAGGAGTCTTTTCTGTGTTTACCTTACCAGTTGTCAATAAGGCTTCACATCCGCTTTTTATCTCCTGTTTCTGAGGGAATGAAGGTTCCAGAAGGAGCAACAGGGAGGAAGAGAAAAGAAGAAAGGAAAAAAAAAAAAAAAAAAAAAAAAAAAAAACAGGAATGCGAGTTGTAACACAAGGCATTTGGAAAGAGCAAGCCAGACTTTGAGAGCCGACCATTTAGTTCTTGTGTAAGAAATGAGAGAAGACCAGAGCTAATCATTCTTTTGTTTTTAACTTCATTTTCTGGAATTTAACGGTTTTAACAGGAAGATCAAATGGAGGTTACCCCGGAGCGCAATTCACCTATCGGAGAGAAACCTCCAGCAGAGGAAATTCATTCCGTTGACGATGGTATGACAGGCTTTTGACCATGCGTTTCCACTTTTTTTTTTAACTTCCTTTGTTTCCTCTTGAAACATGTTTCGGTATTTGTCCGCAAAAATGTCATGTTAATTGCTTCTCTATGGCTGATATCCACTCTAATTTGTTTGTCTGCTTCTCTTTTCTGCTTCCGTGGGAAAATAAAAGTTGAATGGATGACTAAGAAGTTCCTTCCACTCATTGGCGATCTCGAGGAGCGTGCTTGTGAGATTTTCCAGTGGGAAATTACAGACTGGAAAGCGCTCGGCAAGAGAGTTACCGGACCAGTGTTTGAAATCGGTGGTCATAAATGGCAAGTAGACTTCAATAATGCCAGAGGAAGGCATCAAAGAAAGAGTAACTGTAGTGTACTAATATAGTGGCTATGGCTGGTTGCAAAATAGGCGTATTCTTCTGTACCCACAAGGAAACAACACTGATGATCAACTGTCAATCTATTTGGACTCTGCGGAGTCATTCCCGCCTGTCGATCCCAAATGGCATGTCTGCGCGCAGTTTGCACTCATGATGTCTAACCCGACCAATCCAGCGGTTTACGTTGCGAGTGGTAAGTGAGGCTTCAGGCAGCCAGTATGTAACTATGTCGATGTAAAAAGAAGGCGATTTTTACTGACCGCTATTTCGATTTTATTTTATATTTTATATTTCATTTATTATTTTATTTAACAGTGGCGCATCATCGTTTCAGTCCTGAGGAGGTTGATTGGGGCTTCACTCGGTTCTTTGATATCAGGAGACTAGAGCATCCTTTGGATCACCGCGGCATTCCTATCTTGGAAAACGGCCACACAGTCATTACTGCCTATGTCAGAGTGTATAATGACCCTACAGGCGTGCTCTGGCACAACTTCAACAATTATGATTCCAAGGAGATGACTGGATTTGTTGGACTGAAGAACCAGGGTGCCACCTGTTACATGAATTCGCTGCTTCAGTCCCTCTTTTTCACTAATTATTTCAGAAGAGCTGTGTTTGAAATTCCAACTGAAGAAGATGAGCCTTCAAAGTCAGTAGCCCTGGCATTACAACGTGTCTTTTATCAGCTGGCTACGAGTAGCAACTCTGTAGGAACTACAGAGTTGACGAAGTCTTTTGGATGGAATTCTCTTGAGAGCTTCATGCAACACGATGTTCAGGAATTTAACCGGGTTCTCCAGGATAATTTGGAGGGCAAAATGAAGGTAATGCACGTTGGATAACGAAGAACATGCGTTTTACTGTACTTAGGAAGCTCTTGTTGTTGCATTGGACGAGTACACATTGTTGACTCTACAGATCATTTATAGGGCACTGGGGCGGAAGGCGCGATTCAGAAGCTGTTTGTTGGGAAAATGAAGAGCTATATCAAGTGTATCAACGTTGATTACGAATCGTCGCGCGTGGAGAACTTTTATGGTAACATAACATTGCATCTCAATCCTGAATAATTCTCTTATAAAGATCATCGTGTTTTTAACGGATAAAGATAATGTTTATGTTTGCATATTTCAGATATCCAGTTGAACGTCAAGGGCTGCAAGACCCTAAGGGACTCGTTTGCTAACTACATCGATGTGGAGACTCTTGATGGCGAAAACAAGTATCAGGCGGAGGGTCATGGTCTACAGGATGCTAAAAAAGGAGTCATTTTTCAAACTCTACCGCCAGTACTACATCTCCAGCTGAAGCGTTTCGAGTACGACATTGAGCGTGACGCCATGGTTAAAATCAATGACCGACACGAATTTCCTCTTGAGATTGATCTGACAGACTTTGTCGAGGACAGCGAAGAGAAGCAGAAAGCAGGACCTGACGGTTTCGTATATACTCTTCATGGGTGAGGACCCCAAATATTTGATTCATGTGCTATTGATGATGCTTTCAGTCTTTGAGATGAAATCTAAGCCAAAGATATATGTTTTACATCTTAGCGTTTTGGTTCATTCTGGAGATCTTCATGGAGGTCACTACTTCGCTCTCCTTAAGCCCGAGCGTGATGGGAAATGGTATCGTTTCGACGACGATCGCGTCGTCCCTGTGACACTTAAGGAAGTGCTGGATGAGAATTACGGGGGTGGAGAACCGCCAGAGAACTTGGCGACCATGTCACTTGCCATGCGCCAACTGAATCGCCACAAGCGCTTCACGAATGCATACATGTTGGTGTATATCCGTAATAAGGCCATGGACGAGGTTTTGAAGCCACTGACAACCAACGACATTCCCGAACATCTACAGCGCCGCCTAGATGATGAGCGCTTGGCCTTGGAGAACAAGCGCAGGGAGCGTGATGAATCTCTTTTATATTTCAATGCCCGTGTGATCTCAGATGCGGATTTCAAAATCCACGATGGCTTTGATCTGTACAATCCTCAATCCCCTACAGCAGGGAGATTATTTAAGGTGCGAAAGCAGGATTCGTTTGAGACGTTCAGACGGGCCGTGGCAGAGACCTATAGCTTCCCTGAGGACCAGCTCCGTATTTGGACGCTTGTGAAACGTCAGAATGATACAATCCGTACTGATATTCCAATCCCGGATTCAGATTTGAAGAGCCGTAAGTACTTCAATTAGTTCATGAGCATATTTACTATCGATTAATCCATCGAAGTTTTGTGTCTAGGTATTTAATATTTATGTCTTTTAAAATTATAGCAATGGAGTTAGTCAGAGACAAACACGGTACCCGGACACCCACCGAATTCAGATGTTATGTAGAGTTCTCCGACAAAAATTTAAAAGCCGTCAACGGAAAGACCTCATGGTTCCAGAACGATTCTCAGAATGGTGATATCATGATTTTTATCAAGCATTATGACCCTGTTACGTCTAAGTTAGAGTATGTTATGAGCTTCATTGGAAGGTTAATCAATACGCTGTGCACTAATTGGTGTGTTCCATTTGTTATTAATCATGCTTTTCTCTTTCCCTCTTCCTCCCCTTTAATTTATAGAGGTCTTGGTAGGATTCATGTCCACAAACAAGCCAAAGTTGGCGATATTATTCCTATTTTGGTCGAGAAGATGGGGTATCCAGCAAATACGCCATTGAAGTTGTTTGAGGTATGTGAATGATCATTATTTCGAGGGTCACTTTGAATGACCTTTATGGATCGTGACTAGATAATTTACAAAGAGAGTCTCTGAATGTAATAGGAAATCAAACCAACGATGATTGAACCCATGAAAACGAAGTCCAGCTTTCAACAAAGCGAGATCCAAGGAGGCGATATCATTGTCTTCCAGAAAGAGTTGACACCAAAGGAGTAAGGCTTTCTTTTTCTGTATATTGTCATCTTGCGGACCTAGTATGACCTTTTCCCTCAGACTAAACATTGTAATGCCTTCTTTGTCCGACTATCCATTAGAATTACGGAATTACAGCAGCAGAATCTGAGAGTTTCAATTCCACAGCATTATGAATATATCTATAACCGTCTCATTGTCAATTTCAAGCCTAAGAACGACCAAGATCCAGCGCTTGAGACATACACCATTGAACTCAGCAGAAAGAGCACGTATGATCAGGTGGCGAGCAAGTTGGCAGAGAAACTTGGAATAGATCCGTTGCATATCCAGTTTACAGCACCATCACATCCTAGCGGTCTTCCTAAGCACACACTCAGGCGCTCGACTAACATGCTGTTACAGGAAATGTTATCCTCAGGACATATTCATCCAGGGATGCCATCCAATGTCCTTTATTACGAAAAATTGGACATTAGCATCGTCGAGCTTGAAAGTAAGCGATTGATCAAAGTTACATGGTTGGGCCCTACCCTCAGAGATGAGGTAAGAAAGAATGTTCATAATGGAAAAAGGCTATTATAAATGTTATGTTACAAGGACTTTTTCACAAAGGACTATATGGCTGGCTATTCACCACTTATTTTTATTTGAAAATATTGTCAGGTGACACATGAGCTGCTCGTACTCAAGACAAGTACGATCAACGGTGTCATACAGGCACTCATACCAAAAGTCCAATTGTCACCTGACGGTACACAGAAGTTGCGAACATTTGCAGTATCCAATGGAAGGCTAATGAAGGAGCTTGGGCCGTCAGACCCGATCAACATGGTGCCTGATATGTTTAGCCTGTATGTGGAGGAAATACCTGTAGACCTGTACGAAATTGGGGAGAACGATATCAAACTACCTTGTTTCCATTTTCAAGGCGATGTCAATCGCACACATAGCATTCCATTCAACATTGTAGTGAAGGATGGCGAAGCTTTTGTAGATACGAAGGCTCGAATCCGTGCAAGATTAGGGATGAACGAGAAGGACTTCGCCAAAATCAAGTTCTTCTTGATTGGTCACAATAGTGGACGTATCACACCTATAAACGATGGTAGGAATTTGTCTTCCTTGGATTGCTCGGTTGCTATTTTATTATATTATTTTATTTGAAATTTTTTATATCTGTATACTAACTTTTTTTTTATTTCTATTTTTTTAATATTTGATCACATTGCAGATGATATTCTTTCAGAAGCGGAGTTTTTACCAGGAGATCAGCTAGGCCTTGACCATGTTGACAAGTCTGGTCGTAGTAACAGATTAGGCGTAGAAAAATCAATCATTATTAGGGGTTAAAGAACGATGTGACCTTTCCCCTTTCTTCTCTTTCCCCTTTTCTTTCGTTATTTTTATTTTTTATTATTTTTTATATGGTTTTTATTACGCTTCCCTCATGCCAATGCATTTTTCCTTAAAAGATAAAAAAGAAGTATTGAATGAATATGTAAAGTATCGGTTCATTTAATCACAAACCCATATAGTTTTTTAAATTAATGGAGCGCCTCATACCTGCTGATCTGTAAGGTTTTTAAAGTTAGTCCAGAAATTCAGTGAAAGAACAGGTAGAGGGATACAGGAGACGAAAATGAACAGGAGACGAAAATGAACAAGAGCTTACACATTTTTCGCCAGCATCCAAATGCTTGTGCCTAGCGCCGTGCGCGATTTACAGGGGGAGCGCGCGATCCTTTCATGGCTTGTGCTTCGCGGGCTCTCAGTCTGAGCAAGACCGATTCTTGCGTTTTCCATTCCAACTACGCCCCGGTCGAGGAATACTTTACATGCACGGCAATATTTAGAGTATAGGTACACCGTCTCCAGAAGGTCATGGCAGAGAAGTCGGGGGCAACAAACGCTGGTGTAAAATTCGTACGCTCCCACGGCGAAATGTCCTCATGCTACTTGTTTCAAATGGCGGTGTCGTTTATCAACAAGGACTCTATGGTTTTCCAGAATTCTTTGTAAAAAAAAATAAAAAAAAAAAAAAACGAGGCTTTACCTATGTGGCAAAGTGTCTCGTTATGACAGTGTGCTTGCTAGGAACACCTTTATTACTTTCAAGGGGACCCCAGGCCAACGACAAGCACACTTTTCCCCCCGAGCATCTTTAACCCTCGCTGCACGGCGTTGTCAAATGTAGCTCATTGAGCCTTTCGTAAGTCCCATTTTTTTTTTGGTGCCATCGGAACTCGTAGAACTCTTGAAGCCAATCTTTTTACGGATACCTCATATACGTCTCCTACACTTCCTTTCCACTTTTGACTAGAGTCGCAACCCAGACGACCACCCAGTTCTTGTAATATACAGGTAGTAATGGCTCCCATTATAGTCTAATGACCTCTGGTTCCTTTTGTTATAGCCAGCTCTCTCCGCTTTATCTCTATCCACAGGCGCACTATCAGTACACCTTCTGACTCGCCATGATTAACATCCTCCATTCCCCAACTTTGGTGTATTTCATTATAGAGGGACCTGGCTCTCTATCGACAACGTTCTCTTTTTTTTTTTCCACTGCATGGAGGAAGAGAGGGAAGACGAACATGTACTTTCATCATTTTTGGAAGTTATTCTCAATTTATTTAATTTGGCCCATGCGACGAAGTTAGATTTTAGATTTTTTGCGTTGTTGTAATTCAATCAGTATTGATATTCCCTTGATTATTGCTCACATCATCATCATCATTTGCAGAGAACCTTCTCCTTGAATCAAATCGAATGATTTTACGAGTATCCATCTCTACCTTATCAAAAGGTTCTTTAAATGAATGAATCCAGCGCGTCAAATTGACACAGCTCTGCTTCTGATCATTGAAATGAAACTCACGTATAACATTGCCGTTACTCGTCTTAATAATATTAGTCTCAATATCAGACTTCGTAGCTGCAATAGCAGTCGCAGTGATAGAGTTGGCAGCAGTAGATGTTGACGAAGTAAATTGACTTTTTACTTTTCCACGAGCGATCCATTTTTCCATGATCATTGAAGATGGAGGTTTGTGATGACCTTTGAAAGCATTATCTGTCGTTGTTGCTGCTACTGTTGCTACTATTGGCTGTGGCGGCTTGGTCTCTTCCTTAGTGGATGTCTCTTTAAAATAAAAGTCATTTACTCTTTGTTTCTCTTCGGGTTTTACAAAGGGTAAATGATGGTTCGTTCCTCCAGTTCCTCCTCGACGTCGTCCTGGTAAATTGTTGACTGACAAGTGCTGCTGTGATAATGCCCTTGGCTCCTGCTCGATGAATAAAGATGATGGCGCTGGCGATGGCGATGGTGATGACGATGATGGCAACTTGAGTCTCTTTAAGGGGAGATTTGATACCTCTTGAAGCTCTGTTTCTGAGCATGATGGATGAGGATTCAGTCTATGTAAATATGGAGACTTGGGTGAAGACGGATTAACAGGGATGAAGTGTGATGTGGAAAGAGGAAAGAATGGGGATGACTTGGGTATGCTCGGTGGTGCCAAAGACGTTCGATGATGTCGATTTCGAATTTTTGCTCTCTTTGTCATGTCTACCAAGCTATTATTACTATTGGTCTTATCATACATGCTCGGCCATGGTCCCCCTGACACCTGGATGGTTGTAGTCAATTTATCTATAGCAGCTTTGGTTGTAAAGAGCAATAGCTCTTCCGCATCCTTCCTGGTCCTTATGAATGCCAGGCGTTTCTTAAAAGGTGTGGTCATTATCTTTCTAGATCTCGATCTGTCAATGCCAGCTGTTTCGCGGACAATATCGAGAACTTTCTTGTACATTATTAAATTGTACATATCGTTCAAGTTGATGGGCTGTGTTGATGATTTGTCGACCATGGAAAACGACGGTGATGTTAAGGCTCTCACTAAATCCGCATCTATAGCGTATTGTTGCCGTCGCTGTTGTTGTTCTCGTCCCGACCCTGACTTCATGTACTTTGTATTGTTGATTGAATAGCCATGCTTGTTACTGCCACTGATGTTGCTACTGTTGTGGTGATGGTGCTGATCATAGTATGAATGTGGAAAAACAAACGGTGATGGTTGTTCAGTAACGGGATGTAAGTGTATCTGACTCAGTTTCAGGAGGGCAAGACATTCTGCTAAACCAAGACCATCTTTTCCATGAGCGGATAGATCCGGTCGCTGTGCAAACTCTAGTCTGTAAGACCGATTGAACCACTCATACCATTTTTCAATGGGGTTTCTGTTCCACTCTAACTCCATAAATTTAAGGTCGCTTCTATTTGTGACGTCTGAGGGGAACAGACATGTGCGATGATCTAAAGCTCTCCACCCCGATGAAATTTGCGGATGTGGTTGATGGTGTTGATGATGATTATAATGTATGCTGTTGCCAATGAAGAGATTTTCAGCTACCGAACGCGAGACTCCTGTGTTGCTCAGATCTATCCCCAAAAGTCGTTTGAAAACCAATTGATGCCGCTGGTGTTTGAGGCTTGTGTTTGTGTTTGTAATATATGCTTGAACAAATAGTTTGGTGAGTCCAGCATCAGTGATGTTTGTGCCTGTGAGATTCAGGTACTCTAATCCAGCAGGACCAGAGGAGCCAAAGGTGACACTTCTTATCAAGTGACTTAAGCCTATATCGCCAATATTCTTAAGATTGGCCAGATTAAGGATCCGAAGACTAGAAAGAGAAGATAGTCCAGCCATATCCTTGTCTGCAAATTCAGTCATCATCCCAGTATGATCAGATTGCTGTTGTTGGCCCACACCTCCATTACTGTTGCCATAGCTGCCTTTGGATAGGTCCAAGTAAACAAGGCAATGCGCAAATACACTCAAGTAAGGAACATCTTGGGCAAGCTGACACTTTAGGCCTGTATATTCAGGACCTAAAAGTTGAGTACTACTGTATTCATACCCCTCCCCTTGCTCCAGGTTCGGTTCTAGCTCAGATCCCTGGAGATCTTTACAGGCATAAGCCTCTGCAAACAATAGGATGCCAGCCTGACGTTGTTCAGTCGTAAGACACCATTGATTAGATTGATGAGCAAATTCTAGGAAGAGGGCTTTGCCAAAAGGGAGAAAGGGGAGTCCTTCAAATGTGGCAAAGAATTGAAGATTGGAGATGCATGCTTGGACTGCAAGATTGAACAATGAAGGGAAATTATCCTTATTGTTGACTCGACGTTGAATAATTAGATCTTGCAGCGTACGCTTTCGGGAGAGAGATGTCATGATCTAATTGAATTTGATCATGCCAATTCGTGAATGTTTATTTATTACTACCTGTTATAAGACGCGTACAGTAATAATCTATTAGGAGTTACAAAAAAAAAAAAAAAAAAAACTTTTAAAAGAAGAGCTGTTTTATTTTTTATTTTTTATTGCTCTTCTTTACTCAAATCTTCTCTACCCATCACTGTATTCGCCTCTTACTCCTCTTCTTCGCTTTCCTATTAATCAGTTATAAAACTTCCCTACAAATGGCGCGCTTATCCACCCTTCTGTTGGCCATTGTGCTTACTTTCATTGGCATATCCTACGTGCAAGCATGCGGTATGTCACAAACTCCTTTCAAGGAACCTACCTTATGGCATTATGGCACCCATTGCATCCACTACTATTAGCATCATTCATTTAATATTAGCATATTAGCATAGTAGAAAGTTCATCATCTCATTTCGTACTATCACTCTTTATTAATTTATTAATTTATCTTTTATTTTTATTCTTTATTATTTTTTATTTTTTAAATACACCAAATAGAATCAGCATGTCGTACTGATCCTGTCGAGTTTTTGGCCAAGAAATACGAGGATATGCTGCAAAATCAGGTCAAGAAAGTCAAGGACTCTAAGGCTTCTGCGAAAGCCAAAGCATTGATTCCTACAGTGATGTCTCAATTGAAAGGACGTGGCAAGGTCATTGACAAGACCATTTTTTCGGTGTTCCGTGGAACATGCGTCCCCGCAGGTGTAGGCAAGCGACCGCCCAGCGAGCTCTGTGGAAGTGCCAAGAGCATTGCCTGCTATGCTCCTTGGGGCCATAAGCAGGGAGTCTTTGATAGTGTCAATAAAGCTGTCATGAAGACTATTCAGGATGTTTACAAGAACCAGAACGCAGCCATCAAGTCGGCGATGATCGATGACACTGCCAAGTTCTGTCCTAAGAACTGCAAGGATTGGGTTAAGCCGTAAGTAGTTTCTGTTTTTTTTTTTATTCGTCATCGATCATACCAATTGCCAGCCAGCCAGGCTCCGCCAAAAAAAAAAAAAAAAAAAAAAAAAAAAAGTATTTTTAGTTTCTTAAAAAATTACCAATTGATGGGGATCTGCATGCAGATCTTTAAGACAAGTGGGCTAATAGAGTTTTATTCGAATATTCTTTTTTGCGCATGTCTAGATTCCAAGCCATCATGCTTGGCTGGGAACAGCGTGAGCACCCTAAGGAGTACAAGGTCACCCCCAACTGCCTTCCTCTCGGCAAGGGTGGGATCTAAAATACCCAGTCTCACATTCCCCAGCTCCCTTTGTTAATAGACTTGGTACATCATTCATGTTCCTAATTCTAATTATCAAAGAAAAGAAACAATTTAGCATTTATCGAAAATATATTGCGTATCAACAGGATAGATTAAATAAAATAGATTAATATATACAAAAGTGGTTACTGCCCCGTTGCCTATTCCAATAGTTTATTTTGTGAGCAACTTGCTTCATATTATTATATATAAATATATATTTGGTGATTTCTATTGGCAAGGAAATGCAATGAAAAAAAAAGAAAACCAAAAAAAAGCCGTGGCGTATGAGGAATAAGGCTGTTTCTCATTTTTATTAATAAATAAATTGCATCAAGTTGCCAAGCAAGGTTTTGGGTTATTTTGAGAATGAGGGCATCAGTAATCAAATCTGTAATCGATCATGTCTATCTGACGAACATGAGTTTATATACATCCGCATATTGAACTCGAGCTACGTTTCTAGCAAAAAAAAAAAAAAAAAAAAAAAAGTATATCTGTACCTACAGATACTTTATAGGGTGTTATATAGGGAAATGGTAACAAACAACCTGTTTTTTGTTTTTTTATTGTTGCTGTTGTCGTTGTGTGAATTAACCTTTTCTTTCACCTTTGCCTTCCACATTCACTACATTCTTGTCACTTTGTAGGATGAGAAGTAATAGAAAAACAAAGATTGCGTTCACATTCTTGTGAAACAAAGACAAACAAGTGCATCCAAATCACTTATGAAAGGAGTCATAATATCAGCATGGTGAAGACATTTCATTTCGTGATCTACACGAACAGTCTTGCTTTTCTTTTCTTTTCCTTTATTACTTTTCTTTTCTCTTCTTTTCTTTAAGCATAAGGGAAGGGTATTTGGATTGTACAAAGGAGAAGCTTAAGAATGCCACTCCTAAATCGTTTTAGGTATGTGTTCTTTCTTTACACAGGGCTGAACGTTGGTGTTCCAGTGCAGCTCAAGCCTGCAGCCTTGATGATGGAGCCATACGCGCTCTTGAAGTAAGTGACAGAAGAACCACACTGAGAGGCGCCTTTACAAGAATCGATCCAAGCCCCACTCAAGGAGGAGCACAGGCAAGAAGCATAGGCTGGCGAGACTGAGCCAGGTTGGATTTGAACACCTGCACAGGCTGGAAGGGCCTGCAGAGCCTTCTGGAGACACGATGCACAAGCTACGGGATCGCTGCTTTGAGCGGAGGCCAAGGAGGCAGATGTGGCAAGCGCCATTAAAGCAGAAACAGCCCAAGAGAGGAACTTCATGGTGGAAAATAATAAATAAACCTGTGAAATGCAGATAATTCTTATGATATAGAAGGGGTAATGGATATAATGCTGAGTAGGCAATGTGTAAAAAAAAAAAAAAAAAAAAAAAAAAAGAGAGGAAAAAAGAGCAAAAGACAGTGAGAAGAGGATTTATAAACGCTTTTTTTAATCCTTTTATATAAGAAATGCTTAGATCGTGGAGAATCCTAGTGATCGATAGTTTGTGTCAGAGATCGGTTGGGATACATGAATGTGGAGCGCGAAAAACAAAGAAAAGAGCATTGCATTTAAGGTTTTTGCACTCTAGTTCGCTCGGTTCCTGTTCGTGTCTCTGTCCCTGGCCCTGGCCCTGGTTCTGGCCCTGTTCTTTCCCCTATCCCTGGCCAACTTTGTCATGCTCCACAAATCGGATGGACTGAATGTCCCAGAGCCCGAGAATGGAGCTACGGAATGAGTTGAACACAAATAAACCCCCCAAAGCGAACGTTTGCTCTTCTATCCAAAAACTGTTGTCAGTGCAAATGTTTGTGCAACGCGCTTTGTGTTTATGGAATATATCTGTATCAACATTGAGACAACACCTCTCCTTTGGTATGCCGTTCAACCGAACTGTCCATTCCGATAAACAAATGATTGGACTTTGTAATTTATTTCCACACTAAAAGGACATTGTGTTTTCTGTGATGACAAAGACAAAAAGAAAGATATGCAAACAATAAAAGGCATGGAGAGATAACAACGTAATTAGTGAGGATGGGGGAAGCCTTGGTTTGCGACGCGTCTCACCAACTGTTTCCAGAGACATTTTACCTCAAGCTGAATCTTCTATAGCCTTCCCCGAGAGATTGCTGTTTCTGCTTCAAAGGATTCTGCCATCATTTCTAGTTTGTATTTCCTAAGGGAGTATATTTATATATATATCACTCCTTGAAGTCGGGAGAGGACATCTTGCTTCAAACTTCATTAGCACCCTCAACCTCCTCAAGGACAAGCCGCATATCTCCTCATTCTATTCGGCCATCGCACACCTCGCAACCAAACTGCATCACTTATTACCAACTCTACACAAGCACAACCCTTCTCACATATACTCAATATAGTTTGATATTGTATTTTTTTTTATATTTTCTTTTAATATTTGGATACGGTTGCTCGCATTCTTTTGCGATGTTGACTTTTTGTGATGTTTGTCATCTTGTAGAATGCTCTTGTACAGCTTCAGCAAAGGCAGCAGGGAAACAAGACTTTGACTTATTAAAAGGCACACGGATGTTTATTAAAGCCTTCCATGTCGCTGCTCCAGGCAACCACATGTTCCCATTTGCATGGACAAATACAGACCTCCGCCTTCACTAAAGGACACAACTTTCCTCCGCTGAGAACCATCCATTTCGTGGTACCCATTATGTATAGCAAGGCTGTAGTTCGCTACAAGGAATATTTTCCTGTGCTTCTGACGTCTTTGTCATACAAAGCTAATATAAGGACTTTTGAGGAAGGATTCCCTGAATGCCTTGTGATGTCTATGATGCGGAGCGTATAACGCTCGAGGATACTCTTGATGAACGCTTTAATATTCTTAAACTCGTGACAGTCCTCCTGAACAAACATCATTGTTCTTGCCAGTCCATTGATAGCGGTCTCTGATCAGAGTTTGAAGGAACGTATTCTTCATTCGTCCTGTGAAGGAAATAGAGTTACACAACACAGTGCTACAGCTGTTGAGCTTGGATTGGCCTGAGAATGGGCTCAAGAGCGTTGTTACCCGTCTCCTAGTTATGCCTCCCAAGGCATCGACTGGCTCGCATCTGGTATCTAAAGAGAAGAGGGTCGGTGTGTTCATCCTCAAGGGAATATCCGTCATAAAATGAGATAAAGCCCTATAGGCTATACTTTAAGGCCATGGACTGGCAGTTCCTGTAGTCAAGAGTACTGAAGTCACTTGCACACAGTACTGTACTAGCTAACAGCATACCTTCCGGGGGCTGTGGTTGCATGGAGTCGGTAGAAAGCGACGCTGTCCGTTTGCAAGATGTGCCGTACCATAATAGAGCGAAAGGATATATAGTTCATCCTTGAGAAGGTTGAGGACGTATGCTATTAAAGACATCCTTCCCTGACTTCAAGGAGCAGTGCATAAATATACTTCCCAGTGAAATTGATGGAATTGTTTGAAGTGGAGGCAGCCGCCTGTGGAGAAAGGGATTAAAAATCAAAGTAGAGAGGCAGTATGCATGTTCTTTCAACCTATCTTATGAGCTATTATTGAGGAGCCTTCCCTTTTTCACAATGCTTCCAAAGGCCTCTTACAAAGCTGCTCCAGACCTTTTTCCTGCTCATGATTCCTATCGAAGGATACAGCCACAGGGATGTCTAGGCAAAGGAGAAGTGAAAAAGTAACATTTTGGCCCAGAGTTATGACCGCTTTTGCTTGTCTCTTCCTAAATTGCGACCAAAAATGGGTCAAAAAACTTCAACTAAGCAAATTGTGTACTTCCCCTTCTATCCTTGCTAGAGCAGAGGAGATTGGTCTCTGATCTCTGGCATAAAGCAATATATTGAGAAACAAGTGCGGTTTACTCGTGATATGCAATTAAGATTTAAGCTTCAAAAGATTGTAAAAGCAGACTTTTTATAATTGAATAAAAATAAATTTGCACAGATCTCATATAACATCAGGTTAAAGGGATAGAATTTGAGATTTGGATTCCAACTGCATCACCGTGATTTTTTACCTGTCAGTTATTTCATAGCTATTTTACACTCCTCAATCCTGGTCCCTAGCCCTGGAAATATTTTTTTTGACCTTCCCTTGATCTTCGACTCTTGGTCTTTTGGTCTTTGTCCTTTTGTTATTTTCATCCGGGCCAGTAAGATAGAACGATCTTATACTTTTGATGCTATAATACTTTGATAATGTCGGATTGCAATTGGTCTCATTTCATAGTCATCTATTTTATAAGCATTCATTCGGAAAATTTATTTGCCAAAATATAAAGAAATTTCCTTTCCCTTGGTTCGTTTTGATATGATCTGCACGGTGACCTTGGATTTCTCCTTTTTTTTGCACTCCTGTTAATGGTGTGTTGCAACCCAAAGAATACACATAAAAAAAATGCTCAGTACTCTATTCAATTTCATCCTCGTTTATTTGTCTTGAACAAAAAGGCAAACCGTCATTTTATCCCTCCTGTTTCCCCTTTAGTTCTCCTGAGATTGATGGGTTTTTTTTTCTTGTTCTAATTTAGTTACCCTTTTTAAAATTTACTGCTGCCATCTCACTTCATCATTATTTTAATCGGATTCCGCGCATCATATATTAATTGCTGATATTTATCTTTTTTTTTTTTTTTTTTTTTTTTCTTTTCCTTTTTCCTTTTTTCTTTTTTTTCTTTTTTTCCTCTTCTTTTCCTCGCTTCTTATTTATCTCTATATTTCCTACGAACGTAATACTTGCCTTCATAATGGCCACACCAAAGCCTAATCACGCCTACAACAACAGAGGCGAAGGAAAGAACTCAAATGCATTATTCCGAGCGATCTACCGACATTACAGTGATACAGAGTACTATCGTTCTCCAAGCACTCTTGAGAATGAAAAGTATCTCCCGTTTAAGATTCCTTTCAATCGATGGGCCATGTTCCCAACAGCGTTCATGTAAGGATATAACTCTGAAAGGAAAAAAGAAAAAAAGACCATAAAATATATCCAGCCAAAAGGACTTAGACGACTTCTATTTTATTTTATTTTCGTTTAGCTTTCAAGCCATTTGTGGATCACTGTATGCTTGTGAGTGAAAAGATTGGAATTTAATGATGAGCACAGACCACTCGCATCGTGTGAAAACACAAACTAAAAATTAAAAATAACCTTTTAGGGTCTGTCTTTAATGATCCTATTGACAGCCACATTTATGGTCAAGTCTTTAACGCTGCTAGTGGCAAGAAGGAGCCTGCTGCCCACAACGCAGCTATTACATTCTACATTGCTGTCGGTAGGTTTTATCTTTTTGTGTTTTTTTTTCCTCAAAGTGGCTAAGACAAATATAATACATACCGATTGCTGAGTATTATTATTGATCGTGCTCAACAATATGGAAAAATATATATATATAAAATAAAAAAAAAAAAAAAAGGTTGCTTCGGCCTATCTGCAGCGATCAATGGCCCTTGGCTAGAACGGAATGGCCCCAAATTGGCTGCGACTGCGGGAGCATCGATCTTCTTTATGGGAAACATGATTGCTGCGATTGGAATGTATACCAAGATTGTATACCTCTTATACTTTGGCTATGGAATCCTCGGTGGAGCTGGCTTAGGACTTTGTTACATCTCGCCTGTCTCTGCTTTACAAAAGTGGTTCCCGGACCGCCGCGGATTGGCTGCAGGGTTCGCAGTCTGTGGATTTGGAGCTGGCTCCATCATCTTGGCAAAAATACCTCAACCGTTGATCTCGGCTGTGGGCCTACCACTCACATTTGTAATCTTGGGATGCTGTTATTTCGCTGCGATGTTACTCTGTACTGTTGTCTTCCGAGTACCTCCACCTGGGTTCCAGGTCAATGGAATGGATATGTACAGAAACAAAGTGGGAGCAAAGGAAGTGAATGAAAACGAAGTTAGTAGAGAAGATGCTACCACCATTGAGAGAAATGACCTAGAAACTAATGCAGATGAGAAGGCTGCTCAGGATTTCAAGGATCCAGGATTGAAGATGGTCTTGAGTTCAGCCATCTTTTCAAAGGAGTACCGCATCATCTATATCATGTTCTTTGGGAACTCAATCGCCGGATTAGTCTTTCTTTCTCGTCTTGCTAACATCGTCAAGGATATTTTCGGAAAGGATGAGGCCACTGCAGCAACAATTGTGGCCATCAATGGTGGCTTTAATTTGGGTGGACGTCTCTTCTTTTCGACTGTCTCGGACCGTCTGGGACGTAAAAGCTCATTCTTTGTGATGTTATTTTCGCAGGTAGTGATTATAGCAACACTACCAATAGTCATGGAGCGTCAGCTCTACTGGGCATTCTTGTTGATGATTTGGGTCCTGACAACCTGTTATGGCGGTGGGTTCGGATGCATTCCAGCGTTCCTTTGTGATATGTTTGGTCCATCAAATATCGGAGCCTTGCATGGGATTATTCTCACAGCATGGTCACTAGCAGGAGTTGGGGGAGGATTGTTGTTTACAGGAATCTATAACCAATTGCTTAATTCAGGCCGATATACGACCAAGGATATCTATATATACTCTGCAAACCTGCATTGGATCTTGGGAGTCGCCTGTGTTGGGTTCGTGTTCCTGTTGTTTGTGGGAACTAATGTTCATGATCGATTGTTGCCGAAGGATGAGGGGGAGTTTGCAAGGATTAGGATCTTTGGACGGTTAATCAGGATCGGAACATTTGGATTCAGAGTGTTAACTAAGGATGAAGAGGACTTTGAATGGGTTGAATATGTAGACAGAAGGCGACAACAAGAGGCAGCGGCAGCAGCAGCAGCAGCGGAATCGAGGGCACTCATTGCTGACTAAAAAAAAAAAAAAAATTTTTTCAAGTCATCTTCGTTTAGATTGTTTTTTCCCGCTAGTCTAGTCTATCAAAGTACCTAAATAATCTCGCATAAAGAAAAAAAACGTTTTTTTTTTTTTTTTTTTTTTTTTTTTTATCGCATAAGATCAGCAACGTCAAGTGACCCCTTGGATCTGTCCTCTAGTCCAGGGAACATTTCACATACGGATACGGGTCATGATATCACCTTGTTGTATCGTAATTGATTCTTTGACACATGAAAAAGAAAAGAAAATTAAAGAAAAAGGTATTCACACGCGCCTTCTTTCCTTCTCAATAGGTCCTTTCAGCAAAAGGAGATGGGAGCAAAAATAAGTGAGTCCTCAGGGGGAGAAAAAGCGTTGATGATTGTTGACCTTTCATGACAATCGCTGCTCAGGATAGCGATGCTCCGGTGTACCGGTGTAATGATACCTATTCAAGGAAAATTATATAAAAATACAAACAATGCTTTTTGACATAATTTCTAACTGTTCTAATTGATAGACACTATTTTTTTTATTTAGTCTGGCTTAAGAAAGAGAGGCTCTAGTCTAATGTTTGGAAAGGAATGAATTATACGCCAGGGCCATGATTGCTTGATTTGAAAGAATAAATAGCATGGCTGTTTCAACACATAATTTTTTTTTTTTTGAATCTTAGTCATTCCTTGTTCCTGAAAACCAAGACAGGGACCGTGACCCAATAAACTTTGCTTCCCTTGCCCTAATTGGATGTGTTAAAAATAACCGTCTCGCTCACATTTCAATTTTCCCCTGTCTTCTCAGTGAGAACATTGATTTTTAATATATTATACTTTCAATGATCAAAACAAGTCTGGTCAGGCCAAAGTCGTGGCAATAGTCATGGTGTATGCGTTTACTTTTTGGATAGAGAGATAGAAGGGCGCCATGCGTTAACAACCCGTGGCCACGCCATGGTCACATAAAGAGGGCATTTCCCCCCTTTTCCCCTTCCTCCTTTTTTTTCTTTTACATCCAAAGACATTGACCCTTCACTTGATTATTACTGCTTATCATTACTGGTATTGTTTTTCTCCTCCATCTGCGTCTTTCTTTTTGTTCTCTTTCTCTCCATCTCTCTGTCTCTCTCACTCTCTCTCTTCTTTGCTTTAACTAGCCCATCCATATTTCTTTTGCTCTCATAAAAAAAATCACTTCAGCTCATCATCAACCTCTTTTTACGTCTACATTCCATTCCATTCCATTCTCAACTTCACCTTCACCCGCATCCTCATCCACACTCCCACTCTCACCTACACCCTTATTCATACACTAACTCATCCACCTGTCTTCTTTCATTTCATTTTATTTTTCCTTACTTCCTTCTCTTTGGCCTCTCCTCTACTGCTTTGACCGTAAGTTTCTTATTTCTTATTCAACCAGCTTTGCACAAGCGGTAACATGCCCACTGTTAGCATAACCAACAAAACAGTAGTAACTATCACTCACTTGCAGCTCTGGCTAAAAAAAAATGCTGGTGTGCTTGGTGTTCTGGTGTGTGTGGCTCTGGCACTTTTTATCAGTCTATTGTTTCCAGGGATGGCTTAGTGGAGAAAGAATACAATCAAGCGTTTTACGCCTTTCCTTTTTGAGACCATGTTTATTGCAATAATTGATTGTGCTCTCAGGATCTAACCCCATTATTCAGGAGCTACAGCTCACAATCAATCAACTGTAATCAATTCATATCATACTTCTACACTATGATATCTACATGCCTCATGCTTCATACCTCATGCATATTGCATACACAGAGCTATTATACATTATTGTTAGAAACAACACACGTGCATGCTGTCGATATTCTACCATAGCCACAACCTCTGGGCTGTAGGCGGGAATAAAAAAAGGCATACATTTTCTTTTTCCCCCTAACCAACTCAGTGGATTCAGTGAAATGATATGGAGCCCAGTGGAGCCCACTGAAAGTGGGCTTAATTAATTGTCCGATGACATTTGCATCGCTACAGTAGCTCTTCTAGATGACTTTCTCTTTCATTCAAAAAAAAAGGTGCCGCGCATAACGCTTGTGTTCAGATTCTCAATCCAATATTTTTATATGTTTACTCATGTCTAGTTGAATGACGTTCTATATTACTTTCAGTATGACAAAGAGGCTAAACAGACGGGGTGCTCATAATAAGTCAGGGCTGTTGGCTACAGTCTTGATGGCCATTGTTGGGCTCCTTAGCCAAAAGAGTGTCTCTGCAGAATCATGTACTCCTTGTGGAATGGCCGAGGACATTCTCAAGCCTTGTAATGCCACACTAGAAATTGAACACTGGCCTGGCAAGTTCACATACCAGTAAGTACTATCGTTTTAATTGACTCTCTTCATGGCCTAGAAAAAGAAAAAAAAAAGATAATGATGGGTTCGTCTTGCTAGTTAATGGTCTGTTCATTGATAGGACTTTTTTTTCAATCACGCGTTTTATAGACCAACTAGAGAACAAGCTGTGTGTGCATGCAACGAGAACTACTATGTCCAGGTAAACGCGACACGCGGGAAATTGCTCGAGAAATTTAGTGGCGACCAATGGGATGAACCGCTTAAGCTACTTTTTTTTTTTTTTTTTTTTTTTTTTTTTAACATCTTCTTTTTCTTTTGGACAACCAACTAGATGACAGCATGTGTGAAATGTCAAAGCTCATCGAGTGCCCATCTCAGCATTAAACCTCTTGCAGAGTATCAAGACGTTTGCAAGAGTTTTGGTGTGTTTGATTTCCCAAAGGTGCATATGCCCACCACTTCAACAAGCATTGCGTCGACCCAGACGACTACATCTACATCTACACCTACGTCTGATCAGAGTAATTCAGGATCGACGGCCCGCAGTGGACTATCCTCTGGAGCTGTCGCTGGAATGTAAGGAAGTAAACCTTGCGATGGCTTGAGCTCTACCTGAAATGTGTATGAAAAAGTTTTAAACTGATCGCTTTTTTTTACATGAATGGTTGTTGATCGTACATTTTTTTTATGTTTGTGTCGTTTATTTTGACAGTATTGTCTCAGCAATTGCACTGATCGTAGCACTATCAGTTGCAGGATATGTCTATACACGAAGGAGGCGTGAGCTTGCTAAGCAGAAGGAAGATGACGATCTGTATAAATATCAGGAAAACAGTCGTCAGTCATACATGGAATCACCGTTGCCCCAATACACGGGTATCCAATCCTCGTTACCAAGCCTTCCTCAACTTACGTATGTTCTTTTTCCCTTTTCCTTTTCTTTTGAAAGTGGCCCAAGTTGTACGAAGAATTATTGATGGATGACTAACTGAGTTTCATATGAATATCTATTTTTATTTTTATAGAAACCTACGTGTCATGAATCCTGACAATGATGAAGATGAGATTTTAAACAGTGGTACAAGGTTCCCGAACGCTAGCAATGTAGATGCCCCACGGACGTCATCTCCAGGATGGCGTCGTGGCAGCTTTGATGATGACTGAGAAGATTCCTGATGTGCTTCCTTTTTGTTTACTAATTGATCTGGAATCAAAAAAAAAAAAAAAGTCTAATAAGCATTTCATACATTTATAAACAAATAACAAATCTTTGATTTTTAAGTTATAATTGACTCTCTGTAGTAGTCCTAATAAGCATTGCCCACCTTACATTATTATCATAACTTTTTATATATACAAATCTAATTTTTTTATTTATGATTCTTCGCTTTGTCCCCTTCAGTAATCATAAAGTGCACCATGCCTTGAAAAAAGAAAAAAAACAAAGTGGTAGCGTGATATAATTTCTATGGTTATAATTGACTCTTCGTTTATAAGTTGAATGTGATGAGCATTGTCGTGGGCTTGAAAAAAAAGAAGAAATGTTACGTACATATATATATATTTAAATGTTTGTATCCGTGTTTCCATGTGTCCATGGGATGATCTTTAAAGCACATGGAAAAAAAAAAAAATCTATTGACACGTGATAGTAAAAGAGGTTCCAATGCCCTCTTTCGCTTGGTCATCTTTTTTTTTTTTTTTTCTTTGAGAGAATAGATGCGAAGCAATGATTGATCTTATCCTTTACAGACTTACAGATGTGTCCGTTGGGTATTTCCCCTTCCTGATTCCAAGTTACGCTGATTTCATTTTATAAAAGATATTGCCTATGAATCGACACGATAGATAGCGGTGAGATGATGTTCATTTGAAACAAAAAAAAAGAAAAAGTTAAATAAATGGTCGGTGAATATGACAGTCGGGTCGTACATGATTAAAGTGTTGCATCTTTTTGTCCGCTCGGGTAGAGAAAAGGATGTTTTTTGTAAAAGGATAAAAAGAGTGTGGGGATGATGAATTTTTGTTACACACAAATGGAGACTTGGAGGGAAAGCTTTATAATGGTTTGGACTAAATGATCCATATACCAGTGTACAGTATGAATGTAGTATGGGATGCGTGCTTCGGATGTTCGCTTTGCCATGTGCCGTGTGGGATTAGTTCGTCTCCTGTCCGTTACGTTCAATGGTCTTTTTAAAAAAGGTTTTAATGATCGAAGAAAAAATTACACCCGTGCCGTGTAAATGTTCTTGTGCCGTGTTTGTATAAAGTGTCTCTAGCTTTTTTCCCCTCCTCCCCCCTTTCTTCCTTCTCCCTTTTTCTTTTCATTCCTCTCCATTCATCTATTTCATTCATTTCATCTTTAGCTCATTCTCTTTTATTTTCCGCTCTTTTTATTTTTCTCTTCCAACTCGACTCACATAACAAAGTATCATGGCTGGTGAGAATCTTCGTTTTGATGGACGTGTCGTGATCGTGACCGGTGCTGGTGGTGGACTCGGTCGATCCCACGCTCTTGCTTTCGGTGCCCGTGGTGCTTCTGTGGTCGTGAACGATCTCGGAGGCTCTACCACTGGTGAGGGTTCTTCGACCCGTGCCGCTGATGTGGTCGTGGAGGAGATCCGAGCTGCAGGAGGCAAGGCCGTGGCTAACTATGACTCTGTGCTTGATGGTGAAAAGATCGTGGAGACTGCAATGAAGGCCTTTGGCCGTGTTGATATCGTCATCAACAATGCCGGTATTCTTAAGGATGTCTCGTTCGCTCGCATGACAGATCAACAGTGGAGTCTCATCTTTCAGGTCCACGTCGATGGTGCCTACAAGGTCCTCAAGGCTGCCTGGCCCATCTTCCGCAAGCAAAAGTTTGGACGTATCATCAATACCAGTAAGTCTCTGAAAAAAAAAAAAAAAAAAAAAAAGACATGCAATTTATAAGGCTAAAAAAAAAAAAAAAAAAAAAATGTATACTCACATTATGGATATGGATCCTACCATTCTTCATATTCAATAATTCAAATAGCTTCTGCTGCTGGTCTTTACGGGAACTTTGGTAAGAGAAAATGTCACTTTAATCACAAGGGCAGAATTTTGGTTCTTCGTCCATTGTGTTTAGCTGGCATATCAATTGTTAATAGCTTTTACAAGGGAATCATGGGTATGGGTGTAGTCAACGATGAAGTTACTGACTATATATGATTGCTTTTTTTTTTTTTTCCTCTTTGCTCTACAGGTCAGGCTAATTACTCTGCTGCTAAGCTTGCTTTGGTTGGTTTGACCCAGACTTTGGCTCTCGAAGGAAAGAAGGACAACATTACCTGCAACGTCATCGCTCCCATGGCTGCTTCTCGCATGACCGAGACTATTCTTCCCCCAGATATGCTTGCTTCCTTGAAGCCAGAGATGGTTACCCCCTTGGTCGAGTACCTCTGTCACGAGGAGACCACCGAAACTGGCTCCATTTTCGAGATTGGTGCCGGGTTCGTTGGCAAGCTTCGCTGGGAGCGCACTGGTGGACATGGCTTCCCCATCAACAAGGACTTGTTGCCTGAGCACATCAAGGAGATGTGGTCCAAGATCACCGACTTTAATGATGGTCGCACCACTCACCCTACGTCAACTTCAGAGTCCATGGAGAGCATCATGGCCAACTTTGAAAATACTGCTAGCGACTCAGGAGCTGGTAGCGGTAGCACTAAGGTCCTTTCAGACGATGGCAAGGTCAATGTTGACGCTGCAAAGGCACTGAAGTTTGAGCCAGATGTTTTCACGTACACTGAGCGTGATGTTATTCTCTATAACTTGGGCATTGGTGCCACTCGCAAGGATCTCCACCTCGTCTATGAGAACAATGAGTCCTTCGGCCCTGTCCCTACCTTTGGTGTGATTCCTTCCTTCACCTCCATGAACTCTATTCCTTTTGGTGAACTTCTTCCTTCGTTCAACCCCATGATGCTTCTTCACGGTGAGCAGTACCTTGAGATCATCAAACCCTTCCCCACGAGCGGCAAGTTGACTTCCACTCCTTATATTGTTGATATGTTGGACAAGGGCAAGGGATGTGTCTTGACTATTGGTGTCAAGACTACCGATGAGAATGGCGAGGATGTTTGCGTCAATGAGTATACTATGTTCATCCGTGGCTCCGGCGGCTTTGGCGGCAAGAAGGAGGGCACTGACCGTGGAGCTGCTACTGCTGCCAACCAGGTCCCCAACCGTAAGCCCGATCATGTCGTCCAGGAGAAGACCCACGAAGATCAGGCTGCTCTCTACCGTCTTTCCGGTGACTGGAATCCTCTGCACATCGACCCTGATATGGCCGCTGTCGGTGGCTTTGAAGTCCCAATTCTTCACGGTCTCTGCTCATTCGGTATTGCTGGTAAGCACATCTTCAAGACCTACTGCAACAACGACCCTGCCTCGTTCAAGAACATCAAGGTCCGCTTTGCCAAGACTGTCAACCCCGGTGAGACTCTTGAGACCTCCATGTGGCGTGAGGGTAATAAGGTCATCTTCCAGGTCCGCTCTGTGGAGCGCAATCAGGTCATCATCTCGAACGCCGCTGTCGAGCTGCAGGGTGAGGCCTTGAAGGCTGCTACACCCGCCGCTGCTGCCGCTCCTGCTGATGCCCCTGCTGCTGGTGGCGACTTCAAGTCTGCTGCTGCATTCGAGCAGATTAAGGCTGGTATTGATGCCATGTCCTCAGCCGATCGCCAGGCCCAAGTTAAGAAGGTCAAGGCTATCTTCCAATTCGACCTTACGAACGAGGCTGGCCAGACTGCAACCTACCACGTCGATCTCAAGAATGGTGAGGGATCTGTTGGTGCAGGTCCCGCCAAGAGTAAGCCCGATGTTGTGATTAGCACAAAGGATGATGTCTTTGTTGATCTCGCCTCCGGAAAGGCCAATGCCCAGAAGCTGTTCATGTCTGGACAAATCAAGGTCAAGGGTCAGGTCATGCTTGCCACCAAGCTTGGTGATATCCTCAAGGCCAACAAGTCTAAGTTGTAAAAAAAAAAAAAAAAAAAAAAAACTCTTAATTTAAGCTTTAATGTTCTTCCAAAAATTTTTTGTAAGAAAAAAAAAAAGACACCCGTCTTTATTTTTTGTATTCTTTGCACTCTTTTTTCTCTTTGAATAAAACCAGAACTTGTACATATAAGAAGTGGTCCTCTTTTCCTAATGATCTTTGCAGCTAATGAAGTAGAAATTTATCAAAAATCTTTAATGTAACAGGCGTTCTGTAAAGTATGCAGCAACTTTCCCATCTCTGTGCAAAATTGTAGTTACAACCAGATTTTCTTAGAGCCTGTTGTGAGTTTTTAAGGGTCAACATTTTTTTTTTGAAATTTTTCTGTCACACAAACCGCAGGGAGTTTTTTTTTTGTCGAAGTCGAGCAGATCGTTGGAGAGTTTCGCACAAAAACTAACTCTCATTCCCTTTGAGGATATTCGCCAAGAGCTTAAGATCGTGATCAAGATAGAAGAACGTAGAAGAACGTCAAGATTGCATCCTAATTGCTGGTACTGGATGGGGGGAGATGTTGATCTACTTCTCCCTCTAATACTTTGGCCAGAAACCACCATACTCATTGTTACGTCACTCAAGGTGTTAGGTCGAAAACCTGGTATCAGTAGGCATCGATAGCATTCATTTTAAGAGAAGGATTCCGATCCAAAGCTTGATAAAAGTACATTATTAAGCCATATTTATTTCACCAGAGATCCTCTTTGCGAGCAATGCGCCCAGTACACTTTGAATCGATCGGTGTCGGAGGAGCCGATTGCAGTAGTTGTGGATGAGGCACACTGCATTGGGACATGAGGTGGAAAATTCAGAACCGATTACGAGAAACTTGGATATCTGCGCTGTTTCTGCTACTTTACCGTCTCAGTTTCTATCGAATGTCAATGGTAATACGTTTCAAAGAACCCTTACGTGGTCAAAGCTGGTAATGACAGGAAGAACATCGAATACATTGTGAGATGGTTTCAACACCCATCAAATTCATTTCAGGATTTCAACCTTTGAAAGATAGAAAGAAAAGCATTTTGTACTTTCAAACGAGAGATGAGGTTGACTGTGCTCTCCAGTCTTTCAGATGTATTATAGGGGGCGCCAACGTCGCTGGCAATCATTCTGGCAAGTCGGATTCTAAAAAAAAATAAAAATAAAAATAAAAAAAAAAAGCAGCTAATGGAGCAGTTCAAGGGCAATATCATTGATGTCTTGATGTCAACCGAGGCGGCAGGCATGTGGTATGACCCACTGATGTTCTGTACGTGGTGCAGTATGGTTATCTTGGCAACCTATCATCAATTATCCAGCGCCTTGATCGGGCAGCACGCAGCCCGGCACTTCGGGACGAAGGAATATTGCTTACCACAGCCAGAGCTCCAGGGAGAGCCGAAGACGACATCAAGGACTATGTCCATGCTCAGAGTTGTCGTCGAATATTTTTAAATGGATTTTTCGGCAATGATTACAATGATATTGAGAACTGCTGTGATAATTGTGATCCCGATACACAAGAGTCTTCACCACCACTGGAGACCACATTAGACATGAAGATGGTCGACGTAGAACCTAGTAAGCAATCAACCGACATAGAACCTGGCGAGCAGTACCTGAAAAAGAGGGTATGGTACAAACAATTACTGCCTGGAGAGACAGTGCGTTCAACAACGATTACAGAGGCAAATACCTATTTTTGGGAAGGATACTATCATGTCGGACGACAGGATCAAGAAGCTTGCTAGCAAGAGTGTTGGTATTATGACACCAGAATCGATTTTTGTTGCTACTGGTTGGCTGTTTCCTAGGACTGAATACGCACTGGCATTGTGCAAAATAATAGTAGATTTGAACGCAGACACCGTATTAAAGAGGCAGGCAACAAGTGGTCGATTATCACCCGAGGAACAAAATTCCCAAGCACTGCAACGGCAAATGACGTACCTACGCCAGACTAGGCACTTTAATTATATAACATCAAAGGATGTACAACCGCTTCAGCACTTTTTAAAGGTACTAGAGAAACCATCAGTACGAGATCGGCTTCAAAGGTCACCACTACAAGAGCTACTGTAGCGTCTCCTAGAGCCATTTTTGAATCTCCCAGAGTCACAGGTAGATTATAAGGCATTGCCTCAAAGATCAGAGCCGCATCGGCGGCTTGTGCAAGTATGTAGAGATATGGTTGTGGCACGCGTAGGAAGGGATCTTATAGCAGTAGAACAAGGGGAGTTACGGTGTTGGCAAGAGCACCATTTCTTCAATAGCTCGGAGGAGGGTGAAGTATTGTGGACAGAGCTCCTAAGAAAGTACTGGAGAATGAGTTGGTGCGGGTATTGCTGGTACATCCGCCATTGTAACAGCTACTACCGAGGCCACCATCATAGTAGTAGCCTTGCTGGGGGCAAGAATCAGTGAATATGCGTGCCTGCAGTTCTCTTTTATGAATACGGGCAGTATTTCGAAGAGATCATGGTTTAGGAAGCATTGTCTTCAGCATCCGTCGTAGCAGGTTTCCTCATATAGTATGTCTTTACCAATGTGTTTTAATATATTTGAGGGAAAATGGAAAGGAAGAGATACTTCCTTTAAAAGCATACCAGACGCAGTTCTGAATTCAACATTCATAAGCCCTATGTTTACTCATCGCCCTATTTTTCAATTGTGAGATCTAGGATGATGTTGCTTCTAACAGCCAGGATCAAACTAAAAAGACTTGCAGTTGGAAATTATCTACCATACTCAACAGCGAATACTCGAGAATGATGAGACTCTCGCGATTTAATAACACAAGATATAGGATATTTACTAAAGGTGCTGGAGGCCTGCTGGGATTCAAGAGGACTGGTGGGCCCACAATCATCGTTACTTGGTCCCGATTGTCCTGTGTATATCTAGCATTGAATGCACGTCGTTCGCAAGCGAACGGTTCGATCATTCGGCGATAACTTTGCCATTTGGATGGGACTCTTTCTTTTTTAACAATGCACAGAAAAGTATTTTTCATTTTATAACGAGACAGCAGCTTTTTTTTTCTCAGGTAATGGTTTATTTGAAGGAAAAAAAAAAAAAAAAAAAAAAAACGAAGCAAGGTAGAACAACTTCCGCAAAACCTGTGATCGTGGAGTAAACAGCTATGATGGATATCGTCATTCGCTAGATCTAGGCGATCTTGGAGGTGTAGCAGCAGTTCGGACAAAAGGCTTCACAAGTATGCCAGTCGAGTCCCTTTTAGTCTGGGTCCATCGGGTAATGTCTTGCGACAGTTTTTCTAATCGGACCTTTAAACAGTAGAGGCTTGCTACCAATGATGTATTGTAGTGGACATAATACCTTCTTCGTCCCAGGTTGGTGGAAAGGAAATACTTCTCTCAACGCACACCCTGTAAAACCTGCCGCCCAGGAATTGGAATGTTAAATATGAAATTGGGGGGCCAGAAATTAAAATCCCAAACAAAACCAGCTACAGGCTTGATATCATCTGAGCACTTGCCACAAACAGCGTCGAACATGTCCTTCATCAATTTCGCAAGTTTGCGTCCATCTGTCATGATTTTTGTGCCTGATGGTCCAATGTCTACTTCCCCGGTCTCAATTCTATATAGTTCCAAATGCGTGGCTTTAGAGGCGATGGTTCCATCAGTTCTCTTCCCCCGCTACTGGCTATTCGAAGAGGTACGGTCAAGGTTTTTACGTACTGTTGAAGCTTTTGAGGTGAACTCTGCTTGATATTCAACATACTTGTCGCGAAAGACCCTCGGTAAGAATCCCCATAATGTATAACGTACTATGCTGATTTTCCATCTGACATCACGAAATTGCAATCTTTATAAAAATAATAGATATCGTTCATCACGGAGTGTAGTGGTCCTCTGAAATCATTTACAGCACCTTTGGGATTATCCAACGAGTCAGCCCTCCCGATGAATGGCAGAATTTGCGATGGCGCAACCAGGAACTTATCAAGCTCGTCATTTTTTCAGCGAGGCAATGTCATTGTTGTTTGTGAGATATTATCCATTTCACTGACTTTTTCCTGGATCTGCTGCATGTCTTGTCGAACAACTGAAGTGTGGTTTCCATCGAGTCAATTACAAAAGAATGCATTGTTGATTCCGTATTCAAACCTTAGATATACTGACAGATGGTCCCACCAAAGTCTGTTCCTGACAATAGTTCCCAGAATGGCCCATTAAACTGTTTAGAGTTTTTTATAAACCTGTCTTCCATATCGATGAGTGCATTAGGGTTTAAGGAGCCCTTTGACGAGCAAGGTAAACAGCTAAGAAGTAATGGCTGCGGTGCACTTGAGTTTGACGTAGTATCATCTATATCAGTTGATGACGCCAATTCCTCTGAGGCAGGTCATTGGTTAATAGTGGGACTTGGTGTTGGCATATTACAAGAAATCAGAGCATTCAAGTGTGCGGCCTTGACAGAAGATGACCTCGAACGTAGCACTCGAGTGGATGGCTCCATGACGGCTTTGCGTTCTAATAGAATGATGAGAAGAAAAGAGATTTCAAAGAGAAATATCTTGCTTGAATAAACGAATTATGCAGTAGGCAAATTAAACCTTACTTTCATTTGACTCTAGCCACGTGTGGATGAGATGCCTATCTGATGCACTGACAGGTGCATCAATACAACATTTTTTCTTTAGTCCTGAACACGATAAAAAATTCAGCATGCTTCCTGAATATGGACTCCAATGGGTAACAGATGACAAAATAACAGGTTCGTCACAATGAGAATTTAGCTGTTACACCAAAATGCTTTGCCCAATTTCTATATTGTTCTTTGCAGAAGAACTACATCCTCAACAATAATAAACCATTGATCATACCCTAGCTTTATTGCCCCCCCCCCCCCCCCCCCCCAACTACCAGTGTTACTTTTGCACACCCTCACTAAGCCCATCATAACAATAAAAAAACACGACGATAGTCGATGGGATTGAGCAATAATTATGGACTTAGATTTTTTAATTAATAAAAGTCAACCAAGCAGAGACAATGAGAGAGAGAATAACGAGTTTTTGCAACCTCGTTTTTTACATCAATTTTACATCGGGAAGTGAAAAATGCTTGTCTACCTTTTAAATGTATTTTTTTTTCAGTGCTCAAAGTCATCATGGCACATTCCTTCCTCGCCGTTTGAACTCAAGCGTGCACTGTGTTATGGTACTCGTATGATTGTATGTGTTGTTTCACTCATTTATTCATTACTTTTTTTTTACTTGCGGTTAGTGAGGATACCGTCAAAACGCTGCTTGAACCAGTTCATGGTCTCGTCCTTGGTGACACGGTGCTTAAGACCGATTTTGGCAACAGCGCGACGACGCTTGGTGATACGGTTACCAGGGCGGTTCATGCAGACGAAGAAGTCCATACCGTAAATACCAATGGAGGGATCGTACTTGATACCCAAATCAATATGTTCCTGGATACCGAAACCAAAGTTACCAGTCTCTGAGAAGTTTGACTTCTTGAGCTCATATTCCTTGACTTTGAGACCACGTTCCAAGATCTCCTCAGCCTTGGGTCCACGGACAGTGACATGGACAGCGATCTTTTCGTTACGACGGATACCAAAAGTACGGACAGTGTAACGGGCCTTGGAATAAACAGGGGTTTGACCAGTCAACTGTTCCAACACCTTGGCAGCACGGGTAAGTCTGTCTCCGGATTCACCCACACAGATGTTGAGAACCAACTTCTCGAGGCGCAACTCGCGCATCACGTTCTTCTGTTGGTTGGTCTGATCTTCGGCGGACTAAAGAAGAAAAGGAAAAAGGATAGAATCCAAAATATGGACGAATATGTTATTAAGGCTATCCTTTTTTTTTTTTTTTTTTTTTTGCCTCGTTCTTTTGTCGCTTCAAAATAATGAGATTCTCTCCTGTCCTGTTCCAGTCCTGTCCCTATTATCAATTTGCTTTTTCTTTTTTTCTTCTTCTTTATTACTAAAGATCCGTATTTTTCCCTCTGTCCAGTTGAAAAAATAGGTGCCAGAGTGTTGCAGTATTGTGGCTACTGGTTTATTTTCATTATGTCCATCTGTAACAGCCTTTTTTTTTTTTTTTTTTTGTGAGAAATCCTTAACGATGTTTTGTCTGAATTACAAGTTTGCAAAAATAAATAAAATAGTGAATCCTGTCGACATCCTCTTTTTTTTTTTTTTTTTTTTTTTTTCCTTTTAACGAATTAAATCCATTAGAAAGGTTTGCCGATGATTGAGATGTCATAGATTGAATGATTTGAATCCTGTCATGAGGAAAGTATAAGAGCTTCCTGTGATATCTGATGGTAACAGATAGTTGTTTCATTTTGATGGATGCATGGATGATCAAAATATCCTCTGTATCCATTATCCATCACTATTGAGAGGTCTGTACCATTCTGAATCTTAATAACAGCGAAAGAAGGAGCTTGGTCCACAGCGAATTATTCTTCATAAATTTTGAAGATCACGTGTAATCTTTGTAAAGACGATTGGATCAAGCCTCCCACTTCAACAATTAAACAGTGCTTGATATTTGTGGTGAAGCACACTTTTCAGCAAAATTTGAACATTGATAATGCTGAGGCAAAACACAGTGGTGAACTGAAGAGCGTATGATGAGATATAGGATCAATTGGAAGCAAGGAGAAGTGTTATGTGTACATTTATAAGCAAGGAGACATGACTTTTTTTCATTATTATTATTAAATATATGATACATGTGTATGATACTCATGTGTAAGCTGTGCAAATACACCAAAGTATATATATATAAATATGGATAATTGATGAATAGGATGTTTTTTTAAAAAAGATAAAACTGTTGATGTGTATGTGCGTAGATCATTGCCAAGGCTAAGAAGCCAAGAGTTGAGAGAGCACAGGCGTAGGCGCAGACGTACGACGTGGCATATTTCGTGCCTGACTGAGATCTAATATCCACTTCAATACATTGCACAATAAAAAAAAAAAAAGGGCGTGACATTTGTGTGTCTTCTTTTTTCTTTCTTTCTTTTTACTTTGTTCTCCATCAACACCTCTAGCCCTAAAAAACTAAACTACACATCTCCATTCATTTTCTTTCATTCATTTGTTCATCCATTTGTTCATTCATTCAATAGTTGACACATAATCAATATAATATTTAATTGTATCACAACCATGGCAGCACCTGCTTACACTACTCTTCCAACAAACCCTTTCACAGGCGGATTCCCTTCCTCAGAACAGGCCTCCGCTGCTGTCTCATCCGCCTCTTCCTTCGGTCTTGGTTATCTTCAGAAACTGAAAGAGGAGCGTCTCTCATCCTTGCGACCCTTTTCAGAATTCTTTGACAAGAATAGGTTCTCTTGGCCCAATGGCTTTTCAAGTAAATTTCTTTTTGTGATATCATTCCTTCTGAAGCTGGATAGCTGCATCTTGTCTGTATATGCAAATGATTGGTTAGTTAACCTATTCTTTTTTAAACAAAATAGGCATTACTTCAAGATTCAACTACAATCTCAACTACTTTCAAGGAAACTATCTTTTGATGTTCATTGCCATTACAGCTTACAGTTTGTAAGTCTCTCTCTCTCTCTTTTTTTTTTTTTTTTTTTTTTTTTTTTCAAATATCTTCTGGGGTTGATGTTATTGTACTCGTGGAAAAAGCACGAAAACATGCATGTGAATGTTATTGGACCCTCTGGTGATTGAACAATACTGAACCCTTTTTTTTTTTTATTTTTTTATTTTTTTTATTAATGTTTCTTCTTTTAGGTTGACAAATCTCTTGTTATTGTTCAGCGTTGTGTTCGCAGTTGGAGGTTGGTTTGGACTTCAAAGGGTCCCACCAGAAGGTATCACCATTGGACAGGCCAGATTCCTTCCAGGCCAACTCAAAACAGCCTTGATTGGTATCTCTGTAGTTCTTTTCTTCATCAGCTCAACCATTGGCACTGTCTTTTGGATCATTGGTAAGTTTTTTTTCCCTTTTGTCCTGATTTGTTAATATTTACGACTTTAACGAACTGGGAACACAGTAAGATATTTATTTTTGGTCCGTACATATATATTTTTTCATAATATTAATCACTCTAGGTGCCAGTGCAGTAACCATCTTGGGACATGCTGCAGTGATGCAGGAAGGCGTAGAAGGCGATTTTGCTGCTGTTGTTTAAAGATATACTATTTTTGCTCTATGATATTGCATCTTTTTCTTATTAAAAACATCAATCAAAATGTAGTGATGGTATTGAGTTTTTTTTTTTTTTTTTTTTTTTTTTTGTTTGCTTATCATAGTAGTTCATCATTGATCGTGTGTATACATTATTGGTTGGGACTAGGGCCTAAATAACTTTGTCGTATCGTGTCATGTCGTCTGTTTTTTTTTTTTTTTTTTTTTTTTTTTTTTTTTCAATGGAAAGTGGCATTATTTAGCCATTCTCTGAACACGGGAGAGTTCAAGAGGAGTAATGCAGCTGTGCCAATAGAAGCAGCTGATACAGCAACCATAGTGAGCATATTTTTGCGGTATAAATCCAATGCATTCTTGGGGTAGTTGGAAAGCGCAGAGGTTCCGTTGGTTCTTTTGACTCGAGGGCTGCCCAACAATTCATCGATGGGCTCGAAATCAACTGGAGTTGAAAAAGCCTTTTCATCGACATTGTCGTAAAGACTTGTCTTTGGCTTATTGAATGTATTTACGCAAGAGCTAAATTGTATAGTATATAAAGTTAAGACGCGTTTCCTAAGAAGATAATTTCGGAATAGAAGTAATCAAACTTACTTTTCATCTAGCCAATTTTGAGCCAAATTTTGAAGCTTCTCGGGAGGATAGGTCATGTACATCTGGTGGGCATGCGATATTATCAGTTCTATATCCACGTTTTTTGGGAACTTTGTCAAAAACGTGTGGACCATAGCATTATCACATTCGACCTCAAATAATTCCTCTCTTCGTGATATCACCACCTAATTCAAGGGAAAAAAAAAAAAAAGTCCTCACCACCCTTTATTAGCTAAAACAAAAAAAAAAGAGTGGACCCGATGTCTAAAAAATTCAGATATACTTACAGCAGCAGCAAGATAAATAGACATGAGTGGATTGAAACACAATAAAAAATCATATATCCGTGCGATCTTTTCAAAATCCTGAAGATCGTGAGAACACCATGTGATGACCCAGCTCAACGGGAAGAATGGAAGCGTTTCTGACCTAAAGTGGCGAAATAATAACAAAAAAAAAAAAAAAAGAAAACAGAGATGCGAGGAAATGGCGTTAACCATCCTTTATGTAAAAGAACACTACATGTAGATGTTCGAGACTTTACCTGTCAAGAAACTCTTGCACCTCAGGGGCTTCTGTTTTGAGTAAGGTTGTCATCAATGACAGTTGATCGAGTACCGGCTCCAAGTTATTGAGCATACAGTCCCTGAAAAAGAACATGGCCATACTTTCTGCTGCCATTGTAGCAGCCTCTTTGCCCAAAACTATCATTAAACACGTGCAAACATCATGAAAGCCCTAGTTGTCCGCAATGAACGAAGAAAGCAAGAAAGCGTGATCAGCCAAAGAGGAAGCATGGATACCATTCAGATGAAGAGTATTTTTTTTTTTTTTTTTTTTTTTTTTAGTGCATGGACTTTGAGTTATGAGCTTACTTGGTAGTAAGACAATTTTGGGTGTCGATGCAGTACATCTACAATCACATGAAAGAGCTCTTCCTGCTTTTGCTTCTTGGCTGCCTGTTGACTTTCTAATGGCGAACAGTTTTTCAAGGAGATGAGGAAGAGAGAAGGAGAAGAGGGGGGAAGGTTATTTTATGTTAATCCCGGTCTTTTGTTTTAATAGTTTCCTTGACAACATCATTGTTCTAATATCTATTCTCCCCGTCTCCCAGTTATTTCCACAATTCATTTCTTTTTGCTTTTCCTTTTTCGATTTTTTTTTTTTTTTTTTTTTTTTTTGTCTTTGTCTTTGTCTCCTATCATCCTCTATCCTTCCTCAAAAAACTCACTCGTTTCCATAGGCAGATGCGTGAATGATCGAACGATGTCTAATCGAACCTGTTCCTCATCCTTGTGTTCAGTTGCAGAGTCTAATGGCGTGTAAGAAGTTAAATGGAAGGGGTTGAAGTAATATAATAGTAGTAATAAAAACAAAGGAAGGAAAGCGTCAGCATCTAGGTTAATGAATATCTAGTACCAACAATGAAAATCATGAGAAAGCTTTATGATACCTAGACCAAGGTGTTTCCTGGGAACATGAGTGCGTAACAACAAAGGCCTATTTTCATACGCAGACACATATTTAAAAAAGAGCAATCTTTTTGAGCAGTTGAAAAAATAGAACAAGAGAAAAAAAATAAAAAAAGGGTTGAAGACATTTTTTTTTTGTAACGAACCATGCTCGTCTTCGGATAGCATGGTTCACAAATCCAGCGCCGGTGACGGATAGTTTTCGTAGTTTCTCAATATCTCCTGTGACGATAGCCTCATCCAATTGTCGGATACGTTTTTCCTTGGCAAGAGAATCCTTTGTCTTCGGACGCCGCTGTCGTAATGTCGTTGTTGCTTTGGCAGCGAGAGCTGCAGCCGACCTAGTCTTTTGAAGTTGCCTTGCGCGTGTCATGACCAGGATAACGGCGACGACAGCGAAGAATGTCTTGGGTTTGAGAGAAGGAATGGTGAATGAGGGAAGGAAAAAAAAAAAAAAAAAAAAAGTAGATGGAGGAAAGAATGAAGTCAGAGCGAAAGAGCGAGCAAGGAAGAAAAAACGTCCAAACAGGAACCAGCTTTGTTCTTTGTGAATTTGCTTGTTCGCTCAAACAGTCACTACCACTTATTAAACACCGCACAGACAACATGCATATCAGATCAAGTTATCGAGTTGTCAATACAATGAAACAGAAAGATATAAAGATGTAATGCAATGAGTTAATTTATTGTGTATAATATACATGTCTAACGGCTCAGCTTTCCTCACAACCCCCATGTCTCCTCCCCACCCCCTTTTCCTTTTTTTATTATTTTTTATTTTTTATATTCGCTCCGCTCCTTCTGCTCAGTTTTTTTTTATTTTGACTGGCTTAAATAGCTCTGCACAAGACTTCACCTCCTGCGCCCTTTTCCAAAGCATCCCTAAGCTCCAAGACGCCGTAGTTCGTGGTGAGGATAGCGATTTCTCCTGGTTGAAGGCCCTTGATGAATTGTGAGCGGTTTCCGGCAGCCAAATTCTGAAGTTCCTGAACCTTCATAACAACCTTCTTGGATGGTTTGCTGACAGCGGTCATCTTCTTGAGAACAGGTTCATCATTGACATACTTGAGTTCGAGCCACAAACGACGCGTGGCGATGTTATCAGGGGTCGTAGGGACATAGGTAGTATCGGGTTGAGTATGGTCACCACGGGCAACACCAGCAATGAAACCTTCCTTGTAAAGCACATTGGCGATCGCCAAGTTCATTTTTGTATCCGGAACAGCGATTTTACGAAGGCGAGCACGAAATCCATTTTGCACACGGGCGCAGAGATCGTAGTGGCGAGGCATGCTTAAATGGGGGAATGTTGATACGAAGAAATGAAATGTTCCGATTCTTCGCCTCTAGATGATTTTGATCAGCAAAGTTTAAGTGCAGGGAACAAACAGTGCTTTGCCTTTGAAATGTTATCTGTGCTGTGGCTTGGCTATGCGCAATTTGTCACGTGCATGCCCATCTTCGAAAACTGAAATTCTCCAAAGGAACAATTGGAACAGGAGCAGTCGCGTAAGAACTTACATCGGGGCGTGTGTATTTAAATACTCCATTCAACTATTCTTCCATCCTTCCCATCATCTCCCTTTTTCTACCAGCAGTGCTTTTTCTTGTTTCCCCGTCATCTCTCGCCTCATCTTCGTACGCCCACTCCTATACATAACGAGCAACGACTCGCTTGGTCACTTCAGCCTTGTAGAAGAATAGATAGATAAAAAGGTCAAAAAGCAGGCTAATCAGTGCTAATAACAAACACACACACACATTCTTACCACCATGGCAGAAGCACTGCCCATCCGCTTTCAAGAGCATGTCCAGGTAAAAATCACTTTTTTTTTTACCATCAAACCATATATTTCTTTGTTGCTTCATCGCACGCAATCATGAATAAAAGTCAATGAGGTGGCTCTCTTGATTGGATGAAGGAATGTCTATTGACACAATTCGCATCTATAAATTCCTAATTTCCTAATTTCCTAATTTCCTATTCTGTCCTTTTTTTTCTTTTCCTTTCTTCCAACATGGCGTCGTAGCTTCAAAATTTGGGCGTCAATGCAGCCAGCATTGCTTTTAACACACTCACACTAGAATCTGACAGGTTCATCTGCGTACGCGATACGACAGGCGAGCGGAACATGGTCCTTATCATTGACTTGAACGACCCTAACAATGTGCTCCGTCGTCCTATCACTGCTGATTCAGCTATCATGAATCCAGTTAGCAAGGTCATCGCGCTCAAAGGTACATTATCGATGTCTAAAATAAAAGCAATCCAAGAAAAGTGGTGCCTACCCCACAATGCCTTTTTTTTTTTTTAAAAAAAAAATCAACATTTATCATCGCTATATAATTCCATTGCCACGTTGCAGAATCGGTTCAGCCGCCCTCAATCTAACAAACAAACAAAAAAATCAAAATTATTTTGTATTGTAGCCCAAAAACAACTCCAGATTTTCAACCTTGAAATGGGGAGCAAAGTAAAGTCGCACTTAATGGATGAAGAGGTCCAGTTCTGGAAGTGGATTTCTCCAAAAGCGCTGGCTCTTGTCACTGTTCATTCAGTCTATCACTGGTCCATGGAGGATGAGTCACAACCACCCATCAAGGTCTTCGATCGTCAGCCTAATTTGAATGGAAATCAGATCCTCAATTACCGAGTTAACTCGGATGGGAAGTGGATGGTTCTTGTTGGCATTTCGTCCCAGGTGAGTTTTTCTAATCTTCAAAATGATTATGGAGTTTGGTATTTCACACACTCTTTTTGTGAGAATTTAGAAGAATCGATCAAGCTGAAATGAAAAATATTGAGTAGGAAGGAAACATCAAAACCAATTACGTTAACCTAGCTGTGTTTTTTTATATTTATTTTTATTTCTTCTAGGCTGGTCGTGTTGTAGGTGCTATGCAGCTTTATTCGAAAGAACGTGGAGTTAGTCAGACCATTGAGGGTCACGTTGCTGCTTTCGCCGAACTCAAGTTGGACGGTAGCAACTCACCGACCAAGTTGTTCTCTTTTGCTGTCCGCTCTGCTACTGGCGCCAAGGTACTGATTTTACTTCTTTTTCAAAATGATGTTGGACCAAAATTAATGGAAACATCAAAATAACAACTTTTTTTTTTTTTTGCCTTATAATTAAATATATCTTTTAGCTTCATATCGTAGAGGTCGATCACAAGGAAGGCAATCCAGCGTTTGCTAAAAAAGCTGTTGATGTCTACTTTCCCCCAGAAGCAAGTGCTGATTTCCCAGTTGCAATGCAGATCAGCCAAAAATATGGCATTATCTTCCTTGTCACCAAATTCGGGTTCATTCACCTCTATGATCTTGAAACGGGCACATGTATTTATATGAACCGTATCAGTGGAGAGACTATCTTTGTGACAGCGGAGCATGAGAGTACCAGCGGAGTTATTGGTGTCAACCGCAAAGGTCAAGTACTCTCTGTAAGCGTCGATGAGGACAACCTGGTTCCTTATATTGTCCAAACGCTAGGTAACGCTGAGCTGGCTCTCAAAATTGCCTCCCGCAGTGGTTTGCCTGGCGCAGACGATCTTTATAGGCAACGTTTCCAACAGCTCTTCCAGTCTGGTGACTATGCCTCAGCTGCTAAAATGGCTGCAAATTCACCAAGGGTAGGTGGCGATAGGAAAAAAAGAAAAAAAAAAGTTTTTTTTGGCATCCTACAATTTCAATTTCTCATTACTTTCTTCCTATTATTCCTGAAACATAGGGTATTTTGCGTACATCTGAGACTATTGAGAGGTTTAAGCACTTGTCTGTCCCTGGTGGAGTGCCTCCAATTCTTCAATACTTTGGTATCCTTTTGGAGAAGGGTGAGCTCAACAAATACGAATCTTTAGAACTAGCAAAGCCTGTGCTCGCTCAGGGTCGTAAGCAGCTGTTGGAGAAGTGGCTGAAAGAGGATAAGCTGGAATGTAGTGAGGAACTTGGAGATATTGTCAAACAACATGACACAACGCTTGCTCTCTCAGTGTATTTGCGTGCCAATGTGCCTAACAAGGTCATCGCCTGTTTTGCAGAGACAAAGCAATACCCCAAGATCATTCTTTATGCCGAAAAAGTCGGCTATACCCCTGATTACCCTGTTCTACTTCAGCATATCATGCGTATGGATCCCGAGAATGGCACGCAGTTTGCAACGCTCTTGGCCACGAACAAGGATGGGCCTCTTGTTGACTTGGAGAAGATTGTCGATGTATTCATGTCGCAAAGCATGGTCCAGCAGGCCACTGCCTTCCTCTTGGAGGCGCTCAAGGACAACTTGCCCCAGCACGCTCACCTCCAAACGCGCTTGCTAGAGATGAACCTGATGCAAGCCCCACAAGTTGCTGATGCCATCTTGGGCAACGAGATGTTCACACACTATGACCGAGCATCCGTTGCTTCCATGTGCGAGAAGGCTGGTCTTTATCAGAGAGCATTGGAGCACTACACCGAGATCTCGGACATTAAGCGTGTTCTAGTCCATACGCATCTCTTGACTCCCGATTGGGTAGTGTCGTATTTTGGCCGTTTGTCAGTTGAACACTCAATGGAATGCTTGCGTGAGATGTTGAATGTCAACATGAGACAGAACCTTCAGCTTGTGGTTCAGGTTGCCACCAAGTATTCCGATCAACTTGGTACTAACAAGCTCATTGAATTATTCGAGTCGTACAAGACATTTGAAGGTCTCTATCATTACCTTGGTTCCATTGTTAACTTGAGTCAAGATCCTGAGGTGGTTTACAAGTACATTGAGGCTGCCAGTAGAACTGGTCAAATCAAGGAGGTCGAACGCATTTGTCGTGAGAACAACTACTTCAATCCCGAAAGAGTGAAGAACTTCCTCAAGGACGCTCAGTTGTCAGACCAGCTGCCTTTGATCATTGTCTGCGATCGCTTCGACTTTGTCCATGATTTAGTGTTGTATTTGTATCACAATAATCTCTCAAAGTACATTGAAACATACGTTCAGAAGGTTAATCCCTCCAGGACTCCAGCCGTCATTGGTGCATTGCTGGATGTTGGGTGTGACGAGAATGTGATCAAGAGCTTGCTGATGTCCGTTCGTGGCAATATGCCTGTTGCCGAGTTAGTGGATCAGACTGAAAAGCGTAATCGTCTGAAGTTGCTCTTGCCCTGGCTTGAGGCCAAGGTCAACGAGGGTAGCCAGGATCCAGAGGTTTATAATGCTATTGCCAAGATTTATATTGACAGCAATAACAATCCAGAACCTTTCCTCAGGAATAATGCTGTAAGAAGATGCATTGTTTATAATGTCATTGTTCCACAAATTATACAATGTTGCCTCTCATACTGATCTTTTTTCTTTCTTTTTTCAACAAAAATATTAGTACTACGATTCGCGAACGATTGGAAAATACTGTGAGAAGCGTGATCCTTACCTTGCGTTCATTGCATATGAGAGAGGTCAATGTGATATTGAATTGATTGAGATCACCAACAACAACTCGATGTTTAAGCATCAGGCTCGCTACCTTGTCAAGCGTCGCGACCAAAATCTTTGGGCTCATGTTCTTAGCAATGACAACCCTAGTCGTCGTGCCTTGATTGATCAAATTGTCGCCACTGCACTTCCAGAGACTCAGGATCCTGAAGATGTCTCGATTACTGTCAAGGCGTTTATGGCTGCATACCTTCCTAACGAGCTGATTGAGTTGCTGGAGAAGATTATTCTCGAAAGCTCTGCATTCAGTGATAACCGCAACCTTCAAAACCTATTGATTCTGACAGCAATCCAGGCCGAAAAGGGCAAGGTCATGGACTTTATCAACCGACTTGACAATTTTGATGCACCCGATATTGCAGAGCATGCGATCCGAGGTGGATTGTATGAGGAAGCATTCGTGATCTACAAAAAGCATAATGTCCATGCCAGTGCGATCAATGTATTGATTGAGCATATCGGAAGCATTGATCGAGCATACGAATATGCAGAAAAGACTGATGTCCCTGAGGTATGGAGCCGACTTGGAAAGGCACAGCTAGATGGTATGCGTATCAAGGAAGCGATCGACTCTTACATCCGTGCTAATGACCCAACCAACCATGCGGAGGTCATTACGTTGGCTTCAAGGGCAGACAAGTATGAGGATCTGGTTCGATATCTCCAGATGGCAAGGAAACTATCTCGAGAGCCTCTGATTGAGAGTGAGCTTTTGTTTGCATTTGCAAAGACTGGTCGCATTGCGGATATGGAGGAGTTGCTGAACGGACCCCATGTTGCTCAGGTTCAGGAGATTGGAGATCGGTGCTACGAAGAAAAGATGTATGGTCCCGCCAAGATCTTGTACTCTAGCATTTCGAACTGGGCTCGTCTCTCGACCACTTTGGTGCACTTGGGAGAATACCAAGCCGCTGTTGATGGGGCTCGCAAGGCCAACAGCACTAAGGTTTGGAAGGATGTTCATGCAGCATGTATTGAGCGCAAGGAGTTTCGGTTAGCCCAGGTCTGCGGTCTGTCGTTAGTTGTTCACCCAGAAGAACTGGAGGACTTGATTCGCTTGTACGAGCATCAGGGCTACTTTGATGCGTTAATGGCATTGTTGGAGGCTGGTCTGGGATTGGAGCGTGCTCACATGGGTATGTTTACAGAATTGGCAATCCTTTATGCGCGCTATAAGCCTGAGCGAATGATGGAGCACCTCAAGATCTTTTGGTCTCGTATCAACATTCCCAAGGTCATCAGAGCTTGTGAGGAAGCTCATCTGTGGACCGAGCTGGTCTTCTTGTATGTTCACTATGACGAGTACGACAATGCAGCAATTACAATGATGAAGCATGCAGCGGACGCATGGGAGCACGGAGCGTTCAAGGAGGTGGTAGTGAAGGTATCAAATCTGGAGATTTATTACAAGGCATTGCGCTTCTATCTGGATGAGCAGCCTATGTTGTTGAATGAGCTGTTGGCAGTAATGATTCCTAGAATTGATCATAACCGAGTCATTCAGATGTTCCAAAAGTCTGACAACTTGCCATTGATTCGAGAGTATTTGGTCTCTGTTCAGGCTACTGTCAACAGTCAGGTGGTCAACAGTGCATACCACGATTTGTTGATTGAGGAAGAGGATTATGAACGACTTCGCAAGTCGGTTGATACGAACAACAACTTTGATAACATTGCACTGGCACAACGATTGGAGGGTCATGAGCTGCTTGAGTTCAGGAGGATTGCAGCTCACTTGTATAAGCGTAACAAGAGATGGCGCCAGTCCATGACTTTGTCAAAGCAGGATCGACTTTATAAAGATGCGATGGAGACTGCTGCAGAATCGAATGATACAGCTGTTGCAGAAGAATTGTTGCAGTACTTTGTGGAAAGTGGCAACAAGGAATGCTTTGCAGCTTGCTTGTATATTTGTTACGATCTTGTGCGTCCTGATGTGGTCTTGGAGTTGGCTTGGAGACACGGCTTGACTGATTTTGCTATGCCTTATATGGTTCAGTTTACTCGAGAGTATGTCAACAAAGTTGACAAGTTGGAGAAGGCTCATGAAGAGGAATTGGCCAAGGAGGCCAAGGCAAGGAGTAATGCAGAGAACACTCCTATTTTAGGGCCAGGCGGACTAGGCACCGCTAGGATGATTACTGCAGGTCCTACAGGATTGATGCCTCAGCAGACTGGTATAGGCATGGGAATGATGATGCCTCAACAGACTGGAATGAGCGGATTTGGAGGATATTAGAAAGAAACAAAGAAACAAATGTTGTTATAAAAATCGAACGTAATAGGATCAAAAAAGTAAAATAAAAAAATAAATGCATTGTCCTTATCATTATTATTTTATTATTATATTATCTATTTACTTTTTGTGCTTATTAGTTAATATTAATATTACTTTTCTTTTTTTTTTTTTTTTGTTGACACATGTAAATGTGTGCGTGAAGGGAAATAAACAATAAATATGTGAATGTAAAGGTCTGTGTAAATAAATGTGGATGTGAGAAAGAGGCCCATTACGGTTTTTCTTTGCGTCTTCCTTTAAGAGATGGTGCTACGAGCTGCTTCATCGTACAGGGCCTCATACTCAGATTCGTCTCCAATATGCTGAATTTGCATTCGCGGAGTATTAGCATTGCCAATCAAAGGAGATCGACCAGAGTTGTTGTTCATCACAGCAGGGCTCGCACGACCGTTCATCTTTGGGACAGGAGATCCTTTACTTGGCCCATTAGGCAGAGGTGGAAGTGATGATGCGGGGGCCACTGAGGCATTCAATGTCGAGAGTGAACTAGATGCTGAGAGCTGCTGCTGCTGCTGATGCAAAGTGGATACAGATGAGGCGCTGGCATTGCTATTCGTACCAGTTGGATTAGGGCCAGATGGAGTATTCTCTGGGAATCTGGCTCGAATAGCCTCAAACATAAATGCAATCTTCTCTTCATTGCCGTTAAAAACATCCTTAACAGTATATCCGTCGGTTGAAACCCCGACGCGATCCATAAACTTGAATGCCGTCAATAAATTCTCCAGCATCTGTAACGTGTAGGTCGCATTAGGGACTCTCTTATCAACTGTTTCCCCTGAGAGTTGTTCGATCAGGCGTACAAGGACTACGCCCGACCGAAGAGATTGAGTCATGTCTGAGACTGGCTCCACAGTACTAGGCAGATGGCGGTTTATCCACTCGACATATTGCTCCTGAGTCCAACGAGTATTTATGGGAAGAGGTTCTTGCTCTTGTATCTTTGGTTGCGACACATCTTTAGGCTGTCGGAACGAGTCCAACTCGCTATCAGGACGCAAATATTTCAACTCCTGCTGCTGTTGCTGCTGCTGCTGCTGTTGTTGCTTTTGTTGATGCCCAAATCCTTCGCCATCCTCATCTCTCCATGGATCATCGTCCCCATCCCGTTGGTCTGAGTGCACAAAGCTATGGCGCTGCTGATCTACTGAAAGACTTTGCAAGACGGGGCTTTCAGGATGCTCAGCAATACGTTTCTCATCACCATTCTTTTGAGGAATATTACCGGGATGGTTGTTGCTATAGTCATTAGGATGGTAACCCTCACCATCTGAATCATGGTCATCATAGTCCAACAACTGCTGCTGCTGATGGGACGACCTGGGCTGAGGCTGAGAGGACTGCTGCAACTGTTGCATCTGCTGTTGCAATAGCTGCTTCTGTTGTTGAAAACCTTGATCATATTGTAATTTTTGCAGCTGCTGAGAATGAATCGGCTGCCCATTAGCCCCAAGATTACGATTTACACGCCTCGAAGGAGAGGGAGGACGAGGAGCCAATTTTCGAGCCACATGCAAAGGAATTGTAGGGATGTTACTGGAGGAGATCACTGGTGCAGTAGGGTCCCGTCCAATCGTGACCTTCATCAGAGCCTTGAGCCATCCTTTCATGTCACTCTCGCTATCTGTATAGAAGTAAAAGTTCCGGAGGTCCTCATGGACAGCCTTGAAGCAGTACTTGCCTGCATAAATGTTCTCATCCTGAATAATCTTGTATCCAACCAAGTTGATGTAATCTTTGCTAGCACTATCCTTAGGTGAGTTCATGTAGTACAGTGTCACTCCCTTCAACATGAACCAACGGCTCTTCCAGGTCCGATAGGTATCGCCACGTTTCTTGAGCCAACCTGCATAATCTGGCCTACCAATCAGCTCTAAGGGTACAACCTTATCTGAAGGATCTGCTTTACCGTTTTGGGGACGGTTTGTTGTGTCTGGATTATGAAATTTGCGAGGCTTGGGGGTGGGCTGCTCATACATCATCGAGTTTGAGTATGGATCGGGACGAAGCACTTCGGGGCTGCCTGGTGCATTTCTACTTACTTCCATTGGCCGTGGGTAGTGGTCCATTGGAAGCTGTGGCTGGGGCGATTGCTGTTGACCATATCCCATATTGTCAAAATCGGTTGATAGAGCGCCTCGTGGCTGCGATGCTACAGGGCTGGGCATCTGTGGCTGAGGTGCGCGAGAAGCATGGCGATCCCAGGGGTTATTGCTACGATGGAGATTCGGGTTTGAAGAGAAGGCAGATGTTGCGCTCTGACGTTGGCCATTCAGACTAGGTGCATCGACTAAAGTCGGCGAGCCATAGTCTCCGATGCTGGCACCGCTCATAACGGACCCCAAAGTATCAGAGCGTGCAAGATTGGCAGCAGATCGATTTTGAGGTTGGCCTGCCTGAATGTCATAGTCTGAAAACTGTTGTTGTTGTGGAAGTGTTTGTAGAGGTTGCTGTGATGATGAAGCCAGATTCTGAGCATGGATCTGCTGGTAAAGTCGCGCATTATGAGATGGGCCTGGTGGTAGAGGTGCATTCCGAGGATCACTAAGATCTTTGTGCCGAGAGTCACGCAGGTAGTCACCCCTTGAGTCGTAAGAAGCACGCGGCTCAGGCAAGTTTACACCATTGGCAGGAACGTTGATAGGAGCAGATGTCATGCGGGGAGGGATATTTGGGCCGCCGGGGCTACCAACACTGTACATGGATGACATGTTGGATAGACCACCATAAGAGTTTTTGGAGTCAAGATTGCTCTTTGTCAACTGTTTCAACGATGTGATGGCATTTATGATGTTGAATCGTTTTCCGAATGAAGTGATATCCAATTCTTTCAGGTTGTTCAGATTAAGCTCCAACAGAATGGCACCCGAAATCTCGTTATCTATGTTGCGTGGGATGAAAATAACAAGTCCATTATTTATGAGCTCTATCTTACTCCTTCATTATCTACGTCGTACTGAACTCGTTAGTAGTAAATTTCATTCCAATTGGTATATATTTACCTATGAAACTGGACACAACTGTACCGAATCCACAACAACGTAACCAGTGAGCTACTTGATCAATAGACCAAGTTGATGGATGACCAGCCAATTGTGGGTCAGACAAGCTCTCCTCAACGTTCTGAGCAATGATTTTGCTTGTTGGAGCACCATTAATCGATCCACCACTGAGAGATCCACCTCGTGTGGAGTCAACGGATGGGCTTGCAATCACTGGGTTCTGTTGAATATACATGTTATTTCCATTACTGGGGGTGTTGTTGTAGTTGCTTTGACTCTGTTGTGCAAGCATCCTAACATTAGAGTTGGTTTGACTTTCATGTGTACGGATGTTGCTGTTATTGTGATTGTTATTAAGGTTGTCTGTTGTATGGCCCATGCTGCTGCTATTATTGGTGATATTGCTTGCATAATTTTGGTTATTGTTCCTGCTATTCCCATTGCCATTATAGTCATTGCTACCGACTCCAGAGTTAGTATTACTTCCATAAGCGTTTGAATCGCTTGACGGGGCTTCGGGGAGAGGTTTCTCTGGTGGATCTAGAGTTTATGGCGAAGACAAGATGAGTATATCAAAAGTTAGGCGTTGTGCTCACGTAAAAAAAAAAAAAAAAAAAAAAAAAAAAGGCTCATATTTATATAATAACCCGTGTCATAATAGCTCCTTGCACCCCTCCCTTTAGCATCGTCCACATGCTGACTATTGTAAGCACGCACAAGAGCAGTGAATGAGCAAGAGCATAGGGTGTTGTACAGAATGTTGAGTAAATGTAAGGGAGAAGGATTACAAGAGAACAAAGAGGGCTCCTCCGTTTGCTCTATGCCCACTCTTCCCTTGTCAATCACTCTCTTTCCCTTGGTTTCTTTATCTCTTATGTTAATTGGCAAGATCACATTCATCGTCTCATCTCCCTAGCGCCTGTTGCTACCATTGGCGCATCGTTAGCCGTTTCCCATTCTAGGCACCGAATGTTTCCTTTCTTAATCCTTTATTTTACTGTCGTACAACATTGTTTGCCCTTTTTTTTTTTTTTTTTTTTTTTTTATGCCCTTTTTTATCCTTCCCTCCATCCATTTTTTGTTTCATTCCTCGTGCAATGGTAGCGACAAATCGGTCATCCATGCTTCTCAAGCACATAGAGAGAGATGCGCAAGAACTCCTCAAGAGTGGACTTACTCTGTGTTGTGTAATTTTGAGGAAAGAGACCAGTTTCACCACGGACGTTGGTACCCTGTGTAGGAAAGAGCGAATGAATGTCATTAAAAAAAAACAAAAAACAAAAACAAAAACAAAAACAAAAAGGGAAGTAGAAATATTAGCAAGATTGGTTAATATTACAGATAATCTTTAAGAGCGGGGCATTTGAATAAAGAAATCGCATGCTATTCTCAAGTATGAGCATATGCTTCCTTGGCGCGTAAGCAAATGATCATCGCCACATGTCTTAGTGGCAACAAATGGACGTTCGGCCATATTTTTAGGTCGGGGAATTGTCGCAGAAATTCATTATTGCACGAATCCGTGCTTTCATTTTTAAAATATCTTTCCATTCCCAGAAAAAAAAAGCCTTTTGTCAGAAGAGAGAAGTCTCCACACTTCTGGCTCATTGATGACATGTCAATGAGCGTTGATAGTGCGTTGGGTGAGTGCACAGATAAAGCATGCTGACAATGAGCTGTAAAATGAAAAGAAGTTGATATAGTTTTTTTTTTCTGCTTGGTGATGCTATACTCGAAGGCCAGTCAGCTTCCATACCCTTTTGCGAACCAGAAAAGTTGCGCTTTTTTTTTTTTTTTTTTTTTTTTTTTTATCGTTTAAAACGTATTATTATTATAATTATTAATGTTAATTTACTTACCTCCCACCAACCATCCTGATAAAGTTCATCTCTATGAAGGACAATGATGGGTTCACCAATCTGAAATGAGATCTCATCCTCCGCCTCAGCCTCAAAGTTGTGAATTGCCCATACAGTCTCGGGCATGGTTGAGAGAGTTTTTTTTTTTTTTTTTTTTTTCCGTTGGCTCGTAAATCGGCGAGTTTTAGAATGTCAGCGAGAAGGTTAGGTTGGGTTAGGTTGAATAAATTATTAAATAAGTGCCTGTTTAAGAGAGACAAAGAGAGAGAAGAGAGGAAGAATGAAAAAGTAAAAAGAATGAATGTCAATTAGAAGTGGAGGAAAAAAAAAAAAAAAAAAAAAAAGCTCAATCAACAGGGTCAAGTCGAAAAAACGAAAAAAGAAAAAAGAAAAAAGAAAAGGGCAGAGTGCATGTTAAGAGAGAGAGAAGAGAGGAGAGGGAAAAATAAAATGTTGATGCCACGAGGTGAGACAGATAAGACACGGCCGAAAAAAACGTTTGACGGTATGCCACTGTTTGTTGCTTTGTTGCTTTGTTGTGCTTTGTTGCTTTTGTTGCTTTTGTTGAGGGTGCACCATTACACACATGTAACACACACATTCAGACGAACTATTCACACACTACAGCCATGGTTTATACACATTCAATTACACACCATTAACTGTTGTGGGCTAAATAATCAAGTGGTCTTCATTAAAAATAAAGGCCCGAGCTGTGTAATGTTATTCAGTTAGCTTGATGTGTAGTGTAATGCAGTGTAATGTTAGTTAGATTTTAACAGAAGGTACGTCAAAGGAAGAAGAAAATAATAAAAATAAACGAGTCCGATTTAGAAATGAGATTAGTGTAGTTTAGACTGAGGTAGAAGCAATGAACATTGATTTCGAAAAGAATGAAAAAAAAAAAAATACTCTATTTATTTCCACTTCACTGGGCATGAGTCTGTTGAAGTGGAAAAGTTTGTAGGGGGGTGGTCTCGGACCATAAGCTTTTTTTTTTTTTTTTTTTTTTTTTTTTGGCGGGAGATTGAAGAAGATTGAGATTGGATTTGATTTGAGTTGAGTGCCCTCTCCTTATTCGCCACACATCCATATTGCATATCACTTTCATTTACCCTGTCATATCACCTTAGTTTTCACAACCCAGGAATGGCATATTATTGATCAATCATTAATAGTCGATCGATTGTCCAATGCTCGTATTAGGCTCTCTTCGTGGAATAAAACGCGCTCATAGACAGCTCCTTCCAAGCTAATCCGTACGAGGCTCGACATATGATTTCAATTATGGTGCTCGCTATGGCAAAATCACAACGCCACCGTCGCCAAGAGAGAGGCAAAGCACGTCTTTCTTGTTGCTACTCCTGATGTTCGTACCTCCATCAGTATCTCTGCCTCCTCTAGTTTGAGTTTCATCAGTATTTCATCTGTCAAAATACATCTTCATCCGTAGCGCAAGCCAATATTGCAAAGCACTTGGCAGAAATTGGCAAAGACGAGCTAAACACTCAGGCCAAGTTATCGACCGTCACACATAATGATGATAGGTCACATTTATAAGAGGGCAACAACGCGCAGATGTTTCTCGCTCCCATATTCAGATCGTTCGCAATAATTTTAATTGCTGCTTTAGGTTGAAAACATGCTTGAAAAAGTAGGTTGGTCTCATAAAAATCCGTTAGTAACCTTTCAATACCTTGTGTTGGAGTCCAAGAGTCTAAAAGCAAGTTGTCGCAAAAAAAGTTCAATATCCAAGCGAGCTCTTATCTCTAGATCTTCTTAGTGTTGCCCTCTCTGGCGCTTCTTTACTTGCTATATTAAATTGCTGTCGGTATTGCATCTGGGCGGAGCTTCTGTGGAGGACTTGAGACCCGACCCTTGGAGGTAATCGATTTCACTCTCCTCATTCGTAGCCGACTCTCATTTCACAGGAAAGTGGTCTGGGAGGCCTTTTTGAGGTGAAGGGGGTCTCCGAATACACTGCTGTGGAGCAGTCATGACAACAAAAGCAGTAGCAGAGTGGAATAAAACAGATGATGACTGGGAAGCCCAATATGGCGCTTCGACAGGTACAAGTTGTATATAGTTGTGAAATACCGATGGCAACGAAGTTGTATGCAGGTTTTCTGAGGAGGGTGGAGAATGCATGTACTGGTTTCCAGGAGCATCTAATGAGGACACAAGCTGGCCATCACGTTGCTTAACATTTAATGGAGCAGATACGGCGCCTTGCTGCATTGCCTTGGGCAATAAAAGATCCGTTGGCTTGTCCTTGACGATACCGATGGATGTCGCTCGAGAGATGGTATCCCTGGGTCTTTCTTTAGCAGATGCTCCAGCACAGGCTCCAAATAGCGTTCCGAACCTCCAGGCGTATATTTGCCTTCTTCATCAATATCAGCAAGATTGATATCATATGAAATAACAATTTTCTGAAAAAATTCTAAAATGGACTTGATATCTCGTTTATCTTGACCCATAGTAAATCTCTAAATACCAGCAAAAATTGATGCTCAAAAAATGGGGAAAAAAAGAAAAAAAGAAAAAAAGAAAACGGTATCATTGCGAAATACTTGATTATCCATTGGACTTTCCTTACCTCCCACGCATATAAAGTCTTTCCTCTCATTTTCTCTACCATTTGATAATCTTCGTCCTGCTTTTCGTACTTAACTGGGTGTTTATTGTTATCCATGCTGGTGGCAGTGTGCCGTGTGGACATGATGAGTCCATCGACTATCGAAAACGCAAGTAAGATAGAGAGGGGAGTTTTTGTGCCAATTTTAAATGCTGCTCATGTGAGCGACACAAGAAAAAAAAAAAAGGCATCAATCTGATTTTGCAAAATATATCTTCGTCTTTTAGCGCATTTGCTGTCACGCACTGTTGGAACGGAAGTATTACCACTACTGATACAAATGATTCTCTTCAACAATACGGAAGTCCTAGCCTGCCGTCACATCGCGATGATACAATGTCTCGCACCGAGGGAACGGTAGTTGGCGTATCCATGAAAAGGATATCTTCCCTGGTTACTATTGTTGAAAAGTAAAATGTGACAAGGAAGAGGCTGCAAACTCACACTTTCTTAAAAAAAGAAATGGTTGAGGGTATGGAGAGCGTTGAAATAGCCTTAAGAAAGGGAAGTTGAAAGAAAAGAAAATCTTCTCTTCTGTACTCAGCTATGCCGTCACGAGCTCATAGGGTAGGTTTGGAGATATTTGCAGTCAATTCTTTGCATAGACACAGAGAATGTACCTGTAGGGAAAAGAGCGCTGTTATGTGTATTTCGGAAGCGTGGTAGGCGGGAAGGCATCACTGGGTGGTATGGTTTGAAATGATACGATCAAGAGACAGGGGAAGACTGCTAAGGGGTGATCGCTTCTGGTCTACTTGTAAGGCGGTATAAACGGTTTTAAGATCCCTCCGCGACGCGTATGACTGAAAGCCAAATTCTAGTGAGCGTGCCTGTTCAGCCAATCATGGATAGTGTGAGTGGCTTAGTCCAATTTTCGGTCTTCGACGCGCACGATCCAAAAGCGGCAAAAAATTGTTTCCCTCCGTTGCCACCAAAAAGCAAACCTTGTGTCATTAATAACATTCCACCATCTTTGAGAATTCATATTTTTGTACTTCTTTCCTCTTCAAATTGTCCACAATAAGAATTGCATCCCACTTTATTCTAATCACATCTCCTTTCCCGTAGTGCCCATGATTTTAAAAGCCGAACCAGGCACATCTACCAATCTCTTCAGTTCGTCGTCTGCATCTCTGACCAACAGCAGCAATAACCCATTCATCGACACCGCTGATATTCAAACCAACATGTCACGCCTATCGCAAACAAACCCTACAAAGTTGATCGACTTTACGCCTGAAGAGAAGGCTCGACTCAGTGTAGACCTGCCTAAATACTTGCGTCCCGAATTCGCTTCAACGCGTGCTGGTCCTGGCCGGTCCACGCTCACTTATATTGAGGGTTGGAGGATCAAGAATCTGGCCAATAAACTCTTTGGATTTGATGGATGGAGTTCTGCTATCACTGATGTCACAGTAGATTTCCTTGATATTGATCATGAGGGCAGAATATCCCTCGGCGTTTCCATCATGGTCAGAGTTACGCTCAAGGACGGAACTTTTCACGAGGTTGGTAGATTTATTAAAAATATAAACAGCATACAGATCACCCTATCAAAAATTTATCTAACAAAACAATTTTTTTTTTTTTTTTTTTATTTTTAGGATATTGGATATGGCTCTTCAGAGAATCAGAAAAGCAAAGCATCTTCATTTGAAAAGGTTTGTAGATTAAAGAAAAAAAAAAAAAAAAAAAAAAAAAAAGTCAAAGGAATCCAGAATGCATTAAATTTTATGTCTGGAAAGATAGTAACTAGCTTAATATTAAAATACGTGGCACACTCCAATATCTTTTGTAGGCTAAAAAAGAGGCAACAACAGACGCACTTAAGCGGGCGTTGACGTCTTTTGGCAATGTTTTGGGCACATGCTTATATGACAAGAACTTTTGCAAGTATCTGAGTATGCAAAAAGTCGATAAGGTTAATATCTAACTGACATGGGGTTCTTATTTGAAAAGTAAAAATGTATAAAAAAAAAAAAAGAAGCATAAATGAATTTTTTGTTTTTGTGATATTCATTAGCCAAGATTTGATGATAAGGAAATCTTTTATAATGATTCAACTGAGGCACAACCTTCGTCTCCAACAGGTCATACAAATCAGCAGAGTCATCAGCCGCAACAACATCAAAATCAACATCAACAACAACAGCAGCAACAGCAGCAACAGCCTTATCAGAACTATAACCAGAACCAGAACCAGAACCAGAACCAGAACCAACGGAATCAACAAACAACTTATAGCGCTAAATCTTCAATCACACCATATGATAAACGAGCAGATACCTTACAGCCAAACACATCAAATCATAGTGTTACATTCACCAACAAGCAATCTCATCCTTTATCCACAGGACAGCCACCGAATAGGGTATCAGCTACAGTGCCTTTAAATCAGCCCAAACCTATAGAGGCGATGACAACGCCAAACTTCGGTGGCCAGAATATGCCCTCGAACCAAAACAGCTCGAACTCAGTGCTTGAGCCTGAAGATGATGGTAAGCAGCATTAAGCGTTCTACTAACAATCTGACTGGCCCAGGTTGATTTTCATTTCATCTCTAAAAGCAGCCGTGCCTTTTTTCTTTTTCTTTTTTTTTTTTTTTTTTTTTTTTTTTTTGTGTTCAGATGATTTGTTCTTCGGTGCTGATATTGAGGACACCAAAGCATCTCAACCGGAAAGTCCTCGCTTTTCGGATTTTGATATTGAAATGGATACCACAGAGATCATGCCAGAAGATTCTCCCGTCAGAATGAAGTCGGGTGAAGTATCGACAGGAACCCCAGTTTTGAGGCGTTCCGGATCACTCAATAGGTCAACGAGCAGTCCTTCTCTAGTGCAGACAACGCCGACGAAAACATCGACAAATCCACAGTTGTTTCAGCTACAAGGACAAAAGTCAGTACCGTTCAACATGCCAACACCTATCAGTAACAATGCCAATAGTGGTCCTGGCGGACAGAATAATCAGGTGCACCAAGATGATAATCCTTTTGTTTCCAAGCAAACGTCTTTGACAACGGCCGCAGCAACAAAATCCATGTCGTCATCATCATCTTCAATATTATCAACACCACCCTCATCTTCACCTCGTAACAACGTCACATATCATGCAACGACATCCCCATCCAGCATCAACACTAGACATTCTCAAAACCCACAGCAGCAGCAACAGCAGCAGCGAACAGGTAGCTCCACAAAAACACAAGGAACCATGAGCGCGCTCAAGACACCAGCGGCGAATGGTAATAGGAATGTGTTTTTGGCTAATAGCATGGCATCTTCACCATCAGCAGCATCACCGCCATCACCATCGGCGTCGTCATATGGAGCCTTATCATCCTTCAAGTTTAGCAAAGCGGCTCCGGGCCAAAAAACGGCAACGACTACTCCATCAGCCAATCAGCACGATATTCAGTTTTCAAAGGTGGCTCAAGGCACGGGGCTGAAACGGCCTCTAGGCATGATCGTCAAGTAAGTGTGCTTTTGTCTATCGTGATACTGTGATTAAGGTTTAGCATACTGTTAAGGATGTCTGTTACTTACCCATGACTTTTTTTTTTTTTTTTTTTTTTTCTTTTTTATTCTTTATTCTTAATGTTATTATTACTTACTATCGTTGCTATTTCAAAAGCAATGCTGCTGACACACATGCCACTGCTGCGCACAAAGAACCGCGCCTAGGATGAGCCAGTCCAAATTAGCAACTAACAAAAAAAAAAAAAAAAAAAAAAGTAATTGTGAAGATAGTATTTTCTTTAAGTTTTTTGCCATAGCTTTGATATTTGCTCCATTGAAATAAAAATCTTCAATTAAAATACTTGATGTTGTTTATTTGGGTTTGTAAAGATAATGAAGAGCTAGGGTAGTGTTCCTTTTTTGTTAAAATTATTGACAGGGGTGAGCAAAGATCCTGTGGAGAAGTAGAGGTCGATGTTTTTCATGCTTAAGGTCTCCATCTTAGTGATGGTCTCGATAGTGAACGCACCTAGATGGGGCATCAATGCAACGTTCATGTTCTTCAAAAGCTTTGGGTGGACCTTGGGTTCGTTCTCATAGACATCTAAGCCTGCACCGGCCAGATGACCGGATTCTAAAGCTTGAACTAAAGCTTCCTCATCCACAACGGGTCCTCGTGATGTGTTGATCAAGTAAGAGCCTTGTTTCATCTTGAGAAATTGGTCTTTTCCAAACAGATGATGGGTCTCTGGAGAGAGCGGGACATGAATCGAGACTACGTCTGCGGTCTGTAAGAGTTGATCCAGTGAAGCAACATACTCGACATCTCTCAAGAAAGAATATTCTTTTTCTGTTGTATTTTCTGAAGGAGAAGAGGGGATGGAGATGGGACGGCGATTATAGTAGATTACCTTCATCCCCAAGCTCAACGCACGTTTGGCGACCGCTTTTCCGATTCCACCCAAGCCCACGATGCCGAGAGTCATGTTTGTAGGATCACGACCAATCCTGGGTTTCTGAGTCGGCGTCAGACCGTTACGCATTGCATACTCGATTTCGTAGTAACGACGAAGGGTGCTCAACATCAAGAGGATTGTTGCATCTGCTGTGGCATCATCCACAACTCCAGGGGTGTTGGTGACCCATTGTTTATTGCGAGTGGCCACAACTACATCTACAAAATCGTATCCAGCCCCAACACTGCTGATCAATTCAAGGCCAGGGGAAAATAAGCCGAGTAAAGGTCCATCAACTCGTCCAAGGGTCTATTATGAGGGTAAATAATAAAATAATAATAAATAAAAAAAAAAAAAAAAAAAAAGAAGAGAGGGGTTGGTCAATGATATAAAATTCTATTAAAAAAAAAATAAAAAAAAATAAAAAAAAAATAATAATAATAATAAATAATGAGGATAAGGATGTCTCACTCGTTTGTTCAAATTACATAATGTGAAGCATATCCTCGATACAGGGCCTTGAAGGTGAGACCCTGGCGTTTAGCATTCTTGAGTTGTTCCTCCAATAGTTCCCGAGTTGATCCTGCATACTAATTATTGCCCCATAGTCGTGTGAAAAAAAAAAGAAAAAAAAAAAAAAAGATTATCAATCCTCTTCTTCTTTTTTTCTTTTTCTTTTTTATCCTTATGTATGATATTAGTGACATTAGCCACAAAATGCCTTGAATTCTCTTTTACATAGATGTTGTATTTTGCCGCAAGTTCAGCTTCCTGTGCCTTTGCATGACGGACAGTGCCCATGAAAAGAATATTTTCCTTAGTCATTATGGTCAATAAGCTGAAATTTTGAAAAGAAAAAGTTATAGACAGGAGAAAGAAAGATTGGAGAAGTGTTTGAAAGGGGAAATAAATAGTCTTGGTCAAGAGAAGGATAAAAGGAGGAGAATAAGAAGGGCAAAAAAAAAAAATAAAAAAAAAAAGAACACTCTTTTTTGTCCCCCCTTCCCCCGCCCCCCATCAATGTCGTTTCTCGGATATTCTCTTTCTCCATTAATAATCAACTCAACTCCTTAACTGACGAAAGCTTAACCATTTATCTGTGGTGATCGGAGTGTGTGTGCGACCAAAAGATTAAATTTTAACTACATGTTACATTTTTCAACAGTCTTGCATTTAGCAAGCATGCATTCGTCCCCATTTAGTCCATGTAGTATTTATAAATGTAGAAGAATGTATAATAGCACTTGCTCTCCAAGCGGGGTTTTTCCTGATTGAGTAGAACAGAAATTAAGCGGTTTTTTACTTGAGCCACTTCACATAACTTTTAATCAGCACTCTCTGACCACTGCCCTCTCCTCCTCCACCACCACGGTCACGCTCCAGACAGAATAACGCATCCTTCACATTGACTTTACGTGCTGTATCCCGCAAGAGACTGGAGGAACGGCCTACTGTTGAAGGTGGCAAGATCATGGACCCACCTCCTGCTCCTACACCTCTTGACACCAAAGATGATGCTACTCCAGATGTCAAAGCGTTTGATGATCCAATTCCACTCACTCCTGCATTAGAACCTGCCAATGTTGTAGATCCACGTGAAAGGCTTGGTTTGGTTGAGCCACTATTGCCAATACCTCCTACAGAAACGCCTCCTGACGCTGAAGGCGATCCAGCATTAGCCGCTACTCCAGAGGCTCCCGGCGTTGAAACAGACGGCAACGGTGATGCAGCACCTCCATCATTGCCACTATTTCCAAAGCCTCCTGTGCCACCTCCCCCTCCACCGCTAGCTCCAGTACCACCCATCATCCATGAATATGTACGCCCACTACCTCCAGCGAATCCTAATGCTGTTTGATTGGCGACCTTTTTCCTTGCTTCTTCTGTCATATTCCTTGCACTTACACCCGGTCCACCTTCCTTCTGTTTCTTACCCTTCTTGACACTCGATCCCCCTCCCCCTCCTGCTCCTCCTATTCCTCCACGGAGGAGTTCTCCATTCTCGTCCAGGTCTTCTCCAGCAGCCAATCTCCTCTCACGTTCTGCTATCTGTTCTTTACGTTTAGTCTCTTCCTCGCGCTCTACACGTTCAATTGCCAGGAGCTGCTTCTTGACATCCTGAGAGACCGCTACTTTGTACATGGCGTGTTCTTCATCATACATGGGTGGTGGTGCAGTGGCTAATGACCGGCCGCGATGTTTCGAAGCCAAAATCATTTGTTCTGCAAGACCTCGGAGTCGTTCCTGTGTTGCCATTGCCAAGTATGCAATCACATCCGTATCTACATTTTCTAGCTTATGTGAGTCCGCTGTATAAAGCAACATAAAGTTGAATATATATAAACGATTAGAATTACTATCATATAAATATATATCGGCGCAGTGCAGGTTAGCAGTCTTTTTTTTTTTTTTTTTTTTTTTTTTGTCTCTTACCTATACGATCAACAATGGTTTTCAGAAGCTTGGTGTTCACAAAATTCTGAATCCGTGTCCGATCCTGACCATCACCTCCACTTGTCTTTGAGAATCCATCGTTATCACGCATGATATTGTCGGACTCTTCTTTTAAATCAACACCCACATAGCCCATGACATCCGTGATATTATCATAGTTGACTCTCTCAACACCCGTACCCTGACCAGTAGAGGACTTGCTTGCCCCTCCAAACGTCCCTGCACCACCGCCACTACCTCCGCCTCCTGTTGCTCCCAATGCCCCTGTTCCACTTGTCGCTGCCGCCTTTTGTTGACCAGGAAGGGATACACGACCAAATACTCCTGGACTGGCCGCACTTGCTGGTGTGGCAATTCCAGAAGTAGAAGGAAACATGGGCGATGAGGCTGCAGAAGGTCCATTGCTTCCTGCCACAATGTTCTGATGCTCTGTCTTTACTCTTTTTGAAGCCATTTTGCTATTTTATCAAGAACAATATCCATGCAGAAAAAAAAAAAAAAAAAAAAAAAAACCAAAGCTTTGTGTGTTAGAAAGATAAGCTTGAAAACAATAATAGTAATAGTAATAATAGTAATAGTCATAATACAGTAATAATAGTAGTATTGAGTATGTACCTATCAGAAGTCGTGCTAGAGGTGCTTGCATTATCAGTATTCCTCTTGCGTACAGGAGCCGACAGTAGAGCATTAGCTGATGTTGGAGGCAGGCTGGTAGAGACAGATCCTGAGACTGCCTGTTGTGAAGCACTCGGTAAATTCATATTACTTGCTGAAGTAGATGGTAAACTAATCCCCGCAGTCGAAACTGAACCAGGAGTTGGTGCTGAGCTTTCCATCGCAGCCGATTGACCGGCCCTGATCTGCGAGTTTTGTGAAGCTGCTGATGGAGTAGGAAGAGAAACAGAGCCAATTGAGGCCTGATTTGCTGCCATTGTAGGAGAAGATCCATTGGGTACTTGTTGCGACCCATCTCCTGTGATTGATGATCGTGCTCCATGCCTCCTCCTAATACCATCCAAAATCTCAAACTGTGCAGGATCCAAAAGCTGCCTTGCGCGTGCTAAAAATTCGTTTGGCGTCACAGCATTGGTCTAGCCCAAATCACATGAAAAGTGGTACATGTCAGTTTTTTTTTTTTTTTTTTTTTTTTTTTTTTTGGGAACAAAAAGATTTCGACTCTGATGACGATAGTGTCTGAGGCATTTTGTTCATAGATTGTAGATAATAAATTCCATGGCCCTGAGGGTCCTTGTTATCTATAAAAAAAAAAAAAAAAAAAAAAAAAGAAAAGATTTCGACTCTGCTTCTTTGTTAAGCTTCTCACCTGAAGCAATGCAAACAGATTTCTCAGTTGTGCTCCTGTTGCTGGTGAGATCGAGCTGAGTATATGATGAAGAGGAGAACCAGCCTGTGCTATTGGTATAGTCGTCGCTCCGGCTAAAACAACAGTAAATGAAAGAAAGTTCGTGTCAATTTTCGCCTGTTATTATGTTAACAAGTGATCTCTAGAAATAATAATAATAATAAAAAAAAAAAAAGGAAACTGACCCGTGGATGGTACTAGGGTCGCAGATGAGGGCGGCCTGGCAACAGCAGGTGTTGTTGTCGATCCATTGGGAACCGCAGGGTTAGGACGCGGCTGTGTCTGTGGGAACCCTGTTGGAGGCATCTGTACATTAGCCTGAGAAGGGCGAGGAGTTGTGGGTAGACTCAAAGCTTGTGGTTGCTGCTGGAGTGACTGTTGCTGTTGTTGGGATGGGTGTGAAGGTGCTGTATATATAGGTCTAGGCGTGGCAACTTGGGGTAAATGCTGCGGAGTTTGTGGCTGTTGTGGTTGCTGTTGTTGAGCCGACCGAGGTAAGGCTATTGATGACTGCTGCATTCTGTTCTGCATTTGTTGGCCGGTTGGGGATGCCTGCGATATAATAGGCGATGCTTGAGGTGATTGCGAGGGGTGGGATGGTGTTGAGGCTGCTGAATGAGATTGTGGAAGTGCTAATGACCCAGTGTGTCCAATCAGCTGAGCAGAAGGTTGTTGCTGCTGCAACAAGAGTCTCTGTTGGTCCTGAAGCTGTTGATGCTGTAACATAGGCGACAGCTTTTGAGGAGAGTGTACTGACGTGAATGGAATGGTAGAAGCGTGCTGAGGTTGTGATGGAGGTAAGTGAAGCGTTCCTATCGTACTATTAGGAATGGTATCAGCGCTAGTATTGGCCGAGGTGTTGACTCCTGAAAAATCATCAGCAAACAGATCGTCCAAGTCCTCCATGATGTTCCCTTGTACATTGCTATTCAGAGTTCCGTCTGAATGCTGAACATTGCTAATTCCAAGGGGGAACTCTGAAGACAGCAGTTCATCCACAGTATGGTGCATCAATGAAACCCCAGGTTGTCCATGTGGATCTTGTGATGTATGAAGGTGCTGCTGCTGCTGCTGTTGACCATGACCAAGGGCCGAAGACGTATTAATATTGACATTACTTCCAGCACCGTTGTGGCTGTGATTGATATTGTTTGTGTTGTTATTGTTGGACATTGTGGTTTCTCCGTGCAGGATTTGTTTTAAGGATGGGATGGATCTATAAATTGAGTGATGGTGTGGGGTTCGTCTTTGTAGGAATGCGCGCCCTTGCTTTCTCTTCCAATCAGCGCCTGTTTTGTGTCCTGCAATGTTCGTGCCACTGCTGTTGTAAACTGCTACTGTTTAGATGCTACACATTGACAATGGCCTGGCTGGCTCAAGTGCGATCTGGCGTGACATGGACAGTAATAATTGATCAAAGAGTTATTTTGTCATAAGAGAAAAAGGGTAAGTTCAGCACAATCTCGACTGAGTGACGTCACTTTTTTTTTTTTTTTTTTTTTTATTTTAAAAAAAAGATGCTCATATTGAATATTGCACAACTCACATATTTTTTTATTTTTTTTTTCTTTTGGATATGGTCATTACAGTTGATGGTCATGAAATAGGTCATTAAAATCCATACTTGCCCTCTTTTTTTTTTTTTTTTTTTCTTTTTTTTATGCCGATGAGATATGTCAATCCACGCTAAATGATGATCTTAAAACCTGCTTGTCATTATCATGCACGCTTTGACTTCTTCTTTCTTGTCGCTGCTGCTGCTGCTCTTGTCGTGATTCCTGATTCAGTCTTCTTAGTTCCGATTTTCTTTGGTACAACTTCAGATACTTCTTCCTCTTCCTCCTCAGCACCGATATCATAGCCTTGAGCCTTGGCCGAGTCATTAACTTCTTCTTCTGCCTCGCCATCATCTTCATTGTGGCTCACGCCCTCAACATCACTATCGTTCCAGTTGTTCACGAATCCATTGTCTTCTGACCCTGAACGGTTGACATGGTCTTCATTGAGTTGAAGATTAGGCACTCGCTCAGGACCGTTGTTCTCCACATTAAATTCGTCCTGTCGAGAGTGGTTAGCTAAATGAGGCGAACGTCGACCAGTGGGGGCAGGGGAAGGGTCGCGAGATAAAGGAAGTGGCATTCCCTGTGCCCGAAGCAAAGTCTGTTCAGGTGTCGACGGAGGCTGAAGACCCTGTGCAGCCAAGCGAGCTTTTCTACGCGATGGGTTAAAAAAGTTGCACTTTGGGCAGACGTATTCTAAATGAATGCGAAAACTAGGTTTAGTAAAAAAAAAAAAAAAAAAAAAAAAAAAAAGCTCAACCCTCTCTACTTCTTATATGAGTCTATTAAGGCAAACTTACGGATATCCTCTATTTCCTGAGGTAGGGCAAGTCCATTATGGGCATAGCATTGTCCACAAATCAGAGCGTACTTCGTATCTGGCCCCTCGTCTCCAACGATCACATCAACAATCTTGTCATACCAATGTCTCTCTGTGCTGGGTGGTGCATATGGAGGTGACCTACCCCCATTGGAGTGCGTATGTGCTGGGTTAAACTGATGCATTTGAGGACCTTGAATTCCTTGAGGCCCTCTGGGTCCACTCTGAGGGCCCGGGCCCATATGAGGTGGCTGTTGATGGTGTTGCTGTTGCACTCCTGACGAGACTCCTAATTGACGTCCTTGATTCATAGGCATTCCCTGGGTATTTGCAACACCAGGTCCTTGGCGCTGTCGAAGACCAGGATCCATCATATTAGTTTGATGAGGTCGAGACTGCCCATTCTGTAGAGCAGGGACGGGCTTTCCATCAAGGCCAACGGATTTTTGACTTGCTGATCTTTGAGAAGCAGGCTGCCAATTTTTTTTTTTTTTTTTTTTTTTTTATATTTAAAGGAAGTTAGTCATTTGAGAAGTTTCAATTTTACAATATGCAGTGTACATGTGGATAATGACAAAGAGATCACTTTACGTCGTAACGCTCCAGAAGAGTCTTTGTTGAGTAGTATGCAGTCTTTTTCTTGAGCTCCTCGACTTTGAGTCTTTGATCCGCTCTGAGTAAATTAAGCTGGATTTCTATACATTCAAGTCAAGTAGATTGTCAAAACAAAGATTGTCAGCATAATTGATCTTTAATTCTAAAACATATCATATTGGCTGCATAGTCACTATTCTTGTGAACAAACCTTCATTCGACTTTGCACGCTTGTACCAAACAGTGATCAAAAAGCGGCCTACGAAAAATCTAAAGGAGATACATTTCAATATGGAAGACATATATACCTGCGTTAGTATGTCCGAAAACAATGAAGATAATGTATACTTTTGTTTGTAAATTGCATACGATCGTTTCAATGCTGTTCTGCATGTATTTAAAAAAAAAAAAAAAAAAAAAAAATCATGTGCTTACATTGGTAGACCAAGGAGAACAGGCGAGAGACTTAGTGCCCAGAATTGAGGGTCATTTTGGTATTTTTGATGAAGATATAATGCAAAGACTGCTGTATATAGAATCCATATAAAAATTGAGTAGGTCATCCAATGACCCAGCAGTCGTCTCTCCCGTACATGAATGGCCGAGAGTCTCAATTCTGCTTTCCGGATGTTGCTGTCGAGATCTGATAGGATTTTTTCATAGTCAGAATCATTGCTCTATTAATTTTCATATATTTGCATAATAGAGGAAAGTAATGAAAGATGGTTGGGTATTAATAACTTCTATGCAATAAAAATAAAAAAAATAAATAAAAAAATAAAAAAAAAAAAAAGTATAAGGAGCATATGAAAGAGTGCCTAGATTAAGGCGTTTCAACTGTGTCAATTGTGTTCCGCCCAAGTGTTGCGACGTGGCAGGACATCCAAAGGGTGCTGAGGGCCTAAGATGAAAAATCATCAAATTCTTTCTTTCTCTTCCCATAATACACACACTATGCGGTCATCGTGCGCAGATTCAACTCTTCTTGCATTCATTAATAATGTTGACGGGTCTGCCAAATGAACTTTTCAAGATTCCCAAATTGAGATTCTGCTCGAGCAAATGTCCGTAGCGAGACTCAATGCTTGTAGACTTTGCAAACCACAGACGCTCTGTCAAATCCTCCACCTTTGTGGCGTGCGCGCGCATGTATTATTATTTAATATAGTCCACAATTTACTCGGCCGTCATCCCTTCTTTTTGGCCAGCCACTACAGATAATCAGTCCTTCCTTAAAGTCGGGAGAAATGCAATGGGTCGAGTCATTAGATCAATTGTGGATGTCCACCTTACCTGACGAAGCCTTGAGATGATTCCTCCCATGGTTGTGTGATTCAGAAAAATATATAAAAAAAGAGAGGTGGAAAGAGAGGATAGACGTGTATAGAAATTGATTTTTTTTTTTTTTATGTTCTTTTCTTTTCTTTTCTTTATAATTATCTTGGTTAAAACGGAGTCTTTAGCAAATGGTCATTCAGAATAGTAACAATAACAATGAAAAATAAAATAAAATAAAAAAAGACGTAACGGGGGTGGAGTGTGGAGGAAAAGGAAAGGGAGAGAGTAAGGAATAAAAAAAGAGAGACGAGTAAAATATAAAGAATGAAAGGAAATCATTGAATGGATGAGCAGAATATCTTTTGCGGCAGCCCAAGAGCATTTTTTGGTTTTTTCTTTTTTTCTTTTTCCTTCTGTCGCATGATCTCCACACGAGCAAAGGCTGCGACGAAGTCTGAGTCCAAGGGAAAAAAATAAAGCTGAATATGCGAATGCTACGTTTAATAATGATGCTCTGGATGATATGCCATCATTCGGATTACATATCTACATGCTTCTTTTTTTAAAAAGACGTCTGTTCGCATCATCACATGGTATCAAAGTCCACAAGGCTTGGCCTCTACTCCAGGCATGAATTATGTATAAATGTTGCATTTTCAAAAGGAGCAAGGAACACAATCCCTAAAAATATACATGTACTCAAATTACACGAACATGAAAGAAAAGAAAAAAACTATAAGAAAAAAAAAAGAAAAAAGTGCCTTCCAATGACGCGAAATGGTTCATAACCAAGTCACTTTTTTTTTTTTTTTTTTTATTACCCTTTCTTTTTTTTTACATCTGGACTCTGACAGGATAATCACCATTGGAACAGGAATTATTAAAACAAGCAAATCATCCTCATTGGCTCATTCACTCTTGAATAAAAGGAAGGACAAAAGAAAGAAGGAAAGGGAAAATACTTACATATTATAGCATTAACAAGCATACACATCAACGCATGCCACGTCCAACTTTGCAAATAGTTTCAGGTCGATCACCTCGATCTTACCTTGCAACAACCAGTTACGACACTCGAAATCTACCCAACCCCTTTCAAGATACCCCTCTCCTCTCTTCAACCACATCACCAATAACAACAAATCTTAAAACAACAGCAACAACACCCAGTATCACTGCAACAGCTGTAACAATACCAATAGCATCCGACACAATTGCTTCTACAACGCCCTTTCTTTCTTCTTCTTCTTCTTCATTTCCTCCCTCTTTGTTATCCAAATCAATATCGGCAAACGTACCTGAGACATCCCCTACTCTTTATCTGGGAAATAGCCAAAACGGTTTATTTGACACTGCATTAGCCTCTACTGGTGAACGGGAATATCTAACAGATCAAAAGCAACATACTTCAAGTCAGCAACGTAACAGTGAACACCAAGGTGAAGATGAAGATGAGGATGAAGATAAAGAAGGAAACGGCCATGACAAATTACGACGGGACCAGGATCAACCCCATGAACAGATCCAGGATGAAGAAAACCCGTTGGTTCATCTAACAGCTGGTCAACGCGAAGCTGCTGTTGAGAATCTTGAGATTGAAAGTATGGATCTTTTTTATTTTACTGCTTTTTCTTTTTAGAGCGGGAAAGGGGAGATGAGGCAAACAGAGTGGGGATTAAAAATCACACATGTCAATGCTAGTCAAAGAGACAAAAACCACACATCTTTTTTTTTTTTTTTTTTTTTTTTTTTTTTCTCACATGCTTTATATATATATATATATTTTTTTTTTAAAAAAAAAAAAAAAAAAAAAAAAAAAAGCAATGGATAGGATACAGAAGCTTCGAGCATCAATAGGAGTGCTAGCAAATTCTCTTCGATTCAGAAGTGAAGCCGAGATCAATCGACTTCCAGCGGCTGTACGTACAATGACGGTCGAAGAATATTGGTTCAAATACAATGGTAATGCAAAAGAATATCTCGCACAACAATCTATGAAGAAAGCCACCGCCGACACATCCTTCTTACAAGCCCTAGGCATGATAAGTCATAAAAGGCAAGTTGTTAAAGGGAATAAAAAGTCTGTCTTCTCTATTTGTTTTTCTTTTTCTTTTTTTTTTTTTTTTTTTTTTTTTTTTCTTCACAAAAAAAAAAAAAAAAAAAAAAAGATCTATTGTCATTAATGGTGATCTCTCGAAACTCCTTCTTCTTTGTCTCTCCTGGGACTCTCTTCTTTGTCGGAACAGGAAACGAGAAGGAAGCTCCGATGGACTTTGGATTCAAAAGCAAAAGATCGAGAGTGGAAATGAGGTAATCATATGCTTTATTTCTACTTTGTGCATTGTTTCAGCAAGACACTAATCTAGCATCTTTCCTCATTTTACTTCTTTTATCTTAACTCTGTCATCCAGACTGGACAAAACTCAGCACTTCGCAGGCAATATTCAGGCGCATTATCATCTTCAATAAATACAGGTCAACAGCGTCGGAATACTTCAAAACCGTTTGTGGATTCACGCTTAGATATCACCAGGAAAAAGGAATAAAACAGAGAGTACTAAAATGGATTTTTTGTTCAGATCCTTTTTCAAAACGGATAAATTACTTGAGGATTTATTATTATTATTATTATTATTATTATTTATTTATTTATTTATTTATTTATTTATTTATTTATTTATTTATTTGGCGTTATGATCATAGTCTATCTGTCTTCATGGGAGATAAACCTTGGAAAAACCTTGGACATCAGCACGACAACAAGGACATTGCTTGAACCGCTGATAAACCATAATAGACAAGAAACAGTCGATAATTAATTGTCAAGCTCAAAAGAAAAGACATATTTTGGGTCAAATCAAGCAACAAGGATGACTTACTCTGGATGCCAAGATTTCACGACATTCGTTGCACAGAGCTAGGCATCGACATGGCCTCAACAGCACTCCCCTGGGCTCCGACTGGCAGACTACACACAAAAGTCGACTGTATATAGAACTATCCTCAGCTGCCGTTGAGGGCAATGATTCGGCAAGAGGAGGTGGTGCTGTACTGTTTATACTATCCCTACTGCTATTATCACTAGTACTCGAGGCCACTGTAGAACCCGTATTGGAGGATAAAGGCGACTTCTCCATGACAGTCTTTCGATAGCGATTGAGGACAGCGAGCAGTGTCGTCTTATCTGCATCATCCATTCCGCCCTTTCTCCGCCGCAGCAATCTTAAGGACCCACTACCACTACCGCCTCCACTACTATTACTGCTGCTGCTGCCCGCAATATCTTCTATCGAATCCTGTTGAAATTCACGCGCACCACTCATTGCCTGACGATATTGAGATCTCGTCAGTGGTGTATCCTGCAGCCTGCCTGACAAAAAAATGCTCATAAAGGAGGTGTCTAAGAAAAAATCCTGTAATGATCCCAGTGATCGCCACGCAGAGGAGTAATGCTGCTCCGACTCCCCATCATTGCCATCAGAGTCCACAACAAACTCATGGTCAGAATCATCGTCCACAGTATGTGAGCGTTTTAAGCCATACGATTCTGACTCGCCTGATCTATCCTGTTCGCTCATTGGATCCTCAAAAGATTCTTGATTTGAATCCAAGTTTTCAAGTCCTTCAAAATCTGACTCTTGTTCTTCCCCAACGCCGTCCTCACTATCATCAAACACCATAAAATTGACATCATAGTCCTCATCCTCATCATCTGTCGCGGTAAAATCTCTAGTCAAGAAATCATTGTAGAGCTCCTCTTCCTCCTCTTCATCCATCGCTGCCGCCAACATGTATTGTTCTCTTTCAAATTGATGAATTTTTTGTTCTCCTGATAACCGAGCCTTCTCCAGTGCTTGTTCGATGGTACTTCGCAGTTGCAAATAATTTTGAATTGTCATCCTAGTTCCTGATGACGATCCACGTGGTGTTCTTCGGTACCTAGAAGGCACAATCTTGTTATAAATACCATATGCTGTCTCCATCAAAAGACTGGCACTACTTTGACAGAATGCCTTCATAACATTAATGCGATTTCGCAAGCTCGAGGGCCGTTGGCGTTGACTAGATGTTTCAACAATATCGGCCATCTCGTTAGCAAATCCTGAAGATAAACCATATCTTACTCCATTAGCTCCATTCGGCAGTGAAAAATAGATGCCACCATTTTGTCGCGCCCGAGATGAATCACGTTGCAACGATCTGTGTTTGTGGCCATTCCTGTGATCCAAGATAGTCCCAAAGGGGATCACAACCGCATCTACTTCATTTCTAAATCCAACACCTCGAGTAGCTTCCATGCATGCGCGTCCGACTTTGAACACAGCCACACCATATTCATCGGCCATTGAGGGCAGTGCTCTGGATTCAAACATTTGTCTTCTGACATTGCCTCCAGTCACGATATATGTTACTGTGTGAACAACCATCTAGAACCACATTAAAAAGAGTTCAAAGCAATGATATAAAAATCACCAATGTTAAAAATAGAATGAAAGAAACTTCACATCTCTAGTTGCCTGGCTGTTTCCTTTTTTTTTTTTTTTTTTTTTTTTTTCCCTGCCTGTCCTTGATGACAACTTACTGAGATGCAAACGACGAGGATTACAACCACTTCTGGGAGCCTGGTCAATAATTGGATCGACGGATAATTACTGGAGCGATAATATATAGCGTGTGCAAAATGGGTCAGATCCACGACCCCCCAGAATGTGGTTACAACCAATCGATAGTTCCTGGCTCGACTCGATAGACTCGAGAACTGGAGCGTCAGCAGTTGACAGACTTGGATCAATGCAATGATGAGAACATCCCGTCCAGAGGGAGTGAAATGAAAGAGAATAGCCCACTCTAGCATGTTGGTTGTATGCTCACTGCCTCTGCTATTAGAGCTGTCCAGGTTGGTGATAAACGAATCAATGGTGCAAGAAACACCCATAGCAATAAAGCAGAGCCAAAGAGCATGCGGTTCGCTGTATGCTGCCTTGAGACTCGATAGTACCTCTGCAAATTTCGATAACAATGAGGAGGAGGACAAGAATGTCTGATGTTGAAGCTCTGGGATTAAAAGCGCAGTTATGACACAGGCACTCTTCATCAAGAGGTAGAGCGCTGGTAATTTAAGTGCAAAGCGGACGGAAAGTCTCGGCGGGTGTGGGTTCCTGGGGGCAACAATGGCATTAATCCTGTTCAAAACAATATTCTAGTTCCCAAAGATGCAAAGACAGATGTGATAATTGAATAAATTAGTATGACACTCTAGACCTCACCTCTTATTCAAACTGTAAACCATTGTAAGGAGGCATTACCATAAAGCATAACAACAGAAAGTATGGGCTGGTGAAGAATTGGATCATGGACGGCTGATTCTGCAGCAACTTTGTTCCTCCATTACCAGCTGCAGTGGACCCTGTAACATTGCTACCAGAAGCACCATGATTACCTCCAGTCTTTGTTCCTGTACCAACAGCGGTGTTAACGGCAGTATTTTTCATAGTGAGGCGATTGAAGAACCCACGACTGGCAAAAGGTGATTCTCCTCCTCCACCCCTTTCGAGCGCATATTGTGATGGTCCAAGGATAGTTTGTTCCATGACAATGCGCATATCTTCTAAACTACCAGGGACATATTCCCGGATCACATCAGAAACAAATTGAAAGGGGCGACGGACATATCCACGCAAGGGCAGGTAGAGCGCCCTGGAGTAGGATTCCAGGGCCTCAACAAACGGCATTTGAATTCTCTGCAACACGATGTCCGAATGTGAAGAATGGAGCAAGACCGTTTTGAGAGAGAAAAGAAGAAGAAGAAGAGAAAGACAGAGAGAGAAAGTAGGGGTTATTCTTTCTTTTTCTTTTTTTTTTTTTTTTTTTTTTTTTTGGCAATTGAAAGAAACGCCTCAAGAAAAGATGGAATGAATGAAATGAAGTGACAAGAATGAACAATAGCAGAACATCCTTAAAGAGGAGTAGAGCACATGTAGTTTGCTTGAAAATAGAAGAGAGAACGGGAAGTGAAGGTGTCAAAGGGCACAAGGTTCGAAAGGAACAGAACAAGGTTTAGAAAGGAAAGGCTAGACAAATTGTTAATCAAATCGAGAGGCAGTATAGAAAATGCCTTTATCGGATCTGTTTTTATTTGTTCTCCTTTGTCCTTTAGTTCAGGAGTAGCCCTTGTTTTCTTATTATTTCTGTGCAATGAATAGATATTATATATTATATATATATATATATATATATATCATCAGTAGACATTATCAAGTCCTTTTCGCCCTTGGATAAGAGAGCCTACCCCCCATTAAACGATTGGTATTTCTTGTGGAGACAAGCAAGATGACGGTAGTTGTTGGGCGCATTATTAATTAAATTTCCATAGGGGATGTTCCGTTCCGAATTTAAAGCTCGCATTGTCAAACCCACAGGTATACATCTTGGGAAGAATAAATACCCTTTCTTCCTTTAACTCTATTTATTTGCTTTCACCAAAGCTACCAAAGCTGTAAACTTATGGAGTGGAGCAGTAATCTATTGAAGAACCTCCTCTTCTTTACCTGGCCCAAACCTAGAAAGCACGACATGAAGCCCCGTGGCACCCATTGGCACGGGTAATGGATGCCTCCTTGGAACTTTTGGGTCATCGTTGGTCACATTAGGACAGGATTACAAAGAACAAACATGATCCGAAAACCGACACTTCCTCTCCTCCGACTACTCTCTTATTCTTACTATTACTGCCATACCGTCATTGACATCGTTGACCTTCCTCTTACTGCTTTGTTTATCCTCGCCAATTACATAGTTAGGAATAACTTTGCGATTTGCAGTCATTTATATGGGTTTTTACTATAGCTAAGATTTTTACCCCTTTTTATTTAACAATAAAGACATCTCGTTACTTATTATGATCCCGGTATGTTTCAATAGTCATTGCCGCTGAAAACATGCTGACGAGGGTAGAGAAACTATGTTATTCTCAAAATATGTTCACGATCCCCTCAATATAGTCATTATATCTTAGCATAAGAGGAAGTAAATAAGAATGTTGAAAGAAATTTGATGCTGCGTTATTTAAAGGAGCCGCATTCGATGGTTGTGATGATGAGGACAGCAATATGGATAGGATTTAGATATAATGTTTCTTACAGAAGGAGCTTTGTCAAGCACAGTGTGCTAAGTATGTAACTAAAGCGGATGTAGTCTGATAGATCTGAAACTTTGGACTAAATAAAGGTTCCTTGTGTATTTTGCTCTAAGAATTTTCCACATTCCAACCAACCGTGAAAAGAACTGTGAGCGACCTTGAAGAAATACACTGATACCTTGTCAATGCTATGATCTCAACTAGGAAAGTCACCCGATCTTCTAACTAACAGCCAAAGTACACATTATATATAATTTGTTTATATATACTTTTGTTTATTTATCCGTACAATATATTTTGAAAGTCTTCAATCCTTTTATTTTCTTATTATTCAAGAGGGAATGCAAATCAGGCAAAGGGGCAAAGAAACCTTTTAGTGATCGAAATCGCCAAATTCCTTGACTGGATCACTGATGTGCCCAATAAGTGTGGGCAACAGGTAAATATCTTCAAAGAAATTTGGTGGGTGTGGATCTGGATCCCACCTCATTCAGTATTTTGTATCAAGAGTTGCCACCAAGAAAAAATTACCAATTTTGGAGTATCCACGTGATGCAGGCAGATCGGAATCTTTTAGATCACGTGAATTCGCAAGTTTAGGGTGGCTTCGTACGGCAGGACTGCTCAAAAGCCGCGCCTCTTTGGGTTTGGGGGCCTAAAGTGGACCACGGACTTGCCAATTTCTCCGATCAAGTTAATGTTATTGATTGATCTTGAACGTACATTAATTCCTCTTTGATCCACTCGTCCCTCTCGCTCCTCACGCAACATTCTTACAATGGCTCAGGCTTTCAACAAACTCGGAGGAATCTTCCCCAAGGGCAGCGGAAAGGGCCTTGTTGGTGGCGCAGGTGCCTTGATCACCATTGGTGCTCTAGGCTATGGTCTCAATGCAGCACTCTTCAACGGTAACGAATCAGCTATATACAAAAAAAACAAACCAAAGACCCTAAAGAGAGCTCTAATTTAAAAAGCTATGGTTCCCAGAAGAAACAATACTGCCAAAGAAAACAAAAACGCACTTTTTTCTTTTGTTTTCAACACACTTAATTTAGATGGATCATACAGCGGGGAGTATCATAATAAATAAACTTACTAACTTTGCTGCCTCCTGAACATTTCAAATTTCATAGTTGATGGAGGTCACCGCGCTGTCAAGTATTCTCGTGTCTTTGGCGTTCAGAAGGAGATCTACAACGAAGGAACTCACTTTGTCATCCCTTGGTTTGAAACTCCAATTATTTATGATGTCCGTGCAAAGCCCAGAAACGTTGCTTCTTTGACTGGAACGAAAGGTACGTACTATCTTTTTTATATTATTATTATTATTATTATTATTATTATTACTATTTCCTCAGTGGTAAAATCAACAAGAGGCTTACTATCTTTTCTTCCTCTAGATCTTCAGATGGTCAACATCACTGTTCGTGTACTTTCTCGCCCCCGCGTCAACGATTTAGCAGAGATCTATCGCACATTGGGACAGGATTATGACGAACGTGTGTTGCCTTCAATTATCAACGAGGTCTCCAAGTCGGTTGTTGCCCAGTTCAACGCCTCTCAGCTCATTACTCAACGTGACCGTGTCTCACGTCTCGTTCGTGAGAACCTGATCAAGCGTGCGGCTCGCTTCAATATTGTTCTGGATGATGTCTCGATCGTACATATGGCCTTCTCACCTGAATTCACTCAGGCTGTTGAGGCTAAGCAGATTGCTCAACAGGAGGCTCAGCGTGCTGCTTTCGTTGTTGACCGTGCCATCCAAGAGAAGCAGTCCATCATTGTCAAGGCTGAGGGAGAGGCTCGATCTGCTGAGCTTATTGGTGAAGGTAATGTTTGCTTTGCTTATATCAGATCAACTTTTTGAAAAGAAGGCCTCAACATTGTTTCAATGCTCGCTTTTTCGTTCCTCATTTCTTTTTTTCTTCATGAATTTCATACAAATAGCAATCAAGAACCAGCCTGGATTCATCCAACTGAGAAAGATTGAAGTTGCTCGTGAGATCGCATCCATTATCTCCCATTCTTCCAACCGTGTCATGTTGGACGCTGATACATTGCTGTTGAACGTTACCGAGCCAAAGTAAGCTTCCTGGCTTTTTTTATTATTATTATTTTTTTTTTGTTTTTTGTTTTTTATTTTTTATTTTTTATTTTTTACATATAATGTGAGGCTAATCCTGTCATTATTGTTGTAATCTATTCCAAAATTACAGGAAAGAGGCTCAGACAAAGAATTAAAGAAGGTGTTGGCATCTTGTCAGGATAGCGTCAATATTTCTCCGTAGCTTGTGTGAGGGAGCGACTGGATCACGGATGGTGTTTTTTTATTATTTCAGATTCAATAATCAAAGATACAAAAAAAAAAAAAAAAAAAAAAAGCATTTTGTATTGTGTTGTTATTCATTATCTTCAATTTAGACATTAAAGGATTTATTGCTGTACAGAATTCACACGATGCGTTTAATTGATTATTTATACATATTGCTCAATGTAAGTGGAATAAAGTTCTTCTCCTGACTTGACAGGCTTCGTAGTAACCAACACGACAGTACGCAAATAGTTCAGATTTGCTTGAGATCCCTGGTCTGTAGTGTTATACCTACTTCCATTGTTTCTGCTGCTACTTCTGTCAGTAGCACTATTGTCATCATGACGATGATCGTGATCGTGATCGTGATCGTGATCATAATTGTTGGTATGCCAGTCTCTCGAGTACCAAATGTTTGGCAAAAACTCTTGCAGTTCTAAAGGACAGTCATTAGTTTCGATATCCAGTTCCTGATACCGAACATTGGAGGGAAATAACCTAGTTCCATTGTTGACGATCTGTCCAACCGCCAACGGATTTTTGATGACCCCTGTGGGTACTCTCAGCTCTCCTTCCTCTCCTTCTTCTGTTTCTCCTTTTTCTCCTTCTCCTTCTCCTCTCCTTCCTCCTTCTACTCCCCTATCCTCATTTTCATCTTCTTTCTCTACCACTATTGGTCTCGTTACCCTTTTCTTTGCTAAAGTAATATCTGAGGGAGGCTCATTTCTTGATACTGATATTAAAGGCATGGCCGACGATATCTCCTTCCCCTTCATAGCTTCTATTTCCAGCATGGCTCGCTTAACATACAAATTCCAATCAACCATCCAAGTGGTATCTGCTGTAGATATTGTCCCTGGAAAATTATCCCGCCCGTTAACAGATCGAAATATAGATCCAGAAAGCCCTTTAGCCTTACCGTCCACATAAATCCCGTCATTGCATTTTAAAATGTATCGGTTGTGAATCGAGTTGAAAAAAGTGGCTTCTCCAGGCTCAAATAAGACGCCTGGATACATGGCAACCACCGTACCTGCTGCGATCGTTCGTCGTCTGTCTGGACATTTGGAATAAAGAAAGACCCCTAAGCCAGCATTCGGGATTCGGGATGGTCCAATTTTGAGACAGAACCCTTGCTGTTGCTCTAATACTGATTGACGAACTCGGATATTACTGTCATTTGTTCGAGTTTTCTCACCATTCTCCTTGGGAGTTGTAACAGGAACTGTCTGTTTTAAGGCATTGAAGAGTGATACTAATTGTCTCTGCGCTTGCACTGCGTCAAATTCAGGGCGGGTCTGTGTTTCGTCAATGTTGCTTTCTCCTTTTTTTGTTCGTCCAGCTGCTATGGACGTCGCTTTCGTTGCACCAGTTGGTTTCATTCGCTGAAGCATGAGCCTCAATGCCTGGTACGGGTAGAAACGATGTAGAAAGTCGCGCATGGTTGATCGAGCGCGAAATCGTTCTAATTCCCTTGCTCCTGAGGAGGGATCTGAAGGTGAATGAGCACGAGTATGAAAAAGCGATTTTTTATTTATTTATTTTTATTTGCATATTTTAAACCAAAAAATGTAGTTTACGACTCTGGATCCATACTTTTGAGTGCGTTCATAGTCAAATCGTGTGTAACCTGCTTTTCACTGATTATATTACCCTTGTCCAATGCTGTGGCGTCGGTCGAGGACAATAGTTCTTTGGTATTGTTATCATTATCATGAGCGTCTGTGATCATGGCCGTAGTCATGCTCGTAGCTGTAATGCCATCTGGTAAAGCATCATTTGATTTGCCTTTGATGTCTTCCACTAGATTACGATGAAATTTATATACTCTATATTGTTCAGTAAGGGCAACCACGATATCTTTGTACTTGGTTCGCTTGGTCGCCAGCTCAGATACCGACCACAAATCCTTGTCATCTGTCCTGTTCTAATATAGCAAAATGGAGAAAAAGCATGTTTAGCCCATTTATAAACGCTAGACCATATAGACCAAACCTTAATGAAAGCATAAACAGACTAAAACTCTTACCACAATGGCATCCAAAATCGTCTCAGGATTTCTCAAGAACACTTCTGCATAGTGCAAGAGATACACTCCACAATCCGACAAGTTATCTTGCTTGGGACACTGTGGGTCGAATAGCATAGGAAGAGAATTGGTATCAAACCTTGAACAACATGCACATATACTTTTTGTTAAGTGTATTTACCTTAGAAGAGAATTTTCCAGCTATTTCCTTGGATGTCAAAGTCATGGAGATACCCTTCCTTGATAAGAGTACCTGCTGCAAGTATGATCTCAGAACACTAAAGACCGCAGAATGGGTGCCTCCGAGAGAGTTTAAGCAAAGGATATAGGGCCTATAAGAAAAGTACAGCTCAGGTTCTTAAGTACCAATCACCTGTACTCTCAAAGTCAAATTCTTGTTAAGAATAGTGAAAAGAGAATTACTTTTCGCTTCCATTGATGAAAGGCATCTTGGGATTCTTTGTTGGCTCATTATCACTGCCGATTACGATGCTATTTGCAGGTGGTGATTTTCCTTCATCAATTCCAGAGCCATCTACTAATTCTAGAGAAACATCAGACTCGGATTCATTCGCTCTTCTGAGAAGCAAGCCTGGATTGGTAATAATAGCCAAATGCCAATGTAAGCTGACAAAAAAGTTGATTAGCAATTCTATGCGCATATACATATAATAGCTGCATCATGCTTCAACAACAAAACATCAAGCATATTAAAATGAGCCTTACTTTTCATTGATTGGGACAATGATATACTTCATAGAAAACAGATCAATTTTGGCGGTCCAGTTCTTAATAGCTTCATACGAATTCGCCTGACCTTTGCTTCAAAGCCCCACATAGCATGTATGTATGAAAACACAGTAAATGTTAGCATTAGCCTACCTTCCTAAAACTGCTTACATCAATACGAGGTGACCACAGCAAATGACTCTCCATACTCACCTTGGTTTCGCAACAAGTCTTTGATAAAAGAATGTGTTAAAGATATAGACCTGTCCAGCCAGAGCTGCATTTCTGACTTCCGCGTTTGCCTGTACATATCTTGAAAAGACACAGAGAAATATGTAGAGCGAGCATAAGTATAGAAAGAGTTTTTTTTTTTTTTTTTTTTTTTTTCCTCTGTAAATAATGTAGTTAATGATCATCCTTATGTAAGTGCATTACTTCAGCCCAAATTCGATTAAGGTATCGTTCAGAAACTCGCCATCGTTCAGTCGGGAGGCATCTTCGGCTCGCACGGCGATAGATTTCGACTTGATGCTGCTATTAAATGGGTATATGAAAAGCCTACGTAACAGTGTGTTAAGCACCCCACATGGTTAGTTCACATGTATATAACATAAATGTATAAATGCTTAGACCTATTGGTAATAGCATACGTTTCTTCTGAGGAATCTATGGACTCTGGAGCTGGAGATCTGTTTGGCAGTATGGAAAAAAATCGAAATAGTCAGTCAGGTTCCATTGTGGCCAAGCGGTGTATTGTAGAGTAAAGTACAACTGAAGATTCTGATTATTCATACCTCTTCTTTTTTGCCAAGATTTCCTCAGCAGCGCTGGGCCTAAATAGAATGAATAATCATTGAGAGTATTTAATGGGTCTTGTTATTTCCTTCTCTCTTCAGAAATTATTATGATAACAAAACTTTTTTTCTTTAAAAAAAAAAAAAAAAAAAAAAAAAAAAAACTCTTCGAAAGCTTGTCATACGTTAGACGTCTAGTTTCTACACCTTTTTGCTTCAATATGGCGCAGATACTGACAATGCATGACGAGCTTGTGTCAATAAATAACGTGATCATCGGCGCTTTATCCGACAAACCAGCAGGGTCGTAGTGCTGTGCTAATGCAGAGGACTCTGCCAGCTTACTGAATGTAGCAAACTGAAAAATCTTGAGGGTTGACGCAGTGTAATACTAATGAAGGCATGTCAAATAAAAGAAAAGATAAAATCCCTATTAGCAAAAATGAGCATCATAATAATGTCTTTTGCCCATAGATGTTCCTGTCACATTGCAGGTAGTTACAGAAACTCACTTACATTGACGGCTTTGATCTCTGAGTGGGGAATTTTAGTGGAATTTCGTCTGATAGTCAATGAGAGCCGCTCTACTCCAAACTGGACAGTCATGCCTCCGGCTGTAAACTCTGCAGAGGGCAACACACGGACACATGATACGGGCATCTGTGGCCAGGCCGTAGTTGCAGGTTTGGTCGACTTGCTGACAATCGAGGCTCCAGTACGGAAACCATTGATATTTTTAAGGCGATTGGGAGCTGTTAATCCTGTAGTAGGTATGGTCACGGTCATTGTGGATGCAAGCAGCGACGGTGGCGAAGGCGCTGGTGGTGACGTGCACATTGTAGAAGCCTCCGTGCCTGACGACCCTAATGAAACAGACTACTAACATGATGAAATATCAGTAGATGTCCTAGAGCCAAGAGTATGGTCGTGAAATCTCAATTAGCTTGATCAAAACACTGTACATACGCTTCTTCTGCGTCCTCTCGGCCCTGAAGATGCTAATTTTGAAGGCGGATTGTCATCTTCCATTCTTTCCTTTCCAGTCTTTTTTCTTTTGTTCTGCTTAGGCTCTAATTATGACAGTACATACGGGTGTTACCCCCTGTTGCTTTTGGTTCTAGGAATCATAAAGGACTCTTGCTAAAATAATGCCACTCACCTTTTTGTACATCGACGTCGAACAATGTTGTTACATTAGGAACGGCTTTCTATGTTAGGGGCATCATGTTGAAAATATGCAATATTAGATTTTAATAAGTTGAGGGGTTGAGGATTGCTAATATGAAACATGAAAAACTTTAGATCCTTCCATACCGCTTTTCCTTTATCGTGTTTCTGTGCCTCTGCCTCAACTAGTTTCTCAAATCCTGGTACGGTCCCGATTACATCAAAGTCATCTTCCATCAAAAATCAACAATAAAATCATTTTGCACAGTTTAATTTCGTAGGTACCTTCAAAATAGCATTAGCAAAAAAAAAAAAAAATCAATCTTCAGTAGCAATCATTCTTGGGTCTATCTTTATTCCTACCTTTGTGGGGATAAAAAGGTGGTGGTTGAAATCCTTGTGAAAATGAACTGGATTTCCGCCTAGAACTACTACCGCCACCATCACGATACCCGGTCATTAGCGCTCGGTTCGCTGTTTTGACGGAGAAATTAGACAGGCGGCGCTGGTTTGTGGGAACCGGGATTGGAATGCCTTTCGCCAATGGCTCTTTTTTAGCTACTGTTGCCCCCCCACTTGACAAGGTGACAAGGAGAAAAAAAAAAAAAAAAAAAGTAATAGTCAAGCTCTGTACTTTTTTAGCCACATTTCTAAAATAGGTAGATGATAGATATTTGTCTATCAAATTACCTATGAATTGGGGTCCCACTGGACGCGTAAGGATGCACTGATGCCATCTAATGTTAACAAGAGTCATTAAGCAAAAAATAAAAAGGTACTTTAAGTTTAAAAAACTTTCATTGCTTGTGTGCCCTCTTTAGGATGTGTTTTCTTGATGTTTGTTATTAAACCGCGTCATTTCATCGTCTTTGACTAATATCACTCTCACCAACTTGGCATCGAGGTGCAAGTTGCTTTGTCCTGTCATCGAGGTTTGATGATGGCTAACGAGAATAGTGCCTTGCTCCTAACTCGGCGCAGCGCGATGTGGCTTCTCTTTCTATATTGACCAATCACTGGATTGGCTGTATCCTATAATTTATGCTCATCTAACTTTATCACAGCACAGCATTAAATTCATGAAGCACGTGCGTACTGAAATATATCCGTGTAAAAAGTCGCCTTTAATCGATTCAATAAGAAAAGAAATTAGCGATAATGCTAAAAATGACCCGAAATAAATATGGTACAGCTCTCCTTTCATTTTTATTGGGAGGATTCGCAGAGGGGACACATGCACTTGAAACGATAGTGTTGGAAAAGCTCTTGACGTCGCTGCTCCGTTGAAAGGGTGCCATTCTTCTGATCAATAAAGCCAACATGGAGTTCCTCACCAGCCTTGATATCCTTGCTTGCAACAACTGACATGTTATTATTATGTTCCAAGAAGACAATCTTTGCATTCGGATCACATGAATGCGACACGTAGGATGTAACTCTGTAGAATCCAGCACCGACAACAGGAGCATCGTGCACACTGCGGTATTGTTCAGGGGAAGGCTATACAGATCAAATGATAAATGACAAAATGGATACATGAGTAAAAACAGTAACGACCTACTAACAATTGGCTACAAATATCACTCGAGTGCCTTTCGAATGAATTACCTCTACAGATCGATCTGCATCCAATGAAGTGGAGATACCATAGGCATTATAGAGCAATTTACCCTTCAAGGTCAAATAACGCTCCTCATTAATAAACTCCTCGATTCCGGGGATTTTCGATCCAAGAGCGACCTTCAAAAGAGATATTTCTTTCTCCTCTGCTGCCGAAGGGCGGACTTCCAAGAAGCGCAAACGCTCGATGTGATCGAAAAGGTTGTACTCCTCGCCACTGTTCAAAGTCTCTTCGTGGACCATACGAACCAAAAATTTGGCAATCATCTCGGGATACTTGTTGTTAGTCTCCTTGGTATAGTCATAAAGTGCGCGCTCTGGGGTCGAAGCATCTTCAGAATCTTTGGTGCAAAGAACAGCATGGAATTCTGTCGTGGCCGTCTTCTGGCAGGTTTCAGAGCAGTAGACAACCTTGCTACAGGTAGCACAGCGAACTCTGTCTTCAGCAGCTATCTGTTTCAAACAGTAGTGACAGAACTCTTTGCCTTCCAAAGACGGCTCCAATGAGCTTATGATAGGAGTTTCAGAGTAGATGGTTTCTCCAGCAGCAAAGTCTTTGGTGACGAACAATCCGCGACGAACAACCTTCTGTCCCTCAGCTGTAATACCTTCAGGCAGCTCATCAACTTTCACATTCATCTCCTTGGGTGGGAAGATGGTATAATACTTCTCTTGTTTCTTGTGAACCTATCGTAATCACAGAAAATAAAGTGAAAATCATAATATATCAGTTAATGGCGTTCATGTTACTAGTCCATAGTTCATCCTACCATAGGAGCTCATGTAAAACCTTATTGGGATTACGGATAATTGTTATTAACTTACATCCATGCTCAACATGCCCATAACCAATGTGAAGACTTCCGGAGGAATTGTCTTCTGGTAAACCATGACCAACTCTGCAGGAGCAGGGTAGACTTTCAATGCCTTGTAGAAACAAATGGCAGCCGTGTCGTAGCCCTCAGGACCTAATTGACCGTTGATAAAAAAATATATATCATAATGGAGATCAAAAGTGGACTAATCAGTCACAGTGTTGGATAGATTTGTTCAATTCTAGTTCGTTGTGGATGACGTAGCGCAGAAAAGTAGATCTGAACCAAAAGAGAACACACCTCGAGTAAAATGTGCTTCACCGGTGGAAAGCTGTTCCATGCAGAACTTCTCACGCGCCTCCATCGATGTAGGGAATTCATCCTCCTTGATACTTGCTAACGCCTCCTCAACGGTCTTGGCAGTCTTAGTGACCTTCTTTTTTTCTTCTTCCTTCTGCTGCTTCAAAGCACGCTTCTTCTCCTTCTCTAAAAAAAAAAAAAAAAAAAAAAAAAAGATAAATAACAGCTCATGTTAGTTTCTCCTTACGCCTTTCATGATCGTATTATAAGCGGTATACTCGCGGAAGATCAATTCAAGTTCCATATTTTGTTTTGCAAATTACACAATTGAAGGGGGTACAAAAATAGTATTTGATATGATTCGACGAAACACTAAAGATTCAAGAGCAAAAAGTAATGAGGAACATAAGCAATGTAATTTCTTCGAATCAAGCTGACTGAATTCGAGAAAGAATACATGCTTATGTATCTACGTTTGCGCATGGCGATCCCTCATTCATGCTCTTTAAGAGAACGTATGCAACAAAAGCGAAAAGCAAGGAAGAAGAAAAGAATGGCGGTCAAGGGTACATACTCAACTTGCGACGAAAATCGGGGTCATTTCTACGCTTCTGGTCAAAATAAATGGCATAGCCGATAGTAGCGACAGCAATAGTGCCGACGGTAGCCGCAACAATAGTTGAGGTCTTCATGATGTGCGGTTCGAGAAGAAAGAAAAGGAGAGAGGTAAGAAGAGAACGGAAAAGAAAATAATACCATAAAAATGAAATGAGCTGTTGACAAAATTCTGCAGTAAACAGTCCCGATGAAGGTTGAGATGGCACATCACGTGTACAGGTAACTGTACTTTTATGGAAAAGATACCGAGATTGCCAGAAATAATATGATAAACGTGCAGCAATTATGCCATCATTACAAAGCCCAAGAGAGAATCATAGAATATACATAACACGAAAACTCATGAAATATATTTTTTTTTTTGCTAAAAAGCGCCCATGAAATTCTTTCAACATTTTATTGCTAAGAAAACATTCAGATCAAGCATAGCGCTTAGGCTTGCTTGCGGCGGAAAGAGCAGCCTAAAATGAGATAATGAAAAAAACAGACGTTGACCATTAAAAAAAAGATCATGACAGATCGTGGAAGATGAAACATTCCTCAAAATTGATTTAAATTTACAACATACCCTCGGTCAAGCGGGTAATACCACCAGTGGGCTGAGCAAGAACGTTAGCGCAGCTTGAGCACATGACGACAGTCTGCGCGTGCGAGAAGACAGTGGTAATCTGAACGCATCCCTGGAGAGAGAATAAGTCGAACAAATGAGAGACAAGAATAACAGCATCAGCACAACAGTGATTTTGATCTCACAAATTGATTGTGCAATAATCCCTGTAGATCCTGTTTACAGATGCAACTCATAGCAGCAACAGCAACTGAATGTCGTTGTGTAATACGATAGGGATATTTCCTGGCGGTCACCGATTATCAATGCTTGTCTAGTTGAATCTCGATATTGAAAGAAGGCGTACTCAGACGACTGCAAAGTTGAATATCTTTTTTTTTTTTTATCTCATTATTTTATGAAGAATGACTGGCTGCAAATAAATATATAATATAAAGTCCTAGATCCTGACGTTCCTGCAAACTTCCTGATGTAATGAATGAACACTTACAGGGCACTTGACATCCATGAAGTAAGAGTTGGGAGACTGCACGAGTCTCTTCAACTTGTGAGTCTTCTGCTCATGAGCGTGAGAGGGGTTCAAGAGATCGACAGCCAACTGTTGTGACAATCGAGAGATGTAAGTGCATAGGTTGGTGTTAGTCTCATCAAGTTATTTTGTCTGGTGCCCATATACTGAGATTATTGCTTGCTGATATATCCATTTAGAAAGTGGCTTCACTGATGGGTTGATGACTTCCGAAATTATCGCCTTTTTTTTGTAACATCCTAGGCGCTTTGTATTTTTGAACAAAGTTTCATCATGCAATGAAGTTTAGAGATGATGCATACTGTTCCAAATCCTCGGATTTCTCCGTGATGTTATATAGTAAGTGATGCATTAGTGATATTTTTTCATTATCAGAAGACACTTGCTGACGGAACAATAAATCTCAATGCCAGTGATGTTCCTATTGAGAGACTTTTCCAAAGGCTAATTCGGAGAAACGCCATAGATTCGTTCAGTCCGAAAATATGATGCAGACTTCATAATCGATGTAGAAGATGTTTCTAATGGATGGCTGACTCCAGTATGATCCCGTATCCGTCCAGTATAAAGCATCTTCGATCAAGGAGGTGTAGTTCAGTTCACGTGACTTGCCATCTTGTACTGAATCAAAAGGGAAGAACTTAATTTTGAAGAGATGTCCAAAAAAAATAACGCTTCGTTTGCTTGTCTAAGCCACATCTATAGAAACCCCAGTGCTCATGTGGAGGTAATGCCATAAACGTCTGCCTTTTCGTTGTCGCAAGACATGTGTCCAACTGTGTTCCAATGATTCTTGGAACAGAAAGAGCGGCCTCTGATGCAACACAATTTAGCGTGAGCATCATACAATCTTTTATGTAAGTAGAAATGATGGAAGGTAACGTCAGACTTACTCAAGGAAAGCTTGTTGAAAGGACATACGGATGGGTTTCATTACTCGTAATATCCGTCAGCGACGGCATTTTTGGAGCTTGAACCAATAGAATTCGCGAACCCGATAAACGTTAAAATATTGTCCACTTAGGTTGAGACCATCCATAAGCAATACCTCCAGACCATGGGCTCAAATTGTCTGGAGCAAACCTCCGGGAAAGTGTGGAGGGTAACAGGTCTACAGCCAGACTTTGAAAAGAGGGCTGGAATCAAGTATGGAACGATCTCTTTGATGCGATCGGCGTGGTCAGAGGCCCAACAAGCCGTTTCAGTAATATATCGTTTATAAATGTAGATGTCGTAAAATCAACACACTCCAATTTCGATCCGCAAATGAAGTCATCCTGGACTCAGAGTCGAATTATGATCGTTATTGGGATATTCAACTAGAATTTTGCGTGAAGCAATGGATCTGATGTACAATTTGGTGTCTCGAAGTATGTGCTAGCAGTGGTTACCTTGTAGTTGTTCGTCGTGCATTCATTGCTTTTGGAGGTATCTTACGCGCTTTGGACGCTATCCTAGATAATCTATACTGATTCAAATAATTGAGTGCTGAAGCGCAACAGAGCTCGAGATTAAATAACCTGTCGCCTTCATGTGTCCGCCGTGGTTGAAGAATATATTGACCGACCTGTGTAAATCCATACACAGTAATAAAATTTGAGTTTGAAATACAGACGGCACCAAAAGCTTCATCTTAGGAGGCGAGTAGTTTTTTTTTAAAAAAATAAAAATAAAAAAAAAAAAAATCCGGTACAGGCTGTGTTCAATCCGAAGTCTTTCAGGAGAACAAAGTCGTGTCTACAATCTGCTTCAGAGAAGGAATTCATCGTATTTGAAGCTATTGTTTTGGCCTGATACGTTACGCTTTTGATGAAATTTACTCCTTGGGGCCAGGATAGTGTATTTGATGATAGTTGAGCTAAGATTGCAATTGGGTAGAGACATGGTGGCATCACAAGATAATTGTTGAGTTAGACTGATACTGAGCATAGGTGAGATGTGCATTTGGTCTTTCTCCCAACACAGAAGTGACAATAAGAGTACAACGTGCCTTGTCAATGTCTCAAAAATATACGGACAGGGAATGATTGAGTAACAGTAAAAAAGTGCTGTCTAAAATGTAAACAATAGAAGGAATAACAAGTCAGAAAAAGCTAAGTGAGGCATTGTTTATCGCCGTTGACTTTAGAACGCAAGCATGGCTTGATCGCGATAGAGCGTTCTGCCTTGAAGTAGGAATGAGAGTAAAAAGGTGATAATTAGAAGTCATCATTTCGAAAAACCGTTCCTTCTTACACTGCATTGTATTCATGCCATCCATGTGAATTGAGAAATTAAGAGATATGGATTGATTCCATGATAAAGATCTAAGGAAAGAAAACAAAAATATCTTCATCTTAGTGGTCTTTGGAAGGATGGAATAAATTTGCCTGCAGGCACACGCATTGATAATGCAAGAAGATTACAAAAAAAAGATTGCGTCTTAATGAGTACAAAAAATGAGATCAAAGTTGCAGCTAACCTAAACAACACAAATAACACAAATTCAGGAACACTTTTTTTTTAAGATAATTCTTTTCCATCTTCTCAACGGTCCTCGAGTCTTGGACATTAATCACTACTGCTGCTGTTCCTCTCAATGTACTGATACATCGTGTAGGACACTTCAGCACTTATCCTCAGTCTTAAACAATTTATTACTCCTCTCTGGTGGTAGGAGCAGCGGTTTGGAGTTGCTATCGAAGAACAACATTACACGCGGTGTCGTCAGAGATGACTTTGTGGACACCGAGCTTGATGTCGTACAAACAGCTCAGGGAGCAAACACAATTTGTATGCTATTCATTCCACAAACATTATTTCTATTGATTCTTATAAATAAATCCTTTTTACGCTGAAATCCATGCTGAATTGAAGTTGCAAAATCCACATATTAAAATCGCCCGCGCTGCTTTTTAGGGCCATACATGGTCATCACCGAAATTGTAAAGGGATATACACACAGAGACCCATCTACACCTTATTCTTTGCTTTTGTTTTTCTTCGTAGAGCCTCCTGGGAACCTGTTTCGAGGCGGTATCGGAGAGACTCATTTGGATATGTGAGGTTAAGAAGGATGCGCAGGGATGAGATTATATAGTGACAAATGCTTGGAGGTCCGGGGGACACCATGAGCTGAAATATTTTCTGGCATTACTACTTTACCTCCGTATTAAGAACCCAGGCTCAAGCAATCCCACTAGTATAGATATCCAGAACCAATGGAGATGTAACTTCAGGGCTGAAGTAGGCAATTTAATAGTACGATATCTATAGCCATTGATAAACAACACGGGGTAACAATGACGGCTTTAGCATCGTCAATCTGATGTTGGTCAACAACATTAACTCACTGCCGTTTTTAAGTTATTTACCCAAAACACGTATGGCATTCCCTGTTGTGCTCTGCAGGTGGAATCGAGATCACAAAATTATTTCTTGCTCCTGTTCTTGTTCTTCATTCTCTAAGTTCTCTGAGCGCTTTCCCTCACTCTTTCTTCTTCATCTTTCTCACTTCTTTATTTTCACCTTCGCATTTCCTTGACACATCGTCTGTTTATTCCATAATTGTTTGGTTATTAAACCTAATATTATATATCTAACTACGCTTATATATTGTTATCCAACCTCTATTTCTTTTCATCTTACTTGGTCACCCCACTTCTCAGACATCAACTAATCCAGGCAATAGCATATTTCAGGCGCATATCGTATAGACACAATCTTAACTATTGCTCTCCCTTCAGCATATATATTTAATTTTTAATATTATGAACTCGTCAACATCACAACTACCTTATCCCCAATATAATGAGCATGATTTGCCGAGGAGAGAAACAGATAATTCCTCTAGCTCCCAGCGTTCTCTTGTCTACCCCCCAGTAGCAGGTTTTAGAATGAGTACTGGTATGTCTTACAGTATTCAATGAGTTGACACCAGAAAAGAGATACGAACATGCACTACAGCACAGGCTCTGAAGCCTACAGTCTCTTGTCGATCTCCAACTATACTTAATAGTAGTGGTTTGCTTTGAATTTTATAGATCGACCAGAGAGCGAACAAACGAGAGCTTCTCAAACGTACAGCGGAACGTATTTTTCTAGCTCAGAGGACCCACAGTATCCAACTGGGGCTTCTGAAATTGATCTCTTTGGCCCTCTTCGTGGCCCTGACGATGGTCGCTATATCGGCTATGCGCCATCCTCTGAAGCACTCCTGTCTCTTCTTGAAAGCAAACGTAGCCTTCTCCCTGGTCAACAATATCAATATGGGAACCTCTCTTCCGCAGATAACATCCAAATGTCCTCTCAACCACCACCGAATCCTTACCCTTCATGGACCATTGAGAAGCAGGTGCCTCTAACGCGCGAGGAGATCGAAGGAATTATGCTTGATTTAACCAGGAAATTCGGCTTCCAGGCTGACAACATGCGTAACCAATATGAAGCATTCATGACCATGCTTGATTCGAGGGCGTCTCGAATGAGCCCTGTACAGGCATTAACAACAGTCCATGCAGATTACATTGGAGGAGAGCATGCCAACTACCGTAAGTGGTACTTTGCGGCGCAGCTGGATCTAGATGACCATATGGGTTATCACTCAGCTCCAGGGAAGGACAAGAAGGTGAACCGCGACTATATGGCTCCGCAACCTGGCGCCGTCAGCATTGAAGCCCATGAAAACCTTGCAATGGCCGAGGAACACTGGAAGACAAAAATGAATCAAATGTCACACTTTGACCGCGCTCGTCAAGTCGCGCTCTATCTCTTACTTTGGGGAGAAGGGGCACAAATCCGATTCTTACCTGAGTGTCTCTGCTTCATCTATAAGTGTGCTGAGGATTACTACCTGTCACCTGAATGCCAACAGCTGGAGAATCCTGTTATAGAAGGAGAGTACCTCCGTAATATTGTTATGCCCATCTACCGATTCATCCGCAACCAGTCCTATGAAATCCAGGGAGGTAAATATGTCAAGCGTGAACGAGATCACAGCTCTGTGATTGGCTACGATGACATCAACCAGGCATTCTGGAGCCCTGAGGGCATCGCACGCATTCAACTTAAGGACAAAACAAGGCTAGTGGATATACACATTGGCAAACGCTGGATGGTTCTCAACCAAGTGAATTGGGAGTCCGCATTCCGCAAGACTTATATTGAGAAGCGGACCTGGCTCCATTTGGCCGTCAACTTTACGCGCATTTGGATCATCCATGTTGTCCCTTTTTGGTACTTTACGGCTTGGAACTCTAGCTTTATTTACATGGATAAGGAAATAGATGGAGAAGGTGTCCATTACTCTATCGTTGCACTTGGAGGAGCCATCGCCACACTGATTATGCTACTTGGCGTCATTTGTGAATTCATGTTTATTCCTTTAACATGGAGCAACTCTTCGATGTTAGTACGTCGACTAGCAATCCTTGTCGTGGTGCTAGTCCTTAATGCCGGCCCTTCAGTATACGTCTGCGGTATCAGTCGTACTGGCACAGCTTCCATGATTGTCGGCATCACTCAGCTTACTATCTCGCTTATTACTACTCTAGTTTTTGCCATCGTTCCATCAAACCAGCTTTTTGGAGCTTTCACAAAGGCGACTCGGAAGAATCTGGCCTCGCAAACCTTCACTGCTTCCTTCCCTAAGCTCAACCGGTCAAGTCGCGCGCTTTCATATTTCCTCTGGACTCTTATTTTTGCTTGCAAGATGGTCGAATCATACTTCTTCCTTGCACGGTCCTTCAAAGAACCCCTCAAAGTTTTGTATTCCCAACGTATCCTCAACTGTAAGGATAAATTTATTGGGCAATCGCTCTGTAATATTATGCCTGTCTTTACCATCATTGTCATGCTCGTTGTAGACTTTGTGTTGTTCTTTCTGGATACATATCTGTGGTATGTCATATGGAACACAATTTTCTCTGTCTTCCTTTCGTTTAAACTCGGGATCTCTGTTTGGACACCATGGCGCGATATCTTCTCTCGTTTACCAAAACGCATATATGCCAAAATCTTGGCTGCCGCTGATATGGACATCAAGTATAAACCCAAGGTCCTTTGCTCGCAAATCTGGAACGCGATTGTCATTTCGATGTATCGTGAGCATTTATTATCTATCGAGCACGTGCAGCGCCTCCTTTACCAGCAGGTGCCGTCTGAGAACGAAATCAAGCGTACGCTCAAGGCTCCCATTTTTTTCGTGGCCCAAGAGGACTCCTCACTTCAGACTGAATTCTACCCTAAGCACTCAGAGGCCGAGCGACGCATCACCTTTTTTGCCCAGTCGCTCGCCACTCCTATTCACGAGCCACTCCCTGTCGATAAAATGCCTACATTTACGGTACTAGTCCCTCATTATTCCGAAAAAACTCTTCTCTCACTCCGTGAAGTCATCAGAGAAGAAGACCAGAATAGTCGCGTCACACTGTTGGAATATTTGAAGCAGCTCCACCCTGTCGAATGGGACAACTTTGTCAGGGATACAAAAATCTTGGCGGAGGAGTCGACAATGTTTGGAAGTGCCGCCAGCAGTACTGGTCTGGACAGCGAGAAGGGTAGCATGAAAGATATGGGCAAGGTCAAAAGCGACGACCTTCCTTTTTACTGTATCGGTTTCAAGTCTGCTGCACCTGAGTACACTCTTCGCACCCGTATCTGGGCATCCCTCCGTGCACAAACGCTGTATCGCACTGTTTCTGGGTTTATGAACTACTCCAAGGCCATCAAACTCCTCTATCGTGTCGAAAATCCTGCCGTGGTACAGCAATTCGGCGGAAATGGGGATCGCTTAGAACGCGAGCTTGACCGGCTTTCACGACAGAAGTTTAAATTCTTAGTCTCCATGCAGCGATATACAAAATTCAGCAAGGAGGAAGCAGAGAACGCCGAGTTTTTATTACGCGCTTACCCTCAGCTTCAGATCACGTATCTTGATGAGCACCCGTCGGATGTCGAAGGAGAGGAGCCTATTGTGTACTCAGTGCTTATTGATGGTCAATGTGAGGTACTGCCGGACGGCAAGCGTAAGCCTCGTTTCATGATTCGCCTTCCTGGCAACCCTATCCTAGGAGATGGCAAGTCAGACAACCAAAACCACGCCATCGTTTTTTCTCGAGGCGAGTATATCCAGTTAGTCGATGCCAACCAAGACAATTATCTAGAGGAAACTCTCAAGATTCGCAATGTCCTTGGGGAATTTGAGCAATATCATACCCCTGGAGTATCTCCTTATTCGCCTCAGATCGAATCCAAGGATGTACCTGAGCCTGTGGCCATTGTTGGTGCTCGCGAGTACATTTTCTCGGAGAATATTGGCGTTTTGGGAGATGTTGCTGCTGGAAAAGAGCAGACATTTGGCACGTTGACTCAGCGCATGATGGCCAAAATTGGTGGCAAACTGCATTATGGACATCCTGATTTCCTCAACTTTATCTTCATGTCTACACGCGGGGGTAAGGATACAGCTGTTTGTGGGACTAACAATGTTGACATTAAGCATGATGAATATCAGGTTAATTTATGATTCATTGATGATTAATAACCTAGGCGTCAGTAAGGCACAGAAGGGCTTGCATTTGAACGAAGATATCTATGCTGGTATGATGGCTTTCAGCCGCGGTGGGAGGATCAAGCACACAGAGTATATTCAGTGCGGGAAGGGTCGCGACCTTGGATTCGGCTCTATCCTCAATTTTAACACCAAGATCGGCACTGGGATGGGAGAGCAAATGCTATCGCGAGAGTATTATTACTTGGGGACACAGCTACCGCTCGATCGCTTCCTTACTTTCTACTATGCTCACCCTGGATTCCATGTTAACAACATATTCATTATGCTTTCAATCCAACTCTTCTTATTCTCAATGCTCTTTATCGGTGCTATGGCATCATCGGTCGAAGTTTGTTCTGATATTGCACAAGATAGCTGTGTGAACTTGGTGCCTGTGTACGACTGGATCAAGCGCTGTGTTCTTTCCATATTCCTTGTCTTCTTTATTGCCTTCTTGCCTCTGTTTCTTCAGGAATTCATGGAGCGCGGCTTTGCTAGGAGCATCATCCGTCTAGGAAAACATTTCATGTCGCTTTCGCCTTTGTTTGAGGTATTTGTGACACAAATCTACGCCAATTCGATTTTGACCAACCTGTCGTTCGGTGGAGCTCGTTATATTGCCACCGGCCGTGGATTCGCAACGACCCGGACACCCTTTGCGCTGCTCTACCCCCGTTTTGCTGGACCTTCGCTGTACTTGGGCATACGCATGCTCATCATGCTGATCTTTGCATCGCTCACTATGTGGGTTCCTCATCTGATATACTTCTGGGTCTCAGTCCTGGCGCTGATTATTTCGCCCTTCATCTTTAACCCCCACCAATTTGCGTTCACAGACTTTTTAATCGACTACCGCGAATTTTTGAGATGGCTCTCCCGCGGTAACTCAAGGACACATGTTTCGTCATGGATTTCATATTGTCGCACCCTCCGCACTCGTATCACAGGTTACAAGCGTAAAAGGCTCGGACATCCTTCAGAGAAACTTGGCGGCGACATTCCCAGAGCCAATTTTTTGCTTATTTTTTTCTCAGAGATCGTCCTCCCTTTCATACAGATGAGCCTCTGCACTATTTGCTACATGTTTGTCCGATCCTTTCCTAGCATGGTCACTAACAATGGTACTGCTGTCTTTACAAGTGGATTGCTTCGCGTTGGGATTTTTGCTCTTGGTCCTCTAGTAGTTAATGCTGGCGTACTGGCGGTCCTGTTCGGGGTATCACTACTCCTGGGGCCCCTCATGAATATGTGCTGTATCAAGTTTGGATCAATCATGGCTGCTATCGCGCATGCAATTGCAGTCATCTCGCAAATATTCTTCTTCGAAGCAATTTGGGCATTGGAAGCTTGGAATGCTGCCCATGCGGTGTTAGGAGTAATTGCAGCTATCTCTGTCCAACGATTTGCCTTCAAGGTCACGATAACCATGTTCTTGACACGTGAATTCAAGCATGATGAGACTAACCGTGCTTGGTGGACAGGCAAGTGGCATGGCCGTGGTTTGGGCTTGCATGCAGTCTCACAGCCGCTTCGCGAGTACTTGTGCAAGATAATTGAGATGTCTATGTTTTCTTGCGATTTCATTATGGGACACTTGATCTTGTTTATGCTGTTCCCAGCTTGCTTGATTCCTTGGGCGGACCGTTGGCATTCAATCATGTTGTTCTGGCTACGGCCCAGCAAGCAGATCCGACCACCCATTTTTCCTGCAAAGATAAGAGCGCAGCGCCGGCGTGTTGCTTGGAGATATGGTATATTGTTCGTTGTGGTATTTGTAGCATTTATTATGATGATTATTGCGCCCTTGTTCTTCCAGCAACTCTTACCTCAGCACTTGGAAAAGCTCATTCCAATTTAAAGGTCCTTCTCCGCACCCTTCCCTTTCTAGTTTTGGCCCATGTCTTTACGCCAATAAAATGATGCTGATAGCACTAAAACACCCCTCATGAAATAAGTGCGACTACCTCGGTTCCAAGAATAGTTTTTTCATTTACATAACCAGTGCTGTAATTGCATTGGAAGGATGTGATCAACAATATCGCATATAAAAAGAGGTTTCACTTTGTGCCCAACGGCAAAATGCGGATTGCCAAACCCTCTTTTTTTTTTTTTTTTTTTTTTCCCAATGATGCCCAGAACATGTCGTTCATAATGCGGCTGCATGTTTCCAAGTTACTGAATATTTCATTTTACTTTCTTGGACGTGCTTCATTGGTCGCGAATGGCCATCGTCTTTCGAGGAGAGTAAGCGAAGCAACTATTATACACGTATATTTATCCGTACCATTGGTTTCTTATCAGTGGCGCTTGACTTTATTTTTTAAAAGGTCTGACAGCTAGCGAATTTGTGAGTACCCGAGAGGATGTTCAAAAATGCCTCATCCAATTTTGCATTTTTATTGAGCTGTCAATTAAAAAATTTTGGTTTGACAGGTGGTGCCTCTTTTTGGTATGCGACGAATGCCAAAATATCAATCACTCAACTGCCAAGCCAGCCTTGTAAATAACTGCGTAGGGAAATCAACAAAGAGTGAAGTAGCATTTGTTTTTTACATAATTTTTCAATGTAGAAATAAAGGACCAGCCTTATTTTCTCTTTCTCTGCGCTCTCTATCTGTCATAATCATCTACTTTTCGTTTTTTCGTACATCTTAAAAAAAAGAAAAAAAAAAAAAGGTTTTCCGGAAAGTGTATCTAGTTGGAACGGGCCTTGGGGGATTTAGGCCATTTGAGGTTTCCGCGAGAAGGGCAACGGATAAACTCGTATTTAGTGTGAATGACACCGCGACTCAGGGGAGCCAAAGCCTTGAAGGCGGAGGCCGTTAAATCGATCTGGTTGGGTTTGCAACCGGCGCAATCATCGATAATACGGACAATAATTGAGCGACGTCCAGATGTGATCCTAGCACATTCAAAACAAGCAGCGCGGTAGCCACCCACATAGTGCTTCATACGAACAGCTCCAATATACCAGCCGTCTTTAGCGTCAACGTGGCTGTTACCCAATAGAGTGCCATAGCAAGCAGCCTTTTTTTATCAAGGAAATAAACCGAGAGAAATACAACGAAAAATATGATCCATCCATCCATCCGCATAAATATATAAAAGTAAAAAGTTAATGTCTGAATAAAATTCTATCGCTGAATAAAAGTACCAGAAGTTCCATTCTCAGGTACATTGTGAGAAGCACGCGAAAGTTTCCAACACTTGTCAAAATCTTAATTGATATTACAGTTTTAGAGATGGGACACTTACGCCTTTTAGGTCGTGTCCATTGAACCAGGTGGACACACCATTCATCTTCCTGTTGAAACGGACTCTTTGTGTAGGGGCATTGGGCTTCCTTTTCTTATTACTCTTGCCAGCCTCAACCACGGCGATGAGAGCAATGATGACTATAAAAAGGAGGGTTGAAAAATGAGAGAACTTCATGACAAAGGAGAAGCCTTTTGTTTTTGTTTTTTTTATGCGTGAAAAAGGAAAATTGAATTAAAGCGACAGTGAGAGAAAAAAGGAATGAAACAAGTATAACCAAAGAAATGTGTTACAGGCCTTTGCGTTAGAAGCTGGGGAGATATATGGAGAATGTCAAGATCGAAGGCTACTTTCGTATTGAGGAAGAGTGGAAGAAGAAGAAGAAGAAAAGTGCTGATATTTATTTATTTATTTTTTTTTTTTAAAAAAAAAAAAAAAAAAAAAGATTGAACGAAGGAAATCTTGGCTGCCAACTACTATTTTCCTTATATTGATTAACACTAATCTAGTTCTTCCGTTATTGTTCTTGGTGTCTTATTAGAAATAAAGCATCTTAATGAAGGTGCACGACAAGACACGGCATGTGGAGATCAAAATGGCGGAAGACTTGTTAGACGAGAGCAATTTTTTAATTCGTGTCTCAATGTATGTTTGTTGAATGTGAGCACTTTATGAATGAGCATAGAAATCGAAACAATACAGATTACACGCATTTCATAAGAAGAGAAAGATCCTAAAGTAGCAACCGATGCTTTCAAAGGAAAGTTGCGCCGTGCAGCAATAAAGCCAATTTTGTGTTTATACACATTAGCTTCAGTTGTAAAGCTGTTATTAACAACTCGGTGTGTTGATTGATATTAATTTGCCTTTCATTTCTTTCGATTTTTTTATGTAATCACATCAGCAATTGGAAAGATATCCCATTTATGCTCTTCATTATGCTGCAAGTCGCGTTACTACATTGCAGGATTGTTATTGGTCCGGAATCAATTGGATACTAAACATTCTTGAATTGAAATAAATACGGGTTTCTATCGCTTTAAGTGATTGGAAGAGGAAGATTTGCTCGCCTTTATTTGTTATCGAGCCTAAATGGCATAGAGTTCATTTATTGTTGATGTCTACAGAAGCTATTACATTCTCTCTTCCTTATTAGATTGTACATGTAGAATATATATATATCTACAAATAAGGAAATAGCTCAGCTTCAGATGAATAGGCATACCAGACATAAAATAATATGATAATGATTCTCACACGTATAGGAAATGAAAATTTCCTACAATCAGGTGATCAATTGATGTTCAGTAGTACCCTTAAGAGTCTTTTTAATTGCGGAGGCTCCTTTCAAGACTCGTTTCCACATCAATCCCTTTTCATCAAACTACTCTTCTGACATCAACAAAACGCACGCAAGATCCAACGGAGAAGCGCTTGATTCATTTCTAGGCTCATCGCCGTGCTTCTGCCTGACTTCAACGTAACAAGACAAAAGAAAAGAAAAAGAAAAAAAAGAAAAAAAAAAGAATCAAGAACAAGAAACAGTGAATCATACAACTTGAAATATCTATCTCACATCGCACCCCAGCTTCTTTCCTTGCATCACTATTTTTGATTTTAGCTTTTTCAGCACTTCAATTTTTTTCCCTCTACCTCTTTATCCCTTTCTTTGCTTACACCGTAAAGACTGCGACCTTACTACCTTGCTACCTGCCTGCTGCTGCCTATTTTCCCTTGTCTGTTGTGCTTTCTACATAAAATAAGAATAATCATCGTTGCTCATAATTCGTTCTCGTTATGTCTCCTTCTCCTTTGCAGAATGACCTTGTTGAAGCTGAAGAGGGCGAGATCATTGAGCTGGATGACCACCAACAACGGCAGCATCAACCCTTGAACGGAGCGACTTCCTCTTCAAGCAGTGTCGGGATAACAAGGAAACCTTCTTCGGACGATATCAACGGAAACAAGAGACGCGCTTCCTTCTCCTCCTCCAGTAATGGTTGCACGCATGACGCGGATGAAGACAGCCGAGAACGAAGTAGAATTAGAGAGCAGGAAAATCAGGTTAAGAATCAGAGCATTCGTGATCACATAGTATCCTCTCCATCGCTCAATGACCCAAACTCACCTGTCAAAATGCGAAAAATCCGCCATACAGATCCTGCATCTTCTTCACTTCCAGCTTCATCGTCTTCTCGTTCGAGCCCTTCGGAAGATTTGAAGGCAATCCATATTAGAGATTCGCCGATTCCAGATAAAGATAGGGATATTGAGATGACACCCGCAAGCCCTGCGCACTCGACAACATCGTCTGATCATAGAAGCACTACAAGCTCACATCGTGCAGAATATAGGAGGTCCCAGAGTAGAGATGAAGACGGCTCTTATCGCCGTCGCCACAGAGACAGATCATCTGACCGTCATTATAGTCGTTCAGATCGTCATAGCCGCAGTCGATCTAGAAGAAGTCCGAGCCCACGGTATACATCTTCTCGAAGGTAACGTCATCCTTTGAATTCGCAATGGCACTCAGAAGCGAAAGCCTTGGCTTTTTTTAACTCTTTTTTTTTTTTTTCCTTGTTTTTTGTCGTTGTCATCGTGCTATTTGCATGTCCTAAATTATACGTTGTACTGACTCTGATAGAGATGACAGGAGATCTTCAAGGGACGGCTCCTATTCTGATCGTCGGGACTATGACAGAGGGCGCTCTTCTCGTTCGTCATCTAGCAGAGACTACCGAGCGTCACATCCTATCATGACGTCCGGAAGACATTATGATGACCGATCTGATCGTAGTTTTGAACAGGAATTGGAGCGTTATACTAGGGAAAAGTCGCGCCGCCGGGAGGACAGCCATAGCAGAAACTCAGACAGGGATATTTCGAAGGAGCGCAGAGAGCGAGACGAAAGAAACATTTCTGAAAGGAAGTCTGAGAAACCAGCCGGGTAAATCGCTTTTTTGTTTTTGTTTTATTTTTATTTTTTTATATGTTAGCTCCTGAGGCTAATTTAATTTGTGCACAATTTATATAGCTCTCGAAGCGGCACTCCAGCGATCGACAAGCCCGCTTTGCCCAAGGATACAAAGCCTGCAGTTAAAGAGATTGCTAAGGAGACATCAGTTCCTATCAGAATAGATGTCAAAACTGATCCTCCCAAGAAGAAAGAAGAGGAACCAGAAATTGATATACCCATTTTGATTGAGGAAGAAAAGGACGAAGCGGCACTATTAGAAGAGCGGCACAGAAAGCGCCAAGAGATGCTTGATCGACTGAAGAAGCAGGCTGAGAAAACTTCTACTCCAACCACACCATCTTCAAGCAGCATCACGCCAATCATAGCAGCAGCGTCTCCATTGAGTATCAACCCTGTTAGTCCTGTAGCTGTCAGCACCCCTGGCTCGGCTATTGATAGCCAACCCGGTACACCCACTAGCGCTATTATGGAAGATAGGTCATTTCATAAAGCACCATTATCGACTCGGAAAACAGCAAGTGAAATTGCCATTCTCAAATCAAAGGATGCATATGAAAATGTGACTAATGGTACTGACACAGAACACGACATGTCTGCAGCTGATTACCATGAGTCTGCGCCCTCTTTGCCTGCAGAAACAAGGAAGGCGCTTCCTGCTAAGGATTCCGTAGAGATCGACATGTTTGCAGATCTGGAAGATGATGACATGTTCAGTTTGGGAGATGTGCCTGATGTCACTGTTCCCAGTAAGGTAACAGTCAAGGTTGCTGTAGCAGAAACTGCTGCCGACTATAACCCTACACTTGTTGATAATTGGGATGATGCAGAAGGATACTATCGTAAGTAAAAGACCTGTACTTGCAATATGTAGGAAGCTATTACCTATCTTCATTCTTTTTTCACATTTTAATTTATTTTTATTTTTATTTTTATTTTTTTAGGCTTCGGACACGGCGAAATACTTGATGGCCGATATCTAGTGACAAGTGTGTTGGGTAAGGGTGTTTTTTCTTCTGTGGTGAAGGCGCGCGATACTAAAGCGGATGATGCCGAGGTTGCTATCAAGATTTTACGCAGCAATGAGACAATGTACAAAGCAGGCAAGAAGGAGCTAGAAATTTTGAAGCGATTGATGGCGAACGACCCCCACAACCGCAAGCACATTATTCGTCTGCTACGCCATTTCGACCATCGTGGACATCTGTGTCTCGTCTTTGAATCGCTCTCGATGAATCTGCGTGAGGTATTGAAGAAATTTGGTAAAGATGTAGGCCTCAATATCAATGCCGTCAGGATTTACGCCCAGCAACTGTTTTTGGCCCTTTCATTACTCAAGAAGAGCAACATTTTACATGCGGATATTAAACCAGACAACATCTTGGTCAATGAAGCCAAGAATGTACTTAAACTGTGCGATTTGGGGTCTGCCTCCGACACAAGCGAAAATGAAATTACACCATACTTGGTCAGTCGGTTCTACCGTGCGCCGGAGATCATCCTTGGCCTTCCATATGATCCTGCATTGGACATGTGGTCGATTGGATGTACCCTTTATGAGCTTTTCACGGGCAAAATCTTGTTCTCTGGCCGCAGCAATAATCAGATGCTGAAACACATGATGGATTTGAAAGGGCCTTTCTCAAAGAAGATGATTCGAAAGGGACAGTTCTATTTGAATCATTTTGATGAAGATTGCAATTTTTTGTCGGTTGAGGTGGAGAAGGTGACTCAGAAGGATGTGGTAAAGACTATCCAAGTCTCCAAACCAACCAAGGATTTGAAGACGAGGCTGATGCCTTACACTGCCAATATGTCACCAGCCGATGTCATTCAGGTGAACCATTTTATCAACCTACTGGAGCGATGTTTACATTTGAACCCTGAACATCGGATTACTCCTCAAGAGGCTCTGGTACATCCCTTTATCAAGTCTCAAAAGTAGTTATTGAATAAACTACAAGAAGTAGAGCAAAAAGACATACTTCTATTTATATAATTTTGTTTTTTGTGATGACGACCTTTTTCATTTTAATAAAGAATGGTAAGGATGGCACTATAGGATGGCAGTGAATAGAGTACACGGAGGGAGTTAATAATAGAAAGAAAGAAAGAAAGAAAGAAAGAAAGAAAAAAATAAAGCTGTAGTGAACTATCGATGGAATGCTGAGAGATAATGTGGGGAGAAAGAAAGAGGAGGTAAAAAATAAGGATTATGTCGCTTTGCAAGCATGAAAATGACGACGTCAATTTTGTCGGTTGTTTGAAAAATAGCCCTCTTGTCTCTAATACCGCACATTGACTTGGCCTTGACTCGGTGAGGCACTGGGGGTGATGTCCTGCATCATAGACATGGGCCTGCTAGGTCCAGGAGGAGGTCCATTTGAGGAAGACACTGGTGGGTGGCCCATCCTGGGTCCTCCTCCACCAGGCATGTGACCTTGATGGTGCAGTGGCGGTGGTGGTAATGAGCTTCTCGGTGGTCCTGGTGGTCCTGCTCGGCCATGCTGCGGTGGCATTGGGTAACCAGAACGATCATGTCCCATCATTCCAGCATGGTTTACCATACTGATTGTGTCTGCAAACACCCCATTGGCTTGTGCGATAGGACAGTCCTTGTGTGCCAGTAACAGCGCCTTGAGATGAATAATTTCATCACGAAGTGCCGCTGTTTGGCTCTGAAGATGTTCATTGTCTGTTGTCAAGTACTCCACTTTTTGTTGCAAGTTCGCCAACCACTGTTTCTTACGCTGTCGGCATTTGAGCGCAGCTGATGTCACAAAGGAGAGAAAAAAGAAGAGAAGTGGGTTAGCTTAATAGCTCAACTATATCTATATATTTTTTCTCTCTGTAAGTTATTAATTTGATTCTTACCTTGACGATTACGCTCTAAAAAGTTCTTTCGCTTCTCCTCCTCATCCATTTTATCATCGCCAGTTCCAGTGTTCTGCTTCTTCTTGGCACTGCCATTAGTGTTACTATTATTATTATCATTATTGCTATTGTTTGTTGCTCCTTCACCACCATAGCCAGATTTAGATTGCTCAGAATCATCACTATTATCCTCTGATGTCATACGGCTTCGTCGCACGCCACGAACGAACGCTGGTTCCACTCCATTTTTGGGAAGTTGAGGAGCTGCGACCATGCCTGGCATACCCGGGAGGCTCTGACCACTCTGGGCAGGACCACTTGTTGGATGTGCATTGACACGAGACTGAGAGCTTATGTGTGGCGGAGGTGGTGGTGGACCATGCGAATGATGCTGTTGATGCAAATTCTGTTGACCACTTGGACCATTTCCATTTGCATCCGAACCTTCCCTCTTGACCCACATCTCCCTATGAGTCGCTTGAGCTTGACTTAAAAGATGCAGATTTCCATAACCGTTCATATTATCCACATGTTGAGGCCCTTGTGATGACATATTATAACTATCATTCATGGACGGTGCATGGTTATTCTGATTACTATAGTTCTGAGACGGCCGCGACCCTGGTCCTCCTCCTCCTTGGTGTTGTGAAGATTGTTGCTGGTGTGATGTCAGAGAGTGTGATGGGTTATAGGTTGAAGAAGAATATGGCTCTGAAGTATGGAGAGCCACTGCAGGCACAGGTAAAGGTCCAGGGGCACCAACAAATGGTAGTCCATTGTCAGCAAGAGGTGCACCTGAGGTGAAAATGTTAGAGATGGAGGATGACGGTGGGGGAAACGACCCCAGTGGCAACGGATTTTGTGTGGTCTTTTCATCAAACACAATCGGGTTCTGAGGACCTTCCAACATGGATGGAGAGAGAGGTCCCATCCTTAGGGACTGTGCATCCCACCCAAATTGATCTGTTCCCGGTGCCAATCGTCCGGACATTGCCTCGATGGGTGGAAGTACAGGCTTTGGTGTTTCAGCATTTGGTTCCGAGCTCCCATTCGCTGTTGTAGATGTAGTTGTGCTTGTAGTAGCTGCTGTTGATGTCACTATTGCATTGGATGATCCTCCTTTTTGTGAACCTGTGGCAAAGCTCTGCTCAAACGGATTAGGTTCCATATCCAGTTTGTTAGAACATTGCTGTAGGTATCTCATGGGACTTCCACCATTAATTGGGGCAACCACTGGTTTTTTGGCCTTGTCATCATCAGCAGATGTGGCGATGATATATGGAACAGAGTTGGTTGGTGAGGGAGGCAAGTCTGTGCAAGGAATAAAGGTCAAAAATTTGGGCAGCATGTTAGAAGAGAAAATCTCTGTGTCCAATGCCGTCAGATGCCCCGTGCGTAGAATTTGGATAGATGCCAAAAACCCAAAGGTCATTTATTTCTTTCCCTTTTTTCCTCCACTTACTGATGGAAGATTTGCCCGACACTTCATTGCCAGGGGCAAGATCTCTTGACAGTGATCCAACGGTAGTCATAACTTTTTGTTCAAAACAAAATCTGAAGAGCGACGTTTTTTTGTAAAATTTGTGCTTAAAATGCTGATGGGACTGGAGAGAAAGACAAGCCGAACAGTCCAGTCCGATATGAATATTTTTATAATAATGCCACTCAGTGGTTGAATGTTTTTCTTCCTTTGTTGACTACGTTTACTTCTTTTAGATTCGCTTCATAAGAATGATAGCCTAAGACAAACATTCCAAGGAGAGACAAAGAAAGGATCAGATTTCACTATGATACTAGTGTATTTTTCATGTTCACTCTGGCCACTGATGAATCATAGACGGGAGCGTGGCTATGGGGAAGTTTTATATAAACAAAGTAAATAAATAAAAAGACCGAAAAGGAGCTATCGCTCCTCTGCCGCGAGAAAACGGAGCGATACCTCGTGAGCTACGAAAGTATTGAACGTGGCAAGAAACAATATTGCTACTCAGAAGAAGAAAAAAAAAAAGGCATACAGAAGTAAAGGAGAAACAGGATTCACATGCAAAAGCAATGAAAAAGAACAAAGCGAAATGCATAAATGTCAGAAAGAAAGTGGAAGTTGTACGTTCCGATGTAGTGTGTACTTTTTTTTTTCTGTTTTATGTGTGAGTCTTATTACTGAAACCAGTCAGCTTCTTGGTTTTGGACGAGTGATTCCAGTCAGTGCACAAAATAGAGAGACAAGGACAAAAGGGGGTTTGGGGAAAAACGACCGCCGCACACATTCACTTGAAGGGGAAGGGGGAAGAGCAAAGTATGATGTACACTTGAAGACCGAAAGGAAAAGGAGGAGAGAGAAAAGAGAGAGAGCCCAAATGATTCAAGGGACAGCAAGTATCGGATAGACACCACAATAATAACAATAATAAAAACATACAGTTACACGTCAAAAAAGGATATTAACGAGTTAACGTAAACTTCTTTTTTCCTTTTTCTTTTTTCTATTGCGTTCTATTACAGTCGCCAGTGGTGGAAGCAGTTGGTATAATGTGAGCGGTGAATTTGAAAGAAATGTCCGTAATGAAGATTTGTTTTTAAAAAAAAAAAAAAAATGTTCAGAAAATAAGAGCAGCTCGTTAACAGGCGGCTATATGACGAAATCAAGTTCTGCACAAGCACTGCGTGGACAAATAAGGGAACAAGGGGGAAAGAAAAAAGATGGAAAAGGTTCAATGGGAATAAAAGTGAAATGTACTTGATGGAAAGGGGTGACAATGAGAAGAAAAAGAAGAGAAGAAATTTTTGCAAGTATAGCCGGATATATGGTTTATAAAAAAAAAAAAAAAAAAAAAAAAAAAGTGGCGGGAAAGATTGTGCTAGACTGCAAGGATTATTAATCAATTCAAATCAGTTAGATAGCAAAGAAATGATCATTGTAGATGAGAAAAGGTCTTACAATAAGTAACTGTAAAAGAAAAGAAAAGAAAAGAAAAAAAACAAAAAGAGGTGATGGTAATGTTGTATGGTTGTATCTTAAAAGTTGAATGTGAATGGTGAGAATAGAAAAATATAACGTTGTTTGAGCGAATGGTGAATATGCTTATCAAAACCAATACGAAATCCTACTGGTTGGGATACAGTATGTACACTGGTGTAATACGTCATCATCTGCCTTTTTTAATTGGCCAATTAGCGTTGAGAACTAATCAATCTGCATTTTAGGCCGTCGGTTGTAGACATGTTCAACCCCCTTCTTTGCCGCCTTAATAGATTTTGTATTTAAGGATGAGAGAACCAATCAGAATGATCTTTACAAAATGGTCACTGGGTGCCCATCAAAGCTTTTTTAGAACTGACGTGCCTGGGTAGGTTGTAGGGAACGCACGTGCCTGTGACTGGTGTGACAAGCAATTGGATCTTTTTGTGTAAACAAAAAAAAAAAAAAAAAAAAAAATTTAGTGGCTAGCAACTGCCTGCGTTCCAACATCTACTTCCTCCTCTTACTCCCACCATCACCCCATTCTCTTACCTTTCCCTTTACCTTTTCTTTACCACTTTTTTTCTTCTTTATTTTTTCTTTAAATTCTTTAATCATCAAATAAATCACTATGGCAAAGGCTGTCGCTTCCAAGGTTACCAAGGCCGACAAGGTTTCTAAAAAGGAGAAGAAGGTCGTCAAGGCTGCCTCCTCTGACTCTGACTCTTCCTCCTCCTCCTCATCATCGTCATCGTCATCATCATCCTCGGACAGCGAGTCTTCTGATTCAGAGTCTGAGAAGGAAGAGGTGAAGAAGGAGATCAAGAAGGTGACCAAAAAGGAGGTCAAGAAGGTAGAAAAGAAAGAGTCTTCTGATTCTGATAGTTCATCGTCCTCTTCTGACTCTGACTCTGACTCTGATGATGAGAAGGAACAAGAAGAGAAACCCAAAAAGACGGAAAAGAAGGCTGAGACTTCATCTGATTCCGATTCAAGCTCTGACTCTGATTCGGATGATGAGAAGGATGAGGCTGAGGAGGATACCAAAATGGATGTTGACAAAGAGGATGGCTCCTCTTCTGAGTCCAGCTCCTCTGAATCCTCTAGTTCTTCGTCCGATTCCGACTCGGACGCAGAGTCAGATTCGGATGACAAGAAGCGAAAGGCCGATACCGAACAAGCCCCAGTCGTCAAGAAGGCCAAGACTGAGACCGCTGCTGCTCCTTCCAATGATGATAGCTCTGCTTCCACTACTGTTTTCGTTGGTGGTCTCTCCTGGAACGTTGATAATGACTGGCTTCGTCAGGAGTTTGAGGGATGTGGCGATATTGCTGATGTTCGCGTCATTACCGATCGTGATTCCCAAAGATCTAAAGGGTATGCTTCATTTATGTTTAAATTACGGTTGTTGAAATGCAAACAGATGTAACATCTATTCTAACAGCCAATTGAAATACTTTTGTTTTAATTTAACGCTACAGCTATGGTTATGTCGAGTTTGCTAATGCCGAGGGTGCCAAAGCCGCTTTGGCCCTTGCTGGAAAGGAAATTGATGGCCGTCCCATCCGTGTCGATATTTCTGAAGGTCGTCCCAAGAAGGAGGCAAAGTCTTTCAATAACAACACTCCCCAGGGCGAGGCTTCTGATACTCTCTTCGTCGGTAATTTGAGCTTTTCTGCCACTGAGGATGATCTCCGCAGCGCCTTTGCTGAGTGTGGTGAGATCATCTCTGTCCGTCTTCCCACTGATCGTGAGACTGGTCAGCCCAAGGGATTCGGTTACATTCAGTTCAAGACAATTGAAGAGGCCAAGGCTGCCATTGCCTGGAATGGCTCTGACCTCGCTGGTCGTCCCTGCCGTCTCGATTTTGCCGGAAAGAAGCCTGAGCGTTCTGAGGGTGGTGGTGGTGGTGGCCGTGGCGGTCGTGGTGGCGCCCGTGGTGGCCGTGGTGGCCGTGGTGGTCCCCGTGGTGGTGGTGGTCGTGGTGGCCCCCGGGGCGGTCGTGGTGGCTCTACCAACCGTGGAGGCTTCGGTTCTTTCCAAGGATCCAAGGTCACCTTTTAAGAAAACTGGTCTCTCTTAAAAACAAGTATTTCTTTTTCACATTCTTTTCTCAATTGGCATTTTGTTTTTTATCATCATTATTCGTTTTTTTTTTTTTTTTTTTTCTATTTGATCTACCATGACGCATTCTTCAATCTCATCCTCAACCATCAAAAAAAAAAAAAAAAAAAAAAAAAAAGAAGTCCATACCGGTTGTACATTATCACGATTGGGCGGTGTGTGTGATCTTGCCGCCACTAGACGCAGTAATATAAATCACGGTCATCCTCATTATAATCATTTTTGTAGAATGATTCAATAAAAAAAAACAAATCTTTATTTAATTTTGTGTTAATTGTTAGTTACATGTGTCTAATTTGTGTTTAAAGGAGAGTGTTTATCGACGGTTCCATCTTACGAAGCGAACACCAATAATAACCATAATAATATTAAATACAAGATAGATACACATAATACCCAAATTTCTCCAACGATGCCCGTAATCCATGTTAAGGCCATGGTAAAAATCCTCACCCTTGCTGTACTGACAATACTGGCAGTTGGACGTAGCATCAGGGTTGTTAATATATCCAGTTGCAGTCTTCATGAATGCGGCAGCATATTGGCTACATGCCTGGCCTGATGGTGTGTTAAAGACCGAGTATTCATCATTCTTACATTCAACGCGCACACCATTCAGCTGCACAGTAACTAGTCCCTCAATCACATAGTGATACTATTCAAGCAAACAAAGGCAATAGGGAGCAACAGAATAGAAAGGAGTTTGTGTAAGTATAAAGAAAATAACTCCAATCATCGCCAATGGAATCCTTAACCATTCAACGAAACTTACAGGGTCGAGCCAGTACATCCAAGAAGACCAGAACCGAGGCATGCTTCCAAAAGGCTTAGTGGTTTGGATTTCATTAAAAAAAAAACCCCCCCGTTAGAATTTACTCCTAAAAAACTACATACTTTTTATAACAATAGTAAAACACTAACCATCATGACACCACAGAAAAGGTTGAGAGTACTGAAAATGAATGGATTCAGGAGTGCGGCAACAGTTGTCGTGGGCGTAAACGCTGCAATAGCTTGTCCAAGTGTAATAGCGAATAAACAGAACACAATTATGAGCAGCCATGTGTAGAACGTCAAGAGCGAATCTGTTACAAATCCAACTGTCCAGTAGAAGACCAAGAAAAAAATCGTAGCTGATAATAAGACGTAGGGTATTTCAACAAGGAGAATAGAGAAAGCGAAGGCCTTCCAGCCATAGTATTTGCCGGCCAATTCACGGTAGAACCACTGGCGTTCCATATGAAATCGGGGCTCAACCATGTTAACAAGCAGAGCTGTCATGACCATAATCTGGAAAATGACAAAGACACGAGACTGCAGATCAACCTTGGACGTACCCAAGCGGAAGAACGAGAACCCGTTCAACAGCGCAAAAACAATCATCATGAAAATACGACCAAAGTTGTACTGGGGTAGACGCCAGTAAGTTCGTTGCATGCGCTTAAAGACATACTTGAACTGAGTCTTAGTATCCGATGCGTACTCGAGAGTATCATCATGCTCTGGATGGTGGCGAATGTGACCATGGCCATGCGAACCAGATGTGCCTGGAGCACTGTTATGCTTTCGAGTAGCCTTGATGCCAGCCAAAAGCTCCTGCTTCTCAGGAGAAGCTTCCCAGATTTCGGGCCAATTGAGGCCAGCGTGACGAGCGTTGACGACATCGAGAATGTATTCTGCAGGATTAGCATCGGAAGCACACTTAGGAGCACCGTTCTTTTCAAAGTACTTGATCAGAAGCTCCGAATCCTGACCAAGGTGGCCAAAGAAGACAGTCTTTCCGCCTTTAGCTAACAGAAGCAAGTCATCAAAGAACGCGAATAGCTGCGATGAAGGTTGATGAATGGTACAAAGAATGGCTTGACCCTGGTCTGTCAGCTTGCGCATGAAACGCATGATGTTGTATGAGGCTTGAGCATCCAAACCAGAGGTGGGCTCGTCCAAGAAGAGCAGCTCCGGTTTAGCGACCAATTCCACACCAATAGTCAAGCGCTTTCGCTCCTCAACAGAAATACCAAGACCGGACTCAGTAGTACCGATGATGGCGTCAGCAATGCTTTCCATCTCAAGGATTTTGATGATTTCTTCGACGTAGGCATCTTTCTCAGCTATAGACACATTAGCGGGCTGGCGCAGATATGCAGAAAATTGAAGTGCCTCGCGCACAGTAGACTCAGGAATGTGCACATCGAGCTGCTCACAGTAGCCAGTCGTACGCTGAAAGTCGCGGCGAAGGGGCTCACCATTCACCTCAACGTCTCCAGTAACAGTGCCGATGTTCTTGCGTTGAGCAAGTACATCCAAAAGTGTAGTCTTTCCTGCTCCTGAAGAACCCATAAGGGCGGTCATGGTTCCAGGCTTGACAAGGCCAGCAACGTTGCAGAGCAACTGTTTTTGTCCTGAGGGGTCGAACTTGTACGGGACAACATAATCAAGGTTCTCCCATGTAAATGTTGATCCTTTAGCCATGTCCTTGATCTCGAGGGCGGAACTGGCCTTATCACTATGGGCTTTGCCCTTCCCAATCCCAGCTGAGGCACTGTTGACAGTTATGGCCGAGGCATCGGTGAGCTTTTCTTCATTATCAGGCGCGACGCTGTTCAAATGAGTACCCTTCTTGTAAATATTAGTACTGAAGCCACCCTTCCCGAATTCAATTTTCTCCATGGCCCAGCAGGTGATAGAAACAAACAGAAGCCAAAACAAAATAACGGCAAGGATATCAAGACCCATCTCGGAGGTCTTGTAGCGATAAGAGGCGTAAAGGTAATCAGAACCATCAACAACAGTAGTGCCGGGTTTGGAGCCAGCGAGTGTGCAAACTTGATAGTTGATGTCATTATAACTAGGGCCACTGGGAACCATGGCTGGGCCGGCGCAATTAAATTTCAAGCCTTTCATTTCGTTAGATATCAAGGCCTTGAAGGCATATGAGAGCGGGTTGATCCAAAAGATCCAGATGAACCATGGGTGCATAGATTGGTAAGGAATCAGGTATCCACAGTACAGAACTAGAGCCAAGAGAATCAAGCCCGAATTACGTGAAGCGGCATTGAACGTCGCAGACATAGCAGCCCACTAGGGATATATCCGAGCATGAATTAGTAGATGGAAAAGAGATAATTAGATTTCATTTCATGCTTTAGAGAGAAATATAGACAACATCAAGCAAAAAAAAAAATACCATCCGGAAGAATGCTGTCATGCACATTGCGCAGAGAAACAAAATGATACAGAATAACAACCATTTGACAAACGTCCTTTGTAGCCCAGACATGAAATATAGCACGACGGAGAACAGCAGGATCTGGAGAAGCACAAGAGGGATATCGATGCAAACCTGCGCAATCACAAAAGCTGATGGTCGGTACATCGCGAAACTATGGTATGCAGCCGAAATAATAACAACATTAACATAAATTGTTAGTAATGGTTTCAGGTATACAACACATGAAGCCAGGTATGCTCAACAGGATCAGCCAGGCCTTTCAATCACGCACCCCTTATGTTTGTACAGAATTGGGCGCCCCTGCAGTGCCGTGGGGAGCTCGGCTTGGGAGATCAAGGCGTTGAAGAGTAGAGCAAAAAACAAAACACCTCCACGGGTGAAGGCACCGTTAGCAGACAAAGGCAAGAGGAAGAAGACACTTCCGACAATGATGGCTTTGATAACCTGTTTGTAAATAGAGATAAAACTATCGATTATTAATATCATGGAAGGCTTGCAGCTGTAAGAAGCGCATAGCATCAAGACCTACGTCAAGATAAATTCACATACATTGGATGCATAGCGAGAAAATACGGAGGTCAAGTCTCCCATAGTAAGCTGGTATTGGCGCACGGTCAAAGCTTTGACTTGACTAACAAAGTTGATCGTATAAGGAGTGTGGACTGAAACATGCTTCTGCTTGGTTTGCTTGACCGCTTCTTTATAACCCTCGGCAAGGCTCCTTTCATGGACTTCATTCTGATATTCAATGCGCTGTCTTTCAGCTATTGCGTAGAATTGCGAAGCCTTGAACGTATCCTCAAATTCTTTGGGCGTACGGGGCACACGTCCATAAAATTCAGGGCGAGGACGGCGCTCATTAGGATCAGTAATTGCAGTCAGAAAGTCAGCAGTAGTCTGACGGGGAGGGCACTTGAAACCGAGGTCAATGAAGTACTGACGAGCCTCATTGGCAGGACCGAAATAAATGCATCGACCCTCGTACAGAAGCAGGGTCTTATCGAAGAGGTCATAGATGTTCTCAGACTATGTAAAATGCATCCAAAATAGAACAAAAATAGGAAACAATGAGTACGAAGGAATGAATAAATGTAGGCTTGAGAGGGTAATTGTGCTGGGTCTATCATGTCACTTACAGCTTGGTAGATGGTGACGAATGTCGCTTTACGAAGCAGGTTCTGGTTCAAAAAAAAAAAAAAAAATTAAATTAGCGAGGCATAAGAGACTATTAGCTTGATGTCTTACTCTACAATTACAACAATCATAATAAAAAAAAGAAAAAAAAAAGCGCATACAGTTTGGATACGCAAACATTTGGCGTAATCCAGCGCCGAGGACGCATCAAGACCACGAGTAGAGCCATCCCACATGTTGACAACAGATCGTGTTGCCATCTGTTCAGCAATGGAAAGACGCTTGCGCTCTCCTCCTGAAACACCTCGGATGAAGGCGTTACCAACGATAGTGTCGACTTGCTTAGTGAGACCAAACATCTTCGTGAGGACATCAAGGAGCTCTCTTACAAAGTCTCTGCGGTGGTGCTGCAGGCGCTTGGAAGGCGTTTTTGTCTTGAGTGCCATCTCAAGGGTCTGTCGCACGGTCAAAGTAGGGTAATGGAAATCATCTGCAGTTGTGCCGGTTTAATTTCAAGTCAGATTCGTAAACGATAACAAAATACACAGACTGTTTCCTTGATGCTCTATTACCTTCTTGGTTGTACGAAACCTCCCCACGATGATGCTTCTGGATCTCCTCCGCAGAGAAAGGCCCGTATGTGACCTCCCCGTTGATTTTTTTGTAATTCTTGCGGTCATTAGCGAGAACACGCAGCAAAGTAGAACATCCAGCGCCAGGACGGCCGAGGACCAACACCATCTCCCCATCACAGCAAAAGCCATTCATAGGATGAATGATGGTGCGGGTGATAATTTTGGATTGCTTGGAGCCACGTGAGGAACACTTCCTCGCCCAGAATATCGGATTAATCAGATTGAAAATGCCAATAAAGGGATCAGCGAACGTAGTAATATGCCGGGCACCAACACCTTCGCCGAGAACTTCAAGGTCTTCCCAAACAACACCGAGATTGCGACGTTTGATACCTGCTTGCTGAGCTCGAGGTACGACCTCCTGCAGATATTCAGTTAAATCAAAGTCGCCAGCAGCCTCAGCCTTTTCGCCAGCCTGGACTCTGTAAATAGACGAGCGTCTTGTAAGCTCGCGTTTCAATTTTCTGTAATCATTCTCAGCTCCAACAACATCGACATGCGAAGGGCCTTCTCCCCAGCGACCGCTGATGGCGTCCTCATATGTGCCACTTCCAGTGTCATCTTCATCCCCTTCCTCTTCCAACTCTTCGTTACCAAGGCCGGAGATGATAGTTTCATGTTGGGTGGGTTGTTGCATTGGCCGTTGAATTGGCTGTTGAATTGGCACGTTGATATGTAATGGATGTTGTGGCTGCCGCTGTTGTAATGGTATCTGGGGCTGATTATGCATGAGGCCGTACGGTTTATGCTCACCATTACCATTACCCAAGGTTGCTTCACTTGGGTTAGACATTGACCGAATAGAGAGATATAGAGATTGGTTGACGATGTGTTAGGAGCGGATGGGTAGAAACACAGGACAAGGAATTCGAAGGATGCGATGTGCAAGTGCGTAGCACAAGGATGATCAATGGGAACACGGCGTAACAATTCGGTATTGGATGCAAAATGGACTGTGGATACAGATGAGCAACCGAGTGTATGAGAAAAAGTGAGAGAAAAACCGTAAACAACATTAACTAGTTAATGATTAGCGGTCAGAGATCAATATGAATTGTGGGAACAGAGACATACAATGTATTCCGGGTAAGAGTCTACGAAGGGTGGAAAGAAACAAGACAAAAAAAAAGTGCGACTTATGCGGTCCTCTATTTATGAACATGATAATAGGGTATGACTTACTACTTGTATCTCGCTTTAGATTTGGTCTTTCTCCATCCATGTCTTAGCAAACAAGTTGTCTGACCAGGATAGGATTAGTAGGAAAAGTATGCCCAGGAAATGTCATGATTATGAATAAGCTCGGTATTCTTTTCTCAAAGTTATCTCCATCACAATACTATACTCTAGTATCGTTTATTACTCTCCAACTAAGGAATTATAAAAATGTGTTCATATTTACTTTTTAAAAGGCATAGCAGTGCAATAAGAGCCCCTTTGATCTACCAATGCGTGCCTTGTTTTCCGCCTAGGATCGTTAGGCATTAGTTTTTTTTTTTTTTTTTTTTTTTTTTTTTTTTAATCTTCTGTATAGAGCTCAATTGGAACGAAGCTTCAAGATAATTATATACGAACGTGTAAGTATCCAAAATATAACACGATCCATTAGCGGATTCTGTTGGCCATCCGCCGTAAACTCAAGGCAACGCATGCACTTCCCATTGTCTTTCGTATTCATTCAAATTACACAATCAATATAATATTCGGCCCTTTCATTCCGACGTAGAATGGAATAAAAATAATGTGTGATGCTCTTTTCTTCTCTTTTATTTTATTTTATTTTATTTTATTTTATTTCATATCTTTTCGTGCCACAACAGCAAACAACTGTACCTTGGTTAAAGAACCAGTTCATTTTCACATTTATACATCTCAACATCACCTTTAAATACAAAAAGAGGGCGCTACTGTCGGTTAAATTCGATATTGGTCACTACTAAAAGTGACTATTCCTCATAACATCCCATCGATAGCTGCCAATTCAACTAAAAAGCAAAATTGGCTCCGCTACCGAGATGTAGTCAATGATAGGAATTTTTTTGTACAAATAATTGGCAATAAATGGTGCGTCAATCGTTACAAAAAATGATTCAGCGACGTTTCACAACAAATTACTTCATTTGTGTAACACAAAAAAAAGCAAAAACACCACACGCGAAAACTCTGGCTAAAACTTACCCCAGGTATAAAAAATAAATAAATAAATAATCTAAATCAACTACTATCAAATATAATATTGACAAAACACATAAATACATACTGAAACCCTGGATGGCAGACATCTTAATGCTCATTATACGGACTAGCAGCCTCACTCCTATCCACGTCGGAAGAGTATAAGATTAATAATGAAATCAACAGTGGAGTAGGGTCCACCATGAAAGTAGTACCTCCGTTTCACCATCAATCAAATAATGGATGCATGTCTATCTAAAAGTCGATCTTCCTAGAGTACAGAATAGCTCTCTCTTTTTTTTTTATGAAAGTTTTAATCCACTCTTTCTCCTTTATCGACTAGCAATAAAAAAACCGTGCAAGGAGTTTTTTTTCTCGGATCTATTTGTTGACCAAGGTCCTTTTTATTTTAAAATAATAAATATAGTCCACAGGTGCAATAATAAAAGCGCTCTCCAATATAACTTTCAAGTATGGCGTAGCTAATCAGCGCAAAACTGGTAATAGCACACTCGCTTATTAATATTGAGGCCTTCTCGTTCAGCTGTTCAAATATAAATGCCTATTTATTTTTAAGCGTCCTTCCTCCTCCTCTTCCGAAAAAAATATAAAAAAAATAAAAAAATAAAAGAAAGAATAGAGTGGCCAATATCAGCTCAAAGGCAATGGTGAGTAATATGATCAAATGCATGTCTTTCCTTTCTTGTTTTTGATCACCCAATGTATAGATAATGAATGTTATGACAGTACTTTGTTCATAGAAAGATCATACCCATGGATAGCGTATATCACAGTCATGGCTTCTCAGCTTCAAATCACCTATTTTTTTTTTTTTTTTAGATCATTTACCTTTGTCCTTGGACTTCAATACCAAGCCGGTTTTTGGCTGGTGGAAGATGGAATCATTGTAAACTAATGAACATATTCAGCGGAATAAAGAGCTCGCTTAGAGTTGCATCTTAGATCAAAGTACTGTATAGCTTGTGTCACACACAACAATGAAGACGAACATTACAAGGATGATAAATATGCATAACAATAAATAGCAGAAGTAAATGACATATAGGGTTAGAAAGAGGCTTGGCGCAGCTCTGCATTTGAATACACTGCGAGAAAGCTGTGATCCCATCAACAAGTGGTTTGTTGAACTATACTGTCAGATGCCGGGAGTAGTTTAGTGTGCCCAGGTCTATTTGAAAAATATAGAGCTACCAATGATCTCCGCTCAACCCTCAACCTGTTTGGGACAGGACAAGGCATGCGGTGTATAATATACACAAACGCGATCGAGGTTATAAATTATTCAGACTTTATGATTCTTATTCAATCGTTCTTCCTTCTAGACGTTTCATTGAAATTTAGTAGTTAGGAAGCATAGAATTAATCATATAGCCCCACTTTTCGCGCACCATGTTCCTGATGCATTCAACTCTCGTAAGATTACGATTTATTGAATGTCTGTTTTGTCGGGATATCGACTTTCTTTTCTTTTTTTGATCAATTAACATTTAGTTACAGATCCAAGTGCTAGTAAGCTCAAAAAATAAGGAGCTCAAGGCAACGCTTGTTCAAAAAAAGAAAAAGAAAAAAAAAAAAAAAAAAAAAAGATCCAGAGAAAATTCAGGACGTTATCCTTAAAGAGCATAACTTCTTTCTGTTTATTTATTCCGCTAGGCGAGGGCAAGCACGAATATGGGGCCTATTGCCTCACTCGTCGTTGGAACTGCCTTTCTTCCAACCTTATCTTTCTTTTGATCCACCTTTTTTTTTTTTTTTTTTTTTTTAGTGGCATTGATGATGGTCTATGATGGATATGATGAAAAGAAAATAAAAAGAGAAAAAAAGGTCTTACACACTCTACTCATGTCGCCCGCCATATCAAAAATGGAGTACCTTCTTCATTACAGCGTTGATGTAAACAAATGGTGGAGCAAAGAGATGAGCGAGAGGGAGGAGGGTATTCGATAGAAACAAAACAGCTTTCCTCTTTTTTTGCCTTGAATCATGTATCTTTATCGATCCAAACGAGTAAATTCGGGAGAGAGCAACTCTTAGGGCATATATCTATTAGGATGCTTCTCTTCCTCGATCCTAATCGCGGTCATTGGCCTAATCATGTTACAAACCACCTAGAGCCAAGAGAAGTGGTGCTTTAGGCTTTTCCAGGCTATGAGCGCGCTCTCGCAAACCTTTCCAGACACAGTCTTTCATGGGAGCTTTAAGGTCGTCCTCTTTATCGGAGGAGTTACCTTCATAGAGCCCTTTTCAAAGCTATCTTTGCAGCTGTCATTGTGATTGGATTCATCCTCTATGTGGAGGGAAAATGTCGAAACTTCATCGACTCTTCTCCGCTCCTACCCGTTTATCGCTCCTTCTCGCTGCTAGGTAAGTTACAAAGAGTGCTGCATTACTTGAGGTTGGTATTTGAGGCAAGTTAACGAATTCTCAATCGGATCAAAAAAGCATATATAGTTCTCGGGACGAACATCTGGGCCTTAACTTGCTGTGGCTCCAAAACCAATGATTAAGGTTTCGCTATCCACGATAGTCATATACGTCGGCTATTGATTGATTGTCAGATACACCCTCATTTTTACGGAGTTCAAATGTAGATTTGAGGCCATCCATGCTGGTTTGACGGCGGCATTCAAAGAAATTATTATGGGTGAAGATCAAGAGGATCGATGAATAGAAGCAACAGCAGATACATTTAAGGGAGAAAGAGCTATTTATTATATATTTTGAGCTATGGTTTCTGTAAAAAGTTTCTCTCTTCCCTTTTGATTAGTCCTTGTTACTTTATTCCTGAAAGCATTAGTGGGGCAGCAACAGGAACAACCTCTTCATCTGGCAGAGATGAGGAATGTTTTTGAAACTACTCACATCTCCTATCATTTATACATCGCATATTATGTATTCCATAATTGGTTGAAAAGGACTTGGAGTAATAATTCAAGCTTTTTTTTTTTTTTTTTTTTTTTTTTAAATATTATTTCTTTATTCACAAAGTAAAAGAAAAAAGTTTTTTTTACTTTTGACTAAGTCGCCTGAATTTTCAGAACTTCCTTAGTTTCCTTCATCCATGTTATTGTAAAGCTAACAAAGCTATAAAGAACTGTATACGATTCTAAAAATTCATCCGCCCATCTTTTTCTTTTTTTTTTTTGTTATCGATGTTGTTGATGATTGATGATGATCATTAAGCCAAGCTCGTTTAGAAGTTGACATCGGGATTATAGAACAAAGAGTCATCACCCCATGGGAAAGCCTAGAGAAAGGAAAAAAAAAAAAAAAAAAAAAAAAAGAAGCACGTTTAAAAAAAATTGAAAACATTACCCAGCCTGTTATATTAGGACACATAAACTAACTGCAGATATCCGAAATAAAAAAAGTGAGGACATGAATTTTTTCCTTCATTTTTACCTTGGCACGGATGCGCATGTAAGGGTACTTGACGCGCTCGTGACCCTCATGACGCTCATGCTCCAAGTGGGCCTGATGCTTAGCATAGAGATTGTAGGCATTGGCCGAAGAAACGAGGATAGTAGGGATGCAGACATAGATAGAAATTTTGCGCCAGGTCTCAGCAGCAGCTATAAACAAGGACGTTTAAAAAAAAAAGTTAGAAATAATGCTCATGTTGATAAGAAGTAGTGGAATAGAAGAATAGAGAATACTAAAAGTCCTCTAATGTTTATAATGTGTGGCGTCAGACACGCCGTCCAGTAATGCCGCGTAAGAATACTGATAAAATCACAAAGTATTTTCCTTGCTGTAACAATCAACGGATCCGAAATGGCCAAACAGAATTGATGATTGGCTCTTCCACCACTTGCTTAATGCAAAAACTAATTTCAAAGGAGAGGAATTGCTTTCAAATGCCATTTGAAAGTATAAATTAAACCTTCTACCGTCCTCTCGAGGTTTCCGTTTTTTTTTTTTTTTTTTTTTTTTTTTTTAAAAAAAAAAAAAGGCCGTACTAATATCATGTGTCGCGATTCATTTTGCTGATGAGATGCTGCAAGATTTTCATTTTCTCATTTGCTCATGTAGCGTAGTTGGCATGTAATCCGCTGGCTGACTTGGAATTAAAAAGGCGATGGATGCGCCAGAGACTGGTATTCAATAACAGCAAAGAAAAAAGGATAGAAAGAGTGAGAAACGTACGTCCGGCATGTTCCTTGATGGCAATGCGCTCAGCCAACCAAGGGTTAGCAGCGTTAGCAGCGGAAGTAGAGGAGGCGAAACGGATGCCTTTGACAGCAGCAGCGATGCGGGAAGCCATTATTGTGTGTTTATTGGTTCTGTGTTATTTCGATGAAGGGGAAGATATTAGATGGGTCAAGGAAGGTTCAAAATAGAGTGTCATCAATTGAGACGGAATTCACGGAAAACTGGGCATCACATGATAGTGACAAGCTTAATAAAAAAAGACTCATGAAAGCCACATCCTGTGTGTTATTGTTTCTTTTTTTTTTTTCTTTTTTTTGTTCATGCCTTGTAAGCAGGCAATCCTTACTCCTCATTACTTCACTTGTCCTTGTAAAACCCGACGCTCCCTAACAACATCAACTCCACCATTCTATATACTCTAATATCCTCTTAAATATATAACCATGGCTACCGTATTTAAACAACAGAAGGACAAAAAGGACAAGGCTGAAGGTATTGTCACCAAGAGTTCAGATGATAAAATCTTCAAAAATAAGCAGCGTGTGCTTCTCTTGTCTTCACGTGGAATTAATTCTCGGTAAGCAAAACGCATTTGTTTTACTCCAATGTTTAATATTTGACCTGGCAGAAGGCAATAATTGTGTAGTAGTTGGATCGTGTGCAATTCCACATGATGATACTATAGTTAGGGACATCAGATCAAAAGATGTTGATTTAACTGGGAAAAATAGTAGAATATATCTGAGCCAATATGGATTGCTATCTCCAGCTGCTGACAATAAGATCTTCAATTCAAAGCCGAGCTATAATAATTCAGGAGGCCAAACTGGGGGAAACATCTCTCTTTTTTTTTCCTCTGCCATGTTCTTCCAGCTAATTCGAGGTTTTTAACTCAATGATAAATTAGCCAACGCCACTTGCTCACCGATCTCGGCAACCTGTTGCCTCATTCAAAGAAGGATGCTAAACTGGATTCCAAATCAAAACTTTATATCATTAATGAGCTTGCCGATTTGAACAATTGTAACAACTGCATTTTCTTCGAGGTCAGAAAGAGACAGGATCTTTACATGTGGATTTCCAAGACCCCTAATGGTCCTAGCATGAAGTTTCATGTCCAGAACAGTAAGTCAATATTGGTCTGTTGAGGCCATCCTCAATTCTTTTTATTCCAAGATTGAATCTTTGTAACATAGGCAAAGCACGTGTGTACTAAACCTTCTCCTTTTCTTTTTTGTTTATACTTCCCAAGTTCACACAATGGAAGAGCTCAAGATGACTGGAAACTGTCTAAAAGGATCGCGTCACATTTTGTCATTCGACAAGAACTTTGAAAGTACTCCTCACTGGATGTTGATGAAGGAACTCTTTACACAGGTCTTTGGTGTCCCTAAAACATCACGTAGAATTAAGCCTTTTATCGATCATGTCATTTCCTTCTCTATTGTCGATAACCGTGTCTGGTTCCGTAATTACCAGATCACAGAAAAGCCGATCGAACATCGCTCTCCCACAGACACAACTGATCTGACTCTAGTCGAAATTGGCCCTCGCTTTGTCATGAACCCAATCCGCACCTTTGATGGCTCTTTTGGCGGTCAGACTGCATTCGAAAATCCTGAATTTATTAGTCCCAATGTCGCAAGAGCTCATATCAGGAATGCCAAGGCTAACCGTTATAAGGATCGCATGGAAGCTATTGCCAAGAGAGATGCGAAGATGAAGGATGCAGTATTACCAGACGATCCTCTCTCTGATAAAAATGTTTTTGCCTAATTTTTCCTCCTCATTTACCTGCTATCACTATCTCACTTTGTGTATTATTTCTCATTCGCTCTTTAAGGGCAGAAAGCCTTTGAATAACAAGTACAATAAAATTTCAGTCCATCCTGCATTATTATAAAATAAAATATCAAGCTTTATATTGTTTGATTCTTAAAAAAAAAAAAAAAAAACTATCAGAGCCTCAGATGCGCATGAGTTTGCTAATCCGAACAGTTCCATCAGCTGATCCAGTGAGACACGCTCCAACAACTGCAGACCAGTCTACACATGTCAAGGGGTGGGAATGACCTAGCAATGGTTGTACTTGCTGCCCTGAATTGGTCTATGATACAAGAAATAAAAGCAAATATATTTTCCACTTAACAACCTTGACAAAATAATAGTGATAATAAAAAAAAAACTACTTCGATCCTTACCTGGACTATGACGCCTGCATTTCCACATGCCATCACAAGGTGATCGGTATCACCACTCCAGCCCAAAAGTTGACCTGGCCCAACATTCATGCTCGCCAGAGCGCTACTGGTAAAGTATTTGCTATTAGAAGCTTTGCTTCCAGCAACAGTAGCAGCAGTACTAGTGGATGATGAGCTTCCTTCTCCTTCCTGTCCATTTCCACTGTCGATTCCAATACCGGATACACCTGAAATAGTGCCTCCAGAACTCTCTAGTTGTATTCTAGGAGCATGTCCAATGGAAGCAGTACGAACAAACGTCTTGGATCGTATACTATTTCCACCCGCTGAATGAACACTATTCGAAGATGATGTGACTATCGCTGACGATAGTGTAGAGGATGTAAACCCCTGCAATGGATATGAATCAACCCTATGATCTGGTTTATGTATCGAATCCTGTGAAAGCCGGCCTTGCGCATCAACGCTATAAATCGATGTCTCATCAAAGCTAAATGTGCAAGACAAGATCGGTTGCCCAGATGCACTCCATTCCATGATCTGTGTCAATGATCGGATATCATAAATCTTAATCATTCCTCCGACATCCCCAGTAACAAGCAGTTGTCCGTTGTGGTTGAATCCAACTGCATTAATCACATCTGCTGCCCCACCATTCAATAGCACAATGTGCTAAGGGCAAGGTAGGAGATAAGAAGAAAAAAGAAAGAAATAAAGAAAATAAGTCGGGTATTCCCCTTCTGGAATAGCTTTTTTTTTTTTTTTTAAGAGCTAATCGTTACCCTTGTTAACCATCCCATACCTCAGTATTCATGGATTTCATATTGATCGACAATAATGCTCCAGAAGTATCGTCGCTATTAGCTACAGCACATACGAGGACAGGCTCTACCGGAGAATACGCTAAATATCTAATTCTAAAGAGAGAAAAGAAAAAAAAGGAAAAAATACATATTAGGAATAGGCGATAAACAGACAGATACCGAGGCTAGGGATGCAAAAAGTGAGTTTGATTTACCTTGGGAATTGAGTATCGGTTTTGATTTCATGCACTACCGACCTCGAGTCTAAACTGAAGCAGCGGATCAAATTCACATCGGTGCCCAAGAAGATCTAAAAGTCAAAAAAAAAAAAAAAAAAAAAAAAAAAAGCCAAAAATTTTGCGTCAGTCTTCTGAATCGAAATTCTTTGAGGTACGATATGGATGATTCCTTCTTTTGCCTTACATATCGATCACGGGTCTCCCAGGCCAGTGATAGAATATTGTTCGTGTTTGTAATCTTTGCAGGTGACATGGCGCTCGATCCATTGTACGCCCATATCCTCACAATGTTCTCTGTATCACAGCTTGAAATCAAAGTACCCTCACAAGAGAATTTCGCATGAGTAATTCCAGATTGATGTTCTAAAAAGATCTCTTGAGACACAATGATAAAAGGTTGTTCGACTCCTCCCACTACTGCCCCCTCTGCCTCAATTTCTTCTGCTCCTCCATCTCTTCTTCCTTCTTCTCCTGCTACTTTTTCTTCTGATCCTTTTACAGAATCTCCTTCCTCTGAAGCTGAATCTGAAAGCAATGCAATATCACTGTCCGATTTTGCAAAAGATGCTGCATCTGATGCCGCACGGAGGCGTCTCGCATTCGTTATTGCCAGTCGACCTTGATATAAAAAGTTAAAAAGTTAGATGAATTGAATGCTTATATAAGGACATCAATTGCACTAGTAAGCATGGTAAAATTAAGCTTATTTACTTGTTTGTGACACCTGCGAGGACTGTGAGCCAGATCGTTTCGGAATAGTACCACCCTTCATACTACCGTCCGCGTTGATAATCAACTGTGGTTCTACCATAGATGCTGCTCGTCGCCTCCTGGCGCCTGTGACCTTTTTCAATGCTACCTATAAGATATATATATAATGTAAGAGCCCAAAGCTAACTTTCTCATTTTTAACTTTTAATTTATTTTTATTTTTATCTTTATTTTTTTTACCTGATCTCTCAAAGACGATATTTCTGCATCATTCGACTGTATTTCTTTACGCAAGTTCTCGATCATACCCTGCAAAGTCTCAACCTCGCATTGAAGTGCTTTCCTGTGCAATCTATCGATGTTGAAACATAGAAGACTTGGCAGTGCTAAAAAAATAAAATAAAATAAATAGGATTAGGAAAACAAAGCTTTTTTTTTTTTTTTTTTTTCCTTCAAGTTGTATCATCCATTTTAGCTTTAAAATATTCAAATGAAGATGCGTACGCATATTCTGGAAGACAGTGCTGAGAAAGTTATGTAATGACACCGTAAATGTATCAAGCCACGCCTTTGAAAAGAATACATCAAACTCTGGATCTACTTCTGGTTTTTTTGAGAAGGGTAATGCTATAATATTCAACAAAAAAAAAAAAAAAAAAAAAAAAAAAAGATTGAATCTAAGGTCTTAGTGAATATATCTTTTTTTTTTTTTTTTTCTTTTTTCTTTTTTCTTTTTTTCCTCCAATTCAATGACTGAATATTCGTACCAAACCAACGCACCCATTCAGGATTGCCCTGAAGCTCTGCTCCGTGAATATCAAAGAACTCGACTACTTTATCTCTTCTCTTGTGCTGTATTGCTATTCTCAGGAAATAAACAGGGAATAATAAGATAACAAGTAATAATAATAGATACGTTTAGCTTAATAGTACAAAGAAAAAAAAAAAAAAGGCGCATTGAGGATTACACTCTTACCATAGACAAGATAATATCTTAGAAGACATAGTTCGAATTTTTTAACACTCCCTGAAAAGCGATGATCTAGACGTGAGAAATATCGTATATCAAGGTATCGCCAATATTCCAGCAATGAATTCAAATCCATGGCAGTAATGGCTGAGAATAGCTCTTCGATGATTTTCTCTGCCTAAATACATCGAATAAAATATATTGTAGGAAACACGAATTAGGAACAATGGAGCAAAATTGTCTTTTTTTTTTTTTTTTTTTTTTTTTTTTGCTTTTTATACCTGAAATCCCTTGTCTTTATCTGACTTGCTCTCGGCCTCAAAGGCCTTGTAGGTGTTTGTAAACCCTCTGAACTAAAAGAAAGAGCGCGCCACAAAACAATAATGCTACATCATATCAATGCCATTGTCCATGATAAGAATTCTGTCCTTTTTTCGCTCAATACCATATACGCTTAAAAGAAGTGCACCAAGGTTTTTAAAGACCCATGAGGCCTCCAGAAGTCCTTGCTTATCATTACTAATAAGTACTCCTTGACTAATTCGTCAATATGTTGAATTGAGTTCATTTTTTTTTTTTTTTTTTTTTTTTTTTCCTGGGAGGAATGTGGAACGTTGTCGCGACATGGGGAACGCTGGCACAACTTCAAAAAAAAAAAAAAAAAAAGCCACAGACGTCCGTGCGCCTCACTTCATCTTCCCTCCTCTTTTCAATAAATTTGTTCCTGAAATTGAAAGGTCAAAAGTCGTCCATCACAATGCATTTTTTTTCTTTTCTAAGATACAATCTTTTTCTTTAATGACTCCTCTTCACATTGATAGAGGCCATTGCAAAAATAAAGATAAAATAAAGCGAAATTCAACAAAATGCAGGACTCTTGTAATTACTTTTTTTTTTTCTTTTCTAATATTTTTTTTTTTCTGTAGGAGTGAAAAGCGCCAAAACAAGGCGTGTGATGTTTTTAGAGGGATGAATAAGGAAGATATTGAGAGAAAAAAAGAATCCATTGTCCCGGATCCTCGATGAGGTTCTAAAAAAAAAACAAAAAAAAAAATTATGGCCCCAGTAGAGAAAAGGGGAGGATGGGTTGTCCTTACATAGTTCCTCAACTACAACGGACTAGCTATTACGATTTCTACTACAACTACCTCTATGACTCCTCATAAAATACTCGAAGATAGTTTTCAGCTTCATCATATTCCCTCCGCATCTCAACCAACAATGTTCGGATTAAATTCTCGGCTTCCTCATTTGTAATAGAGTTATTTCCAGTCGCATCCTTGCGGTTTCCATAGTGCTGCAACTTCTCGCATGATTGTTTGACCTTGATCAGACCCAATGCTGCTGATGAACCTTTCAAAAAATGACCAAGTCTCGACAAATCTGGGAAATCAAGCTTCTCCCTAACAATTAGTAGTAAAAAGAAAGAAAATTAATAGATCTGTCACGGGTCTTCCTCAAATTCTAGAGTTTTTACTCTACAATTCTTTCTTAGTCGTACAACGCCGTCTTGATGACTTTTCTCTCCATTTGTCATCTTTCTGCAGATGGCACACATTGTTATGAAATCGATGGAAGGATGAAAGAAATGTGGTTTTCTAAAAGAAAAGAGAAAGATCCAAAAACTTCATATTACTTACATGGCAGCTTCCATATCAGCGAAGGTTTTCTCTGCTTGTTCAAAATAGTTCCAGACCAAGGACTTTGAGAACTCATGATCCTCTTCATCATCCATTTCCAACAGCTGATCAAATGTTACATGGTCAATGATATCATCCTCATCATATACAGCATCTGCTTCTGACTCGGACTCAGCTCTATCTGCTTGTTCAGATTCCTCAGCATATTTGCTCTTGCTGATCGGCGCTTCTTCTGCGCTGGCCTAATAGATTTCAATAAAGTAATAGAGCAATAAAAGATTAGATTCGACATATTCTATTGTTAGTTCATTTTAGTGCCTGGTCGTCTATCTTTTTTTTTTTTTTTTTTTTTTTTTTTTTTCCTTCTCCTCTGTTCGCTCTTTTTTCCAAAGTTTTTACACCTTTGATAATTACGTATAGACTATATACATTTTTGGGTTTCAACTAAATAAGACAAGACGTGGGGAAACGTCATCTGCCCTTCGGAAAGACTTTTGCTCATCTCTATTCTCCCCTTTTCCCCTTTTCCCCTTCCCCTGGCTTCATTCTCAAATTAACGGGATCAAAGGAGTCAAAAAAAAACATTACTAAAGAGCAGTCATTAAGAAACATGGATTTTTTTTTTTTCCGCATGTCAGCAAAGATACTCCTAAACCCGCCGTGCCCTGAATATAAATATGAACAAAGGAAGTATATGCTTGCGTAATACGCGAAAGAAAGGAAAGATGTAACTCAATGACTTTGGAAAAAAGAAAAGATGAGGAAGTCGTATACAGCAAGTAATGTAGTAAGCCAGAGGACTTTTTTTTTTTCAGTATGCCTGATAAACCAGATAATGGATAGAATACTATAACACTCATGCAATATATTATCTGGATAATTCAAAAAAAAAAAAAAAAAAAAAAAAAGCTGAACATGGATAAAAGATCGATTTGATGGACAAGAAATCAAGATGGAGGTGACATATTGTTGCTGATGTTGTTTGCTTTGGCTCACAGACAGATTGCTCAGATTTTGAAGAGCCTTTGAGGACGCAACGCAAAGGATAAATCTACCGACACCATTGCTCAAAACAATATCTGGCCCTGCCTACAGGACAGTAAATCAACATGCATTGTGTATAAGACATATTCCTTCTTTTTTCGGCAACAAATCAAACAGTGAACAGGGGTAAGGGAGAAGGGGAAGGGTGTGAGGAAGGTTGGGGAAGAGTTACAAGCATTATGGACTGCGGAATGGAAAAATATATGCACAAATAGAACTAAAGGGGGAGCTTCCTCACAAACACGTCAATGATGGCTTTTTTTTTTTTCCTTCCTTCTTCGTCCTATTTTCCGTTCATTTATCCTTTCTTTACTCTTTCAGTTCCCTATTCTCATTAGTGAGTAGTTCAGCATGTGTAAAATAGCTAATTAATAAGACGATGGCAAAGAGAAAGTTGATGGATGTAGGGAATTACCGCTGCTTTTGTTGGGCTGGTTGCCGACATGATTGTATATTCGGCTTGGTTAAGAAATAATCAATGAGATTAGTAATGAAAAAATGTGATGTATTTGATCAAAAAAAAAATAAATAAAAAAATAAAAAAAAGATCAGATTCGACTATGAATGCAGTTGAGATGCTGATGTAATAGTTAAAAACCGTAATGAACAAGTGAAGAGAGATAAAGAAAAAAGAAAAAAGAAAAAAGGAAAGTTGAAGAGAAAAACTAGAGGAAGAATGAAGGGATTGTTATTATAAAAGAAAAGAAAAATAAGAGAAGGAGGGAGAGGGAGAGAGAGGGAGAGAGAGAAAGATTGAGAGAGAAAGGATGTGAATGTGTGAAAAAAGTGTTGTTCGAAAGGAACGCGCGTGGCTCACGTACTAGCTTTCTTCTTCCGTCTAAGCACAGAAAAAGCAATGCAAAGCAAAGGAAATAATGCTTTTTTGTCTTTTTGTGGTGCTCACAACGACAGATGCCATGCATGCACACTTTTTATACCCAGCCCTAACCATCTTAAAACACACTAACGCTTCATGCCATGCGATGAACCATGCTGATACCGTATCATTTTCTACTATACTTAAAAACCATGCTCATCATGTGTAGACTATATTGAGATTGGCGTCGCTTGGGTCGCCTTCCACGCGTGCTCTTTCCCGTGATATCCAGTCAGCTCCAAAAAAAAAAAAAAAAAAAAAAAAAGAAGCCAATGATTTCCATTCATCTGCTGGATACTGTCTTAGTTATTTCCTCCACATCAAACATGTTACTGCAACAAAAAAAAGCCGCTTTTTCTTCTCTTCACCGATCCCTGCTCCTACTACTTCTGCTACTTTTCAGTCAATTTCTACTACTACGTTCTTCTCCCATAAAGAGGATGTTGTGTTGGAGGCAGAGAACATTGTGGAGAGTGAAGAAACGCCTCTATTTCTTTACCTCCTACTTTACCTCTATGCGTATTAAAACTAAGAAAAAAGCTCCCTCTCCTTTTCTATTAGACTCCTGCATCTTTGCATTATCATCAATAATCTCTTTTACCCTTCCTTCGGTACTTTTCCCTGTTCGGAATGATTGACACGCTGGCTTTCTTTTTTTACGTACACGCCACTGTATACATGAAAATCGTGTCTGGTCACGTCAAAGCATTTTTTTAAAAAAAAAGTCATAATGTAGTTGAAAGGCACTGGTTTTTATTGTTATTCCATTTTTATTGCACTTTTTTTAAAAAAAAAAAAAAAAAAGAAAATGGAAACGGCGTTCCTGATATGTACATAGTGTGCAATAAAAAGGAAGGCAAAATGCAAATGAAATATAATACACTGGTAGAATAGAAAGAAAAAGCAACAAGGTAAAAAAAAAAATAAGGGAAAAAAGCTATTAAGGGAAGGGAAAGAAATGGTAAAAAATGACAAGATGGCATGGTCGTAATTCATAGCTATTTTTTTTGTATCATTATCGTATCGTATCGTATCGTATCGTATCGTGTCATGTCGGCAAATATATCATTAATAAGGCTGCATAGATGATACTGGTGCAACGGGCATACCATAAGGCATTGTAGGAGGAACTGCAACCATGGCTGGTGAAGAAAAATCTAAGCTTGTCCGCACAAACTTCTGAATCACATCACATCCACAATCACGGTGGCAGAGGATCTGATTCTTCAGTCGACGGACCTCCTCTTGAAGTTGATCTAGTGTTTCGTGTAGAGCTTGATTGCGTGCAGTGATCTCATCAGCATCCGAAATAGTCTTCAAAGTCTGAAGTCTCTTCTTTTCGCGGCATTTGGATGCAGCCATACGGTTACGCTCCAAGAATCTCTGACGTTTCAACTCTGGCGACTCTTCCTCCATAGAGGAACGCTTACGAGATTTGGTAGCCGTGCTCTTGGCCTTGCGAGCATTACCGCCATCAGCTGCTGCTGTGGGGGATGATTTCTTTGCTTTTGAAGCGGCCCTAAGGGCCTTGGAGGTCTTGTTTTGAGCAATCGATGACTCTTCAACAACTGATTGCTGGATATCACTCATAACAGAATAGCGGCGCATGTCAAGCGCTGACATAGCCGCGCCCAACTCTTGATCATGCTCGTCGTGCTCCTCAACGTCGTGGGAGCGCTCGCTATAATTTCCGCCGTCTTCATCTTCAAAAAGACGCGTCTCTGCCTGTGGTACGGTTTGATGGTCATTAAGAATTTCATTAGGAGCAAGAGTTTCGCGAATAGGAGATGACGAAGAGGCGCGTGAAGGGTATTCATAACGAGGCACGCTCGAGTACTGCTTTTTCTGTGGAAGGGGTTCAAAGATAGGGTGATCATAAGTAAAAGTGCGTGAATCGTGGTCGAAAGGCATAGAAACGTGGAAATCACTCAACGAAATTGTCTGAGGAGGAGGGGATTGAATTGGGGGGGAAGGGGAGGAGCTTGCTGAAGAGGATGAAGGAGAAAGTCCTGGAGACATTTGCGGCATAGGCATGGCTGCGTCGTCAAACGTATTTCCCCATGAATGGCGTTCTGTATGGTTATTTTTTTGATTGTCGCTTTGAAGCATGCCAGGTTTATTATTCAAGGAAGATGGAACCACAAAAGAAGAGTCGAAAGGATTAAGTTCGGCCTTTGGAGTCCCTGTATTGAAAATCTTCATGCTGGCGTCAAATGGATTATAGTTCTCTAGGCTGAGGCCAAATCCAGGTGTGAAGGCTCCACACTCCAAGAGAAACCGTGTAGGCGTAGGGTTGGCATCTGGACCAATCATCAACAAATTAAGAAAGAGAAAAAAAAATACAGATTTTTAATTTTTTGCATTTTGGTGATAATATCACATCATCATCCATTTAACACAAAAAATAGTATTGATCTGGAGCACTAACAAGGAAATGTGTTTGGTGGATGATGCTGAAGGGAAGTCTGAAATGGAGTGTTGCTAAAAAATAAAAAATAAAAAAGCTTAAACATTTTACTTACCACGCCTGATATCTGTTTCGATAGACATGGTTCTGAACGAGAGTTAGGGTGCCAAAGAGGTTAAAGGGAAGCGATGTTTCGGAGAGAAAAAATGATAGTAAAAAAAGATACAAAAATAGCGCGGTGAAGGTGGGCTAAGAGCAAATTCGAGTTTGGAATGAGAAAGAAAGCGGAAAAGACTCAAAAAAGGCTCGAGAAAGAGGCGCGGCAGTTTAAAAAAGTGCAAGGAACACTCCCCAGTGTTGGAACGCTTTAAGAAAAAAGTAAAGAGGTGAGTGAAGAGAAACAGTGAAAGAGGAAAACAATAAAAAAAAAGAAAGGAAGAAAGAAAGAAAGAAAAGATAGAGAGACAAGTCCTTTTGATAAGTGTTTTCTGGATATTTTTCTCAGTTGTCCAAGGAATGAGGTGTAAGGATTAAAAGAAGGTGACAGAGCAAAAAGTAGCAATAGAAGGAGGAAAAAAAAATCCCTTTGGACCAAGGAGGGCACATCTTTATACAGTTTTCGAGGAAAGGATCCATCTATTAGAGAGTATTCAATCTAATTCAAATTCGCTCAGGCACACTCCATCCCTTATTCAATCTAATTCATTGTGAATGTTTCCATACGAATCCATACAAATCGGGAAGTGAGGGGGGCTCTCTCCACTCCTCTCTCTTTCTCCCACCAACCCCAGCCTCATATACAGACCTCATTCAATGGGACGCATTAAATCAATGAGACCTGTGTTTACAATAACAATATAAAATACACATTGGTATATATTATTATGCAAATGATGTGATTGAAAGTATACACAAACATTCATTTACAATGCCACAATGCTATTGAATACATCAAAGGCTTCAATTCAATCCTAATTAATGATCTATACTCATCCATAGAGACTTACAATAAATATATATATATATTTATACTATACAAAACTGCTTGAATCATATATATATATTGTCATTACCTATATTTATTTGATTTATCTTATTTTATTCTATCCTATTCTATTTTCTATTCTTTCTCATGGAATAAGAAAGGATCATCGTGAGGTTGGAGCACCAACCACCGTTGTCAACTTTTTTTTTTTTTTTTTTTTTTAAAAAAGAACACCACGCGTGCCTGTAATGTTCAATTTCAAGTCATATTTCGATACTAAAAAAAAAAAAAAAAAAAAAAAAAATAAACCGTACCTTTGAGTATGAGTTTGATAGCAAAAGGAGCATTGAGGTTGATAGAGTACTGTACTTTCAATGACAAAAGTAACACGGACGAAATTATCGTTTACATCACATTCACACGACAGGCAATCCACATTACACATTACGCAAACTCCATTCACATTACCATAGGATCAACATTTTGAACAGACCAATAAAGAACTGAAATATGAAAGAATGAATAATAGTAATTGTGCAGTACACACACGTTTTCGTTTTACAAGACAGCTGACAAGTTAACAAGTTCGCGTCTTCAAGAGATGCTTTTTTTTTACTACCTTTTTTTTTTTTTTTTTTTTTTTTTGTTCTAATCCTGCTACAAGTTCAGTTTGCTCCGTCTCTTTGTATGTCGGATATTATATGCAGACTAGAAGTAATGTTGCAGTTCTAAACCGACGCGAAAAATTGTTTGACGCCGAAGAATGGCTGACTTTTTTTTTTTTTTTTTTTTGAATAACGTTATGATCCAGCTGAGACAAAAAATAATAAAATTAATCTTGAAGTGTCTTGGCATTCATCCTCATTGTGTGAATTTCATCCGGTTACTGAACCGGGTTAGATTGAGGGTGTCGAATAAAAAAAACTACTGAACAGTGGTATCCTAAAACAATTGATCCGGCAGCAAAACTTCCGATACCTGATCCTGCATCTTTTTCTTTTGACTCTCGTTTCAGCTGAAGAAACTGAAGAATGAAAACCTTTTGACGTCCATTCCTAGTTCCAACCGTCATTCCTTTTATGAGTGAGAAGGACTCCTTTCCTCCTTTTTTTTTTCCCTTTCCTGTTTTCTAATATCATTCACTCCTATATTAAATACCGTACCCTTATTCAGTGACTGCAAAGGTTTAAGGAAGCCTTATTCTATTTTTTTTATTTTTTTTGTTTTACGCCATCTAATGGTATTTCTTTGTTGATTGTTGTTGCTATGATAGTAATGAATTTCTTCCTGAACTTTTGTTGGTGGAATAAAAGAAACTGGAAAGGAGCAGAACCATCAGGAGACATCTCGCAGCGGCGATTTCTCTTTTTTTTTGTCTGTCGTATCTCGTATGGGGCATGCATGAATGAAGGAAGCTGAACGGTTACAGTTTAATCGAGACAATAGCTAACAACAATTAAACTCAACGTTCGAGAATCTTTTGCTTTGCTTTGCTCACATCGTAATATTGAACTGTTCATGGTTGGAGCACAAGGAGAACGTTCCCGCAATGTCGCTACTATCGGAAACTATCCAGAATAACAAAAAAGTGCTAAAAAGATGAGGAAAATATATCATATCACGCATTAAAGGCATGGCAAAAGGAATCATATTTTCTTTTTTTTTTTTTTTTTTTTTTTTTTTTTTAGCCATGTTGGCTAATTACAGCATACATGTGGTGCTCTCCTTCCTGATTTCAACCTCTTCATCATCGGCAAAACCGGTTTATAAACCAGTTTTGCCGAATGCTTAATACAGCTTCCTGGATGATATCCATATAACAGTTCGAGCAATTGTCCAAAGTTGGAAAGTCTCTCTGTGCGTAAGTGCGTCTTCGATCTTTCTTTGTTTTATATATCATCTATTTTTTATTTTTTTATATTTTTTTGCCCCAGGTTCTGGAACAGAAGGAGCAGGGGTGCACATGTGGAAAGTGACGAGCACTATTCAATATAAAACAGAATAAAAATTAAAAAAAAAAAAAAGAAAAAAAAAAAAAAAGAAAAAAAAAAGCATATATCACTGAAGTGGTATGATGAGAATGTTTAAGGTGAGGATAAAAGAGAAGAAAAAAAATAAAGCAAGGAAACAGAACAGGGAGAATAAAATAAAAAAAGAACCAGTCAGAGAGAGAGTAGCTTAGTGTCTGTATGCTCCATTATCTAATAAGTTCAAGGACGTGACTCGGGGTTGGTTTTTTCTTTCCACTTCAAGCTTTTTTGCTTACTTACATCCATTGAAGGGATGGAATGGATCGGATTTTTGATTAACAGGATATAGGCGATATTAGCAGAAAATAAAGATAGAGGCGTGACATCATCTCTGAACAAACTCTCCTTATTTCTCTCAATCTCTCCGTTCGTCCGTTGTCATAGCTGGGACAGTGCACAAAAGTTAATGCAAGATTCTCAATTATGAAGACAAATATATATGATAAATGAACATCATGATGAAGGGAGCCCTTATTTCAAAGCACAGTCCTTTCCCTTTTCTCTTCTTTTAGAATGGTTTATTAACGTCGTTTATTATTTAAACAATAAGATATGACCAAGTTGAATACCACAAACAACAAAGATGGATTGATATGTCTATCAAATAAAGAAAAAAAAAGAACGAAGGACATGCTGGCTCTCCATCAATTTCCTCCGTCACTCTATTTTTTTTTTTTTTTTGTGTACACTATTGATCATAATCCCATTGCTTCATTTCTAAAATAAAAGAATAAAAAGCAAAAGGAAAATATAGGGCCCCATGAACCTTTTTTATTTGTACACACCGTTGAAGTGTAAAAGAGTGCGATGATCTCTCTCAACAGTTTGCTATTGTTACTTGATCTTCAATCCAAGAGGGTAGATCTCTTCATTCTATACAGCGAACAAGACGTTATAAAAGAGAAAGATTGAAGTCTAGGTAACGGGGCGCTCTCAGAATCATGATCTCTAGTTTGTGTGTGCCTCAGACCATGACTTGGGGTACCCTGGAAAAAATAAGGAATATATATATTTGTGGGTGTTCTGCTGTGTCACCACCCTTCTATTTTGACTTTATTTACAACACAGGCCCTCATTTTGATAACAAACAAGGTAAGAGATATATATTAATACAATATATTTAATATATATATATATATATATAAGGGACACAATGTATTTTTTCTTCTGATGACAGGGATGCAGGCAGTGACGTAATTAGCAATGAGTTACCCTCTCTCAACGCGTCAAGAAAACCTCTGATATAGCTGGGTACTATAATATACATTAAACTACATCCCTTGATTTATATCTATATATGTATATATGGTCTCTATTATAAAGATATATCGCGGCATGATGTTTTTCATTCAGTAGTATAGAGTGAATAGTGAGTACGAAGGTCTCGGGTGTTTTCTTATTTTTTTTATTATTTTAAGTAGTCCCACCGCCTTCTTTACTGGGTCTATTTGACATGATTTGTTTTCTAATGGATATATACAACCTAAGCGCATTAACGCATAAACAAAGTTAAGGTTTCTTACGACATGCATAAAAAAAAACAAAATCACAGAGGCAAAGACAAAGCAAGACGGAAAAGCAGTTCCCTCGACCAGTTTAGTCTCATTCTAGAAACAAATCCTGTCAAACAACAATGTAAGTCCATGCTGAGATGCAGGAGCGGGACTAAAAATGGTCCTGTGGTCAGGGAGTAGTCATGAACCCTCGAGGACAAAAAACTAAAAAAGATAAAGAACCACAATGTATTCAATTAAATAAAGTAGTGCATTTATATAATGCATTTATTTAGTTGAACGTTTTTTTGACACGAGGGTAAATAACGCACAAACGTCTGTCATTAAGAATTAAAGAGCCCGCTAGAAGGATCGTCTAAATGCACGATATAATTCTTGAAACTGCACATGGAATGATAATGATGCACCAACTATATATATATACGTAATTGCTTCCTTTTTTGTTTCTTTAATTGCAAAATTTTCCCACCAGTACTTTAATTGATTACTTGAGCGTGCACTATCCCACAGATCCGTTAATGCAGAAAAACAATCTTTTTTACTTTGTAAACTAGCTTTTTTTTTTTTTTTTTTTTTTTTTTACTCTCTCTTTTCCGCCTTCCTGCCTTCCTGTCTTCCTGCAAAGAAACGAAAGATACAGAGTTTATTCAACTTTCTTTTATCCTTAGTGTAAGGTCAACCTGCATATATTTATTATTATTGTATCGATTATGTTATTGTATTTTATCTTTGAATATTATTCAGATATAGCGATGATAGTGAAAGAGAGAGAAAATGGAGCACATTGACGTGTAGATATGCTCCTCAGCGTCATCAAAACATGTTTTATTCCCAATCATACGATAATTTTTATATGCTGTAAAGAAAAAAATAGCCAGGGTACACGCGGGTAACAGACATTTATATGTACAGTACAGTCCTTTATTCATTCCCACTTCTCTTATCATGTGCAGAGGAAATAACAATAGTATATAATTCAATCACTTATCTTGACACCATTATAAAGCTGGTAAATGTATTATATAAATAATATAAATATATATAATATCTTTTCTAGAACAGAAGAAGAAAAAAAACATTTCCTTCTTTTTCTTTCTTGTCCTACATATTCAACATCGTAGTACAGAAATGACGCTAAACCATGAAAAATGATCTGTTAGTTTAGAAGAGCTAGCTCTTTAAAGTTAAAACAAAAAATAGAAACACTCTACATGAGTTTATTTTTTTTTCTCCACTTCATGTGTGGGCATAAATACATATATATATATTTATATATATAAATATATATACATGTGTATATAAATGTATAATCTTTTTTTTTAAGGGTGGAGAGAGAGAGCCATCAAAAAAAAAAATAAAATAAAAAAAAATGAAAAAGCTAAATTAGACAGAAGGATGAAAAGGTAAAGAGATGATGGGGTTCCTGCCATGCTGTTCCCGTTTCCATTTTAAGCAGGGCCCCCCCTTTATCTTTTTTCTTCTTCTTTTGTTTGATTCATCCCATCTAGATTCTTTAGACTATTCGGCCCCCTTTTCTTACTGAGATATGGGAGATGGGGCAATAGGATGGCGGCTATTTTATTTTTGTTGAAAACAAAATGCTCAGCTGTGCGTAGATGTTTTGGTGGTGGTGTTTGATCCTCATTTCAGTACAAAGTAAAGGAACCAATCATTTGCTTTTTTTAAAAAAGAAATGTGCATAATACATAAATAAATAAACATATCCAAAAATCGTTGCCTTTAATTCCTTTACTAAAAGAAATCACACTAATTGTTCGATATAACGTAAGGAGAAACATCCGTCTTGACAGAGGGGAAAAGGGGAACAAAAAAAAAAAAGACTCTGGGGTGGGGCACAATTGGTGATGTTTGGTTTCAGTTTCCAGTACCTTCCTCCAACTTCTCATTCTCAGATATTGCAAAAAAATAGGACATGATATTTCAATTTCTCCCGGCAAGACTATTTATCATTCTCTTTTGGAACTCTCGGGATGGTAGAATAGGGAAAGAGGCGCGCAAACATATTGGGCAAAGACATTTTTATCGATCGATAGCAATCCCCGTCATTCCAATAATAATAAAAAAAAAAGACACCAAAAAAAAACTAAAAAAAATCAAAAAAGACGGAAAAACATGTTTTTATTAACTCTCTATAAAGACTTTGCACCTGTATTTCCTAGTTAGAAGCTTTGTGTCTGCGTCTGCAAACAGATTCCTGTCTTATCGCTGCAGCGGAATAACATGTTTTTAATGAAGACATTTCGTGAATCGTAAAATTTTTTTTTTGGTAAGACCCCCGATCTTCAATGTGGATCTGCGTTTGCGCGCACCGCCTCTTCTCCTTGACCGTCAATTACGCCTCATTTGCGTTTGCAAGTATATAATAGAATACTATTTTTTATAATTGTTTTTGCAAATAAAAAAGGTTTCATTTTTTTATATTTGCATTAGTCAAAGATCCGGATAAATTGAACTTTTTCTAAACCAGAATTGATCGTGATCGTGATCGTGATGTTGGTGATTGGTGATAGTGATGGGTGATGAATATGGTTTTTTTTTGTGAGGAGGTTGTTCCGCTTGGTTCTTTTGGTTTTTTTTTTTTTTTTTTTTGCTCTTTTCTCCTCCATCATTTTGCATTGTGTTTGTATGGATGTGTGTAGAATGAACTCATGTTCGTTTTCTCACCACTCATCAACGGCGGATAAATGAGAGCTTCGTTTAACGTAATGGTGCTTCAAACTCCTCTTCGCCTCAGTGTGGTTTTTTTAAAAAAAGGTAGTACAGATATTGTGTTTTGTATTCATTCAAGCAAGATTTCATTCAGGATTCGGCGTCTTTTTTTTTTATCATCATTATCACAGTTTAATTAGCTTATTTTATTTCATTATTAAAAAAAAAAAAAAAAAAAAAAAAAAAAATTGTATTAACCCCCAGTATCACTCAGCACCATGCTTTATCTATCGAAATCCTAGCTCTTTCTAGAAAAAAAAACAAAAAAAAAATCATTAGGAATAGCATCAGAATTTTGGGGAGTAAAGAGAAGGAGAAGAGAAAATCAGGATCGAAGGTCATTCTTCCTTTCCTCTCCTTCCTTTCACATTCTTACATCCCCTCTCAGTAGTAATAGGTGCCCATTTGTTCATGTCCATAGCACTATATGAAGGAGGATAAGTAAGGCTTGGATAATGAATTCTCCGTTTAATGGTAAAAAAAAAGGGTTCATACAATGAAGCCAGCAAAGGCTCACTTTCACCGTCTTTTCTTTTTTTTTTTTTCCGTCATTTTCAACAAACAAACAGTAAGATAAGGTTTCTAAACCGAATCTCAAGAATTCACTCTTTACAATTACACCCCAGACACAAGATGGGACATCGAAACCAATCACAATGATCATTACAGGAACACTTTTTTTTTAAAAAAAAAAAATGTGCCGTCATTGTACTCTGTACCTGTAATGAGAGACAGGAACCTCATTTGTGTCATCTGCACAATTACACTCGTACACATGTATATTTACAGCACTCAATTAGAATTGAACAAAAGAGAAGACTTTGAATCATTTACTTTTTTTTTTTTTTTTTTTTTTTTTTGCTATTGTACAAGTGCATATCATGCATCATCTTTAATGAGTGGCCTCTCTGAAACTGCCAGACGACAACCTTTTTTTTTCCGCCCTCTAGTCAGGTTGGGTATGATTGGTTCGTTCGTTCATCTCTTTGTCCACATCGCGACAATTCAATAATTGTCATCTTTTATCCTAATCTTCGCCTCAGTCTTCTCTCTGAAACTCATTTTCTATTGTCTCGTCATCGACTTCCATTATGAAAAGTGTATAGCCATATCATTCGTCGACGCTCGTAGGTCGCGAACTACCGCCACTTCCATTCTGTCCGCCATCGCCGCTGTTACTACCCGTGCTTCCTCGCTGAATCGAACTTGTCGTCGATACTAGGCTATACATTGATCCACCACCACCATTAGGGCCTGCTGGCCAGCTATGCGCCGTCGAGCTCCCTGCACTTGTTCTGGGTCCAGAGCCAGATGATGATGCGTTCTTATTCTTGGATGGCTCGCGAATTGTGCTCAACTCATCCACCATCCTTTCTGGAACCCACGGACGCGTCAGAAGGTAATGTAGAATCAATTGCTGTGTAGGACGTAAACCATTTCCAGAAACGTCATCATCTTCTTCTTCATATGAAGACTGATGTGTAATATTGGCTCCGATCTGTCGATCAACTGATGACGTCCGGTATTTAGCTGTTCTATGCAAGGCTGATGAAAATGACGGGGCTCGGAAGTGATGATGATTTTTAGTGGCAGCTTTGATGTACGATCGCGGTGGTTGAGAAGAGTACTTCGGTCCTAACTGGTAGTCTGTCAGTGTATTCAAAAGATCCTTTATCCGTGCATCCATCAAAAGATCTTGTATCCGTGCATCATCCTCGGGTGCGAAATGAGAGCTAACTGAAGGTGATGATGACGACGACAAGGTTGACGGAGCTGGCTTCTCACGTAGGCTAGAGGTCGCTGGTATTTGAGATGAAATTGGTGGCGCAGAATTATTACTCTTTTTGACAGCTGCCAACAAATACGTAATGTCCATGATGAACGTTCCCAAGAAGGGTACCATGGGTCGTCTTGCAACATCCTTGCTCCTGAAACCCAAATTCGATAAGCTACTGCTCATGCCGTTGAGACTCAGGATATCCATTTTTGATGCTGGTGCAGAGTTGGAATGCCCATGCGGGACAGTAGCTGCAGCAGGTGATAATAGCATGGTGCCTGCATTCAAACTACTCATCATCTCACGGTATTTTCCATAATTCCTAGCTTCACTCATAAGCTCCGATAATGTCTCCAATTTATGCATGCTCTTCCGGGGAACGAAACTCCACGTCCGCTTAAGTCGTTTTATAGGTGGCGTACCAAGCGCTGAGAGGACTGCCTTCAAAGTCTGGAAGTTTTCCAGCTCATGAAGCTTGACTGCGACTTTGACCCAATAATGCATACACTGTGCCCGTCCAGAGGCTTCAGGCGGGAACAAAACCGAGTACTCGATCATGCGCGTTAAATAGTTGAAAAAGTCAGTTGAGGCTGTGATGCTGCGGTGTGGCGTCTTTGGTGAATGTGTCAAAAGTGCTGAAGGTGGAATCTCCAAAAAGATGGCTGATTCAATGAGAGTAAGTTGATAGGCGACTAGGTAAGCGGGGAATTCAAGGATCGAAGTGATACTGGCAGATCGATAGAGAAGCTCTCGCACCTTGGTGATGGTAGCCATGACGTTGGAGATCATTGACGTGTACTTTGTGAGATTATCCTGGAGAGTCTGGATATCATCATCATCATTGTCATCGTCCTGAGAGTCCTGCTTAATCCTAATCTCGCCACTGTTTAGTCGGATCGTCTTCTCCTGCAGCTTTTGCTTCGTCTCCGCCAATTTGGTTGAAAACGATTTCTCCTTCTCCACTAGCGTGCGGTGCATCGTCCTAAGTGGTGTCACTGGGATGAGTGGAATATGGTCACTGGGTCCATATGTTTTTTGATCTAGTTGATCCTCGTTATCGCCACTAATACGTTCAGCCTCAGTTAGATTGGTGGGATCAACACTTCCATCAGGAATGACTGTAAAAAAAGTGTTGCCTTGGCTAAGTGATGCATATTGTGGAAGGGTATATGAACGAGATCTTTCAACAGATGAAATGCTAGAAGAGATACTTGAAGGCGACAGTGTTGGCGACGTTGGTACTGACAAAGGAGTTCCGGGTCGCCGCGTGGGGGTAGGTATTGCAATGCTTGGAGAAGATGCCCTCCGGGTTAAGGTTGGCGAGAACACGTGGCCTACAGAGTCGGAGAAAAAAAAAGATTATATTAAACTCTGATCTGATCACTTTTTTTGTATCTCATGATAATCAGTGCTGTTTTGGTTTGGTCCAAAAACCGATACCTTCCAAGTCGTCGTCTTCATCTTCGTCCTCATCTTCGTCCTCATCTTCGTCGGATTCATCTTCATCCAATGAGTGCTCCTCTGTCTTGATATCATGGATTTTTCTGTACAAACGTGCTGGTTTAGGCGGTAAGGGTGGTTTCGACTCGAGTCCTTCTATGCTCAAATGCTGTACAGGCATTGATTGGGGTCTTAAATGATGATGATCTGGCGGTCGCGGCAAACTACTAGTATTACTGCTGCGTGCTAGGCTGTGATTCACAATATCGCCTCCTATTGATGGCATAGTTCCGTTTTCTGTAAATCCTAGAACCGGACTACGATTTGTAGGCGTAGGTGATACTATAGGAAGCGGTGGTCTCCGTGTAGGTTTTGGTGGGATTGTTGGTGTAAGCCCTGGCGTTGGTACTGAGAGAGTGGTACGATTCAAGGGTGGCGAACTGGATAGATTAGTAGTGGTGGCCAGAGATTTGGTAGAGAAAGAAGAAGTTCGAGAAGAAAATGGTGAGGACGATTCTATACTGCTGGGATCAGATGTCGTGGCTCGCAATTGCTCCGTCAACATGGTCACCGTCTTTGTCTGTCCTGATGTGATCCTGTTGGAGTGTTTGGACAGCGAGATTTTACGAGGAAGAATCGGTGGCTCTGATACGGCTGCAACAGCTGCATTTTGTTTTGAGAGAATATCCTGGACATATGCTACACTAGACCGTGTGATAGAAATGAGTGTTGCTGTTGTGTTTGATGTTATGGCAACTAATAACACGACCACCAGTCAAGAAAAAAAAAAAAAAAAAGGGTAATCAGTAAAAGGTGCTGAAAAGAGAAACAGGAATGAACCCAAGAAGTTCAGTGGAAGGCCTAGACACAACATGAGACACATCCTCCGATTCCTGTTTGAACATGCGAGAAAAAAATAAAAAAAATAAAAATAAAAAGACGAATGAACTATTAATGACGCACCATTGGCAATGAATTTGACTTTGCGAAGTTCAATAGCAGCGGCATCAATGATATCGAGAGAATAAAAGTAGGCGTCCTGAATGATACATGATGATAATTAATAAAAAGTTGTTTTTAGTTTAGTTTTGATTTAATACACAAGGGACAAAGGGGCTCTGTCATTAGGTGAAGACAGTTTAACAAAGTTACAATGACTTCCTCAGTATATTACCTTGAAGTCACCGGAAGAGAATGCATCGGCTGATCTAGCCAGCATCGACTGGATCTCATCCATTGCCTATACTGTGCGTGTCTTTCTGTGGAATGAAGTAATGAAGGTAGAAAAAAGGCTGAATCCAAGACCGGAATGACGAAAGGCGGAGAAATAGAAATAATAATAGCAGGTGGATAAGAGCCGGAGCAGAATAGAAAGAAACAGCTACGATAAATTGAGGTGATAGGAATAGTTGAGCAAGTGAATGGATGTCTAATGTTGTGCCTGGACTTAGACTTTCGTGAATACTGGTTGTTTTTTGTAACTTGAATAGTGGTAGATGTGATATTGGAATCGTTTCTTAATGCAGGTGTGGTTATTGTGTTATTGTAATAGTTTAACGCAACAAAACATGCTAGTTTTTTTAAAAAAAGGGCACAGAGTGATAAAGGTATAAGGAGAGAATGCAAGTCAAGTGGATGTTACAATGTCAAGTGTAAAAGAATTGCCGAATGTTCTGAATATGCTGGATGCTCTGAAGGTGTTGAAGGTATTGAATGCGCTAAATGTGTTGAATTCGAATGTGTTGAATGGATGGAATGAGCAAGAAACAATGGAGAGAGAGGAAGACTTTTGAGGTGATAAAAAAAGTGTGTACACACAGAAAGTATTTCTTGGCTTGACAAACGGAACAAAGAACGGACTGGGTTGTTTTGTGAGCACGAGTTTTATAATATGTATCCCATGGTATTTCCGTTTGAAGCGGCATTTGTTGTTGTTTTTTTATATTGCTCAGCTGCTTCACTTCTTCTTTTGTTTGCTCCTTTATCCACACCAGCCATGCCAAAGGTGCTCCATGCAATTCAATTGCGAACGAATACACATTGCACAATGGATCAACATTGGACAAATAAATCAAATTGTTCAACATTCTAGATTCACATTTCTTTTTTTTTTTTTTTTTTTTTTTGCTGTTGTTCTTCCTATTGTAGCATGCTTCGCATTCTAACTCGAATCTTGCTCGAGCCAACAAGGTAAGTCAACTTTTTTTAACAGGTAACACTGCCAAATGTCAGATGCCAAGGAAAGGTCCACCTGGCTGGATGGCTGTGTTCATGCTTATTTGTTTTGGTTGATTGTTAACGCTAGTCATGACCACGCATCTTCTGTTGCTGTTGGTCATTGATTACAAAAGCTCATCTATTCAGTATGTCATTCCATCATTCAATATTAATATTCTCTTACCCAGCTCTCATCAACGCAGCTGAACGAGTTGCTTGGTTCACAAAAGGAGTTTACTCCTAAAAGGTACAAGTGTTACAATGATCCTCTCTCTCATCACCCTTTTGGACGAAGCTTCTCCTTCTTCCCTCCTTGAAAGCCCTGGACGGTCTTATCCGTCATCTAAATACACATATCCGTTCTTGGACTGATCTGTCACATATCCTGCACTCTCCTTCTTAAGCGCAATTGCGTCTGTGGACTAAATTTAAAATAACAATTCATCATGCGCTAGCTGCGAGCTAACCACAAAGTTTAAAAAAACTAAAGGCACCTCCACATTAATATATTACATATTGCATTAACAACGTGCTAATTGACACTGACCCTAATTAATAATACCAAAAATATAATATATATATTATACTTTTTTTTTTTTTTTTTTTTTTTTTTTTTTTGACCTTCGGCTTGTAACAGGCATCCAGATTATACATTCAATACAATTGCATATCATATTGATGATATGACGCCCATGCTACAGGCATTTGCAGTCGATCTAGTAGAATCTAATATGAAGGAGCTGTAAGTTCGGATAGGTGTAGAAATTGTCTTTATGTCGATCTTGTTTTCGACTTTGATTTGCATATTCCAAAACCTATATGACGGTGTTACTTTGGCTATGGCCGGAAAACGATGCACTCCGATATCGACGATTGATTTTGGTATATTTAGTTACATGAAATCAAAAGACGGCTGGTGTAGAGAAGACAAGGAAGAAGAAATGCAGGATGCTATTTCACGTTACCTCATCACATATCATAATAACCAGCCTGTAGGGATGATCCACTTTCAATTTGTTGAAGAGGAAACCATGGTGGACCGAGATGCAGAGGTAGTTTATTGGTGAGTAATAGTATACCTTCCCTTCAATCTGATAGTATTGAGATGATATACAAACAACTAGAATTAACGCAAGCATGCTCTTCTCGTGATTATTTTAGCTTTGAGATCCAAGTTGTTCCTGAATATCAGCGCCGAGGAATCGGTGCATATCTCATCGGCTTACTAGAACTGATTGGAAAGGCAACACAAATGGAAAAAATCATGTTGACTGTCTTTAAAGGTATCTTCAGGGTCCATGTCATTACTTGTAATAAGTAAAGTCAGTTGAAGCTAGACTGGCATTACAGTTAAAGGACCAGATGCATGGCTCCTGCATTATATGTTTAAGCGTCAAATTAATTCAGCTTCCGCACGTTTCTTGATTTGTATATTGATCCATAGCCAACAAGGATGCTATCAAGTTTTACATCGGCCAGTTGCAGTAAGTATGAACAGAATAGCGCCATTTCCTCTGTTCCTTGACCATCATTACTGTTTTTTCCCTATTGCTCGCTAACTCATAATGGTGAAACAAGGCGCCATGTCCTTTTGCGACTTGTCATATTTTTCCATGTATTCTCTTTTCTAATTGGCCCCATTGTCAAATTGCCGCGTATTAGATACGAGTATGACCAAATTTCCCCATGCCAGTGTCTGACACGTGGGCAAGCCTCGCGCTTCGATTATGAAATCTTAAGTAAAGCACTTTTGTAGACAAAGACAATCACCAAGGGGGTTGTTGTTGTTGTTGTTGTTATCGTTGGTATTCTTAATTTGGCGGCAAACTCGCGCGGCTTGCTTATTTTACATCATCTCACTTCTCGGAGGATTATGTGATGAGGAAGAGCCCTTGGGTGGGTGTACTCATTGACACTAATCAGAACGCATGCAGCGCCTGAAATGCCAAAGATAGATCGAGAGCTGTTGTCGGTCTTCAGGGTAGGTTTTGCATTATCGAGCACCTGCCCTTTTTTATGTGAGCAGCTGTGGCAACGAATTGAGCAAACCAAGTGAACGTCTATAGACCTAGCTTACCTGCTGCAGAAACGAGCAACGCGACAGAAAACGTTGTAAGCATTTTGAGATGGCATTTTTTTTAAGAAAAAAAAAAAAAAAAACGCGTTAGTAGGTCTACGCTTGTGGGAATTCTCCAGCTTTTGTTTTTCATATTAGTAACATTCTATGCCTTCACTGGCCTGCACGCCCGGAACTATAAAATCTTATCGATTTGCCTGATTGAGAAAAAAACGCGCATGGGAACTGTTGATTTCCCATACAAACATATCCAGCATACATGTCCAGGTTGTGATGGAATAACTGATAGTAACCGAACCTAAAAAAAAACGAATTTTGAGTGGAATAACTAAATAGTATCCATAGTTCAAATGTCCGTCAAGATATGCTCTCATATGGAAGCCTTCAGCCAAGTACCAGATTGAAGGCGGAAAAATAAATAGTTGTTTCTTCTTTCCCGCAACTGTGACAAAGAAGTGTTTGGAGATGACAAACAAGGCTGTGCTGTTCTTTCTGTCGTTTTCTATTAACAGGTGTACAAAGAACTTCAGAAAATGTGCAACAAGACAGACAAAAGAACCGTTGTATTATAAAAAATATAATCAAAACGGACCTTGGTAAGCTGACACGAATGGACACAAATGATGGAAGCTTCGCGCTGAAAAACATATCATGAAAATGCGCGCTAGAGAGACAAGGTTGGCGCTTGGGAAATTGGCTCCTGCAGAGCAAGAAAATGAGATGAAGATGGAGAGGAAGAAGGGGCAGAGAGACAACAGGCAAACATTCTTGATTTGCGACGCCGTGAATGTCGATTAAAGATATTCTTTGCTGTTTTTGATTATTCCAACCTCATCTCATTGCTGTTGTTGGTTGTCCTTCGTCCTTTGCTCTGCTGTCCCGCCTCTTCTTGTTTCTCCCATCATTGGCGCTCGTGTTTAAACTTTTTTTGTTTCCCTCCTTTTTTTTGTTTTCTTTGGGTGTTTTGCTCTTTTTTTTTTTTTTTTTTCTTTTTTTTTCTCCTTCTTGTAAAGCATTTGCCTCTTTACACAGTAACAGCTTCAACCCGTTCATTTCTTTTTTATTCTCTCATTCATTATTCGCTCTGTTTTGCTTCATTCGTCTTTATTTCATCTTGGTTAATCATTACTCTTCTCTTTAATCATTGACTCGTCATTATCTTCTTCCCTTTCTCCCTCTGAGCATACAGTCTTAACAACAAGTACGACAAGAGCATAAGCAGAGGGAGGAGAGGTCACTTTCAAACTTCGTCTATCCATCTTAGCCCAAATGCCCAACCTCCGGCGTTCTCTCCAGAGTAAGAGCAGCACAGGCAGCCAATCGCCTACACGTTCCCATGCCACTCCAATAGGAGCAGGGCTAGCCCCTCCTCGTAAAGTCATCAAAGCTCTATATGACTACAACTCACAGCAGCCAGAGGAAATGCCATTTTCCAAAGGTGATTTCTTTCACGTCATTGGCAACGAGGACGATGAGGATTGGTATGAGGCATGCAACCCTATCACAGGCGCTAGGGGATATGTGCCTGTTACCTACTTTCAAATCCTTGAGAAGAACGGTAGCCAACAGCAGCAACGTTCTCAATATAGGAAGAGCAATCAAAGTATTGAAGACACTGGGAATGACTCGGGCACATTTACTGAACCACTTCCACAAAAATATTTTGCTCCAAAACTCTCGCCACAACCATTCTATCAACAACCAGTTTCGGGAGGCGTTACTGGTTTACAGTCAGCACCTCTTCCAGTAACGTCTCAAAAGACTGGTCCTACACCTTCATTGCCGAAATGCCAGCCTCTATATGGTATCGTGCTCTATGACTTTGGTGCCGAGAGAGCGGATGAACTCGATTGTAAAGTTGGAGATGCTATTCTAGTCATCGCACAATCCAATGAGGACTGGTACGTCGCAAAGCCTATAGGGCGTTTAGGTGGTCCAGGCCTGATTCCCGTCAAGTTTGTGGAGATCAGGGACATGGTCACTGGTAAACCAATCGACGTTCCTGAGATGTTGCGACAGACAGGAACAGTAATTCCACGGGTGGACGAATGGAAAAAGCAGACTATGGAGTATAAAGCAAAGAGCATCCCTCTGGGTCGTATTGATGTTACTGATGTCCCACAAGCAGCAGTAACAACAGGAGCGCAGCCTATATCCCCGCAACAACCTGCTAGTGCACCTTTGCCATTGCCTGTACACTTAAATGGTGAACAAACAATTCATCAACTCAAGAGCAAGGTACCGAGAGCAGATTACAAAGCCTCTCATATTCGAGATCAACATGGAAGAAGAAACCCCTCTCAAGATCTGGACATTGGTCGTCGAGTGGTAATATCTCTTTCACCATTAGTTCTTGTCTGAACGCCAGTCCTCTCCAAGCCCCAAATCCTTGTCATATCCATTGATCTTTTTAATCTATCACCGGTCCTACCTCCTTACTATCACAGCCTCCCTTTTTTTCTTTATACCCCTGGAGCGAGACAGCAGAAGCATCATACTGTCATGCGTTTTTGTGTTCAAAGAATACAAGAAAAAAGGGGCCTCTGCTGGCGCAGTTTGAGTTACTTAGACGACACTTTCCTTCTCTTCAGTTATTTAACTCGTCAGCTTACGTGATCAATTTCTTTGTTGCTCACACGACTACATGTTTCTCTTTGTATTTTCTCGGTTATTTATTGACTTTTATTTATTTATTTATTTATTTATTTTTTTATTTTTTTTATAGGAGAGCATTAATGGCGTAAGAGGCGTCCCAACCATAGCCCGATCACACAATCATGATGCTTACGAAGACAGGCATCACCACCATCCTGCCTATCCTCATCATCAGCACACTCACAGCGGCGGCAGTATCCAGTACTATCATCACAATCCACACCGAATCATCCATGCCTCTGTTGAATCGTTCCATCTTGCAGACGGACAGTACTGGTTCAATGTACGCGTAGAAATTGCATCAGGTGCTGTAAGAAGTTTATTTCGCTTGTATGAGGATTTTTACAACTTTCATATCGCACTTTTGGAAGAATTCCCAGTAGAGTCTGGACGAGTAGGTGATCAGCCAAGAATTTTACCCTTCATGCCTATACCATTACCGAACGTAACGGAGACTGTGTCAGCCACACGGCGGAAAGATCTTGATTTATATGTGCAGGACCTTTGCAAACTACCGCCTAGGATCATGCAACATCCATTGGTAGAGAATTTGTTTGCAGTGAGAGATGGTGATACAGAGACGCCTCCTAATGAACAGAAACAGCCTGATCGAACATCTGGAACAAGATCAACCTCCCCAGCATTGGGTCGCTCCCACCCTGCACGAGATCTGGATCGTCGACCCTCACCTTCTGCTGGTTCGAGAGGGACGCGACCGCCATTTGTATCGCGTCCTCAACAGAGTACACGGAGCTATGGCGATGAATCGCCTGGTGGCTCGTCCCCTGGCGTGCGCTCTCTATCTCAATTCCCTGCGGCCCCAAGTACCCCTGTTGCAACTGCCGTGGGAACTACTGCTGCTGCTACTGTGCCACCACCTAGTCAGGGACTTCCATTAGCAATTAAAACTGCAGAGGACATGATCAAAGTCAAAATTTCGTACCAGGAGGATATCATGGCTATGAGGATACCTGTGAGCATTGGATTCAAAGCTCTACAACAAAAGATTTTCGATCGACTACAGATAGAACCCCATCGAACGTTAAGCTACCGAGATGATCACGGAGATTTCGCCATCATTCAGACGGATGCGGATGTACGAGCGGCTATGGATCGGAGTGGCGGCAAACTGATGGTCTACGTTGATTAAGCATAGCCAATATGTATTACATGTGTCTATTTGATTTATTATTATTATTTTTATTACTCATGCCCCTCGCTCTTGTTTGTTAGCATTCACATTTATTTTTTGTAGATAGTCAGGCACTCTTCTCTCCTTTTCTTTCATAACATGAATAAATACAACTTAGGATACCCATTGACGAAAGCACGTTTCAGCTAGTTTTGCTCTGATTTTTTAATTATTTTATATATTTTGTATACATATTTTCTAGATATTAATCAATCTCATCAGCCAAAGAGAGGTGGGGGGGGGGAATCAGAGCTTCAATTTCCATCCCAAGACCTGCCAGGTCCACGCCAAAACTGAAACAGCTGCCATATATACAGTCAAGATAGCCAAGGCTTGTGGCGTGGGGGTATAGAGAGTCTTTACGGTCATATTGACTAGGCCTGTCAGAACATTGGCGACCAAGAACACGGCCAATCCGTTACGGTTGACGGCTTCGAGAAGAGGTGGGCATGTCAATGGTGGTAGAAGAACTGTTGCAGCAGGACGTTGATTTTTTTTACTACTGCCTGCAGTTGTGAGATTAGCTTTAGCCTGCGCACGTGCAATTGCCAACGCTGAAGGCTCATTGGCAGTGATGATAATCTCTGCTAATAAGAAGCAGAGGATAAAGCCAACGTTGAACGTAATCACCCAGAAGAAGTATGATAAGTTTGCCTAAAAAAAAACATATGCGTATGCTTTTTAGTCTTGGCCTTTGATGATATCGTTGCATGTATACTAGAAAGTATACTAATAATGAATGATAGTAAACAATGATAATAACAATTTACCATTTGACGTGAAACGGGGATATGGAGGATGCCATAACTGGTGATGAAACCCATCGTAAGCAAGAAGTCGAGACTGAGGAGGATCATGGCCAGTTTGCCTTTCTTGGCCTTCTTCTTGTTACTCTTACGACGCACAAAATAATAAGGATCATTGGGGAGGACATACAGACCTACATCGACACCGACCAAGAAAATAGCTAAGTAACCTGCAAAACTGAAGATGCCTTCCTTATTCATACTGATGATGTCGACGCGAGGCGCATTCTGGATATAGTCTTCCAATCCTCCGTACGATAAAAAGACTTGGTAAACTATTAATAATACCAGAAAAATAACAAAATAAATATATGAGATCAATATACCAAAAAGCATTATACTTTGTTTCGGCTCAAATCGATCAATGTCTCTTGCACTTTACCAACAGCGACGGCAACTCCTAATAGCGAAAAGCGCACATGACTTGCAAGGCTCCTGAAGAAAGTGACGAAGATAGGCAAGCAACCAAGCGTGAAAAAAAAGTTCCAATGCATGCCATACTCAGTGACGTGTTCCTGATAGTCAACACCCTTGGTGGAGATATAGCGACCCAGACCCAGGATCAACAAAGGAATGGAGGTACGGAGAGCAATCGCCATCTGTTTTCCAAAGGACATCGTCTCTTTTTTGAGGTATCCACGGGCAGAAACAACTCCAGATGAAAACACGAATGATCCAACTCCAAGATCCATCTTGTATATATTTAAAAATAATAATAATAATAAAAATAATAATTAATATACTTTATGAAACACTGCATTCTAGGTTTTTTTTTTTTTTTTTTTTTTTTTTTGACCAGGCTTACCAGAGAAGTGCCATAGACTTCGACTTTGCCAAACCGACGAGGGAAAATCGGAAAATCCACTGCCAGAATAGCGATACAAGTCATGATCATCATTCCCGCACGATAAACACTTAAAAAGATCTTGCGCGGATTTTCAACATGTTTCGAGGGCTTAAGGTTTTTAGTTATGTCTATATTAGAACTATCCAATTGTAAAGCTGAGTGGTGATCTGGTTCGCGCGGCTCTTTACGGTGGCGAAGGCCTCCATCCTGGTCCTGGTCCTGATCATGTCCTTGCGAGAGAGTCGTTCCCAATCCTTTGCTCACTTCTGGTTCATTACTATTACTATCACCATCCTGATCATCTGCAGAAAATTCATCGTCTGAATCCTTCCACTTGAAACGTTTCTTCTCTTTCTTCAAGACCTCATGTTCACTTGGTCCGCAGACGGATCTGACAGCACCTGCAAAGGCTAAAAGGGCAAAAGTCCATAGATAGGCATAATCCGAAAACAAGGTACAACTCAAGAGCATTGGCATCACTAAGGTGGAAAAATCCAACAGAAATGATCCAACACTATTCCAAGCCCTAGCTTTGGCCTGTTTGGAGGTGACGTTGAGAGCCTGGTGGGCAGGTGATTTGGGATGGTATTTTTGAATGCTTGTCCAGAGAAGGAATGTCGTTAATGCAGAGGCTGTGACAAGTGTAGCTTCCATCATAGAACCACCAGTATGTCCTGTCACCCAGGCTTCCTTGGCGGCTTTATATTCCGCTGCAGATAAATTGGCTCCCATGCAGACCAAATAATAATGTGATGGAATGTTTGAAGCAATGAAAATATAAAAAGGTTAGATGTGAAGGTAAAATGGGAGAACTTCAATGCAACTGTGCGCGCGCCAACTACAGAATCTCCCAATGTAGCACTTGCGATTTTTTAATAACGCATCATGTGACAACTCGCAGCACATTTATAAAAACGAACGCCTCATCCACATTTTGATTCTTCACAACTAATGCTGTTGAGAAGAAAACCAACAGCAGCAGCAGTGCGATACCAACTAAAGCGACCTTATTTCGGATAAAATAACAAGGACCAGTCAGCAACTATCGATTTATGAAATTTACTTTATAGTTGAAACCATGGATATGTACAATGGAGGACCTGAAGTGTCCATCAGATCTCTTAAGAAGGACAGCATGAAGTTTGTTCTCAGCAATACAGATCTCAGGTATACATCTGTGCTTATGTCAGAAGCATACTTGAAAAGATGTAAAAACCAACTTCAACTACTCAGTATGGACAACACTATGAAGTCTAAAGCCTGACCTGACATTTTTCCTCTGCAAAAAAAAAAAAAAAAAAAAAAAAAAAAAAAAGTGTCGCCAATGCCTTGAGACGTATCATGATTGCCGAGGTCCCAACAATGGGTAAATAATGCTATCAAGTTATTATTGTCGTCATATTATTATGTTTTGGTTTTGAGAAGGATCTACAGATCCACTTTCATGCTTCGATTAAGAAGAAGAACATTAATCTTTTCCTTCCCATTGAAATGATAGCAATCGACATGGTTGAGATTGAGACCAATTCGACAGTATTAACAGATGAGTATATTGCACATCGCTTGGGAATGATCCCTCTGACAAGTTTCGATGTTGACAGGATCCAGTATACACGAGTATGTTTTTTTTTTTTTTTTTTTTTTGTATAAGCTTGCCATTCTCCCTCAAATAAATGTGGCCTAATATTTCTACCATTCAATTATTATCATTATTAATAGGACTGTACTTGCACCCTTTACTGTCCCAATTGTTCTGTAGAGTTGACACTCCATGTTAAAGTTAATGTGGATTACGATGATATGAATGATCCTACAATTGATAAAACCAGGCAAGTTACGAGCTTGGATCTTGTCAGTAGTGATGAAGCTGTCAAGCCTGTATCGGATGGTAAGAGTGAAGGATTTATGATGATAATATGGAAATGAATGATAAGATTGGACGAGTGTTCATGACGACCTTTATCTTCTTTCATTCCTCCTAGACAAAGCGCATCCTATTTTGATTGTCAAAATGAGACCTGGTCAAGAGCTAAAGTTAAAGTGTGTAGCGAAAAAAGGAGTGGCTAAAGAGCATGCCAAATGGAGCCCTGTTTATGGTGTTGCATTTGAATACGATCCTTATAACAAGTTGAGACATTCGCACTACTGGATTGAGGAGGATGAAAAAACAGAGTGGTTTGTTTCTTCGAACGCCGCTGAGGAGACACCCGTTGATCCTAATGAGCCTTTCGACTACAACGCCAAGCCTGATCGGTTCTATATGGAAGTGGAGGTTCGTTCTTAAGCCATCAATGCCACTTTTTTTTCTTAGCATTGCCTTATCGTCGTTCTGAGCTGTTGTCTTTTTGTTTATTTGTTTGTTTGACTATAGACGTCTGGATGCATGAAGCCCGAAGAGGTTGCTCTGCGCGCCATGACTATTATGCAGGATAAGCTTGGAGGTTTACAGATTAAGTTAGATGATGAATTCAAAGAAGACACTCAACGCTGGGGTTATTAGAGATTAAAATATGACTATATTTTACGCAAAGCCCTCATGATGTTTATTTTTGGAACCTGTTGCCTCATGAAAAGGCGTGTCAAGAAATATTATTAATAAAAGAAATGTATACTATAACAAATAGCGTCGTTCGGACACCTTTCTTTTCTATCCTTTTTCTTTTAAATATAAAAGACCTGCCTGCTTTGCTACTGCTGGCTGTGGTTATAAAAGGCTGGAAAGTGCCATGGTCTCGCGATCGCTTTTCTGAACACTTCCCATCTTTTCAACATCATTAGTAACCACACATATACACAGAAAAAAAAAACCACATCCCGCAGCGAATAAAATTTTACCACATCATGAATCAAGGAAACCACAAGCAAACTAAGAGACAAAGCAGAAGTCATCTTGTTTCATCGCTAGATCAAGACCTTGTACGAATACGGTTATCTGATAATAACCCTGGCTCAAAGGCACCAAAGATGGAATGCCAAGCGAAGGTAGAACCCCAACAGCGCACAACTGCCTCCAGTGCCACTGCTGTCAATATGCAAAATCAAGTTCGGAATCAAAGGATCCGTCTGTCTATGAGACACACAACGGATGCGACCCGACAAGTGCATGATCCTAACCTTCATATCCCGGAGGATCAAGAGTTCATTCGCGGCCAGAATGATCTTGACCGTGTCAATTTCGAGCTCACACTGTGGCTTCAGTCTCATCCTGACCGGAAAGTAACGAAGGCATCGTCGTTGCCTACGACTCAAACTATGAGCGACGTGTGGCAGCGAAGAACATAGTGAAAGCTTGACAGTCTAGACGATTTTAAGGTATACTTAAGGGTATAGAATAAACCTAGGAGTGGCTGGCGCAACAGCCAATCACATGGATTAGAAATTTTCGAGATTTTGCAAATAACAAAAATCCGTCAGCGGCCAGCTTTGTACATCCTTTTTCGCCAACTATTCATCATGTCTGAGCAGGTGCGTCTTGTGAAGTAGGGGAGGGGGAGGTGATTTAACCATGGAAAACAAACAAAAGTGGCATCATCACACCATGTGCAACGAAGAATAAAATATCCAACAATAATAATCAGGATTTGGAAATTGATCATTCCGGGACGGCACATGGAAAGAATCAAAGGAGCAGAATTATGACATTTTGCATGATCAAGAAGAATACAGTTGTCCACATCCACCTAAGATTTTGATTCATGCAACATTTCGACCATTAAAATGATCGTCCAAAGCTGAAGGACATTTTCATGTAGTTCAACATCTTGATCATGCATTTTTGAAATTCATTCAATATGATCTGTCATTGAGCTCAATTTGCACCAACCAAGCTTTCAGCTAAATGTTGGCAATCATCAAACACTCGTGGAATCAAAAATAAGTTCTTCACGTTAACAGTACAAGATAACTAGACTTGTTAATTCGACGCGAAGACCATTGACGAAAAAAAAAAAAAAAAAAAAAAACCCCCACTTCAGGACGATGTTAACTTTTGGATCAGAAAAATCACTGTCGATTTCTCAACTCAACGCTCTTCACACAGGGCTTTTTTATTTCACTAAATGGGTCTTCGCGTCAATTCCTCACTTCAGCTTCAACGAAATCTTTTCGACTTGTTGATCCTTATCAGCCGAACAAAGAAAAATACCTCCTGTCTTCTCTTTTTTATATATATTTCGGCATTGGTATAGATTTCTCAACAATCTCTTTTGGAATCCTTTACTTTTTGTTCCTATTCACTAGATTGAGAAGGCTTTCCAGAAGCAGCAGGGTATCTTCCAAAACGCCAAGGTCGTTGGCAAGAAGGCTGGCAAGAACAGCCGCTGGTACAAGGATGTTGGTCTTGGCTTTAAGACCCCCAAGGAGGCCATCGAGGGTCATTACATTGACAAGAAGTGTCCCTTCACCGGTGATGTTTCCATCCGTGGTCGTATTCTCTCTGGCGAGATCATCTCGACCAAGATGAAGCGCACTATCATCATTCGTCGCGAGTATCTCCACTTCATCTCCAAGTACAACCGTTATGAGAAGCGCCACAAGGTAAATTAAATGACTTGATTTTTTTTCCTGTTAGTTTCTTCTATGTTAACCGTGGAGTTCTATATTGGATACTGATGATTAACCACGATTGATTTTATCCTATATTAAATAAATGAAATTATAGAACTTGGCTGCTCACATCTCGCCTTGCTTCATTGGAGTTCAGCAGGGTGACTCTGTTACTGTTGGCCAGTGCCGTCCCCTCTCTAAGACTGTCCGCTTCAACGTCCTCAAAGTCCAGAAGAAGATCGTCAAGGGTGCCAAGAACTTTGCCAAGTTCTAAATGAAATGACATTTTGTTCTTGATACAATAAAAAAGCTTTTAGCCTCTTGTCCATTTCTTTTTTTTTTTTTTTTTTTTTAATGTACATATTCATATTCATTCAATTTAATTCTCGTCGCTGGTCATTAAAAGTCTCTGCTTCAGGTTAATCCAGTAACGCGGCGTAGGAGTCAATAGATGTAGTCAAGTAAAATGAATAGTTGCAGTAGTCACACAACAAATCATTCTATTGGGTAGGGTGTTTGAGTGTGGCTTTGCGCATCAGTCTCACAGACAGCATGGAAAGGATGGGAGCACACACCACCATTCCAATGTAACTCCATGCTTTGAATACAAGAACATCGACAAAATCTTTCTGGCAACCCAAGTCCTCAATACTCAGGAGGATAAGGAAACGAAAGGAGGAACGTAAAACGTGCTCGAAAGCGATTTGATCCCAGCATCGGGGCCTCTTGACGTCATCCCTACACAGAAATCTGTCGCTAAAGCCTTAACAGCTGCAAGAGCAGAATTTTACCAACCCCATAGTTGAACAAAATTAGCAGAGCAGAAATGCAACCTTCGCTCTACGATACACAACGACAGCCGCAACAACATCAGACGATTCTCCCATCGTCTGGTACTGATCAGAGCCAGGAGCAGGCCTCAGACCAGCAACATGGTATGGCACTATCAGGTCTTTCTGGAGGACCATCAGAGCACGAGATTGTCTTTGGGAACGGAATCCGATCACACTCTCCTTTTCCATCATATATGCACCTAAATATGATCCAGCTAATGCAGCAGAACCAAGTACAGCAGCAGCAATTGTATCATCAGCATCGTCAGTACCATCAACACCATCAGTTGTACAATCAACCCTTTCATCAACCTCATCATACGCATGGCGCTGATTCGTCACAGATGGCTACAGGACAGTTAAAACATCCAGCTCAACATGGTGATGGTCGACCAGTCATCCAAGCTCCCTTCAGTCCTCATTTAATGGTAGATGGATCGACGGCAGAGCCTGATATTCACCTTGGACATGTACTGGAGGAACGGCAGCAGTCACCCATTGATAGATTACATAATGTGGACTCTCCTCAAGTTAGACAGGAGGGAACCCAGCTGCTTACGAACCAGCAACATCCCCCTCCACCAATGCTCAACATGGCCAGCGGCCATATTCCTCCTGGTCTCGACAGCGATTTTGGTGGGCCAAACAGAGTTTCAGGCCCAGGTCACTTTATGCATATGGGCAGGATGACACCACCTTCTGAATTTGGGCATTTCCCTATGCATCCCGTACCAGGAGGACCCTTCCAAGCGCCATTTCAGCAACAGCAGTTTCACCAGCGCCAGCAAATGTTTCTGCATCAGCAGATGCTTCATCAGCAACCGCAACAGCATATGCAACAAGTCCACTCGTTTCAACCCATCCCACAACATCCTCTACATCATCATCAAGGGTATACCCAGTCGCCATTGCCAGCTTCCTCGCAGGATGTAAGCCATAGCCACGTTCCGGTTCCTACGGACCAACGACTACATGCTTCAAGTGTAGAACAGCAGGATCAAATCAAAGATATTGAATCCCAAATCAACAAGCTCTTGTTCAAAAACGACAATACTGCCAATGGCAGCTCCCAGCTCGACCTTGAGGCCGTCAGCCAAAAGCATCTACGACCCCTCTCTGGAGTGACTGTACAGGAGATTGAGGAAGCGCAATTTAAGGATATGCAGAATCAATTACGTCGCATTTCTCTCAACAATCCTCCTGAGACGCAATCGCGAATGCAGACGCAGCTACAACCAGAGTCAATCCCATCATTTCCTCCTGTTATTGCTGTGGATCAAATCCAAGCCAATAAAGGCGAGCACGAAACAAGTGTAGGCAGCGAGTCCTCTTCCTCCTTTTCTTCTCTAGCAGGAGTGGCCCCAGTTGGTCACCGTCGCTCAAATTTTTTGGAAACTCGGTTCAAGAACCCATCAATGAGCGGCCCAGAATCAAGCTTTGAGCCTTCAGTTGAGAAAGTTCCGTTTTCTGTCAAAGATATTGATTTTTACTCTGACAGAAAATACGACCCCTATCGCCCTTCTGCCCATGCTTTTGATGTAATTACACGGGACGCTAAAAGTTTGTGTCATAATCTCATGCCCAAGCCTGAAGAAGAGACTCGAAAGCTTGCACTGCTCAAAAGGTTGGCTTTTTTCTTAAAAAAAAAAAAAAAAAAAAAAAAAAAAAAAAAAACAAGCATTAAGACGAGATTCTGATAAGCCTTTTTTTGTACTAAATGGTTAGGCTATCTGAAATCGCTAATGAGGTGTTTGATGAGGCGGAGGTATTGCCATTCGGATCTTCTGGGAATGGGCTAGCGCTTGCGAATGCAGATATGGATGTCTGTGTGTTTTTGAATGCAAAAGAAGGAGAGGAAGAGGTCTCTCCAGTAGAATTTGTGGAGCGGATAGGAGACCGGTTAGAGAAGGACAGCGAATTTGAAAACATTCTGCAGCTGAAGCGAGCTCGTGTTCCTATCGTGAAATTAAACCATATTAATGGAATTGCATGCGACATTGGATATCAGAATGATCTAGCAATCTGGAATACACGACTATTAAGAGCTTACTGTAGAATTGACCCACGTCTTCGAGATATTGTTGTCGTCGTCAAGACCTGGGCGAAACGCAGGAAGATCAACAACCCTTATACAGGATCGTTATCCAGGTATGTTTCTGATTAAGACTCTCTTAACATTGGAGTCAATGTTTGTTCATTATCGACAGTAATAATCACATGATAAACGCTACTTTCTTTTTTTTTTTAAAAAAAAAAAAAAAAAAAAAAAAAAAAAAGCTACGCTTATGTGCTACTAGTGATTCACCTTCTTCAACGACGTGGAGTCTTGCCCAACCTCCAATCGATCGTTGTAGGAAATGGGAAGGTCCCGTATTGGGATTGTCAGGGGTTCAATCGATACTTTTTTGAGGATATTCCAAATCTAAGCCGGTATTGGCAACCGACGCCCGAGGCAATGAATCAATCGGTAGGAGAGCTGCTCTACGAGTTCTTCAAGTACTTTGCTAGCGAATTTCGATATGCCACGCATGTAGTCAGCATCCGTAGTGGTGGACTCTTGACGAAGGAAGCCAAAGAATGGACCAAAGATGTAAGTGAGAACAAAAACCACTACTTTTGCAAAAAAAAAAAAAAAAAAAAAAAAAAAAAATCATGAGTTTGGCTCATTTGCAGATGGACTAATACTTTCTTTACACCTTCCTTGAATTATTTTATTAGCACATTCTACCTCAGCAACAACAGCAACAACAACTACATCAGCATCAGAATCAGAATCAGCAACATGTGCAATCATCTGCGTCTACTGATACAGCAACGTTGCAAGCTGAAACACAAGAAACTGACGCTATTCCATCTGAACAATCGGACATACATCCGGCTACAGATTTCAAGCCTTTCGTCAAAAACAGATATCTTTTCTGTATCGAGGATCCCTTTGGTAACATTAAAGTCCTCAAAATATTACTTTTTTATTTTCCTATTTGAAATTCATGCTGACGTTACCTTTCTATTGCTTGGTTTGTGTCATATATATATTTAGAACTTGATCACAATGTTGGACGACCTGTTGATCGTTATAGTTTGTTCACGATTCGAGGCGAATTTATGAGAGCAGCCAAGATTTTAAGTAGGAGTAGTGATGGGGCCATAACACGTCTTTGCTATGAGAAAGAAGTGCCCGCGCATCAAGAAAGGAACCGTAACAGCAGTATCGATCATGGAGGTGATCAGAACCGGGACAGAATACAAAAGGATAAACCTGATGGTACATCCTTGAATTCTAACGCTGGTAGTGCTACTGGGTCTGGCATACATGCCAATGGCAGGAGAGGCAGCAGCGGTAGCAATGACGATGGTAATAGTATTAGTGATGGCAGGGGTCGTACAATAGCCTTTCCTACGGGAGAAGGTTCTCTTCATAATATTGAGCAGCCAAAGCCGCGGGATAAAGCCCAGGGGCGATTTTTTGGTGCCAATGGCCATGGCGGTGAAAGACAGAGAATTGGTCGAAAGGACCATCATAAACGCTCAACTATTACAGGTGACCCAAGGGCGATCCCGAGAGCATAGCATAAAACATTGTGTAAAAATATAGATAAGAAAAAAAAATGTACATAAAGAAAACTTCCTCCCTCAAAACGCATCATATAAAAAGATGTCTCATTTGCATTTATTATATCTATTACAAAGGGAGAAAGGGGAAAGGGGATGAAAATGAGATTAAAAGCCATCTTTTTAATAATAATAGACAAAGTCCAGGCGTTCGTCACCAACATCTTTAGTGGTCTTGTTATAATGTTTCCAATCGTCAGTGGTCCAATCCTTAGTGGTCCTGGCACGCTTCTTGTTAATATAAATAAGATAGTATCTTTGAAAAATGAAGAGTGATATAGTGATGATAAGTGAGCCGAAAAGGACCCACATGCCTTTGATAAAGCGAGGTGCGTCCTCGGCACGGAAGACGCTCGTACCAACAATAGCTGTGAGATTGACAGACATGATATACATGGCTAGCGCAATCGTGCGCTTACCCACCGGTGCAGTATTACCAGCAATCCAGGCAGCCTAATAATAATGATAATAAAATAAGGTCACTTTTTTTTTCTGTTATCGGTTGAGTAATTGGCATCAATGTGACTTACGTTAACTGGATGCCAGCATGTGCTTCCACCCATGCTAAAAATTAGACAGATATATAAGTTGATCTTGTTTGTGCCCAAAGGCAGCAGAGCCAGCCCAGCGACACAGCACGCATAATACACTGTCGCGAATGCACCATGGAAAGCGCGTTCCTTAAATCGGTCCGAAGAATAAGAAACTGCAGACATGATGATCAAACTGAGAAGGTAACCGGGGATGGCCATCAGGTTGGTTTTCAGAGCACTGAATCCAAGCATCTTCAAGATCAAGGGTGCAAAGCCCTGAAGAGGGACCGAAGGGAGTAAACCAAAGAATCCGATCAATATATGGGGCCAGATACGGGGAGAACGGACTGCACGCCAGATATCGGCTTTGGGGACAACCTTTTTTGAAGGATCCGCCTTGGATGGATCATCACGAATCAACCGAGTGATTGCAATAAGTTCTTGGCGTTCTGTGAGATAACCAGCAAAGCGAAGGTAACCCCTAGTAGCTGTGGGACCTTCAGGCAAGATGAAGAAAGATAAAATGCCAACAAAGACCGTTGCAACACCTTCGATCAAAAACAACCATTTCCACCCTTCTAAGCCGGCGATCCCACGCATATGCAAGATAAAATAAGATAAGATGCCCGCGCATGAGCTGGCAATCGCAAGCGTGCTCCAAAAGATTGATAGCCTTAAAGCCATTTCTTCACGTTTATAATATGTTGTCAGATAGATGGCAATGCCAGGGATATAACCCGCTTCGAAAGTCCCGACAAGGGCACGAGTGATGAAATAAGAGACTCGATCTTTGATGAACATCTGAGTGGCTGTGGCAAGGCCCCAGAGGACCATTAGGAGAGGGATCCAACGGTGAGGACCCACACGACGAATGATCATATTGGAGGGGATTTCAAAAAAACAAAAGAAGAGAACGAAGATTGCGGTACCGAGTGTGATGGTGTTGAGATCCACACCAATATCGACCATCAAGTTATCTGTGAGTGCGTTGGACATATTACCACGATCTAACTGGAGGAAAAAGACTGAAAAAAAAGGAGCAGTTTTGTTAGTGTTGATACTATGTATTCAGTAAATGAACAAAAAAAAAAAGCCCTTGTCGAGTTGGAGACATACACATGACTCCGATCCAGGAAAGGATTTTCAGATCGAATATCCGGACAAGTTGCTTCTCCTCTTCAGCTGTCCAAATGAGATCATGAACATAGTAGGGATCTTGCTCTCCTATAGCTCTCAATTTATTGTCCGCAGAGTCAGCCTGTGCAGCACCATCCAGAGTGGAGGTGACACTTGGGCTGCTCTTGCGCTCAATATCGTGTGCAAAGTTGGTATCTTCTATTTGAGTTTGCTTCTTCTCGGACAACATCTTCTAGTGCGCTTGTAATGCAATATCTATTATTCTGTTCTTTTATGATATGAAATAGCGTTTATCTCGATCTGATAGTAGGAAAAAAAAAAAAAAAAAAAAAAAAAAAAAAAGAGAGTAAAGAAAAAACTCAAGAAAGAGAGGAAGAGAGGAAGAGTGAGAAGAGAAGTGACACAGACAGAAGAAAGCTACACATTGATGTTTGCCAGAGTCAAGAAGAGTAAAAGGTTTTTATACGCATTTTTTTTTTTTTTTTTTTTTTTAACTGGCAGTTATTGTAAAGCAATGGCGTTTTTAAAGTCCCCGCCAGAAAGTCGTAAACAAATGCATTTTTTTGAGGTTTTAAATTAAATAAAATACTTTCTGTCCCTGCACAAGTTCAATTAGACATCCATTTCTCTGCATGTAACCGAATTAAATCCAAATTGAATTGAGTACGACTTTCTTACGTGAAATATTCTTTAAATCATCATTTAGGTTTTCCCCTTCTTTTTCTTGTTTCTGATTTCAACAAAAAAAAAAAAAAAAAAAAAAAAAAAAAAACAGACGCAACTCTCTACAGACTGCTGTTAGCCACTTACGCCTACGGTCTATACGGTTGCGCCCAACGCGTTATTCGTGGCTCGTCAAGAGGCAGAGGCTTATTTTTCCTCCTTCTACTAATGAGCAACGTTGCGATCAATACTTTCCTCAAATTTCGATACTTCTGCTGTGTACCGCATTTATATAGTAGATCAGAAGGAATAAATGCAGAAACACAGGCTGGCTTGACTATGGCGTATGGTCAGCGCGGAATGATGTGATGTTTAGGTTTCAAAAAACGAAATTCACGAAGTAAAAAAGACTGAAGCTTAAAAACAAAAATGGCTATGACTAGGTTACTTTATTGTTATTGCATATTGTACAATATTCACGTTTCTGAAATCAAAATGTATATTTGCGTGTCAAATGTTCAACATGAATGCACTCCATTCATGTTGAAAAGAGACGTGTATAAATGTTTTTGATATGTTTTCAGCAAAGCCCTGAATAAATACTTCTTGGGTGTGGTATGTGGGCCCTTATCTTATTTTCATTTACTCTTTGATTCATCTTTCTGTCTGACAAAACTTTTCAATTAACATGCTATCAAAAAAAAAAAAAAAAAAAAGAGTTGTGCCTTTATCTTTTTCTATTCCACAATATTTATCCACGTTGCTTGTATGGATGGAAAACCATGACAAGCGTCCGTTTTTTTTTGTGCTACATCAAAATGTTGTAATTCCTTCAATAGAACGCGTCTTATTCAATTTGGATGACCTCTTTTCGTAGTAAAATGGGTCACAAGCATTGCTACTCATAGATTGATCCTATACCACCATTTATAAGTTTATTTAACACACTACATAACTATTTTAGGTATATAGTCAATAAAGCTACATGCGACTATACCATTAATAAATTCGTGAAGTAGATGAAACATAGATTTGATGCCATGCAAAAACTTGATAGTAATAGCTAAAAGGCTTAAGGGGTTCGAAAGTGAGAGGGTGGAAGAAGAAACGCACTCAACAAAGCTAATATCAAATCAAACTATTATGAATATTACAAAGAACATTGATCGAAATAAAGGCTTCAAAAGCGCCTCAGTTCGCGCCAGTTCTCTCAATGAAACCATTTGCTAAAAAAAATAAAAAATAAAAAAAAAAAAAAAGAAAAAGAAAAAGAAATAAAGCTAGAAGCAAAACAAAGGCCTCTGATTGTACTTATTGCTCTGCTGTCGCCATCCATCTCGAATGAAATCGATTAATGAAACCAAGCTAGCCTCATGGAAGCAATCATTAAAAAAGCGTGAAGGGCGAAAGAGCGCGATAGTGGGGAAAAGTGGAGCCATATTTCTGAGTCTCCATTCTCACTACTATGGAAATGCTCTTATAACTCTATGTTATTTTATCTAAACCTTATGACTGATGCAACACGCTTCGCCCATGTCGCCATTATGGATATTTTCTCATTTTCTTCCTCGACAGATCTCTCGTATATCGCGTATTTGAATGTTAAGTTTAAACATTTTGTGGCAAGAACGTTGTTCGCCTTAATGCAAACAAAAGTGGAGTCCGTAGTGATCAGAAAGCGAAAGCGCTAGTTATTAACCATTTATCGTCAACAAAAACGAGACACCCATATGTCCAAATTATTCACTTTATTACTATTCGCCCCACCATGATAATTATATTGTAAAGATATTCAATGTATGTCCCTTCGCTTATTTGCGCAAAGCTCGGGTATTTCAGTTCAATCCACACAAAATTCACCCATTCCCGGATAAAATATTAGTCGCGAACTGCAATCCGCCTTCTCCAAGGTAGCCCCCATTGTCGTTTTGTCTATAAAAGCACATACATTCATCACCAAACCCATTTTTCCCTCATCCCAGTTCGACAGCTACGAAAAAGTGCCCCAAATCCACAATAGACAAGAGAAAAATCTAGCCAACGGCAACCATCAAAAGAACTTAATATCTATAATAATGGCTCCCTCAGTTGAATCAGATGCAGTTATTCTCTTTGCCACTGAGAAGGATTCTCTTATTGCCGACCGCAACACCCATGCCACCCGCGTCGCTGGGCTGGGCGTGGATCCCGAAAAGAAAGCCCTCTTCGCCAGTGTCACCAAGCGTATCGACTACACCCTCAAGATCGGAACCGAGTTGCATGGTATCCGACTGACTCAGTTGACTGAGCAGCAGGCCGAGGAGCTAGCTGCCTTCGTTGCCGAGCGTGGTGTTGTTTTCTTTCGAGATCAGGATGACTTGGACGGTAATGAGCATGTCAAGCTTGGACGTCGCTGGGGGTAAGCATCGAATAATCTATTGTCGTCTGTCGCTTTATGGTAAAAGGAATGATTTATATTTACAGAGAATTAGTCTAACAAAATGCTTCAAATACTTCTATTCACCCTCCATGAAATAGCCCCTTACATATTCATCCCCTTATCCCTCATGAGCAAGAGAATCCAGAAGTTATCGTTTTGGACTCTCGCCTTAATCCTCCAAATCGCTACAATACCAACAATTCATGGCACTCGGATGTGTCGTTTGAGCCAGCTCCATCCTCGTTCTCGATCCTCAAGTTTGATGAAATTCCAGAGTCTGGTGGAGATACTGTCTGGGCCAACGGGTATCAGCTCTATGATGATCTCTCGCAGCCAATCAAGACTTTACTCGAAGGTCTTACTGCCACACACTCTTCAGACATCTTCCGCATAATTCAAGCTCGCACAGGGCGCAAAACATTTGGCAAGTTGAACGACTCATCACACCCTGTTGTCCGTACCAACCCTGTCACAGGTTGGAAGTCTATCTTCACCAACTCAGTCTTCACTCGCGAAATCGATGGTGTCACATCTTTGGAGTCTAAATGGATTTTGGATTATCTGAATGATTTGACATCTAAGCGCCTAGAGTATCAGGTTCGCTTCAGATGGGAGAAGCATAGCGTGGCTATCTGGGACAACCGCTCTACTTTCCATACAGGTGTGCCAGACTTTAGGCCTTATAACCGCCTTGGTTTGAGAGTCACTGTCTCAGGTGAGGTCCCTTATTATGACCCCAGCTCGGGAACTCAAGCGAAGGCTTTCGAGTCCACTGCCAAGGCAATTATCGCTAAACAGGAGGCTGCTGAGGCGGAAAAATCTAAGAAAGGGCTTGACAATCTTCAGCTAGCCTAATAATACTCTCTTTTTTTAACACTACATAATTGATTATAACATGCATGTATATATTGCGTTACAACAAAGGGTCTGAATTCAAATAACAAGAGGATTAATAAAAGATTGGAGAGAATTGTATTGACAATGTCTTTGCTGGATACTTTAGAAAGCTTTATTTAAAGAGCGTATGTTTAGAGGGTGCATATGGAACGAAAAGTATGCCTAAAGACCATTTGTGCCATGTCTCGCATTGAACATTGATAACATTTTTTTCCAATTAGGGACCCAGTTCCGCCAGGCCTTTGTTTTGGAGTTCAGGTCACCCTTTATTTATTTATTTTTTGCGGTTGTGATTATATACTCAGATATAGATTGACCCCTCAAAAAGAAAGGATAAATGGGCGCTGAGCACTTTTTCCAGGAGAGTCCTTGACTTTTTATTAATGTGGTAACACCGCCCGTACACTTTTTAATGAACATTCCAAAACCCGATCAACCATCCTGCTATCCTTCGTTCTTGCAGCAGTTCCTATCATCTATGGTTTTCAAAACGGATAAGGAGACATGTCAATATCCTTTAATCCTTTTTAGGCGTTATAAAAAAAAAAAAAAAATGGTGCATGATCAAAAAACAAGGAACTTTGTAATCTGAGGATCCTATAAAAGTAAGCGCCACTGCTTATCCAGGTCGATTATTCACGTCTTTCTATCATCATTTCACATCACGACAGGTATCTTCTCTCTCTCCGAATCACATTTCAAACACTTAAGATATATACTTCTTACATAGCCATGTTACTGTCTGTGCTTATGTGGTATATCATTTCCTACTCAGGAATCCTGACGATTGTATCGCAAGCACACGTAGGCTTACTACGCCCCTGCGCCCGTGGAAGCCCGCAGGCTGGATGCCCGGCTCCTTCGAAAGGCCAGCGGATAGACTATGATCTCAGTGCTCCTATTGGGACTTCAAGCAGCAGGGATGCACCGTTATGTAGACAGTCCACTCCTTCTACCACGCGAACCATTGTCAAGGCGGGCCATCCTCTGGAAACAACTTACTTAATTGGTGCAGCCCATGGCGGTGGACATTGTCAGTGGGCACTATCCTATGACAATGGCGAAAATTGGGTGGTGATCAAGACCATATACCGAAACTGCCTTAAAGGCCTTAGAACGGGTCAGCATTATTCCATTTCGATCCCAATCCCTAAGAGCGCGCCTTCTGGGAAGGCTACACTCATGTGGCTATGGAATAATGCGCTTGGGGTGAGAGAGTTATATTCCAACTGTGCAGATATTGAGATCCATGGTGGACCAAAGACAGGCAAATTGTCGGGTATTGCACCACTGATTGCAAACTATGGCTCCGGGAGTGTGAAGATTGGTGAGTTTGGTGCTGATCCTAGACACGACGATCGACGAGCAGCGTTTACAAAGCGGAAAGCTATAACTATCACTGTTTGATATTTGAAAAAGAGAACAACTTCGAAATGCATTGGCCAGATAGTGTCAATATCCTGTAGTTTACCCTTAAGCGATTAAAAAATTTGAGATCCTATTAGATTGTACAAAGTGTTGTGGAAATAAGTCCCTCCTTTCATTTTCACTCCAAATTCAAGATGGCAAGTGTCACGTGAAGACATGATACATCAAAAGAGATCATTCACTAGGAATATGTCGAATGCATCCAACGCCAGCAATCTATCCATCCATGCAAATATCAAAGCTACGATATATTTGCAAGTTGAAGAAGGCTGGGAGAAGAGAGAAAGCAGTAATCAGGAACTACTACTACTACAAAAAAAAAAAGAAAAAGATTTATCAAAGACTGTATCGCCTTTGAGTCATGTTGATACATGCGAATAGTTCAACATTTAAACTATTCAAAAGGAACTCGCTTTCAAAGGAACTTGGAGCATAAAAATGAATCTTCAGGAGTATCGGAATCAACGTAAAGAAAAAAGAAGAAAAAAAGGTCATCATTACAAGGTTGAAAGAACAATAGTACAGCAATTGTCAAAAAAATAATCCAAGTAACACAATCAAAGAACAGGAGGAATGATCTTTCAACAAAATAATGAAAGCTTGCAATCAAAGACATCTGCCTTAAACAACAACAACATCGATTCATGTTTTTATGTTGGAAATCAGGATTTCAAAACTCGACTTCATATCATAAGTTTGCATCTGTATTTTAACAATTCGCCCTCGTGTCTTTTCCATCAACAGGCTAAGCGCACTAAGAAGGTTGGAGTTGTTGGTAAATACGGTGTCCGTTATGGTGCCTCGCTCCGTAAGCAGGTCAAGAAGATGGAAATCACCCAACACAGCAAGTACACTTGCACTTTCTGTGGCCGTGTAAGTATAATCAAAATGACGCACCGGACATTGATTTTTTTTTTTTTTTTTTTTTTTAACGTGGACAAAGAGATGAGGATAAGGGAGAAAGATTTCAGGAATACACTTCCCTTTTGTTTTGTAAAGGATGATAAAAGAAAGAGCGTCCTTAATATTCATGCGTGGGTGATAAGCATGATAGTTTTAGGAATATCAAACCGACTATCATATCTAATGTCACCTCTCTTTTTTCTTGGATTTTATCATATAGGATGCCGTCAAGCGCCAGGCCGTTGGTATCTGGAAGTGCCGCGGCTGCAAGAAGACCATGGCTGGCGGTGCCTGGACCTTGTCCACCACTGCTGCTGCTACCGTCCGCTCTACCACTCGCCGTCTCCGCGAGATCATGGAGGTTTAAGCAAGCCTTATATGTTTTCTCATATTGGAACACGAGCAGCCTTACTTTCACGAATAAAGTACCCTCCTTAAAAAAACCATATCTATGTGAATAATCGAGGTGCTCTGTCCACTATTCTATGATATTGTGGGTCAAATATGTGCGAGATAAAATATTCAATCGTGTAGTATCGGAGTTCCCTTAGATGTTAGAAGATTAAGGGGAATTAAATAGGCGACTCTAATACGCTTTGTTCTTTTTACTTTTTTTGTTCTTCATCCGTTTGACAAAATTGATATTCTTTTACGCCTTCTCCGCGAGGTACGTTGACTAAATGCGTCCTGCAAACTGTCGTTGCCATACGTTGAATGTTGAATGTAGTTTAACAAATGCATTTTATTTCAACATTCACTTAGATCATTTCAAGCTCATCAACAAAATTTCCCCCCATAAACAACACTATGGTACGAAGGCTATATTTTATTTTATTTTTTCTTTCGATATAAATGTTTACGCGTTTTATTCATCGTCTCTCGGTTCCCCTCATCATTACATTCTTCGTAGAGCTCAGAACCTACTACGTATGGTTTATTGGATGATGAATTAAACGGAATAGACCATGCGGATGACATAGAAGAGTTCGCTTCTGACCGCGACTATGGTGAGGAGTCGGATTTTGACTTCAATGACTATTCGAGTGATACGTTGGATTCCGAGCCAGAAGCGGAGCATGAGCCACCTCTCGCTCTTGTTAAAACTAGTAGCATTCATTCTTTATTAGATCATGGTGCTGTGGGAACGGGTAGTTCATAAAGTCCAAAGCCAAGCGAGGGGACCGATGCGAATGTCAATGAAATAACAACCGAACTTTTGTCTTCCCAGTTGCAAGATTATCAATGGATCGAGTCAACTGTTGATGATACCACGATCAAGGGAATTGTAAATGAAACTCGTACAAATCAGTACGACTATCTCCCACATGTTTTTTACGTGGACAAGGAGGACTTCAGCTCTTGGCTCGAACGAGACGGCCGCGATCATTTCTTTGTTTGGCTAATGCGCAAGCATTATGATAATATGTCAGGTGGCAGAAGCAGATTTTTTTATGTTGAAACCTATGAATGCCACCTTGGCATGAGACACGAACGCAAAATGGCCCCCAAAAGGTTTCTCAAGGTTCTCCTCAAGTTATCTCTCAAGGCCCTGGGCAGGGATCAAGGGAAAAGAAAAAGAGACGCGTTTTGAAGCCTAGCCAGAAAGTCGGTTGTACAGCCAAACTCATTGTCCACAACATGAAAGACGACAGTGAGGATCCCGAATATGCAACCAAGAGTGGGAGAAAGCAGCTCCGGATCACATATTATTTTAGACACACAGGACATACCCTCGGCGATGTTGATGCTTTTCAATACCTTACCATGACGGAATCAACAAAAGCACGGGTTCGAAACTTGATTCGTCTTGACTTATGTACTAGAGGAATAATTGCTAAGATTAATTTGACTGGGCTCCAGGCATATTCTCTCCACAAGCAAGGGTGTTTACAGCGCGACCATGTCCTTACATATGAGGACGTCTATAATATTCAGTATAAATACATATCTAAACTGACAAAACTATCAGACAACAACATGGACTCAATGAGGCTCTGGATGTCAAAGCTGCAGCAAGAGAAGCAGTTTACCGTCTTCATAAAGAGTTTCCTCCAGAAAGGGTAGGATGGGAAGGTCTTTCCCAAATTAGCCCATGGATTCATGTCTCCTTTTCAGCGATCTGTATACAGCTCAAATTTTAAATGTATTGGGTTGGACTCAACACATGGAACGAACCGCTCCAAATTTGAGCTTTTTACAATAATAATCCAGGATCCACTGCGAACGAGTGCCGTCCCTGTCGCTTTCTTGATCTCCATTGACCATAATCACCACTCTCTGGCAAGTTGGCTCATATTAAGGATATGGTTGGTGCCCCAGAGTTCATTACTATTGATGACGCTCAAGTGGAATACAAGGTCATCTGTAAAGCATTTGGACGGGATGTAACTGTCCATTTGTGTCTATGGCATGTGATGAAAGCCTGGGCCCGCAAGCTCTCGACCTTAATTTGAGGTGCCGATAGGAACCAAAACAAGGATCTTCGGCAATCCGCAATGAATGAACTCCGTTCGATTCTTTGTGATCCATCCTCTGGAAGTGCCGGTGAGACGATAGTTGAATTCGAAAAGAAATGATCGGAGCACAATGAGGGAAAGCTTTGGAAATACCTCAAAGAACGGTACTTCATTGGAGGACGTAGGCAACGATGGATGAAGTCATACCGTGTTGGCAAATTCTATGCCGGCATGGACACCAATAATTATGTAAAACCTTGGCACAATCATCTCAAGTCTCATTTTCTACGAGGCCATACTAACTGCCGAGGTGACAGGCTGATCTACCTTTTAAGCCATGATGTAGATGACTTCTATCAGGCGCTGGCAATGCGTAGTGTGGTTCGTTATGGCCGGCATTCCAAAGGCGAGAAGACAGATATCTTGCAAGAAAGATGTCTAAACAACAAAACAATTGAGGCGCTCCAAGGTCTGGTCATCTACGTTGAAGGGTATTATTGCGTTATCTCGCCAACAACTGGGTGTAGTATATATAACGTTAACGTCGATGAAAACAATACCATTACAGGATATAATTGCCAATATTTTATTAATCGGCACCGTCCTTGCATGCATATGCTTGTGTTATTCAAAGTTAAGCAGAGACGAAAATCGTCCACTGAGTCTTCCCAGAAAGGCTGTGCCTTTGGTCATGGACAAACACATGGCTGTTGAGCACGGTGAATATCAAATTGAGGAGGAGGGTGAGTTTAACCAAACTGAGATTCAACTAGGAGAATCAGCAAAGCGAAGAAACTGATGAGTTGCTTGAGTTCTTCAAAGCTTCGGTATTATCGATAGGTCAGAAGATAATGTAGGGAAGTTGAGACTTGTAGTAAATACGCTAGATAGTATGTCAATAATCCCGAATACTTCTGGAACTAAGAAGCGATAACTAGATTTTAATAAACACAAAAAGAAATCAAGCCAAGTTAAGCTTTCTCCTATGAAATAACGCATCTAAATTTCACACGCAATCATCACTGACGTTATTAGAGTGATTATATCTACCCTTCTCGAGAAGACGGCGCCATGCCCATGCAATGTATGATAGAGGGCATGATTATGCACCAAATAAAAAAAGAATAAAAAGGATCCGTTTAGTATTTATCGAGATAGCACTAAAAGTTGCAACAAAGTTGAGTAATATTAAGGACTATACAGACTTTAAGCGTGAATAGTTCCTGCTGGAGTGCTGGAAATCAGGCGCTCTCGAAACGGCCGAAAGAGGAACTTATTATTTTTGGTTTAAAACAACTCCTAAGTCAATCCGTTCAGGATCCATGGAGTAACACCCGTATAAAGTATTTCAAGTACAAAAAAAAGCGAAAATATACCATTTTTGACATACTCACTAGGTTGTTGCGCCGGAATCTTAAGAGGCAGAGCCTAGCCAAAGCAGGGTATTACTCAGCTAGGCTACGGTATGAACCCTGGTTTTCAGTATTTCATGCAGTGGTTCTTGAGTAAATGAGCATAGAATATCGAAAAACCGCTATTTACCTCGACCTAGCTGCTTTCCTTAAGGAAAACTTTTTTTCTGGCTATGAAACCAATAGCGATTCTACCACCATTGGATTCGAAATTGAAAAGTGCATATAACCTGAGGGTTCTGAGGGTTTTAAGTATATCCGTGTTGCGCTTCATCGTTTTTACCAAGTTTTGCAAAACTAATTTTGAAATAGTTGGTCACGTATCATGTCCTAAATCTCATCGCATTACCAAAGATATCGACTTTCCGCAGAAAGTCTAAAGCCCACTTTGAAAAGTTGCGCTTCGGTGCTCGCTACCGGCCCCAAGTAGAGCGAGCCCATTTGGCCCTGAAATGAGTGACTTTACTTATAAGACTAAGGATATCGGCACGCCTTTTTTTATTATCATGTGAGGTATATCGGAAATAAGTTTGTATTTCCTTTCCTCTAACGTCTAAGGGAATTCCTTTGCGTTCAGCAGTCAGTACGCCATTTTTTTTTGTGAGGAAACAATGAAGGGTGATTATGGCTGGCACCATGTGCATATACAAAACTGATATGTGTTTAAATGTATATTATCCATTCTGTAGCTGTCTAGGATAAATGGCGAACGATGTCCGAGGTGGCAGTGCATGGTAGAACACTTGGTCAAGCTGGCTGGAAGACTGCGCTGAAATTTAACAAGCATGCTGGAATATCGGAGCGACATGCGGGCTGAGAAATTGAAGCAGCAGGCTGAAAATCGAAGCAGCAGGCTGAAAATTTTAACTGCACACTGAAGCGGCACGCTCCAATCACAATTCAGCACGTGCTTGTTATCAATAATCGTAGCTTTCGGCTTAGATCAATGCCTTAAACCTCATTAACTTTAAAGAATCCATGTATGAGGATAATTGACGTGTTTTGCTTTTTTTTTTTTTTTACAGCTCCTTTGGAATGTGTCATAAAAAACACGTCGCAAAAGAACCTACCAATCGAAACGCCAAAGAAGTATGAAGGATGGCAAAGGATAGTGTTGATTTAATTAATGTTGGTGCCAATAAAATAAATGTACGAAGATCGCGTTTATAATACGTGAATGGTGTATATGTGAGTGACTTAAATAAAGTGGGCGAGGGAGCCAAAGTGAGTCAGTCATTGCACAAGCCATATCACACAATCAATTGGTGGAGATCAAAAAAAAAAAAAAAAAAAAAAACGGCTGTGTAACAAAGCTGCCTCTTTTTTATACCACCCATCTTGATCAAGCATCACATTCCTCTTCCTTGCATCCTCATTACATTCATTTCTCCTCCTCCTCCGTAATTATAAACATTACAAATATATTTCGTCATGGTATACAACGTAAGTACTTTTTCTTAAGGAAATAGCTAACGATCACACATTCCTTCAGAGCCATTGCCTCCTTTTCTTTGAGACCAGATTTATATCTTTCCCTTCACACTCAAGCACAAATCGGACCACAAAAAAGAAAAAAAGAAAAAGAACTGAATCTTTCATTTATCACTTACAGGTTACTGTCCGACCTTCACTGGAAGAGGTGCAGGGTTTTATCAAGGCGAATGCAGGAAACACGATTCCCATTTTTGCCGAGATTCCCGCTGACATGATCACGCCTGTGATGGCATACCTCAGAGTCTCGGACAAGTGTGATTACTCATTTCTTCTCGAGTCGATTGCTGGAGGCGAGAAGATTGGACGATACAGTTTTATTGGCAGCGGTAGGTTATACATAAACAGCTGGTGATAAATGACCGAAGATGGGGATGGGATATTCAAGTCAAAGAAGATAAGAAGATCCTATGAATGTACAGGTCGTATTAATACTAGCTTTTTTGTTTGCGTTGGTCCTTCCTCTTTTTAGATCCGTACAAAGTCTTGAAGACAGGACCTAATGAGAGCCTACATGGCGATCCCTTAGCTATTTTGGAAAAGGAGCTCGGGAACATCCGTTATGTTAAAGTAAATGGTATTCAGGATTTTACCGGAGGCGCCATCGGCTACGTTGGGTACGATAATATTCAGTATTTTGAGCCTCGTACCAAGCGTGATGATCTACAAGATCCTATCGGTCTTCCAGACGCCGTATTTATGTTCTGTGATACAATTGTGATTTTTGATCACCTTTACCAGAAAATTCAGGTTGTTACTCACTACCGATCCAACGCCACAGACCCTGCAGAGGTCGAAAATCAGTACCTGAAAGCTGTGGACGAAATTCATATTACAGTGGATTTGCTCAACAATGAGATCACCCCAAAGATTCCTCAGCCACCTATTACACTCGGTCAGGAGCCTGTTTCGAATGTGGGGAAGGAAGGGTATGAAGGATTTGTGACCACGCTGAAGAAGCATATCAAACTGGGAGATATCATCCAGGCCGTACCTTCTCAGAGACTTGCCAAGCCCACCAACCTTCATCCCTTCAACATTTATAGACATTTGCGGTCAATTAACCCTTCACCATACATGTTTTATCTGGATCTTAAGGATTTTACGCTGGTCGGGGCTTCACCAGAAATGTTGGTTAGGGTGCATAACCGTGTGGTTTATACTCACCCAATTGCCGGTACTAGAAAACGCGGAGATACGCCAGAATTAGACGTAGCACTAGGAGAGGAACTATTGGCGGATCCGAAGGAAAGGGCTGAACATATCATGCTGGTGGATTTGGGTCGCAATGACGTGAACAGGGTCTGTAAGCCAGAGACAGTCAAAGTCGATTCTCTGATGCATCTGGAACGTTACTCACATGTTATGCACATTGTGTCCAATGTTTCTGGAACACTACGTGATGAAAAGACACCTTTTGATGCTTTCAGAAGCATTTTTCCAGCAGGCACTACCTCAGGTGCACCAAAGGTGCGTGCGATGGAGCTTATTTCGGAACTGGAGAAAACCAAGCGTGGAGTGTATGCTGGTGCAGTAGGTCATTTTGATTACTCTGGCGGACTAGATACCTGTATTGCACTTCGAACCATGGTTGTCAAGGATGGTGTTGCTTATCTGCAAGCAGGAGGTGGTATTGTTTATGATAGTGTGGAGGAGGATGAATATCAAGAGACACTAAACAAGTTGGGATCAAACCTGACAGCATTGAAGATGTGCGAAGATTTCTACTATCGGAAGCAACAATCCGAAGGACTGTAAAAAGACAGTAATGTCCTATCTGTTTCATAGATTTTTGCTGGCTGATGCTGGATCATGCCATCTTATTATTATACATTAAAAAAAGAGATTATCATATAATTTGTCGCCGCCGCCTGGTCTAATCAAACGTGGAGAGAGCGTTCTTGTTGCTTGATAGACCTTTTCAATTCATGAAGTGGTACTTTTCCCAAAAGCATGGCTGTGGCTTTTCTTCTTTACATCACTAGAAGCTTTTCTTAGTGTGTGAATCATCTAGCGTGGTGTTGAAGGGATCTACGATTTTATTGCGGTGCCTATTGAGACTCCGGATATGGCCCAGCAGGCGTTAAAATATGCCTATTGATCACAAATTGTTATTTGACCTCTTCATTGGCTATTAATTATTGATTATAGCTTCCGCCGAGAGAAAAAAAAAAAAAAAAAAAAAAAAAACCAGCATCCTCCATTACACAAAAGGTTTATAAACTGGGCGTAATTATTAATGACAAAAAAAAACTTTATTGCTTGTAACATTCTCGAATCAAAGAAAGCAAAGTCTTTTTTGTGTACTAATGTATGTAATCAGTGTTCAAATGCTCTAATGTGCTTATGTGGCCTTTGCTTTGGCTTTCTGGATGTTCCCGGGTTTTTTTTACGCTATAATACTGACACTATATTCATAACTTCAGATACAAGGCCAAAAAAAGAGGCAGAAAAAAAATGCAATTATGCAGTTGTCGTGTGGTGTCGTACAGCATTTGAGAGAAACAAGGGGACAGTGGAAGAGATGGAGAGGCGGAGAAAACAAAAGAGACAAATCTCCTGGCTTTTCCCGTCATTGACTTTGATATTTGTGCATGTAAACACCCGGTGTAAACTTAACCGAAATTTGTGTGGGTCATTTTATTTAGTGTTGCATCAAAAAAAGCATGTCGAGAAAACCAGGATGACGAATGTTTTGTTTTATTTTATTTTACTCACAACAAAAAAGAGAATTTCTGTTTTTCTGTTATTCCCTTTCTTTTTTATTTTTCTGCTATGGTACACTGATGTCAATTGTCATAAAGTAGGGAAAAAAAGAGAAAAGTGTTTGGACCGAGTGTAATTGCTGTTAGACCAAAACAAAGGGACCCTGGTCTTATTTCCTAATGTGTCGTCATGTGTGTAATTCACCTTGCTCGTCTTCCATGCACATGAAATGGAAGCATGGAACAAGTATCCACTGACGTTACACCCGTCGTTTTTCTTTCTATTTTTTTCTTTTTTAGGCCGTTGTAACCCAGAAGAGATCCTCTTTAGGTTTGGCCAGGGATCCTGACCGCTTCAGGCTCTTGTAGTCTCGGGTCCAACTCTGTAGAAGCTCACGGCGTTTCATAAGCAAGACATCCAGTTCTTGACAGAGTCTGGTCTTGTTCTCCTGTAGCTCTTCCTTAGATGATGAGGCAAATAGTGACGAGATGCTTGAAGGGATTGAGGCATCAGTTGTGGTGATGGGAGCAATCGTCGGTGATGAAGGAGGCGAAATCTGATGGAGACGTTGAGTAATGATCGCAAGTTGGTCTTCGATCTGTTTCTTTTCTTTGTCCAATGCCTCCAAATCTGCGTCGATCCTCCGTCCACTAACGGGGGACAAGGGAGTGCCAGTAGCAAAAGCACCCGCTGGAGAAATAGGGGAAAGTGCGCTACCAGTTACTTCGTTTTCGGATGAAGATTCCTCCTTTTGCCGCTGTAGGACTGTAGGGTCAACGATAACATTGATGGCTTGGCGTTCCTTAAGCTTGTTCTTGTTGGCAAGGTAAGCCTTGAGAGTACTGCTTCTGCGGAGGCCTCCTGATCCTGTAGAAGTCGTGCTGGCAGGAGGGCTTGCGTTCATGGTCGTGGCAACAGGGCTTGTGGAGTTGTTATCGTCAGCAGTGGTAGTGGTCATGGTGTTTGATGGTTCAAAAGAAGGGCTAGCAACAGGACTCAGGACATTCATTGCCATTTAATATACTTTGAAAGACTGGATGTGGATTTGTTCAAGCTTATGGTGATTGTTAGTGTATCGCGTATATTGATGTCGAGTGTAGAGGTGAAGCTAAGAAAGAGAAGAGAAGAGAAGTGGATAAGCAAGGGAGTGAATATTAAAATAATTTTATACTTTTTTTTTTTTTTTTACTTGTTTATTTTGAAAAAAAAAAAAAAAAAAAAAAAAAAGCGAGGGAAGGTGAATGCCCCGACTTTTTATAATAATTCGGCTGTGGTAAAAATTCACGTTCTTTTTTATTTGGCATGGCCTCTGTGACAATAAAAGGTGCAGAAACATCCCCAAAAATAAGACATACATAGCCAGGCAATAGCGCTCCTCGTCATTAACAGTCAGTATGGTAGTAGCAGGGATAATAGAGATTTGAGTGGAAGAACAGGTGGATGGTGGATAAAAGAGGCGAAAGAGAAAGAAGAAGTAAGAAAATCGGATCCATATTTTTGCATGTCTTTGTTGTTTACAAGACAGAACAGAGTAAATACAATTGAGATTGTGAGGAAAAAAGTATCAAATTACTGTCCATGTGGGTTAATGATTGGCTTGAATTGTCTCAACCTTTTGCTCATTCTTGTCATCCTCACTCGTTGCTTCTCTGGCGCAACCTTTTGATGCTCACACCGCCAATGGAGACACAAGGGATGCGCACACGACCCATCACGCATTGCACAATCCTTTATGATCATGGCATGTAAAAATATATACATTTGCTTAACGAAAATGCCATGCCCTGCCCTGTGCTCTACCTGTCCTCTCTGTCTGGCTTGTATGTGGTATGTGTATATTTGCAATCTGTATGCACCTCTTTTTTTTTCCTTCGCTTCTGAACCTGTCATGTCTATCATGCCGTGTTGACTTGTCAATCGTTTGGAATCTTAGTCTTGACTTACTTTTAATATCACGGATTTGAGAACCAGTAACACCACAGTACATTGCTGCGTGCGCATTAACATCATGACTATGCTCTTTATTATTGCTAATTACTGATATTTATCTTACCATTGCAAACAAAAGAACATTATGATCTTTTTTTTTTTTTTTTTTTTTTTTTTTTAATATTGAGCCTTTTCCAAAGACTTCTTGGATATACTGGTTATTGTTAAGGGCTACATGTATGCAGCCCCTATTGCACCCCTTGACTCTCTAAAGCTAGCAAACTTGGTCCAATCGAGATCCAAGAGCTGATGATCAAGAAAAGTGTGAGCACGAGGTCTTTTCTTTATTTATTTCTATTCTAACAATCTCATATAAGAAAATACATTTAATTCCTGCCTCACTGGGACTAATTTTTCGTAAATGAAAAGGAATCTTTTGATTGTTGCACAAGCATGTAGCATGCATATTGAAAGCTGTTGTGGACAGAAAACAGGGTTCGACTTCTTTTGGTTTACTAGAGCTATAACTACCTGTGTAGATGTGTAGCCTAAGTGAAAAATGCTCTACTGACACACAGATGATACACATCTCTTAGTGTTTTGAATAGGTCATTTTCTCTTATTCTACAATCACTCGTTTATGATTACCTTCTCTCTTACAATATCCCTTTCACTTCTCTTGTCTTCCTAAACAGTTCAGTAGTGTCAAGTAAACGGGAACAAGCCTGAAAGGTATAGCAATAAATTTTCGATAGAATTAAGATAGTACTATCTCTTCTACTAAGATCTCTGAGTTCATCAGGGACTGAAACCCATACAAGATCATAGTTCGAGATATATAATTTTATATAAAAGTTCTCTAATGGACTATAGTCTTTTTTGACCATAGTCAATTTTGCCATGTAGCATGCTCTCGTAGAATTCATGAGTGAAATCCTTGAGCAGGCAAAGAAAAAAGGCGAGATCATTAGTAGGAAAGTGGTATTGACTTATAGCCAACAGTAGGATAATTGTCGTTACAAATCAATGGGATCGCAGTGCCTTTAAGATAACACTATAGAGGTAATATCAGTCACAAAGGTTGTAATAGCCTATCATCTCTAGCCAATCTATCATTCTAACTAGAAAAAGTCTTGGCTCAAATAGATTTGTGATGCTTTGTAATGCTACAAAAAAAAAATCACGTGTATCATAAGTGGCTGGAGGCTTCGAGAGCCATTTGGTTTACCTCAGCATTAGAAAACGAACCTGGACTTTTGGAGCCCAATAATGCTCTCGACATCTTTTATGGATTATGAAGCTTGAGACAAAGAAAATTGTAATAAAGAGATTTTTTATTGTCCCAAATATCAATATCAACTCAGCTCAGCGCATTTGAATGTGTCAAGCGTAGAGGTCAATAGTTGAACAATGTATATACCGTGCATTGCCGAGCAATGAAAGATGGTGCTTCGATACTCGACAGAAGCTTCTGGTATGCAAATCTGTACATACCGACCCCTGTTCAAAACATTAAGGCATGTTGCAGAATGATTTCCAGATTGTAAAGTTTACAGTGTCATTGATTGACCTAGCCTGCCATCACTTTGGGAGGAAGAAGTAGGTTATAGCTGCAAATGAGCCTGTTTACCCTGTTACTGTAGATGATTCTTACAGGTACAAACTTGTGCGGTCAGGCATGGCAATAAGACACGAGGAAATTAGTACCATTATTCTATGTCATTTTTCTTTAATTGATTGAAACGTGAAAAAATTATTTTCCCCTGCTTTCCTTACTCTCTTTCTTTTTACTTTTTTGTCTATAGAACTGTCCCCTAGCCTTCTACCCGAGACTTTTTTGGTGCTAGACGTGCTTTCTATTATTTCTCCGTAGCTCATCTCTATTGACACCTTTCCATCCATGTTACAGTCTATACCTTGTTGCGGTCTATCTACTTGCCAAGGTTTCTGTCACTCTCCACATGGCTTGGAAAAAAGGAAGCTAGAGCGGACGGGCCTAGGGGGATTTTCTCATCCCGCCAGAGCTAAATGTTTAAGCCGTTTTATGTTTTGTGGTCCCTGACCTGACTTTAAATTTTTTTTTCTTTTTATTTCATTTTGAAAGAAAAAAGGGGGCAAGATTTGTTTGAGAATCCTCTATTTAGTAACCTTTGGTATTTGTTATCAAATCTGTGAAAAATTGCATTACGGGCCTAATTTTTAAGAGTCTACGGGAGATTAAGTCAACAAAACCGTTTGTTTTATTGGCAAGACAAAGCGCTTGGAAGATCTGCAATTACATGTAAATTGACATCGCTGCAAGGGCAAATTTTTGTGACCAATCGATGCTTGTCGACGCTTAGGCAAGATTTTTGTTGTAGACTGTACCACAGAGACTGAGCGCATGGCAAGAGAGCATTCAGGGCATGACAATGAAATTGTCAACTCCATAAATCGACAGATCGCATATAAATACCTCTCTTTCCCCCTGCTCGTCAAAGTTTTTATCTTTATTCTTCACTCAGCAAACTCAAAAACCAAGGCAAAGCCTTCATTCTTCACCCTTCCGCTATTCACTAGCCCTCACTTCCAGCTTTTTACAAGCCTTTCTTATTCCTCTTTGCGCTCCCTCAACTCCCACAATCAAGCATATTCTTTCCTCTCTTCTTTCAACTATGATGTTCAAGAGCTCCATCCTTGCTATGGCTGTCGCCTGCTTGACCGTCCTCTCCGTCGCTCCCTCTACTGAGGCCCACGTTGGTTTGTTGCGTCCCTGCGCCCGTGGAAGCCCTCGTGCGGGCTGCCCTCCCCCTTCCAAGGGTCAAGTGATAGACTATGATCTCAACGCTCCCATTGGTGTCCATGGCAGCAAGAATGCTCCTCTGTGCAAACAGACAGCTCCCTCGGCCACTCGCACGACGGTGAAGGCCGGCTCGAAATTGAGGACTACCTACTCTATTGGTGCCTCTCACGGTGGTGGGCACTGCCAGTGGGCCCTTTCATACGACAATAAAAACTGGGTCGTACTTTATACCAAGGAAGGTGATTGCCTCAAGGGTGCCGCCGGTGGTGGTGACTACTCTGTCTCAGTCCCAATCCCTAAGAATGCTCCTAATGGCAAGGCTACCTTTATGTGGTTGTGGAACAATGCCGTCGGTAACCGTGAGCTCTACTCCAACTGTGCTGATATTATAATCACCGGTGGCTCCAACGGCGGCAAGCTCAAGGGTGTTGCTCCTTTAATTGCCAACTATGGCCAAAGCCCACTTATTCCTGAGTTCGGATTTGGGGGTGATGACAAGCGATCCGAGTTCGCTAAGCGCAAACCTATCACAATTAGCGGTCCCAAGAACTAAAAAAAAAAAAAAGAAGGAAAGAAAAACCAACATACCCTCCAACCATCCTCATTAATAAGAACATTATGAACATTCAAATCGTCAAAATCTCAATTTGTACCATTAACATGCGCAGGCAACGCGTAAAACAAGATGGCTGAGACAAGAGTATCTCCTCGGCAGGCCGCGGTGCTTTTATTGACATACAATCTCAAGCCTTCCTACTACATTTTTACATTCTCTCACAAAGTTTATAAGTGTATATAATAAAACTGTATTGTGAACATAAGAACGATTCTTTGTTTATCTGCTGGAATGGAAACCCACGTCTCTGATGGTCAGTGTTTGTTTTTTCCAAGCGCACAAAGAATGAAAGTGCTAATGCAACTTAAGCAAGGATTAATGTGGAAAAATTGATTGTGGCATTTTTTGTTTCAAAGAAAATCCCAGATGAAATGCAAACAACAGCACCTTTGATTTCCCGAGTACAAATGGCTTTTACCCACCAGCCCTGCATACGGGAAATAAATCAGATCAAACTATACACAAATCCGGTGTGAAACTTTGCCTCTCTTACACAATTTACTAAACTACAGGGGGCAAGTGCTGAACTATCCAGCCTCCTCTTATTATTATTATTATTATTTATCGAACGATTATGAAAAAAAAAAAAAAAAAAAAAAAGAAGGCTAGAAGGAGTGGCGAATCTGAAGAGCTCTATGATTCGACGTGCCATCAATAGAGCTAATATTACCACAGCAATGTCAGTTCCAAAAGGTTGTAGCAGTACGCCGATTGAGGGATGGAGAAAGAAAAGTAGCGAAGGAGAGGGATGCTATACATACTACAAGCCATAGATACCATGGCACATCAAGGCAATGAAAAAAAAAAAAAAAAAAAAAAAAATGTATCGACGGAATCCACATTTTGTCAGTCAACAAAGGAAATAAATTAAATAGATAATTGCCACGGACTTGAGTTTGTCTATATTGTCTGGGCTCTGTTGTGGGGGACATCTACAACTTGTCGTAGGACTGTAACACAAACCAAGAGAAACCCAATACGTAAAATGAAGGATCAATATGCTTTTCATTATGTATGATCGTCTCCGTTGATAATCACTCCTCTGCTGGTAGATTAGACTAGACTTATTTGATCGACAAAGAATTGAGGATAATAATTAAATTGTTCCTGAAAAAGTGAAAAAGTGAATATGATCCCACAAGGGGCACAAGAGAGGAAGTCCAAACTCTTGTGCACCTTTAGAGAACAGAAAGAAAGAATGGGTCCTATAGTCTGTTCCACAATTTGTATCGTGGCCAAACCGCTTTGCTCGTGGTTTGCCTATCATCTTCCGGTAACCGCTCCAATACCCTGTTCTTTGGGGATTTATCCATGTAGCATATAGTTGTGCAAGTAAAAAGACGAGCGAAAGGACAAATAGGAGGAGAGAAGAAAAATCAAGACCGAACCAGCAGTCTCAACTATTTTATTATCGTTATGATTAATATTGGTTTGTCCTTTGATCCACTCTGGAAACATAAGGGATAACAATATTAAAATAAATAGATAATAAAGAAATGCCTATGCTATTTTACGATGAATATGATGTATGTTTTGAGCGTATTCTATGCATTATGCGAAGTGCTTGTTGTTGCTTAAGCATTAGTGGGCTGGGCGGCCTCGGTGATGGTGATAGTCTTGTATACAGTTCTGTACACAGTCTCGGCAGCGGCAGCAACAGGGCAGTCAGTGGGTATGGGCCTGGCAGTGGTGGTGGTGGGGGGATAGGGAGGAGTAGCAGTAGGCTTAGGAGGCTGGGTAGATTGGGTAGTGACAGGCTCAGGTGCAGGTCCATTGCCACCGGAGACACGAATGGTCACAGGCTTGCGCTTGTCAAAGTGCTCGCGACCATCGGGACCATTGGAGAACTCAGGGATATAGACAGAGGAGCTACCATAGTTGGCAATGAGAGGAGCAACGCCAGTAATGCTGCCACCATTAGTGCCTTTAATCTCAATGTCGGCGCAGTTGGAATACAGCTCACGGTTGCCGACAGCATTGTTCCACAACCACATAAACGTAACCTTGCCCGAAGGAGCGTTGGCTGGGATCTGCACAGGGACGGTGTAGTCAGGACCAGCGTTGCGGAGACAGTCGCGGATCAGGGTCTTGATGACAACCCAGGTCTTGCCCTCGTCATATGAAAGAGCCCACTGGCAGTGTCCGCCTCCATGAGGAGCGCCGACAGAGTAGGCAGTGTTGATGGTCTGACCAGCATTGTAGACGGTGCGCTTGGTATATGGGACAGTGTGCTTTTTTTTTTTTTTTTTTTTTTTTTTTTTAAAAAAAAAGGTGATGGCACAATCAAACCAGGAAATAGTCATGGATAAGCATACAGTACGCATTGCCATTTCGGCCATGTCATATGTTTGGATACAGGACCTTGATAGTGATCAAGATTAAACAATTACCTTGCAGAGAGGGAAGTTCTGAGAACCATGGGTACCAATAGGGGAATTAATGTTGTAGTCAATGGACTGGCCTGATGGAGGAGCGGGACAGCCAGCTGCAGGATGGTAGCGAGCGCATGGGGTCTTCATGCCAATGTGGGCCTGGACGGTCATGGCTGAGAGGCAAGCCAAAGCGGCAGCAAAGAGAGTGGTAGTCTTCATGATCATTTCTGTCGAGAGAAGAAGAGTGAGAAAGTAGGAAGAGAGGAGCTTTTTTTTCTTATTTGATATTTTCGTCAGAGTTTGCGTGAGGTTCGTATTGTCGTGTTCGTCGTAAGCTTGATTTGGTGTGAAAGTGGGAGAGGTGAGTGAGGAAGGAGACCGATGGTTTGATGATGAATTTCTTAGTAACAAGAAGCCAAGTATTTATACAATAACGACAGAAAAAAAAAAGATCGGATTATGAAAAGAGTAATTGCGTAAATTGTCTGGTCGGCCATGCCGCCCTCCATAGTTCGTGGGTATGGACCATCAGCAAAACTAGGGCAGGGATCTACTTTGCCCCTGGTGCAAGCAAGCAAGCGAGTGAGCAAGCGGACACAAAGAACAAAATAAAACACGGATACAGCACACCCTACAGTTTCCAGATCATGGTAGAATACATGGTACGTTCGAGAGATCACATTTCTGATATCGATCAAAAAATCATATTCAATTAAGAGGGAGGAGAGTAGAAAGGGTCCTCTTTGGGTGTAAATAAAGGCTCATCAAAAAAAACTTTTCTCCTAGTTCCACAGGAAGATCGCAGGATCACAGGAACATTTATGCATGGTAAATAATAATCGTAATAAAACAATATTAATACACTTATATTTCAATATTGGCAAGAATTACACAAACAGTTACGATAATGCACTGATTAGAGATCAGGGGCGACAAGTTTGACCCGACAACCCCCATCTGCATATTGACATATTTGCAATTAATGAGCTAATGAATATATTGGCGTTCTGTATGACAATGCAACTGCAAACACGCGGTGAACACGCGAGAGGGAAGAGGATGGGAAGGCAATGTCGTTTATTGTAATATGTCTGTACCTTAATAATATACATTTATTAATATTATCGCTAATATCTATTACATTTGCAATCAAAGAACGTAAAAAGAAGCACGTTGTCATCCGTCCTTATTTTTTTCGTTATTATCCGCAAGATGGTCAAGATCCCATGCATCGAACAAAGTGGCACAAACCAGAAATATAGGAAATATATTAGTATAAGAATATATACTTGAAAATATGCTTAAATCATTGCTGTCGAAGAAAGTTCCTTTTCTTTTTATTGGGCTGCCGAATAGAGCAGATGAAGCATTGAAGAATAAAGAAAAGGGCCTTGACTTTTACCTAGATTGAAGCAGCGCCGTTACAAAAATATATTTTACGATAACTAGTTTCAGAGGAGAAACAGCCGAGACAACTGCCACTACCGAAACCACCTTGGATCGGGTATCGATGCATCTATTATAAGACATATAGATACATTTCGTGGAGCTCGATATTACATAGTAACAAGGCTGTTTGATTACGTTGTGTTTGCGTCTTTTTCTTATCCACTCTGTCATTTATAACCAGAAGGCAAGCCATTGTCGAGGCTATGACAGCAGCTGCAGTAGTGAGATAATAAAAGAAAAAAGCAAGTAAAATAAAATATAAGGCTTGGTGGTCATTTCTTCTTCTGTTGTTCTATAGCCCCCGCGCAAATATAGTCTACAGTCATGATGGAGCATAGCACAGAGGGAGCGAGCAAAACAGTTCACATTTGCTATTCTTCTTCCTTTCTAGGACTTTGAAGAGAGGGTAGGGGAAGGGAGAGAGATACAGACATCGTGGGATAGCGCGGATTATCCTTTTCTTAATTTAAGCGCGATAGAATACACTACTTGTGGTGGAGAACAATCGCTGGAGTATACGGTGCATTACTTATAGTAAGAAGCCAGCAATAACACATGTACTTCAAATGGTTGGTGGCTAGACTCGCTGTGCTGTTTCTTAATGGGGTTGGCCATCCCATAAAAAGCATTGGGAAGTGAAGAAAGGCGAGCTTTTGCCATTACCAACAACGCCATCACATTAGCAGCAAAAGATTCATGGCTCGGCACATAGAGCTTTGAGGTTTTAATGTTAACTCTCAAATTGACGCACTACAAGGCAATAGACTCATTCGGGAGATCTTTGTAGAGTCAGTGCCTATGATGGTTTGAAAACATGTTATCTATTTGAGACGATCGAAAACTCAGGCGGACAGAGTAATCAATTAATGGTGAAGAGAATAATGGACCCATTATTACGACGTAGTAAGGTCAAAAGGCAGTTAGCAATATAACAATATTCCTAGACTATGTTGCTGTAGGACAAAGCTGTAGATCGCGATATGTTTTGATGACGAAACTTTATCATTTTGTAGATTTGGTTTCCGTTCTTCGGAAGCTTGTTAAATAATCTCAGGGCCGGAATAGATCAGGTAAATTTAGTCAAAAAAAAAAAGCCATGGGGAAAGGACCCGCAGACTTCAAGTGAATAAAAAGACATGTGTCAATTGAGGGGAAAATAGTCTTCTTTGTTAAGCGGAAGGGACATGATGAGGGTAAGGATTCGAGACATCGGCATGAGTGAGATATATTGTTGCCAGAGGATAGCAATTATCAAGTCCTTTGTGTATCATCGTACTCTCCGTGATAACAATACCAAGCCTTCAGATTATAGCAAAAAGGAGAAGAATGTTGCCTTGTAACCTAAAAGCAAATACGGCTTGGTGGCAACACATACAGTTTACGGAGCATGGCAGTTAGTGCCACAACCCATAAAACAGACCATGTGATAAGGACACTATGATCACCGGTTCAGAGTCCATTAACTTTTTTCTCTTTCTTTTCAGGTCAATGTAACCACTCCAGGCACTTCAAAAAAAAAAAAAAAAAAAAAAAAAGATACAGTGGAAGTAGGTGATCTAGCCACCAATAAGATGCTCGAATAAGCTTATTTGATTAGCAAGGTTGTTCCTGAGTTGCTCCTGACTGTTCCTGAAGGGAGAAACACAACCCTTCATGAGACGAAGGGTTTCAGGTTTCCCGCCAAATTTGTGTGACAAAAAAATATGTCCGAGAAAAAAGGACTATTTCCAACCGAAAAAAAATAATTTAGTGCTAGGGGTCATTAGCACACCACTTAGCCATTCTGATCTTGTCCACAAATTTTGCTTCATGTACTGGGCACTTTTCTGTCTACTTTGTTTGATTACATACTCAGTATTCATTCTCACATTCCATTGTTTCAAGTTCGTTCATGTTATCATAAAATTACAAGAAAGGCAAAAAAAAAAAAAAAAAAAAAAAAGAGAAGAGAAGGATAAAGAAGGATTAAGACTGAACCAGCAGTCTCTTAGTCACTTTATTATTGTTATTAGATTGTCACCTTTTGCTCTACTTTGAAAATACAAAAAAATCATGACAATAAAATAAAATAATAAAAAATATTCTATGCTAATGTATATGCAAATTTAAATAATAAATACAAAGACGCCTGCACTGCATATGTGAGCGAGTGTCGTGTGTTGTGTGTTGTGTGCTACATGCATTGTTGCATGCATTATGTTTGATGTTTGTTGTTACTTAAGCGTTAGTGGGCTGAGCGGCTCCGGTGACAGTGACAGTCTTGTATACAGTTTTGTACACAGTCTCAGCAGCTGCAGCAATGGGGCAGTCGGTAGGCTTAGGTCTGGCAGTGGTGATGGTGGGCTTAGGGGGTCGGGTAGTGACAGGCTCGGGTTCAGCAGGCCCATTGCCACCGGAGACACGAATGGTCACAGGCTTGCGCTTGTCAAAGTGCTCACGACCATCAGCACCAGTGGCAAATTCAGGAAGATAGACAGAGGAACTACCATAGTTGGCAATGAGAGGAGCAACGCCAGTAATGCTGCCACCATTTGTACCTTTAATTTCAATGTCAGCACAGTTGGAGTACAACTCACGGTTGCCGATAGCATTGTTCCATAACCACATAAACGTAGCCTTGCCAGAAGGAGCGTTGGCTGGGATCTGCACAGGGACGGTGTAGTCAGGACCAGCGTTGCGGAGACAGTCGCGGATCAGGGTCTTGATGACAACCCAGGTCTTGCCCTCGTCATATGAAAGAGCCCACTGGCAGTGTCCGCCTCCATGAGGAGCGCCGACAGAGTAGGCAGTGTTGATGGTCTGACCAGCATTGTAGACGGTGCGCTTGGTATATGGGACAGTGTGCTGTTTTTTTTGAGAGGAATGTAAATAAAATGCTTAGTATATGTATAATATAGTGTTTTCATTAACTCTGATTCATGTTTCCTCCGAGATTTATAAGTGAATTTGGTGGATCTTTACCTTGCATAGAGGGCGGGCCGCATTATCGGACGTGCCAATGGGGGCGTTGATGTCATAGTCAATGGACTGGCCTGATGGAGGAGCAGGACAGCCAGCTGCAGGATGGTAGCGAGCGCATGGGGTCTTCATGCCAACGTGGGCCTGGACGGTCATGGCTGAGAGGCAAGCCAAAGCGGCAGCAAAGAGAGTGGTAGTCTTCATGATCATTTTTGTAAACAGAGCGAGGAATGAGAGTGAGAGTAAAGCTTTTTCTATTTGTATCCGTGAGAATATGTGTGGAGTTCGTATGGCTACTTTGCTATAAGTTTAATGTAGAGGCGGAGGAGGTGAGCGAGGAAGAAGATCTGATGGTTTGATGATGAGCTTTCTGGTGGCAAGAGACTCAAGTATTTATACGAAGGGAAAAAAAAAAAAAAAAAAAAAAAAAAAAAAGAAGACTAGGGAATAAGAGAGTAAAGGAGCGAAATGCCCGATCGGTGTTAATACCCTAAGGCCAGAGATTTGGACCAACAAAGTGTGTTGCAATATGAAAACGAGGCTAAAGCAAGATTTGTTTCGTCTTGAAGCAATATAACATAACGAATAAGTTCAAGTGCAAATCCCTACCCTTTGCGGAGCTAAATAGAATGCATATTATATACATTCGAGAAATGAAATTAATGATATCGATGAGGAAAAACAATCTTGGCAGGAAGCAGAGAGACAGGGGAAGGAATGTGCGGTATGGTAGGAAAAGAGTATATAGGTATTTAGTACATGTAGAAAGGGTCCAAGGCTGTAAACAAAAGCTCACCGAAACTAGCTAATCAAAATCGACAATAACCAATAAAATGATTAGGCCATTATGTTACATCAGTGAACATGCAACATACAGATTTTTTTTTTTTTTTTTTTTTTTTGATGGTTCCATGGGTATATTGTAACATCGGCAAAGTTTAACTTGTCAAACAACAAAACACACGTTATTATACCAACCTTTGCTAATGTCCATAAAATGATCAAGATATATTGTATAAAGCAAGGCAGAGCGACAGAGAGGGCTATACAGGTTGCAACATATCAGGACAGTCTCATAAAGAAATCGAAAAAGGGTGTTGACCGGTTCCCTAAACTATAATGTAATGTGCATGGGGTCTTTGTAACACAAGCAAAAATTAATTGTTAATTTCTTCTGATAAATTGCCATATTTCTCGCTCGATGACTGCAAATTAACTGTCAATCACATCCTGATTTTCTAATTATTACAGTCAGTGTGTTTGTTCAAAATATTGCTGAAGTATACGTCCATCATACCAGAGCTTTCGGATGGTCAAGTTCATATTGCTGGACTATTCTCATTAATTTGTACCCATCTCATTGGTCGGTTAACACTTAGATGTAGCAGAGACTTAGGAGATTTAACTTCACTGATATGATTTAGACCCACCAAATAGGCATCCTAACGACGACTAAGGACGACATGGCGTATATATTGCACATACTGCTATGATACTTAGGGGACCAGTCAACACCCTTTTTCGATTTCTTTATGAGACTGTCCTGATATGTTGCAACCTGTATAGCCCTCTCTGTCGCTCTGCCTTGCTTTATACAATATATCTTGATCATTTTATGGACATTAGCAAAGGTTGGTATAATAACGTGTGTTTTGTTGTTTGACAAGTTAAACTTTGCCGATGTTACAATATACCCATGGAACCATCAAAAAAAAAAAAAAAAAAAAAAAATCTGTATGTTGCATGTTCACTGATGTAACATAATGGCCTAATCATTTTATTGGTTATTGTCGATTTTGATTAGCTAGTTTCGGTGAGCTTTTGTTTACAGCCTTGGACCCTTTCTACATGTACTAAATACCTATATACTCTTTTCCTACCATACCGCACATTCCTTCCCCTGTCTCTCTGCTTCCTGCCAAGATTGTTTTTCCTCATCGATATCATTAATTTCATTTCTCGAATGTATATAATATGCATTCTATTTAGCTCCGCAAAGGGTAGGGATTTGCACTTGAACTTATTCGTTATGTTATATTGCTTCAAGACGAAACAAATCTTGCTTTAGCCTCGTTTTCATATTGCAACACACTTTGTTGGTCCAAATCTCTGGCCTTAGGGTATTAACACCGATCGGGCATTTCGCTCCTTTACTCTCTTATTCCCTAGTCTTCTTTTTTTTTTTTTTTTTTTTTTTTTTTTTTTTCCCTTCGTATAAATACTTGAGTCTCTTGCCACCAGAAAGCTCATCATCAAACCATCAGATCTTCTTCCTCGCTCACCTCCTCCGCCTCTACATTAAACTTATAGCAAAGTAGCCATACGAACTCCACACATATTCTCACGGATACAAATAGAAAAAGCTTTACTCTCACTCTCATTCCTCGCTCTGTTTACAAAAATGATCATGAAGACTACCACTCTCTTTGCTGCCGCTTTGGCTTGCCTCTCAGCCATGACCGTCCAGGCCCACGTTGGCATGAAGACCCCATGCGCTCGCTACCATCCTGCAGCTGGCTGTCCTGCTCCTCCATCAGGCCAGTCCATTGACTATGACATCAACGCCCCCATTGGCACGTCCGATAATGCGGCCCGCCCTCTATGCAAGGTAAAGATCCACCAAATTCACTTATAAATCTCGGAGGAAACATGAATCAGAGTTAATGAAAACACTATATTATACATATACTAAGCATTTTATTTACATTCCTCTCAAAAAAAACAGCACACTGTCCCATATACCAAGCGCACCGTCTACAATGCTGGTCAGACCATCAACACTGCCTACTCTGTCGGCGCTCCTCATGGAGGCGGACACTGCCAGTGGGCTCTTTCATATGACGAGGGCAAGACCTGGGTTGTCATCAAGACCCTGATCCGCGACTGTCTCCGCAACGCTGGTCCTGACTACACCGTCCCTGTGCAGATCCCAGCCAACGCTCCTTCTGGCAAGGCTACGTTTATGTGGTTATGGAACAATGCTATCGGCAACCGTGAGTTGTACTCCAACTGTGCTGACATTGAAATTAAAGGTACAAATGGTGGCAGCATTACTGGCGTTGCTCCTCTCATTGCCAACTATGGTAGTTCCTCTGTCTATCTTCCTGAATTTGCCACTGGTGCTGATGGTCGTGAGCACTTTGACAAGCGCAAGCCTGTGACCATTCGTGTCTCCGGTGGCAATGGGCCTGCTGAACCCGAGCCTGTCACTACCCGACCCCCTAAGCCCACCATCACCACTGCCAGACCTAAGCCTACCGACTGCCCCATTGCTGCAGCTGCTGAGACTGTGTACAAAACTGTATACAAGACTGTCACTGTCACCGGAGCCGCTCAGCCCACTAACGCTTAAGTAACAACAAACATCAAACATAATGCATGCAACAATGCATGTAGCACACAACACACAACACACGACACTCGCTCACATATGCAGTGCAGGCGTCTTTGTATTTATTATTTAAATTTGCATATACATTAGCATAGAATATTTTTTATTATTTTATTTTATTGTCATGATTTTTTTGTATTTTCAAAGTAGAGCAAAAGGTGACAATCTAATAACAATAATAAAGTGACTAAGAGACTGCTGGTTCAGTCTTAATCCTTCTTTATCCTTCTCTTCTCTTTTTTTTTTTTTTTTTTTTTTTTGCCTTTCTTGTAATTTTATGATAACATGAACGAACTTGAAACAATGGAATGTGAGAATGAATACTGAGTATGTAATCAAACAAAGTAGACAGAAAAGTGCCCAGTACATGAAGCAAAATTTGTGGACAAGATCAGAATGGCTAAGTGGTGTGCTAATGACCCCTAGCACTAAATTATTTTTTTTCGGTTGGAAATAGTCCTTTTTTCTCGGACATATTTTTTTGTCACACAAATTTGGCGGGAAACCTGAAACCCTTCGTCTCATGAAGGGTTGTGTTTCTCCCTTCAGGAACAGTCAGGAGCAACTCAGGAACAACCTTGCTAATCAAATAAGCTTATTCGAGCATCTTATTGGTGGCTAGATCACCTACTTCCACTGTATCTTTTTTTTTTTTTTTTTTTTTTTTTGAAGTGCCTGGAGTGGTTACATTGACCTGAAAAGAAAGAGAAAAAAGTTAATGGACTCTGAACCGGTGATCATAGTGTCCTTATCACATGGTCTGTTTTATGGGTTGTGGCACTAACTGCCATGCTCCGTAAACTGTATGTGTTGCCACCAAGCCGTATTTGCTTTTAGGTTACAAGGCAACATTCTTCTCCTTTTTGCTATAATCTGAAGGCTTGGTATTGTTATCACGGAGAGTACGATGATACACAAAGGACTTGATAATTGCTATCCTCTGGCAACAATATATCTCACTCATGCCGATGTCTCGAATCCTTACCCTCATCATGTCCCTTCCGCTTAACAAAGAAGACTATTTTCCCCTCAATTGACACATGTCTTTTTATTCACTTGAAGTCTGCGGGTCCTTTCCCCATGGCTTTTTTTTTTTGACTAAATTTACCTGATCTATTCCGGCCCTGAGATTATTTAACAAGCTTCCGAAGAACGGAAACCAAATCTACAAAATGATAAAGTTTCGTCATCAAAACATATCGCGATCTACAGCTTTGTCCTACAGCAACATAGTCTAGGAATATTGTTATATTGCTAACTGCCTTTTGACCTTACTACGTCGTAATAATGGGTCCATTATTCTCTTCACCATTAATTGATTACTCTGTCCGCCTGAGTTTTCGATCGTCTCAAATAGATAACATGTTTTCAAACCATCATAGGCACTGACTCTACAAAGATCTCCCGAATGAGTCTATTGCCTTGTAGTGCGTCAATTTGAGAGTTAACATTAAAACCTCAAAGCTCTATGTGCCGAGCCATGAATCTTTTGCTGCTAATGTGATGGCGTTGTTGGTAATGGCAAAAGCTCGCCTTTCTTCACTTCCCAATGCTTTTTATGGGATGGCCAACCCCATTAAGAAACAGCACAGCGAGTCTAGCCACCAACCATTTGAAGTACATGTGTTATTGCTGGCTTCTTACTATAAGTAATGCACCGTATACTCCAGCGATTGTTCTCCACCACAAGTAGTGTATTCTATCGCGCTTAAATTAAGAAAAGGATAATCCGCGCTATCCCACGATGTCTGTATCTCTCTCCCTTCCCCTACCCTCTCTTCAAAGTCCTAGAAAGGAAGAAGAATAGCAAATGTGAACTGTTTTGCTCGCTCCCTCTGTGCTATGCTCCATCATGACTGTAGACTATATTTGCGCGGGGGCTATAGAACAACAGAAGAAGAAATGACCACCAAGCCTTATATTTTATTTTACTTGCTTTTTTCTTTTATTATCTCACTACTGCAGCTGCTGTCATAGCCTCGACAATGGCTTGCCTTCTGGTTATAAATGACAGAGTGGATAAGAAAAAGACGCAAACACAACGTAATCAAACAGCCTTGTTACTATGTAATATCGAGCTCCACGAAATGTATCTATATGTCTTATAATAGATGCATCGATACCCGATCCAAGGTGGTTTCGGTAGTGGCAGTTGTCTCGGCTGTTTCTCCTCTGAAACTAGTTATCGTAAAATATATTTTTGTAACGGCGCTGCTTCAATCTAGGTAAAAGTCAAGGCCCTTTTCTTTATTCTTCAATGCTTCATCTGCTCTATTCGGCAGCCCAATAAAAAGAAAAGGAACTTTCTTCGACAGCAATGATTTAAGCATATTTTCAAGTATATATTCTTATACTAATATATTTCCTATATTTCTGGTTTGTGCCACTTTGTTCGATGCATGGGATCTTGACCATCTTGCGGATAATAACGAAAAAAATAAGGACGGATGACAACGTGCTTCTTTTTACGTTCTTTGATTGCAAATGTAATAGATATTAGCGATAATATTAATAAATGTATATTATTAAGGTACAGACATATTACAATAAACGACATTGCCTTCCCATCCTCTTCCCTCTCGCGTGTTCACCGCGTGTTTGCAGTTGCATTGTCATACAGAACGCCAATATATTCATTAGCTCATTAATTGCAAATATGTCAATATGCAGATGGGGGTTGTCGGGTCAAACTTGTCGCCCCTGATCTCTAATCAGTGCATTATCGTAACTGTTTGTGTAATTCTTGCCAATATTGAAATATAAGTGTATTAATATTGTTTTATTACGATTATTATTTACCATGCATAAATGTTCCTGTGATCCTGCGATCTTCCTGTGGAACTAGGAGAAAAGTTTTTTTTGATGAGCCTTTATTTACACCCAAAGAGGACCCTTTCTACTCTCCTCCCTCTTAATTGAATATGATTTTTTGATCGATATCAGAAATGTGATCTCTCGAACGTACCATGTATTCTACCATGATCTGGAAACTGTAGGGTGTGCTGTATCCGTGTTTTATTTTGTTCTTTGTGTCCGCTTGCTCACTCGCTTGCTTGCTTGCACCAGGGGCAAAGTAGATCCCTGCCCTAGTTTTGCTGATGGTCCATACCCACGAACTATGGAGGGCGGCATGGCCGACCAGACAATTTACGCAATTACTCTTTTCATAATCCGATCTTTTTTTTTTCTGTCGTTATTGTATAAATACTTGGCTTCTTGTTACTAAGAAATTCATCATCAAACCATCGGTCTCCTTCCTCACTCACCTCTCCCACTTTCACACCAAATCAAGCTTACGACGAACACGACAATACGAACCTCACGCAAACTCTGACGAAAATATCAAATAAGAAAAAAAAGCTCCTCTCTTCCTACTTTCTCACTCTTCTTCTCTCGACAGAAATGATCATGAAGACTACCACTCTCTTTGCTGCCGCTTTGGCTTGCCTCTCAGCCATGACCGTCCAGGCCCACATTGGCATGAAGACCCCATGCGCTCGCTACCATCCTGCAGCTGGCTGTCCCGCTCCTCCATCAGGCCAGTCCATTGACTACAACATTAATTCCCCTATTGGTACCCATGGTTCTCAGAACTTCCCTCTCTGCAAGGTAATTGTTTAATCTTGATCACTATCAAGGTCCTGTATCCAAACATATGACATGGCCGAAATGGCAATGCGTACTGTATGCTTATCCATGACTATTTCCTGGTTTGATTGTGCCATCACCTTTTTTTTTAAAAAAAAAAAAAAAAAAAAAAAAAAAAAGCACACTGTCCCATATACCAAGCGCACCGTCTACAATGCTGGTCAGACCATCAACACTGCCTACTCTGTCGGCGCTCCTCATGGAGGCGGACACTGCCAGTGGGCTCTTTCATATGACGAGGGCAAGACCTGGGTTGTCATCAAGACCCTGATCCGCGACTGTCTCCGCAACGCTGGTCCTGACTACACCGTCCCTGTGCAGATCCCAGCCAACGCTCCTTCGGGCAAGGTTACGTTTATGTGGTTGTGGAACAATGCTGTCGGCAACCGTGAGCTGTATTCCAACTGCGCCGACATTGAGATTAAAGGCACTAATGGTGGCAGCATTACTGGCGTTGCTCCTCTCATTGCCAACTATGGTAGCTCCTCTGTCTATATCCCTGAGTTCTCCAATGGTCCCGATGGTCGCGAGCACTTTGACAAGCGCAAGCCTGTGACCATTCGTGTCTCCGGTGGCAATGGACCTGCACCTGAGCCTGTCACTACCCAATCTACCCAGCCTCCTAAGCCTACTGCTACTCCTCCCTATCCCCCCACCACCACCACTGCCAGGCCCATACCCACTGACTGCCCTGTTGCTGCCGCTGCCGAGACTGTGTACAGAACTGTATACAAGACTATCACCATCACCGAGGCCGCCCAGCCCACTAATGCTTAAGCAACAACAAGCACTTCGCATAATGCATAGAATACGCTCAAAACATACATCATATTCATCGTAAAATAGCATAGGCATTTCTTTATTATCTATTTATTTTAATATTGTTATCCCTTATGTTTCCAGAGTGGATCAAAGGACAAACCAATATTAATCATAACGATAATAAAATAGTTGAGACTGCTGGTTCGGTCTTGATTTTTCTTCTCTCCTCCTATTTGTCCTTTCGCTCGTCTTTTTACTTGCACAACTATATGCTACATGGATAAATCCCCAAAGAACAGGGTATTGGAGCGGTTACCGGAAGATGATAGGCAAACCACGAGCAAAGCGGTTTGGCCACGATACAAATTGTGGAACAGACTATAGGACCCATTCTTTCTTTCTGTTCTCTAAAGGTGCACAAGAGTTTGGACTTCCTCTCTTGTGCCCCTTGTGGGATCATATTCACTTTTTCACTTTTTCAGGAACAATTTAATTATTATCCTCAATTCTTTGTCGATCAAATAAGTCTAGTCTAATCTACCAGCAGAGGAGTGATTATCAACGGAGACGATCATACATAATGAAAAGCATATTGATCCTTCATTTTACGTATTGGGTTTCTCTTGGTTTGTGTTACAGTCCTACGACAAGTTGTAGATGTCCCCCACAACAGAGCCCAGACAATATAGACAAACTCAAGTCCGTGGCAATTATCTATTTAATTTATTTCCTTTGTTGACTGACAAAATGTGGATTCCGTCGATACATTTTTTTTTTTTTTTTTTTTTTTTTCATTGCCTTGATGTGCCATGGTATCTATGGCTTGTAGTATGTATAGCATCCCTCTCCTTCGCTACTTTTCTTTCTCCATCCCTCAATCGGCGTACTGCTACAACCTTTTGGAACTGACATTGCTGTGGTAATATTAGCTCTATTGATGGCACGTCGAATCATAGAGCCACTCCTTCTAGCCTTCTTTTTTTTTTTTTTTCCTCCTTTGTAATTCGCTTGAGCTGATACGCAACCATAGCCACAGCCGACTATTACCATAACAATTTGGAGTCTGGCAACAGTTGCCTGACGCGTCGCTCCTTAAATACTTTACAAACGGTTACTTCATACTGCCTCGTATACAGTAGGAATCGCATGGTATTTTAATTCGTCATCTCCTATCTACTTCTGCATCTCCTCCACGAGTCATTCATCACTGCCTTTTAAAAAACTTACTTGGTTGAAAGCAATTGATTACCCCACATTAACCCTAACTGAATTATATTAAAGCCGTTATTGTTCTCGATGCAGAACTTATTGATAACAAGCATATCTCCAACAGAAATATAATATAATAAGAGAGACTATCGATCATGAATCTTTATTGTTCTCATTTTCTAATTTTTTGGAGGGAAAGGACATGAAATAAAGCACCGCGGCCAGCCGGGGTAACTTATTTGTGAATTGCTTTGGATCGCTCATCATAAAAGCTTTTTTTTTTTTTTTTTTTTTTGGCCTAACAAGAGATGATTGAAATGTTTCGCAGTTTCATGGCGTTAAAAGCGGCTGAAGAAGCGCTGCTTTGACATCCTAATGCTTGCCATAGGGGCAGGGAGGCTGTTCAAGCTGGTTGGGCTTGCTCTTAGACTTGCTGGACTTGCTCTTAGACTTGCTGGACTTACTCTTAGGCCCGCTGGACTTGCTCTTAGGCCCGCTGGACTTGTTCTTAGGCTTGCTAGGCTGGCTCTTAGAGCTGCCGGACTTGGGACCAGTAATAGTAATGGATTTGCGTTTCGCGAATGCAGAGCTCTGGTCGTCACCGCCAAATGGGTACTCAGGGATCAAGAGAGAGGAGGGGCCATAGTTGGCAATCAGAGGAGCAACACCCTTGAGCTTGCCACCGTTCTTGCCACCGGTAATTGTGACATCAGCACAGTTTGAATAGAGTTCACGGTTACCGATGGCATTGTTCCACAACCACATGAAGGTAGCCTTGCCGTTGGGAGCATCCTTAGGAATTGGGACCGAGACAGAGTAAGGAGCACCGCCATCAATACCTTTAAGGCAGTCACGGAGCACCGTCTTAAGCACAACCCAGTTTTTATTGTCGTATGAAATCGCCCACTGGCAGTGTCCGCCTCCATGGGAAGCACCGACAGTGTAAGTGGTCGCCACGTTGCTACCGGCTCGCAAAGTTGTGCGAGTGGCCGAGGGAATGGCCTGCTTGCAAAGAGGAGCATCTATATGGCTATGGACGCTAACAGGAGAGTTAAGATCATAGTCGAGCACTTGGCCATTCGAAGGAGCAGGGCAGCCCGCACGAGGGCTTCCGCGGGCACAAGGGTACAACAGACTAGCATGGGCCTCAGTGGAAGGAGCGACTGAAAGGACAGTCAAGCAGGCAGCAGCTATAGCAAGGATAGAATTCTTGAGCATCATGATTGAAAGAGAAAAGAAGTGAAAAGGTATGAGGATGGGAGTGAGAAAGAGTGATGAGAGCTAATGAAAGGCTTGTAAAAAGCTGGAAGGGGACGTAGATAGTGGAAGAGTTAGGGTAGAGAGGTTGGAAGGCGCTGCCTTTGGTTTTTGCGTTTATTGAGTGAAGAAGGAAGATAAAGCTTTGTAAGTCAAGGAGGGAGGGGGTATTTATATGCAATCTGCCGATCTACTGATTCATGGACTAAGTATCCCCATTAGAGTCAGTGTGTTATGAATGATGACCGTCCTCCCATTGAGATTCTATAAGAAGTGTACATGAGAAGAAGCTAGTCTACAAAGGTAAAGGAAGCCTATGTACATTAAAATGTAATTCCCAAAATGTAATTGTAGTCATGCTCCATTTTTTTGTCTGGTTACTCGCTAGGTTCTCCTTGAAAAGGAAGGAAAGGCTTTCTAACCATGCCCATGCAGACTATGCACGATAAGCCTCGTTAAATAAAATGTAATACATCAAAATCGGTATATGCAATTTCTCTGGCTGGTTTCAATACATGAAAACAAATATGTACATGTCTGTATAATATAAATGTTTTCCATGAATATACATGGTATATATATTTATGTATACACTGAAAATTAAACTTTGTTTCCAACGAAAGAGCAAATGTCATCATTATTTGACCGCTGGCTATAGTAGCTCTTGTTGAGTTGCCAGGTGGAAGTGTTTCTGATATCAAACAATTACACTTCAATTGCCCTGACCTATATGATATCCTAATATGAATAAAACATTCTTTCATCTGATTAATATTTCTTCCCAAGTAACCACCGATGGGGCCTCAGGCGTTCCAGAGAACCTCGCGCGATGCCTTCCTACCTCGTAACTCCTCGGTTTGGCGTTTATCTCGGCGTATGGCTACCGACCTTTACAAAGATTGATACCGAAATTATCAAGGCCTATAAAGGATTATGATGTCAACGGTAACGTCCTTAAAATAGATCTATCATATATGGCCAACATCTATCATTTAATATCGGATCGATTATACCCTTTCATTTGAACTCAAGCACGCGCTACCCTACAATTGTCACTAAGGCTACATGAATGTAAAATAAAAAAGAGTATAATATGAAGACACTTTGGATCCTACAAAAAACTCTGGCAAAAAAAAAAAAAAAAAAAGTTCATTTTTCGGAGGCATATCAAGTAACCAATCCAGCACTACAGTGCATAAAGCGAACTTTAGGTAATAGAGCTGTGGTAAGAAGTTATATTTTTCCTTTGCTATGTTAAACTAAATATAATAATATAGATAATAGGTTTGTATACGCTATAAACAGAGCCTTTCACCTCACATTAGATACTATGGAGCTATCAAACAGATTAGACACTGGCCGAGACATAGATAGTCACAGGCTTGCGCTTGTCGAAGTGCTCACGACCATCGGGGCCAGTGGAGAATTCAGGAAGGTAGACAGAGGAGCGACCATAGTTGGCAATGAGAGGAGCAACGCCAGTAATGCTGCCACCATTTGTACCTTTAATTTCAATGTCAGCACAGTTGGAGTATAACTCACGGTTGCCGATAGCATTGTTCCACAACCACATAAACGTAGCCTTGCCAGAAGGAGCATCGTAAGGGATCTGGACAGGAACAGAGTACTCGTTGCCAGCGTTTCTGAAGCATTCACGAATGACGGTCTTGATGACAACCCATGTCTGACCGTTGTCATAAGAGAGGGCCCATTGGCAGTGTCCACCTCCGTGGGCAGCACCAACAGAGTAGGCGGTGTTGATGGTCTGACCAGCATTATAGACGGTGCGCTTGGTGTATGGGACGGTGTGCTGATTTTTTTTTTTTTTTTTTTTTTGAATGGGGTCAATATGCCAATACAAACGAGATATTAGAGAGTTGATCATAATGTCGAGTACAGAGTCCTTTTTTTTTTTTTTTTTTTTTTTTTTTTTTTTAATGATGCTTAATGCAGAGCCACGACTGTAGTGGACATGGAGTCCTTACCTTGCAGAGAGGGCGGGCTGGGTTATCGTAGGTGCCGATAGGGGAGTTGATGTCGTAATCAATGGATTGGCCTGGTGGAGGAGCAGGGCAGCCGGCAGCGGAGTGGTATCGACCGCAGGGGACTTTCATACCAATGTGGGCCTGGACGGTCATAGCCGAGAGAAAAGCCAAAGCGGCAGCAAAGAAAGCGATAGTCTTCATGATGAAAGAGTGGAGCTTGGGTATATTCGTAAAGGGCTCGTGTCGTAGCTTATATTGTAAGCTTGGATTGTTGTGAGGGCGAAGGAAGCGTTTGAGGAGTGTGATCCGCTGAATCGGTGAAGAGCTTGGGTTTTTGGCGACAAGCGGTCAAGTATTTATAAAAAAAAATAAAAAATAAAATGCTTATAACAAAGGGATGGCAAATGATAGTATAAGACGCCTACAATGTGCGTTAACTCCCCATGGTCATGGGTATAGCCCAACGAAGCGGGTTACAACATGGCTCAAAACTTGGGGTAAGGACTTTTTCTTTGGAGCAGGAAAATAACAAATAACAAAAATGAAGTGAATCCTTGTCCTTTCCTGAGTAAATTACATAGGACGCCTCAAGGGGTCGCGTCTGGTATCGATAAAAAAACAAGACAGAGAGAGAAAAGAAAGGGTTCCTGAACTGTAAACAATGCCTTGCTAAGGTTAGTTGAATCAAGTTTAATTCCCTAGTTCCCAACGGATAGCGCGACAAATATCAACAATGAATCGGATAACCAATGACAGCTACTCAAATACATAATCCATACAAACATAAACAACATTCACAGGGTTGCGATAATGATAATGCACTGATCAAAAGATTGAGAGCGGCAAGTTTGACCAAAGCGACTCCACATGATCATTGGCCCACCAATGAACCATAATTTAAGGCAAGAGGAGGATTTTTTATAAACACGCGAGGGAGGAACTGTAATGTATATATTGTGGTGCATAAAAAATGTTACATTTCAAACAGGGTCTAAACAACTTGATAATCAAAAAACATGATGTTAAAGTTTGCTGTCCACGAGATTGACAAGTTATCATGCATCATCAAGAGAGTGGCGACAGAGAAACAGAAAAAGTGCACACGGGATGTAACGAATCCGCTCCTCTGTTCTGTGGGTAACATGCACCTCAAGGTGACACCAATCAAGGAAAAAAAAAATGTTTTGAGGGTAATTATCATCTCCCCAAAACTCGACTATGGAAAGGGCTTTCGAAACGGTGATATAGCTTTGTGTTGTGTCAATATGTGATTAGCGCCCATGATCTGGGCCTCGTTGCCAGAGTTTTTTCCTCCTGTTTTTGTTGATGCTTTTTTATTTTATTTTATTTATTTCGTGTTTATATTAACATCAGATAATGTAATGAGTAAAAAAAGTTTTTTATATTTACCGCGCTCAACGATAAATATGTTCGGGTGTTCGAGCATGTTGTTGATATTATCTTAATCGTTATTTCTCGATGGTTAGAGATAGTGTTTCCACTTTCTATTATGAGCATATATTGTTATGTTGTTATCAGGTTATCGGCGGAGGAAAAAAAAAAAAAAAAAGCGTCAACAAACTCATGGTGCTCAGTAGGCCGCATGCAAAATTTTGTAAAAGTTTTCCGTAAGTTTGTTAGTAAGCTTGATGTCAAGAAAAAGTGCAATCGTCTCGGATCTCTCGAAAACCGCCGGGATGATGGTTAATGGGCTTGTTGAGTTCAGGAAAGGAGCGATATACGGTGATATTTTCCGCTTTTTTTGTTGTTGTTGTTTATAGTCGGTTGTTGCTGTTGTAATTCTAGGTTGACGCGCTTCCGTGGCCGCCTGTAGTATTTATTTCCTGTTTGGTTTGCATTTCTCGGTGGAAGAGTATTAAATTTTCTCACACTGACTGCATACTTTGCTGCAACCCTGCATTACAAAAAAAAAAAAAAAAAAACTGTTTCTGCTCAATCTTCAGGGGAAGGATGATCTACATGAACATGCACACTAAAAACCGCACGGGGATGATCTTTTTTTCACATGGCTGTTAAAAAACTGGCTTTAAATCTACCAAGATGAACACAGTATAAAGTATAGGCAACTCAAATGTATGTCATTGTGTATATGCTTGTCCTATACCTGTTTTCCCTCGCTTACATCACAAAAAATGGCCTCCTCTTCTACCTATCTTAATTATGCTCCTGTTATATCTTGTTCTTTGTCAAATTATTGTTCCACAGGGAATGTTCTCGAAGAGCAATCCTCTTTATCAAAAAGTTAAGATTTGATATGAGCTATCAAGCACGATCTCAAAAAAAAAAAAACAAAAAAAAAAAAAAAACACGATCATCTGACGTAAAAAAGCACCACGCATAATTTCTCCACATGTTTGCTAATAAATAAATAAAAAAATAAAAAAAAGTACAAGACTTTTTTTACTACGCGCTTTCATTTTGTATAGATACTAACAGGTGAAAGAACGCCCCTGGCGCGTTTCTGAATGGTATACTAGAATCTAATGAAAAAGGCTCTCTACGTCATCAACGGGATAATGAAAGTTAAAGGGCCTTATCCATTTTTGGGAATATTTTTACGCCAACGATGGAATGAAAAACCATGCGGAAAGGAGATAGACATGGCCTTCCCAATCCCTGGAAGAGCCTTTATATCATCCAAAGTATTGAAAGTAAGAGCACAGTAGCTAACTGTAATGATTTACAGCATGGCTTGTAGGATTTAGTTTTATATAGAAATAAAAAGGGACACTCCAGTCCTGGTCACTTTGGCTACAGGCTATATTGTGGTGACTGCGATTGAAATATATTTTATTGCAACACTCTGTGTTTCTTCAAGTCATGTTGGATAGTTGTACTGCTAATCATGCTTCTTACAAATAAATATACATATATATATAATGAAAGGCCTTTTTTTTTTTTCTTTCTAAAATGAGTTATAGGATACGTAAAAGGAAGGTAGCTTACGAAAAACAACTCATGTGATTAATAGACTATATTGAAGTTAAGCAAGTTAATCGGGAACTCGGAAGATGTGATTGGGTGAGTGACTATTCCCCAAGGCAATTGAGACATGCATTCAGTCAAACCATCTTTTCAGGATCTAGCGGCACCATGCTGAACCAGAAAGTTGTCGACAAATGGGTTTTCAAGGTTACTAAACTGGATAAATATCCTCCATTTCAGATAACCAGCTACCAAATCAATTCAATCATCGTTTTTGATTCAAAGACAGTATTTTAAAAGTATGTTTGTCGATGAGTTTCTGGCAAGGACTCTACTCTTAATGTCCTGCTCCACAGTAGTTATGCTGCTTCATGAGAAACTTAAATTCCTGGCGGAAAAAATGTGTTCATGCTCATCATGTAACACAGACAAATTACCCCTTGTTACACATTTTGTAATTTATTTTTGAGACACATTTGCACTGGCGCCCAAGACTGGCCAAATATTCTGATAAATATATTTATGCCATGACTCCATTTGATCTCGTTTATGTCTTGATAATATACTCTGATCGCAATAGTTTCATAACATTGTCAAGAAAAGCCACTTGGTTAATTTCCAAAAAAAACGCTAGCCTTTGGTCGCCGTTCGATTGTATGTCTAGCTTGGCACAGCCAATTCGATAATCTTGTACCACCCACGCTGACATTCTCCCCCAAAGCCTCTTAAAGCTCCTAAGATGTGTTTGAAATACACTTATCGAAATGTCCCTTGAGATATGGCTACATTTGCTCAAATAAATTGAGATGTGGATGTTGTGCTGACTAATACAGCAGTATCCCTTCACCCTCCGCCATATCGATCAGCTCTAGATAAACTGTAGCTACCTTGCAGTGCGCTTAGCCTAGGATTATTATCTTGCTGAAATACGAGTCATTCTTTTGCCACGCCCCATTCTTCAGTAAACAGCTGCAGGTTTCCCTGTAACATCTTGATATACAGTTGTGCCACCAACCAAGGTAATATAAACAGGCCCCTGCCGTGACACAGACCATCACTCGGAGGTGCTCTCACGACCAAAGTCAACTGTCCCTTGAGCTGAGCACATTGTCATCCTTTCTGGTAGTTTATTCCAGATATATTGAAGGTCATCAGGCAGATCTTGTTAGGCTTACACCTATTGGGCCATTTAACTGTCGTTCCCCGTCCATTCCTCGTGCTTCTTTACGAATCGCAATCGGTCTTTGATATGATGTTTTTCTTAATTACTGGTCTTTTGATAACCTTTTGCCAACCAATCCTTATCCACTCATGCAATATCGGAATGTGGTGATACGGACCAGCAGTGAGGACAGTTTACCGGCTTAATAGTAGCCTCAAGTGATTTTGAGGGTACTTCCTTTCGTGTTCATCTTGCGGCAATCGACTATTCCAACAATGGCCTTCCTGAGACGACTGTCTATGCTTTCTCGCACATTCTCTTTGTTCTCTCGATGGAGGCAGTGGCATGGAATATCTTGAGGAGTTCAACAACTCCATGAGTAGAAACGCCTTTGCTCCGTTAAAAGTATGACTCCTGAATCTCAATTTTGTGATCTGTTTTATATGTGGCAGTGGTAAACGGTGAAAAAAAAAAGGAAGATGATTGAAAAGAAAGAGGAGGTTAATATGTAAACATATATTAATTATAAAGGAGCTCCATCATTTAATTCTGGCTAGGCGGTTTTTCTTGAATAATGTTATTAAAGCCATTTCAACAAAAGTAGGCATTAGGACCTAAGTTGTTGGCAATATTAGCGAGAACAAGCAGAGTCGCGATGTCTATCTACATTACAAAGAGTGACAACCCATTGAAATATTAAATTTTATATCAGAGTTAATGAGGGAAATGCATGCAAACACCAATTGGCGTCACCATTTAGTACACATGAAGATTCGACGGGGCTTGTTTATGCCTTTTTGTTTACTTTTCTCTGAGTAACGTTCGTCCTGCAGAAGAACACACAAATAATTAAAAATGAGGGCAAAGGCAAATTAACATATTAACTGTATAATAGGGAAAAGAATGAAAATGAAAATGATGAGTGAGCTTGCCCCTTCCCGCTAGAACTCTGCTAGAAATGCAATATGAAGATAATAAAGCTTTCTTACGTGAAATGCTTGGTTTTCCCCGTGCCCTCTGGATATGTTGCTTGTAATGAATACTGAATCTGATCGAGTTCATTTTTTTTAAGAAGTGAGCGAGAGAACTGTACAGTGGAATCTCGATAATTGTACACTTTTGTACAAATTTCAAATTTGATATATTTCTAGGCCATTGGTTGGCTAAGAGCCTTACTCTTTTAAAAAAAAGTAGCAGAGGATTTTTAGAATAGTTTTTCATGAATTGTGGGCTTCTTAGCCAATCAATAACCGAGAAATATAGCAAATTCGAAAATTGTACAAAAGTGTACAATTATCGAGATTCCACTGTATTTGATTTTTGTTTAGAGTTGACCCCATTCCGAAGATAATAAATGAGCAATCAGTGAGCAACTTTGCAACCTCACGACCTTTAATTTTTATGGCCATACAACTGGTTCGCTCTCCATTCTTTGACAAGTGAACAGTACCCTCTAGTTTTTAGTTTATTATGTGAAACTTAAAAAAAAACTTCCGGTCAGGAACGTTCTTCTTTGAAGTATATAAAAACTTCACTCTTTTTTTCGTCTTCCTTTCTTCCTTTTTTTTTTTTTTTTTTTTTGCAGTCAACACTCAAGACAAACCCCTCACTTTCGGTTATCGCAACCAACTATTTTCATTTCAAAGGTCATATCCTCCTTCTCTTCTTTCCATCAATAATTTCTTCACGCTCCTTCTCTAAAATGATGTTCAAGAGTTCTATCCTTGCTGCGGCAGTTGCTTTCTTAGCTGTCCTCTCAGTCGCTCCTTCTACCGAGGCTCACGCCAGCATGCGGTACCCCTGCACCCGCGGAAACCCTGCCTGTCGTTCGGCTCTTGCCAAGGGCCAGTCAATTGATTACAATATCAACTCCCCCATTGGCGTCCACAGCCGCAAGGACGCTCCTCTTTGCAAGCAGAAAGTCCCTTCGGCTATCCGTACGAAGGTGCGGGCTGGTTCCAACTTGAAGACCACTTACTCTGTCGGTGCTTCCCATGGAGGTGGACATTGCCAATGGGCCCTTTCATACGATAACGGTAAAACCTGGATTGTGCTTAGGACAATGTTCCGTGACTGCCTCAAAGGTGTCAAAGGTGGCGCTCCTTACTCTGTCTCGGTCCCAATTCCTAAGGATGCTCCCAACGGCAAGGCTACCTTCATGTGGTTGTGGAACAATGCCATCGGTAACCGTGAACTTTATTCCAACTGCGCTGATATCACAGTTACCGGTGGCAAGAACGGTGGCAAGCTCAAGGGTGTTGCTCCTCTGATTGCCAACTACGGCAAATCCTCTCTCTATATCCCCGAGTATCCTTTCGGTGGTTCTGACAAGAGATCTGAATTCGCGAAGCGCAAGTCCATCACCATTACTGTTCCCAAGAGCAAGTAAAAAAAAAAAAAAAGCCTCACATACCATACCTCTCCTTTTACTTCTTGATTTAGAAAAAGTGCTTTTCTTCATCGAAGGTGCCTCCTATTATTTAAAAGTATCTTTCCTCCTCTCCCACCACCCATACTCCTAATGAAAAAAAAAAAAAAAAAAGAAAAAGAAAAAGAAATAAAACAATCTTATGAGGGTTAGCTGCTGGTCAGCGCCCTTTCACGCATTTCTGCATCAAAAAAAAAAAAAAAAAAAAAAAAAACAATCTTGTGGTTAAATATTAGAAACCAAATAAGGTTTAACGTCAATGTTTGTTTGTGCTATAGTTACCAAATGGCAGGTGTTTTGAGGGAGCTTATTCGAGGACTGGGCCTCCTTGAGCTATCTTGCTGGCTCTGAGTAAATTTCCTCATCTTGTGATGCTAACATGTATGTCAGAGGACCCAATCCTTCATGTCTTTTTATAAACGACAAGCGGCTGATTTTGTATGAGTGATACAAGCATATAGCTGCAAAAGATATAGCTGACGCTCTAGTCAAGGGTAGAAAATAGAAGATGAAGCTCGTTTTTCTTTTCTTTCCTTTATTTTTTTTATTTTTTTACATCATGGAATAATGCATTGAACGTTGGCTCTCCTTCATCAGTCTCTCTCAGCACTTTAGGCTCTTTTCGATGCCTATTTTGCTTTAATTAGCACTGATATGTTGGTCATGGTGTAGCCACCTTCTTGACTCATTGACGCACTTGTATCCAAATATCTACCACTCACTATTGTATAGTCTGTAAAAATGTCATCTTCAGACTTCTAGCTTCTACTGGTTTGTCCGCCTTTCATCTGAAAAAGAAAAAAAAAAAAACAACGAGTGTTGTAAACAATCATAGACGCATTGGCTTCATTAAAGCTAGTTCACAGCCAACAAAGAATACGATCCTTGGCTGCGGTGTGGGATTGTTTGATTGGGTAAAGTGCTGCGGACCTTTAGCGCATAGTATCCCAAAAGATTGAAGTTGTAGCTGAGGCAGTCCAACATCGGCGAGCAAAGGCTTTTGTGCCGCTATCATAGTCTCATGTAAAACACTATTCTGAGGACAAGTAATTCCAAAATCTTAATGATTCCTTCTGACGAGAAAAGACCAAATAAGCTATTCTATGCCTTGGTACTCCACCACTTGGTAAACATTCCTTCGTTATATTTTCCAGATGCAAGTGCAAGGTAAGTTCTGTATGCTTTTAATTGGATGGTCTAAATGACGCTTTTTATTTTTTATTTTTTATTTTTTATTTTTTATTTTTTTGGTTTATACAGCGTTCTTCTGCTTCAAGTCTAGGATTGTGCTTTCATCATAGCCTAGAATATCCGCCAGTACCTCATCTGTATGCTCTCCCAACAATGGAGCAGGGGTCCTGATCGTTGGCTTTGTGTCCGAATATTTGACTGGCGGACCACACAATTTGATCTTGCCTGCTTTAGGGTGCTCAACCTCTTGGACCATGCCTCGTGCCAGGACTTGAGGGTGAGCAAACGTGTCTGCAATGTTGTTGATCGGCGCAAATGGCACACCTCGACCCTCCAATGCTTTCATCCAGAACGATTTGTTTTCGGATTTCAAACGGTTCGTGAGAATTTGGATTAGTTCATCTCGGTTGCTTACTCGGTCGCGGTTGGTCTTGTAGCGTGGATTATCTGCGAGTGTATCTAATTGCAAGACCTTACAGAGGGTGCGAAACTGACCATCATTGCCAGCACCGATCATAATATGAGAGTCGCGGGTTTGAAGGACCTGATATGGCACAATCGAAGGGTGTGCTGTACCCATTCGCTTCGCCTCCTTGCCAGCAATCAGGTAAGAGCTTCCGATGTTAGCTAGAGTTGCCACTTGAGACTCGAGTAACGAGCAATCGACGTGTTGACCACGGCCGGTGCGGTTTCGAGCGAAAAGGGCTGCCAAAATACTGGCATGTGCATAAAGTCCCGTAGTGAGATCTGAAGAATGTGTAAAAAAAAAAAAAGGGTAAAATAAGCAGTGAAAAAGACCATGTTAGCTCAAGGTTGTAGTTATGCTCCAAAATATCCGGGCTTCCATTGTAGAGACAATAAGATATTTTATTACCAGTAACAGCTACTCCAACCTTGACTGGAGGGCCATGCTCTTCACCTGTAATAAACATTAATCCAGCCTCAGCTTCAATCATCACATCATAGCCGGGCCTACTGGAGTAAGGTCCAGTCTGTCCATACCCTACAGTGATACGGTAATATATATATATTTATATTAGAGAAGGCAAGTTAAAAACAGGTCAATAGGCTCATAATGTTTCTTATTATATGTTGGGACAGTTTACCAGTAATGGATGCATAGACTAATCTAGGATTCAGAGCACTCAGATCGCTGTAACCTAACCCCATGTCTGCAAGCTTGCCAGGTATATAGTTTTCGATGAAGACATCCGCTTTCTTGACGAGATCATATATTAGTTGGCGACCTGCTCCTGATCGGATGTTGACTGTGATCGATTTCTTGTTTCGATTTACGCTCAGAAAGTATGCACTCTCAGTCTCAGTTCCATCAAAGTTCTTAGCAAAAGGTGGTCCCCATGCGCGGGTATCATCTCCGCCATTCGGATTCTCGACTTTGATCACTTCAGCTCTAAGCCCAGCCAATGCAGTAAGGTGACAAAGCGACCAAGGAAAAAGGATTGTCATGAGATGATGTAAATATTCCATTATTTGACACTGCCTGTATTTTTTTTTTTTTTTTTTTTTTTTCATACCCGAGGTCGCCAAGGAGCTGTGTACAATATGGACCAGCTATTGTAGCAGAAGGGAAGGCAAGAGGCATAAATGGTCATACCGTGTGAAATACTCTGTTTTTTTTTTTTTTTTTTTTTGAGGACGTGTTTGAAAAACATCCTTTCCTAGGAAGGCTTACCAAGGACGCGCGTCAAATCTAATACTCGGATGCCATGCAGAGGCCCAGGTTCTTGTCCGCTCTCATAAGGCCGCTTACCCCTTGAGTCGGTATCATACAGGTTCTGCGACAATAGAGATTCGATCATATTGTTGTTGTGATTGCAATTGTTGCTGCTTGATTGCTTCGAATTTGAAGTCTGAGAGTAAACTGAGAAGCCGCGTGAAGTTGAAGCAGTGGTGGCAGAGGCAACGGGGATACTTGCTGTCGAAGCAAAGACCCATTGGTGATTTGTGATCAATCGAATACTTGAGGTAAAAAAGACCACAGGTCTACAACCATGTCTTGACGAAAGACTTTGAGTTAAAATTAAGAAACGACGCGACTGATTCATTTTTTTTTTTTTTTTTTTTTTTTTGCAATCTCAAAATACTTTTAGGAGTGATGAACAAAAAGAAAGTGTAATGAGAATGGAGAGATGCAATGAATGTTAGGCATGGCCGATCCCTAAGGCCTTTTTATACTCCTCACTTACTTTTCTCTTTTATTCTTTCTGTTCAGTCATTACTTAGTCGCCTTTTTTTTTTTTTTTTTTTTTTTTTTTTCTATTTTATCCACACCTGGTATAGTTTGGCAGAGATTTTTCGTAAAGGACTTTCCGACCCGCAGACAGCACATTTTTTTATCTCATTAGAAGGCTGCGAGATGAGTTGCATAAAATACAAATGCTGCACAGTGTTATCGTTTAGAATCAATAGATCATTAGCTTAAAAGCCAAGGGAGTGAATAGAAATACAAAAAAGAAGGTGAATGAATAGAACTCTTAGAGCCCAGACAATCATTGGCCGCACCATCCATGCATCAGATACTTTTGATCTCGTAAAAAGATTTTTTTTGATAACGCCCATTAGCTCGTATGTAATGCTGTAGACGAAGAGATGTATGTGGAAGTTTATGGTATTAGTTTTATATTTTACACTATATACTTGCTTTCCTCGACCAATCTACCTTAAAGCAGAAGTCGAGAGTGCTGCAAGGGCTGTTGATGGTGTTGCTACTGCATTTGTTGTGGCCTTTCTATTGCTATGGCCAATAACATTCAATGTTCCCATGTAAAACTCATTAAAGTCTAATCGGACACTCAAGAAACGAAGATCTGAATCTCCGTCTGCTGAGAGCGTAATCAGAAGCTCTGACAGGCCACGTTTGAACTGCATTGAAAACTCATTTAGAGTCCTTAACAAGCCTGGTACAATCTCGTTAAAGTGATCTTCAGGGATCTTATCCAATGCCTCATCATGATCCGTGAGACCCCATTGACCGAGGCGCGTCCTCCGTTCAGCAGCTTGAGCCAAACGTGCTCGACGCTCAATCTCGGCCAGCGCATAGTTGTACAAGTTGTCTTGAGCAACCTTGTAGTCCAGGATCGTAGCCAGGAGCTCCAACAGACGCGACATCATGTTTACGTCATGAGAAGCGGACAGAAGGCCCTTGGAGGTTACGTCTCGCAGATACTTGGTATGAGCTTCGATCAATGAGTCTAGATCCGTGGTCTTGTTCCCAATGGTCTTTACGAGTTCATCCCACGAGCACTCAAGCACTTCGAAAAGGATGTAGTATTGGAGCTGATAGACGAAATGGATCATTTCACTACACACAATCCGGCACCGATGCAGCTCCGGTACGAGTTCTATGGATACAAAAAAAAAAAAAAAAAAAAAAAAGAGTTAGGAATACATAATGCGAAGGTACACGAGCATGTTTATGCGCGCACTATAAGTTGATAGAGTGACTAAATAACGCCAACATTTTTTGTTCAACAGAAGAATCTCCGCTCCCTTTTCTTTCACCGCAATTGATTACGGAATGATCAAAAATGGAAAGGCCAACAAACCCCTGACCAGGTACATTTGAAATCGTACTTGTGCATATCATTCTTCTGCGCATTTAATTCTATCCACTCTGCCCCATCCTCTATAACGCGCCTATCACTTTTTTTTTTTTTTTTTTTTTTTTTTTTTTTTACCAAGAATAGGTCGGACCGCTCTGGCGCTCGTCGTCTGGCGTCTCCACGCGGAGGAAAGTGCATACTCGACCCTTTTGAGACGCCACAGGAAATTAAACATTTTCAGATATTGGTGCATGGCTACTGGCGTTAAGATGGTGTTGATAGGAGAATCCACATGGTAGTCAAGTGAAAAGACATCCCACCCACTGTCTCCCGGTGAAATTTCCAACAAGCGAACGTCAAGGCGGCGCAGAACGTCCGGATCATCGAATTGTGCATTCGAGCCCCTAACAGCTGTTTCCAATGTTCCAGTCAAATTGTGCCGAAATAGCGTATTCGCAGGCTGCGAAAGATTAGATCTGGCGTATTCAACGATAGTCGCGTCAAAAAAGGAGAAAAATCGAAGCATAGGTCGAAAAAGTATATAGCGTCATTAGTTTGCGAAACCCGAATGCAGTTTACGAGAACACGAGAACACGTTATTAGTTTTTTATGGCTTGCACCTCGTTTACCCAAGTGACTCCATCAAGTGCTGAATAAAATCGCCTTGACCGAGGAGAATGTATCGTTTGATCGCCGTAAGATGGTCCAATAGCTTGAACTTTGTGACTAATAAATGAAGCAGGCGCTGGCTGGTCTCGATATAAGCAGCGTCAATGAATCCCTCCAATTCTGCAATGTCGCCATACCTTAGAGCTGGTCCAAACAAGTCATCCATCCATTTAGTGTTACGAATTAAACAATGCGAAAAATGTTATAAAATAAGTCATCAAATAGGAGATCGTACTCGTGCATAGCACAAAAAAAAAAAAAAAAAAAAAAAAGTCGCTTACTTTTTCCCACGCCATGATGTTGCTGTACCCAGTCTGCATCATTGCACATATGCCTTAGGAAATTAAGTGATTTCCCGATAGAAAGAATCTGTCCAAATAATAAAAAAAAACTCTGTCAATAACTACAGAAACGAGAGTGAGCCATGGCTAATAACAAATGGTACTAGCTAACATTTACCTTTTTTGCCAAGGACATTCCAATGAACGCAGGCAGCATTTTCTCACGAATAAAGTATTTGCGCTGCCACATATCTTCTTCCTCGCATTCAGGATCAAGCGCAATAAAAAACTCTGTTCGTGGATCCTCTAGCTCGCCCTCATAAATCCATCTTTGCATCATTACATAAAAAGGTGCCGAAATGCGCTCAAGCATATGATGGATAAACTGCTGGATGAGTGGGTCTCCGTGCTGTGTATAATCATGTACCATAGATACTAAGGCTCCCCCTTGAAGGTCTAAAGATACAGATCATTAACAGATATGGTTAGCCTGATTGATAGAGACAAATAAACAAAAAAAAAAAAAAAAAAAAAAAAAAGCAGACTATTGCGACAAGGCTTTAAAGTATGTGGAAGAGTAGAAAACATACCGTGACAACACTCTACCAGCACTGACATGAGTCGCAGCCGTTGTAATGATTCCTGAGTCCATACAAGGAGTCTCTTAAGAGTCAGCCCCTTTGACATATCATGGTCAGTTTCCTTGGCAATATGGGCCTCCAACACTGCAATCAACCGAAAGTAGTCAACGAGTTCATGTTGGAGTGCAGAACAAAAACTCTGTTTTAATCAAAAAAAAAAAAAAAAAAAAAGTCAAACTTTACTTGATTGACCTTATACCATAGCTTGTCAACAAAAAATAAATAAAATAAATAAAAAATAAAAAGGTTAATTACCTGGCCGACTAGTCCTGCGGTTCCTTCTTTTAAAGTGTTATGAACATATGAGTTTATCTTTTTGTATAACCATCCCAGCTCGGTCAATCGATTAACAAGACTTCTAGTTGAATTAGATACATTTATCTAGAGGAACAAGGAAAAAAAAAAAAAAAAAAAAAAGACTGCTCATAAGGTCTATGTACTCTCAATGCTGCAACTAAGTGACTGCAAAAAGAAAAAAGAAAAAAGAAAAAAGAAAAGGGAGGACTTACGGATGGATCAATTGAGCATGTCCCCGACTCCGTGCCAAATTTGATCATCTTGCCGTCGATCCCTTGAAAAACAAATATCAAATCTCGAAGTAACGCAGATTCTTCAACCTCGAGTTCAGATCTCTGAATCCGGTCATTCAACAAGTTCGTGTACATGGATGACCTAGCTTCTTTTTCTGAAACTGAAGCCGGAGCTGTAGCTGTAAATGCATTCCTGACATCCGCTGGAGACATAGGCGTAGTATGCATAGATTCATGTCTCGGGGAATGCACTGTATCCAATTTTTGTGCGCTATTGCGCCCTCGATTCCGTATATGCGCTGTATCCAGATTATGCAGTCCAAGATATGAAAGAGGTTGATTGTCAGAACGACTTTCTATGGCTGATCCTGATCCTACTAATGAGAAAGATGAAGTCTGATCACTGAGGGCGAGGAGAAAATACAGAATGGACCATTTTTTATGCAGTACAGACTTAATTAGACAATCCACAAAGAAAACAGAGCAGGATTGGCAAAAAAAAAAAAAAAAAAAAAAAAAAGAGGGAGAAGAGATAAGTGAGTGAAATAATCAATCTATTGTACGGCGAATGTCCCATAGGCAAAGCTTTCATGGACCTTGGCCTTACACATGCAGATAATTTGGTAAAGAGATGCGAGAATCGAATGGCTTTTGTTGCCGACGGGTCCTCACGCATGACTAGGGTTTTTTTTAACATACAATGATTGGCGTTTGTCAGAGTTTAAATTTCTTCCGCAACTTTTCCAGTTATCTACAATCATCTTTGCTTAAGCTTTCGGGCTTCCTTCACTACTGTTCGCTTACGTTTCTTCTTGATAAGATCCGAGATGTGGACATCGTCTGACACTAGTGAAGGCGCTATACGACTACATGTGTATAAAAAAAAAGAAATTGATAAATATGCAAATGGAGAGGTCAGATCTGAGCTCATAAGAAATTGATATGTAGTATCGGCAATCTTGCTTGTTGGTTTTTGCTGTTGAGCCTATCTAGTACCTGCCCAAGATCCTGAGGCAATATTCTTGTACAGCATTTATTCTAGCTTCTTGGTCCATAATACCTTTTAAGGTATAACCACTCTGAACATTATTTCCATCCAGATCATGGTCCAAGTCCATGTAATCACTAGTGTGCTTCCCATCTTGCAATAGTATAAGCTTGACAAGCGCTTCGACAGCCTGCTCAACTAGATTAGAATTCTCCATTTGTTTGTCTAGCCAATGGAATCTGCAATAGCGACATTAATTAAAATGCAGAAGCCAGGAATCCATCCCAAATTGGTTTTGGTTCAATCTGATAAGCCACATTACGCGCGTTAATTTACACGCGACGTGTTTCTCATTTTTAGGCATTAAATTGATTATATATATTAAAGAAAAGATAAAGTACTAGGAAGGAAGTATAGAAGGTGGTCATATTCACAGAGGCGCTTTTCTTGGTCAAATACTGTACAGGAGAACATATCACAGATTAGTCATAACAAAAGGAAAGGAGGAAAGAATTGAAAGGGTTGCGGGAACTAAAAAGGAACAAAAACACCAGGCTATTAAACTAGAATTTTTTTTTTTTTTTTCTTTTAAAAAACTCAATGGCCATTATGTTCGATTTGTGCAACTGTTGCACGCCGTTTCCGAGAAAAGTAATTATCTTGGTCATCAAGTTGCATATGAAACGTATCCATGATCACATCGGAAGGAGTCAATGGCCCTGAATTGCGTCGCTTCTCTCCTGCATGTGGCATGTTTTGTCCATGAGGGGGTTGATGTTGCGAATGTAAGGGCATATGTGAAGAATATAGTTGCTGTTGTTGGTCGCGTGATTGAGTGTGATGGTAGTGTTGAGACGAACGACCGTTAGCGCTCTCATCTTGCGATCTACTTCTCTTTGACTGCTCCTCCATCACGGCTGCACGCGTACGGTCCAAGGCTGCAGCTTGTGAGCTGCGGCGGCGCGCCATAGCTGCATCCATAGCTTCTGACCGTGCCTTGACGCTCTGTCGCTTGTTTTGGAACCAGATTTGGACCGTTCGTGGGCACATCTTTGTTTGCTTCGACAAACGAAGACGTTCCTCAGTCGAAGGAAAATATGATTTCTCGAATGCAGCGTTGAGAACTTGTAGCTGCTCTGCATTGGCGCGCTTGCGCTTGGCCTTGACTCCATCTTCTGGGATAAATGGATCATCTTGCCCATGCTGGCGCTTAGTCCCAGATTTGGACGTTGGAGTCGAAGCTAGCTCTGGCGCCGGAATGTCAAACGGATGGACAGAATGGTTGGCAGCAGCAGTAGTGGTATTAATTGCCGCTCTTGGTCGTTGCATCTGTACCGAATGTCCATAGACATACGGATCACTCTCCGCAGTCGGTGTAGAAGGACCAGGCGCCGATATGGAAGATCTGGAAGATGGTCTATTCTCCGGGGAGAGTGCGCGCTGAGGATATAAATGTCTTGTCGCTGCATATCCCGATTCCCTCCTGGCTGTAGCTGCATAGCCGTGGGGATCTACATGAGAAAATGAAGACCTTGATTGGGGTTGGAGCCGAGACTGAGATTTGTTTGGAACAGCATGCGCATATTGCTGATACCAAATGGGTGGTGAAGGCTCCGACCCAGGAGAGTATGGCCGAGTTTCTGAGGGGATTTGAGATGCATGCGTGTCTGGGACTGCTGAAGGGTTCCTTAAGTTTTCATCACGAGGAGAATAGTCATATTGCGGACGATCAATGGGTCTCATTTGATAACGAAAAGACCTGTAATCTTGATCCGAGGCTAGAGGAGACGACGAGGAAGGGCGATGGTCATAAGGATAGGTATTGTAACGATGAGCAGATTCCCGCATCTGACGATGTCCAGTATCAGATAAACTCTGAATGGAAGACCTACGGGCATAGGCTGTTTCAGATCCATCGGGTATGTCATGCAAAGGCTTCGAGCCATATGAAGCTGAAGGCGCTAGCGGAGGTCTTGAAGGAGTATCTGCAGCATCAAGGCCATAAATACGCGCAGGCTTTCTTGACTCGGGAGAATGGTGGAGAGACTAAAAACGACAGAATAATATATAATATAAAAGTTAGCTCGCGCAGTTACGGTGCTTTTAACAAACAAGCTCTTTTGTAGCTAACCTCAGGCGGTGGTAAAATAATTCCTTGACTTGCTCGCCTTGATTCGCCTTGAAAGGAATGCCTGGGTGCTTGCGATGGTGAGTAGACTCTGTTATATTCGGTAGAATATGATGGCACGCCCTGCTCATGAAGATAAGATGCGTTTGAATACAAAGGTGCAGACTGAGGCGTGGGTGGGCTATGCTGTAAACGTTGGTCCTGTGGGCCGGGCATAGAGGCCTTTCTGGGCTGGAACAGCGGGGCTGGAGCTAATGGAGGCGATGCATCCAAGTATGGACCATAGTTTTGTTGATGAAGTGCAAAGTCGCTCTTTGATCGATCTGTTCTAGGTCTCTGGTCTACGTCATATGGATGGCAATTATCCTGGTAGTGCACCGTGTGTAGCGATGCAGAACGTTGACTCGAGGATGTAGGCCGTGGTGTAAAATAGCCCCCAGTTGAGGATGTCAACGGTGGTGTTGAAAATGGAGAGTTATGCTCTCCTGGCGCGTTCCGTAACAAAGGATCGCGACTGACTGAACTATAGTGCTGATCGCGTGGTGAGTTTCCAGGCTCTCGAATGTCAGTCTCCCGTCGCCCTAGGCCTGAATCTCTCCTTTCTACCAATGGGAAATTGCGCCGCGCTGGATGGGCGAAGTCTGGTATATCAGAATTAGATGTATTACTACTAGAAGCACTGAGATGAAGCTGAGATTCACATATATCGCGAGGACTACTGTGGATTGGGGTTCTTATTGAGGCTGTATGAGTTGAAGTTGGAGGTACTGGGGAGGAGGAGGCTTGCTCTCGATACGATCTCATATCTGATTGTCCATTATGCTCATAATAGCTGCCACGGCGCTCGTCACTGTACTGCCAAGACCTCGATTGCCTTGATGGTGAGCGTAGCGATGGTGACGAATGAACATTCGTGTTTGAAAGTCCTTCAAGATGGACGGCCTCAGTACGGGGTGACTCCCAAGGCGCAGCTTTAGGTGGCTCGGCAGCTTCAATGGAGCATAGTAAATCAGGGATCCGAATTCGGGATTGACTTTGCTGACGCTTGCGCTCATGGCCTTCGGTTGCCTCTACAGTTTGAGCCTGGTCTGGGCCACTCATAGTCAATGGTCGATATTGTTTCTGAAAGGAGCCTAGATTAGGGCTGCGACGACGACTACAACTGCGTGAGCGACTTTGTCTGTGGGTGTTTCTGGCCTGCACAGACGAATGCGCTGAGACAGAGCAGACGGTTGCGCTAGAAGAAAAGAGTGAGGTAGGCAGCGGGGCTTGTTGCTTGCCGTCGAGATGTGTCTTTAATGTGCACGGCTCGAAGAGTGAGCGTCAAAAATACTGACAAGATAGGGAGTAAAGAGAGTCAAAAGCCTAGAAGATTCTCTGGAGGAGCAAAAAGAAGGAAAGTCATAGGTAAGTTTGTGAACAGGCCATTCATGAGGAATTAGAGGAGTAGAATGGTGTCGAGGATTGCAGTTGGTGAAGAAGAGTTTTATTCAAGACTCTACATTAGGAGAGAAAGGCTGACAGAGTGGAAGTGGAAGTCAATTGTATGGATTATGAAATCGAGAAGGATTCAAACAAGAACGAATATACTGGTGGAAGTGGGACCGTTGATGATATCAGGCGTAGTCAATCAAAATGAAAAATCGGTTGATCCATCATTGCTCCGTGGAGTCGATTTCCACTAAGTTCACCCCTCTTTTTTTTTTTTTTTTTTTTTTTTTTTTTTGGGCCATGACCTTATCGGTCAGGGGCCGATGGGCAAAGACAGTGACAGTGCTTTGGTCTGAATTTCTGCATTCTTGCTTTACTATGATTTCTGCTACATTAGTTTGTTTTCTTTTTGAAAATAGGAGTGGATGTAGATCCATCTACTGTCGTCAAGATGCTTACCTTCAAGACGAGCTGATTGACGATTAAAGAGGGAGTAATGGTAATCTTGCTGTAATTCTCTGTCGGAATCCGTTAGGACAGAGATAGGGTTGCAGAGACAGAGTGGAGGTAATGTTTATACTCAAGGCTTTTCGAAGAAAAGAAAAAAGCTCGAACAACTACAAATTAAAAAGAGGTGGTGCAAAGCCAAAAAAGAGGGTGTGAGATGAAGCTAATTGAAAATAAAAGTAATGAATTAATATCAGATAAGTATCATGAGAAGAAACAAGTAGATCAACAACAGCACAGCGAAAGGGGACAGGGAGTATATATATAAAAAAAAAACAGAAGAGAGCAGAAAGTGGGAAGGGGGGAGTGTACAGTACTAAAAGTACTAGAAATCATTCATTTTTAAACAGAAGGAGGCGATGTTAATGTTGAATAAGCTTTTGGAAATGAAAGGGAAACAAGGGGAATTGTAACTTTTTTAAAAAAGGGAAAAGATTGTGGAAATGAACAGCCATGAAGATTATGGAGATATTAAAAAAAAAAAAAAAAAAAAAAAAAAAAAAAAGAGAAGGAGGCGACACTTTTTATCCCATCTCATTGCTCGAAACCGGCAGGTGGACTTCCACTCTGCAAATTACACTTTCTCAGTTCAGCCAACCTTTGGAATGTTAAATGAATAGACTGATGGGAGCGTGATCTTGGTCGATCACGAGCAATGCCATCGAGAGTTAAACAAAAAAAAAAAAAAAAAGTCAAAATAGGACTCATGGATATCCATGATACCATGACACCATGAAATGTAAGATTAGCAGCAAGCTCAAAGAAATAAAGTGCATTTCTGCTGCATGCGGCAATGAAGTGTTGTACACCCTTGTCAGAGTAGGAAAGAAAAGAAAAAAAGGGTACAATGTAACAAATGTAACACTTGCAATGTAAAATACAGCATTGGTGTAACTTGTACTTTGAAGGAAAAGGAAGCAGGGACCAACACGACTTTATGCTGGGTGTTTTTCCCTTTATTACTAATTTTTTCTTTCTTTCTCTTGTTGGAGGATGAGTAAGAGTACAGAGAAATGGATTAGATCTTTACCGGAATAGAAGTTTAATGAGGTCAGGGTGAAGAGTTGCGGTAGAGGAACACAAATGGCGTTTGATGAAGGAGAAAGTGGGGATTGTACGAACGATGTGAATGACAGGAATAAAGAGAAAAAAAAAAAAAGAGAAGGAGAAGGGTATTCAGATAGAGAGACAAAGTCCAAGGGCTCTTTTCAAAGTATGAATGAGGGTCTATGAGGGAGGAGGAAGGTGAGTTGGGGGAGGGATTTATTAGCGGCGAATACAATGAAAAGAAAAGAGAAGAAGAGAAGAGAAAGAGGTGAATAAAAAGAGGAGGAGATGGGGCAATGAAGGCTTCGCAATTTTTTTTTTTTGGCATTTAGCAAGTCCAGCATTGGGATTGGCATTATTTAACAGTGTTATACAAGAAAAGAAGACTGTGTTCGTTACAGGGTTGCTTATGATAGATGCTTGTAATACACAATTATAATTGTAATGCATATGAATATAATAAATGGATTATTATTTTTAAAAAAAGGTCCGAGGCTCGCTTTTTTTTTTTTTTTTTTTTTTTGCAGTCTGCGCTATGACCGAGCAGACAGAAAGAAAGGAGGGAGAGCGAAAGAGTGAAAGAGAGTGAAAAGAGGGGGGGGGATGTGCAAAAAAGTGTGTAAGGGAAAAAACAAAGCAAAAAGTTATACAGATGGGTTTTGTGCATGCTGAATAAATGTTTAATGTATCATTGTGTGTTGGGCATAATAAAGTTATGGCATAACTGAATGAATTAATGCATGAGTGATTGAATACAACTAAATGGGCTTCCATATTGTTTACAATTATTATTATCCATTTCGACCTCTAGTCTATGATGTCTATCTATACGTTTTGGGAAGAAGGTCCTAAAACTGGTGTCAAGGCGATGACAGTCCAAGGATGAAGACCGACACAAAGTACATAAAAAGAGAATCCATTGCAATCCAACCTTGAACATCAGGCAATTATATTTATTCAAGACAAGACAACAGACAGACATGACTGTCGCGCGTTGTTCTTCAATATCCTTCTCGTACTCATGCTCGTCCCAATTGTCGATCTCACTCTCGCACTTTATTTTATTTTATTTTATTTTTTTATGTCATATTGTTCAGGCTAGCCACATCATTCCTGCATCCAGACGAGGTTCCTCTAACTCCTCTCATTTGTGCGAACATTACATAAGATGTCTTTTTAATCTCCTTTGCTTTGTGTTCACCTCGAGTGCATTTATCGTTCCTGTTTTCTTCCACCTGTTTTGATCGAATGATATCCATAGCAATCAAATGATGCAACCAGAAAAAAAAAAAAAAACTTCTATCACAACCAATCCTGCACTTTTTTAAAGAACTTGGATCTTTTTTTTTTTTTTTTTTTTTTTTTTTTTGGGCTTTAGTCCGATCATTTATTTTGTGATGCACATCAATGTGTCAACAAGCGATGCGATTGCTCTCTGCGATTTTGTCAAAAATATTCTCGGCCACCAAATAAGATTACATGAAAACTTTGCAGCATGAAATCACAAAGGCCAGAAGAAAACATCATAGACCCATCAGTATTTTAGTTACTTGCTTTTTTTTTTTTTTTTTTTTTTTTTCGAGCAAAGAGGGGGAATCGAATACATAAAGTCGTGTTGATTGTGAGAGAGAGAGCAACTGACGAACCTGAGAGCAGCACTTCTGCTCAACGGTGCCTGTCCTTCCTGGTAGTGGTAACCTGCATTGCGCATGTTCCTTAATTTCCTTCTTGCCTTCCATCCTTCCTCTCTCCATCATCTCTTTTTTTCATGTAATTGTTATATTTCCAATGAACATGTACACAATATCTTTCGATCTTTTTTAGTTTAGTATTAAAAACTAACCAATGGGTTTGTGGGCTTTTTCTGGTCCCCCACCGCCGTTTATGCTGCAGCCTTCACAAAAAAAAAAAAAAAAAAAAAAAAAAGGTGAATATCAACAGATCCTGCACTGCTCATACTCTTGCACTCTGACTTTTTTTTTTTTTTTTTTTTTTTTAACAATTTACCCCTTGAAATACCAAAAAAAAAAAAAAAAAAAAAAAAAAAAACAATTGATGGTCGCCTTTTTTTTTGTGCAACCATCCCAACAACCCGCCCAACCCTCCTGTCCTTTTTGTGTTCCCTTTTTTCGATAATGCACAAACCACATTCGTATGTTGGGCCAGAACAAAAAAAAGTTTAATGCAAAAGCAGCTGTGTGTTTTGTTAAAAACGGCATTGGCATCTGCGGTTGCCTGTCGCAAAATGCAGGTTTTTCTTTCATCAAACAGTTATACTGTCGAAATCAGCATTTTAGTCATGACAGCAAAACGCATTGCATTGACAAGACAGAGACGCGTTTCTTTTTATTTTTTATTTTTTATATTACTTAATTGTTTTATTTGGATGCTTAATATTCCGTCCTGAGAGAGTATAAATTACGAGTCATTGGAAGTAGAGGAGGGTGAAAGGAAGCTGAGGTATTCCTTGATCAACCCCCGTGTGAAATATTAAAAGATCTGTTGATAATGTATTGAGCTATTAATTAAGCGTTAGATTAATAGTAAAAGTATATGAATATTATATATAATCGAAGATCAAAGTAATAAACAAAAAAAAAGAAGAGAACAATAATAATGAATGAACCATGACCAGTTCGTATAAACATATCTTGACTGAATCTTTTTATTATTATTATTATTTATTTATCGTTTATTATTTATTATATATTATATACTATTATTATTATTCTCATGTTTACGAGATGGACATTAAAGATCTTTCCAATCAAGGTGGGAAAACACAATATGTTTAGACTTTTATGAGAATGAATGAATAATATATACAAATATGCAAGTAATGTAAGAATAACAATTGAAAAAAAAAAAAAAAAAAAAAAAAATTCAGTTCAATACGAACGATAACAAGAACACAACCAGTTCTTCAAGCCCATGCGGCGCATAACAATTGTCGGTGGATTGCACAAACAATTAATTTCACTCGCGCGTAAAAATAAGACAGAAGCATAGAAGCGGCGAAAGAGAACAGGGTAAAGGGGAGAGAGGGAACGAAACAGAGAGCCAGAGGGGCAGGTTAGGAAGAAACAGTGGTATTTGTAAGTATATTCATGTAATGCAAACTAGCTTCGTATTCGCGTTTATATCTTGCCCATGGACCGATTTACTCCAGCCATTAGCGTGGAAGTCCTTTTTTTTTTTTTTTTTTTTTTTTTGAGAGAAAAAAAAAAAAAAAAAAACACTCGCGTAATCGTGTAATCGTGTGTCTTTTTTTTACTCCAATGTCAGCTGCCTTGTAGATGCATGTCTCGATAAGTATTGAACTCTAGTCTCCTTGTCCCTAATCCCTCATCTTATTTTCTTCGAACCGTTTCCCGCCCAGTATTAATCTCCCTAATTTTTTTTTTTTTTTTTTCTCCTTTCTCATTCAATCATGAAATGCAATCATTACACTTCGGGTCATAATGAAAAATGAAATGCATCAGCATCGGCAAACAGGGATCAAATTTTAAACAGAAAGAGGGGGGTATACCAACAAAAAAAAAAAAAAAAAAAAAAAAAGCTCAATGACACATCATCAATACCATGATTGTAGACATTAAGCATTCCAATGATGAGTGAATGACCCATTGGCAAAGGACTGGAACATTATTTTCCTTTTTTTTATTTTTTTATTTAGGGAAAAAGGGAAAAAGGAAAAAAGAGGCAGACACTAAAAAAGTATGACCTCCTGAGAGGAGTGGGTCGATTTAGAGAGCATGCTCACCATAGCCACATAGGCTATTAAACTATTTTAATATGTTTCCTTCCCTTGTTTGTCCAAGCTTTTATTTATTTTGATTGATAACGAGAGGGAGTGAAAGAGAGAGGCGAGTCCCCGATCCTTCTCTTTAATAAAAATAATAATTGATGAACCTTCTCTTCTTTCCCAAAAGTTGGACCAGTCGCGAAGGATATGAAAGAAAAAGAAAAAAAGAGATCGGCAATTGGCTCTAGAGTATAAAGAACCAATCGGTCGTCAATCTCATTCTACTACCATTGTTCTCAATCTTGTTTTTTCATAAAATGTTTTATTGTTATTTGGATATCAATGTTTATTAAAAGTCCTGTTATTCATGTTCATCTATAATGGATTGGGTCTGTGTATTCTCTGATTCTGTGTTACGGTTCAGTGATTATAAACCAAAGAATCTTCGTCCTGTGTGATTGTGCGTATTGTAATAGCCCTGGTCTCACAAAAAAAAAAAATCTGCCCCCTATCCCCTGGACCTTATTTTTTTCTGTAACGTCCCGTAATTCGTTTAACCATGAAAAGCAGCCGGATTTGTCATGGTGCAACATTAAAGGAAAGCCGTTTTTTTCCCTTCTTCAAATCTTGCATCATCCTTCCTGGAGTTGGGCGCATCATTTTTTTTTTTTTTAGTCTAATCAACCTTACAATGACAAGTGTTCTCATTCACTGATATTATTTTAAACGTCCACAAGGGCAAAGTAAGGGTTAACAGGCATTTAATGTTGTGTCACCATGAACATTTTTCTACCATCTCTTTCTATATTTAAACCATTCGACTGATGCAGGTTCATTGAAGTTTCAATTTAGTATTCAACCATAAAAACAATGCAATCTATTCATTCCCACTCAAAAAAGCTTACTTGGATTTTACACATTCCTAGGAGATCAGGAAATAAAAAATTATGGATATCCTCGATTAAAAGAAAAACGAGATGTAAAAATCACTCATCTCTGTATCCAACAGACCATACACAGCAAATCAACAGTCCACAGACCCTCTATTTTTTTTTTTTTTTTTTTTTTTTCTTCAGCTTGAACGTTTAGGGAGTAAAAAGGAAAAGAGTTGTTGCCCATTTATTACAGGTGGTTTTCATAGCCCTTGCACCGCCCTGTTTGTGCAGTGCAGTGCTGTTGCAGTCAAGAGACAGGATAAAGAAGATGTTGAATTTGAATTGGGGGCTTTGACCCACACACACGGAACGGAAACACAAATGGACGAACCAATTGCATGATCTGTTGTCGTACCAAACAAGACAAACAGGAGAGAAGTAGAAAGAGAGGATTTATCCAGAGAGCGAAAGTGCGTCTTGAGGGATGCCAAGCCTTGGTCGTTAACAGGCAGGTTTTTTTTTTCCATTTCCCTTTCCCCTCCCCTCTACTTCACCCCTAGTCCCCTAGTCTCCTAGTCAGGTATCAGGTCGATGATTGTAAAACAGAGAACAGACATGCTTCTTTTTTTTTTTTTTTTTTTTTTTTTACTTTATTTTATTTTATTATTTTTATTATGGAAAAGAAAAGAAAAAAAAAAAAAAAAAAAAAAAAAAGAAGGAATGTTGTGTATAAACTGCATGGCAGGGAAATGAGAGGTCGCGGGAAAGAGGAGCAACAAAAAAAGAAAAAAACCGAACAATCATAAGCGAGCTGCATGCTTTTTTTTTTTTTTTTTTTTTTTTTCTTTCTTTTCTATAATTCTATAGTTCCATAATTCTTTTTCCTTTTTTTACCGCTTCCTCCCATATAAAGCTTGAACTTTTTCACTCCTCCTCCTTCTTCGCCTTTTCCTTTTTCAGTCCTCTAAAAGCTCAGTAATAAAACAATAGGCATGGCGTAGCATTTGTATAATTTAAATGTATAAATATTTTTATAATATATACATGTACATCTTTTTTTTTTTTTTTTTTTTTCTTCTCATTTCAAATAGTGACGCCCAGTGTTAAAGTTTTCCTTGAAACTTCTTTAAATCACGGATGATTTTTCTCATTTTTCTTTCGCAGGTTAGCAAATCTACATTTTGCGACAAAAAAAAAAAAAAAAACATCCAAGCTGGGTTCAGGTACGATGGAAAAAAAAAACAAAGAGATGGTACCCCCTCACCCTTGCGTCTTTTTCACGCCTTTCATCTCCTTTTATCCTTCCTCCCGCCCTCTTCACCCGTTTTTTTTTTTTTTTTTTATATATATATATATATTCCTCCCTGTTCTTCTGATGATTACCTAAACTGGTTCTGTTACCGAGCTCTTGTTCCATCTAGGAAAAAGATCGCGCTCTGATCACAGCCCATCTTTGTGGTTATTCCCTCATTAACAATTAATCTATACACAGCTATAAAGACCTTTTTTTTTTTTAAATCTTTATTTGACGGTTGTGGTTGTGGTTTATAGTTGCGAGCATATGGTTGGTACCACTTGTTTTTTTTTTTTTTTTTTTTTTTTTTTTTTTTGGTTATTTTTGTCAGAGTGGGGGGCTTCCTTAGGGCTTTGCTAGGATCATGGGTATCATGCACGTTGGACTTTGCAGCTCAATCATACAAACTCAAAAAAAAAATGCACATTCAATTAAAAAGTGGTCGTTTACAAAATCATATTCAATTATAATATAAATATATAAAATATTGTAAAAACAAAAAAAAAAAAAAAAAAAAAAAAAAAAAAAAAAAGCTCTGTTTCCATCTTTATCCAGATATAGCTTCTTCTGAAGCCAAAAAAAAAAAAAAAAAAAAAAAAAAATGCTTAGACAATAACAACTTGAAAGAGGAGTGAACAAAAGACCTCGAGTTGTTCTCTCTGATTGAGAGCACGGCGGTTTTTAATGGGATCCTCCCTTATTTTTCTTTTTTAAAAAAAAAAAAAAAAAAAAAAAAAAAGAACCGAGGCCTTTCTGGAGGATTCTAATATACAAGTTCACAATATCGGGATTGTGTATTTATAACATTTATATATATTTATACTTGTTATGGCCTTTAAAAAAAAAATAAAAAAAAAAAAGAAATTGTGGTGTCAACCACCTTTTTCATTCAGTAGATTTGCAAATCTTCTTCCTTCTTAATCTATTGCACTCATAAATGAATATTGCTCTTTGGTTTATAAGCCTGTTCACTTCGTATGTTTATCTCCTGAAACCTTTACGAAAGTAAAGAAAAAAAAAAAAAAAAAAAGCGATCAAGGCTTCGTGATCTGGCGAACGCGTTGCACAGCTTTTGTACGTGCTTGCACGTAAATTCGAACCCCTTTCGCTCCACGTGCTCACAAGCATTATCTGTTTTCGTGGCAGGACTTTGTACCGATTCCGAATATGGTTAGACTCTAGTCAATTACAAAGATTCTGTTGGGTAAAAAAAAAAGAACCCAAAATTGAATAAGGAAATCAGCATCCTCAATTGAGTTCATCTGTGTAACAGAAATCACACACCATCGTCAGCTTCAACTTTCGTGATCACTTTTCTCATGGACTTATTAAATACTATTATCTCTTTATTTCTTCTTGTGTTCTTGGTATATTTTACTTTACTGGGTATTTTTTCTTCTTCTTTTCTTTTCTTTTCTTTTCTTTTTTTTTTTTTTGTAAAAGGAGGTTTCTTTTATCATTCTTTGTTTGTTAAAACGTGAGAATCATACCGATGCTGCAGGAGCAACTTCCAACGCCTTCAATTGATTTTTAGTCATCCCTTCAGCTTGTTTTCCAGCCACTTGGTCCAGTGATTCAAACACAGAATCGGCCCATGCAGCTGAACTCGGCGTCAATGGTGATTCTACATTCTCTTCTTCCTCATCCACATCTTGCATATTCGGCAACACTATATGAATGGGCTGAACTGTCACAGGCGCTTTTTTGCCTGTCAGGACTCGTGGAGAGGGTGAAACACCGCTTCCTAAGAGGGACGTTTTTGAATTGTGCCTGCTTCTAGATCGTTCTGTCGTTGGCATCGTTCCTGGGATGGTTGCCTTGATTTTGAATAAATCGGGAATAGCAGATGAACGCATGATACGAGCTGCATGATGATCGTCTACCTCCAATGTGAAGCTGGCCATAGATTGAGTAATATTGGTCATGGAAAAATTGTAATCGAGTTGGTAAGGACTATTTTTCACGTGTCGAAACTGTGGATGCAGGTATTGCTGCTGTCCTGTAACAGTGCTGGGTTGAATCCGGTTGTCGTCATTGATCACCTTGAGGCTTCTGTCAACAATGTTCTCTTGTGACGCCGTATCATCATCCTCGATCGTTGATAATGGCAATGAAGAGATTTCTTTCCCTGTTGCAGCAGCTAGAATGGCCTGCTCACGAGCTTTGCGGGAACGGGGTGAATCTCTCTTGGAATCGCGTCTGTAGTGATGGCGTTGGCGCGACGACGATCGATGTTGGCGATCAGTGTAGCCAAGTCGAAGAGAATACATGATACTTTCTTCCAGCAAGTTGCGCCTCCAGACATGTGCCTGATAGTGTCCGATACTAGGATAGTCAGTTGGGCGCATATCATAGCTTGATGTAGCCGTACTGATCGTGTTGGACATTGAGATCGTTGGAGATTGTGCCCGAGGGACTTCTTCCTCCATGTGATCCGATGCTCTATCACGATCACGATCACGATCACGGCCATGATGACGGTCAAATAATATTTCGCCAGAGTTGCTTTGATGGCTTTTTTTGCTTCTGAGAGTTCTGTCACTGCTTTTACTGTCCCTGCGCCGTCCTTTTATATCATTGTTTGATTGATCCTGTGACAACTTATTATTTTTGCTGCGGTCGTCTAGACTGAAAAGATCCGAGAGGCGTTTTTTGGGCGAGTTTTGACGGGAGAGGGTACTATCCTTTGGTTGTGATTCAGTTATTATGGCAGCTGATTTATAATCTTGTAAGGAATTGTTGTTGTTGTGCAGGCTTGTCTCGCTTCCACTAGTCTCATCTCTATAGCTGCTCATACGACGCCCCAATTTAGTTGATGTCTTGAGGTAATTCCTCGTTGACTCAAAAATTTGCGACATTTTGATGTGTTATGATCAGAGTTGTAATGTGTAGAGATTTTGAAGAGATGGAGTGTGAAGAAGAAAAAAAAAAAAACAATCAGGGTTGAGTTTGGGACGTTGTTTATTTTGAGCACCGGCTCTTTTTTTTATTAATATGTGGTTCTTCGCGTGCGCAGGATTGAAATAAAAAGGAGGATGAGGTTGAGAAGGAGAAGGGGAAAGGGATTTGGCTGAGTAAGAGAGCCTCCTAGTCAAATATAGGAGGAAGGATGGAGAAGAGGAGGTCAATAAAGATAGGAGAGGAAGGCAAACAGGGACACTACGACAATGAGAAAGGTTAGAAAGGGATATGGATGAAGGTATGGTCTATGGGTTGGGGCAATAAAGGGGAGGCTAAAAAAAGTATAGATGGTAATTAAGAGACGAAAAGAGGAGGAAAAGAGAGAAAAGAAGAGTCTTGATCACCCCTTTTGAATGATGTTTTCTGATTGTGATCAAATTGAGCGTGGAGCGAAATGTGTATCAATGGTGGATTGTGGATTGGGGACAGATTGTTTGGGAGGATGGGACGGAAGAGTGGAAAAGAAAAAAAAAAAAAAAAAAAAAAAAAAAGTAAGGGGGTGGGGCTAAAGAAAAAAAACTGCAACGATACAAAGGTGGCAATCAGAGGCAAAAGGAGAAGAGAAGAGAAGAAAAAAGAAGAGTAGAGAAGAGACAAACTCAGAACAAATTGATGACACATGAGCGGTATGCGTGCGCTGGGTATGAATTACAATGGGAAACTATAAAAGATGGGAACATCAAACATCAATCGAGAAACACATGGCAACCCTGTGCTCTCATGTCATGTCAGGTCATGCTCACATTCCCATACCCTCTTTGTGTCTCTTGTCACTCATGCCTTCATATGAAGGTTACATGAAACCACTTCTTTCTGTCCTTTGTACCCACACATGCAAATGTTGTCCGTGCATTTTCCGTCATTTGAAAATTCGTGTTTGCACATCATAACAACCACATGTTGCGACAGTTGCAAACCGCAGAAAATATGGGTACTCGGTAATTGACCGCTTGCAATTCTTGCTACGACCCGGACACCAACATGCCCAATTTTCTTTCTTTTTGACTTTGCTATATTTTTCCTTCACCATATCTCTTTCTCTTGCTCCTCTGACAACTGCTCTGGCATCTCCGTTTATCGGCCTGCATGTTTTCCTGTTTTACTTCAATGATTATCAATGCTGTGTCTTGGCATTCGGTATGGACAAATCAAGCAGTTGGGAATATATTTTACGGACAATAAAAACATCTGTACTACCAACATGATCTCACAGGTGTAAATTAAAGAAGTCAATCAATCATCCAGCTGATTTTTTTTTCTCCTTTGCCCTGGAGCCGATTACATCAAGATGTTGCGTAGGGGGAAAGCCTGAATGAAAATGCTTGAGATGCGCACCACCTACCTTTGCTTGGCTCCCCAAGCAAAGTGTTTTTGTTGGGCAGAGAGCAGAATCGATATTTCATAATCATGGACACACTTTTGTGAGAGATTTACCCACATATTTTTATACACATGTCCACTGGCTGCATCTTGTGCAAGGTTGCAAGGGTGTCACAGCGCACATCGTTCGAATGGTTCTTTTAGAAAAGTAAGTCACACTTGTAGCCGTCGTGAGAATCACTCACACACCTTCCAGATCATTCGACAAATTCATGCGGCTGAACTGGCTGTCTTTTTTATTTATTTTTAATTCTCTTCTACTATCCGCTACATCAGTATTCATTCATTCGTTCATTTAAAACACACTTCAACTTTCAACAACTAAGAGATTTTACACGACTGCACCAATGTCAGCCATCAACTATTCCAAGTGGGATAATCTTGAGATTTCAGACGACTCGGACATTGAATGCCATCCCAATGTAAGCAAAATCCTATGGAGCATAGTCGCTTCAAAGCGCTATAAGGAAATATGCAGAGTTGAAAGGGATATAAAGATGTTTTTAAACAATAGTAGCGCGTAAGAGGGAGAGAAAGGCTAACAGCCCTTTGTGGCTCTGCTGTATAATGCATCATTAGGTTGATAAACGCTCCATGATCCGATGGAAGCAAGAACAGATCCATCGCGAGCGTGAGGCCCGTCGCACCAAAATCGTGGCCTTGAAGCACGAAGCAGAGACAATCAAGAAGCAACTTGACAGGATAGAGAAGAGCACTCAACAGGCAGAACTTGAGAAGAAATATAATGATACCATCCAGCAATTGGAGAAGCTTGAGGCTGTTGAAAATAAAAAGTTGACTTCAGACAAGCTCGTCACTGGTTTTGATAAGACAGTACGTCTAAAAAAAAAAAATCGCTATGATTTTGATACAAGCGGATGACATTGAACAGTTGAGAGCTAATACTTTTTTTTTTTTTTTTTTTTTTTTTACTAATTATTCTTTTTTAGGCGGTTAGCAAGCCTGTTCAAGTACCCAAAGAAGCTCAAAAGGCTCCTAAGAAGAAAGTTGTAGAAAAGACAAAAGTGATCGAGACTCTTAATCCTGGTAGTGCTGTAAGTATCGGAGTTGTTGTAAAAACGATATATAGATTATCATTACAGAAAATAATTGACGATTTTTTTTTTTTTTTGTTCTGTCTTAATATGTGCATGGGCTTGGTTCTAGGGAGGTGTTCCTGCAAAAGCAGGTTCTTCAAAAGCAGCAGCAGCTCAGGCAGCAGACTCGGATGATTCAGATGATGAAGTTGAGGTTACACAAGTAGCTCTCGAATTTTCGCGCATTAAAGGCTTTGATGCCTCATTAACCTTCATCTCGAAGCATCCATACATTGCTACTCAGGATTACTCTGATGAAATCATGGCTCAGGCATTCAAGGCTCAGATGGATGGTGATGAAACATATGCTAATAACTGTGTGCATCAGGCTCTTATTCTTCAATACTGCGCTCAACTCGGCAAAGATGGCGTTGGTCTCTTCTTCCACAGGTAAAGAGTTGGTCATGAAAGAGTATTTTTTTCTTTTTTTATGATACATTCCTAGAGCCTATTATAATAATATTATGCTAATATTTATTTATTTATTTATATAGAATTCGCGATCCCGTACACGGAGCGCTAAAGATTTTCCAAAATGACTGGAAAGATACTTACACAAGGATCAAGGAGCGCTGCAAGGTCCTCGCACAAGAACGTGCTGCAAACCAATCACCCGGAGTGGAGACCATCCAGCTCCAGGCCGCAGAGCCAGGAACACAGATACATATTACTGGACCACCCGCAGATGCAGACCCCAAAGTACATGAGATCTTTGCAGCATTGCCCGAGGATTTCCAGGAGGCAATTCTATCGGGATCGCTAGATAAGGTCAACAAATCGTTAGAGGGTATGAGTGTCCAGTTGGCGGAGGAAGTTGTGCGGGTATGCAACCAAGTTGGATTTTTGAGTATTGAAGGAGATATTATCGACACCATTAAAGGAGAGACGATTGCGGATCGTGAAGCACAGGTTGCTGCAGCGGCTGCAACAGCAGCTGAGGCAGAGAAATCTAATGAGGACTCCACATCCAAGGAGTAGGTCTGAAGTCAATTTTCCCCCTAAAATAAAAGTGATTTTGCTCCAAAATATGGAAATGTGACTGTGAATTATATAAGGAACATTGTTGTTTCTCCAAAAGGGAGAATGGGTTCTTTACTCTTATGTCTGTTTAGGTGAAACGACGAAACATATAAAAAGCAACGAGCTGCTGGATCGAATTTTTTGTTTTTGAACAATGAATTCCAAGGATGGGCATGGTACAGAAGCAGATTCAGAGAGGGTAAATAACCGAGGAAGCAGCACCACTGAGGAAAGCAGCAATCACACCCATGTTTCCACTGCTGCCGATGCTCATGACATTCTAGCCAACTTGAAAATCTCATTTCAAAAGGAAGCAGCGACAGCAGCAGCGGATCAACGCTCGTTAGGAGCAGAAAACCCTCTCTTGGCCCTCCTTACCCAAAACTCAGCAGAACGTGCTCGTATTGCAGAAGTTGGTCACCAACTTGGACCTGAGAACACAAGAGTACCACAGGTAATTGGAGACTTTGTAGGCTTGACAGGCTTACCTGGAACTACTTCAAGTGCCAGCAGAAGCCATGGAAGCATAGGTGGTGGCACTCCAGGCACTTATGGCGGCAGAAAGAGTAGCAGCGCTAGTAGTAGTAATAATGGTAGTGGGGAAGTAACGGGAGCAGCAAGTTTACATGAAGGACTGGAAAATATTCAACTAGGAGGTGAGGATGACGAACTTAATGAGTTAGACGTGGATGAGGACGACGGTAGCATTATCGAGAATGCAATAATAAATCTGGACAAAGGTCTGAATGTGCAAGCAGATGGGGGATTGCTTGAACGAGCCAGCGATACCATTAGTTCTGAGGCTCGATCAGCAGCGTCTGCTGTAGATCCGCGTCAGCTCATCGGAGCAATACAGGAAAGGTAAAACCTTTTTTTTTTTATCGAAGATTCGAGGGTAATTGATTTGTTGGTATAGACTATGAAGATGAAAAAGAAGAAAATAAAAGTTGACGAGAACAAACCACCCCTGTGTCCAATTTTTCACCACTGTTATTAGGACATCAGAATGGGACATCCTAAGTGATTTTCAACCAAGCATGGGCATGCTTGATGATGATGATGAATTGGATGAAAATGATCCAGCTATGGAGGAACTTGGTTTTGCTCTAGCTCCTAAATCTAAGCGCGAGAAGAAGAAGGCAAGGCGTTATTAGAAACCAAAAAAAAAAAAAAAAAAAAAAAAGAGTAGGTAGCAGGGTTAACTGATATCCTCCTTCCTCCTTCTAAATTTTAGATGCAGAAGAAAGGTGTTACGCCAGTATATCCGCCAGAGGTTCAAAAGCTTCTCGGTATGGCTAATACCGCCTACGTGAATAAGAATTACAAGGAAGCCGTTGACTTATTTCAGCAGGTTATTGTCACTCATCCTAGCGTGTTTCAGGCTTGGAACATTATGGGCGTCATTCAGGAGGAGCTGGGAAACACGGAAAAGGCGCTCCAACTATACCTTGTTGCGGCCCATTTAACGCCTAAAGACGCTGCCCTCTGGAAGAAGCTTGCGGTCATTTCCAAGTATGTAACATCACTTAAAAAGGCACATCTAGCTTTAAGGCAAGATCTTTCAGATTCTAATAAAAGGTTTAAAAAAAAAAAAAAAAAAAAAAAAAAAAAAACTCTTTTTATGTTTATAGAGACTGCGGGTATGATCAACAAGCACTCTACTGTTTCTCACGGGCGTACAGAGCAGATAAGGATGACATGGATGCCCTCTGGGACCGTTCCATTATGTACCAGATCCTGGATCAGCCATATAAAGCTATTGCAGGCCTTCAAAAGCTTCTCAAGGTCAGGCAGCACTACATGCCGGCATTGGAAGAGTTGGTTAAGATTTACAGTTCGCTTGATCAGGACAACAAGCGCTATCGGGAGTATATGCATCAAGCTATGGTTGACTACGAGGCTGCCTATCTACACTATTCTTCTCTCCCTGACCATTTTGCTAACGTTAATGGAGACCCCTTCGAAGTTTCAGACGAAGTTGAGCAACATGATATGGCTAATGAACCCTTTGGCTACTCTGCGCTAAATATGCTCAGTGAGCTTTACATTATGTTTGATGAGTACGAAAAGCCAATCAAGATGATCAAAACATGGTCGCGTCGATTGCAGCGACGGTCCCATCAGACTTGGTGGGATGATTATAAGGATGACCGCGAGTTTGACACTGACCCAGATGACGAGGAGCTGCAAGCATCCCTCGGCGAGAACAGGACACGAGGACTTCCTGTGGATCTACGTGTTAAACTTGGAATTTGTCGTCTTATGATGGAGGAGGTCAAGGAAGCAAAGGTAATGCCTTTCATTTTTAGCTTACTCCAATACGCACCACTAGAACATTGAGGCAATGTTATTGATTCATCAGCTGACCCCCTTTTTTTTGTAATGGGAATAGGCTCAATTCCGATATCTATGGAGATGTAGTGTTGAAGACTTCCCGGATTTATATGAGGAGATAGCTGAACTGTATGTGAACAAGCGGATGTGGAAAGAAGGATATAATGTTATCAGAGCAATGTTGCAATATGACGAGATGGATATTCCCAAGATTTGGATCATGGCTGGAGAATGCTTACGACATATGGACAGACTTAAGGATGCCAAAGATTACCTGGAACAAGGTATGTCTTTAGACTTTTTTTTTTTTTTTTTTTTTTTTTACTTATAACACGCTATAGTTGATAATGTTAAATTGCTATTGTTATTATTTTGTTCATTTGAATAGCACATCGCGCTGATCCTACGAATGTGGATGTTAGTATGATGCTAGCTGAGGTGTATGAAGAGATGGGAAATCTTCCACAGGCCTTGACTATGGTCAATTATGGTACACTGCGCAAATTCTTTCGTTTATTTTATTGTTTTATTTTAATTTATTTTGTCGTCTTGCTATTTGTCCGAGCCATGAATTCTAATCCGGGACTATCTTTCATGGGCATATATTCGACACTTAGTGAGGAAGGCAAATGCCGAGAAACAAGCAGATGCAGAACGGAAACGCAAGGAGGCACGACAGGTGAGGCAAAGCAAGAGTGGCGGAGCATCATCTTCCAGAGATGCACAAAATTCAGAAGGTTATGGACTGGCACCTCAGCCATACCTTGAAGCAAGTCATTATGATGGCAAATACCGACATATTGCACCTCGTCCAGGGTCTTCCTCCAGTACATGGCAGCTAGGATCCGATGCTGCTAGAGACGCCATGGAGCGTATCACAGAAGCAAGTCGGAGTAGAGCCGCTGCAGAGAGATACTCAAGCGCCGACAGAGATCGTGATATCCAGCTTGTTAGATCTATTCGTGAGCAAGAGCGTGCGGATAAGATTGCAGAGAAGGATGTGGAGCTTCATGACGTGATTGATAAGTTTAACAAGCTTGATTTGATCTACCAAAAAATTAGCCAGAAAGAAAAATCTAGATCCTGGCTGAACAAACATGAGGCCGTGAAAATAACACGAGAGGAGAGAATTCAATACATTCAAGCTGCTAGAGACCTGGTAAATGTGTTTCGAAGTAATCGAGCATTCTTTAACAGGGAGCGGAATAAGCCCTACACAGGTGTAGAATCGCGAGCTTGGAGATCTCGAAGAAACACTGCGGATGCCGACACAGTTCTTTCGGAACATGCAACCGAAATGGCAGACCGGCTGGCTAGAGCCATGGGTATTGCATCAGCTACACAAATGCCTAGGCAGGAACCCACTGAACAGTCAAATGTCAAGTCTCCAACGACGTTCAGAGAGGTATCATTCGATGTCTGGTACCTACTTATGATTCGACAGGGGGTCTATCTAACGTTCGAAGACCGATATGCAGAAGCACTTGATTTGCTGATGCTGATGTTCAGAGCGAACGTCTTTTATAGTGTTCCACGAAGACGGTCGGGTATCATGTTGGTTTTGCTTGCATGCGCAATGTGGGCAAAAGATCACGCCACAGTCATCAACGCAGGGCGATGGCTGACAATTTTTGGAGGTATGCGTCCGTTCGCTTTCAAGATCTATCAGGGAACGTTTACATCTGGACCACGCGACAACCATGAACACTTTGTGTGGGCTCAAAACATTACTCAGAAGTTCATGAAACGACATATCATACGAATGCGGTCTGCCGTCGGTAAGGGTTTGCAGCGTGGAATGCGCAAGTCATACACGCCCCATAGGAAACAACGAATTGTGACACAGAGGCGAAAGCGGAGTAGGAACTTCCTTTTGTCACAATCAACACAGCCATCGCAGTCATTGCCCAAGAAGAAACCAAGGTTGGATCTCACAGTAGCGGGTCATGATGACAATGGAATTTCGTTCCCTTGGAAGCTCAGTAGCAATATAGTATCAGCATCACATACGCCTTCACAACAGGAAAACCGCGTACAGGAGACACAAGAAACACAAGAGAACCAAGTTCAATCGGAAGCCCAGGAAACAGAAACTGCGACAAGTGCTACAGCAGGAATAAAATCCAGATCTTCGTTGCAGGGCGGAAGTACAGATAAAAATATTAGTACTCGGAATCCACGTGGAAGAGTGTCCTTCTCAGAGGCATCTAAGGGCGATGGTGGGATGTCTTCGCCTTCATTGCCATCCCACGGCAGGGACGGGCCTACAGCTGCAGCGATTGCTAGACGGAGAAAGCGGCAGCTGACAGAGGATGAAGGCGAAGAATTTGAAGAAAATGATCAAACCGGTGAAAAAAGCAATAAGCAAAACAGAAATGATGGACAAAATGAACAGGATGATACGGACCAAAACGAGCAGGATGATGACGATGACGACTATGATGTCAACGATGAACTATACAAGACGGAAGAGGAAGACGATAACGACAACGATGATAACGGTGAAACCGATTGGGAAAATGATGCAATCAAGTTTTCAAGGTCAAGAGCTAAGATGTACGGGAAGAACAAGCAAGCAGATGGTATCGACGACGACGACAACTACGAAAACGACGATAATGACGATAATGATGATTATGATGACGACAGCCCAGAGAGCAATGGTTTATCTCGTGGTCCCAAGAAAGGCCGTAGGTCCTCAGAAAGTCGAGAAGGAAGCTCAAGCACACAACATGATGGAGCTTCTAAGGCTAACTATGCAGGGATAAGAGTTCCACGAATGTTCACCAAGGAGAGTTATCCGCAATTCCATATCCATATGACCATGTTTTCGGGTTCCTTGTTAGCAGCATCACGAAGCCATGTGGGTAGTGCCGGTAAGTACATTATTGCTACTTAAATCATTACTCTACTTGTTTTTCAAGAGTTAAGGAGTAAAGTGATTTATTTATTTTTGTGTTTGAGCAGCCCAGTATGCCGAGTGTATGGACCATGCGCCGTTGAACCCGCTGATCCAGCTTTATCTTGCAAACCAAATGTTTTGTCTGGCGATGCAACGCACGACTCCAAATCGACAAATGGCGATGGCGCAAGGATTGGTGTTCTTTCAGAATTATTATCGTCTTCGCAGTTTGGGATACGGCACCTTAGCCTTTGCAGAAAGAGAGAGGGAGAGGCAGAGCAAAGGCCTACCTCCAACACCCTCGCCTATCGGGCCTGTACACTCGATCGTGGGCGTTGTAGGTAATAAAGGTACAACAAATTGGGAGGCACAGGCAGTAAAGGCATCAACCGAGGCTCTTGCTACATCGACATCTATATCTACAGCGTCATCCGTCACCATCTCCGAAGTCATGAACCCCTCAGTAGCTATTCCCACTACAGCTGATGGTGACGATGCTGCAACACCAGTTCAGACTGTAACATCGGTCATAACAAACTCGAATCTCTCTACTATGACGACCACCACTGTACCAGATTTAGAGGATCAACCTTTGAAACATTGTCAGCAGGAAGCAGAATACAATTTTGCTCGTGGATTCCATCAACTAGGACAGAATCACCTTGCGATGATCCACTATCGACGCGTCCTGGAGTTACCGTCTTGGAGGGAGGCTGAGCGTGAACAGGAGGAACAGCGCAAGAAACAGAACGAAGCTAAAAAGCAGGCCAAGCGACAAGCACGCTCAGAAGCTCGTGCGTCCATCCTTGAACAAAAGATGAAGCGCGCACAAGAGCGGCGAGAATCTAAGGATGCACAGAAAGCAGTGGTAGCGATTCAAAGAGGTGGTAGTGCTGATCAAGACGATAATAATGAAATGACAGAAGAAAATGACGATGAATTTGAATATGATCATATGGAAGAAGTCAATGACGACGATGACGACGACGATGACGACGACGACTTCCGAGCGAGCGCCGAGACAACACAGCAAGGGCCAGTATCAAGGCTTAAATTGCAAGATGAAGATGAAGATCCTACTGACTTGAAGCGTGAAGCGGCGTTCAACTTGGCCAAGATTTACATGCAGAGTGGCGCCATGGGCGAAGCCAATCTTTTGATTCGCAAATATTGTACATTTTGAACATAATAAGTAAATAAATAAATAAATAGCATTAATAAAATAGTCCTCCTACAAATCAGGAAAGGGATTGCAGATATGGCAACAAGTAGAATAATAACATATTGATATTTAAAATTATATATATTTGAATAGAGGCAATAATCTCGAAAGAGTTTTTTATTCATCGATCGTGTCTGATGGTAAAACTACTACAAGCGTATAAGAGTTATTAAGCTCCCTCAATATCCATGTCGAGGCGCCTAACCCAATCCAGATACCTTTCCGCACAATATCTCTGCTGTTCATCTTTGCCTTCATCTAATAGACTCAATCCTTCCTTCTGTTTCAATAGCTGATCCACAAACGCACCCTCAGTTGTTGGAGAAACTAGTAGATTGTGGTCGCTGTCTTGGTTTTTGCTTCCTTGGTTAGCATCTTTCATATTCTCTCCTAGTACAAATACAGGGGCGGTGTCTATTTCAGAAGAGTCTAGCCATCTTAATCCGTAATATACAAAGCGAAGATGATACCATAAAGACTCATGTCCTGGATAAATTCGAATCAAATTTCGAGTCCTCTTCAGTTCATATAACCAAAGATGGCATACCCATCTGAAACTTGCCATTTCATCCGCCATAGTTTGGTCCGCATCCCCATCATCCGATGCATTGAGAATGAAAGTAGCAACAGCAGAGGGTAAAACACTTCGAATGGCACTCCGCTGATGATTCATAACTGGCATAGAAGGTATCGTACTTGCTTTTGTTGTTGCTGCTTCCAAATTGAACCATTGGTCTCTTTTATGTTGCCTCTGTTGAAGTTCTTTCCTTGACCACTGTAATACGTAGTGTGAAGAGGAGGGTGATGAAGACAAAGGCGACGATGGTTGCTGGTGCCGCTGTCGCTCTGGTTCTTCTTGCTCTTCGCTTTGCGCTCTTTGCTGTAATACAATCCAATGTCCGCTCAATTGGATCATACATTGTTGCAAATGTTGCAGTGATGAGTGGTCTGAAACGTTCCGTTGCATATGAGCTCTCATCCGCTCTAATTCCTGTACTAGTGGCTCAAGTAAGCTATTTGGGTCATTGATAAGGTGACCACGACTATGCTTTGAAAAGCTGTCGTTGCTGTTGCTTTCATGTCCATGGCTATAGCCATGATTAAAACCGTACTTGAGACTTGCATTCCACCAATGACGACCTAATTGCTCAACTAGCCAATGTCTCATAGTCCAGGCATAGTAGCATTTAGGATACCGCTCTGCAGCCAACTGACAAATCTTTAACTGTCCTTCCACAATGCAAGGAGGTAATGGCGATGCCTCGTGGTCCTTGTAGATGTAGCAAAGTAACCATTTTCTATAACAGTCGAGAGAAAAAAGTTGAGTTTGCTTATTTTTTTTTATTCTGGTATTCTAATTTTTTTTTTTTTTTTTTTTTTTTTAGCTCTATACCTATGAAACCATGCTCCTGAGCTTTTACAATTCCTTGGGAATGTCAGGATCATGTTTAAGAACTCGAGTTCCTTTTGTGGATCCAAAAATCCTTCTTGGACAAGACGTTTTCTAATTAAAAGGAAAAAAATATTTTGATGATGCATTCAGTCATATTGAGGATATTGAAAGAAAATAAAGCTGGTCTATTTTTTTTTTTTTTTTTTTTTTTTACCGATTATTCATAACCATGAAAGAATCTGGGCAGAGGATCGTCAAGCATGATGTTGATTCAATAACTCGACGACGTCGTCCTATTTTTTTTTTAAAAAAAAAAAAAAAAAAAAAAATCAGATTTGACTAGCATCATAATAGTAAATTTAAGCTTGAAATGTTAATATTTATTATATACCTGGATCAGTCCACCATTCTTGCGATGACGATCCTACAGGATGTTTACACGCGTCCTTGAGCACCTCATATGAAGCATCGAGTAAAGGAACCCAACAAAAGATTGGAATCCCTAGTTTTGTCCCTTGTTCCTGAACAACAAATGGGTAATGTGGTGTGATTTTTTCTTCGGTTGTAGTTGTGGCAGCGATAGCAGTAGCCTCTCTCTCTCTTTCTATTCCCGTCTCTGTTGTGTCAGACTCGGGTAGGAATGGAAGAATACCAAGCTCATCTCTACATTAGACAAGAAGAGATGGGGAGAATCGCATGTGAATCAGATCTTACATGCACCGCACCAGCGACAGTTTTTTTTTTTTTTTTTTATTTTATTTTATTTTATTTTATTTTTTCTCCAAAAAGCAGATTACATATTATTTTTGTTTAAAATATTGACCAGTCGTTCGTAAAGAACAGTCTTTGTCAGTGAAGGGTCAAGATCAGTGATGGGAGTGTTGGCCAAAAGCACTTCTGTAGCCATGCTGAACAACAGATGTTAATTGAATAAGGAAAAGAGGCGTAGTAATGCAAACGTTGTTTTTTATTTGTGTCCAGGAAGCTTAGATGTACTGCGACATCCATCGAAAACCTGTAAATTAAAGAAAAGAAAGAAAGAAAGAAAGGAGCAAACACCATTAATACCATCTCTCTTTTTCTTTTTCTTTTTCTTCTTCTTCGTCTTTCTTTTCCTTTGCAAAGATTTCAGAACATGTGGTTACAGTTTTTGAAGCTTGATACTTACCCTCGCCATATCCTTGCCGTGCAACCACAGAACACATAAAGACTTCAATGGGACGAATGTTATTTAATGGGACAATGCCCTTGCCAGTTGTCTGAACCAATCCAAGAGCTGTGCGGAGTCCCTCTTCTGAGACAGCTCCGCGAGCATCGATCTTGTTCCCAAGGATCAAGAAAGGGATATGTTCCAACTGCTCCATGGCAAGGAGAGCCTGTATTTTTTTAATGGTAATAAGAAGAGTTTGAATATTCAGAAGAAATATAAAAATGACAAATGATATGTATATTAAAAACTCAAGTGTCAAAGTCCCAAGCGAATATCTTTGCAAGAACAAAAAAGAAAACAAATCCTTTACATCCAGCACAGCTTTGGATTCCGGGAAACGCTCATGGTCCATACTGTCTACCAAAAAGACAATGCCATCGACCTCGGCGAAATAATATTTCCAGATGCGGCGAGCTATGGAGAGAGGAAGGGTAACATGGAGTGAACATGTGTCAATAAAATAGAGTTGAATATTGGTCTACACCTGGCATCTAGTGTTTGGGGCACGATTGCGTTCCTTTTTCTCTTTTTAAAATAAATAAATAATTAAAACATCACCAGAAAACTAACAGAAATGAGCAAGTTTCTAGGCATACCTTGATAGTGCCCACCCAGATCGAAGGTTGTGAACTTGATATTGTCAATTGATAATTCCTCTGAGGCTAAGGAATATTAAGGTCAATAATGTTTTTTTTTTTTTTTTTTTTTCATCCTTCCCAAAAAACCAACTGAAAAGGTGAAGAAACAGTAATCCTTACTTGGATGAGCTGTAGGCGAGAGAGCGGCCAAACGATCGTTCTTCAGCATGTGGAGAAGGGTTGTCTTCCCTGCATTATCAAGACCAAGGAATAAGATCTTTGCGTTCTTATTAAGTAGACCTAGAAATAATAATGCACAACAAGTTTGGTTTAGTACATAAAACAATAAATAGGCCATTGGCATATTCAATGTGCACGGACGACGGAGAGGGGGAAAAAAGGGGAGATCCAAGGCCGAGTAAAGATTGAGATTAGCATATGGCGACTATTCCCTCTCTCTTTCTTCCTTTTTTTTTTTTTTTTTTTTTTTTTCTTAGATATCTGCGCCTGCAGTTTTAATGCTTGAAATGAAAGAAACGCTCTTTAATTTATTTTATATGAGAGATGGCCTTGAATGAAAGAAGGAAAAAATACAGACCCAGAGAAGAAAGAACGCTGCGAAACCAATCGATAATAAACATGATTATATGGATGTGGACGTGGATGTGGGTGTGGATGTGGACGCGGATGCGAGGATGAGTATATATATAAATCCGAAAAAAAAAGAGAGGAAAGGATAATCTATTAGCTGAGTGAGAAATGATGAAGAAAAATCGAAGAAAGAGAAAAATAAAGCGAATGAGTAGAGAAAGAGCCGAACTAATGCCTAAAAAGCAGTGAGCGTGCCATCCATACACAACAATAGCATTAAAACACGTTGAAAGTAAAGATAAAGTAGCGTTGGGCGAAGCATCAATAGCAACGTGTCAGTCGTGTGTCACAACAGTGCAAGATGCATTCGTACTTTGTGTACGTATACGTACATAGTTTACGCCACCATGCAAAGATAACGTAGGGGACCTTGAGCAACCTTACGTGTCTCCATTCAATACCAATAAATTCAAAGACGCGAGCATGACCGTGGCCAAGGTCGTAGCAATCATACAGTGCGTACAAAAGCCAGAAGGCGGCGTGAGTGGTAGGCTAACAACAAATCCTTACCATTACTCACCATGTCTAATCAAATTTAATGTCCTAAATAATCCAGGACTGCGGTTTCAGCGACATGTCGTAGGGCTTTTTTTATGTTGGTTTAGTTCATATAGTGTTAGTATAAAGAGCCTTTAGAGTTGCAACTTTGCTTTTTCACTTTTCAAATAATCTTCTATATTTATTCATTGGAAGAATATAATTCAAACCATCTAAATGGGAAACAGAAAGCCGTATCAAATACTCATTACATTAGATTGAGGAATGAAGATGACTTTTGCAAAAAGATGAATAAGAAAATGGAATCCTAAGCTACTTCATGCCGATAAATTAATATTTGTCGCTGTCAGACCTAATGTCTCTAAGATTTTGGCGACTTGAGGATCCGATTGCTGTGCTGGATGTCCTGGGTCAAGAATACTCATGAACCCCGATCCATCTTCGTTCTCATTCCCGTCTCTCACAATTTTGACACTCCCAGGAGATGTCAATTCATTCAATGTCGAATAATCCTCACTAACCCTTCTAATGACCGAAGATGAAACAGCGCCCAAAACAGATGTGCCTGCCGTCGAAACGGCGGTCCCTGCAGAATGGGAGGTCCAAGAATTAGTGGACCCACCTGATGGCGAGCGCTGCCTTGTAGGCACATAGCTCGACGCTGGCTTTGAGTTCATTGATACAACAGAAGAGGCTGATGACGTGGCTGCGGATAGTTCAGTTGGCGGACCTGCTATCGGCGCTGTTGGCCGATAAAAGCCCTTGTTTACAGGCGGGAGTGGCTCCTTTTCAGGACCCAATGTCGAAGAGGCAACGGAAGGCGAAGGCGAGGGCTTAAATAGCTGATTTGACGACAAGGGATCAACCACAGACTTGAACCTTGCGCTACTCTTTCGAATCACCTCGGAGACACTGGCACTTAATGGATCCAGATGGTTTGTAAGCATGTCGTTGATAAAAGGATGATTGTTTGCATTGATAGAGTGTCCGAATCCGTTAGCGTTATTAGAGTTAGCCGCTGCCGCTGCCTCTAGAGCTGCTGTTGCTGTGAGGGCGCTCTTGGCACCAATGCCCCGTCCTGATGCCTTGATTGACTCTGACTGCAAAGCTGTGGTAGTAGGCTTCCCACCCTGTTCACTCCCGCTGTCTGCAGTTTCATAAGGGACTGTAGATGTCAAAGAGAGGGAGGTGAATGAGGATTTAGAAGAGGGGGCTGACGAAGGCCATGTGAAATCCGCATTGACCGGTTCAGCTAAAGGCGACGGTGTCAATCCTGTCACCCCTCCTGTTTCTTTTGGCGCCAACGTGGGGGATTCAAGAGTAGTAAGGGGGGTCCCATTGCCTTGCGCAGTCGTAGTTGTGGTGGCCGTGGTCGCTAATGCCTTCTGCAGGCCTTTGTGCGCCGATACAACATTTCCTGAGGAAGAAGTTGGTGTTGTATGCCCTCCTCCACTTAGCAAGTCACTGGATCTTCGTTCGATTTGTGCCGGCAGAGTTGGAGCCATGTTTAAAGCAGGGATAGATGCTAACAGAGGCGTTGAGTTCCTAGAATCTTCAAAAGACTTGGTAATAGATATTGAGGGCGATCCTTTGTCCGCTAGCAAATTAACAGAGTTGGCCTCAACAGATGTTGTGTCGACCGTGGGTTGCAGAGGAGCTCCAGCTATTAAAGCTCTCGCCATGAGCCCATGGTTTGTTGTAACTCCAAACGTAGCAGGATTTGGACTTGCACTAGGGCCTGCCGGTGTAACTGCTTTCCGCGACAGAACCTGTCGACACTGAATCAAGATGTGTAACCACTTTATATACCGAACCACCATTGCTTCCAAGCGCTGGGTCCCACTCAGACGACTTTGTGGAGGCTGAAGAGGTGCATCCTGACGGTCGGATTGTGGTGGTCGTGGTTCTGACGAACCCCGGATCATTGAGCTGATCTTGCTTCGAGTCCTGGACCTGGATCTGAATCTCTCCTTGAAAGAGATAGGTCCATTGGAACTGCTGCTTACTGGCGGTTGGTTTTGATGTTGACCATTTATATACTCTTCATTTTTCCAGGTCCTTCCTCTTGTATCTGTCTTTTCATGTCTTATATTTGTGTATTCAGGGTCAAGGCTAAAGAGGGTCGCCAACTCTGGCGTAGGGTCTATATCAGGCTCATTGTCGAGGTCCTTGTCCGGTCCATAGATTACAGATGACTCTGCGATGATGTTCACAATCTGCTTATCGATACCCACTAGTTGGTATGAAAGATACCAAGAATATAAGCGCATATTAACACGATATATATCATGATCAAGTAAGATACACTTTAAAGTGAAAATACTAACATATACCGCTTACACTTTGACTCTGTCATCGCTCGTTCGATACGTCCTGTCAGAATACCTAATGGCTGAGGAAATAGTGAAGCTGTTCCAGCTCCATCGCCTCCTTGCTTGAGACTAGCCCTCTGTTTTTTGCGCTCCAGCCTTCTAATGCCCTTTTGGACTCTTACTCGAAACTGTGCTTCTGCCGAAGCTAGCCGCTGCATATCGACCTCCCCCAAGTGACTCTCGGCTGACTGTTGAGATGCAGCGGCGTTTTGAGCTTGATTATTCTCTTCTTTTATAGTTGATGCATTAGTAGCGGTATTGTTGGATACACCTTTTGTAAACACAAACTCCATCAATAATTCTGCGGCCATATGGATGGTAATGATCCGGAACCGGTGTGCTCCAGACTCTGGCTGCCCACAGATAATGTTCATTAATCGATTAATCAAATCTTCACGGTTCTGGATAATAGGCTCAACTCGCATGCTGACCGATTCCTGGTCAGGGGCAATCTCGTCATGTTGCTGCGGTTGACACTGAAGTGGTCCTTGAGATACATGCCTAGGCGGTAAGGGAGGTGGTATCGACGGAGGCAATACCGTCCGATCATTCTTCAGCTTGTCTTCATTATCGCTTTCTTCATCTGCTGATGGGTATATTTCCGTTGCTTCTCGGTTGCATTTGGGGGTATGTATAGGACGGAGTTCTTGTCCCATTTCATGCTCATCACTAGCGCCTCCTTCCGATTGTTCAGACACAGAAACAACTGTGTGTCCAGCTGAAGAAGGCATGATTGGCGCTAGTAGACTAGATATCTTACTATTGTTATTTCCTTTTTTGATGCCCTCAAAAGTTGCCGGTTTAGGACCCAAGTCACCTTTGTTGAATCCATATTGATCCGAAGAATGATTCTGTGAAGTAGTTAGAGATGGCCGTCGGTTAACCAAAGTTGCTACTGAAGTCCCCGCGGATGATGGCATGCTGCTTGATAAGCTCTTAGAGCCATCTTCAGTACGTGAATAAGAGACTGGGCTGGCTGAAGAGATGGGAAGCGGTGGTGGTGCCAGCTCTGTATCGGATGCCAAAAGCTCTTCTGCCTCTTGTGACTCCTTGTCTTTCTCCTCAGTTTCGAAAAGTGGCGAATCGATCTTTGTACGCATTCTGGCGATTTGGGCCACAGCTCCTGTGACTCCAAACAAGCTACTGCTATTGCTCCCAATACCAACGCCAGTACTGCCGCCGCCAGCTCCTAACGACGGGGAACTCCATGTACCTGGAAGTGAATCTGCTCCCTTTGTGTCGTTATTACTGAGGATAGAATCGCCTGAACGTCCACGGGACATGGCAGTACCAGTAGTGCCCTGAACAAAGTTTTTCGGAGAAGTGGATGAGGACATCAAGTTCCCCTAATGGTCCCGAAATTGAAATCCATTAAAAGTTAATTGTCTGTCTTTATAACGCATTGTTTTTTTTCTTTTTTTCTTTGGTGGCAAATACTTTATAAAAATATAAGTATTCTATACCATTAGCATTCGACTCTTGAGCAAACGTTGTGGATAGATATCGGTCCCAAGTAATGCATCCGATATAACACCTGGATTCCGTCCTACGAGATATAATAATGTCATTGCCGGCAAGACCAGCTGGTCGTCTTGAACTTGACTCAGATACCCATATAGTGTTGCTTTATATGGATTCTGACTGCTATATTGGCTTTTAGCATTTCTTTCATTTCTCTCTTGATTTTGTTGACGGCACTGCGGCTGTTGCTGGTCCTGCCGCTTTTCTTCTTGCTGTTGATATGATATGGATGCGAAGGAAGGTAGCTGTGCAGAGGCCGACTGAGGTGATAGAGGACGTAGCAGGTCAAAGCGTGCAGGCGAGAATGTATTGCTAAATAACCCAGAGTGGGGACTGTGCGGTGGATCCGGACTTCCAGGACTTGCAAGGCCTGGCCCCAGCAAACCAAATGAATGAAATTTGGAAGTCACAGGGCTGGCAGGCCGACTGGTTTCAGGAGAAACAGCTTGGGCGCCCATCATAAGAGGTGAAGGTGATTGACGGCGGTGCGAAGGAGCATAACTATGTGAGTGTTGCAAATGTGATGATAAATAGTGCTGGTTTGAGAACAAAGTTGATGTGAGTGCTGATACAAGCGGCGGGTATTTTAGGACATGGAATGCGTGTAGCATTAGTGACAACGCGACAAGCGGCATTAATTTGGACGACTAGGATACCAAAGTAGAAATTTCATAAACGGGCTCATATTAAAATCATTCTGAGACAGCGAAATGATGCATGGTACAGTATCATCCATTCCTTCGAGCTCTGCATACCGATGATGATTTGCTAGCGTTGGGTACATAGGTACCCGCGGGTAAAAGACTATCAAGATACATGGGTCTCAGCAATCGATTCAGCAGATGTGAAATCAAAATTTTGTTGATCTTGGGGACGTCCAATTCAATAATGTCGTTCACATAATAAAAACAATCCATGTGCTCTGCCAGGTAATAGTTGATCCGCGAAGATTCGCCTTCCCTAATCAGACAGCATAGGGATCAAAATATGAGTGCGATTGACTTCATCTCAATCCAGATACGTGTGGAAAATTTTGGCTATTCTTCCAAAATTCTCAATGGGCTTGTATATTACCCTGAATGTAGCAGCATATCATTGATAGTTGTTCCATAGTTGCCAATGAACCAAACCAGATTCGAAAAATAGGTAGTGGTTGTCCTGTCTAGAATAAAATCCTGCATCTGTTGGTCGTTTACACTATAGACATTTAGAGTTATAACGCGTACAGCGATCCTGATCATGCTTTCTTCGTGATTAAAAAATTTGATGGCTTCCGAGTATCTATTAGTGAAGTAAAAGGTTCAGAGAGGGGAGAAAACTGACTTTATAAGTATAGAAGCATAAATAATCCCCCCTTGATCTCGTGATCACTTTTTCAGTATAGGATAAAAACGTACAGTGGGAAATCATCCAAGTGCTCGTTAAAGAAAAAGTAAATAGTGTCTTTGGATAGTTTGAATGAGAGTGTCCTGAGTAAGTAGATGTAATAAGCAAGGATTTCATCATTGGAAAAGTCATATTTTAAAGATATGATCTTGTTGACATAGTTATTTGACAGTAGGAAATCTAGGTAAATAAACCGAAGGCAAGAATAAGTATGTATCGCGACCAAGGTATAAAAAAGACATTTATTACTAAACTCACAGAGTGATTCCCTTGACCGGACATTTTCAAACATAATGTTGAGTGTTTGTAGCACCTGAACGATCAGCGACCCATCATTTTTACTTTCTAGAATCTCGAGAAACGTTGCTTGTATATTCTCCTCGAAAAAATGGCTAAAAAAAGATACAAACATAGCTCAGTCAACTTTGCATCTTGTGCGTGTTATCAAATTTATCTTGAAAGTCTTTTGTTGAGAATTCTTTGATTCAAAAAAAAAAAAAAAAAAAAAAAAAAAGCTTTGTTGCTGCAAAAGGGCAACAATAAAGAACTTACTCTAGAAGGCTTGGGTCGTGCTGATCGCCCCAGATCAAAAGCTGGGTCAGTTCCTTTAGACAACTAATAATGTTCTCTTCGTTAGCATCTCCTGGGAAATGTTGAAGCTTCTGGCAGAGTGCTCTAACGATAATCCGCATTTATAAATTATGAGAAGTAATACGGTTACTATCAAAGGTATTTGGTACTCATATTATAGGCATAAAAGCAGATATCCAGCCAATCGTATGACGAATGGAGGCATGGAACGTTTGCTGGCCCATTGCAGTCTGCAGTGAAAAATTAGGAGGCAAGAGATCTGAACCATAGAAATCTGTTGTCGATATTCTTTTAATACATTCATACCGTCTCTGATTTTCTTTATCAAGAGGACATGACAGACATGTAACAGTCTTCCAATGTTACAGATACTACAAGGAAAGGGGGAAAACGTATTGATTGATACAGGTGATGGCCACATATGTAAGAAATGCAGGCGGGAATGATAATCTTTTTGTCAATCTGACTGGATGACCATGAAGATAGAGCAATAGGATGAAGCTGGAGCAATGATGGTAAGATATTACGGCAACATGAAAGTAAGTCATGCAGTGCATGAGTCGTTCAAGGGGGAGGAACCAACATGCCATGTGTATAATTTATTTTCGGACAGTTGAGCACTTTCAGATGGCTTTGGACGAAGCCAAAAGACATTTCGGATTTTGATAGATATGCAACTGAACTCAAGACTTGATCATTGCTGCAATGAATCTTTATCTAAATGTATTTATGTGATAGTGACATACTTTAGATTCTCGAGGCTGAAACGTTCAGGCTTGGGCTTATTCCACAGTAAGTTGAACATTTGAATAAGGTGGGTGTGATATAAGGGTTGAAGGCTGACAATTAAAAACTCAGAGTTGAACGAGAAGATAGTAGAACGAATAATGTGTATAATGTAAAATGCATGGAGAACAGAGCAGTTGGACAAGGTCAAGGACGCGTTTGCTAAGTAGAAGACGCAAGCGCCTGTTTTAAAAAAGAGCTGTGTGGAGATGAATAAGAATACAAATTGATAGCATTACAAGAAGATTAGATAGGAAAAGATAGAAATGGATGAAGAGAAAGCAATGGAAAGGTTGAAATTCATGGGATAGGAATGCAATGAAGTGAGAGAGGTTAAGTATGCATGCTCCAGGTCTCTTCATGCTGACTCTTTTTAATGCATGTCATTTAGTGGGAGCTGATCCCGTGCTTTTTTTTTTTTTTTTTTTTTTTTTTTTGAGGGCTTGGGCCATCATCACATTAGAAAGGCAGGGGAAAAGGGGAGTTAAATGAAGTATGCAGACCATGGCATGCATCCCCTGCGCCATTCTTTTTCTCCTCTTCCTTCTCTTCTTCACTTTCCTCACATTCATTGGCAGGTCATCATCGTATTCCTTTCTCCATATCATTCTCATCCACGTGCAAAGTGCATTGTGAACAGCATTAAGAGCTCATTGTCACACACACATTGCATTTTATATTTTTTCTTTTAAGTTTCATTGACCAGGCGAGCTTTGGCTTCACATTTTCAATATACTTTTTCTAATTCAATCCTTTTGTCTCATCCGTACATCATTTAATCATTGACAACATTAATTGCCCACATATAAAAGAAAAAGAAAAGTCTCAAGAATAAGACCTGTCTCAATCTGAGCATATCGCTTCTTGTGTGTCTCTAAATCCATACACGCCACCAACTAACCAAACACAGCAAAACAAAAAGGGATCACCCATTCTTCATTCTATTTGCTTTGCATCGTCAGCTAAACCCACTTATCATGTCAACCGCCAATCCTCCCTCTGCTCCCTTCATCCCTACAAGCAGACTATTAACTCAGGATTTTTTTCCAGGCGACCATGCAGCATCTCACGGATGCCCCCACATAAAACCCTTCAAGAAGAGCGCAGATATTGTGGCCAATTACCAGATTCTAGTGCGATACAGCCTTCACTATAAGAATCGTCATGCTCTCGGCGTTCTTACTTCTTCGAAGGACAAAAAGCGTCCAAGGAACTCCGAGGTAAGCCTGATCTCTTTTATTTTGGTTGAGAGGGTTCTTGCCTGCTAAGCTTACACTTTTGGTCACTATTGTGATCCGTTGCTTTGTCTTTTTACCCCTGAGAATGAAATGAAACATCTAAGTGCATCAACGTCTCATCTCGATCATGTCATATCATACCCAAAAAGAAAAAAGAAAAAAAATAATATAGGAGGACACCTGGTTCCTTCGAATTTACTATTCCTATTCCATCGTTGGATCATATTTACTAACGCTTATTGATCTAACAATCTACCTTAACAACAGGATAGCGTGCCGAATGGGAAAGCAATTCAACAGCTGCCTACGCCCGCTTGCCTCACATGTGATACCATTCTAGGAAGAATCCATGCTTGCCTGCATTGTGTATTCGTCGGGTGCTGGAAGGGCGAGCATTCTCAAAAGCATTCAAAGGACTCGGGACACACATTCTGTATGCTTATACATTGCATTAAGTTACTTTATCATCCTTAATACATTTCAAACTATACTCATATATTCTTAAACCCGCGTTGTAGCTATGGAAGTCAGTCGATGTGGTCTGTACTGCAATCACTGCAAGGATTTCATCTACGATCGTGATTTCGAAGGAGTTTATAATTCTGAACTTATAAGGACTTCTGAAATCATTTCTATGGTGCAAGGTAAAGCCCAGATCTGACTCCGTATCTGGAATATTTGAATGTATAATATCCTATACTGGCACTAATTTTGTAAATACTTTGTTTTGGGACTATGAATCATTGTATCAAGCAGAGCCAGGTCAGAAGCGACCAAGATATCTTAAGTGGCATGCCGGCAATAAAGAGGCTGCTGCGATCAAGTCTGGCACAAAACTGAAGCCATGTCAAGGCAAGGAATAAATCAAAATGTACAGATATTTGGTTGAAAAGAACATATTCAAGCTCATTCTCATCTCTTCCATGTTTGTGATTCTGACTTGCTTTAGGACTCCGTGGCCTTCGCAACATGGGTTCAACCTGTTTCATGAACGTGATTTTGCAGTGTTTTATCCACAACCCACTGCTTCGAAGCTACTTTTTGAGTGATCAGCATAGTTCTAAGCGCTGCGAGGTCAAAGCAGATTGTATGGGATGCGAAATGGACCAGCTCTTCACACAATTTTATTCAGGTGTAAAGGCGCCCTATGGTCCTTGCAGTTTCCTTCATACAATGTGGATGTCCTCATCGGATCTCGCAGGATATGCTCAACAGGACGCTCATGAGTTCTTTATCAGTGCGCTTAACCAAATCCATGCAAAATCGCCTAGTAAGTAATCACTACTGACATGGAAACGTTGAGTCTTGTGTTTATGTTTATATTTATTGTCATGGGATATACTCTTAATGAACTGGAATCTGAGGACATAATGTTTATCATTCGCATAAAACTAGGCGCCAAGTTACACCACTGCAACTGCGTGATCCACAAGACATTTGCAGGACTTCTGCAGTCAGACGTCACATGCATGAATTGTGCGAATGTAACCACAGCTTTTGATCCTATCTTGGATATCTCTCTGGATCTTCGGCCTACGAAGCGGAGCAAATCTAACGGCAATAAGGTTCGCGGAGGGAATGATGAGAAGAATGAAGGGCCAAACTCTTTAGCTGACTGTCTCGACAGGTAACTTTTATGGCCCTTGTCTGCTCCTATTGAAGGAATAGTACTAAAAGGAGACCATAGCTGAGATTAACCGATAGCTTTACTATCGAACAGGTATACGCATCCAGAGAAATTGGGCACAAACGAGTATAATTGCAGCAAATGTGGGAAGAATGGCCAGGACGCCACCAAGCAGCTCTCGATTAAAGTGGTGCCTCCTGTCTTGAGTTTCCAGTTGAAACGGTTTGAACACTCTATGGGCGCCTCCAAGATTGAGACAAAGATTAAATTCCCTGCACAGCTTGATATGACGCAATATACGGCTGCTGCTCGTAAACTCAAAAAGAACAAGCTCTCAGCGTTGCAAAAGGCCAACGGAGTTTCAGGACCAGAGAGCTCTGGAAATGGAATAATTGGGTCGACAGCATCGTCAATGAGCATGAACAACGGATTACTTGATCCGATCCCAACATATGTATATAATCTCTTTGCAGTGATCAATCATCAAGGAAAGATGGACACAGGACACTATACTGCATTTGCGAAACATCGAGGCGAGGTAAAGGATGTGTATTTAAATGGCTAAAGAACAATGAGCTTTTTATGCGTTGTATCTAAACTTTTTTTTTTTTTTTTTTTTTTTCTTGAAATATATATTTTACTTTGAACATTAGTGGTTCTCACTTGATGATCATAAAGTATCTCTGGCAAGCCAAAAAGAGGTTCTGGATAGCAAGGCGTAAGTATCGGACCAATCGCGTATGAAATAGTTTGTCTCAGACTAGAATGAAGAGACAGGCTTGGAGCTAACGCACGTAAACATCTTTTATTTACCAGGTATATGCTATTCTACGTTAAGCAAACATTGGACTATGACTTTGCCAATGCATTGAAAGACTAGTTAAATTATGATAGGAGCAACTGCAGAAAAAAAGGAAAGAAAATAAGCTTTTGGAATAAGTGTGGAAAAATCACCACATTCTCTTTCCCCACATTGTCTGTGCACATAATTGTAAAAAGGGAAATTTATGTTTTTTTGGTGTCTTGGTATCACTACGACAGATAAACAAAACAAAGGACAAGGGAAAAAGGAGCTGCATGTATCCCTTTACCTGAACCTAATCTGATGATCGCTTTTAAAGTTTAACATGATGTTCGTCCCTATTTTCCTTTTCCAAGGCATATTTTAAACCAGTGTGGAAGCAAGCGGATACCATAGTTTTTTTTTTTTTTTTTTTCTTTTTTTTTTGCAGATATACTAGTATATCATATGATTAAACAATACATCTTTTTCATCATGGACACACAAATAAGTGGTGCAAACGAGTGATGAGGTTGGTGAAAAAGAGTGCTGAATAAAAATCAGCGAAACACACAATTGCAGGAAACGGTCAAACTAGTCGTTGATGGCCATGAAGGTTGAGCAGGGGGATGCATTTACCTCAGCATTAGCAGGAGCAGGAGCGGAAGGAGGAGTAAATAGTAACTGTGAGAGAATCGGGTTCGCCGAAAAGGACCATGGCACATACGACGATACCAGGCCGGTTACGACAACAGCATCAGAATCTATTTCATTCCAAAAAGGACTCTAGCTGCAGCTTGGATAGGAGTAGCGACAGCAGTAATGACAACAACAATGGCAATGGAAGCCTAGTCAGGGCGGAAAGCCCATAAACGTACTTATTCAAGGGATGTCTTCATCAACAGCCAAAAGCAAGTCTTTTCCCGTTGTCAATGCTGTTAATGCTACTAGTGTTACCAATTGCTGCTGAAGCTACTATTGATGCAGATTCTGTTACTGCTTTTGCTATTATTACTGTTTCTATAACTGTTCCTATAAGTATAACTGTCCCTAAAATTCCTGCAACGTTCAAAACAATCCAAATAAGCATCCATGCTGTTGCGGGGTTTTGCCGGACTCTTACCAAGGCACAAGGGCCACACTGTGACCAGGACGAACTGAACGTCAAAAGTGGGGATATTCGCCAAGAAGGAAAAAATTAATGAGACGTTTAAAGATCTTGATCTCTTTGTTTATTTTCCTATTTTCACAACGCAATGCAATGCAATGCAATGCAAAAAAAAAAAAAAAAAAAAAAAAAAAAAAAAAAGAGCTTTCAGGTGATTCTTAGTCATGCTCACCCATTCGCTTCTAACATGGTCGCGATTAGGGAGCTATAGTAAGAAACGAAATATGAAGATAAAGTATAAACAAAAAATATGCAAAAAAAAGCCCATTAGGGATAAAAAGGGAAATAAAGGCACAAAAAGATGGAAAAGGGAGTTAAAATACGCGCGATCGCACAACCAAATAAGAATTTGACAATGGACAGATCATTTTTGCATCAGGCGAGTACCTGAATAGACATTGAGTATCCATCTAATGAGTTGGTGTACACTGACTTCCGAGAGGAGAGTGGAAGCCATGTTAAGGGAGGGGGGGGGAGAATATTTAACACTCCCATAGTTGCTTTTACTCGCTCAACCGCGACGCGTATGGGAAATAATAGTAATAAACAAAAAATATACACATATATATATAAAAAGAAATATGTATACCCCACAAAATCATGCAGAAATGGATCGGCAAAAACAGATGGCGTGTCCGCAGGATAGACACCAAAACTAAACCAGGAATTATCGGAGTAAGGGATGCATCAATGGCTGTGAGCAGAAGGACCCAAGAAAGGAGCAGGAGTTTTTTGTGGTTTTGATAGAGGGGCGATTTTTTTTTTTTTTTTTATTTTATTCCTAGGATTATCTCATCCAGAATAAAAAGGGAGTGAAGTATACTGGGCCGCGCGCATTTTATCTTTTTTATCTTTAGCACTTTCTAGCTCTCTCATGCATACATATACACACAGACTCCCTCTTTTCTTTTTTATTCTCATCTCTTTACTCAACATCCATTGGCATCATTGTTAATCGCATTGTCATCGCCGGGTATGCTCACCGGGTTTTGAAATGCTATCCCTTCAAACCTCTGATTTTATCTCCTCATCTCGCAGTAAGAGCAAGCAAAAATAAAAAATAAAAAATAAAGCAAAGAAGAAATAAACAAAAGTAGAAAAACAAGCATAAAACTTCCGAAAGACTACAAAGAAAAAAAAGAGAGAGCGAGAGAAGAGAAAGAAAACAGAAAAGGAAAAGAAAGAGACGTGCAAGTACAAAGGGAAGAAAAGAATAAAAGGAGGTAGGAAGGAAATGAAGAAGAATGGGGTTTTGGGTCATACACTTTTTTAACGGAAGAAAGGTGCAAGGAAACTCTATAGATGAAAAGATTTGCAGATTTGTGAAAGCACTAAAGCGCTAAAGCACTAAAGCACTAAAGCACAAAAGAAATCAACAAAAAAAAAAAAAAAAAAAAAAAGAGGGGGGAAGAAAGGAAAATGGGCTCGATTTTTTTTTTTTTTTTTTTTTTTAATGCAGAAACCACAGCATCCCAAGCATCCAAGGAATTGACCTTCTTCTGACTACTGATCTTCAGAACATCAGTCCTGTGGCGATCCTTATTTCTACATCAGCCTTATTTCACTTTCAAGTTCTTTCTTTTTTCATTTTTCATTTTCATTTCGAAGTTTGAATTTTAAATTTTTCATTTTATTTCCTCACATTAATCTTCTCTTTTTTCCCCTCCTATCTTCTTCCGTCTTCTCCTTCTCTCTTCTCCTCATTTCTAGTATATATCTAACCATCATCACCTTAATCATCATCATCTCTTTTCTTCTTCTTCTTCTTCTTTTTTTTTTTTGCATTTGTTAAATTATTCATTATATTCCAAACATCATCAATAATAATTATAGGTTCAGCAACTACAAAAGTATCATTTACGGCCCCCACTTCGGACATCGCTGCTGTCACCCTTTCAATTCCCATTTCTCCCGATTGTACCATCAGCTTTTTAACGACCACCACAACTGCCGCCAACATCACCAACATCCACCCAGGCTCATCTTTGTCAAGTTTCAGTCAGCAAGGTCAATAACTATCAGAACCGAACTCTCGACACCTGCGCTATCATATTGACGGGTCATCCAAGTATTAACCACAATTATAGTAGCAACAGCAGAAACAACAAACGCAACGCCTCCTACTCATTTAATCACCAGCCAAGCCAAAGCAGCTCCAACAAGAATCGTCTTCATCCTCGTCAAATTAACCACAACCACAACACTAGATTTCTGTTAGACCAAGAAACCACGCGAACTTGGAGCGGCCTAATCGCATCTATTCGCCAACCTCCATACCTTATTTTGATAACAGGACCATCCGTGCATTCTATCTTCATCACTTTTGTCTTTCTCATTAGTTGCATTTTCAGTGAGTGAACCTCCCCCCTTTGCAGATACACACAGAGCAAGAGCAGCAGCAGGAACAGCACAAGTAACAAGATCAAAGCCAGTTACCACACGTAGCAGAAGGCCCAAGCTCAAACTTAATAGCCATCCTACAAAGGCGACAACAAAGCGTCGATAATCCATCCTAGCGTTCTTCAAAAGCTCACACGAGAGCCTTCATAAAAAGCAAGCCAAAATTTCTCGAATTCACACTTACTCTCAGGGAACTTCTCTAAATCCTTTAACCACATCAACCAATATGCCTCAGAAATTGTCTATTGTTGTCGTTGGAGACGGCGCTGTCGGCAAATCAGCCCTGACATTGCGTTTTCTGAGAGACCAGTAAGTTTTTTTCTTTTTTTTTTTTTTTTTTTTTTTTTTTTATAAAAAAAAAAAATAAAACATCATTCTTGCTGTATTGATTGCTATGATATTATTATGAACCATAGAATTATAGACCCTAAAAACACTTTTTTTTTTTTTTTTTTTTTTTTTTTTTCTCCCCTGTCGATTAAACATTTTCTTCACACTATAGATTCCATGACGAATATGATCCTACGATCGAAGACTCATACTGTAAACATATTGAAGTGGATGGCCAAGAATACACTCTTGACATCAACGACACAGCTGGCCAACATGAATATCGTGGCCATTGGAACGATCAATTCTTTAGGTAATTTTTTTGTAACAAAAAAAAAATACATATATCGACATCATCACAGCTCCTCCTATCCTCTTTCTCTCTCTCTCTCTTTCTCTCTCTCTCTCTCTCTCTCTCTCTCTCTCTCTCTCTCTCTCTCTCTCTCTCTCTCTCTTTCTCTTTCTCTTTCTCTCTTCTTTGTAAACGCTTGAAGTCTGACCGCTTTATATTTATTTCCTGCCTTTATAGGTCTGGAGATGCATTCATTTGCGTGTACTCTGTTGCTTCCATGGGCTCGTTCCAGGAATTAGTCGGTTTCTGTAATCAAATCTGGCGCGCCAAAGAGAGTCCCAACACACACATCCCTATGATTATTGTCGGTAATAAATGGGACCTGGCCCTACAAGGCGAGAGGCAGGTCCCTACAGAAGTCGGCGCTCGATTTGCAGAAGATTCTAATGCACTCTTTGTAGAGGCGAGGTAAGAGAGAGAGAAAAAGAGAAAAAAAAAAAAAAAAAAAAAAAAAAAGTTTGTGTGGAAAAATAAGCTTTTTTTCATATATTTTTATTCTGGCGCGTCTTTTATTAACTTTATTTTTTTTATATATTATTATTATTATTATTATTATTACTTTACAGTGCAAAGACAGGTCTTAATATCAACGAAATGTTTTATGGGCTTGTCCGTGAGGTTGCACGCCAACGAGGAAGAAAGAGCCGTGACCATAGTATCCGTAGTTATACCACCGTGACAACTGGTTCTACAAGTAATGGCCGTACTTCAAAGAAAAAGGGTTCCAACGCACCTTCATACTCGGAAAAATATCCATCTGCATTTGCATCCATGACAAAGACACCAACGACAACAACGATAGCCTCCTCAGTCTCTGCGATGACAACCTCCACAAAGGGCTACTCCAAGTATGCAACTCCATCACCATCCCAACCTGGATCTCAGAAATCGAGCAAATTCTTGAAGATTAAGGAAAAATCAGAAAAGAAGAGAACTGAGAAGAGATCTAAACAGGGGGATGATGTAAAAAAATCTTTAAAATGCTGCACAATTATGTAAAAAAAAAAAAAAAAAAAAAAAAGAAAAGAAAAGAAAAAGAAAAAGAAAAAACAAAAATAAAAAAAAAAAAAAGCCCAAGCTGGGGCGGGGCAAGGCGGGGTCGGGTAAAAACGGGGGTTGTAGTAGGGAAAGAAGTAAAGACACTGTATATAAAATAGTAAAACAACCAAAGTAATGAACATAACGAGCAATGAACATAATGAAATTGATGAATATAATAATAATAATAACCACAGTAATAATAATAATGACTACAATAATAGCTATAATAATAATAATAATAATAATAATAATAATACTTATATTAATAAAACAACAATGCATTATTTTCATTTTACTTTTCATAACTAATTTATTATTAGCGTATTATTTCTTATGACTTTAAATCCTCAACATCTTCCTCTTCTTCTCCTTCCGAGATTCGAGTCGTTGGATGGTTTGTTCGATGAAAGGCCGTGGGCGATGGTGATGATACAGATGTGAGTGGGTTGCCCTTAGAAGCCACTATTGCTATCTCCGTCTCTGCCTCCATCTCTGCCTCTGCCTCTACCTCTACATCTGCTCCCGCCCCTACCCTTGCTCCTGCTATCGGGTTCAGTGGAGTAGTCGATGATGATGATTCCGTTGATAATGTCGTTCCCAATGGTGGTTGGTAATGGTCATCACTATCAACTTTCTCATCGTACTTGTTCCTCTCCTTGAGCCCAAATAGTTTGCTGAGTCCAAATAGACTACGTCTTGGTTTTGCTGTTGGCTTTGATAGTGGTGCAGTAGTCCGTACATCTTCTATAGGCTCCTGATGATTATAATCGTCATTATTGCCACCACTACCATTAACAGTGTCATCACGATCATTATCATTATGCTTATTACTACCATTAGTGCCATCTTGAGTGCTCTCTTTAGCTTTATTCTCCTCCTCAGCCATAGCCTCTGTACCCTCTCTCGCTTTCTGGCCCAACGACTTTCCATTTATATTCCCTGCAATATGAGCAGCAATTGTAGAAGAAGGCGTATTCGAATTGGTTGGGATTGCACCAGACAGGGGTAGCGAAGATACAGGGACTGATTTAGGGCCATGATGCTGGAAGTGGTTTAAGCCATTGAAGCCTGAGGCCGTGGTGGTGCTGGAAAGGGTGGATGGTGGTGGTGGCGTTATATACAATGAAAACAACGGCTGCTGTTGAACTGGCTCGATCGAAATGACAGTCTTGCCTGTGTGGCCAGGATCGTTCATTTCCATGATGTCTCCACCAAATGCTGAGGACGCAATAGAAGAGGGTCGGAGCTTATTGGCTACCGGGGCTGTTGGTCGCCTAAAGAAGGGCCCCCCAGCCAACAGTGATCCAGATGAAGGTGAGGTTTTGGGTGGCGGCGGTAAGAGAAGCGCGGCAGGCATAGTAGGTTGTTGTTGTTGTGGCGAAGGTGCTGTGGAGGGATCATTATTAGTATTAGGATTAAGGGCAATAGAAGCAGTATTCGATGACGTTGAGACATTAGACGAAGGTGAGGGCGTAGGCGAACTGATAGCGACTCTTGGGGGTAAGAACATTGATCCTGAGACTGCAGATGAGTGCTTCTGGCCCTGACTAGGTGTGGACTGAGGATGATGGTAATGGTCGCTCTTTTCATTAATTTCGTCAGCTGATGCTGGCTGTGAAGGAATATGACTGAATCGGATGGATGATGATCTTGAGTCTGCCAACATACTTCTTCGGGGCCCCAGCAATGAGTGTCTCAGTCCTGTCGAGTGTATATTCGCGTTTGTTTCAGGCGAAGTGCCGGATGTAGGGATAGGTCTATAAACTTGATATCGGCTTGTCTCGTTCTTCTCATCGGAGACCACAATCTCGCACAACTGTAACCGAACTTGTGCTCCGTTAGGGCCCATCGCCATGCTTGAGTATGTCCCAGAGGAAGATGGATAAAATGCAGTTGTGCTGCCTGCAATGCTCTGAGGCCGTGACCATGGTGCTGTATTTGTTGTCGCATTCGAGGCCCTTCTCTTCCGTTGTAGCAAACTCTCCGCCCTAGGGTTCAATGGCGAACTTTGGAAGACGTTATTGGAACTATAATGATTGCTGATGATGCTCGGTTGACGTAGATCACGACTGATTCGTCGAATACTGCTGAAAGGAGAAGCACGCATATCCGCAGCAGTAGGTTCCAACTCTTCATAGAGGATGGTGCTAACCATAGCAGCCTCCAGTTCTGAAGCATCCGTAGCATTCTCTGGAATAGGTATAGGAGGTAAAGGAACTACAGGTTTAGACGTCTGCAGGAGTAAAACACCACCACAGATGACAAAGAAACCAAAGACGACTGACAGGATCGCAACGACGGATGCATGAAATCCTTGGTAGAGGATCGCAGAAGTGATTATAGTTGCGGAGGTGAATGTTACATAGTAAGTTGGGGTTACCATAGCTGAAAATTGCAAGGGAAGAAAAAAAAAGCGACTGATCATTAGCTATAATGTATAAAAAGCCTATGAAAAAGAATGGAGAATGTCTACTAAAAGGCGTAGACATACAAGTCATAATTTACCTGTGTTGAACAAATTCAAGGCCTTATTCAAGTAATTGATCTCGATCAAAAGCGTGATGACCATGAAGATGATTACAAAATACGTAAACCAAATATTGAATTGAGGTTCACCTGTAGAGATGTTGTGCACAATGGCAGCACCGAGAGCCTGAGTGGCCACTACTGAGAGGGATCCAATCAAAGAACAGATGCCGATATAAACCATCATATGCTCCTTCCCCCACCGTGGGCCAGCTTTCCAGATGAGCCAGAGAGATACCAAGACGATGAGGATCATCCATGACAAGAATACAGGCTGAGCCATAAAATGCTGAAACTCTTGGATGGTCTTGACAGCACTTTGTTGGGGTGCATGAAGAACAATTATAGTTGCGCCGATGATACATTGCGCACAACCGACTTTTCCTTGCAAGTTGAGACGTTCCTGTAAAAAGATGGAAGACAAGACGGCACTAAAAAAAAAAAAAAAAAAAAAAGATAAATTATAAATAAATTACGTTTTAGGAACAAAATAAATATCTATACATATATTCCACCGCCCTACTTTACCAAATGACAACACTCAGAGCTCCGAGAGGCGTTACCAGGATCGGCTGTACGAATGCGTACGCAACAAAATTGCATACTTCGCCTACTACCACTACGGAGCGTGGAAGAAGGAAAGAGAAAAGGAAAAATCACATTTATATTTAACAACACAGCAATTCCATTTTTTTTTTTTTTTTTTTTTTTGACATCCTATCTTTCAACTTACTCATAATCATTCCTGTCCACCACATCATTGATTTTAGATATGCATATCCTTCTCCAGCAAGCATGCCATTCCTAGTGCAGTTGATCAGACCCTTCTTTTTAAAAACGAAGCTTGAACCGATCAAAACCCCTAGACACATTTTTTTTGAGAAAAAAAAAAAAAAAAAAAAAAAAATTAGTCCACGCTCTTTTCTTTTCTTTTTTTTTTTTTTTTTTTTTTTTTTTTTTAAAAAAAAAAAGCCGTACTTACCGCTCCCAATAGCCAGAGATAAACCAATAATTTTTGTTGTACTGTCTTGAGAATCCACACTGCCTCCAACGGCCATTTTTGATACGGTTTGGGGTACAAAAGATGAATCTCCCCGAGTCTCATTCCCAGACGCTATTGCAAACGCGGGTGCAAACGCAGATGCAGGTGTAGGCGCAGCACATATTGGTGTAATGATTGAAGTAGCCATCAATGCCTTCAATACCACTGATATCCATGTCCATATCCATGTCCGCATGATGGTTAAGGCAAGGCTTTTTGATGCTGTGTGTGCTCCTATTCTTATTCCTGTTTCCAAGAGAACTTTGCCTGTCGACGACATTAATTAATTATGGTGCACGAAAACAAGAAAAAAGAAAAAAGAAAGGAGAGAGAAAGACTGTTACGTGAAGAAAAAATTGGGATAAAAATTCGTGTAAAAAAGTAAGATTATTACTAAAAGCTATTAAAGTAAAGGTCATAAGGGGAGGGAATAAAAAAAATAAAAAAATAAAAAATAAAAAATAAAAAGGTATGGACGACCGTGCTGAAGACAATGAGGAAATAAGAATCCCTTATTCTTAATCTGTCAATCAATGCTTCGTCAGCCAAAGGAAGGATAGGGATTTTCGTCAAGCGGTTTTTATTGGCCAAGAGAACAGAGACAGAAGGAGAGGGAGGATAGGGAGTAGGGAGGTTCATAGATCGTGGATCGTAGGAACGAAGGCACGACTGACCATCCAAAAAAGAAAAAAAAAAAAAAAAAAAAAAAAAAAAAAATAGAAAGAAAGAAAGACAAAAAGACCAAAAAAAAAAAAAAAGAAAAAAAGAAAGAAAAAAAAAAAAAAAAAAAAAGACTCCATATTTTATGTTTTGTTTACTCTATTACCCATGGACATTATTAGCCTCCTCAATGGCCTCGTTTCTTGCGGATGATGGATGGCATTAGCATTAATACTGTAGTCCATTATTTCAATTGTGTTTATATACACATACTTTTACATCTATTAAATAATCACATAATGTTTGTAAAACACATGCAGCCCACCCCTGACCATGCCATTGTGACCTGGTTGGTCGCTTACTCCTTGTTCCTGATTGATTTTTCAGACGCGTCCTTGTCTTCAACATTACACACTCTCCTTTTTTTCCCTCTTTTGTACGCCAATAACAGACCACACCCAGTACCACAAAAAAAAAAAAAAGGAGTAAAAAGGTTCACCTGCCTAAACGTTTTTTTTAAAAAAATAGGGGTAAAAGGGTGCTTGTGCGTGCAATTGCCACCTTACTGGCTGATTCGCCGATAAACTTTTTAAACTTATTCTGTTATCTCGGATAGGAACTGCGTGTCTTTTTTCTCACCAACGTTATATCATTCTTATTTCAATAATCAGTTCTAATTTAAATATCTCAGGCCATGTTCTTTATTGTTATTATGCTTTGTTGCATGGAGTAATGCCATCAAATATTCTTTATGAAAAGGGGTCAAACATGCCTAAGTCCGAATTCTTGCCTTTGTGCTGTGACATGTTGCTCTGTCCGAATTTGTTAGCCGAGTTGTTTGTATTTGTGGGTTGCAATGGCATCATGGGCACCATAGGCTTCATTGGCGCCATCCCTGTTCCTGAAGCTGGACGAGTGGGTGTCAAAGCTGGCGTCGATGTCATCACACCCATACCAAATCCCATGCTGCTGTTACCAACCCCATTCGATTGGAATCCACCAGTGTTGTTTGCTGCCATCGGCTGAATTGTTTGAGACATGGATGAAGCAGATTGGAACCCTCCAAAGGCCGAAGAAGACGAAGACAAGTTTCCTAAGGTATGAGACAATGGTGGCGTACCAGCAGGCTTTTGCTGTGGCTGAGAGAACGGTGGGCGTGTGGATGTTGTAGACGTGTAGCTCGAGGTGGACGAGCTAGAAAGTGTCTTGTTAAGAGGGGGTATAGAGAACGAGGATGTCGCTGCTGTTGGGGTGGAGGCCTGGTTGGCTGTTGTTGGGGTCAATGGTCGTGAGCCACTATAATTGCTCATCGCTAATGAATGATCAGCCGAAACAGCTCCAAACATGCTAGTCGTCGCTGGTTTCATGACAGGAGTATTAGAGCTGAATGATATTGGGTTTGAGGGGGTTGAAGGAAGAGAAGCAGCCTGAAAAGATCAGAGCAGAAATGTAATATAGCTTAATAAATGTAAACACGTATTATGCTACCTAGACATAGCAATCTAAAAGTTACCATACTTACCATTTCTCCAAACATATCCAATGAAGAGCTCTTTGAACTACTGGGCGAGAAAGGATTGTCCGATGCAATCTTGAACGGATTTTCGGAAGACGATGCATGATTTGAACTAGGCGTCGTAGCGCCCGAAGATGGGCCCATCCCGCCCCCAACAAGCTTTTCAAAGTCGTTCAGCGTTGTATCTCCGCCGTTTGCTGTTACACTCGGATTCGAACTTGCAGCAAAGTTCTTAGTCTGGTCCTCAAGCTTTTTCAAATCCTGAAGATGGCGCAAGTGCTGCTGGTGTACTTTGGTCGTGAGCTCCTGAATCGCCGCCATGAATGTTTCGAACTAATTGGTACGGTTTTAAATTACAAAATAGAAAAAATAGAAAATAAATAACAAATAGACATAACATACCAATAATTGATTAAGCTATCAGTAGTCAAGTTCAACTACTACATAATTATAATAAAAACCTGAAGATTTATACCTGCTCCACTTTTAAATTCGGTCCAAGAGCCAAATGCCACAAATGTGGAATAATGTTGTTTCCAATCACTTCTTTGTCCATATATTTACCCATTTCCTGATATACTTGAAGAGTGGCCATCTATTATCATTCATTGACGGGAAAAGTTCAGAGAGATTCACAGAAAAAAAAAAAAAAAAAAAAAAAAAAAAGGCTAACAACATTAGTTTCTAGCTTACCGTGACATTAATTTCCCGGGTTTTAATATTACGCAGCAATGGAATCAACTTTTCAGTAATAGTGAACTTGTCCAAGATCTTCATGATGGTGAGGAAACAAAGTAACGTGTTCACCTTGACAGATAGGGTAGTAGTTTGTGCGAAAAGAGTCTATTACAGAGAAGCCTCAGATAAAAATGAATATTGAAGATATAGCCATTGACGAATAAAAGCTGTTGAGTTATAATGACATTTAGTAAACCTACAGCGATCCTAGGAAACAGCGACGCCTTGACAGTCGTATAGTCTAGTGCCTCCATGATTCCCGGTACTGTCTTAAGAGCCTTCTCCTGAACGGAAGGTGGGTTTTTGGGCTCTAAAGCACAGTAAACAAGGGGCATGATCTCTTCCTTAAAGACCTGCCCACTTGCCTTCTGATGTAACAGCTCAATCTTCTCCAGCAATGTCAACAGATTCTGCATAGGTTCCCGAACCAAGAAGATCGGTTTGAGAGATGGAAGGACTCTCTCCTCAAACTCTTTTGGGGTCATCTTCTGAACAATGTAGAACACGTTGGGAAGGGTATATGGTAGCAGGGCATGATCCTTAAGCTCATCCAGAAGAGCCGGCAAAATCTAATGAATCACATAAATCACTGTTAGAGTAGGTGATAACAAGCTAAACAGCTCTTTCAGTACGGGGGCGATATTACATACCTTCCTATACAGAACGCGTTCTGGGAACTGAGACAACACACGAAGCAGACCCTTCATAAATTGACCCTTGTCGTCTCTGGTCTTTTCTGCAAAGCTTTCCATGTATTTCATGGTCGAAACAAGAATATTGTCGAAAAACTTGCTGGATTGAAATTCAATGGCGTTCATTCTCATACTGGGATCTCTCGTGATAAGCCGTGTCATAGCATCTATAGTCATGTAGAATGATGCTATGAGACAACCTGATGGTTATATGAACTAGCTTGTATGGAATGACAGGGCGGATATATACCTACCTGCAAGATGTGCGGGGAACTTTTCATATCGCTGCTGACCAATCCTTTCAATTTGTTGGCGATAAGTATTGAGATTTCCGTGTGTTTGAAGCAGAGGTGATCCCTTGTTAAGCACCGAGTATGCCAAACATCCAATGCCAAACATGTCATTTGAAGGATCTAGCTTCCGGTCCAGTACATATTCTGGTGCTTGATAGTTGAGGTCCCTTTGACAATATGGGTGAAGCTCATGATCATAATTCCAATACTCAACATGTGTGGGAATATTTGGATCTGGTGATAAGAAGGTGCTGAACCCAAATCTGGATGAAGAAAGAAAGAAAGAAAGAAAAAGAAAAAAGAGAAAAATGTTGAGCAAGATAGTTCTTATCATTTTCGTTCGGCGCGTATTAATATGGCCGTCTGATCACTCAGACACCCTTGGATCTAATGTCATATTACCCTGCGATCTTCCAGTCACCCTTCGCGTTTAGAAAAATGGCTTCTGGTATCAAGTTTCCGTGAACGATCTTGGCGTCGTTATGACAGAATTGTAATCCCTTTCCAAGCTGTAAAAGTCCTTTTTGCATCTATAAGATATAAAGCGACCCATTGCACTGATGAGAAGTCGTCATCCTGAACATCCAGATTTGATTGTCTTCCATGGTAACGCATATTTGTGTGCTACTCTGCTTTGTATACCTCGAGTTCGTCAAGTTCAAATTTGCGGATGTCTTCTGACACAGACGGTAAGTTTTCATAATTGCCAAGCAGATTGGAGAGAGATGCAAAAATAGGTTCTGTTGCAAAGGCGATGGCAGTTCGCGATTCATCGACTGGCTCTACAACCTCCAGCATACAAGGATGTCGCAGTCGTGCCAATTGACTTGCCTATAAACAGAGATTGAAAATTGTATTAGAAAAAAAAAAAAAAAAAAAACGCCATGTTAACAGTTCATACCTCTTTCTTTAAAAACTCGTAGACGCGTTCCTGATCGCGTTTAGATGGTACTTGTCTCCGCAATGAGTTGATAGTTTCGACAATGTTCTTTTCGAAGATCTATCAATATATAGAGAGAAAGAAGAGCAACAACACAACAAGACACGAAGTCAAGGAATATATAGTGGCATCATTGTGCCAAGAACTGTTGTTTGGAAGAGACATAATAGCAAATCAACGCATAAAAGGACCAAACAGAGACGAACATCAACAACCAACAACATCCACGCAAAAAAAACAGTATGAATAGTACAGAGATCTCCTTGTGCTAAAGTCCTTTTTTTTCTTTTTTCTTTTTTCTTTCACTCGACATATCGGGTGAGGAAAATTGGGAAGAACTAAAGAAAGACAGAGTTGATACGAATACAGCGACTTCTTGTCCTGTAGTGCGTTTGGTGCCTCGATGGATCTTCCATAATCCTGCACTGGCAATTTGTCCGCCCACTGAAGAATGAAGGAGGAAAAAAAAAAAAAAAAAAAACGGTTTTTTGTACGATGAGTTCAATTGTGTCAGCAACCATGAATGATTGTAGAGAAAAGTCGTAACCACACCTTCATAGTTTTTGGTGATGGCGTTTCCCATGGTTTCAAGTGACGGAAAGAGGTTGGTGCGTTTGTGAGTATGGAAAGAATGCTGTTATATGTCGAGAGTAATGAGGAATTAATTGATGAGAATAATGATGACAGTGATGAATATGATCGTTTGTTGACTGTGCTGTGTCGTAAAAAAAAAAAAATAAAGAGTAAAGGGAAATATAAAGGTTGGAGAATGAAAGACGGTTGAGCAAAAAGGATGCAAAAAAAAAAAAAAAAAAAAAAAAAAGAGAGAGATGACAGGAAAATAAAATATCTGGCATGGACACAGATCACTTTACTGTAACCAAACAGACTTTTCTCGCCCATGCTCATGCTCTTGAGATTTGTACTTAATACATGACTGGAAATACATTAAGTTATGAAAGCAATGATAGCATTATCGTCTCTTTCTCTTCCGTCTTTACCTTTTCATCAATTTTACTCTTTCTGCTTCCTTCTTCTTTCCTCTTTCCTCCCTCCTCTTTCCTCTTTTCCCTTTTCCCTTTTCCCTTTTCCCTTTTCCCTTTTCCCTTTTCTCTTTTCTCTCTTCTCTTTCCTTCGGTGCTACTCTATCGCATTTGACAACCGATCATGTCACGACGACTTGATGAAAAACACTCCAGGTACAGCCAATTCCTCTATCTCTTTCTTTACAATGTTTGTTTTTCAAAAACTGACCGTTCGACATTTAACATTGCATTCCATCTCTACACAACCATTTTGCCATTCCATTACATTTCTTTTTTTTTTTTTTATAAAAAAAATTCATTTCATGGCTTAGGATCTTGTCTGGTCTCCTAAAGTTGCCAGAGAATAAAAAGTGCTTCGACTGCCCATCCAAGGTATCAAAATGAAACACTCAACACCTAATAACAGCAATTTACAAACACAGAAGCGATATCGGACACTAAATACCTTAATTCTCTTTTTCCTCTTTTGATAGGTCAATGTCTATGCTAATCTGTTCAACAATACATTCATCTGCGAGAAATGTTCTGGTTTGCAGTATGTATTTCATTTTCCTTGATTTAATCCTACACATTCATCTAATCCATGTTGCATGTACACTTCCTGTAACATCTGTCCCAAATCAATCTGTTTGAAAAACTGAATTTCTGCTCCATCTTTACTCACCTCGCACTTACCTCCTCTGGCTATCTATTCCCATCATCATTGCGTGTTTGTTTGTTTGTTTTTTTAAAAAAAAAAAAAATTATACACTGTCGGTAGCCGTGAACTCAATCACAGGGTCAAGTCTATTTCAGCGTCCACCTTCACTCCCGAGGAGGTTTCTGGTCTGCAAAAGGGGGGCAATGGGGTAAGACCACACGATATTATAAAACAATCCACATGCATGCATCGTGTAAACAAATCTCTGAAGGATGACAAGACTTCAGGACAAATCAACACTGCACAGGAAAAAATACGCTTTTCACAACAACCAGTCTTTTTTAACAAAAAACGAATCAACAAACAAAACTCTTCTTTCCTGTCAATGCGCACTTACTTTTCCATTTTATCCACACAAAAACACACTATAATTTATTTTTCTTCATACTACCCTGCTCACAACATCACTGAGATTCAGGGAGAAAGAGAGACAGAGACGAAGAGAGCAAAGAGGAACTAGGTCTGGCAATCAAACGGCAAAAATACAATAGCCTTGCCTTTCTTTTGGAGCAATACGCAACAGTTTCTGGATACGAAGCAAGAAACGAGGATGTGAGCCCACCACTTGATAAGAGGAGGATCACATCAAACTCCAACAAGAAACGATGGAGCATTTGGATCCATTAACTTTGTTTATTATTTTTCATTTCCTTCGCATGATATGATATACCATCTTGCCTTCTCCATCTTTGTATTAATGTCCTCGTTTGTTCTTTGAATCCTCTTTGTGACACATCTAGGTCGCCAAGAGCATTTGGTTGGCAACATGGTCCTGGCGAGAATACCCAGAACCAGATGCACATGAGGTGGACGAAGTCCGTCAATTCATGAGAGCCAAATATGTCAAGAAACAATGGTATCAGGATCCCAACGGAGGCACCAGCGCCAACAACAATGCTTCTGAGCCTCACTTCACTAGCCCACAAAATCCCTCAGCGCCTAACACCAGTTCTAGCGGACTTGCTGTTCCGGACCGTGTCCGAGCTGTGACGAAAAGCCAGAGCGTTGATAATTTAGTAGGTCAAAAAGCATAGTAATTTATTTTATTTTGTGAGCTCCACAAATTCATCATCAAATGGAATTAATGTGTGAACACAGCGATCATGTTAAATTTTACTAATTCCCTAACCTATTTTTAACCCGAATCTGCATTATCTTCTAACTCTCTAATAGAACATGATTATATCTGCGCCTGCAGTGCCTGAAAAGACCTTGAGCAGAAAGTCCTCAACTATCAGCTCGGACAGCGGATCTACTATTTCAAAGTCAACCAATCTCTCAAGCGCAGCGTCCAGTCCCTTCAATGCTGTGGGATCAAAGAATACACAACAACAACAACACCAGCAACAGCAGTATTATTACCATCAACAGCAACAATATCAACAGGATCAGCAAGATCAGTTCCACCAGCAACAGCAACAACAACAACAATCCCTTGGATCATTCGATACTTTTGCCAGTCTAATGACTGGTGGAAACACATCAGGAGCAGGAGCAGCGACAAGAGCAGAGACAGGGGCAGGGGACTTCTCTCAAAATTATCATTCTTCTGTCTTTGGATCAGGATCAACAGCACCAACATTTGTGGCGACACCCGCAGCACTCGATCCTACAGCTGATCCATTCTCGCTTATGACAAGCTCATTCAACAATATGCATATGAGTTCACCTCAGTCACCCACAGGTAGCAACAATAGTAGTTCACATCTCCCTCCCACATTCACATCTGCCCATGCCCCACCCTCACAAACATCCATGCTTTCTCAGTCAAGGAATGTTTTCAATACGCTCCCAATAACCTCGTCCTCCAACACTCAAAACGCATTGGCTTCATTGAATGATGACCCATTTTCCTTGTCAAAAGTAGCACAGCCACAGAACCCATTGCAAGGATTGGATTACAGCTCAACTATGACCTCATCACTAGGCCCTGCTGTGGCAGGCATTGGAGCTGGATCTATCACAGGTACAAAATCATTTGATGACTACTTGTCTGTTCTGAGCCATGGTCAGCATCAAACAGCTTCAATGTCAAGCCTTTCAAATTCAAGTATCCATGGTACACCATCATCATCTTTGTCACCCACACTTGCGTTTTCAACTACTTCGGCTTCGGCTTCGGCTTCATTATCACCGCAGTCAACCGGAGGATCCAATCCGTTCAGTAAGCAGCAGATGCCGCAACTTCAGAGAGCTTTTATGCCTGATTATCCTCAATCTGCTCCAGCAGCAACTGTAAACAATGATAGCAACAGCAACAGTGCAGGACAACAAAGCAATCCTTTTGCCATGTTTGCAAAGCAGCAGCATGCCCCAACAATGGCCTCACAACCATTCCAAACGCAAGCATCCTTGATTGACCCGTTTGGCAGAATGCAGCAACAGGCTCAGGATTACTTTTCAAGCATCGGACTCAACTCCACCGGAACCAGGTCTCCCAATCCTTTCGCAATGACTGGAGGACAGCAGCAACAGCCTCAAAATTTGATGAGTACATACGGCAACAACAACAATACTAACAGCAGCAGCCTCTGCCTATCCATCAAGCGCAAACTTTGAATCTGCATTCTCTTTGTCGAACACTCCTCGATCCATGACGGCCCCTGCATCTACCTTTAGTAGCAATAACAACAATAATAATGTGAATGATATGTTTGGACAGTGGACGAAGCCTTTAACCACGGCTGCCACTGCAAAATACCCTTCGATTGATGACTTGGATCCATTCTCAACTTCTGCCGCATCAACATCGAACCCATCAGCATCGTTTTCAAATCCCTTCTCACTCAATATGTAGACAAAAAAATAAAAAATTAAAAATTAAAAAAATAAAGCAGCATTCATTTAGAACACGTCATAAAACAATTATCAATTCGAACTATTTTCATCGAGCTGAAATGAGTAGAAAGCATTTATCCATCATTCGAGATCACGTAGATATACACGTTCATACAAGGCACAGGCGTCCTTTTTTTTTTTTTTTTTTTTATCATTTTATTTCTTTCTTTAGCAAGCAATATGATTCTCATTAATCTCTTTAAAAGAAAATAAAAACAAAGGTAACCAACCTATGCTCAAATTCTAGTTACCAAATACAACAGTAATAAAAAAAAAGAAAGAGAGATTAGACAAAATATCATAACCAACGCTGCCTTTTTTTTTTTCAACTTTATCAAATAAGAGAAAGTAAGACTCAGAGATCTTGGTGTATAAATGGTATGGTCCGCATAGCAACTAAGCTCTCAGGTAAGCGAACATCGTTCTAATCATTGCTTACTTTCTCTCTTTTTTTTTTTTTTTTTTTTTTTTTTATTTGTTCTAACAACTGGATGAAGACTTACCACCTTGATTTAATATCGACTGATAAGAACGCGTTATGGGTCCAGAGATGTGTACAAAAAAAAAAATCCTATCTTTTTTTTAAGAATAAGCATTAGTGAGAAATCCAATATAAAAAAAAAAAAAAAAAAATGACGGTACCCAAATAAAAAGAAAAGAAAGAAAGAAAAAAAAAATGGCTTCAGCAAAGTAGGGGTTTCATAAAGCACAAGACCGCTATATAGGACCCGGCGAGGTCCCACGGCAACAAGGCCCAGATCAAACGCAAATTACTATAGACCATCGTGAGCCTTATTTCTCTTTTTTCTTTTTTTTTTTTTTTTATTTTCTTTCGGTAAATAATGATGTTTATGTATGTGGACATGGATATGGATATAGATATGGACAAAGATACATATGCATATATCTTTATAGGTGTAGTGTAGTGTACATGTGTGTTCCATGTTGCGCGCTACGCGTTCTGTTGATAGACTTACCAAGTGGGAAGGGGAAAAAAAAAAAAAAAATAGTGAAAGAGAAGTAAGGATGAAAGTGGAGTCAAGCTTTGGGATTGTTTTTATTGAAAATTTTTTCTATATGTCACGTGCTCCGGACCAAATCAGCCACCAAGAAAGGCAGCAAAACAAAGCAACAGCAACAGACGCGTTTGTTTTGCGGGGCAGGGATCCAGATCACCCTATCCCATAAGCTCTTGAACGATGTAACTTCTCAATCTCTTCTCCTCCCCTTCCTTCCCTGTACTGTTTTTTCCTGTAATATCGGTTCATGCGCTATAACACTTTCGCCTTTATAGCTTTTAATAATGTACTAATAGTACTTTTCTAATACTTTTACTCGTCCCAGACGTAAAAAAAAAAAAAAAAAAAAAAAAAAAAAAGAACGTTGTTTATTGCAATGTACTCATTATTGTTGTTGTTTTGGTATAAATATAATCCTCAGTATATGACTTATTATATTATTATTTTTTTACACCTCGCATACATGCTCAGCTGGTGGCATCGTTTCTTCGGTTTTGCTGTTAATACCACCGAAAAGTGTCCACCTTTGAGACTGTTGAGATGCCTGCATAGCTTCAGCTTGCTTGGTCGCCTCCTTGATCTCCAGAAGATAGGGATCCTCTCTATCTACAGCCCTGACCACCAAGTCTGGGAAGTTTAACTCAAAGACCCTCTGTACCTTCCACAACTCTTCCTTTTTAGGACCATATGTACCAGAGTTGTTATCAATCAATAGAGTCCAATCATCATTATGGTCCGGATCTCTGAACAGACGGAACTCTCCAGAATACATCACCTCTGTGGCTCGATTAGCGTGCATAGCATGCTTGGACATGAAGTCTTGGAAAAAAGCAGTGCCCGTTTCTGAAAAGTAGAGGCCCTTTGGAACAATCGAATATGTAAACACGATCGTCTTCAAGTCCAGATTTTGATCCTTTTTCAAGCGGTCGCCATGCAAAAGTTGACCCAAATGATCTGCTGTCTCCAATTGATCATAGAGAGTCGTGCGACTGTGACGGTAGAGGTATGAGTGTTGAGAATGCAATGCGTTGCGGATGTTAAGGCCCTCCAATGAGTCTGCAAAGATGCGCTTGGCAGCATCATATTCCGTGTTCCAGTGTTGGTAAAACCGAGGATCATTTCCAAAGACTTCAAAGAGATGATAAAGACGAACTCGGTAGGTGTAGAACTCAAAAGCCTTTTCCCGTGTCAAAACACCGGCAGCATAACTGGTGTGGCGAGAGAAACGAGCTGGGCCTCTAGTGGATGCTTTCTCCAGAGCTGCAGAGTTTCCAACACTTCGGGAAGCAATCGTCTAATTTTTTTTTTTTTTTTTTTTTTTTTTGGTATGAATGTTTTGCATGAGTCACTATTGCTGCGCGTTCCTCTCCTTGGTTGAACTTGGAATAGTGATCAACAACGACAATAATAATAATAAAACAAAGAGGTATTTTTTTTATCTTACCTGTATCAAAACTTGACCATGCTTGCGGTCATCAGATTGCCAGATATCAAGCACATGTTCCCGTGTCCCTTCGAGTTTGGATCCGAGGATCAGTTCTGCTCTGCCAAGATCAGTATCGGCTGCCATCTTGTTCTTGTCTTTCACCAAGATCTGAAGCGGCATACCATCTGTAACATTCAACAGATGCCAAGTTGCATCCCAAGTTGGATTCAAAGTCGACCATTGGACACCAGTGCTAAAAAAAAAAAAATTTTTTTTTAGAAAGTGTAGTGTACAAAAATGGAAGAGGAGTTAGAAAAAAAAAAAAAAAAAAAAAAAGAAAAAGGCTGTGAGCCCTCAAAAAAAAAAAAAAAAAAAAAAAAAAAAAGACCAAAGGAATAATTAGACGAGGAAGAAATGACTTACACAAACGAAAGCGACTCTTTATCCTCTGGTGGTCCAAGGTATGCCTCGAGAAAAGGATCAGAACTTAACAGGTCGCCTCGAAGTAGATCCTAGATTCAATAAAAAAAATTTTCCGAGAGTGAGTCGTGTGCCATCCCTTTACTTCTTTATATCAAGACCATCAACTTCACAACAGTTATTCTGATACGATCTATATTACCTTGGCGCCCCGAAAAACGATGGTATAGTCCCAATTGTTGGAAGGATTAGCATTTGCAACTGGATCATCAGTGGGAACCAAGTTGGCGTCTTGAACATCACCATCATGGGCAGCATCGTCATCCTGCTTACGGCCATGAACAAGATCAGAAACTTTTCTATGAAGATGTGTAAACATGGGTGATAAATGTCTTGATGGCATCGATAGCAATGTTGGTTGACCGCTTGAGTTCTTTTGTTATTTTAATGTGAAGTATAGAATGAGTAGTGTTGAAGGCGATATTAATGAAAATTGGAAGTAAAGAAAAAAGGAAAATTTTTTTTTAAAAAAAAGGGATTAAGTGACCTCTTTTATATGCAAGATCCGTCATCAATGGGCCTCAGCACATCAATACTAAACATGGAACAGCCTAGCCCATTCAACTGAGTACAATAAAAACAAGCATGAACAATTTGATGACCGGGCTTTTTCTTTTTTTTTTTTTTTTTTTTTTTTTTTTTTAATTGCGGCACTTGGTTTATTATCATTTCCTTGTAAGGAACTTAAAAATGTGTTCCTTATATATTATACTGACGGCTAGAGCACGTTAGATGGTACCTGTACCTGCTCCGGCATTTTCTCCTGTTCCTTAAGCATCATTGACCCCCATCTACTTCTACATATGCCTATGTGCCTTTTTTTTTTTACTTGTATATATTTTGTCATGTGTTGAAAAAAAGGGCTCACAGACCAAGGAACATTGTTGTAGCCTGGAATGGAAACCAAAGGTCGCATGGACGAAATTTTATCCGCCTTAATTTGTTAGCCTTTCACACTTGGATTATAACTCCACCACAAATAATAAATATTTATGCAGTACCAAAGATCGATCGCAGTTTTATCTTAATTGACATCATGCGGCTTTTTTTTTTTAACTTAGCCTTGCTTGCAATCCTCAGCTCATTTGCAATGAATCTACTACAGCCTAAAAATAACGCCACACCATGTGTGAGCATACAGATTTCATCGCCGACAAGAAGCACAGCCATAAAAAGAATCGTAGCATGTCACTGTGCCTGGAAACTCATGACAATTTTTTGTGTTTCGCTGAGTTCTCTTTAGGCGACTGTTCGATGCTTGTTGGTTTTCCAAATCTGCTCTGATTTCACCGCAATTTAGCAGAAATGATTAGCATCCCCTGGATAGCTGCCATCCAGAGGGACTACTTCGAATGGACAGGATTTACTGTGTTGTTCAAAACAATAAAACTTGACTGAAAGTCTGCTAATCCTCAAACCATGAGGCAAATAATGCCTCTGAACGCTTCAATAGGATTATGGCGAGCTTTTGGGGTGCAGAAAAGACAAGATTGTCTCTTTTGAGCAATGAAGGATATAGGATCTGTTCCTTGGAGGCACCCTTTTTTGAAACCACGCTTGTTGCTAGTAAAAACACAAATGGTTCCCGTTTTCCGCATACTTTCAGCGCTTCCACAATCCAAGGGCTGTGATGTAGCCATTAAATGTTACATGTTTGTCGAAGTATTGACACATCTCTTGCAAAAGTTCAGATGTATACTAGGAATATTGTTTAAGGGACGTAGAGTAGTCTGGCAGTGTTCAGGTGTTTATATAGTATCAGATGGGTTCACTAGGCTCGTCACCAGCCTGAGGACGAAGTTCATGTGCACATGCACGTGCTGGAAGCCAAATGTGGCTTGCTCTTCTCTCTCACCGGCTGGGACTTGCTTAAAAAAATTTCTTAAGTCGAAAACACCGCAGGAAAGGTTGTCATTTTTTTTTAAGCAAAGTTTGCAGATCACAAGAAAATGGCCTACATGTGAAGCATGCTATTGTTTTTCTTGCTCTCATTTCACAACCTCATTTATTCATTACGAAATTTACCTCCCATCATTCTCATCTTAAAAAAAAAAAAAAAAAAAAAAAAAAAAGCTCCCTGTGGTGTAAATGACTTGGAAATAAAAAAAAAATAAAAAAAAAGAGCCTTTCCTGTGGTGTGTTCAACTTAGAAATTTTTTAGACCTCCAGCCAAAATGTCACGCTTGGTCCCAGAGAAGTGTCTGCAGGAGCATGCCACGTTTGCCTTTCGGCGCGTGCATGTGCACATGAACTTCGCCCTCAGGCTTGCACAAAACCAATATTATTGAGTCCATTCTTAACGTCCAAATGCCAAGTTTTTTCTTTATTACTCTCAAGCAATGAACTAGACTTTATGGGGCAACTAATATAATTGCTGGGATATCTACTTGATCATCCTCCTCTTTTTCTTCATTGCCATCTTTTCTTTCTTTGCTGTCATTCTCCCCATCCTTCCTAAAGTTTGACGCGTCAAGGGTTTTCTCTAAAGCATAATTTTGCTTAGATATCACCAAGAAAGCACTGATACAAAAAATATTATTCGCGTTTGAACACTTACAATATCAGTAACAGCTTCTTGTTCTTGGAATGAGGGAGTATTTGACTTGTACATAGTGGGATGAATGTAGGGTGAATGTGTGCATACTTTCGATTGTGTGGTTAAAACAAGAGAGTTAAAGAGAATGAATAGTGTTTGTGTATTTAAATAATACATGTTACGTCACACTTGGGGGCCTTTAATCGCATGGCGTCTTGTGCAACAAGAAAAAAAATTTTCTCACACACACACACAGCATAGCCCAACCTTGAAATAAAGGAACAAATTTATCAATTGTCGCTCCTTTCTTTAACTTGCTTCACTTCATTTTTGCACTCTCCTCTTCCTTTTCTTCCTTTATCCTCTTTTCACTTTTTTCTTATTTCCCCCCAGTTTTGCTCCCATCAATTTTGCTCTTTTATTTATTCCAAGCCTTCATTCATTGCCTTTCCTTTCCTTTCCTTTCCTTTTTTTTTTTCTTTTTTTCTTTTTTTCTTTTCCTCCCTCAACTTCATCTCTAGACAATTTTGAACCATCCTGCTACTGAATTATCATCCTTTAGCATTTTTATCAACCTTTCCCTATTTTCTGTCCTCCGTCCATTTACACCCTTGTTTTTGAAATCACAATGGGAAGCGACAGAACATCACCACGATGCCTATCACCTCGAACTAAACCGTATGAAAGGAAAGAAGAAAGAAAAGGGGAAGCGAAGGAAGAGTCTTCAAGCACCAATGACCCTAAAATCCTCGAGCCAACCGAGCTAAAGATTTTTTGTATTGTTGATGGAGAAGCAACTTCTTTTTCTGTAAAGATTCTTTCCAATTGTTCAGTCGATGAACTCAAGCAAGCCATCAAGGCAGCGAAGAAAAATGCGTTTAAGGACTTCGATGCTGACCAGTTTACTCTCTACAAGGTTTCCATCCCTGACAAAGACAAGACCGTCGTTGAGTCAGAAATTGTGTCGAAAGAGGCTCTCGTACCCGCGTCAAGGAAGCTTAGGGACATATTTATTTCCGAACTTCCAGAGGAAACTATCCATGTTTTTGTCAAGCCACCGCAGCGAGGTATGTATTAGCTCTTGATGGACTGATGATATTTCGATTGTTCAATTGATGAAGCTATCTCATCACGGTCACGTGTATCTATCCCTTTTTTATGTTGTTGAGATGAATCTCGGCAACACTATTTAACCGGGGGCGACTTTGGATTTCATCTCTATAAAAAAAATTGAAAAGTCGCCCCCATGGTCCATGCGCATGCTCTGACTCTCACTGTTGTCTGAGAACACAGTTTTCATTTTTATTTTTATTTTTATTTGACCTGTTTACATTGATGCATTTGTTAGTTTTTCTGATTGAATCTGTTTCGCGTTTCGCACACATGCTCTGACTCTCCATTAGCTGGCGTTCATATCTCATTGACAGCAATATATTCTTTGATCTGATCAAAATGCTAACATTTCTGCCATTGCTGCGCTCTCTTATCTTTCTAGAGACATCGGGACAGATTCTCAAGAGAAAAATGGACGAAGGTAATAATTTGTTTTTTGCTGTATAAATAGATTGACTTGATGACTGGCTATATGTTATGGTACTAACCAACTGTGTATGTGTACGATGATCATAATTAGATCCACAGTATATTTCACCTTCAAAGAAGATACGCATTGAGGAAGGGTGGAGAGAATACAGGGCTTCTGATGGCAAAATGGTCACGTTACCACCCTCTTGGATCGCAATGCTAGAGGATTCTAGATACCTTCCAAAACCACGTAATGAGTTTGAACATCTCAAAGACGATCTGAAGGCTGGTAGTTGGGTCGATATACCATCCCTGGGTCAAGTCCCAAAGGGTTATAGAGTCTCTGAAATTCTCGTCACGCACCAAATGCTGGAGCTTTGGAACGAGATGGAAGAAGAACAAAGGTGCGTATACAGACGAGTCTTGTCTGGTCCAATGGGTATTGGCAAGAGCTTTCTCTCCTATTTTTTGACAGCAAGAGCATATGCTGAAGGATGGCTTACCCTCTACATATCAGATGCGGGTACTTTGGATACTAGTGAGAAAGCGGACTCATATATGGAAGTGATCGAGCGTTTCCTTGTGATGAACAAGGATGTTTTAACTGCTGCCGAACTGGAGACGCTTGTATCCGGCTATGGTGTTCAAGGTGGCATATGGAATACTGCTATCATACGCGTTTTTAACATGCTCATGCAGAAGGAACGGAAGACTCTAACTATTATTGACGAACATGGGAAACTCTTCAGATTCGACAAACCAGTACCAGAAAAATTTAAATCTTTAAAACCTCTGATGGACCTTTCCAGTTGGACTGAAGACTTGGCTGGATCTCGTTTGATTCTCACTGGCACAGCGCATGCAAAATTCGAATTGGAGATCATGGAATCGAGCTTTAAGGAGGACTTTAAAACAGTGGTATTCGTGGGACCTTTGTTGGATGACGCTTTCAAGAATCTGTTGAAGCATACTCCCAATCTCCAATCCACGGACTACGAGGATATACGGAGTATCACGAACCTTGTACCACGAGAGCTGATGAACTTGTCAACCTATATTGAAGAGAATCCAGAGTTACCCATTAAGGAGGCATTCGAGAAGTTTGAAGACTGCCGAAGGTTGGATTTTTCTCACAACATCCAGAACTACTACAAAAGCATCGAAAAATCCGAGACGACCCGTACAAATTTTTATAATGGCCTTGCCTCGGCGTTCTTACATGGTTCTGTCGAAGGAGAGTTCAAGTGGGATTTCATAGATCTGGGTCTTTTGTTCCGTCTAAGGAGAGATGGAGTAATTTTATTCCGCCCTTTATGCAATACAGCCTTCAGAGCACTTTTGGATCAGTTCAAGACAATGGGAATGCCAGAAGATCTAAAGAATCGGCTCAAGGCTAATAGGTTCAGTGGAAATGAATTTGAGCAAGCAATTTTTCATGCATTTATTTGCACTAGTATTAGGCCAATAGTGCTCCCTACAACGAACCTCGTTGGTGATCCTAAGGGCTCGATCGTGTTGGACTTCGATGACTACCGAGTTATAAGCAGGCAACGACATTCTCTTGGCCCTGGAAAAGATAAATTCTTGGCCCGTGGCTATCCAGGATATCCTCGATTTGACTTTATGGTTGGACCAATATTCATCCAGGTGTCTGTCAGCGAGTTTGGAGTGCATAACAGAGATTCAAGTGATTTAAGGAAAGCATTTAAGCGACCGTACAAGACACCCAAAGTGGTGTATAATGATAGGAATCAGATTGAGTGTTACTTGGATGAAATGTATGGTGGAAAGCATAGAGCTGATTTTGGAAAGGATGGATTTATTGTCACCAAAAAAGACCCGACAACAGGTATTGATGAAGTTGTTCCTGGATTCCGAATCGTCTACATTTGTGGTAGAGATATTAACCTAGGGAATCACCGCCAGCTCGTTACAGAGTTGCCAGATGTAGAACATGTAAGCTTCAACGACCTCAAAAGCCTATTCTTTGCAAACATTGTTTGATAGTGTTGGATAGTGTTATCAATAAAGGAAGCTTCTACTCCATTCATCTTCTAACTTTAAGCGTCATCCTATCAAAGGGTGCCGCGTCGGGTTGTAGATGAGATGAGAGACCAGATTGAGATAAATACGCAGATGCGGCTTGACGACTTTAGATCTGTTTATATTTATGGGACTTTTAGATCGCCCAAATCATTCTAGAATAGCCAAAAATATCCAGTCTTGCTATTTGTAGAGAATTATTCAGAGGGCGGTAGTAGGCATAGTGGTAAATGGTGCTTAATTGTTAAATGCACAGTTTGATCTGTAAAAAGAATTTGTAAAGTCGCCTCCATGGTGCGTGCGTATACTCTGACTCTCACTGTCCTCTCGCGAGGCTTTTTGCTTGAGCTTATTTCGGCTCCCCACTGCTCTATCGCATACAAGTACTTTTATCAAAGCCTCCTATCTAACTATCCTCTTGTTAGTTTATTGCGTGGATTTTAAATAGCCCCAAGAAGTCCCAAAGGAGCCTAGAAGACACAGAAGACGAAGATTTAGAAAGTGAGTTTATTCCATTCATAGTTTTGATGATTCTTGAGAAAATTTATTTATTCCATACTCACGTCAGTCTCGCTATTCTTATATGCTCAAAGAGCACCTTACGAAGCGCTGTCGTTCCTTGAAGCGATATATTGCAGTCGATGGCGAACTCGTAGTTTTACCCCAACATATACTGAATTTGAGCGAAAATAACAAGTATGCACCAGAACCCCGCGCCGAGTTCCAATCGCTTTTGATGGTGCAGGCTGGGAATCGAATTACTTCAATGGATCTTGGTCAGAACCCAATATTCTTTGCGAGAGGCTATCAAGGTCGCGAGTTTTTTTATGTCTGAATAGATGATGAAGCTATGGAATGAACTCGAGAACAGTGAGTCGTCTGTCAAGAAATGTTTACGGTCCAATGGGCGTCGGCAAATCATACATTTCATGGTTCCTTGCGGCCAAGGCATATGCACATGGTTGGCCAGTGCTTTATATTGCGGATGCTAATCAACTTAACAATTGTGACACTAATACTGACGCATCACGACTGATCTGTCAACTCTTCTTATCCATCAACAAAGATACTTTGACAGCCTCAGAGCTCGAGGAAATGGTCGAAATTGAAACATCGGAAAATCTTTTTGTGAGTAGCGCCAGCAGTATCTTGGGTGACCTACTCCAGTCAAGAAGTCAGAAGGCATTATTTGTCGTGGATGAGCATGGTGCATTATTTCCAGAAAAATAGTAAGTCTGCGCCCGACAGGTTCCCAGTTTTATGGCCTCTAAAGACTTTCAACTCTTGGAACAATTCAAATAATGCGAGAGTAGTGTTTAGCAGTACGGTAAGATTTGCAAAGCTCATTCTCAGAGACGCACCACACTATGTCGAGTATGTTAGTCCACTGTCGCCTGATATTTTCAATAAGCTACTGGATGTGATCATAAATAAGGTCCACCCAACAGCCCGCCAACAATTGAATGAGCTACGAGGCGAGATTCAAAAAGCCACCGGATGTGTGCCACGGGAATTCAATATTTTTTTTTGGCGAAGACATTGAAGGCATTGAGCTCGCGGCTAATGGGATTAAGAAACGACTAAAGGATTATGAGGAGGATCGCAAAGAACAATTCTTGGAGACTTTGAAGAACTGTTATAGTAAAATTGAACCGATATTCCAACCAATTACTCGTCAAGCTCTAGGAAATAAAATCGGCAAAGGCACTGTTAAGGATCTTCTTCGCTCTCAACAGGGATATCTTGACGGCATCTGATCTGGAAAGTCTCCTCGACGCTTCTGAAGTTATAGATTGCTCAATTGCGGCTGGTCGCGCATTATTCGACCTATTCAAACAGAAGGAGCGCAAAACACTATTCATTATCGACGAACATGGAAAGTTATTCCAAAAAGAGCCGTACGTGCCAGATAAATACCTGTTCTTGAACCATCTAAAGGATCTCACTCGATGGGAAGCTGAATCCAAAGGATCTAGAGCGATATTTACAGGAACAGCCCATGCCAAATATGAATTGGAGATTATGCCAGGCAGTCTTCGAAACACCTTATTGTACTTTGTTGGCCCACTATCCGAGACAGTGTTTTCAAAATGGTTGGAGGTCCACCTGAACCAACCCGATATTGTCCAGGATATAATGAGGATTACAAACCGTGTGCCACGAGAGTTTATGTTCCTCATCCGGTCAATTGAGGAAAGACCACTCACAAGAAATAGCATTGATTCGTATGTAACTGAGAGAACAGGCGAGTTTCACACTGTAGTTTGGACGTACTACAGATCTTGCAGCGATGAAGCGAAGAAGAAGTTCGCTAAAAGCCTTGCAACAGTCTTCCTTGGCAACAACTCGCAGAGTAGTGATTTTGAATGGGATTTCCGTGACCTAGGGCTTATCTATCGTCTCAACAAGAACCGCGGAGCCATAAACTATGTCTTGTGCCTCCCAGCGCAGAAAGCACTCTTTCAGGCGTTTACAAATATGCCTCATCATGAGCATATCCTGAGGGGAGTTATTCTTGGAGAGATGAGTGGAGATGATTTCGAGTTGGCACTGCTAGTCCGGCTTTTGACTTTAACCAAGCCAATCGTTCTCAAAGCAACAAACCTTATCGGCGTGAATCCAACGGAGATTATAATGGACTTTAAGGATCATGGGACAATCCATCAAGGCATGACTTCTCTTGGACGTGGCTATGGACATGTACTGAGCCATTGTCATTCGACTTATCCTCGCTTTGATTTCATACTCGACACAATGTTTATCCAGGTGTCCATAAGTAATTTCCAAGAACACGAGAAGAAACAAATTAAGCAAATCCAGAACGCTTTTGATAAGAGAGGTCCCGACGGCAGAAATCAGATTGAAAGCTATTTGGACGAAGTATTTGGAGGTAATCATTCCGCCATAATTGACGATGGGCATTTTGTTGTCAAAAAGGATGGAGAGCCAGTAACTGGATTTAAAATAGTTTACATGCGTGGTTCCCCTGGTGCAGCAAACCACACTGGATTAATCAAGGATTACAAAGATCTTCTTCATGTCAGCTTCGACGAGCTCAAAGAGAAACTTTTTAAAAATATCCCAACTTAGAATTTTCGTCACAGTATACAGTAATACATAATATATATAGTTCTTAATCCTATAAAAAGGCTTGTCATAGAAATTTAATAACACGCTAAAATATTAACTGGGGCGACTTTGGATTTCATCTCTATAAAAGAATTTGAAAAGTCGCCCCCATGGTACGTGCGCGTCACAGAGAGGTCACTCGCTTGTTAAGGCGACTGTTCGATGCTTGTTGGTTTTCCAAATCTGCTTTGATTGCACCATAATTTAGCGGAACTGATTAGCATCCCCTGAATAGCTGCCATCCAAAGGGACTAACTTCGAATGGACAGGATTTACTGTGTTTGTTCAAAACAATAAAGCTTGACTGAAAGTCTGCTAATCCTCAAACCATGAGGCAAATAATGCCTCTGAACGCTTCAATAGGATTATGGCGAGCTTTTGGGGTGCAGAAAAGACAAGATTGTCTCTTTTGAGCAATGAAGGATATAGGATTTGTTCCTTGGAGGCACCCTTTTTTGAAACCACGCTTGTTGCTAGTAAAAACACAAATGGTTCCCGTTTTCCGCATAATTTCAGCGCTTCCACAATCCAAGGGCTGTGATATAGCCATTAATTGCTACATGTTTGTCGAAGTATTGACACATCCCTTGCAAAAGTTCAGATGTATGCTAAGAATATTGTTTAAGGGACGTAGAGTAGTCAATAGCATGTGGGCAGTGTTCGGGTGTTTATACAGTATCAGATGGAGTCCGAACAGTCGCCTTACCTCTCCTCCGTTGGTTGACATTCAAATTTTGCGGCCTTTTGATGCCAATTTACTGTGCGTACCTTGTACACCTTCCGTCCATCCGTAACCTGAGATATATAAATCAGCACTTCTTTCGTAAAAAAATAATAATCTGGGTATTGCCTTCTCGCCCTCTCTTTTTCTTTTCCTTAATGTTTGTTTATCCCCAGATGTTGCCCGATGTAGTGTTTAACTATCAATAACAAGATCGAAGAAGGGACATTGACTTTTACAAGTCGAACATAATGATTGACAAACTGTAAGAACGATCTAGACCAAAAACTCCCCTTTTTTTGCCTTCTCGCTCAGAATCGAGTCATCGTCGAATGTTGATTGTGAGCAGAAGAAACAAACAATGTAAATGTCTATGGTGCACAAGCTTTTCTTTTTTTTTTTTTTTTTTTTTTTTTTGTAAATAAAAGGATAAACAAACTCTTTAGGTATTATTATTATTATAATTCTCATATCCTTGGCTTTTTTGTTTGCACTTTTCTCTCTTGCTTCATGACTATCCGTGCATCATGCTGCCTGGCGTTGAAGTGAATAGTGAGTTGCTATCAGGTAAGCTAAATCCATGAATGAAGGAGGTAAAAAAAAAAAAAAAAAAAGATATTTAACGAAATGCATATAAGAATAAAAAAAAAAAAAAAAAAAAAAAAAAAAAACTACAGCATCTTTTTTTAAGCTTTCTTACCTGAGCCGTTGCTTGTTCACTCTCCATCCGCCTGCTGACGCTGCAAGGCTCTGCATCTGTGCTCGTGCTGTTTCTGGATCAATTGGCTTCAACAGCTCGAAACTACACAGCAGATCTTCGTTCACGCTCATCACAGCTCCGTAGTTATCGAATTCGCCACAATAGTTGGGTGCCGAAAAGACAGTAACCAGTGTCCGGTCATTAAAGAACTCATATCCATCCTCCACTACCATGTGCGCTCGACATACTAGATCAAAATCGTGACGATTCAAAAACTTTTGGATGATACTCCGTCCAAAGCAATATGAAACACCACGCTCGTTATCTTCCCAGTCCGCCGCTGTGTCTGATGGATCTGACCACAATAGATATTCAGCAATCCAAAATCTGGTACGTCTGTAGGGCGTCGGATCGCCCGGATGTCATCCTCGTCGAGAATTGGGTGATAGTCCACCATGTACACAAAAAATCTTATTGGCAACAATAGCGGCCAAGGGCAGGCAGTTGAACACATCCACGAATGCCCTCCACATCTTAATGCTAGCCCTGCGCTTGCATTCGTCATAGAATCCATACACTACATATTGGTTTTAGATGTTGTAGCGTTAGTGGTGGGTTACTGTGTCGTAACTTCGTAACCGCGTCATGTGACAACGAAATTGCGCGTGATATTTCAAGACAGAGACAACGCTGTGCATCTGTATGCAAACTTCTGTGCATGATCAATTCCTATCCCCCCCTATTCACTCTCCTTATTCCAAAGAGCTATCTCAATGGGACATCAACTGAGCCCTCTTATACACACCACTTCTTCTATTTCTGATGCATTGTGCCAGACTGTAAGGGCATGAAAACCTTTTTTTTTTTTTTTTTTTTTTTTTTGCTGAATGCCCCATTAATCAAAATTGGATAGGGAGAAAAAAAAAAAAAAAAAAGGGAGAAAGCCAATTTACCTCTTGTCACATTGGCACATTCATGATTGCCTCTCAACAGGAAAAAATTCTCCGGATACTTGATCTTGTAACAGAATAACAGCAAAATGGTCTCCAAACTCATCTTGCCTCGATCCACGTAATCACCTAGGAACAAAAATTGGCCGATGGCGGGAAGCCGCACATCTCAAACAACCTCAACATATCTGTGTACTGTCCATGAATGTCACCAACGATCTTGACAGGCGCATTCAACTCAATGAGCGTGGGCTGTGATAAGAAAACTTCTCGTGCACACTGGCAGATGTATAAGATCTCGCTGTTCTTCAAACAGATCCCCTTGGAGATCCTACCAGAGTATCCTGCGTCCAGTAGTCTGGAGATCATGTCATCGATATCCAGTCCTTGTTTCGTCTTATCCCCTGTGCCTCCGGAAGATGGTCCAAGGAATGAGAGCCGTGCAGAAGGTGAAAGGTCTACAGACAGTTTCCTGTTGCCACTACCGCTGAATTTTGGGGACAGAGAAGGGGGCGAGGATCGATTCAAGGAGGATGTTGGGTTGGACGAGAGAGCTAGAGGTGTGAGATTGTGTTTTTTGATAAGGATAGGGTTGCCTGGTGTAGAGACTGCAAAAGGAATACTGGGTTGTGGGATAATAGGTTGCTGTTGCTTTGGGGCGATGGTTGCTGCTGGTGTTCAGGTGATAGTTGGGGTATCATCTCGGCTGATTCCAGCCGCAAGGGCACTATCACCATTGCTGTGGTTATTATGATTATTATTGTCGTTACTATGATCCTGTTCAGAGGGTTGTTCATTAGACTGGTTCTGTTCTAGTGTTTGTGTCTGTGAGGAAAAAAAAAAAAAAAAAAAAAAAGAGTCATTATTGTGTGCTATCTTCGGAGCTATACTCATTCCTCTCCTGTCGTTGCTGTGGATCTCATTGGTCGCCTAGGCCAGCGTCTCCAAAAGTTGTGCTTGCTGATCATGAGCGGCCTTGATTTTGTATGAGAGCCCATTTCATTTGAATCCCTGCGCCAAGACAGGTGCTGTTGGCTAGGTTAAACTGAACCCTGTGCCGCCCGATGTTGTTTGTTGTCCGTGATGCAATGACCTCTGACAAGTGGTGGCACGATACAATGTGGTCCAAATCTCTTTTCTATTGATGATGATTCAGGTAATGCATTCAAAGGCGTAGCAATCCATAAACAGCCACTCCTGCTTATACTTCTGCTTTTTCCTACTATTCCTATTAGTACTGCTACTACCGCAGCTGTCGCACTCCAACTGGATATTCATGCGGTAACGGTCAACGATGTGTCATCGGCAGAGGTTGTCCTGATTTTTTTTTTTTTTTTTTTTCCCTTTTTCCGCGGTCTGGGATCTGGACAATATTCAGAAAATCAATGTGGATAGAGGCGCAGTAACTATCCCTACCTGCGGTTCTTGCTGCTGCTGGTGCCAAGAAGAGCGAGTATCCTCTTGAGACAGCTGGCTCTGTTCTTGGTTTTGTTCGTGCCCATCTTCCTGTTCTTGACCCGAGAGTCCTTGCGCTGACTTACCAGCACTGGTCTCAGTCTTTACTTCTTTCGTCTTTACACCGCCACTAGCACCAGAAGTCTTACTTTTGCTAGTATGATTCACTGTCGGTGCCGGTACTATTGAACTTGTCGGTACTGTTGAAGAAGGTTGCTGTTGCTGTTGTTGTTGTTGTTCTAAACTCTTCCGTCCATTCAAGATCTTTGACTTTTCTTTGAGGCCATTGGCGCCAACCCCATTTGAGCCGGTGTTGTTAGGAAGAGGGTGAACATTGGGATCATATATTCCCGAGGAACGATTCGCCTTTGAATTGGGCCGCTTCGAAAGCTGGTTCCCCATCGATTGAAGAAGAATAAAGTATGATGGTGGTTATAGAAGTATAGAAGTGCTGTAATGAATAAAGCGATGAGAGAAAATGAGGTATTCAGAAGTGATGTGAAACTGGAACTAATGTGCTAAAAAAAAAAAAAAATAAGTATGAGACAATCTGAATGCGGTAGAACGAAGTCCTTGCTATGCACTCCCGGAAAGTTAAGAGTTTCAATGTCAGCAAAACAAGAAGAAAAGGGTATTATGAGGGTGTTACAGAGGTAGAAAGCAAAAAAAAAAAAAAAAAAAAAAAAAAAAAAAGATTGTCAAGCAAGAGGATTTTCAAGCAAGAGGATTTTCAAGCAAGAGCAATGAAAGCAAAAAAAAAAAAGCTACGAGAGTAAGAGTAAAGAGTAAAGAGTAGAGTATAGGAAAGAGAAGAGAGAGAGAGAGCGAGGATAAGGAAGAGGATGCTAACGAGAATGAGAGCGAAAAGAGCAGAAAGGGGGATACAAATGTGAATAGGAAGGAAAGAAGAAAAGGGAGTGTGAGAGGTAACGAACAAACACCTCAGAGTCTACGCACACATCCACATCCACATTGACAAACAATCCATCAGGGTCAAAAAAGCGAAGAACTAAGAAAAACATGAACGATGAAGTAATTCCAAACGGAGCAAATTAAAAATAAAAAAATGTTTTTTTGTATATCATCCGTTAAGCAACCCATCCTCTCTTTTCTCCATCTCTGTTGTTTTGTTTTGTCAGCTCGTTTATGATTCAGTAGAATAGAACAAATAATCGTTCCCAGGAAGAGGAGGCGCCCGAACCACTTGGATAGAAACCACAAATGGGCATTTTTTTCCTTTCTTTTTCTTTTTCTTTCTTTTTTTATTTTTTTATTTTTTTATTTTATTTTTTTTCAAGATGAAAGGGAGCAAGATCATGTCTCTTGCCATAATGTCTGACTCTTCCTTTGCATTTTAAAAAAGTGCAAATTATGCACGAGAAGACCTAAAGAGCGTCCACTTCTTTTTTCATGGAATGACCAACTCTTCCCACACTCTTTCATATTGGTTTTTTTTTTTTTTTTTTTTTTTTTTTTTTTTTCCCCTAACATTCGTCATCCTATTCTTACTCTGCAAGACGTGTCAAAAGAAAGAACGGTCCATCATCAAAACTCTTCCGACTTCAATTCAAGAAATTACTCTTTACTCTTCAAAAGAGGGAGAGGAGGAGGGGTAGAAAACAAAAAAAAAAAAAGCATTTGATTCCCCACCCCTTTTCTAGCTTAACCGATACCATCCTTCATAGCTTCCTTCGAGAAGCGTAGATAGTCGATACTGTTTTAGAATTTTTGGCAAGGATGCATTCACAAACTTTGTTGCCTCTTTCTTAAAATGTATCCATCACGCGCATGAAAAAAAAAAAAAAACGGCCCACACGTACACATTTTTATCTGTTGCTCTCTCCCAGCTCGTCCGATTTTTTACATTTAAGCAAGCGGCATGCCTGAGCTTGTCAAATGCCATGTCGGCTCAATTGCACTATTACTTCAAGAATAGACGGCGAATTGCTAAAAAAAAAAAAAAAAAAAAAAAAAAAAAGTAATAAAATAGTAATAAAAATAATAATAATAGGGCACAAACTATTCTCACCGTCTACCATTTCATGAGACGACATATTTTCTTTTGGTTTGGTCTTTTATTTATTTATTACAGTTATTATTGTCATTACGTACACTGCGGCATTAGAGGAAAGTAAGGAAAGTTACAAAAATGATCTAAGATCTAGGATGGAGTAATGTGGAGAAAAAAAAAAAAAAAATGTGGGGAAGGCATAAAAAAAAAAGCCTTTTTTTTTTTTTTTTTTTTTTTTTTTGTAGTAGATGCAGTAACAATTGCATGGGGCAATGCGCAAGTCTATCGGGGTGGGTTTTTTTTTAAGGCCAGCCTTAAATGACAAAAAATTGGTCTTGCTCTTCTTTTGACGCCTCTTCCCACTTAATAAATAATTGACCGAGCTAAACCATTCTCTCCATTCTCTCACTACGGCAGTCTTGAAGAATACTATAAAGATCACCGTACCAATGGCTGAGACCAAGAATTCGGCTGCGATCATCAATCCGTACGGAGGCAGGTGTGGCGCCATTCCCTCTACGCACCCATCATGTGTTGCTCCCGGCTTCATCAAACAGGTCATAAACTCTGCAATATGAGGGAGCAATGTCTCTGGCTTGATCTTGGACAGTTGCAAGAAATAAAACAGCCAATAGAACATCACACTCAGGATCGCAAAGATCGCCATCACTGCAGCTCGCCATTGGATTCGGGATCGCCATCATCACATGGCGACGTTGTGAGATCATCGCTGCTGCACCAGCAGACAAGGTTGATCGCGAAACCGTCTCAGAATCAACACCTGCTTGAGCAGAAATACGTGCGATTGAATGAATGTGGCCACATGAACCAAGAGGCTGGGAAAATCATAGCAGCCATCGGATAGAAAAAGATCTCAGACGATTTTTCTTGAGAGATCAAGCCAAAGGCGTTGCAAACTCCCATCGGACTTCGCCCAGACCCAGGCACAGCTTGTGACTGTGATGGCGAGTCCCAACAGAATGTATGCAAGAGCCAATACTTGCGGGCAACCAGGCTGAATTCAGACAGTGTGCAAATGCAGATTGGAATCAACGCAGAGCACCATGCACAGGTCGCGACTGAAGCAAAAATAAGCATACCTCCTATAAAGTCGTACATATAGAAGGTGTGAGTAAGGCACAGATGCATTTTCATCAAAAGGATGAACCTGAAATTTCATACTTAAAAGAGAAAAGGAAAAAATAAAATAAAATAAAAGTATATCCTTGAATAGCACATTTTATATTATTTTGTTGAGTACTGGGGTTTATAGGTCCGAACATTGCATTGCACGAGTATCAATCAACGGGAAGATGACCACGACCGAAAAGAGGAAGACGCAGATCGAGAAGAAAAAATCAGTGCACTTGGGTGCGAGCGCTTGTCCGGCAAGAAAAGATAGGAGATCATCAGAATAAAGCTGAGGACCATCGACACTGCACGCATTGTGTTTGTAATCTTGAACCCTGTTTCCAATGCGCCTGTACGGTAAAGTGAGTATTGAGCTGGGCAAGGAAGACAGCATCCCATCTTACAGTATTGTTCGTTGGTCGTGGTCCCGCCAGGCCCTTCCATTGTATCAGCAATAAAGGGCGCTACACAAGTCATAGTTTGGTTATTGTGGTTATTGCCACCTCCTGTTCCACCTCCTGGTGGATTGCCGCCGTTCAGTGGTTTAACTACGTTGCATTCGCCATCAGGTTGGAAGAAAACTCCTTGAGGCAAAAACTGTGTTGTTCCTGGAATGGGTACATCGCAATTGGGAACTTGGTCAGCTTTGCCAGCAGCTGTCAGCAATCCTGAACATCCAGTTACAGCTGCCTGGCACGTTGACTTGCATGCAAATCTGACATTGAAGTTGCTGGCTGTTAATGAATATTGAGATGTTCAAAGAGAGAGAGAGAGAGAGAGAGAGAGAGAGAGAGAGAGGTAGGAAAGGAGAGAAAGACAATACAGTCGCGCGCTCTGATTGTGAGTCCTTCTTATACTAACAAAGTCATTATTAAAAAAAAAAGTCCATAAAAAAAAAAAAAAAAAAAAAAAAAAAAACTTACGAACATTGGTTGCTTCTACTCTTGGAAAAGAGGTAGAACATACGTATTCCATGAATGGATCTGCACAGCTAGCAGGAAGCATCGTTACTCTATCTATTCCTCTTTGAGTAAGACCCGCCTCGATGGTCGCAACATCGAGGCCCGGTGCCAACCAAACTTGGTAATCTACATAGTTCCTGCATATAGATCCATTATAATTGGTTGCTGTGGAGAGAAATTAAAGTTGAGAAGACATTCTAGTGAGTTTCATTATAAATTCTACCGATTAAGAAATAATGGGGCAAAGATTGCTCGACAATCATCGTCAAAAATTAGTTTGGTTTTCATAAGCGTTTAGAGATTATCCTGAGCCTATTGCCTCAGCTGTAGCCATGAACCCCAGAGCCAGGGTTATTATGTGTGACCTTAGTCACAAGCCGAGACATGGTTACGTAAGATGAAATGAAAGTCGGGTATATAGAGCAGAGATTTACGAATTAAGGATATGACAGGGATAAAAGAGGTTAGGGGAAAAGGGTGATGGTGAGAAGACAAGGTGAGGATGAGTGTGTATGTGACAGAAAGGAAAGGGTCGTTTCAACAAGATTATAGGATGACTAAGTTGACTTTGGATGCAGGTGGAGGTGAGAGAAGTGAAGGAGTGTGAGATGAAAGAAGAGAATGTGGTACAGAGAAGGAAGGTGAGAGTGAACGAGCGAAAATTCAACGGTCAATGGTCAACGGTCAATTGTCAACGGTCAATGGTTAGCAGTTAATAGCCAACGGTCAACAGTCAATCGCTGGCCAAGCTGAAAAAGAGGAGAGGTTAAAAGATGACAAGGTAAAAAGAAAGAAAGAAAGAAAGAAAGAAAGAAATAAAGAAAAAAGGAAGAGAGAAGAAAAGTAGAAAGAGGAATAGAAAAGAGACATCTCATTAACCTCTAGCAAATACCTTGATAGAGGCACCCAGAAGATGACCAACAAGGAATCACATTCGCATGAGTTGAATAATATTCATATTCATGTTCATGTACACAAACAAACGCTGCCCATGCGCCCTTTCCAAGCAAGATACCCAAGAGCAAGACACAAAAAATCTGAGCCCCAATGGTTTTTGTTGTCAAGGCATATTGTTACATGAATCAAACCCGAGTGAACAATGAATTCAATAAAGGCCACTTAAATGAATAAAAAGTGGATACACATGTGTAGTCGAAAACTATACTTTTCTTTTTTAGATTACTGGTTGATAGAAAGTCGTGCAAAATATACAATATATATAAATATATACTATGGGCTACTCATGATTGCTTTAATATCTTTGTTTGTATGGCCCATTATCCATTGCCACCCACTCAACAGGGCTCGATTATCCGTTAACACGGCTTATTTTATTTTTTTTTATTTTTTTTTTGGAGCATTTGATAGAGGACGCGATGACAAAAAATATCTTTTCAGGGCTTGCACAACTGTTAAACCTTTGGACAAAGGTCACCAGCCTAAAATAAAAAAAAAAAAAAAAAAAAAAAAAGAATAATATGAAATAAAAGGCTCTGAGCATTTGCAATTGGCAAAGCCCCTGTCAGTTTGACGCTGATGCTTACCATGATATAGTCTTTCAAGATGTATCTTACTAGTAAGGACAATACCATACCTCTTTAAAAATAGTGTATTGGCAGATCTCTTTTCTTTTACATTTATATTTTTGAGAGAAGATGAGGTCAGGAACCGAAATTACAATCTAAACTAACCCCCGGATATCCATATAATCCTAGCGAGATACTATGTAAGCACCCAGTTTGCTCTCCAGGGGAGTCGTAGATTCATGAAATTTGCATGCCCTCTTCTTGCTTGCTAAAACTGTGCGCCAATTTTTTTTTTTTTTTTACGCACTCACACTTTGACACTTGCTCTAGCTCTGGCTCTCTTCTTGTTCTCTGATGGTCCAAGTACAACGGGGACTATTTCCTTGGTCATCTCCTTTCTTAATGGACCTGTAATTTTACGCAAAATCCATTTTCTTGTACGACTTTCCGTAAATTAAATGCATGGAAAACAAACAAAGAAAAAAGGCCCATGAGTGGGCTTGGTCTTTTTTTTTTTTTTTTTTTTTCATTGCCACGCATGCAACTTTTTGGAAGGAAACTGTCATGTACATGTACAATAGGGAAATTAAAAGGAGGACCGATCATCTCTCTAATTTATGTATACACTTTTCGATACAGTAAGCTAGGCTGTGAAGCAATAAGGTTATAAAAATAAAGCTTGTCTACAACAGATTAAAGGGAGAATATGCTTTGCAAACTCATAATATTAACCTATTCTACTATAGCGCCATCATGGGGTCTCATTGTTAACTTGCTCTATCATACATGTATCGAGAGGATGCCAGGTGGATTCTTTTGACCACATTGTGCAGCTCAATTGTCGGCTGAGTTTAGGTTGAAATATTAGGGTTCATGGACCCTCTTGCTCCACATACTGACTATGGCTCTCGGTTCCCATTAAAAATCAGGGATAAAGTAAAAATAATCTCCGCTAATGTGGATGTTGTCAAGATGTCATTGATTTAACGATGTATATGACATATATATATATGTATATATATATAATTGACGTACTCGTGTATTTATATTTCCATTAGGAGAGCTTGTTGTAGGAGCCAATAAACCAAAATACATCACGCACAAGACTACTTGGCGCTAACCGGTGTAGTCTGTACTATTCAATAAGTACAATCCTAGACTATTTTACCCATCAGGAATGACTCTCTTGAACTTTTTATTATTAGTAATACTATTATTTCAAGTTGTCTACTTAGAACTTGGCTCTATTGCTGTTGAGTCCATATTCATATCTGAGTCCTCAATCTCAACTAGTTCCGACTCTGCTCTTTCTTGATGGGGGACACTCGCGCCAATGTATGTCGAAGTAATAGGAATTGATGAATTCGTTGTGATTGTGGTTGTGGGTTCGGTTTGAGAGGACATATTTGACACTGGTCCAATATCGCCTATATCCCCATCTGACATTGTCTCATCATTTTCGCCTTCCAACTCATCCACTTCTTCCTCGCCACCTTCTTCCAACTCATCTACTTCTTCCTCCTCCTCATGATATCCTCCACCCATCTCTTCCTCTTCCTTTCTTGATCCAAACCCTGCCCGTCGAATAGTAGGAGATTCAGTGAGCCTCGATTTCTTTTTGTTTGGTGTGCCAAGCGACGCATATGTATCACTATCATCACCCTCATCACCTCCATCATCGTCCTCAAGTTGATCATCCTCGCCATCGCCATTGCCACTAGCCTTGCCGTTTTTCGAGCCCAACGCAGCAGCGACCTTGCGCTTCTCTGATGACGATTTTGTAGATGGTTCTTCATATCGTTGCATGATATAAGTTTTACTACACTTATCAGCATTAGGCAAGTCCTGAATCATTTTGGCAATAGTGGCGTTTGAAAATCCAAAATAGTCTGGGCCTGAGGCGGAATTAGAGTGATCACGCTTGGGATCGAGTTCGCAGCTTTGACGACATGGGTCCATGCCCCTGTGGCCGTCCCTGCAATGATGGGTTTCCCTGGTTGATCTTCTGCATCAATTTGAAACTGGGGGCGAAGGGAAAATAGATATCTCAGTAAGAAATACAATGCTCAATTGAAATGCCCCTATAGTATCGTAAACATTTAAGACCTTAGAAATACAAAATATACGATGATGTGCTTTACCTTCGGCGCCTCGCCATCATCGATAACGCTACAAGTGTATGTCGTCTGCTGAGTTGGATCAATCATGCTATTGTAAGATCGTGACATCTTGTACCCAACAGGCCAGATATATCGTTCATTGTGAAAAGCTTCTCGATCATAGACAACGTGTCGAGATCCATGATGGTGATAATCCCTACTGTCACTGGTAGTTTCACATTTCCATGCTCATCTCTTTCAATAGGCTGAACTTTGCGAACCTTGCTAGACAGGAAGGCCTCAATTTGGTTGTGTTATGAATTCTCTTTGGTTTCTGGGTGGCTGATCCAACATTGGTGATGGTCGATGGTGTCGAAACAGGCCTATCTTCTTTCTTTCCAATTCCACTAGTTTGTTTACGTATGCCTGTGCCCGCCACTGCTTTATTGACTGTCTTCTTAGGGTGGTGGGTTGTTGCAGGTGCAGAAGAGGGCACATCTAAACTTTTATTGGTTCCTGTTACTTTGGATTGTTTTTTAGAGGATGACGGTGCTGTAGAAGTGGCTCGTAAAGGTGATGCCCTTCTAGATCTGGATTGATAGAAACTATTAACAGACGAATCTGATACATCACTATCGCTGCTCAATGATGATAAAGTATCAGGGCTCGAGTCAGACTCCCGTTCATAAGCACAAGATCCAGTAGCAAGCTGTAGTTAAATGAAGATACAATATATATATATATATATATGTATATTAAAAAAAAAAAAAAAAAAAAAAAGTGTGAATAGCCAAGTAAATAAATGATTTGGCCACAGCGCAATCTTCAATTCAGGTTACCAAAGAGAAAGCAACCAACATACTTTTTTTCTTGACGCAGCTGGCGCGCCCCTATTGGAATGGCCCAATTCAATGCTCAGTCGCTCATTCTCCTGTTCAAAATAAGGGCAAAACGGTGTCTTTTTAGTGTCGTGAATAATAGCAATAATAATAAAAGATAAAAAGTGCACTTTTTCAAAAAGATTTTTCAAGGCCAAGACAAAAGTGCCGTAAAGGACATAATAAATTCAGATCTATGCCTTTACCTCTAATACTTGTTTGAGTTTCCGCTTGAGTCGCTTGTACTTTTCATCCGAAGGTTGATGGGTATCATGATCTACATCTTGATCATCGACATGACGTGATACTCGATCTTCAATCTTTTCGTTTTTATGGTGATTACGCCCACGTCCGTTCACCAAGTTCATTATTTGCTTCATGTCTCCTGCTCTCTTTGCCGATCAGGCTCTTTGTCATTTTGTGGTCACCATTCTGAAGGATTTTGGTGGCAGTGGTAGCGGTGGCAGTTGAGGCCACTGTGGCCTGCTGGTGTGGCCCTTCCTAGCAGCTTCAGAGCAGAAGCTACCTCTAATGGATCTTTAATATTTACAATAGCTGTGGTTTCATCATTCTTGCCATCCACCATAACTTTAGCAGCATTGGATTCATCCGCTAACACCAAGGCCTCTTTTGCTTTGACAGGCAGAGCATTTACATGTTTGTCACCTCCGATAGTAGTTGCCTCCATGTCCCTATCCTTAATCATGCTCGATTCGATCAAAGTTTCTGCAGATCCCGGTGGCGTTGCGGGACGCATGTCGACGTCAGTGTTCGATGGTGCCATTTTTTTCCCTGTTGGGTGACAACTTCAAAAAAAAAAAAAAAAAAAAAGTAGACTTTGTAAATAAAATACGAGCATTAACAGTCCACAGCATCCGACCGTAATGGCCTGCTCTTGTCTTGCTTTAATATCAAGGCTGAACATTGTTATGCGTTAATTGACCCCGCTGTACCCGCGTGTCGCGTCCTCTTTATGTATTTAGTGCTACAAGAGATAGAGGAAACTGAAAATAAAAGAGAATCTAGTTTTTACAGTAACAGATGACGTGAAGCACCTAGATTAACGCGAAGAATAAGAGGTTGTTAAATATATAAGAAGGATGAGGGGTTTGATCGGATGTAGAGATGTGAAGGATGAGAGCAAACGAAGAAGGGAGAGAATGAGAATAAATAATATAAAATGAGTTAAAGAGTGAGGATGAAGGAAAGAAAGCAGATGAAAAATATTTTCATGTCTGTTGTTTACAAATCAACCCTGGTCTGGTTTTGGAGTGTCTGTCTGTCTTTAGTGCTCTTGTCTCTGTGGACCTCCGAAGCAAGCGAAGGAGGAGTTGACTGGCCTGGCTGAGCTTTATTCCCAAAAAGAAAATAACATTTCAAAGACACTTGTCATGGAACAGGATGAGGTCTAACTCGTTTCTTTTATTTCATTTCAACCAAGTAAAGAGCTTTTCTTCTTGTTTATTATTGGATTGTGTTGGAATACAATCATGCACCCCTTTGTATGAGGTCATGGGAATGAAAATGACACGAAATAGAAAGAAAGAAAAGGTAATGTACAAAATGGCAATGGAGGTGAGCTCAATTGTGCACACGATCAAAGAGAAGGTCACGTGACTAAAGTAATGAAGAATGGGAGATTTGAATGTTCCTGAAAGCAAATTGGAAACAAGAACAAAACAAAGAGGCCATCATCCACTGTACATCCTCAAGCCATATTACAACTCTCCATTGTCAGAAAAAGTATCAAGAGCGCTGTCCAACTATCCAAATATGTATGTTGATATAGACGAACGGCTCGCAGTCAATAGTAGCTTTGTTTATTCTCTCCACAGCGTTAATTCCTCCTCTCAGGACTGTGCCCAAGGAAAGGACATTTTCCCATGACATCCTCCAATCTAACCGCATTGACCTGGTGGGGAAAGATTCTCCTATTGATTAAATAGGGATTACCTTTAGTGTGACAGAAAAAAGAAAAAAGCACTTATTTTTAACCCCTCTTGGATGTCACTAATGGCTTTTCATTTGAATACATTGGTCTTTAACTTTCACAACTACATGGACATGTTTAATGGATCGATGTCATATTTTTGCACGCTACGAGAATTGTAGTTGGCGTAGATGATCATTGGCTGCACCAATCTGCGCCGTCCGTGCTGTCCTAATTGCACATCGGGACGTGCTTGTCGCACAAAATACTGTAAATGTCATTTGAGGAGCAGGAGTGCCCTCTCTTCCTTCATTCGATTGACAAAGAAAGAAACCATCCTTGGTTGGATGCAGGAGCAGGTGGTACCAGCATTGACGCATACACAGACACGATATTCGTGACCAGCACTTGGAGCATCTATATCAAAAAGCGTGCAAGAAAGGGGACCGACACTGGCACCAGCACCAGCATACATAAGCAAGAGTAGATGCTGCCGATGTTCCGACCACCCATAGCCAATAACACGCAAGGAAAGGCACCAGCGCAAGCACAAGCACAAGCACTAGCACAGGCAGCAGCTGCCCAAATCCCCGAGGCAAGTTATCGTTGAGCCATCTAGGGGTATATAGATAGTGAAGAAGATTGAATTTCTTGTGCTTGTCATCCACATGATTAACGAATACCAGTACTTTTGAGACATCCAATCGTGCACAATGGGTTTTCAAAGGTGAATTGTATTTTTTATTTGTGAATATTTCTGTTTTATACCAACAACTTGGTCCCCTGAAGGTGAAAGCAACGGTAAAAAGTAGTTCAGTTTACTCCTGCTCCTTCTCCAGAGAGTTTCCTCCTCATGACCCTTCTTAATATTCAAGGCAAGGGCCACTATTCGTCTTTGGTCCGTTCTAGTTTTTTGCAAGGCTTAAAAGTGTGGTTTGTTGAAAACGAGTTCTTTTTTCTTTTTTTAGTATTTTTTTTTTTTTTGCTTTTTGTTAATTTTAAAATGTTTTTGATGCTTTTTTTTTTTTTTTTACTGTAAATTCGGGATTGAGGACAAGGGAAAAATGGATGTCATGCCAATGCCTTTTGAATCAATTTTTTGTGGGTTCCGGCGACAAAAGATGCAAGGAGGTTAATGATTTAAGAGAAGAGTCTCTCCCAAAGCGCAGCGCACCAAAGAGCAACCAATGGTAACGGTCTGGAAGACAGCGTTATCATCCTCAAGTGAAGGGTTAACCTCCATCAAATCCATTGAAACTAAACATCCGGTCTCGTGAATAGCCTCGCAGATGTAATGACCCTCACGGAAGGTCAGTCCTCCACGAACGGGTGTACCTGGATATTTTTAATAAGACAAAAATTAGTCTCCAAGGCTCTAAAAAAAAAAAAAGTAAACAATCTAATGCCAGCGTCTGACTAATGAGCACATTCTTTTTCAGCATACCAGTGGAAGGGGCGACTGTAGGGTCGAGAGCATCAACGTCGAAGCTGAGATGGATAGGGTGTGAGAGGTTGGGAGAAATATGTTCGATGGCCATCTCAAACAACCTTAGAGATACCATACTTATCAACCTCGTGCATTGAGAAAGCCTTAATGCCATGCTCCCGTAAGATCTTTTTCTCGCCAGCATCGACATCGCGAAGACCAATATAGACAATGCGATCAGGCTAAGGCAAGGCTTGACCCAGCTAAACTCATTGATCTGTCCAGCAATTCCAAGTAAGAAGGAAATAGGGCAGCCGTGGATATTGCCGCTCTCCAGTGCTCTCGGGGTGTTGATATCCTAGAATTTTTTAAGTACATAATTTTATTTGAGTATTCAAACCTTTTTCTTTGTTCCGTGGAGGTTTTTTTTTTTTTTTTTTTTTTTTTTTTGGTTGTATGTAGTGATGTAGTTCATTTTGGTAATTTGGGAAAGCACATTCCATCCAACAATAAAAAAAAAAAAAGGAGAACAATTACAAAAAAAAAAAAAACGCTTGTCATTACTCCAAATGGTCAACTTACAGCGTGAGCATCAACCCAGATCAAGCCGGCATTGGGGTGAACGGCCATAGTTCCAGAGACAGTTCCAAGGCGATAGAATGGTCACCACCCAAGGTAAGGGCAAGGGAGCCCTCCTTGAGATGAGTAGAAACGGATTCAGCAACAGATTCCGTCACAGCAGAAACATGGCGAGCATTGAGGAGCTTGCCAACTGGAGGATCAGAGGCAGGCTTCATGGCAGTGTAATCGCGGTGGCCATCAAACTTGACCTGCCAGTTGAGTTCCTTGAGTTGGTCCAAGAGTCCAAACTCGATGATCTTGAGAGGACCAAGGTCAACACCAGCTCTAGGCTATCAAAGAATTAGGGGCAGAAAAGATTGAGTGAGTTGCCATTAGAAAGGTATAAAGAAAGAGGAAAACTACAGTTGTGTATTGATTCGACAGCTCGAGATGTAGAATGCATCTCACATGAGTTTTTACATTCTCATCTGATCGTTTTGTCTGATCAATGCTGATCAGATCCAATGTTTGTTTGCTGCGGAGAGCACTTTCATCATTGGTTTAAATAGGATGCGATTGGCACTGAAATAGCATTTTATATTTACCTGGCCACCAGAGAAAGGGACGCCAACAACGCCAACAGACTTTTGCTTAAGGAACTTGTGCTGGACAGAAGACATGGCAGTAATAAGAAGAAGTAAAATAAATGAAGGAAACGAATGAAATGGATGAGGAAAAAAAAAAAAAAAAGAAGAAAGAAAAAAAAGAAAGTGGAGGTTTTATTTTTGACGATGTGAGATGGGTCCCGCCTAGTCTTTGAGCGTTCGTTGAAATAAAAGTTAGACGACCCAACTAAAATGGAATTGTTGAATTTGTTCCCACAATCTGTTTATACGTTTTATTCGTTTATTTATACCATATAATTTCTGTGTAGCAGTCATTCTATCTTACAACTCCGCTATTTGTATTCATGTAGTGGATCCATCGCACAGGGAGGATTTGTTATCTGCCTTGTTCTGGAAACTCAAGCTGTAATCAGGTGGTTCACCAAATCACTCCTTGCCTTTTCTCCTTGTCTCCTTATCCTTTCAATAGTCTGATCAACGTTGACATGTTGACATGGCCATGCACTAAAAAAAAAAAAAAAAAAAGACCCGATGATATCATGCCCACATTGCTCCTGTTGAGCCGGAATTTGTTTTTGGCGAGATCCCGAAGCAGGAACCGATGCACAGACAATTCTGGATGCATTCACTATCTCATTCTCTTACTTTCTTTCTGTCTTTATCCCTCTTTATCATTTTCCAGCTACTATTCTTCATACACACTTCATATGTACGGTTATCAAAAATATCTGTCTAAACAGTTTCTAGACATGTGCATACAACAACTTCCTAAAGGTTGACTGCTTGGATGATTGTGCAATATCACTGTTTTCGTAGGCTTTTGGATACCGTGTCGACGTCTGTGGGAAGTAGGAAGCTGTTTATGACAGACATCCTAATAGAATCAACTGTGAGTGACTTTGTGGGATGTTTGTCGCGGTAAGTGTTCATGAATCATGGATATTTTGTAAAAATTAACAAAGCTCATCCCTGGGCGCATATCTAACGACATTGACGAGAAGTCATTCGCTACTTTTATGCCCTGTGTGCTTTAATAAACGGGGTTATACTCGCTCACTGGTTGCAGTTTGTGGCTCTTTTTTTTTTTTTTTTTGGTATTGAATAAAAGGATATAAGACCAAAGAGATATGAAAAAAAAAAAAAAAAAAAAAAAAAAAAAAAAGAGAGTTCAATGGCTTTGATTCTGTTGAGGAACAATGGAGTAAGGAGATCGAAGAGTGAGAAAGCGAGCGAAAGAGAAAGGAGGAAATGAAGAGGTAGGAGACTGCTCGAGGCACACAAGAGCTTTTATTTGGTTGCGCTCAACTCCGTTCGACGCGTTTGTCACTGATAACTTTCTGTAGTATGCACATGTTTGATTGTTGGTGACAAGCATGTCGTGATTGTACGTGTCCGTTGCTGTGCGGAGCTGTACGAAGCACGCTATTCTGACTCTAATCAGCATTTGTTCTTTTACCCACACTGCCGTTTTTGGTAGATCATAAGGTAAAGAGATGCAAAAGCCCTATGTCAGATTTTGCTGCAGAATTTCAAGCGGGACAGGGCTGATCTCTGTGGAATTCTTCACCAAGCCTATGTAGCTGGTCTCTTAGTATGTGGATCAAGAGACCACATGCCTGCAAAGCTTCAAGAGCTTGCTGATCGAATAAAAAGTACATATTGAATGTTGGTGGCCAAAAATGCTTCATAGAATAGCGGGAGAACACGTGTTCAATTAAGGCATGTTGTCAATTAGACGTATTCATTTTTCTCCTTTTTTTAAAAAAGTGTTTTTTCCTACTTTCTTTAGTCTTCATCATTTCATTCATCCTCCTACAGGCATTCAATTGAAAAAAGAAAGGCTTCTTAACATCGATTAGACAAGGGAAAGCGTGTCAAAGCCCCTACATTCACATTTATACATTGCGCTTACCTAAAAGAATTAAAATAAAGAGATAATCATGCCTTTAGTAAGATCACACGCCAAAAAAGTGAAGCCAGTTCTTCATGTGCAGCTCAACACACCACAGCCCAATTCCGCCACACCGTCACCAATACCGGCTTTAAATGTAAGAGAATATGTTGATGCTTTTAAAGAGGCTGCTGCGTGGCACAATCAAACACAGAGACTGTCTACCACGAGTGAGTGCTTTTCTGTACGATACCGGCCACTAACTTCCTGCCTTTCTCGATTGCCATTCACCATTTTCCACTCATTACACTCATTACACTCACTACTCACTACTCACCATACGCGCTATTATAATACCACATGTCCTGGTGTCCAGCCAAGATCTTTAACGGATTATTTGGATCGGAATCCAAGAGATCCGGCACGCGTAGCTCACTATGCAATTGCTTCAGGAGTGGATAAGGACACGCGGTTGACAAGAAGTATTCCAGACACTCCAGGAGGCTCACGAGCATCTGACCCATTGATGAACTATACTCTTCGGCCAGAGGACATAGTTACTGTTAAGAAATTGGGTGAAGGTTCCGCAGGCACAGTAAGCAAAGTCAAGCATGTACCTACAGGCTTTATTATGGCGCGAAAAGTAAGCACCTACGTTTTTGTTGACTCATTGGCTGTTCGTATCTGTTGAATTCCTTCAAAAGGACAAAGATTGTTACAGGATCGGGGTTTTTTTTTATTTTATTTTATTTTGTTCTAGCCTGCATCGGCAGTGGCCTTGCACTGATATCAGCCCCTTTTTCATTTTATGAACACAGAGTAATAATGACAGCCTGACATTACCTATGCTAACCTTTCTTTACCCCATGACTTTCCTTAACCTCACTTTATGTAGCACGTTCGCTGTGATCCTAACCCAGATTTTCAAAGGTTGTTGGAGCGGGAACTCAAGACATTGGATCGTTGTCATTCACCATGGATTGTAACCTTTTATGGTGCTTATATGGATGGCGATGAATTGGCAATCTGCATGGAGTATTGCGAAGGAGGAAGCATGGAGTCGGTCTATAAGCGTGTCGCCGAGAAGGGGCAGTCCATCTCAGAAAAAGTATTGGGCAAAATCAGCGAGGCTGTTCTCAATGGTCTCGTTTATTTACACAAAATGCACCATGTCATTCATCGAGGTAACGTCATAGCTTTTCTTTTGTGCAAGCTCAGACTGGGAATATGATTTATATCACCTACAGTTCTGTGTTTTCTTGTTCTGAGCCTGAACATACTATTTCTCTCTTGTAACAAACAGATTTGAAGCCATCAAATATTGTGGTCACAATGGAAGGCAATATCAAGCTCTGCGATTTCGGCGTAAGCGGGGATCTGGTCAACTCTCTTGCAGAGACGTTTGTTGGCACAAGCTATTATATGGCAGTAAGTAGGGGTGCTTCAACATTGTTTTACAGACAAGTCTTACTTGGTCCTTTCTTTTTTTTTTTATTTTTTATTTTTTATTTTATTTTATTTTTTCCTATCGTCCGCTAATTTATTTTTAATATCCGTATGATTTCTAGCCCGAAAGAATCCAAGGAGGCAAATACCCTGTACAGTCTGACGTATGGTCATTAGGCATGACAATGGTGGAAATAGCTCAAATGAAGTTCCCTTTCCCAAATAATCTTGCTCCTTTCGAGTTATTAATGTGTATCGTGAACCAGCCTGTACCGTCATTACCAGAGGATGAACCTTGGTCAGAAAATTTTAGGGATTTCCTCGCACAGTGGTATGTTTTCTTTTGTTATTGTTGTTCTGAAAATCGACTTGTTACAGATTCTTATAGCTTCATACTAATTCAATAGCTCATGTTTTTGATATTATCGATCTTTTTTTTATTGGCATTATTAATTTCACCATTATTGAACTATTATTGCTACCAACACTTGACTGAATTGATAGCATGATTAGGGATTTCAGGAAAAGACCTACGCCAGAACAGATCATGGAGCATCCTTTCATTGTTGAGTCATCAATACGTACTACAGAAGAAGTCAATATGAAGAAGTGGATCCATGATGTTTGGGATTATGATAGTAATTCTGTAGACCAGGATACCCATGTTTAAGCAACTAAATAATGTTTTTGTTTAGCCATCATTAAAAAAAAAAAAAAAAAAAAAGGGGGGGGATTGAAAGTGAGCTGCCGCCATAATGCTTTGAACAGCCATAATAGGACAATTAATGAATAGGGTAGGTAATACATAGGATGCGGAATAACCCTGCGCGTTTGTACATTTCTGAGACGTAGTATTTCTCTCCTTGACTCAGAGTTTGTTTCAGGACGCGTCTCTCATCAGGGGGACATTTTGACAAGTCAGGGCTCTTTGGCATAAAAAAGAAGCTCTGCACGTCCATGTTCTTTTCTTGCGCATGCATCCTGAAGATCCTTGGACGATTTTTTATTTATCATCTGCAACCCCTTTGTAAACAATAAACCCGAGACGGACTTTCCGACGGAATGCCATTTGCTGCCTTTCAATATTTTTTTTAGAAACAAATCCTTGGAAATGACTGTCGTCATGGTTAATGACAATTAGTCCTGTCACTCAGCGGAGACGCTTTTTTTTTTTTTTTTTTTTTTTTTTTTTTTTTTTGGCTGTGCCTTGAAAATAAATGCTACCCGACAATTGTTATTGTCATTGTCTTGTTTTTTGGCTTCTTTATTTGTCTTTGACTCTGTCGTCTCTGTCGTCTCTGTTGTCCCTCTTCCGTCCCTCTCATTCATCTGCTCGATTCATCTCATTGTCTTTTTTTTTTTTTTTTTTTTTTTTTCTCATTCATTTTCACACACATATACGCTCTCTCACTTTATCCTTTGACACACTTGACTTCGGATTATTATTATTATTATTATTATTATTATTATTATTAAATTCCTAATCTCCTTTCCCCTCCTTAACTCTTCCAAAGCTATTTTGCGTCTAGTTATAATCAGTAATTGTTAGTGAGCAAGGTATGATCTTGTAATATCTATTAAAAACATGCCATTGAACGCTCCTGCTCTGTGGATTCATCATGCTCCCTTTTTGTCCTACCATCCTGTAGTTTGCCAAACATTAAAAATAAGACTAAATATGGTCCAACAGGAGAAGCATCTACTCATACTATTATTATTGGTTGCGAGGCTGTTGTGATTTGTTGTCATTATCATCTTTCAAATTACCTTGAATCAGTTCTGTCGCGTCATTTGAAAGCCTTTTCTCCCTTCTTTCAGATCAGAGTATTGTCTCTGGTCGTGATTCAACTTGCCATCTGAAAAATTAGTGTTTTTATTGATTTGCCACCATTTTTTTTTCCCGTGATTGCCCTTTATTTTTTCCTATCTCATCAAACGTAACAACCCGTGCCCGTTCCTGTTTCTGTTTCTGCCCTTGCATTGGCAATTGATATGTTGTCATTCACACGACACGATTTGGTCTGAAGAAAAAGAAAAAGAAAGTATCTGGAGAAATCAGTCAATCCAACTCTAACCGAAGAGTTAGAACGTGGATGGTCGTGGAATGGAGTGTGGCCAAACTATTATTTAATGATTTGATCAGCCGTTGAAGAACTTTTGTTTGCGAGAAAGGGCTCATCAATGTTGGTCTGGTTTTTTTTTTTTTTTTTTTTTTTTTTTTTTCAATTTCCCGCCACTAAACACTTGTTCACTGGCGCTGCTGTAGTTACTATACACCTTCAACTTCAACTTCAACTTCATACTGCTCTCCTATCTGTTTCCAACAATGGTCGCAACCGATTTATTTTTTTGCGTGTCCTCTCTTGGCAACACCTAAGTCTTTTGTTTCGTTCAATATTTTTTGCAGTGTTTACAGCATTAATTTCGTGTGCTTTTTCCTCAAGTTGTGGTGTTTGGGGGTTTGGTGTCATGAGCAGAATGTTAGACTCACAATCGATTATTCGTCCCTTTCACTCCCTATTCCCCCCCTGGTTTTTTTTGTAAACTTGCAACTCCATCTCGTTGACAGTCCAGCCTGAGTTCCACCTATTCTCTCTTGAATCTGCTCGATATTCACGACGAACAAAACCTGATCAAAAAAAAGAACGTCTGCTCCTCCTTTTTTCGACCAAGATCAGAGGTAATTCCGATTTTTACATGTTGTTAAAGCGTTATCAACCTCTTCCTCAATCGCTTGCTCCATGGATCGTGAGTCAAAAGAGTGGAAATTATACCCCAAATGATCCTGAGAGTTCATGTCTTCCTTGAGTGAGACAATGGAAGAAGCTTATTGTAACTCGAATCGAATCGAGATGTGGATGATAAGTACAAAAGTCCTGTGCATCATACCCGGACAGTTTTTTGGTTTATTTTTTGCATGAGGCCCAAGAGTCCTCTGGGAACTATCAGCCGTCGCGAGATGAACTGAGCAAGGCATCTTCTAAAGTTTTCTATTCCCCTTTCCTCCTTTTTTTTTTTTTTTTTTTTTTTTTTTTATCTCTCTGGGCTTTATCACTTCGTCAGCTAACGATATTTCGAAGAACTCTTGCTTCACTATTGCAGTTCTTCCCTTGCCCTTCCTGGTCTCTTGTCTCTGCCCTCTTTCCTGCTGCTGACTTTTGGCTCATCGCTTCCGCTCTCATCTCACTTCGTTGCCTTGGTTGCGTTCATTCTCCAGACTCTCGTCTCAATTGCTCTGGTCAAAAGGTGCGCATAATGCATCACCGATTCACGTTTTATGTCTTGACTGTGTACACTTCCTTTTCCTACAATCGACCCACTCTTGTTATTCCTTTTCGCTTTTGTGTCGGCACACATTTCAACTTGACATGCACTCCAGCTCTCGCTTTTAAAATTATCATCTCTGGATTACTTTCACTCCATTAACTTCATCGCCAAAACTGCTACTCGTTCGCCTCCTCTTTATTTTGTTTCTCTCTATTTCTAATCTTCAAACCATTCACACACATACACTGATACGCTCAACGCACTGTTGGCTTATGAAGAGCTGTTTTCCCACACAAATAATCTGGCTGAGAAGAGAAAGGTTCATTTTTAAGGAGTAGTTGATTTTCAGATCAATTGGACAAAGAGTACAAAAGGACAAAGTCTTTTGGTATGGGGTTGCCCAAATATGATGAAGCAACTCCTGGGCAAAAAAAAAAAAAAAACTGGTGCCTAATCGAGGCAGAAACAGATAGAATACGTTTGAGTTCCACATTCGTTTGTTCCACTTGTCGTGCTTTTCCTCACCATCTCAATCAACCTCCGCTGACTGCTCTTCATGATATCATCTGGGGATCGTCTGTGCTATTTAGCCAACACAATTGATCCCTGTGGCCCTACACCACGAAAAGACAAGTGTTCTGCTCAACATGTCTCTCGATGTCGCACATCTCTCTCCCACTAAATCAAGCGAGCCCTCGACAAGTATAGACATTAGGAGACCGAAGCGCCAGTCATCTATCGGGCGAAAGAGCAGGGTCCAGAGAGATAATATTGAGAATGCCCTATCCCCAGCTTCCGCAACTGTAAGCCTTGCAAATCTTCCGATCCAGAAGCAGTCCACAAAGATCCGGAAAAGGCTTTTGACTGAGAACCAGACCGCTCTCTGTTCCAGCGACAGCCTCTCAATCAAGAGACACAAGATCATTGTAGAAGATCGTACGCATGCTTCGGCTGTCACAGCTGTGTCTGCCACGCAGAACGTCACGTCGCTACATCGTACCTTGTCGGATAAGTCGTCCTATCTGAATCGAGCATCTCTTGCCGATGTTGGTTTCGATCGCAAGGAAACTTTGTCAAAGTCTCAGTCCACGTTGACAAGCTGGCGGAAAGAGTCTCAGACGAAGCGTAATGGGTCAGAAAGCGAAGATGCAGATGATGAAGACGACGCATTGAGTGTAAATACCACCTCCTGTACTGACAATACCTTGATATCTTCAGAATTTCCAAGCTCTGAAGTTGCCAATAACATGAATCATTCACAGGCGACCAATCCAGATCTTACTTTGAATCTGGTCAATGAATCCCTTGTGCAAACGTCCCCTATCGGAAGCCTGTCGCCTCCATCCAATGATGATGATCCTTTTGGAAGTGATACTACATTGACAAGTCCAGAGGAAGACTCAGATGACGAGCATGGAAGTGATTGTTCGTCTTCACCACGAACTTCTCAGTCTTCTGGGAACTTTTTCTCGGCATTCTCCCCTCAAATTAGCTCTCCTGAAAAATCCATGATGCCCACGACGATCGTGACAACTGCTCCCATAGCACCAGCAACAGTAGCCATAACAGCCACAACTACTGTCAAGCGAAGAGGACCTGGCAGACCACGTAAGAATCCAACGCCTGTTTCTACCAGTGTTTGCCCTACAAAGGCTCGTCATACTAAGCCTGATGAAGATGTTGCAGCCTCGTTCGCCAAGCTACCAGACACAACTCCAGCGACAACTCCAGTAATGACCCCAATAGCGACCTCTCCACCCAAGCGAACTTCGTTTGCGAAGCTTTGGCAGAACCATCCTATTCCATGCTCGCCATGTATTAAGCAGGATCTGCCAACTATCAAAATGCGTGGATCGCTCATGGCCCGTATCATCGAAGGCAAAAAACAATCGCAGGCTCTTAACGATGATACTGAATTTTCAGATTCTTCTGATGATGTGGATCTGGCGCCCTTGTTGACCAGGCTTACCAAACATAGATCTGAATTACCTCGGAATGCCATGGTTGTCGAAAAAGCTGCTGCAACCATAGACCCTGCGCTCGAGCTTGCCCTTGCAACCGTGACAAAGGAACTGGCTTTGACTACAATGCTTTCGCCTGTTAAGTCTGAAGATCACTTGTTTGTTGTACCCACCTTACATTCTCCCCAAATCGCTGGTGCCAGCGATTTGACACGCTCTACTCCCCCCAAGCTCCCAACGCACAAAACTTTTACTAATACCCCACGGCGTACTATCGCCAAACAAGTCCATACGCGCCCATCCCTCCGGAGTGTCCCTCGTCCTCAGCTTTTCCAGACATGCCTCGATATCATGACTCAATCCAACCCAGACCGGCACCGATCTAACGTACAATCCATTAAGGTGATGCTAAAGCATGCTCTTGAACGGGGCATGCGCAAAGTAAAAGAGTCGGCGGACGAAAGCGAGCTGGTCTCGACAAAGGTCGCTGAGCTCGATGCAAGTTCTCTTCAGCAGCAAGCTTGGGGTTGTGTCATTGGAAATGGAAAAGGCCTCTTCCAAAGTTCAACCCGCAAGCAAGAAGAGCAGCAACGCATGTCCGAAAGGCAGACCATGGTAGCAGATGCATTTCGATTGCTTAATCTCCCACCTCCACCCGAGAACTGGGACAAATCATCTAAAGTCATTAGCGCTGGACTCTCATTAACCAGCGACACTTCTTCGGCCTTCATGGATGCTGCGAGTTCCCACCGATTGTCTACCGTCAAGGAAGACGCTCTAGATCATATGAGCCGTCGCCTCGGGTGCCAGTACTGCAGAAAAACATACAAAAACAGAAGCGGGCTTGTATATCACATGGAACGTTGCACAATGGCAAAATTAGTAAGTAACAAGCTCGTTTTTCAATTAATCAATGAACCGAGAAATCGAAAAAAAATAAAATAAAATAATAATAATAATAATAATAAATAAATAAGTAAATAGACACTAACACATTATTCCTAACATAGCAAACATCGATGTCTAGAGACTTGGATGGTGACTCGACTGCATCAGAAACTGAGGATCAACGCAATTCAAGGTTCTCTAGGCCTTCCGAAGGCAAAGGATCCAATAAGGACATAAATGGTGAGCGCTCTAATGATGATGAGTACGAAGACGAAGAGGGCATTATCATGTGTGTATGCGGCTCCAAAAACGATGAAGGGGCTATGGTTCAGTGCGATGACTGCAAGGTCTGGCTCCACATTGACTGCCTAGATCTTGCCGAAGAAGATATTCCAGAAGAATACTTTTGCCCCTCATGTCAGGGCTTGCCCATCCCAAGTACTGGAGGAAAGTCATTTAGACACATCCCAACCAAGTCTCCCAAGCGTAAAGCTGAGCAGCGTAGACCAGGCCGTCCCCGTCGTCGATGCAAGAGCGAAGAAGTTCTGTCTGATCAAGAAAGATATGTACAGAATGAGCTCAGACTTGGAAGTGAGAGCGATTCGGATGATGCAGACTCGATGGATGATGACAGCGGTTCCACTTTAAGAGGATTAGTATCACCTCAGGTTGTTTTGAGCCATGACTGGGAAGGAGACAATAGGGACCCCTCAAGTAACCTTGGGTATGACAGTGAACTCATGGGTTCATTATTCAATGGCAAACCCACTCGGGCCATCTTCAGACAATCACTCGCTCCAGCATTGATGCTTGATGGTTCGTCTAGTCAGGAGAGCCAATCTGACATAACGGCTCCTCTTGTTTCAAGCGATATTGGTCTTGATGATGGGAACAGCATGCTCTTCCAAGTTGTGGATGGAATGGAACTCTCTGCGATGGGCATTCAGCTGGGTTCTGAGACGGACATGTCTTTCCATAATACACCATCATTTGATTACTTACCATCGTCGAGTGGCTCATTCCTGGAGCTGGACCTCGACGAAACCAATCCGGATCACCTCTTGACCTCGGAAGATACCCTTGACTCAGAAAAGGCAGTATTTGAACGTGATGATTGCCTATCTTTGTTTACAAGAGTCAATGGAGCCTGTATATGTGATTTAAAATATCCAAATATCTGTGCCTGCGACAAACCAGCGACAATAGACACTCAGCAAGGAGAGGATTTGTTTTCAGATGACATCTGTGCGCGATAATGTAACTAGATCTGTCTAAAAAATGATCACATCACATCGCCTAGAAGTCAATGTAGTATTTTTATTTTCGCTTCATTAGGCCTTCCTCGGCTTAGAATTTGTAGTTTTATAAAAGAGCAGGCGGTCTTTTTTTTAAGAATTATGAGTATCATTCATGATTTTGGGTGCAACAGTTTGCAAGCGGTCAGATGTAATTAACCTTGGAAGGTTGTTGACGTCACTTGACGCTACGCGAATTATTTGAGCATTGACAGGTTTTCAGGGGAACGAGGCTTGGGACTTGTTTCTTCCCAACTCTGATCATCTGTTCTCAGTAAGTAATCAGCAGAAGCAACATTCATGTCCTTTCCTTTCATTCAACAAACATCCAGTAGCTAATCCAGGAGTGCCGCTGAATGCTATTGACATCATGAAGGAGAATGACACGTAATTCGCGACAATGATAACAGTATTCTTTACTTCAACTAGAGATCGTATCGCATATAGCTCAAACTTTCTATGGCGGTCATTGTCCAGGAGATGTCGTCATGCTTTGGAGAAAGCTCAGTAAAAAGCAAAAAACCAAGTTCCTTATAGCTTGCTCTGAGGTAGTTGTTAAAAGCACGCGACAGGGAAGTTAATATACTTGTCAAGCTCGATGAATTGAAAACTTCACCAGCAAACATCCAGCAGGAAACAGCTACAGAATTCTCCCTGGACTTCTTCATGAAGGGCACTGTTTTGTATATCGAACTATCCCATGCTATCAAGGCTGATGGCATCGGACGCATCGAGGAAGCATCGTTATGTTTAAAGCAGTGAATATAAAGAATTTATGCATATGAACCTCTCTGCCTTAGTTGCAATCCTCGCTTTAGGCAACGCAAACACAGCTGGCAGGGATAATAAATGTGCTCCAGCTGACTTGTATCAAGGGCCCTATAAAAAGAGCACAGGTCACCCAATATATCCAATTCAATAGTTCAAGGGAGTAGGATGTTGACGACTTCTAAAGAATATGATTTCTTATGACTTGGGACGTTAATCATCCTAGTAATGTGATCTGTAGAAACATAAAAGATATTGACTGATCAGGGGAACGACGATAATGACGAAGAAATAAATGGGGGTGATGCTTTTTATTTATTTTCTACAAGTGACATAGTATATATATTCGATCTCTGTTATGGGAAAGTTTAGTATTAAGGGGAGCAAGATACACCATATTTTTTACCTTGTAGCATTCATGGAGAGAGTAAAAAAAAAAAAAAAAAAAAGAACATTGAACATTGGACACAGAATGTAAAACGGTGTATCGCCATTTTTTTTTTTTTTTTTTTTTTCTCCTAAGTTGCTCTCATTAACACTATTTATTTTTTGCTCACTGTACCAAAGGACCAATCATTATCCATTTATTTCAACACGTCCTGAGAAGCGATCGTTTTTTGCTGCGCCAAAATCGACTCCTTGCATCCCTTAGTTTCTTTTGTCCTGAAAAAGTCAATTGCGGCGCTAGGATAGGTAGTAGAACAAAGATGGAGGGCGAAATAGGGCTCTGAATTGAGTTTTGACTTGGGTATCCTGTAGCGGATTCCCAAAGTACCAATAAAATCGTAGAAAAGGGTACTTACTGGATGCACAAATAGCAATTGCAACAACAAGAAAAAACCCTCCCCCCCCCCCCCCAAGAGATAGTGGAGAGTAAACAGACAGGGAGCCCAAGGCAGTGCGACAGCACCCAGGCCGGATATCTTTTTTTTCATATACGACATGAAAAACAGTTGATCCGAATCCAATCAAGGCGTCATCTCTTTTTCTACTCTTTTCTTTTCCAAAAGCCCGAGAGCACTAGCATTGGTTGGAGACCTGCGTTCTCCTCACCTTCAGCCCATCCCCCTTCAATAAGTTGTATCCTCAAATCAAGCATGCAGCTAGGAAAGAGGAACCAATAACGAAACAAGTCTTTATTGTTATTATTATATTTTGTGGTTGTTAACCTGAACTTTTTGGTCATCAAAGAGCTCGATCCTTCTTTTGTTTTTTAAACAAAGGTAGGATCTCACAAGAAAAAACAACGGCTGTTCTACCATTTATATAGAAAAAAAAAATGCTTTCTCTGAACGCATATCTCGCATGTATATCAAACTTTTTTTTTTTTTTTTTTTTTTTATTCGCCTGCTTTATTCTTCTTGGATATCTGCCAGCATCTACAATGGACGAAAAAAAAAAAAAAAACGGATGAGGGTGGCTGGGCACAAATAATTCATATACATGCAGGCATCTCTCCATTTCCTCTTTTTGTTTATGATGTACGCTTTCAAACATCAGCAAGCGCTCTTGGAAAGCCCAATAGTAAAAAAAAAAAAAAAAAAAACAATGAGCGAATATAAATGCAGGGATGCTGCTATTAGATTGTTAGAAGAACAAATATAATTGCATTTAGAGATTGAGGTTGACATCTTCATCTTATGAAAAGCTATGACTACCGATATACTGGCTCTTTATTGAGAACATCGAGGTATTGAGGGCAAGTCGCGCACGGAAGATGTTGAAGTAAAAGTGTAATACATTGCTATATACTTCCTAAAAGCAATAAAAGATAAAAAAAAACGAAATGCAAAGTCGAATCCAGTCTGTGTTGACAACAATCATCACGCACAAACCTTCGACCACATCAATACAGCATATCCCGCATGATCCTTTGTGGAGGACCATTGATCTGGTAAGTCAATCATGAAATTCACACCTTTCCCAACCAACGTTGTGTCACATGCACGCTGCAGCAAATTCTGATAGATAGGGTCACTCATAACTATTGACGTTGCTGGAAGAAAGTATGTGATACTGTCGATCACCATCGAAGGGATCTTTTTTTTATTTTTTATTTTATTTTACTTTTTGAATTAATTTTGATTACTTCGATAGCTCATTGTTTTACAGTTTTACATCACATTGTTACTCTAAAAAGCTTTTTTATTTTTTTATTGACCAATTGTCTTCTTTACCACGCCCTTGCATGTATTAAAATGTACATGAGTATGGACGTGGCTAAATGTAAAATTACAATTGTTGATACTATATCCCCCTTACTTTTCTCTTATGCCTATCCTCTTGAGACTGCAGTGACCAGCGCTTTGACTAAAGCGCACTTCTCTGTGTGTCTCGTCCAATAATTTGGTAACGATGGATGCATTTGCTTCAATTGGGCAAAGAAAGGATATAAAAGCTATAAAAGCCGACGTAATTACCTGCATGTCTTTTTTCTTTCCTTTTCTTTGATTTTCCTCAACGACCTTTTTATATTTATTTTGCACTCACCCACGCTTTTTAAACCTCCCTCCCAAAAAGCACTTATTATTCACTTTCACATCCCCATATTTCTTCATGCAAACCACCACCTATTCATATTCACCCATAGCCCATAGTTTGGATGGCGATGTATGTCTAATCCCATCCGTAGCCACTGGGTCACTCGACCTAGCGCCAAGTGAGGACATATTAGATCACTACCTTAGGTTAAATAGATGCCAGTCTATTTTTCCTTTGGAGGAAGACTCGGTCGCCGACCGGTATATACTGCACGCTTCATCTCATGAATCATTAGCAGCAGAATATACCCCACAGCAAGTTACAGAAATGAGCGGGCAGATTGTTGAGCAGTCGCAGCCACTGCAATGGTCAGAAGGCTTGTTCATTCAGCCGAACCAAGGATTGGTTTATCAATCTGCTTTCGAGACCCATCATCCCCAAGGCCATACTTCTAATGAGCAGCAGCAGCAACAGCAGCAGCAACCGAGCGCTATGCCGCCCCTCCAGGTAGCCGCTTTGGAGGCAGCCCATGGTAGTCAAGTGCCAACCAACAAGCGGGACAATATACCGCTTTATTTAGCTTACCATTCAATGCCAATGGAGCAAGTTTTGGACATTCAATCTATTTCAATAATGCCAAACTTTGCGCCAAACACATTCTTTGATGGAATATCCCCCATATCGAGCCCGGAGGCCCGCTCTCCGGCGACGGAGTCTTATTTCGATATCACAGATGACGAAGGAGCCTACAACCCTGCTTTGGCAGGACTGGAGCATATGGTTGCCTTTACGAATTCAGCTTCACCAGTGGGAGTATTCAACACCGCTATGGTTCATAGACAATTATCTATGCAGCCGCCACCTATGGAACAGTGGAGTCATCCATTTCCGCTAACGGTTCCGGGCCCTTTTGCCGTTGAAGTTTCTGGGAGTTCCACAGTAGCCCACAAACAAGAACTGGATTTTTCCGATTCGGATGCGACGGATATTCATAACAAACCAAAAAGGAAACGGGCATGTACATCCAAGAAAACAAATCTCAACAAACCCAAAATTAAATATCCTGTAAGCTTATATCTTTTCTATCGTTTTGTGTTTCTATTCCTTTTAGTTCCTTAAATCATTATCGTAAATTATTGGGTATCTTTCATAACATGTTTTTTCTTTTCTTTTCTTTTCTTTTCTTTTCTTTTTTTTTTTTTAAAAAAAAAAAAAAAAAAAAAAAAGTGTTTAATACCGGAGTGTACCGTCATATGCTCAAGCCGACCGTCGCTTGACCGGCATATGGGTTCACATGTGTGGCGAGGGCGTTATGCACCTATACGGTGCGAAGGATGTCAAGGTCCATTATGTAATGAGTATTCCGTTCAAAGGCATATACGACGTGCGCAACCAACCTCACGGTGTTACCGAATGAGGGTTTATAGCGTCATGCGTTCTGAAAACGAGGTTGAAACAACAGTGAGATTCAACCCCAAAGGGGGTCATGGAAAGAAGACTCAGGTCGTCGACCTAGAACAAATCAGGGCCAGGTATTCCTTGGCAAAGAGTAAATTGTGAAAGGAAAAAAAAAAAAAAAAAAAAGCTACAGTTAATGCTCGATTACTTTTCGCATTGCTTGTAAGTTTGTTTATTTTTATTATTTCTTTCGTATCCATTTGTATCCCCCGCATTCCATTGTACTTTGCTAGAACTCGCCTTCTTTTTTTCTCATGCATTTTTTTTTCTTTCTCATTTACCCCGCTGAAAGCGATACGAAAACAAAAACAAATAAAAAAAAAAATAAAAAAGTAAATAAAACGTATTTGCATTCATGAAGAGTATTTTTATTTTGTTTTGCTACATCTGGTTAAGTACCCTCATTTTACGTCATTGTATGATGTCCATAAAAACGTATTTTGCAGATTTACTTGGAGCATTAGAGAGCAGATGAAAAGCAAGCTAGCATGACAAAGCAAAGACCAAACCATTTGCTTTTTTTTTCCCTTTGTTTTTTGTTTTAAACAGCCTTGGATGTAACATTTGATATGCCGCTCGGCAACAGGGATAGGGAGGAAAGGAAAAAAAAAAAAAAAAATGCAAGTTTGGGCAATGGTGTAAAAAAAAAAAAAAAGAAAAAAAAACCTGCCGTTTCTTTTTCTTTGCGATATCGGTCAATAGAAAAAGGGGATCAGTTTGCTTTTTTTTTTTTTTTTGGTCATGGAGTAAGGGGAACAAACAAATAAAAAAAGTGCAAGATCATTCCTTTTTAGGCGATCAAAGACGCGTCGATCTACGTACGTATTTACGTACAAGGTTGCATATCGTGCTGCGGTGAAAGTTGTGGGGGGGCGAAATCTTATTCCCTGTCAACATGTCAACAATGGGAGACTTTAGTCTTCTGAACATGTTTAAGAGTTGATGACACAAAATGGCAGTAGGTAGAGCTGCATATACTGACCTCCGCTCACACATACATCTATTTTTTCTCTTTATACGTAGTAAATGCGTCGTGTTTGTGACAAACAGGAATGAACCATTTTGCAATCTCAGACCATACTATGAGCTTGCGTTTTCTATAACCCCGCATTTCCCCTTCTTAGCTTCTTGACCATAAAGCAGGTTTTTACCTGGCCAAGGTTCGGTAACTGACAGTATCATCTGTTAAATATCTACATTTTTTGTGGCTGGTCATGGTTATCGGGATGATATCGCCATCAATTTCGTTCCAAGATGGCTGAACCTAAAAAAAAAAAAAAAAAAAAACCTCCTTCCGAAATCACGGTTGAGTCAGCATGCTGTGTCGATGTATATTCTTGTGTGTACCTTGGCATCTCTCTTCTCCTCCCTGAACACTTGTTTCAACTTTTATTTTTCGTGGAGACGGAGGAAGGAGTGTCGTGCGAACCACTGTTCTTCCTCTTTTTTTTTTTTCCCTCTTCTCTTTTCCATATTAAGTACGGACTATTCGATGCTTCCATGCTCAAATATAGACTATCAATGCTTCACAAGCCCCTCCACCCGCTCCACCCGCTCCACCCAAACATAAATAGATTTTTTTTCTTCTATTTTTAATATATATATCTGGTGGGGACAGTAACCAGTTTTCAACTATACCTTAATACTCGGATAGAGAAATGTTTGAGGAGGATGGACGGCCATCGTATTTTCCTGATATCCTCCCCGAGCCTTTACTCGGACCACACTCTCGAACAATGTTCAAGTGATGGCTTATTCTGATGCTCTGCTTTTGTTTGTTTGTTTACTTTTCTATAAATTTAGTTCGTACCGTTCTATACAATGCTTAATAAGCTGTGGTACAACAACATTGATCTACCAACCTTCTTCTTGATTCAATTCACATATTCATGCTTTTGAGGAAACTCAGAAATTCGCCGCTTGACGCATGATTAAGATCATACTATATCAAGTCAGCTCTACAGACAACCTTGTAGCCTCAACCATATCCTGTGGCACACATTGCAAACACATTCCGTCAATGTCGCGACCTAGACAAGTGGGGGAAAAGGAAGTGGACGGAAGGGGGGAAAGGGGGGAAAGGAAGAGAGGACGAAACAATTAGTGGCTGAGGTAGTCACCGGTATTTTCGGGACATTTACATGGCAGATGAATGATGGCGCGAATCATCAAGCAAAGAGAGGATGCCACAAATGATACACCTGTGACCTTTTTTTCTTTTAGACTTAATACATTTTCTTCTTCCTCCTCTTTCTCCTGCAGGACAAGACGAGCGTTCTAATGAAGGCATAAAGATTTTTTTTTTTCTGATCATTGACTATATTCTCTTGATTATTATGCACTACATGATACGCGTTGGGCCAGCCCTCCGTGTTCTGTCATATCTAATGTTAAAAAAAAAAAAAAAAAAAAAAATGCCATAGAACTAGCCTTCCAATAGAGAATGTGGCAAAAGATTTTTCATTTCTTCAATTCTTGACAAAAATACACCGAACAAGGCCTTCATAGGACTTTTCTCCCGGACAGTGATCTAATCTGGGGTTCGCGTGAGTGGGAGTTACAGGAGCCTCACTTTTTACTTTATCTATTTTATATTATTTTATTTTTGTTGCCTATTGTTGTTTGCTAATGCGTCTCATAACAAGATACGATGAGGAGAAAGGTTACAAGCTGGTTTTGAGAGGCGTCTTTATTTTTATTTTTCTTATTATTATTATTATTTCTTTTCCTTCAGGTTCTCTCTTTCTTCTTCTTCTTCTTTTCCCTCTTGTTCACACCCACTCAACCCTTTTCTTTCCATCATTGCATCCATGGATACATCTTTGGCAGTACTCCGTTCCCTATTTAATAGCTATTGGTTCTTTTTGTTGTTATTCTTATTTCTTATTTCTTTTATTTTCCTTTCTTCCATCTCCTCCACTTTCATTAAGACCTTTGTCCTTTGTTGTTTGTCTCTAACATCAATAGAAAGGAAAAAAGAGGAAAATAGGCTTTTGTGTCTTCGTTTCTGCTCTCTGCCTCCTTGCCTCTAATCCTTGTTTTTGAGAAACCGTGCTACAAATTATAGTCTTTGTTTAACTCGAAGCTGTCTTTACGCTAAGTTTCAACGTGTAAAAAAAAAAAAAAAAATCATAATGAGCAAACAAACAATGGACTCGTCTTTTCCTCTCGATGGGTTTATCTACACTTCTTTGTACGACCTAAACAATAACTCTGGACTAAAATCATCCTCACCCATCACTGTATGGCCTTCATTCGATAACACCCCTCAGACACAAGACCAACAACAACTATTACTTCACCTGCAACAGCAACAATATTTCCCTAGCCTTCACCAACACGCACCAAACGCTGAAAAAGCCTTCCCACTTGTGGTGCCATCGACTCCATCTGCTTTCTCTTCGATTTCATCGCCCTGTTATCCAACCAACTTTAATCAACGCTCCGATCTGAACACTAAAAGCGCTAACAAAGATGAATACGATATCTGTATGGCTGATGCATCAGTCAATTACTATGATACTGCCGCTATGGGGGCCATGAGAAGCGCCTTATCCAATGCGCTAGAGCCCTCTATCGCTATGAGCCGGTCCTCAAGCGTCATGACCTGCATTGATCCAACGTCCCTCATGTTGCATAGTAGCTCAAACTCTTCCGGGTTCTCTTCTCCCTGCCTTTCGGGCCCACACAGCCGCCGAAATTCCTTTATCCCCATGAACGGTATCGAATATGCCGATATGAACGAAAGTCCAATGATAGAATCCATATTACAAGAAGATAGCTTAACCCTATCCTCTCAGTCAGTAGCTCCCACACTTGCGTGCACAAGCTCTGAATGCTTAGCGGCCTCCTATATCACTCATCCGTACGTTGAAGACTTTATCATGCCAGATGGTACGATCTACCGGTTCGATGGAACATCCCTCATGCCTGTGCCTAGTATCCACTACAGTAATGTTCCTTCTGCATCATCTTCCTGCTCTTCATCCTCATCGCTGTCCTCACCCTTATCCTCAACCTCACCACCCTCATCATCTTCATCAATGTCATCGCCTCCCTCTTCCTATATGATGAACGAACCATCCCTGAACTCGAAACCATTCGTAAACAGTACACTCATGCATCAAGCACTTACAATGATGGTTCCTCCTAAGGTCTCACTTACGGATTATTTGCCAATGATGGATCCATCTATGTTGTCTGCCTTCTTGGAAGGGAATATGGATTCAACAGCTATGCTAACTAGACCAGCGTCGTCAACAATGACAGGCGCACCGGCCATGACAGCTACCCGTAAAAAGACATCGGCCCTGAAGAAATCATCCAAGAAAGTAATCTCACCCTCCGTTCGTCGGTTCTCTGAAGACTCTGCATATTCATCTTCATCATCTACTATTGTGTTGCCACAGTTAGATAGATTCATTAACACTGGGAGCAGTGGGAATGATAATAGTGGCGCTTGTGGTGATGGTGATGGTGGCGGTGGTGCACAGAATAAATATCGCAAGGATGGGGCAGGTGAATTCCAATGTCCGTTCGAGAACTGCTCGTATCGCTACAACCTTCGACGAGAACTCAATCGACATCGTAATGTTCATCTGTTTGCTGGCAAAGACAAGTACAGATGCATGAACTGCAACAGTGGACTGTGTCGGCTAGACTCAGTTAAAAGGCATATGGAAGCTAAGGGCAAGATTGAATGTCTAAAAAAAGGACTCTATCAAGAGTTCAAAGAAAATGGAGAATTGATTCGTATACGTAAATGTAAACCAAGTTGGTATGAAGCTGCTGCTGCAAATGCTGCTGCTGCCGCTATGGGTACGAGCACGAGCACGAGCACAAGCACGGATGCAGGTGCAGGTGCAGGCATGCTCGCTGATACTGATGCTGAGGAATAACCGACGATATTGGATCAGTTTTAAAAAGGAGCTTTTACATTTTTATCATCGGGTTTTTTTTGCTGTATACTATTTTCTTTTTTTTTTTTTTTTTTTTTTCTTTTTTCGTTTATGCATCTTACCATCTGTTTCATTAAATGGCCACCAAGGCTTTGTCCCATAGCCTGTACAGAGTACCTAAAACATGAGCTTTTATAACAAAAGCATGCACATTATTATTAAAAAAAATAAAAAATAAAAAGACAAATATAGTTTATTGCTTTGTACATTGTCGCGCGCCCCAAGCGCCTGTTCATTCTTTTTCTGCAGTTACACGTGGTTAACCAATTAATGTATTTCATTTCTCATCTGCAAAGCTGGCGCACGGATTTCTCGGATGCACAGAGCCCAGGCAACGGCAACCAATCATTTGCACTTTGAGAAAGTTTCTGTTCGTGCACGGCATATATTTTTTAATAAGTGGGGAGGACGGAAAAAAAAAAGGATGCACACATGCACACATGCACATGACAAGGGAGAAGATATGTGATAAGAGTACACGTAGACAAAAAAAAAAAAAAAAAAAAAAAAAAAGAAACCTTTGTACAGAAAATATGGGATCTTTCCCCAAACCCCTTCCGCTTCCCCCCAAGTACAGTGAAAGGAGCAAATATGTGATATTATCCACGCAACATGCATGCATGCATACGCACGGTTCGCAAAGGGGGGGGGGGGGAACAAGAAAGGCATTTTTTTCTCTTCTGGGTACAAAAGAAAAAAAAAAAAAAAAAAAAAAAAAAACAAAATGAAGTCTGAGTTCTTGGGTGCGATGAACTTTTCATCTCCCCCATCTTTCGGTAAGAGTGAGCCCGTTTTGTTATGTGAAGGACCTTTTTTTTTTCTTTGGTTTGAACAATGCTACAACTCCGTTCTTTTTTTTTTTTTTTTTTTTTTAGATGGCTCTCTCTTCCTTTGAATTGAAAGACAACAAATGTGGTTTGTATACAAGTCAATGAGGTGCATGTTATCGACTTGGTATCAATAAGATAGAAGACAAAGGTATATCTTTTTTATTTTTATTTTTAAGCCATATATGCCTTATATGTCATGCACGTTGCCTAAGAGTCATCGCTTCGGAGTCTCATCATGACAGACGCTAATCACCTCTTTCATGCTCAGTAATACGCAAAATACGATGGGAAGTGAAGAGATGAAGAAAGCCAACAATAAAGTAGCGTCATCAGTATCATTCGTGATACCTTCTGAGATGTAACTAGTATTTTTTTTTTTTTTTTTTTTTTTTTTTGTTTGGTTTGATGTTCCTGTCAAAAAATGATGGTAAGGGATATGCAATGCAATACACGCCCAAGAAAAAAAAAAAAAAAAAAAAAAATGTACATTCTTTCCTCCGACGCCTCACGCTGCCCTATCCATCTTGTTCATCCTACCCCTGCCTTTTTTTTATGTGTGTGTGTGTAAATTTATGTGTGTTGTGTATACAAATGTGTTTCTTGATCGACTTGTGTCGGCATACCAAGCTGTACAAAGAATGCATAGCGTTTGTGTGTAATGTGTATTAAAATCGAGAAAGTTCCTTTTTTGTGGGCAAAACAATAAAAACAATTCATCCACAGATGACGATATTTTGCATGTTTGTAATCTCTTCCTACTTTTTCTTCTTGCCCACAGATGATCCAAAACAAATATGGTACAGAATGAAAAAAAAAAAAAAAAAAAAAAAAAACGTCCAAAGGTGTGGAGCACAATTACACAGAACTCTAGGTAAAGGGAAGCTATGCTGGTAAAAGAAAAAAAAAAAAAAAAAAAAAAAAAAAACGCGTGATTTTATGATGCTATTATGTCCTACAAAATACAGAACAAGTTTGCCGAAACAGTTTTTCCCCTTTTTACAAAACATATGTCTAGTCATCTAGTGACAAAAATCGGCAAAAGAGTTGGTATAAAGAAGATACTCAGTGATAACAAAGTGGATGACCTTATGACGCGTAAAGAGATCAATCTCCGTTGTTCAATACAAAGAATAGTTTTTTTGTTCAAGCATCGATCTTCTCTGAATATATTTTATTGAGAAAACTTATTCACTACAAACTGAATCTGTCTCCATTTTTTTTTTTATCAAGTAATAATACATTGGGTTTTTTTGGAGCAAAGAGTACCAACCATCATTACTTAACTTTTGAAAACTATAAAACTTCTTTTTCTTTTGGATATTCCAAGATGCGCGCTTGATTATGCTTGATCACCCACTAGGTTAGAGGAAGGAAAGAGGAACCTGGAACCAATTAGCTGAAAAGCACTAGGTTATACAGCTGTTTACTAGTTTTACTACTCATACATAAAACATGTGCAAATATAGGAAAGTGTATATATGTCTCTCATTCAAATCATAGCCCTCAATACTCTACATGTCATTGTGGTTGGCATCATTCAGAAGCACATAGCACATTATATGCCTTCCTTGTCCGTACTGGCTTTGTTCTTTCCCTATTTCCTGATATCTATTGAGCGAGATTGAATTGAGATGGAGGCGGAGAATTTTTTTTTTATATACAAATTGAGCGATGCTCAATGATCATCAATTGATTCATTTGTACTTTTTAGGAATTTCTCTGAAAAATATAAAATCTGTGCGCATAATCAATTGATACAAAACAATGCAGACCAGACCAAGGGGTGCAACAAAAAAAAAAAAAAAAAAAAAAGCGCCAATACAGACTGGATCTTCTTTTGTATCATTCCGTGCTCCGCCAGTGCAGTGTAAGGGGTGAATGAAGGAAAAAAAAAAAAAAAAAAAAAAAAAGATAGATATCATTCTGCTCTACTTTGTATGTACCCCCTAACATGGAAATTGACATCAAAACAAAGAAAAAAAATGATGAAAAAAAGAGATATCAAGGAGTCTGTTTTTTACAGATGAGTATTTTAGAAAAATATGTTTATCTAGTTCTCACTCTCACATTCATCAGCCATATTCAGTCTAGGTGTAACCATAGGCTTCTTCAAATGGACCTTTTTTTTTTTTTTTTTTTTTTTTTTGGAGCACTTCATCAACTGTTTGTTATATTTGATGATCATACTGCTCAGGTGTGCCACCACTTTAACGAGCGGATATTATTATGTCCATCGGAATCAACAGCTTAAAGTCCATCTATTCCTCTACCGCTTTGTTGATCATACTTTAGTTAGCTTTCTTCCTCATTTTTCAAAACTAGCTTTGTTTTAAGTATATGCCTGGATACAAAGAAGGCGCGTTCGGTTCGCGTGAAACTAAAAAAAAAAAAAAAAAAAAAAAAAAATACAAAGTCTAGAAGCATATTCGGAATTGACGTCTTACAATGCCTCCTGCATTTTTTTTTTTTTTTTTTTTTTTGGTCTAATCACGACGTAGAGACACAATCTCCACATGTTCACATTGTAAGTGTGCAGTTCATGTATGTGATGCATGGAGATAAAATAAAACTCTAAAAGGGTGGCCCTAGCATAAATGGAAATCAAGCTCGGATGAGAAGGAAGTTAAATGAGTACGCACACGCGTATTTTCATTGATGTATACACACACATATTATATATATATAATTATATTATATTATTCAATACATATATTTTTTATACACCTTTCTATGATCCCTAAAGCGCATGTATATATATATATATATAATACCTTACTCTCTTCACATTCCACAAAAAACCTTGTGGAACTCTTGAGGCTAGGCTTTTCTATGTACATGAACTGTTAATGGCTCGTAATATATCGGATCCAGTTCATTTGGCTACAGTCCAATGTATGCGTCCATGATTGATTGGCTGATTTTACTCTTTTATAGTTTACCCATGCACAATAAACAAATAGATTGACTGTCAATATATTCGTTATTCAAAAATTATAAAGATCGAGGTTAATGAACCAGCACATGTTTATCTCTTTACTGTTTTATGTAAAGGGAAAATAAAGAGTCTAACATCTCGAAGCTTTATTGATCGCAGAAAGGGTGATAATCAGAAGAGGAACGTAGACATATAATGCCAAGATTTTTTTTATTTTTTTATTTTTTTATTTTTTTATTTTTTTATTTTTGTCTCCCACACTCTCTGAATGTGAGATTAAAAAAAAAAAAGATGCCACAGTTATTTTGTTTTACACACTTGACTTTCTAAAAAGAAAAAAAGTCCTTCAGTTCTATCGAAGGCGGCACACGATAGAATGAATTTTGGCACACAATAGAATGAATGTTGCAACCTGTTACTAGTTTAGATGTACAACTTTAATGTTGGAAAGAGAAGTATGTGTAGACGTGTGTTTGGGCGAGTATAAGTGTGACAGTGAATGTATAAACTCGGATGGATAGGCGATTTTCATTTCATACAGGAAGCAACTCTTTTTTTTTTTTTTTTTATTAGTCTGCAGTGCAATGCACAATTAAGAAAACCAGTCATTTTTCCCATTTGTACAATTGAATGCTGAATGTTTGTCGCCTGTGCAGTTGTTGTGCAAATGTGTTCACTGGATGCAATGTGTTTAACATGCAGTGCAGTGTGTATGGAAAATAAACCCTGGAAAAAGGAGACGAAAAGAGGAAAAAAGGGAGGGGAACAGTAAAAAGAGAGGAACAGCACAAATAAACATTGTAACTTTGTGTAACCACACCGTTTTTAAATTGACAGGAGTAAAGAATGCCCACGTTGCAATATATATAAAATCGAGGAAAAATACTTCACGAGATTTCGATCGTGCTAGACTTTTTTTTTTTTTTTTTTTTTTTGACTGACTTCAACAGTGAAAAGTTTCACATCTCCTTACTCCTGTGGTTGATGCGCAGAGTAATTAGTAAAAAAAAAAAAATTAAGTAACATCTTTTGGCCCAGACGCGCTGAACATAACCTTAACAATGGAGAGGCATCTATGTCTTTTTTTTTTTTTTTTTTTTTTTTTTCAGGGACAAGAATTTGATCTACTTCCAGGATACCTCAATGAGCCGAATAATGGGTAATCTGAACGGACTAAACTGCGAACGTAACGAACAGAAGGTTTGTCGATCTGAAACGGTCTTAATTTCTGATCGCCAGACGGGAGGCGATCCATTCATCTTTGTTCCTTAGTCACGCGAGACAGGAACAATTAATGAGCTTCGCTTGACGTCAGAAATGGAAATGTGGTTGAAAGAAATGAAGAAGAAGAAGAAGGAATGAAAAGCAAAAAAAAGAAAGAAAAAGAAAAAAAATAATAAATAAATGCTCTTAATGCTTGTAAGGGGCCCATTAAAAAGCCATAAGGAAACAACACCACAAAGAAAGAAGCGATTAGATGAGCATCGCAAAAAAAGAAAAAACAGGATGATTGGCTGATAAAAGAAGTCATTGAATACGTCCAGTAACCTTTTTTATTGTCCTGAGAACAGAAACCATGTCTAATTGTAGGAGCAAATAGGTGTAAAAAACATCAATATGTTCATTATTCCAATGTTGATTACTGATTCAATTGCTTGAGGTACTACGAGGACCCTAATTTAAAAAGAGTATATGGAATGCTTTTCCATCTAATATGATCCGGATGAAGTACAGACCAACATGCAAGGCAAGTTGGGATGGGGGGTGTTTATGTGTTTGTGTGTGAATGTGTCATGAAAAAAAAAAAGAAAAGAGATAGATTAGTCCATTCATTTTCCGCCTCTCTGTTGTCTTGCCTGTCATATGCAGCCCAAGAGTGATTGAATAGCAATAGAATGGAACACCGGAAAACTAAAGAGCGCGAGCCTTCGATGCTCTCGATATTAGAAATTTTTTTTCTTCTTTTGACCCATAGCATGGGTAAAGTTGCTCTGACCTGACCTGACCTGACCTGACCTGACCTGACCCATCCATATCCCTCAATTCAATTCATTTCTCTCTTTTCCTTTTACCTCTTCATCTTTACCCTTTTCTCTTGCTTCCCTTGCTCTTCCTTTCTCCCCCCTTCTATTTTCCCTATGATCTACCCATAGCTTCGTCCCACACAGGGCACAATTTTTTTTTCCGACTTGATAAAAGGTTGTTCTTTTTTTTTTTTACTATTTCTCTTTTCACTTTCTTTCTCTTCTCCTCTTCCTCCTCATTTCTATCTCCTTCGTCTCCTTGAACCCTTTTATCCCTCGCTCCTTGTTCTTCACTCAGCAACCAGTAGCGTCATTGATCCATTGATCCTCTCACCTCTTTTTTCTTTCCACCCTCTTCTCTTATACTCCGAACGCTTCTACAAACATTGCTGTCATTTTGTTCTCAGAAACCTTAAAAGGAAGAAGGAAAAAAAAAAAAAAAAAAAAAAAAAAGCGCACGATCGTCCTTCATCACTATCCTCACCTCTTAAAAAACCCCTATTACCAAGATTTTTGTTCTTAAACAAGCTTTACCAATTTATTTTATAAGGTTACAATTGTAAAAAAGAGAGTCAGCCATCCATGTCTCACTACACGCGCCAGCCTATCGTTTCAATGCAGGCTGTAGGGATGGGGTTTGACAATGAAGAGTTTGCCAAATACCAACCGGGCTATAGCCTGGGCCATGGAGCTTTTAATGATGGTAACTACCAGCACCAGCATCATCCTATGGTTTCGAATGCCTGTGAGGCTATTCATCCAGGTACAACCACCGATGTAAACTATTTTTCAAATGGCCTCTCATTCCAATTTCCAACTCCGAACGACGGCGTAGAACAACACAGCGTTATTGGAAACGCGAAGAAATCGTCTCTTGTCTCGGTTCCTCGTGGACCGAATGGGTTGGAATCCATATCCATGTCATTTGAAGAGCTCACTACTGCGGCTATCACACCAGCAACGACAGCAATAACAACAACTCCAAAAAACAACAGGAATGTAAATATTCCAAATCATTCCAATTATACCAACAGCTCAATAAGAGGCAGTAATAGTAGCAGTCCAATTAGCCATAGTGAGAACAACTACAACAATAATCTAGTGATCCATCAATACTCAACGTCGTCAGTGGATAACTACACAATCAGCAACAATATCGGCAACAATAGTAACTCGTCTTTACTCTTCACGTCTTCACCCTATTCCTCCTCCTCCTCTTCCTCCTCCTCGCCCACATCTTCTCTGCCCATATTCGCGCCCATAGAAGCCCTTGAGCGCACTCCTGCAATGATTGCAGCAGCTACAGGATCATCAGCTTCATCCTCTGTCATGGGCTGTATGATGACAAACCAACACTATCTGCTAGTCCAGCCCGACCATCAGGAAAATCAACAAAACGGACAACAACAACACCTCCTGCAGCAGCAACAGCAGCAGACGGGCACTGCTCTCAAAACAAATGAAAACTACATGAATAATAACCCCACGCCGTCATATGTGACTTTTTCATCCAATGGGTTTCAGGGGATTGCGCGCAACAATAACCATTCGAGTGATTACTCTCAATTTGCCTCATGGAACATTGGCGTCACTGCAGTCTCGTCCGCCGCACAGTCCACTGAAGCTCATTTAATCGTTGCTCCCATTAAACCCAGCCAACCAGCGATAACAACAACGCCGACAACACCCTCAGGTATCACATGGACCAATGATACCAACATGCAGACACAGAACACTGCACCTACTGTTGATACTGCCAACTCCATTACTAAGAGCGGTATGCATTCTAAAAGCAGCAGTATTTGTGGTAGCGATAACGCTGCACTCCAGGAAGGAAGCACCAAGCAATGCCAAACCCAGCCTGTCAAGCAAACTGGGCCCCACCAGCAACAGCTTCAGATAATGACATCATTCGAGCCAGGTTTTGCATCCATATACCCACAACAACCGAACTCATCCAACAATACGACTGATAATGCTTCTACCCCTTCAGTAGGGAGCGTTAACAACATTCATCAGCTTCCCCCCAGCATGGGTTCTGCTCAAGCTCAAGCACAACTTCAGTCTCAAGCTCAAGTGCACGCTTATCCCTGGTCCCCAGTTGAATCTTGCCTTACATCAGGCTCCTCAACCCCTTCATTTGCATCCATGTCTCCTTCACTTTCGTATTCGAATACTGAACATGGAGGCAATAGTGGTGGAATATGGGGAGGCGTCTCCCCCTGCAATTCATCCCGTCCCAACTCTCCTTCATTCAATACCAACAACAGCTCTGCATGTACTCCAACTGAAGGATATGTTCCAGAACGTCGTATCCGTAGACTCGAAAATGACTTTTCTAACTTCATCATCCGCTCGCGCAAGTCTTCCACCTCTTCTACGTCCTCAAATGTTTCTCAACGACGAATGTCGACACTTCGGGAATCAACTACGAACAATAATAATAATAGTAACAATAGTAACATTAACAATAGCAATAGCAATAGCAATAGCAATAGGCTTTCATCACCTAACCCGATGTCTACCTCCAATTCAAACTCTATTACTGCCGCCTCCACTTCAACTCCAGTCTCTACTTCCTCACCCACGCATCAATGTTCAAAATGTGGACAATGCTTCGCGGGGCCAGCAGTCTTAGCTCGCCATATGGAATCGATTCATGAAAAGCTCCTGTGGAACTGTGTTGGATGCAAGTCCAATCTGTCGCGTCGGGATGCTGTGACGCGACACATCAATCTCTCGCCTATGGACTCGATCTGTCGAGAGGTTGGAACTATTGGACAGATCAAGATGATCAACGGGACAGAGATCCACTATGAAGTTAGCTCCTATCGTGCAAAGCCTCTGGATGAAGTGATGAACCGAATGGGCAAGAAGATCTCGACGTCTTTGAGGAGAGAAATTGATTTGGCAAAGGCTCGTAGCCACAGCGACAGCAATGTGAATTCTGTCTCTAGCCTCGTAGTCAATGCTAGGTCTTCTATCAGTGCTACTGCAGCTGCAGCTGCAGTAGCGGTAACAGCAACTTCAACAACCGCAGCAACAGTTTCTGCTGCAGGCGATCTCTTGACCAGTAATGGTATTTATGGGTCTGCTGGAATAGCAGCAGCAGCAACAACACATGAGGCAGGAGCCTTGATTGGCATGGGTCTGGATTTTCCTGTAGATTATACGCAGAGTTACCCAATATCGTCATTATCAATCCATACCCATCAATTCGAGTATGGCGATGAGGAGGATGGGCTGAAGAAGCGCCGACGGATGTCGCAGCCTGCTCTTTCTCAACGTAAAAAGTGATTTTTTTTTTTTTTATTTTTTTTTATTTTCTTAAACTTTTTCATCTTCACTCCATTTTCATCATTTCTTACAGACATCATAGTTATTATACTTTTCTTTTCCTTTCCCTCTTCATCTTTATCTTCATTCCATTTACTAGTTGCCCTCAAGCATCTATGAATGACATAGATTATACCCCCTCCTTTTACCTTAAAAAAAGTTACGTTGTCTTGTTTTCCTTACTTTGCTTCATTTCATTTTTTCTTTCATTTCTCTTTTGAAAGCTGATTATTATATAGTTTCAAATATACCTATTTGCCTCACCATAAAGAAAAAAGACTGCCTCATTTTTTAAAAAATTCTGATTGGTGTGCAATGGTTCATGCATGGTCCTTTTTTTTTTATATTAAACTTAAACTTTTTAAGCTTTTTTACTTCAAAATAGCTCCCTTATAACTGCACAATCTTGACACTATAAAAAAAAACACAGTTAGTAAAGGAAATAATAAAACTGTCAAATAATTGGGAGATTCAATATGAATAATACACACATGATTGTCATGATAATGCCAACGTGCATGATAAACAAGGCAACCCATGCAACAGCAACCCCTGAGCCAGGGATCCACCGAGGGACAGCACGCATCTTCAATTGACTTTTAAGATCTCCATGATGTTGAGGCAATTCATCCTCCATGTCTACCACCTTGCTCAGTGCCCCTTCGCTTCTAACACTCTCTTGGGAAGATACCTCAGCAGGTCGAGGCCATTGCAGCGATAAATCTGAGCCGGTTGGCCTCAAAAGACAATCATCCAATACCAATTTAGATTGAATCCTGGAAAGTCCAGGGATCATATAATTGTTCCCACTCAGGAATGGAGGCAGGATTTCCTCAATCTCATTAGTACAAGCCCGAGAGTCCCGGGGTTGAGTTGGAGAAGACACTATAGTAGCCCCATCACCCTTTGTCTCTGGATCTCCTCCAGTGATAGCAATTTTAGTAGCGTCGTGTTTTTCTTTAGTTGCCCCAAGCGAATCAAGGCTAGGGCATTGACCAAACTTCTCCGGCACCGATGTTCTAGATGTACGGCGCTCGCACCACAGTGTCAGTCGTCCCCAGATTGTAAGCTCCTTCTCCTCTGGCGACATAGTCAAATCAGTAATAGCTGTTGTTGCCGAGCCCTTGCTAGCCTCGGCTTCCTTTTCTTCATCGACCACTGCAAGCTTATGCTTTCTCTTCTTCAGTCTTTTACAATGAATGAAGAGTATAAATGGAATCACAAAGTTTGCTGTGGAGACAAAAAAAAGCGAACTCCAATCAACAATTGTCATAAGGAGTGAACCAGTCATCCCAGGAATAGCAAAAAGCCAGGGTATGCATCCGGCTAAGATCTTAGCCCATCTGTTACTGCAAGCCCTCGACTGAATCAAGTTATATCGCAGTACAATCATATTAACAGGAATAGAGGTGATCAGAGCAGCGACCGGGAAAGTAAAGCCAGCAATTCGTGAAAGTAAAGAAACATCGGGCGACGAGGTAATGGCTTGAACCAGGGTTGAATTAGTAGGGATCTCAAATGCCATGGCTCCAAGAATAGACACAAGTATGAATATAGTGGTCATGAGCGACACGTTGGTGCCAATAGTTTTATGCAACGAAACATTTGCCTTTTTGGCGTTGGCTAACGACGGTACGCACGCCACAAACGCATAGTTGAATAAAATCGATCCAAATGTCTGAGATATGTCTGAGCCTATTGCTGGAACGCGTGCCAGCACTAATCCATGCTGGAAAAAAGTCACAAACCATTGGATAAATATCAGTAAAATCAAAATGCAGGAACCGGCTTGCAACCAGATGTTCTCACTCAAGTTCATAAGGCAAAGAGGGATAACCAAGACGAATGCCACCAAAGCCCCAGTGCTTATAATCATTACACCAGAAAAAGGACTGGCGGATGGTAATTGCTCCGTGGCGCAGATCAGTGTTATGCTTGGATATATCTGTACGCCACAAGTCTTGCGAAACAGACATATTAAAAGATTATCGAATACTTGAGCGCAAATGGCAATCGATGCAATAATAGTTGTCTGCATAGCAAAGAAGCAGATAAGCTGGACAATAATCTGATACTTTCTGCCAAAGAATGCGAATACTAGGTTTGAGAATTCGACCTACATTATACATGCGTAATAATGAAAAATAATGAAATGAGGAGTTACTGTCAGTAAAAATGCTATCTTTGACTGATTCCGGAACAATGGTATTCCAGCTTTTTCGCGATCTACAAAATAATGGTTATGAAACACTCCTTATTGGCCAAGTGAAACCGATTCGTGCTTCAACATTACGTAGGATTCCCCGTTCTCCCATTCTACACATCCCACCCATTGAGTCCTAGGCCTTTAAACATTTTCAAGCATACCGATGAATCAAATAACACCACGTCCCCCAGAAAGTGATGGAATGGCTTTTACTATTGTTGACTGGGACTCGGAAAGAGTCATGGAGGATGACATAAAGACCATAGACGAGGAAGTTGAGGAAGAGGGTAGTAGATCAATTTATACCATAATATCAAAGAACTTTAACCCTCCATACCACGTCACTTGCCTAGGCCCACTCCCTCTTCGCCGTAAAAGGCAAGGTATGCCAATAAAGGATAAGATCCTCGAGTCTCAAGGCTCCAGAGTCAGCGCCAGCTACTTGGAGCCAGATTCATTCCAATCTCTTTTAATGGCACTTGTCATATGAGTGATATGTATTTTGTAATAGACGGAGGATTCACACAAAAAAATGTCTGAATAAACTTATGCGTAAAAAAACTTACATTGGCTTGAAAATGATCATTTCCTGGGACTTCAGCCATGGCTTCACAAATGAACATGCAGCTAAGGTAGCTTAGCAGCCCGACAAGCAGGAAACCAATGAGAGTGGGCACCCATCCAGCATTTTGCGCCACTAGTGGCAAACTGGTAGCACCAGGACCTGTTGTATTACAGATTAAGAGACTGAGTCCGCCCCAAAAAGTAATATCTTTGACAACTGTATTGGTTGCTCTCGGGTCGTTAAGACTGGATACATGGCTATGGATTGATATATCGTCCTCTATCTGGGATGCTTGTCTTGGTAGATTGATACTATTAAGAAAAGCTCCGTTCCCTGAAGGAGAAGGGATACCAAAAGCCTGGGCTTCAGATAATGCAGACATGCTCTCAAGCATATCAGGATAAAGGGTATAAGTGCTTTAAGAAGATGTGATTGTTGTTGAGAAGAGGAAAGCAGGTGTTGAAGCCGAGGCTGAGGCTGAGGCTGAGAAGCCTATGCTGGTGCAGATAGGAAGATAACAATAGGTAAACTGATAATGAATGGTTTGTAATCAAATTGAACTCTTTTTTTCTTTTTTTTTTTTGCAATCTTGTTCCGGGGTTTGCAAGGGGTCTATATCCTGTATTTTACTGTTGCTTGAGGGTGGTATAAGCTTGATTGTGTCTGGATGCATAGACAGAAGTTGGGTGCTGCAAATGTTTTAAAACAATTGCCGGAGACAACAAGATTGATTTTATAAGAAAAAAAAGAGAAGGAAGATACTTATTAATCATGGGTATGACAGGAGCGCTAAGTTCAAAAATAGGAGTTCTCTCCTATATTCTGTTTGAACAGTTAGAATTGAAGAAAAGCAGTAAAGGCAACATGAGAAATCCTCACGTGGTATGAAACCGTAGAAACTTTATCATTTGCTCGATTTGGGAAAATATGTCCTGTGTTCTTTTTTGTGTTCCATTAGATCCATTAAGTTCTTGGTTTAATACAAGTTCGTAAAGCTTATATGTATACTCATACCTCGTAATGAATGACGGAAAAAGAAGTGCCAGAACAAGGAGACAGCGAAAGAGAGTAGAATGGATTAGAGTAGGATAGAGTGGAATAGAGTAGGATGGAGTAGACTAGAGCAGAGTAGAGTAGAGAAGAGCTACTTGGTAGTAATGAGTGTGGCGTATAACGGAGAACGAATGAACATGTAAGCGAGCCTGGAAACAGTAATGATGAATGATGAACAGTTGCGAATGAGTGAAAGAGATGTTTCTAGGCCCGTTCTCTTTCTCATGGCCACTTTTTTTTATTTTTTTTTATTTTTATTTTTTATTGTAGTCAGACCTTCTGTGATTGGCCCAAGGGAAAAGGGATATCAACGATATAAGCCTTCATGTGTTCTTTGGAATTGTAAGTTCCATTAAAAAAGCATACCGTTTCAGTACATTGCCTGCGTATCCAAGCTAAAACAAGTCAAGTAGTTTTCAATAATGAGGAAGAGTGGCATTTAGAGAATGTTTATTTCCTGCATCTCGAAGGTCCCCCTGCATGCTCTTTGTTCGTTGCAGACCCTAAAAATTTCAAACTAGTCACAGAACCATCCCAATGTTCATATTAAGGACGCGCTTCAATTACTATAATAGACAGTAATGATCAAAGACGAAATGCTCGACAACAACGTTGGTCGGAAAAAAAATGCAATGTTTCTCATCAGGACTTCTTCCTGACTTTACTATTTCCCTGATCCAGTAAGATGCCTTGTGTTTCCTAATGATGCAGCGGTCATATGCAGTATTTGTCGGTTTGCCTACGGAATATGAAAAGGGGGGAATGTAATTTTTTACTAACTAAGGACGACATAGTTTGAGTTAACTTTTATTGAGCAGAAATCAGATTTCCAATCGGTGAAACAATCAAGCGCTTAAGGTTGAAGTAAAGGGGAGATCTTTTCATTTTTAAACCTTGAAAATGATCCGAAAAAGAAACAGCAAAAAAAAAAAAAAAAAAAAAAAAAAAAATAGGATGCCTGCATTGCAATCGTGTCTATCATTCATCGAAAGAAATCTCATTGTTGATTGTTTTGACGTTTTATATTGTCATTTCTGTTGGAGCTGTGCTAGTGTAAAGAAGTAAGTTTCACATTGTTAAAGAGGTGCTAAATAGTTCTATGCGGCTACTGCCTTTACTGCTTGATTGATTCAAACCTTAGTAAGATAAGAATCTTTCGAAAGATTGAGCTCATTAAAACCGTTATAATAACTGTCCTAGGAAAATCATGCAACTCTATTGTCCGTATGACATGAACTGGATATGTACGCCTCAAAATAACTATGAGTCAATCTCTCGGACGTGTATGGGATCAGCAACTAGATCGACATATTTACACATTGGTGCTTCGATGTAAAAATTACACTAAGAGTTTCTAGCAGTTTAGAATATGGAAGATAATTTTCAAAAAAAAAAAAAAAAAAAAAAAAAGAGTCAATAGGCATAAGGGCGAAAAAGTATGATTCCCTTATACTGCAGTGATTGCAACAACTCTTTATTTGTCACAAAACAAACAAAGTTTTTGTGTATACCCTGAGACGTATCTCAAGGGGGGGGACTGATGGTTTGCACCACTCAATACACTTCAAAAAATACGCCCATGCACTCTTCTCCTGTTTACATGCAAGCAGGGCATGCACATCACCCATCAACCACGTCTAATTCCCACATTCTGGGTTATATTTTAGCTCTTTTCATCTTTTCGGTGTCAAGAGCTGAGTCAACTTTTTTTTTTCTGGTAACAAATGTTCAATATTTGCTGCTATAATCAATCATTCATCCTTACAATATAAAAGATCTGCACTCATCCCTTTTTCTTTCTTTCATTATCTCTCCTCTCCTTCATATACTCAGAAATCCAAGCACTGCACAGCTCATATTTTATCTGCTCATTGATCTCAGGCGCAACCAAACCGTTAGACTCGAAAGCTGGGATCTAGCTGGAGATTTGTATTCTTGTTGTCTTACCTACATTACACAAGAGCTGCTGGACCCTGGAAGACTATTGTACATCCGTACACACTAGTGCCCCGATTTTCTATTTCACCCACAATTAGTCTAAACCCAAAAGCAAGGCAGACATAACAATAGCAAGCAATAAATGTCAGCGCCATCCAGCATCCCTGCGATCACCGCCACAGTTGCCACACCCTCCGTAAAGGCCGAGACAGATGAGGAAGAGTTTTTCCATACACCCATAGCAGTCACCAACAACGGCGACAATATGCAGACAGATGACGACGAAAAGCAATATCAGCAACAGCACAAAGAGAAACTGTATTATTCCACACATCGTGGCTCCTTTGATTCTCTGGATAATGAGCAGCTGCGGCCACACCAGCGTCGTGCTCTTGATGCTCAGGAAGCCAAACAGGATGACCTAGCGGCCTCTAGCCTTCGCCTCGCATTCTCGGACCCAATGTTAGCAATCACACAATTGCCTAATGCTGACAGACGATCTTCGATTGCTTCATCTTTACACTCCAACATGACAGCAACATCCTCAGTGAGACGCCATCGTCTGCTTCAATTGCAGTTTCTGAGCGAGAAAAAAACTCCGATCCAGGTAGTAATGAAAAGCGAAAAAGATTGTGATCCCGAAGCACCTATCGAAGAAGAAATGGGTATCCCATCATCAGCAGCAACTGAGAGGAACCTGGAGGCATTCATTGGCCCAGACCTTCCAGAGGTAGATGATGGTTCGCCTCCGATGGACAAGTCCTGGTATGGCTATGTCATTGTTGTGTGTTCCTTCATCATCTATTTTATTGTCTTCGGAACTGAGCACACATTCGGAGTCTATCAAGAGTTCTATACCTCTCCTGCTGCCGAACCTATTATGCCTTTCTTGAAGGGCACATCTTCTCAGAACATTGCCATGATCGGAACCTTGGCGACGACATTTACTTATCTACTTGGAGCATTTAGTGGTCGATTCGCGGATCGCGCTGGATACAGAATCTCGGCAGTCCTGGGGGCCTTTTTCATGGGAGCTGGTTTGATTGCTGCCAGTTTTGCGAAGAGTCTTGCAGCTCTGTATATCTGTCAGGGTGTGGTCCTCGGTATCGGGTCTAGTCTGGTCTATCTTCCTGCAATCTCGTGTCCAGCTCATTGGTTTGAGAGATACCGCTCGATCGCCATTGGCATTGTGGTTTGCGGATCGGGTCTGGGAGGCCTTGTCCTGGGACCACTGACAGAGCATTTGATTGCTAGTGTGGGCGTCCGTTGGACGCTTCGCATCCAAGGCTTGCTCTGCTTGATCGGTATTGGTGGTTCTGGTATGATGCTCAAGACTAGGGTTAAGAAAGTACACGGACAGAACAAGAAGGCTCCTATGGACTTTACGATCTGCAAAGAAGTGCCTTTCATTGCCCTCACATTCGCCAACTTTTTAACATCGCTTGGATATATGATTCCTTTCTTCTTCCTTTCAAGTAAGCTATTTCATCAATCTACATGTCTAAAGAAAACCATGATGAGCGCATTATTTTACAGTGACACGATGAGACTAAATATTTCATTCCATTATATTAAATTGACAATTTAGCATTTGCGGTCTTCCATCACCAAACAGCAGCAACTGGTGCCATGTTGATTGGTATTCTCAATGGGGCTTCCCTTGTTGGTCGTCTTTCCCTCAGTTTCATCACCGACCGGGTGGGTCGTATCAACATGCTCTTCATCTGCGCACTTGTGAGTGGTCTGAGCATCCTATGTATCTGGCCCGTGGCTACAACTGTCAAGGTTATCACTATCTTTGCAGTCGTATATGGATTCACCTGTGGAGGCTACTTCAGTGTCATCCCTTCTGTTATTGCAGATATCTACGGCCTTGATCGCCTCACAACTGTTACGGGTCTGTTGTATGGAAGTATTGGCTTTGGTTATTTGATCGGAAGCCCCGTGTCTGCTTGGTTGCTTGATATCACCAAGCCCGATACGAACTATATCTACGTTTTTATTTTCTCAGGCACGACCATGACATTATCCAGTTTCGCAGTCTTCTATTTGAAATACTGGCGCACTAACGGACGCTGGTGGATCCATGGCTAAAACTAAATCCAAGAAAAAGAATGCTAGCGCTTTTCTTACTTTTTATTTTTGTATATAGTAACCGTCCGTAACATCACATTTATTTTTTATTCATTTTATACAAGTCATCATCACAATTAAAAGAAGCATTGAATGAACGTATACTTTTTGGTGTTTGACTTCATATTGTAGAATCTTGTTCAGCACAAAAAAAAAGAGCCTAGCAACAAAGGGCGAGGGATTTAACAAAGTAAACAATAAGCATAACACAACACCATTGACAGAATTAACCTTTGACAAAATACTAGACTAGAGTCCTCGCCAAAAAGTCATAAACTGGATATATTTTACAATACTCAATTTGAATTAAAAATTTGAAAAATAAAAATTTACGTACGAAGACAAAAATGCATATATTTTTTGAATAGAAGGAATGAATTAGATGCATGGCCACCAAACCAATTCAATCTTCGTTTTTAATTAGAAATATTAGAATTTGCGAGAAATGGGCAACATCATTCTCAATCTCATTCTCGATCTCATCCTCATTGTCAACCTACTTTATTCGCAATCTTCAGATAGTAAAATGTCTTTCCCTTTTGATATCAATAACCTACTCTCATACAACGATCTTGGTGGTTGGTATAGCGAAGGAAATATCGACCAAATGATTTCAGGCACACCCTTCACTCCGCCTCGAAGATCGCCACAACTGCCCACTGAAGCCGATCTCTCCCCTATTAGGTCTCCTACCGAATATCAATGGATTACTCCTCCCAGAAACGAGCCAAGGAGTTCTACCTCATTAGAGCAATTCGGTGAGCGTCCCAATACCCTCGATTTAAATCCATTCTTGTCAGACAAACAAACTGGAGAGAGAAAAAAGGCATTTACACGCAGTAAAGCGTCCGTTACTAAAGACGAATACGCGATAATAGCTCATACATATAATGCTATAATGAATGCGCCACCAGCAGTCCAAGACTGGTTTAAGAAGACAGACAACAGAGCAATGGACCTTTCGATTCTGATGGGTGTAGGGAGAAACACTTGTGTGGCAGCAATTAAATATGCACAAACAGGCATCGTCGAAATGACAGGGCGAGGAAGAACTGGACGCCCTAAAAAAGAAGCGGACAAGGATTTAAACTCGAAGGTGCTGAATATCATAGTTGAATCAAACAAGAGCGGGACTCCTAATTCTGCGGGTTTAATTGCAAACCAACTGAAAGAAGACTTTGAAATCGACAGATCAGCAAGATCAATCACTCGCGACCTCCGTAAAATGGGACTGTATTGGGGCAAAGGGATCCGACAGAACTTTTTGCACGACTCCAAGGAGAATATTGCCTTCCGAGCTACTTACCTGAAGCGCCGTCTTAAGAATTTAAAACTAGTAGACGGCAGTTGGGTGCCTAGGACTCCAGAGGTCTTCTTGGACGAGTCTTACTGCCACATTGACCATGCTGCAGCAAGACGTTGGGTGCAAAGTGGCGGTGGTGTCATTAACGATGCAGGAAGGAAACCAATCATGGTTATATTTGCAGCCTTCATTGTATATTATGATGAAGCTGCTAAAAAGGTTGAAGGCAAATTCGTTAATGATAGCGTGTATGTTTGGCCATCAAAGGGACCAAAGCCTCAATCAAAAAAAGGCCAAGAGCAGGAGGCTGAACTGTGGGATGACGTACCTGAGGAGATCAGGAATGCAGGGGTCGTGGCAACAGATCACGATTATCATGGAAACTTCAACGCTAGTTTGTTCGATAGTATCTTTAAGCGACTTTGTGAGAATCTCAATAAGATGGGACTTGGCCCTTGTAAAATCCATCTTGATGGCGCTTCATATCACTTTCACAAGAAAAACAGGAAACCAACCAAGAGCGACACTGTGAAAACTATCAAAGAGTGGCTCACGGGCAAGGAGATTGTTATTCCAACAAGGGAAAATGGAAAAGCACTGAACAAAAACGAGCTTATGGAATTGGTTAACGCTCTTCCTGATGAGTCGTATTTCTCTATCAGTAAAATAGCCCAGGAGAATGGTGGACATGAAATCCTCAAGACTCCACCCTACCATTGCGAGCTACAACCTATTGAGAAGATCTGGGCAGTTGTGAAAAACATAATTGCCTCGAGAGCAATGGTGACAATGACATCCATCTTGCTGAAAAAAAGGCTACTAAGCTTGTTTTCCCAGATTCCGTGTAAAGTCTTTTACTCTGTATGGAAGAAGTCTGTGAAAATTGGCATGAGATACTATAACGAGAGGAGTCATGCACAGGAAGAAATAGTCGAAGAGGTTTATCAAGAGGTTTTTGATGAAAACGAGCCTATTGTGGACCTTAGTGACACTTTCAAAGTCGACAATAGTGAGTGGGATGCAGAACTCATTAGAGTACTAAATCAAGAGCGAGCTGAAGCTGTTACCCTAGGCCCTGAGATAGTGGATCTTACGCTAGATGCTGGAAGCATGTTTAATGTGATAGAGGATAGCGAGTCTGAGGACGAGCCTCTTATCAATCGAAAACGCTCTCGTAAAAATTAAAATTTTGAGTTTGTACGTATTTTTCCTGCGTCTAAAAGTGGAAGTATTCTATTCAATTTAAAAGCCTGAAAAATATATCCAGTTTATGACTTTTTGGCGAGGACTCTATCTCTCTTTCATGCATTTTTTATGACAAAAAAATAAAAGAAAGAAAAAGCGGTTGAGTTTCAATGTACATGTTGTATGCTGCGAAGAAGACGGGAAAAGAAACAGCAGTCGACGAACTTTCACTGTTGTCGCAGTAATTGCTCTCATTCCGTTTGTGAGCAATTGCACGCTCCACTCCCACTCCACTCCATGGTACATGTATACCATTTATTCTTCGTCCTTTATTTCTTTTCTTTCTTTCCTTTCTTTTTCTTTTTCTGTAGTTTTTTGCTCCCCCTCCACATCACTCATAATTCAGTCAATCCGAAAACCAGGAACGCCAATAAAGCCAATACTTTCTATTCTCCATCCTATCTTATTCAAGACCAGAACTTCCTTATCACGCATATCCAGATTCATATTCAAAAAGAAAATAAAATGTACGCCGCAAAATCTTCCATGGTAATAGCCATTTTGGCCCTTTTCCTTTGTTTGACCTCGGCAGTTACTGCTGCTGAACTCTTCAACCCCGGTAATCCCTTAAACTGCACAGCCTGGGAGGCCAACTGCAAAGCTCTTGGTGCAGAGACGTTTGGCAATGGAAAGAAGTAAGCTATTACGCACCTTTTTTTTTTTTGTTGTTGTTGTTGGAAGGGTGAACACTCATGTAAGTGAGATCTAGAGAAGTAATAATATTTTCCTTCAACTCTTGTATTCGTCCAGTTCTTCCTACCAAGGCATGTCACCTCGATGCAATGTCACCAACCTCTCGGGTGGTAAGTTAAAAAAAAAAAAAAAAAGATTGATGGAATTACTGAATGACATGAACTTGTCATTCCTGGGGCCCGTTCTATTTTCAGGAACAAACAAAGTGGCAATGCTTGTACGCTACAAAAAGACTCGATTAATTTTAGACCAAGCAGGAATTAATATTTGTCATGTGAAAAAGAATTTGTGGAGCAAACATTGACTGGGAGAACAAATGTTAAGCTGGTGCCGAGGGCGCAAATCTGGTGCCTTGGAAAACAAGGCAACTAAAGGAGAGATGACATGAGATTAGTAACTGAATTACGTTGAATTGACATAAGACATTATTTTATTATATGATTCCCTTGCTCAGCTCAACCTCTCTGCAACCTGAAGGTCACTTGCACAGCATCATTCCTTGTGTCTGCTCCCGCTTCTGCCCCCACTTCCGCTTCTGTCCCCACTTCCGCTTCTGTCCCCGCTCCCGCTCCTACAGGCGGCAACAACAGCACCAAATACACTATCGTTACCGAGGATTTGACCGGCAAACTCTTGGCCATGTACGATACCTCCAAGTGTGGCACATCGGCTGCTGTGGCTAAGGCGGCTACTTCTATTGGTGCCATGCTCATCATTGGCTCCATTGTCTCGTTGATGAGCAGCATGCTTTAAGCATCACTGGATGAAATGGTATTAGAAGAAGAAAACGATAGGAGTTAAATAAAAAGATGATTAATAATATTTTTTAAAGAAGAAAAAAAAACTCTGGGTGAGTCGCGCCACCATTCGAGTGAAGGATACAAGGAGGTTTTTCCTGTGAAAAATTGTGAGAGCTTGAAATGAGGATCAGGGCTCAAATGGACAAAAGTGCTATTCGCTCGGACCACCCAAAGGAGCACACAGCCAATGACTCGCTTTTGATTGTTACCAGCTGTTGAGTTTTCCCTACATGGGCATGACTTTACGGAGACATAACAGTCCTTAGTCATATTAATGGTGTACATTTCGAATTCAGACTTGGTATAAAAAATAGACAGAATCTTGGGGTTTCCGCTTATGAATTTGGGCGAAGGCATTTGCTCACTCACAGGCAGTCATTGGAAATGTCAAGGCTTCTAATCGGTATCCGTCTACCTTTCGTTCCAGAGGACTCCAATTCAAGACAGGAAGATGTGAAGTCATGGCTTGATCCTGCTCCAGCACTTTCTTCATCAACATGCTTTGTTCGAAGACGATGACGTGATCAAGTAGTGATATCAAGAAACATCTGTTCCTTGACAAATACGATACCTCCTTTATAAATTTTTTTCTAGAAGCAAAATAGAATCAACGTTGATACTCTTGCCTAAAGAACACGAGGTCTTGAAAGAGTCACCTAAAGGCTAGAAAGGTTCCCAAGTAATAGCCCACATTTTATTGAGTCATGGTTTAGATAAGATAAATTTTAAGACATGTGCGGCAGCCTGTAATCAATGTGCCCAACCCTTAAAAATTGAATCCTTGAATAAATGCACCCAGGCAGATCACAGTTGTTAATTTAAATATTTAGAGGTCTGTTCGCGACATTCACTTTCTCATTTGTTTCCATTCCCACTTCAGTTTCCCTTCATTTCGTTGTCATTTCACTATTAGATTCACTTTTTTAGCAGGGCAGGATAGGGCTTATTTCGTTACCAGTCTTTCGACTAAGCGCACCGAAACCTCGGATACTCAAAATAAATAAATGCCTCCTGTACCAGAATCCGTCGACCATTCAAAGATCGACTTCCGTCGCTACTACTTTTGGGCGACCATTCTTAATGTGCCACCTATCCTATTCATGTACCCATTAAGAACAGTACGCCTCCTACAGCAGAGCAAGGTCACGAGCCCAGTTCCCAATTCGATTTTTAAAGTTATACGAGATGTGTATAGAAAGAATGGTGTCCAGGCCTTGTTTGCGGGTTCGGCGATTTACACAACAGGGGTGACAACGACAAAGATCCTACAGTTTGCTACCTATGATTATGCAGCCCAGGTCATCAAGCAACACAGATATTTTGGATATCCGATCCTAAAGGACTCAAGAGTCTTGAGTGGTGTCCTGGGAACGTTCTCTGCCATTGTTACGACGTTCTTTATCGTTCCTTTTGACATGGTGAGTTGCTTGGACGCTCCTCAAGAAGTTATTTGTAGGTCTTACTAGATTTTCTCTTTTTACTGGCAACTGGGATCTGACAACTATATAGTGTAGATCCTGTTCTATCATTATGTCGTCATTGGACGGGGGGTTTCATGCCCATGTAAGACATCAGGAATGATAGTATGGTGATTACACGTTAAAGACCGTTTTTTTGCTTTATCTATGATAGATCTCGCAACAGATCACGATTGCTAAGGCAGGGGCATTACCTAATACGTCAAATATGCCGCTATATGTTACTGGGTATTCAGAGCCGCTCGAAAAACCGAAGCCCATGACACTTACTGAATCACTTCGTGCACAATATAGACAAGAAGGCACTCGATTCTTATTTAGAGGCTACTTTGCAACTCTGCTTTCAACTGGTCCCTTTTTTGCAGCTTATTTTCCAGCATATGAGATATCGCGGTATTGGATCAAGGGCAGTATTGATTATATCAGGGATATCCAAGCAGCCCGAAGGCCCAACCCAAATCCATTTCCACCATTGCAATCCCATCAGTTTTTGATCTCGTCCATGGCAGGGAGTATCGCATCTGTGGCAGGAGTTGTAGTGTCTTCGCCTTGTGATATGATCAAGACACGTATTCAAACCGAACAACGGCTACAGCCTACGAATGCTTCAGGCATCAAGCTACCACTACCGACTTTAAACTGGATGGACGTATTTAAAGAGATTTGGAAGAAAGAAGGGCTGATGGCATTTTTTTCAGGAACAAGAGCCAGAGCAATCAGAGCTATTCCTGGGGGAGCATTCAACTTTTTAATCTTCGACTATGTCCGATCCAAGAGCCTCAAGGAGGTCGTTCCAGTACCGCCTGTTATGCAGGCAGAGAGGCAAGAAATGCTCGAGACTCTCTTTACACTTGAAAAGCAATTCCAGCCTTCGCCGACACCAGCTACCGAGGATTGGTCACAATCTGTATTACTTTCTGTTGATGATGAAATTGCACCTGATATGGTACCGATTACAGAGTATATGGAGCAACCATCATCATCGCCACCACCCTCTTCTTTAGAGCAGCAACCTGAGGAAAGTCCTGAGCAGTTACCACCGATCGCGATGCAACAAGAGAATTAGAATTGAACACATAGATTTAAAGATGAGTAATACAAAGATTATTTTCCCTAGAGCGTAGAAAAATAAAATAAAAACTGGCTAGCATGATTTAGACAGGTATTCACATGTTGAAACGGGTGGACTTCCGAGTCTAACTATTGCTAGAATGAGGATCGTTTCGGGACAACGCTCGAATTACATGATATCCGCGAGGCGAAGACTAAGTAAGGTTTGGGCCATTGAAAGAAACGCAAAATGTTTTGTGGTCGATAGCTGTGGTCCAAGCGCAGGAAAAAATGATCACTCAGCTTGCACATGAGGCAACCCCCTTTCCTATTCACTTTCTTTATCATGTCCTTTGTGGGCTTTCATATCCGCTTATTTATATTTCTCTTCTCTTTTCTCTTCTGTATTCCTTTCATTCTTGTTCACTACTCCTTCTTGGAATGAGCCTAACCTGGAGATACATAAAGGTAAAATCAAATGTGAATGCAGGAAGCACAGAGTGTGAATGATACATGACATGTCTCTGTCGAGTGTATCGCTTGGAAAAAAAAGGCTCATGTTTGTTCTCATCATTCAATTCTCTTCTCATTCACTCATTCAACTTTTTTTTTTTTTTTTTTTTTTTTTTTTTCGCATTTCACAGGACCAAGAACGACTAGAGAGGAAAGCCTAAATTATAAAAAAAAGGTCCGTCGAACATCATTCCTCCTCAGACATCCCTTTCAATTCTCAACTCTACTTGTTCTGCGGAATCCAAGATGGCACTGAACCAAGGCAATGTTGCAGAGGCTGTCCTATCCGAGGTTCCTCCCGTTCTCAAAGACATGAAAAAGGCAAATAGAATGCATTCAGGCTCCTATCGACATACTTTTGCAGTTCATACAGAAAGTGCACCAAGTCCATTATCGAAAGAAGCACCCCCTGAAAACTATCGTGGGTTTGTGAACCTAGGAAGTACGTTTGTTCTTCATTATTTTTCAAAAAAAAAAAAAAAAAAAGGCAAGATGTTGGTGTTACAATTTCGTTACGAGCATCGCCTAAAGATTGTGGCACACATGCACTATACACAAATGCAATTACACTTTAATGTTGATAAATCCTTACTCATCCCAAACACTTTTTCATGTCATGCTCTTTTTTTTTCCCTCTCTTTTCCTGGGGAGTAGTGCTTTTACTGTTTGGCAACAACGTTCGTCTGATTATCGAAAATTATCAAAAATACGGCATTCTCATCTCTCTGCCAGGATCCAAGGTATCCAAAGAAGACTGGATCTTGACCGCTATCTCTCATTTATTACTGCCTTTACACGTTTTTGCTGCTTTCCAATTGGAATATTGGGCCAAGAAAAGGGCTTTGGGCTATCGTAAACGCCTTGTAGACTTATCCGTATCCTCTCCTTCCTCGACGGCTGCTGTTACAAATGACATAAACACTAACGGTGACGGGGATCACAAGGACCCCAAACAGGCCCTCAAGGAGTATCAACGCGTCGTGGCCGCAGCCAAGTTATTTCAGAGAATAGTAGGATGGTTGCATGTCTTCAACGTGGCCTTGATCCTGCTATGGCCTTCATATATGTCCTACTATCTGATCTTTCATCCATTCATGTCCATGACCTGTTTAATCAACGGTACTATTCAATCCTTCAAGATGACCTCATATGCGCTTGTCCATCAGGACCTTCGTGCAATGTACATTTTTGACGAGTCCACTGACAAGTTCAAACACTTGAACAACGTCCATGAGGCTACAGCAGCAGTGTACTCAGATAGTAGCAGTTCCTTAGAGAAGGAGAAAGGAAGAGAGAAAAAGGATGCAAGGAAGGAGAGTGATGCGACCCCAGGAAAGATCTATCAGTATGATGTTCAATACCCTGACAATGTGACGTTTTTGAATGTCGGTTACTTTTGGTTGGCGCCCACGCTTTGTTATCAGCCCTCATATCCACGTACAACCACCTTCCGCAAGTCGTTCTTCCTGAAACGAGTAGCTGAGACATTTACCTGCTTTGGCATGATGTACTTCTTAATTGAACAATATGCAACCCCAACACTTCAGAATTCTATCCGAGCAGTGGATCAATTGGCTTTCGGGACTATGTTGGAGCGGATCTTGAAGTTGAGCACAACCAGTGTGCTTATTTGGCTCCTCATGTTCTACACTTTTTTCCATGCAACTTTTAATGCCTTGGCAGAAGTAAGTAAAAAGAAAAATGCTTTGAATGAAGGAAAAAAAAAAAAAAAAAAGTTCGGAGATGGTGCGATAATGCAGCACTGGGGCATGTTTACAAGGCAAACTTCTTTTTCTTGCAAAGAGAATCTGCTCTAAGAATTTATTGAACTCTATTTCGCTGTACATACTTGTTAATTAGATGCTCTATTTTGGTGATCGATGCTTCTATCTGGCATGGTGGAATGCAGGATCGCTAGCGTCGTACTGGCGATTGTGGAACAAGCCCATCTACACGTTTTTCAAGCGTCATGTGTATTTGCCATTGGTGACCTCGGGCACTTCTCCTTTGGTAGCGTCTTTGATCATCTTTACGATTTCGGCCCTTATGCATGAAATTGTGATCGGTCTTCCTACTCATTTGATCTATGGATATGCCTTTGCAGGCATGTTCTTTCAGATACCGCTGATCATCTTGACCAACCCATTGGAGAAGTGGCGTGGAACAGGAACGGGGTTAGGTAACATGATCTTTTGGGTTTCCTTCACGATCCTAGGTCAACCTGCCTGTGCCTTGTTATATTACTATCATTGGACAAAACAGCATATCAATGACCCTGTTGTGTCTAGTTAATGTTTCGCTTACTTTTGTTCTAAATTCATTACCCTTTTTCAATAAATTTTTTGAAATGCTCATGGATCAGGCTACGCTGTTTTTCATTAGTATCATAGCCTTTTTGCACATAATGCATACTGTGAAAAAGGACGCCAGCGATATAGAGGTTGTCCATCAACTTGTAAAAAAAAAAAAAAAAAAAAAAAAAAAAGTATTATCCATTTTGTAAAATGAAAACCTCCAACAGTAAGTAATACCACATTCATGTTCACACTTTAGGATACACTTTATTTTGATCTTTGCTTCTTTGACCTGTGCTTGTCCTCCTCTTCCTCCTCCTCTTCCTCCTCCTCTTCCTCATCATCATCATCCTCTTCATCATCATTGCCTTCATTATTATCATTACTACTATCGACTGCTGTGCTCCTGGTGGTATCTTCGTCTTCATCATACCCGTTATCTTCGTCATCCTGTGTGTCATCTTCATTGTCATCGCTCCAATTGTTGGCAGGATGCTTTCCAAGCACACTTTTCGATGTTGCATTCTCATTATCTGCCTTACTTTTATTCGCTTTCAGCGGATTGATCTTACCAGTGGCCTGTGCCACCTTGATGCTTTCCCTGATCTCTGCTTGTCTCTTGAGTAAACCCTCGTCCGTAAGAGGTGATTCCGGATAAATGGTAATGTATTCTTCATTCCTGGGGAAATTCTACAATCATTCGATGTACCGGTATTTTTTTTTTTTTAAAAAAAATAGAATAAAAAGTTAAACATTAGCAATTGAACAAAAATAAATATCACCAATGTTGTTTATTCTTTTCCTTTGATGCTATGCTACTGTCGTTGTTACCTTAGTATACATGAGATCGAGATGAATTTCTGCGAACGTTTTTGATTCCTCTTCAGAATCCTTATAGTTGGGATGTTGTTTTATGAAGGCTATCATTTTTCGTCTGGCTCTTCTCATTTCTATGCAGCAATACAAGTTGATATTGTCACGATCATTATTATTTCTTCATTCCTAATTTAAAGGACGAGAAAAAAAAAAATAGACGAGAGAGAAATGAAAGGTGCTTGTGGGACATACCTGTTATTCTGATTCCACTAGGTTTACTAGAAGAGGATGGTTTTTTTACTTTCTTTGGCTTTTTAGATGCCTTTGCTGGTGCCTGTGTTGGCACCGAGACCTCGGGTCCAAGGGCTTCGAGTTGCTTCTTGATATCATCCATTTTTTTTTCTGTTTCCTCAATGACCTCTTGCGGCAGATCCTTGACTGCATCTCTATTCTTATTCTTGATGAGTCGCTCCAGATCACGAAGCTTTCGTCTCAATAGGCGACGCGGCGCCTTTGAAGGCACTACTCTGCGCACAAATTTTGTCTTATTTTTCTTGTTTGTATCTTGCTGGATCATTCCTCCTCTTCCTGCTTCAGCTGCGGTTGATACCTCTGTCATGATGTCTTTACGTCGTTCTTTTATTGTGAGAAAAAATTATTGAAAAAAAAAAAAAAAAAAAAAAACATTTAGTGTTGCTTCTGGACTGCTAATTGATTTGGAAAATGGTCACAGCTCTTTTTTTGGTGGCATGTAACGCGGAATGAGGGTTCAAGTCCAAACAAGTCCATTCATTTCTGCAGCCCGACAGAGGAGATGCACATGGAATCAGCATTAACACGGACTTTCACGCCACAGGAACGACTGGCTCAACTGAAAACAACTGAGGCTCTTTACAATACTGGGCTCTATACTTCAGCATTGCTCATGGTAATAAAAAGAGAATTAGGCACGCATTACTTCACTTCACTGAACAAACAAACAAACAAAAAAAAAAAAAAACGGTGAGGATGTTCAAGGAGCGGGTCACTTGCTTTAATGATTCAGGATTAATTCTTACATATTATTATATACTAGACGGGCATTCATCTCTCTACGGTTCGAAGAGATGAAAAGTGGTTTCTATCCAGAGCATTGGCGCGATACGCACGCTGTCTGACACGTCTTGAGGAGCATAAGCGATCTATTGTAAGAAAAATAAGCTATGATGTTATCTCTTCTCTTCGTTTTGGAACTTTAGGTCAGGGAAATACGGGAACTTACAAGGGATAGTTGGAATAATTACATAGGAATACTACTCACAATCCTTGGATCTATACGACTCATTACTCCCAACAGTTCTTCAAGGACCAAATCCGATGTCTGATAGTGGCAGATCAACGCCTGTAGGCTCAGTCAATAGTAAGATAACAGACACACAGACCTCGGCCACCTCGCAGCCACACCGCACTATGGAAGCATCAGGAGTAGTTGGGAAAACAAGTGAATTAGAAAATGCCACCATTGTCTCTGAAGAAGAGCTGGCAAGAGCGCAATCTAAAGCTAGGCTCAGACAGTTTGTGTCCAGTACATGGGGATTATCCCCAAAGTCTACTATGGGCACATCGTCAAAAGTACGATCAAGGTCTAATGCGACCAATGATACTGAATCACGACCATCCATTCCGGCTGTAGTGCCTCAGTCGACAACGATGAAGCGACGTCTGGAATCGCGAGCAGGGTCGCCATCAGCTGAGCTACAAAACATTAATGGAGACCTGACACGTCCAGAAAATATGTCGAAAGAGCATAAGGAAAAAATGTTGAGGACTGGATCAACGCCATCTGAGACAACTAAGGAGAATAGTCAAAAGATGAATCAACTTTACCAGCTGGACTTAATGGGTAGGAGCATTGAGTTCGATATTGATCATGCGCGTTCTTGTTTTGAAGCCAAGGAGTATACCAAGGCAAAGGATATTGTAAGTGGTTGATTTCATTAGACTGAACTGCTTTGCAGCAGATTTTTGTGAACACGAAGCGTATTTCTTCTTTTTTTTTTTTTAAGCGCTTTTTATTAATATTGGATCGCACTAACAGATTGACAAGATCCCAGAAAACAAACGAACGGTCGATGTTTATATCCTACTTACCAAACTCAGCCGCCACAAGCTCAATAACATACTCACGTACGTTTATGGCTTTTAGAGAATACTTCTTACATATTGATACCTTGAAGCCATTGTTCTCATTGTCATTTCCTTACGTATACTTACATAGAGAGAAATCGTATTGGGAGTGTATTGCAGAGTATGTACAAGACGATTTTTCCCGGATTTTTTTTTTTTTTTTTTTTTTACAGTTATAAGCTCAAGCTATAGCCTCAATATCAATAACACCTTTGATTGCTGACCAGTCTATGCCATGGGGCGCTGTTAGAATGCAACCACTAGCAATAGAGGCCTATGTCCATTTACTACGTTTTCAATCGCATCTACCAACACTTTTGAATATGATTCCTTCAGGCTCTCCAGAAAAACGTTGGATGGCGCTCTATCTTCAGGGTACAGATAATTTCTTCCGAATGAAATATCAAGGTAACAATAAAAAGCGAATGTTGCTGTCGACTGTTCTGTTTTAACAATTGCTAGAGTATTTAATAACAGCATATGGCTGTTTATATTTCCTTCTGAAAAGCCGCATTGTCAGACTTCACAACCCTTAGTGAAAGATACCCAGACAATATTGATATCAAGCTACTGATGGCACATTGCTATAAGCGAATGGGCAAGACAATAAGAGCTGCTTTCTTATACAGACAGGTAAAAAGGCATTTTTTAAATGCATTAGAAAATTTGGATCCAACAAACTCGTGCTTAATAGATTTATCCTCAAAATAATTTTAGGTTCGAATGCTGGATAGTTGTTTCGTGAAAGACATGTATCATTATGGTGTTTGCTTGAAGCAACTTTCCAAAATCGCAAACTTGAATAAGTACGTTAATATTGTCTAATGGTATATATACCTTTATAACTTACATCTGTCTATCCACTAATCAGTCTTTTTTTTTTTATCTTCCGTAGATTGGCGCGTGACTTGCGGGATTGTAATGATAAACATCCAGATACATGGTGTGTCATGGCCTTATTGTGGGACGTAGAACAAGAGAAAGATAAAGCTTTGCAAATGGTCCATAAGGTAGTCTGAGGATTTCTTATCCAACTAATATTATTGAATCAAGCATCTGTTGACATAATAATGGGGTTAGTACTATTGACAAAACGTTTTGACAAGAACTACTTTAGGCCCTAGAATTGCAGCCAGATCATTATGGAGCTCTTCAGCTTCGTGGTCAGCTTCTTATGGAAACAAAACCCAATGAATCACTTAAGTCATTCCGCGATGCCAACAGGATAGAGAAGGACATCATATCATATGAAGGTAAAAAGTACATTTGCATGTAGCATATCAGTAGCTTTTTGCTTATAGAAGAAAATCTCGATTCGTTTTATGGGATATTTATGAGTACTTTCCTTAACGATCATTCTATGCTAGGGCTCGTAAACGCATATATACTGTTGGGGCGACAACTGGAAGCAGTAGGTACTGCCAAGGAAGTCATGGAATTGATGTCGGATAGTGCCCATGCACTAGCAATTTATGGAATAGCAATATATCATTCTGGTGAGGAAAGAGTAGATGAGGCGCTAGAAGTGCTTCAAAAGGCAATAAGTATGGACGCTGGCTGCATACAAGCAGCTTTATGTTTGGTTACGATCTATGAGAAACTAGAGCGCTATGATGAGGCGATTCAGATGTGAGTATTACTAGGCCTATATCCGACCTAAAGCTTATTATGCCTTCATTTCTTCTGATATTGTTGATTTTGTGCGATTTGGCTTCCTTAGATTGGATCAACAAATCGATTATCAGCCACCAGATGCGATTCATGTACGGAAAGCCGAAATCTATACCACTATGGAACAATGGGAGAAGGCATTCTTGAGTTATCAGAGCGCGATCAGGTAAAAGTAATAGCAGTTGATATTAAACAAAACGATATATCCTTTCATCGACTATCTAACTCTTTTTTCTATTTATTATTTTCGGGAATATAGCGCTAATTTTGACAATGTACGTGCGAAGGAGGGAATGGCGCGTGTAGAAAAGATTCTGACAGGGGGCGATGACGAAGATGATGATGGTGTGGAAGGGTCGGACAATAATGACGAGCTTGAGGGAGATGGTATAGACACAGACCTCGATCACGACCAGGATCTCATGGCTGGCAACCTGGATGAAGACGAAGTTCTGACTGGAGAGGAGGATCAAGGAGAAGACTTTGAGGAGGGTTATAGCTTTCGTCAACAAGAACAACAGCAACAGCCATCAGCACCCCAACAGCTTGATGCTTCCTTATTACAGATGGCTGAAAGCTTTAGAACCAGACAACTACAGCAGCAGCAACAGCAGCGACAATCGAATGCCGTAACCCCAGTACGACCTTTGGCACAAAATTCATATGAACATACAGGACCGCCGCCGCTTATTCGACGGCCACGTCAGCAACAACTTCAACAATTTACGCAACATGCATCACAGCATCAGCAGCAGCAGCAACAACATGCTTCCTCATCTTCAACATTTGGGTTTAGGGTTGATTCTCCACATACTCCACCTAGGATGACGAGTCCTGTTAGTCCGTCATCTAGAACCCCCCCGGGAGCACCTGTTATGAGTCGACCATACCAATCGATACATCGGCTTCCGCTCGATCGTGATTCTCCAGAGCCCGATATGGAGGAATAAAAAAATTTCATTCTCAGTATAATAAAATGCATGCCAAAGAACAAAGAAGTGCACTGACGACATTTTGTAGCATTTATTTTAAACAGAGATCTGTGCTGTTCGCTCTTTTTGGTTAGATTTTTACAAATATCTTAGGAAAAGGACTAACCAAACAGAGTGAACAGCACAGATCTCTGTTTAAAAATCAATTGAAATTACAAATATCAGAATTAGCTGATCCATAGCCAATCAAAGGGTCCCTCGGCTTTATCTTCATTATTAATCTACGTACGCAGCTTACAAACTATCAGAATTCGATGGAATCTTAAAAAAAAAAAATCCATTATCTTCAAGAAAGTATAAAAGTGTCAATGTTGCCCATTACCACCACCATCATCAACACCTAAGGTCATCTAAGAAAAAAAAAAACTTACCTCTTCGCTTCTTCCAACAGTAAAAAAAATCAACATGCCATCCACCTCAACCACCGTTGCAGCCGGAGCAACAAATAAGCCCACTTATGGAACCAACATTCACTACCAGCCATCCCAACGATCCGTCACTGTTTACGACCAAGAGAGCTTCTTTGTCCAACCCAAGGTTGCACCAGGCACCAGTCTTGGTCTTAAGAGTGCTATCCAAAAAACCCCTTTGCTCTTTCAGCCATTCACTATCAAGGATCTTACAATTGCTAACCGATTAGTGGTCGCACCCATGTGCATGTACTCATCCAGGGATGGCTTCGTAACCGATTTCCATTTAGCTCACTTGGGTTCGTTTGCAATCAATGGAGCTGGTCTGATCATTCAGGAAGCTACTGCAGTTGAACCCCGTGGTCGCATCAGTCCTGGAGATGCTGGTATTTGGTCAGATGATCATATTTCTGGCATCAAGCGGATTGTTGACTTTGTGCATGCTCAAGGATCAAAGATCGGTATCCAGCTTGCCCATGCAGGCCGTAAGGTAAATAACACAATTTTTTTTTTTTTAAAAAAAAAAAAAAAAAAAAAAAAAAAAAAAACACAAATTCTAACAGATTCTTGTTTGACTAAATTCAACATTCGTAATATTAGGCTTCCACTGACGCCCCTGCAAATACACAAGTCATCCCTGAATCTGAATACTGGAACGATGATGTGGTGGCCCCTTCGGGTGGACCTGAACTCCAATGGGACGATAAGCACCGTATCCCTCGTGCACTATCGATCGAAGAAATCCAAGATATCGTTCAGGCATTCGGAGCTGCTGCTGCTCGTGCTGCAAAAGCTGGTATGGATACTGTGGAGATCCATGGAGCACACGGATATTTGATTCATAACTTTTTGTCTCCCATCACCAACAAGCGTACAGACAAGTATGGAGGCTCGCTTGAGAACCGTGCCCGCTTCTTGCTCGAGGTCATCGAAGCTGTCCGTGCCAACTTCCCTGCTGAAAGGCCCATCTTCCTTAGAATCTCTGCTTCTGACGCGGTGGAACATCTGGATATTGAATCTTGGGATATTGAACAATCTGTTCAACTGGCTCGATGGGTCAAGGATGCAGGTATTGATGCGATTCATGTCTCATCTGCAGGAAACACATCTTTGCAAAAGGTCACATATTCACCTGGATATCAAGTCCATTATGCTGAACGTATTCGGAAAGAAGTGCCTGGTTTGGTGGTTATCGCCGTAGGATCCATTACTAGTGGTAAACAAGCCGAAGAGATCTTGCAGGAGGGAAAGGCTGACCTCATCGCTGCGGCCCGTGCTTTCTTGAAGAGACCTTCTTTTGCATTGGACGCAGCCCGTGACCTTGGCGTTGAACCTGCGTATTCACTTCAGTATTTTGCTGCTAAATACGCTTAAGCAAAAAAAAAAAAAAAAAAAAAAAAAAAGATCTTAGCTACTGTACAGTATAGAATAGTAACTTAATAATAATAAGATATACGTATATTATCTTGAGTACCTTTTGTTTTATGTGTGCGTTGCGCCTTGTGCTGTATTCGGTTTATTATCCTTGGAATTCCAATTAGAATGATATGCTTGATATAGAACTCAAAACCAGTGTCCGTCTTGACATTAATTCTTACGCACTGCATGTGTACCAACTTCTTGATAGGTTACTACAATTTCTGCTGACAGCATATCTGGTCGCTACACGGCTGAAAACTATGTATATATTGGCAAACCAGCAAAAATAATGCTTCATGCGTAAACATACAGGCCGGAAAAAAAAAAAAAAAAAAAAAAAAAAAAAAAACTATAACGTGTACAGTTTGTCAGGTCTACTACGTCCAATAGATTCATCTTGCCGGTGGCAGTGGCAAAAATTAATCACTTCTGATGACGATCTGTGTAGGGAACTCAATCTTACAGTCCAAGCGATCGGGGCGAAGGATAGTAGGATCAAGTGTATCGGCAAGGTTGATAGCCACAATGGCCTTGACATTCGAACCCTGATCAAAACCATCCAGTTGGGTCGCAGCTTTAACAGTGCATCAAAACGCTTTGCCGCAATAGCATCAACCTCATCAATGAATATGGTTGCAGGAGAGTTCTCTCGAGCTATCCTGAATAAATCTCTGGCCATCCTATGACCCTTACTTAGGTACTTTTGTAAAAACTCTGATCCTGCCATACGGAAGAATGATGCTGAGATATGGTGAGCAACTGCCTTAACTAACGTGGTTTTACTTATTCCAGGAGGACCATAGAGCAAGGTACCTCGTGGAGGATAGATATCGATCTGACGATAGAAATTGAAATGTGTGAGAGGTAGCTCCACAGCTTCTCTGATCTCCTGCTTCTGCATATCCAGTCCCCACAACTGTGTAGGTCACATCGGGCCTCTCATGCTCTCCCAACGCCTCGACACGAGTCTCCATTGGGTGGCAAGACATCACTCAAGGCATTAGAGTGGCGACGAAGAATCATTGAGCAAGATGGTTTGTACTCAGGATACGAACAACATGTTGAGGAGGAGGAGTACTTGTGTGCTGATCAATAGGCGCTAAGAACTGCCCGATGACCAAGGGAATAGACTAATTTCCTCCGGTGCACGGATCAACTCTCCTTTTAGATTCTTTTGTTCATTCCGATATATTCCTATTGTAGTTGTCATGGGGCCTGTTTGAACAACGATGGCAATCACTAGAGTTGTTCTCTCGCATGATCCTATTATCGCTTTTCACTTTCCTCAAGCTTGTTTATGACCCACATTGTAAGTTCTGGAGAGAACAAGGCAGGATGAAATGGCTCCAGAAATTTCGCATCAAAACTGCCTATGCAGTATATACCGTATTCCGACAAGGGAGTAATGGACCAAGAGGAGGGCTCGGTTAATGTTTTTTATATTAGAGTATTGATGTGTTGAATAGACAAAGCCCTGGTAAGTAGACTATTATCCCTATCCATTTTGCCGCTCTTGTAGCGCTTGAGGAAAGCAGGTTGGGAGGCAATATTACGAAAGATGCTCGAAAGTAAAAGTATGAGATAGTGTGGATGATCACCAATCCTTCAAGAAATTTCCTCTACTTGCAGCTGGGGAGACTGGCTTATGAACAAATAGCAATTTTTCGTGCAGGTTATGGCAAATCCATAGCTGGATCTCCTGTCGCCTTCATTATTTGCCAGGAACCATCTTTCCGCTATCTTCCCGATATTTAATTCCGACATCAATTAAGTCGATTTAACCTTTTTGGATATATTAGCGCCGTCGACACCTACAATGGCACCCTAGGCTACAGAGCGCGCATGAAAAATCATTAACTATTCTAGAGCATTGTACATTCAAAGCCCAAAGTCGACAAATCCCTACCTCACGTGAGATCGAAGCTTGACTTGCCATTTTGCTGTGTGCTCTGTGCTTTGAGTCGACAGAAACTTTGAACGTTTGTAGACTGTCATATAAATAGGCCATACGCTGAGTAAAAAAGTACACCCTATAGACACAATTGCACCTGCATATATATCCTTCCTTCACCTCTTCACCAAGTGAATTGTAACGCAGCAAACCATTCTCTTCGACATTACCATAATTTTTTTTGTGCTCACCACTTTGTTGTCACCTTTGTTTCTCTATTGAGTTTCCCCTCCTAGTCAATTGCATTTATCCTCCTCTCTCACATCATTATGTCTAATTCAGGGACGCCATCTTCAGAAACACCGCCTATTGACCTGCTGGCTCAGGACACGATCAATATAGCCTCTACAGAACCAACAGGTCCTCCTGCATCACCGGCAACGGTTATTGCGAACCGTAAGAAAAAGGACATCTCAAAAGGTAATTCACTCTTTTTCTTGACCACGAGCAAAAAAAAAAAAAAAAAAAAAAAAAGACATTGACCTGGCCTTTCTTGGTTCATAAATATAGTGGTAGTTCGCTTTCGAGCCATTGGAAATGCGCCTATCCTGAAGACAAATGTTTATAAGATCACAGCATCTAATAAGTTTTTGGCAGTAATTCAATTCTTGCGGAAAGAACTTAACTACAAACAATCAGATCCTTTGGTAAGGGAATAAAACAACATTAATAAGGAGAGTTTTTAATACATGGGACGCACTATGCGGGAGCATATATTGACCGACTTGGAGTTTGCTATCCTTTATTTGTTCTGATAGTTTCTATACGTGAATAGCGCATTTTCGCCAGCACCAGATGAGATTGTCAACAATTTGTTCAAGGTATGCAAAGTAGAATTATTAGGATGTACCTATACAAAATGTCGTGTTACCAAGGGAAATTCAACTCATTCTTTTTTTTTTTTTTTTTTTTAAAAAAAAAAAAACCCTTCCTTAGTGTTTCAATACGGATGGGAAACTAATTGTAAACTACTGCACAAGTCCCGCATGGGGTTAAATAAGTCGCTCAGGACAAGCATACAGCTTGGTTTTACAAAATTGTCATAATAAACACCATTGACATTTTTTTAAAAAAAAAAAAAAAAAAAAAAAAAAAAAGATAATAAAGTTCACGAATTATTCTATATCATTCAGTCTATTGTATAGCCTGTGTCCTGGTGCATAATGTATACGGTTTCCTCTTGGTTTATCAGGCACTTTGCCGAATCTGTCGAATGGATATAAGATATAATCAACTTTGGCTTTTATAAGGCCCAATGGTACCTGAATAAAAAGTAGAGAACCACAATGTCCCCCAAAAGCATGCACAAGTTTAGTAGAGCGTAAGTAAATAGGAAGGTCAGATGTGCGGATCAAATTCCAAAGCAAAAAAAAAGCCCCCAACTTTTTTTTCCACAAGGCACTCTTTCCATCTTACCGGTCCAAATCGATTGCTATCATTGCTATGAAACATTTCATCGCCTTCAATCCAGCAATGCCCACGAGGAATTCGCACGTAATCCTCTGAGTAGGGAGGCCGCGTTTGCACAACATCGCCTTCTAAAGCTATGATACGTTTAATGATTGTCTTTTCTGGCTGATCAGGGTGTCTACGGTTAAAAAAAAAAAAAAAAAAAAAAACCAGAGTTAAAATGAACACTTGCGGCAATTAATGGAAATGAAGCAGAATTCGCTTGCATCTTCACTCCCGTTGCCTTATTAATAATTGTTACCGTAAGGTGACTACATCGCCAATTTGGTAATCGAACCGGTCGATTGCCCAGTGATTGAAAAGTACAACATCTTTCCGCAACATATTGCTGTCTGGATTCAAGGTTGGCTAAAGTCGGTTTAAGCATGGCATTTCCGGAAAAAAATATCAGCTTCCTTCATATACTCATCATGATGCTGAGGTTCTTCCTTGTATATCATGTAAACTACTTCTATATCCTTTCTTGCCAGGTAATTGTAATGAAGCTTGCCTGCATTGATCTTCCATGTACTGTCCCGAGACTATAGCCATGTTCTACAAAGTATATTCCAACCGGCACCCAGGGTAAGCACAATTTTAAGAACTGACGCGTTGCCGTTCCAAAAGCTGTAAATGACATTGTGAAGAATGAGTAACAAAAAAAGGATCTCATCCATTTTGTTCGTGACCGTGTTTAGAAAAATCATGCTGAATAATATTACAGCTTTGTCACGCTACCGAGGAAACCCTTACAACCCTGATACTGTCGCGAAGGATTTGAACTCCTCGTGTCGCATTTGAGACGATATTGTGGAAGGCATACTTTACCAATATTTTCGCATCACGTTCAAAATTTATAGGCCGGGAACAGGAGATAAAAGCCAGAAGAGTGAAAATGGTGAAGTTTAATAGTTGCGCAGAGAGCGGAGATAAGTAAAAGAGAACGTAGTGTACCGTATTGATATAGCTAGGTTTTGCACCCACTAGCGCGTAAATAAACTTGCGTATGCATCCATCGCACTTCTTCAGTTCGTGTTTATCATATCAAGCAATATATAAAAGATGTCGAATTGATCGGAGCGCTGGCAGTGCCAATAGCCAGTAGTTTCCTGTGCTGCCTATACTAGTAAAACCTTTCTAGCACAGAGAACTGGGCTTGGCTTGCTTATGGGTTAAAAATTTCATGAGCAACGCAATAAATGTCATGGTCCCTTTGTATGTGCCGAAGTCTGTTCATGCACTCTACTCTATTTCTATAAATCATGCCAAATGCTCAACTATGACTTGGACAAACAGGGTAGTCAATGGGAGGCTTAAGCCTGTGCTAAAGTCAAGGATATTCTCTGGCAACCCCCTCTCTGCATTCTACAAAACCTGCCTTCGTTCAAAACAAATGGCTGTTGTCCTGGAATTTAAATCATGGATAAATAAATTCTAGGAACATTTGTAAGCCATAGCCTTACAGCAAAGTTATGATGCTAAATATAAATAAAGAGCATTGGAGTGATCCTTGACAATGCGCTGACAAAATGAGTTAATGGTTGTCGACAGTGTGTGAGAGGTGGCGATAGCAGTAATGGAGATGATTTTTTTATTGATGGGAGCCACCTTGGATAAGATGCTGTCCTTTTAGGCTGAGTGTTACTGAAAAAGACCAGGCTTGAACCACACAACTCAAGATACTGAGTAGATTAGTGGCCTTTGGCAAATGGAGTAAACTACAGAAGGGACTTCTCCATTTTAATAAAATATCAGAACTAAACTCCCTATGACTCTATTCCATGAATGGCACCGGATTTCATCTGTTGTTATTATTTTACATATCTAAGGATGTTCTAATACATCTATTACGATAGGATGTGGAAGTAAGAGATTGCGTACATATACTAGATTAAAAAACTACAAAAAGTACAACAAGAATCGTGCTCAGTACGAGATAATTCTTACTTCGCTGTTAAGCTGGACAGTTCAAGGCTGGTCTTAATCCATGTACTCCACATTGATAGTAAACATAGGCAATTGGAAGGTAGATGGTGTTCTAGAAACATTGAACCAGAGCTTTGGAAGTAATATATGTATACATGTACCTTTAGGTCGTATAAAAAATAGGCTAAATCACAAATGATCTCCGATTGGGGAGGAGAGTAAAAAATGACCGTGACACGTTTTCTTATCACCACATGCCCAAAATTTAAATCTCACTCTTAAGACCTGCCTGCTCGCCTTTGGCTCCACTTTCTTACACGACGCCTATTAAAAGTCCTGGTTTCGATTGTCGATAATGAAATTAACCAACCAGTGAATCAAGAAATAGAGCCATGAGAACTGTCGATTGCCATCTTTCTAGCCATCTTTTCCATATCTTTTATTTGAAAAGCTCTTATTACAAATATACATAAAATTTCAGTTTTTGCACTGACGTCTCTGATTTTCCGGCGTTTCGGCTACTGTGACACGCTTGCCTTCAATGAATTATTCAGCATTCTCGTAGGAAACTGTCACACTTTTACTATATTAACCTACAGCTCGACCCTCACCTTTGTCCCATCCTCATCCTCTTCTCCCTTACACACACACACATCAAGGAACTTCAAGAACACAAGCAACGTCCTCAAGAAAAATGCCATCCACTAACAATGCCGAGGCTTCCTCTGCCTACGAGCCTTTGACCTCTAATCCTAGGCCTTACTTCGCCCAAGAGAACCACTACATTGAACAGCCCCTTGCCCCTGGCACTTACATTGGCCCTATTGATGCCTCGCTCCCTGGCTCTGACAAGATCCCATTGCTCTTTCAGCCCTTTACGGTCAAGGACTTGACAATTCCTAACAGGATTGTAGTCGCTCCTATGTGCATGTATTCATCTAAAGATGGTTTCTTTACCAATTTCCATTTGGCCAGCATTGGTTCGTTTGCGATCAATGGTGCAGGGCTGATCATCCAGGAAGCTACAGCGGTCCTGCCCAATGGAAGGATAACTCCTAGTTGTGCCGGATTGTGGGACGATGCTCATGTATACAAGTTCAAGGAAATCGTGGACTTTGTGCATGCTCAGGGAGGAAAGATTGGCATTCAACTCGCACATGCTGGTCGTAAGGTAAAATGGCTTGAAACAACAATCTTATACCAGGTGGCTCAATTTAAATTTGAAAGAACCTCATTTAATCTTTTTCTTTCTGAATATGAAATTTACAGGCTTCTGCTCGGGCCCCATTTACCAAGCACGCCGAGTCTGATTTCTGGTACGACAATGTCGTCGCTCCCACTGGTGGTGCTGATTTCCAATGGGATCATCATCATGTAGTACCTCGCGAAATCACTCCCAGTGAGATTAATGAAACTATCCAGGCTTTTGGTGCCGCTGCTGCCCGTGCTGCCCGCGCTGGTGCAGATATGGTTGAGATCCATGGAGCACATGGATATTTGATTCATAACTTTTTGTCTCCCATCACCAACAAGCGTACAGACAAGTATGGAGGCTCGCTTGAGAACCGTGCCCGCTTCTTGCTCGAGGTCATCGAAGCTGTCCGTGCCAACTTCCCTGCTGAAAAGCCCATCTTCCTTAGAATTTCCGCTTCCGACTTAGTAGAGGAGGTCGTTGATGGACCTTCTTGGGATATTGAGCAATCAATCCAGATTGCTAAATGGGCCCATGATGCAGGCGTAGATGTGCTGCATGTTTCTTCAGGTGGTAATACTGCTCAGCAGAAGATCAAGGCTGGCCCTGGCTACCAGGTCCCATTCGCAGAGCGTATCAAGAAGGCTGTGCCTGGATTGCACATCGTTGCAGTAGGCATCATCATTAATGGGAAGCAGGCAGAGGAAGTCTTGGAACAGGAAAAGGCCGATTTGATCGGCATCGGTCGAAGCTTCTTGAGACATCCAGAGTTTGCATTGAATGCAGCTCGCGACTTGAACGTCAAGGCTGCGTTTTCCCAGCAATATACTCGCGGCCGCACCATCTATAGTTAAAAAAAAAAAAAAAAAAAAAAAAATAGATAAATAGACAAGCCAAAATATAATAGGATACCTTTCGTGGTATTTCAAAATTGTGACCCATATTAAGTAATAAATATATATATCTCCCAACAATCCACAAGGAATACAAAAACGTTTACAAGTAAAAGTTTGTTGCGTAACGAGATTTTAGCTTACCATGATCTGCATGCCAACAACAGATCAGACCCTACACAGTGCCGTTGTATACTTGTCTTACATCACTTTATGGCAACATGTATTTTGATTTTGTTCGAGACAAACTAATATGAACTGAAACCAAACATGGCCGGCAATTTCAATAACTTTTTTCCTTTTTTCCTTCTTTTTCTCTTCAAGAAAGTCATTGACGACATTGACGAAGAGATCATTCAATTTAATGCATACACTGCGATCCTTTCTTTTCTTCTCTCATCCTTATACCCATTCCCCTAGCTATACACTCTACTCATTCATATCCCACTACATTGAAAGCACAATTTGAGCTGGGTTAAAAAAAAGAACCCCCGACTTTTCTTCCAACCGCCATGTCTACCTCATCTTCTAACTTCGTACATAATGTTGTTCGTGCAATTCAACTGGCGGTCTCCATCTCCATCCTAGCGACAGCAGCATTCCTTCTTCACTATCGAACGGAAGCTCATTCTAATTTCACAAACGAACCTCTGTTCTCATGCATCTCTGGGAGCGTTGCTTTCATTTATGCATGCTGGGCCATTCTTAACCGTCGGCGACACCCTGAAAACCATAAATGGATCTATCTTCATGGGCTATGTTGCCTCATTGTCTGTGGATTGCTGATCACAGCCTCGAGCTTAGCGTTCATTTACATCAAAGATGGAATTTTGTGCGAGAGATTTGAGGATATACACGGTACTCATGCACAAGGCAGTCAATCGAACCTTAACAGCTTTGCGGATCACCCAGAATACGAGGAAGGACGTCAATATGCGCCCGGCACAATATGTGAGAACAGTTACGAAGAGATGGACAAAGCTTGTGCAGTCATGGGGATCTTGGGCGCCTTAATGTGGCTCATCGATTTCGGGCTAATCTTTGGACTCTGTGGGTCTAGTAGCGCTTACAATGATCAACGTAGACGTCGCCAGCGAGGGCAGATTGGGCCCAGTGACCCAGAAGATTGCTATGTTGCTGAAGGCGTTCAAAATGGAAATGTTTCGCAACAGCAGGATAACAATAGGCAGGGTGTTGGGATTGAGGTACCAGACCACTACCGTTGTGACACAAACCAACGTAAATATGCATTGCAAAGGTTAGGGCAGAGGACTATAGAGGGCTCTAAGAGTCATATTCAAGAACCGATCCCATTGTCGGTTCAACAGCAAAATTATCTCAGTGATCATAAACACGACCGATATATTTTCGATCCTTCAATAGCAGTAGACGCCTCAGAAGATCGTGAAGGCAAAACGGCAACCACACCATCAACCGATCCGATACCATTATATAGCGTTGACAATACCAATTCAATTGAAGCCAATCAACGTTATTCATCTCGTAACGGGAGCTTAAAGGCGCCTATATATGCTCTTTCCCCACCTCCTCTTCCACATATAATGGGGGAACAGCCTTCAGAACCACACTCACGCTCTGAACAAGTGACACAAGGGATAGAAAAATATCCACTTACATCACCAACAATGACCATGTCCGAGTCATTTCTCCACCATCAGCAGCAGCAACAAGGGCAACACGAGCAACACGAGCAGAAGGATTCGTCGACTGAAAATCAGCTGGCAGGCGCAAAACTGATAAAAAGCAGCCAGAAACCGTCTGCGTCTCATACTATAATCAGCGCGCCCCCGACTGTGCCCTCTCTATGTTACACTGAAGCCCCATCCGGACCTACTTGCTATATTTTCGACTCGAGCTCACACAATTATCGTCCTGGTTTTGTCAATTTGGTGACACGAATCGAGAGGCAACAAAGCCGCAAAAATGTTGCGAAACCGGAACCTACAACATATGTGCAATCATCCACGTCGCTGGGCTCTACTCCACCAATAGGATTCAGTATACAAAAAGCTGGACATGCAACTGACGTAGCATCTAGAGATGAAAGTAGGACGGTAATTGGGATAGAGTCAACTACTTTACACCCCACAGGAATAACAACTACTATACGAAGCCCTATTACCCATAGCCACTCCAGAACGGGGGACTCATACTTTACTACGACGACTGAATCAACTACATTACCTATTGGGGCGGAATCTTCAGAGAAACAAAGCCAGGTCAACCTGGATCAAACGCTCGATAAAGACGACATCACACCGCAGTTGGTTACGAATCAGTCTGAAAAGAAACTAGTTAGAGTCAAACATCAGACATCTAACTTATCAGCAACGACATTGAAAATTCATAATAACAAACATAGCGACATCAGTTCGGATTGTACGGGTCCTGCATCGCCAACCTTGTCGTCGTCATCAAGATCGCTTTATATTGGTGATTTCTAAAAAGGAAAAGTATAATAAAACTTTAAATGGTAGCTTTAGTTGTTCAGCCAGAAGCCTTTTTTGTCAGTCAATAACGATGGAAGTAGGAGATATACCTATATCCCTCATCAGAATGTAAAATATATCCCTTAGCAAGAAAGCATCATATTACAAATAAGAAGACGAACTCTTTATTACGACTTTTGCTATATGTTATGTGCTGATGATCTCTAAACGCTCCTTGGCAGTAAAAAATATATACACTGGCTTCCGCAGGGTATGTAGAGTCCTCGCCAAAAAGTCATAAACTGGATATATTTTAAAGTACTCAATTTGAATTAGAATTTGAAGAACAAAAAACCTACGTACGAAGACAGTAACTCATATACTTTTTGAACAGAATGAATGAATCGGATGCCATGGCCACCAAATCAATTCATCGTCGTTTTTGATTATAATTACTAGAATTTGCTAGGAATGGACAACTTCATTCTTGATCTCATTTTCTACCTCATCCTCATTGCCAACCTAATTTACTCGCACTCTTGAAACAGTGGATCTTACGCCAGATACTGGAAGCATGTTTGATGTGAAAGAGGATAGCGAGTCTGAGGAATATCTTGTTGACGCTTCCGTAAAAAATAAGATTTTGAGTTTGTACAAATTTTAAAAATGGAAGTATTCTATTCAATTTAAAAGCCTAAAAACAATATCCAGTTTATGACTTTTTGGCGAGGACTCTTCGTTCTTTTGGACTTTACTTCTTCTCCTTCAGATCCCTACGTCTCTCCTAGACATGTATGGTTTTTTTTAGATTGACTAGGGCAACTTTTAGTATCTTGTATAATAAGTCTTATTAAATTAATTTAATGAAATCATCTAATTGCATGTGTCCTCTTCAATTATAGTGTGATTTGAGGACCAGCTCCGACACTCTACTTAATGGATTTGGAACTTATTGCCCAGCATGGTTCAAGAAATTGTATGCAGTAAAATAGAGTTCCTGAGAAAAAAAACCTTATTGTCTCATGCATTTTACTAATCACCTTCCCCATGGCTTTGGTTTCTAACTTGACTACAAATAGAACTGTTCTCATGCACTCTTACGACCACACTATCTCTCCCTTCAATCTTCATCATTTATTCCCATAAGAGATATCCATTTCCACATACTGCCGTCTCGTCTCACCTCATATTACCAGGAATTCACAAACATCAACAAACCCAGTAACTGAAGCAAACATGCCTCCACAGAAAATCATTTATGAGAAGGATAAAGAACAGATCATTGGCTATTCTCAAGAGCGATTCAGTATTGATCAGCCAGTTGCTACTGGAACCTATCTCGGGCCCATTAACGCTTCGTTGCCTAGAGCATGCGAAATCCCTTTGCTCTTCCAACCTTTCCAAGTGAAGAGCCTAAAGTTTGCGAATCGATTGCTTGTTGCACCAATGTGTACGTATTCTTCTAAGGATGGCTTCATGACCTTATTTCATTTGGCTCATTATGGATCGTTTGCAATCCATGGTGCAGGTCTTATTATCACAGAAGGATGTGCTGTTGAGGCAAGGTTAGACCTTTTTCTTTTTCTTCTCCTTGAGGGTAAAAAGTTGATTAGTAGGGTTTATGAGGCTTTTCTAAAGATATCAATGAATAAAATTATCTATTATAAAATCAAAGAGGTCGAACTAGCCCACGGGATGCCGGAATCTGGTCGGACGCTCATATCCATAAACTGGAGGAAGTCATTGAATTTGTCCACTCTCAAGGATCCAAGATTGGTGTCCAACTTGCCCATGCAGGACGCAAAGTAAAAATTATATCTTAACGTTGTCATAATGATTTTTTTTCCTTCGGAATGAAGTTGCCTGTATTCTCAAAACTAACCTTTGCTTTGAATTCTTAAAAAAAAAAAAAAAAAAAATGAAGGCCTCAATGCCTGCTGCTTATTCTACACTTCCTGAGTCAGACTTTTGGCCCGATGATGTCGTAGCGCCGAGCGGTGGAGAGGAACATAAGTGGGATCATGAACATGTAACGCCGCAAGAACTTTCTATCAAGGAGATTCAGGAAGTTATTCATGCTTTCGGCCAAGGTGCCCGTCGTGCTGCTCGCGCTGGTGCAGATATGGTTGAGATCCATGGAGCACATGGATATTTGATTCATAACTTTTTGTCTCCCATCACCAACAAGCGTACAGACAAGTATGGAGGCTCGCTTGAGAACCGTGCCCGCTTCTTGCTCGAGGTCATCGAAGCTGTCCGTGCCAACTTCCCTGCTGAAAAGCCCATCTTCCTCAGGGTCTCCGCCTCTGACTTAGTAGAAAAGGTCATCGATGGACCTTCTTGGGATATTGAACAAACTGTCCAACTTGCGAAATGGGTTAAGGAAGTGGGTGTGGATGTATTCCATGTGTCCTCTGGTGGAAACGTGGCCCAGCAGGTCATCGAAGCTAGGCCTGGTTATCAAATACCCTTTGCAGAGCGTGTTAAGAAGGAAGTTTTTGGATTGTATGTGGTTGCAGTCGGTCACATCACCAATGGCATACAAGCCGAACAGATATTGCAAGAAGGACAGGCCGATATGATTGCAGCTGGAAGAGAGTTTTTAAGGAATCCATGCTTTACAATGACAGCTGCCAAGGATTTAAATGTAATGGCGAAAGTCTCTCAGCTATATGAACGTGGCCGTCGTTAACACTTTCTACCATATTTGCTCTTACAATTTGAACATGGATATCAAACATACCACATAAGATTTTTTTTTTTTTTTTTTTTTTTTTTTTTGAGGAATAAAGGAGAAGCTTTAGTCGATGGATTGCGGGTCAAAAAGTGTTTGATATGGGCTAGACGTAGCTTCTCAACAACAACAAAAAAAAAAGGTATTTGACGCCTATGAATAGAGGAGTAAATTGTATCACCTACCTATTGTCCTGATGCCGAACAATACTTTCGTGATTCAAGAAAAGTACGAACATGTATGCCTGGGAAGAGGCGCAGATATCTGACTTCCAATACGTTGTACAAGGAGAGCATCGTAGACTACGCGTTTTTGCCTCTTCGGCATGTGCGTCTCCCGTTAGGAGTATGATTGGAGCACAATTAGGGGTGTGGGGACCAACGATTTCGTTTTGCGCAAAACTGAATGTGAAGGAGAAAAAAAAATTGTACTATGCATGCTCACAGCTAAGAAATACGGTTCTGCGAACCACAGCAAGTTCAGATAAGGAAGTCGCACCTGAAAATGAGGGTGAAGGCTGAGCGAGACTACTAAGGGTCATAAAGGGCAGAAAGAGAAGAGAAGAAACAAGAGAGAAGCAAATGAGGCAAGAATTATTAAAGTTGTCGAGGACAAAGTTAGAAAAGGATATTTGCTAAGCCCGCTCACTCACTGTAAATTTCAACTTTAAAATCTTATACTTCTCAGGCAACATCCATCTCCATCTCTCTTTCCTTTTGTCAAGAAAACAAAAAAGGTTGCATGATTAGTGGCCAGAGCTAATTGCGGCTTTTTTTTGCTTACCTTGTTTAATAATTAAATACATTCACTTTATTACAATGAAATGTCAGCCACCCACCGTGATTCCTAATCCTCAGCCACCGTTTGATGGAATAGCGAGAATACGTTTAGAACGTCTAATAACAAATCGTCCCTGAAGCCAACGATTATAAAAACCAGGACAGATCCTCCTTTTTTTTTTATTCCCTTCCAATAATCATCTCCCAACCATTTTCTTTAATTCTGAATACCTATCACACCTTTCCCACCATGATCAACGACGATAGCAACGCTAAAATCGAGCCTAAGCACTACGTCGAATCCGAAGTTCGACCATACACGCAAGAAGAGCAATTCTTTGTCGACCAACCCGTTATCCCTGGTTCTTACGTTGGTCCAGTTGACGAGACTCTCCCTGGCGCGGACAAGGCCCCTTTGCTTTTTCAGCCCCTCACGATCAAGAATTTAACAATCCAGAACCGCATTGTGGTCGCACCCATGTGCCAATATTCTTCTAAAGACGGTATCATGGGGGATTACCACCTTGTCCACTTGGGCCAATTTGCACTGAATGGCGCTGGACTTGTCTTAGCGGAGGCAACTGCTGTCGAAGGTAAAAAAAAAGGATATTTGTCCTCTGGCCCTCTATGCATTAATACCTTTTCAGTAGACTATTTGTGTACAATGAACCATTATTAAGAAACTTAATTTACGGACTTTGGGTTCATAGCGCGTGGACGCATTAGCCCTCATGATACCGGCATTTGGTCCGATGCTCATATCCCTGGCCTGAAGCGCGTTGTCAACTTTGTCCACGCCCAGGGATCCAAGATTGGTATCCAGCTTGGCCATGCTGGTCGCAAGGTAAAGAAGACTTGACTCCTCTACATCGAGGGCACTACCTCAAGGTTATTTCCATGTCTAGTTTTACTGAAATGCTTTTCATCTTTATCTATTCCATCTATTTCACTTCAGTCGTCTGTACCTGGGTACTACGCAAAGCTAGAAGACTCAGACTACTGGCTTGATGAAGTTATTGCCCCCACTGGCGGCATTGCATATGATCACCACCACCGAGTGCCTCGCGAGCTGCATATTGACGAGATCCCTGAGGTTATTAAGGCTTTCGGTCAGGCTGCTCGTCGTGCTAACGAGGCAGGAATGGATACTGTTGAGATTCATGCCGCTCACGGTTACTTGATTCACCAGTTCCTCTCACCCTTTACCAACAAGCGTACAGACAAGTATGGTGGTTCGCTCGAGAACCGTGCCCGCCTCTTGCTTGAGGTTATCGAAGTTGTTCGTGCCAACTTCCCTGCTGAGAAGCCTATCTTTGTCCGTATCTCAGCTTCTGATAATGTGGAACATTTGAAAGATGAGCCCTCCTGGGACATCGAACAGACAGTTCAAGTTGCCAAGTGGATTCATGACGCTGGTGTGGATGTTCTCCATGTATCTTCTGCTGGCAACGTGGCGCAGCAGCAGATCAAGTACGCGCCCAGCTACCAGGTCCCCTATGCAGAGCGTGTTAAGAAGGCAGTTCCTGGATTGTTTGTGATTGCAGTCGGGGTGATCACCAGTGGTACGCAGGCTGAGCAGATCTTGGAAGAGGGCAAGGCTGATCTGGTTGCATTGGCAAGAGGATTCTTAAGATATCCTAATTTTGTATACAATGCTGCAAAGGAGCTGAACGTCCGTCCCCGTTACACTGCACAGTATAACATGTTCCTTTCCAAATCGACTTTGTAAAAAATCAATATTCATAAATGATACTCATATTCATCGTTCCAAGGTTACCCAGCAATCCCCTTATTAATGATAAACAAGTAAAATAAGAGTGCAAATTAATACAGAAGTAAAGTGCTGCGGTTATCACTAATATTCGACACGCGTCATGCATGGACGATCTTATTGCAGCGTCAATTGAGTGAAACAGCATAGCCTCCCTTTTTGCATAAAAGAAAAATGTTTGCTGCGCACTCATGACGACAGGGAACTTCATTTAGCCTGACTTGGCATTTCCGATTGGGAAAAATACGGAAACGCAGGGCGCTCTTCCCGGAAAAAAAATATAAAAGAGCGGGTGTCAGAAAGTCTGTCTTAAAAAGGGAATTTTTAATAATATCTTCATTTCATCCTTGTGCCACGCTGCTTTTGCTTGGTATTAAGATGGATCCTGAATGGCTTTCTCTCGAGCCGTCTTTGGCTTTACGTCGTTTTTTTACAGCTTGTTCAGTTTTGTTCTCAGTCTTTTCTTCTAGCCTTTTTCTATTACTTCCTATTTATTCCAGCATTCTCATTCACTTCGGTTTTTTTTTTGTTGCATGTCTTCTCACCTTAGCATTCGCCATTGAATTACATTGTCCTCTCACTAATGGAGCATGCCACAGAACCTTCTCCGCTGCCTGCAAAGCTGCGCTGGCGTCCTTATGCCGACAGAAACAGCCTTAAATCTAAAAAGAGTAAAAAAGCAAGTGAACAGAAGCCGCAGCAAGATCAGCAACAGCAGCAAGAAAAGCGAAAAGCACATTCTGCTCAGGATGTAGATGTCAAGGCACTGGCACACAAGGTCCGAGAAACCAAACAGCGAGCGCCGGTTGCAGTGCAGCTGCAATGGGAAGAAGCTGAGACCATCGAATCCATGAGCCATGGTGGGCATCCTCATACTCGCCAACATCATCACAACCACAGACGCCCCATTCCATCAGACACAGTATCGACTGTCAGCACTCCGTCCTCGTCAGACTGTAATATGTCATCCTTGCCATCACCACCATTGTCCAGCTCACCGATCTTCACTACACTGGCACTACTTGAGTCGACAGGTGAAGGCACTGGTCTGGGTAAGATCAAGGCGACGGTCCCAGGATTGACAGGCGATGGGCTCTCCCTTCCAACGATTGAATCCAATAATGTCTATCAAGTGGCTTTGAATGCTTTACTGGAGAACCATCGTAAGAATCAGATCCTAGATGCAAAGCAGGCGCCTTTACTTGCTCTGACAAGTGTTCCTGCGCCTATTTCTATAACCAGCCCTCCACTGATGCTTACAGACTTGGTACCTAGTCACTCCGTCTTTCCTATTAGAGGCGACAGGCTCACCTCATCTGGCTTACTTGGCATTGCCAGCATTGACGACCTTCTTGCATCCTGTGGATATAAGGATAACGGGAAGGACAATCGCAGTAGTAGGACACAGACTGCAGCAAACGCATTTGCATCGCCTGCCACAACAGACAAGTCTTCGCTACAATCATCACCTCTCCACGGCATGGCGGATGATCTAATTCACCAGCGTTTTTCCTCACCTTCTCTTTTGGATATTTCATTTGACATGCTGGTAGCACATACATCAGAGTTGCTGACAGAAACAGACAGCAAACAGCTTTTGCTCCAACAGCATGAAGCCCAACGCCAAGAAACGCACGATCGAATGGAGCATTTAAGCGTTTCACCAGCTCTATCCTCTGCTAGCACCATCACTAATTCGTTTACAGACATGATCCACGATCTTGCTTCCCCTTTCCTACGCCATGCTTCGCATAATGACCCACTCATCAATGGAAATGATGATTCGACATCGTGGCCCTCTCTCTTCCCCAATAGCGCTGAGGATGGGTCAAGTCATGGTTCTTTTGACAATCCAAACCTCGCTAAAATATCGACACAAATATGCCAGCCTTTCGACACCAAGGTTTCATCAGCGCAGCAAGTGTCAGGTCCATCGATCACCCCTTCACCTTTTTTGGAAAACATCTCTGCTGATAGTTCTCCCACGCTTATGGCCCAGCTTGATCTTTCGCAAGAAGAATTAGATCCAGAATGGCTTTCTTTCCTTGATGACTCATCACCGATATTGGGTGATATGGATAGTGAGCTTTCTAAAGGGTTGTCATCTGAGAATGAGAACACTCCATTGTCTCCCATGAAAGCTCAATCTCAAACGCCAGTGAGTCCGAAATCATCATCAAGTTTAGAAGCAGTTGGAAATTGGGCCAACAACTTCCTCAAATCTAATGCAATGGCTCCAACAGGGCATCGCGGGTATCCCTCGGCTGGTACGATGGGATCCTTAGGTAGTGCCGGTGGGTTGGTACGAGCCTTCCAGGGCAGCAGTAGTTTTCAACAAAGGTCGAATTTCCACACAAAGGCTTCGTCTCGGACAGCAATGGCTACGCCTACGGCTTCAACTGTTTCATCCAAGGCTCTGCCAGAGAATAAATCTCGAGTGACATCCACACCAAAGCATTCTGAGAGTACAAAGAACCAACAGTCATCTCGGTCGGCTGTCGCACAGACCACAAACAATAGCAAAACCGAAGTAAAAACCCAGCCCAGCGCGATCGATATAAAAAATGACAAGGAGGCTGAAGGACTCAGTGGTCTCATTGGATTGTTTCGAGGTCTTTGGAAAGGAAAAGATTAATAGATGTAGATGTGTAGTCCTTGTCATCTTGAAAATGGCAGAATGTAATTTTAATATCTTGTTTTGTATTTTTAACCTATTGCTTTTGAGTAATGAGTGGTTTGTGAGGATTATAAATGTCATCATCAGGGGACCTTGATTGTATGGAGAAGAGACAAAATAAGAGGTGAGGGAAGCACATATCCGATCCCACTACTTTTACACTAAATCGTTGGCACAGAAGGGCGGTGCAAACACAGGAACATGCACTCCGCCCAGCCCATCTTACTGGTAAACACAGTGACAAAAGCTTGTGTACCAAACATCTTTTGTTTCCTTATTCTAATTCTCATTCCTGTTTGCCATTTTCTTTGCATTCTCCATTGTCATCATAAAGCTCTTTCAACTTCACACATAATCATGCCACTCAAGATACAAAGGGTAGTGTAATAAAAATCGCACACATCAGAAAGAAGTATTCCTGTTTTCCTACACTGTTGCTAAGACTATGCCACGGCTCTTACTTCTATTGTCATTCGATAGAGTGCTGACGAAGCATGGCCACGAGCAACCATGGCCTTGGTAACACTCGAGTCTATCTGTGTCCTCGTCCTCGAGTCTCTAGTCCTCCGAGAGCATATCATACAGTGAGTACCTCACTATCTTCAGTATTTTGAGGCTCATCATTATTCATCAATACCAAATCCACGATCTTCCCATTCAACCATAATAAATAACTATTATACTGTAGCATCCATCAACCACCAGCAGGAAATGCTTTAAGGCAAGTTGAAACTTTTTTTTAAAAAATTGAAACGAAACATATTCAGGAACCTGCAAGCTGACTTTTTTTCCTATTCGCTACCTTCCCATACACAAAATTAACTAAATAAATATCAACAGCACTCCCAACATCATTTACCCTATCCTCTACATGCTTGCCATTGCCAGTGTACTCTCACTCTGCGCAGATGCCATGTACCATCGTAATCAGATCCAGGTTGTCGCCTTCACAATGTTTAACTTTTTGTGCTTTACTTGTAAGTTATTCCATGCATACTCTCCATGCACAGTCTACACAAAGACAAAAGATTACGGACTACACCGCCTCTTGATCTCCTATTTTTGATACAGGTCAAGCAGGGATATTAGGGGAACATTTGTTGTGAGGGACAACTTTAACATGTTGCTAACAAACGTATGCACTTTTTTTCGTTTGAACTTGCATGTTTATTTTTGTGCCCTTTCGGAAATAAGATGGAATCATCCAAACAATCTATGACTGGCAAGCCGATGGAACGGGAGGACCTCTAAAGGCCTACAACGTCGCTATCACTGTCACAATAGGCGTGTGTACCCTCTTCTTGATTTATGCAGTCTGTAAGCTGGCAAAAGTCTTTGGCTGGGAGATGTACCGGTTCTTAGGCGCGTAAGTGATCCTTCTATTTATCCAACCGTCCTTAGGAGACTCTAAACAATTTTCAAGAAGTGAAGTTTATCTTTCTAACGTTTTTTATGACACTTTATAATGATCGATTAGTGATCCGAACATGAGAAGTGAGTCTTTGGCACCAGCTTTGCCCCAATTTCCCAATAAGGCAACAGGACAACCATATTAATATGTTGATTCTTCACAATCCAACATCTAACTTGTAGGGATGCACAAGGGGTACGAAATTCTTATCACCTTACTCAAGTTCGATGTGTTCTTTTTTGTGGCATATGCAGTCCAGATGTTCACATTAGTTGACACTACGGACAAGACAATTGTTGCCACTCTCAGTAATGGCAGGACACTCGCTCGGCATCAGCTTTTGATTGGTTTGGCCATACCTGCATCGATCATTCTTCTTGCTCTTGCCTTCTTTGGCGTTATGAAGGAAAACAGGATTATATCAGTCTTTGTGATGATCTGTTTGATGGCAGTTGAACCCTATTTCATTTATCAGCTTATTTATCTGCAGCTCCCAGAGAACAGCTCACGGTTCATCAACTCTGTCAAGTATCTCACCTTTTTCAGTATGTTTTTTTTGGATTGTTTGCCGAGAACATGAGAATAATAGATGCTTTCAACGAAAGTCTTTTACCCTTGTCAGCCTACTAATGTTTTTTTTTTTTTTTGGGACTGTCTCACTAGTTGCTGTAACGATGGTATTGGTATTGGCAACACTCGTCTTTATGGTCTACTGCTTCCGTAATTTCGGCAAAGGCTTATTGATCTCTGAAAAGAGTCGGATTGCAAAGATTAATAAACCATTTGAGATTGATGAAGATCCTATTGAGGCTGTACCTACCGTTCTAATAGACTCAAAGCAAGAAGAGGGGGTGTCGCAGCAATTGATGGCATATCCAGCACTAAAGAAGATCCAACAGGATTACCGTATCAAGCCTTCATCACATGACCGCAATTCGAGCAACGAGAGGTATTCGTCAGGATCATATGGAAACAATTCAAAGATGGAAATCGATTGAGCGGTGAATGTCCTTTTGTAATATACACGTACCTTAATAATAAGAGTAACAACAGTAAATGAAATGGCGCAGCGCAAATAAATAAATAAAAAAAGACGTCACCAAGTTGCATTCAAGTATATAATGACCGCGATCCCCACGAAACGCGATTTTTTTTTTTTTTTTTTTTTTTTTCGTTCCTTACCTCATCATCGATATTCTATTTTCAGTAACACATTTCGTGCATTATTCAAGCTCTGTCTCAATTTCGATTTTTTTTTTTTAAGGTGTGGAAAAATTTATTCCCACACACCTCCTATATCGCTTCATTTCACCTGACCGGTGAAAATAATCCCTATATATCTTTATTAGGCCCCACCTCATCCTGATTTTTGCACTGTATTAATGTCGATACTCACTCAGTTTCAAGAAGACTATGCTCTCAAGCCCGAAGCGCGCGTCGACCTGGTCAAATCTTTGACAACGGGTACGGAGGAGTATTATCTCTACCGCCTTCGATATCTCTCGCAACAGCTCCAATCTGGCGAAGAACCAGCCACGGCTCAAGTCATTGATGAAGCTACAGCTTTGATCAAAGAGGCTGAGAGTTCGAATGTAGTCAAGGACATCGAGCAGTTAAAGCAACTGGAGACACAAATTGCATTGCTTGCGTTTCCGGTCAAGCCTGATATCTTATTGAAACGACTAGACCATGACCCTAGTTTAGCTACCATTAACTCCAATCAAGAGTCACTTCCAGAGCAAGATGCTGATGTTACTACTGCTGCCGAAAGCGCAGTAACTGAGATTGAATCTCCTTCACTCGGCCTCAATGATTTGCCTACAGCCCTCGACCAGAAGATGGTGAAGACTGAGCTATTGGTCGAAAAGTTACTGGACCGGATTCAAGAATTTAAATCCTATCCATTAAATGTTCGATCAGATACGTGGCCATATTTGATTGCACAGCCAAGGATGGAGACCATCCTGGAGCGGATGAACTTAGACCAGCTTAAGCAGCTGTTCTATGAGCTTGACATCAAGTATTCGCCAAAGAGTCTTGAAATCATTGGAAGAGCTGATACAAGTCAGTTTGACAGAGTAGTGGTGCAGATAGTTTTGAGACTATATCAGCACAACAAATTCTCGTTCTCTAGCCCATACGGCTCTAAGCTCGAGTCCCTAACAAGGGCTCAGTTGGAGGCAATCAAGAAAGAACAGCCACGGGTAATGGACGATGAAGGCTTTGTTGGAATGATGGAACAGAGGATCATACCTGAGCTGTTTCCAGAGAATAAAGAAAGGGCCTATGAGGATTGGTTAAAGAGGATGCTAGCGTTTGTAGAAGAGTTGTCACCAAAGTTCAACCGACACAAGTTAGCGGTTTACCTATTGAGTCTGGAACGTGGTCTCGCCAAAGGCATCATGGACAAGGCAATGTTTTTAAGGTGGGCTTTTATTTACGCTTCCGTAATACAAAGGATTTGTACACACCAAAATAATCCTCATGGCTATGTTTGTTGACTTTGTTTAAAACGTAGATATGTTGAAATCCCACGGAACCTAACCAGCTACCGTGCAAAGAAACGAACAGACGTTGAAAAAGGCGATTACGTGGAGTTGGGTAAAGGCCTAGCTCATTGGTCAATGGTAAATGATTGCTTCCAGGCATCGCTTTTCCTTGCTTTACGGTATTTTATTTAATAAGCTTTTGTAACAACGCATTATATTAAAACCTTAGAGGATTAGTCCCGCATCGCCCGAGCGTGATAGTGAGGTCGTGAAAGAACATCTTTCTTATTTCATGCTTGAGGCCAAATCCTCAGATGAGTTTAAACAGTATTTCGAGACGGCATTTCTGGATCCTCTCTTAGCACGCGTCATGCTGACCTCTGGAGACAAGGATGTTACAAAGTGGTACGTCTGGTACTTTTCTTTTTTTTCCTTTTTTTTTTTTTTTTTTTTTTTTTTTCTTATGGACCTTTTTTCTTTGATTCCTTGTATGCGAAAAAAAAAAAAAAAAAAAAAAAAAAAAAAAAAAAAGGTCTGGATTACTTGCAAAAAATGAAAGTTTATCAGAGCTTACAGAAAAGACCAGTCTCAAGTTTTCACCGGACAATCCCTCAAAATTTCTGCCATCAGATCCTGTGATCTTCAAGCTGAGGGTCAAAAACGCGAAGCGGATCCTTATCCGTGTCTTTGAAGTCAAAACATTTGAGTATCTACAGCAACATGGTGATTCCACCATGGGCCAAAAATTAAATTTAGATGGCCTGACGCCCAACTGGGAACACAATATAACTCTGGACCGCCCAGCGATCGAAATGCACGAGCTCAAGGTCGAACTTCCAGAACTAGCCAACAGGCGAGGCGCGTTTGTCATGGATGTGATCAGTAACGGCGAGAACAGTTCTGCTTATTTTACAAAGGTAATTTTTTAAGGTTACACACTTTATTCTCGTATGACAGAAATTACAAAGATGAGCTCCAAAAAACCTAATTAATGTTATTGTGATAGGGCTGCCTTGATTTTATCGAGAGACAAAGTATTGCAGGGCATGTCTTGACCATCATTGATGAAAACCAGAAAAAACTCTCCGAGAAATGCTCCGTGTGGCTGAGCGGCTATTATTACAAGGTATACAACTCAAAACTCTGTTTAAAATAATCTGGCATGACCGATGATACTTAATGCTTCATTTTTCTTGCTTATTTCATAGCCAAATAGAGATGGTGACATTATCATTCCTTACAGGAATCCATCGTCAGCGGGCTCAGATCCATATATCTATCTCATTCACAACGGTTTCACGACTCGCCGTGAGTTCTACCATAGAATTGAGGATTATGTTCTCAAGCTTGCATGCCATATCGACCATGAATCTTTTATTGCTGGGTCAACAGCTAAGGTAATTTATTGAGCCTGTGCATCGGATATGCTGTGCATTCGTAGACCACCCGCGGATATGGGCGGATTACTCACCTACTCTCTAATACCTTGATGTTCAATGCAGATTCTGGTGAAACCCACTGTCCAGATTCAAGGAAGTACCATTACAATCTGCCCTATTAGGCTCCTTGAGCAAGTACAACTATCAATCGAAGCCAACGATACGAACAGTATCCGATCGACCACAACAGTCCCAGATTTTAAAGTCCATGACCTAGACTGGACAGAGTACAATTTCCAGGTTCCAGAAAACCTGTCAAAGCTGACCGTGACACTCTCAGGCAAGGTCAAGGTCATCTCGAAAGGAGAGTTTCAAGACCTTAATGCGTCTCGCAGTTTCTCATTTGGCAGGTAAAATAAGAGGATAGGAATGGTTTTTTTCTCTCATTAATGATAATGATACGCTAGTACTTATTTATTTTATTTTTATTTTATTTTTAAAGTCCATGCTCGGATGAAAAGGTGAACCTTGGAGAGAAGTATGGTTGGGTGAATGTACAAGTCCCAGGCGAGTTTGTCACGCTGCTTCAAAAACAGTCCGATGGATACAATGTCCTTGCTCTTGGCAAGAATGGCGAGAAGCGGCCATGTATCCCACTAGAACTTGAAGTCGAGCATCCTCTCCAACATGAGCGACTCATATTCTGCTTACGAACAGATGACAACGGCCAGGTCCATTTGGGGCACTTAAATGACATTGAACAACTTGTCTGCCTGACCTCTAGAATGAAATGGCAGATCTGCGGCCGTGAAAAATACACATATCCCCCCAAGGTCCACAGTGTTGAGGGAGAGCCCATCTGCTTGCCTTTAGGGCGACAGGATATGGGTACAATCCGCAAGATTGCCCTCTTCTCGGTCAATGGAGACCCGGATCATGGCCCCGTTTGTGTGTTGGACGACTACACTAACCATATCCGGCTGTCGAATGGCTTATTAACGATTAGAGGGTTGAAGGCAGGGCATTACGGATTCCGAATCGGAGACGAGGTGACCTGCCAGCTTGCAGTCACTCGCACCAGCTCTTCAGCGTCCAAAATCCAAGGACTGGGAGAATATATCGTTGAGTCCAATCCAATGTTGGAAGTTCATGAGACTTCCAAGCACCCGCTGTATCTTACTGAGCCCATGCTTGATACCGAGAGCCGGACGGTTGATATCCAACTTTATAACTGGAACCCTGAGACAAGAGTCATCGTAATTGCTTCCAAATTCGTACCTTACGAAACATCTGTATTTGATGAAATCAAGGCGACGAATTACGAAGCGCTTTGGAAATCCACAAAAACAGAGCTTTCACCAACCTCGTTTAAGACCGGCCGTGTCTTGGGTGAAGAATACCAATACATTTTGAACCGAAAAGCACAGTCAACGCATTGGGCAGGGAACCTGCTCACAAAGCCTAGTGTCTTGCTCACGCCTAGAGTAAGTCAAATTGACTAACAACAGTCAGACATTTTAAGATGAGATAGACTGATAGTTTTCTTTTTTTTTTTTTTTTTTTTTTTTATTTTTTTTTTATTTTTGGTATAACCGCAGAGTATCGCCGACACTACTATGTCCAAGCAGGTGATGCGGGGTGACGATCTTACTGAAACCATTACACAGAGAGCAATGGGAGCGAACGCATCGTGCCTTCGAGCTTGTGGTGCAGATCTTGCAAATGCCCGCATGCTGTTCAAGGAAAGTGGACGAGGACATGAACGCTTGAGTCCACTACTCAACTTCTTGGCGCATCCAAGTGTCGCCTTGGCTAACTTGATCCCCGATGGTTCTACGGGTACTGTTAGTGTCCCTTGCTCGGCTTTGAAAGAAGGAACATTCCTTCAAATTTTCGCTTCGGATGGCTATCAGGCTACTCAACGATCGTTTATGATTCCACGCCAAGCAAACGGTACTTCGGACAAGGAGGGATTCCAGAAGCGTGACCTCCGGTTCAAGAGTCAGATGGACCATACAAAGCATTATATTGGAGATAGAATTGGGATTAATCTGGAACCTCAGGCCCTATCGGCTACTGATGGTGAGCCATCATACTCGGTCGCATCTGTGACACTAACATCAAACAGCAGCTCGTCATCTAATGTTCGAGTGATCAACTCGGTGAGTCAGGTCTACGACTTGATGATGACCCTACTTGCTACAGAAGACCATAAGCGGACATTAAGCAAGTTTGGATTTATCACAGATTGGAATCGTCTTTCAAATGAGGCCAAGAAAGAAAAGTTTTCAAAATGGAACTGCCATGAACTCAACTTGTTTCTCTTCAGGAAAGATAGACAGTTCTTCAACACAGTTGTTGCACCGTATTTGAAGGTATGTTATAGTACTTTTCCGAGGAGCCCTTGTGTTTTTTCAGAGTCGTGTTTTGTTGACATCAAAAAAAAGTCATCAAGTTCACCTAAATCAATTAATTGATGCTTGCTTTTAGAACAAACTGCTGAAGTCGTTCATGGATGATTACTTAATTGACGCCCCACTTGAAAAGTACACGGCCCTTCACGAATTCAGGGTGCTGACATGCATGGAAAAGTGCCTCCTAGCTCAGCGCATCCCTAGCTTAAAACCCGCGGTGGCTCAGTGGCTCAATGATAGGATGAAGCACAGACGTGGGGCAAGCAATGTCAAACTTTTCTTGACAGTTATGAAATCTGGTAGCTTAAAAGCATCGGATGCTAGTGCTGATTTGGGATACTCACCCTCGTCGCCCAACTATTCCCCTACGGATCCCGTGTAAGTACCTTTTCATCGATTGTTCAAACCGTCTTTAATTCACTTATTAAGAATCCTTTTTTTTTTTTTATTTTATTTTTTTTATTTAATTTAGTAATGATGAGGATGATGAGGAAAGCGATGAAGATATGGGCTTTGCTCTTATTGATGAAACCCCAAGCAGAGCTATATGTGCTACCTACAATGCTAGTTCTCCTCCTCCTCCTCCCCCTCCCGCCCCTATGGCCAGAATGGCAAGAGTGTCAGCTTCCGGTGACAGAGATCGATCCCAAGCGGAGAGGATCTTGAACAGTCGGTTTAAGCCTGTGGACCTCACCAAAGAAATGGCAGAGACATATTACTATGGTAGACAGGATTTCATAAACAGCGACAGTGAATATGAGCCGAACCAGTTCTGGTGGGATTTATCCCAATGGGATGAATTTAAAGGTGGACCGTTCCTGTCTCAGGTAAAAGAAAAAACTAGAGCGAGGAAAGCATTCTCATTGACCCACGATTATTGAATTTTATTTTTTTTCTTCGCTGCAATACTGAATAACAGAACTTCGTAGCGAACGCTGGATCATTTACAGATGCAATGGGTACAATTGCTCTACTGGATGTAGCATTCCGTCCAAAGAATACATTGTTAACACGCTCCGCGAGCCATAACTTAGTTATCTCATCGGAGTCGCCTGCCATCATTTTCCATTCTTCTACTAAGGTACCGTCTTTTTCTTTTCTTTTTTTTTTATGCGACTGAAAAATTTGATTCCACGTGATTTAAAGCTTTACGAATCATTTATCATGGCCATCCGTTATTCTTTATTTTTTTATATATCTCTATTAGGAGCTGGTAGAACCACCTGTGACGGGATCAGTCCTGGTGACCCAACAGTACTTTGAGCAGACTGAAAAGGCCACATACGACGAAGTTATGAGGGATTATGTACGTCGATACATCCAACCAGGTACCGAATTCAGGCCACTCGAATCTTATGGCGCCCATGTTGTCTTGATGAGTAAGTTGAAATATAATAGAATGGTCTACGTAAATATGTTGGTGCCTCAATGATATGAATACTTAACTTTTTTTTTTTTTTTTTTTTCATCTCTTTTCCTTAGATGCTACTCCTAATCCGATGAAAGTACATTTGGAAGTCCAGCTTCCTCATGGGTCAATCTCGCTCTATCATAGCCTGGAGTCAGGACAGGACATCGAGCTTGAGCCCCATGGAACATTCCAGTACGAGTATGGATTCTACTTCCCTGAAGAAGGCGACTTCCCCCACTATCCAGCACACGTATCGAATTATGAGGATGTGATCGCGTACGCAACCCCTGCAACTCTTAAAGTCAGGGCCCCAGAGCCTGGCCACAAGGAAGCGACAGACACTAGAACGTGGAACTATGTCCTCAAGCATGGTAGCAAAGACGACATCTTGAATAAACTAAAAACCAGCCCATTGGATAATTTGCCGACCGATCAGCTGTTACCTCGGCTATATAAGGATAGGAAGTTCTTGCAGCAAGTGACATCAGCACTGCGTTTGCGACAAGAGTATAATGAAGCGATCTGGAGCGTCGCTTTGACAGGCCAGGATCAGGAATTAGTCAAGGAATATCTAATGAATCTACCACCGTCTACTATTAACACTGGAGATTGGTTTCAATCAAGCGTATTTGTCCGAACAGCCCGCTCAAGGCTAGAGGGTCCATGGGATACCTCGCTTAAATATCTGGAATACTTCCCTTTAATCAACTCGAGAGGTTAGTTTCCTCCTATCCATTTATTTAATTTTTTTTTATTTTTTTTTTTTTTATTTTATTTTTAAAAAAAAAAAAAAAAAAAAAAAAAAAAAAAAAAAAAACTGTGTATTCGATTGAATATGGAGTAGATCGAGTCAACTTATATATACATTGCTTTTTTTTTTTTTTTTTTTTTTTTTTTTAGCCCATAAAGCTACACGTACCGCTGCCATTTTGAATGATCGATTCAGAGATCAATATGCGCGGTTCTTGAGAATGTTAAGCCAAAAGCCTCATCATGACATTAGCGATTTGCTAGTATTGATTGTCTACCTCTTGGCGCAGGACCGAATCGTAGAGGCCAAGGACAAGTTCCAAGAGTTATCCGACCTTATGAAAAACAGAGGTAGTCAAGGAAATAGCTTACAACAGCTCCAGTATGACTACCTCTGGGCATACTTGAGCCTGTGTGTGGAGGTTCAGGTTGGCTCTGTAGCCTCAGATCTGGGGCTAGATTTATCGGGAGTCCAGAAATTGCTAACCAAATACCGAGACTATCCTGTAGAGCGCTGGAACAAGCTGTTCAAAGACATGCAGTTGTATGTTGATGAGGTTATACAATCGATGGCTGAAAACGAGATATCCTCCTCTTCTACTGCTTCCAAGGAAGGCCAGTCCACCTCGACATCATCAACTGTTGTAGCAGCTGTAAAAGCTGTCGCTACTGCTACAGGCGCTGGCGGGGATCATCAACAGTCGAAGGATACTTTTAATGGAGACGAAGGGGAAGAGGATGACAATACTGAAGAACCCGTAATGGTGGACTTTAAGATTGGGGACAGAAACATGCTGACTGTTCGTCATCGTGGTGTGCGAGAAATCACTGTTGAATATTACTCGATCGATGCAGAGACCATGTTCTCGGCTTCACCTCTTACTCTGAGTGATCAAGGAGAAACTGAGTCGATATCATCGGATTCGAACAGTGACCAGAATTGGTACAAGAAGAATAATAAGCAAGACGATTCGAGCAACAGCTACCGTCTCGTGAAACCCAATGGTACGGATAAGCATGTTGTGCAACGAGCAGTTGGCAGCGATGGAATCTTTGTAGTTCCGCTTTTGCCTCAGTATTTGAATTCGAACGTGATGATCTCTTTGACAACGAGCCCACCTTTGGCTACGCGTACTTGGAAGGCATATTACTCACAAACGATTGCGGTGCAGTGCGTGGAGCGTATGGGTATGATGAGGGTTGTCTGCAAGACCGATAACCGTCCGATCCGAGGAAGCTATGTGAAGGTGTATGCAGAGATGAAACAAGGTGGTGAAGCCGTGTTCTGGAAGGATGGGTACACAGATTTAGTGGGTCGGTTTGCTTACGCGTTGGTGTCTACGGGCGCTGCAACAACAGGATCGGGATCATCGGGATCAAATGATGCGGGACTTGGGGGTGTGAAGCGATTCGCAGTATTTGTGGATGGTGGACGAGAGGGATGTGTTGTCAAGTCTTTACCTGTGCCACCTGTGTAACTATGTATCTGATACAAATATACTAATACATATAAAACCACAAGGTGTCAAAGTGTGAAATAAAGCTCTATCAATTTCCTGAAATTGCATTCCCGATTTTACTTGGCCCTTCCCTACTTCCTGTTGACTGTTCAGCCACCTGAATGCTTCAAATATGAACGAATAGTCTTGCCTAAACAACATACCCAACTGTGTTTCAGATTCAAAGCCAAGGATTGTATGTAGGGTATGATTTATTGGCTTTTTGGTTTACCATTTTACATTTAGATAAAATATAATATTTATTATATATATATATTATATATATGTAATTGTAACAGACTACCTGTTGGTAAGGCTGGCTGGTCTAAGCAAAATTGTTGAAATGATTGGCTTTCACTCTGTCGGTGACTCCTAGAAATTTGTCTAATTTGTTTTATTTGTTGTTTGGTTGGCTTGTCATTTCTTTGAACAGTTACACTCAATACCCAATGGATTTCAAACTCACATGTGGCCACATGCACACGCACACAAAAAAGAAGTTTGATCTTCGTGAATGTTTTAAGCAAGTAACAAACATTGGTGACACCTCAAAAGAACAACTCGCCTTTGCAGAAAAAAAAAAAAAAGTATAATATGAACATGAAGATGAATTTGATGAGGCAAAGAGTGGAAATGTTTCCAATGTTCCCTCTGAATACTTCCTTCTCACGTATAGAGTGGAAGGGGGAAGGGGAAAGGGAGAGGACATGGTTCAGTCAGGGTCACTGACCCAGGATACCAATAATGTCTTCTATTCCCCTCCCCCTTCCCATCACTAGACATTTTTATCTTTTGGCCATGCAACAAAATAAAGACATGCATCCATATTTTTAAACACAAGAATACATGAACTATGGTACGAGTCGTTTTGCTTCCTACTTTATATCTTTGAACTATTAAAATTAAAATAAAAAATAAAACAAAATAATAAAAAAATAAAAAAAAAAGACTTGTTGCCTCTTGAGTCCTTATCCTTCACCTTTACTTTTTTTTTAATCCTCATGTGTAAAGTCGTTCAAGACCACTGCCACATTAAAAGCGTGCTCACAAAGAGATCACAAAAGAAAGGAATGCTCTCTCGGCACGTTTTGCTCTCACTATCTTTTTTTTTTTTTTTTTTTTTCTTCACATTCATTCATCCAAGTCCTCTCGATCAATGGCTGACGCTTTATCAGCTCTCGTCCCTTACTTTTTGTTTTCACTCATGCAACAAACTCTTGTGAGTTAAAGTATATTTATCAGTAGAGTAATATATATATATATATGTCCTCAACGATCAAAGGGAAAAATTTAAAAAAAGTTGATGAGCAATCGAAGACAGATATATATATATATATATATATATATAAAAAAAAAAAAAAAAAAAAAAAAAGTATAAATATATTTGCATCTATGTTTATAACATGGCTGCTGAGCAATTTTTTTTTTTATTTGAATAGTAATAGCAAGATGTAGCAAGAGTGAAAGTAAACACCCCAGTTTCCTCAATTCCAAGAACTAATTTATTTATTTACACAAAGTCAAATTGAAATGCAGTTCCTTCAGCAACAACTGTAACACTGAAGAGCAGAAAAACTCATTTTGTACTGTTTGTATTTGTTGTACTCTTGTACTGGCTGTACTGGGTCAGAATTTTTTTTTTTTTGCTCTCAATGAAAATAAAAACTCGTGCGAACCTCTGAGCTTCTCTCTTCCCTTTTTACTTTTCTTCATCATTCTTACATCCCTCATCCTCATCTCTTACCATTACCACTCAATCAAATCTACTATCCAATTTTTATTTCCTTTCCTTTCTTTTCTTTTTATACCTCTTATCAATATTTTTTGTAGTTGTTACGACTGACTCTTTAACGTTTGTCCTATAAACATACTCTAATATCTTCTGCGCTCGTTTATTTACTTCTTTTATTCTCTTAATCATCTTACATCTCTCACATAATGACTAATACCACTGGTATGTTTTTTTTTTTTTTTTTCTTTTCAAAAAAAAAGGCGCTACTTTTTCCTTCTTTGTCTTCTTTGTCTTTGTTCTATAATCTGGTTTGGAGGAAGATATCTGCATTTGCTTTATGAATGCTTATTTTTCAACTCCGCATCTCCTTCCTCAATTCCCTTTTGTAAACAAACAGGCATTGTAATATGCTTATCTCTCCAGTTTGGGAAAGAGATCGCTGCAAAAAAATTGTTATTGCCACCATTGCAATCTCATATTTTCAGTACCTGTGTGTTTTTTTTATTTATTTATGAATGATCGAAGTTGACATTGGATTCGGTTTAAAAAAAAAAAAAAAAAAAAAAAACTTTCCTTAGTCTTTTTACGGACCCTTTGTTCTGTATGTTATTTCGTTTTGTCGCGCATGACTTGTACATGGTGGCATGTGGACTTTTTTTGAGGGGATGGAATGTACATGTTCTATCTCGTGTACCCCCATCTGGTTTTAATTCACATGTTGTTCGGATAATTTTTTTGGTGTTCAAAATCTTTTGGTCCATTGTTTACTCACGCAAATAAATCAAATCGGCTCAATAGAACCAACTGCTACTGTCCCTGTCGAGCAAGTCAAGCCTGCTGCTGATACAGATGTTACTGCCATCACTCAGGTGACCGCCATTGCACCCACTGTTGAAGATCAAAAAAAACAGGATCAGGAGGCTGAGGCTCTGGCTGCTGCTGCCAAGAAGGCTGCTGAGGAGGAAGCGGCCCGTTTAGCAGCTGAAGAAAAGACTGCGGAAGAGAAGCGCATTGCTGAGAAGAAGGCTGCTGAGGAGGCTGCTCGCAAGGCCGCAGAGGAGAAAGCTGCAGAGGAAGAAGCTGCCCGTAAGGCTGCAGAGGAGGAGGCCGCTCGCAAGGCTGCTGAGGAAGAGGCTGCCCGTAAGGCTGCTGAGGAAGAGGCTGCTCGCAAGGCTGCAGAGGAAGAGGCCGCTCGCAAAGCCGCTGAGGAAGAGGCCGCTCGCAAAGCCGCTGAGGAAGAGGCCGCTCGCAAAGCCGCTGAGGAAGAGGCTGCCCGTAAAGCTGCTGAGGAGGAAGCTCGCAAGGTTGCAGAGGAAGAAGCTGCTCGCAAAGCCGCTGAGGAGGCTGCTCACAAGGCCGCTGAAGAAGAAGCTGCTCGCAAGGCTGCTGAGGAGGAGATTGCCCGTAAGGCTGCTGAGGAGGAAGCTGCTTACAAGGCTGCTGAGGAGGAAGCTGCTCGCAAGGCTGCTGAGGAGGAAGCTGCTCGCAAGGCTGCAGAGGAAGAAGCTGCTCGCAAAGCCCGCTGAGGAGGCTGCTCACAAGGCCGCTGAAGAAGAAGCTGCTCGCAAGGCTGCTGAGGAGGAGATTGCCCGTAAGGCTGCAGAGGAGGAAGCTGCCCGCAAGGCTGCTGAGGAAGAGGCTGCCCGCAAGGCTGCTGAGGAAGAGGCTGCCCGCAAGGCTGCCGAGGAGGAAGCTGCTCGCAAGGCTGCAGAGGAAGAAGCTGCTCGCAAGGCTGCAGAGGAAGAAGCTGCTCGCAAGGCTGCAGAGGAGGAAGCTGCTCGCAAGGCTGCTGAGGAGGAGATTGCCCGTAAGGCTGCAGAGGAAGAAGCTGTTCGTAAGGCTGTTGAGGAGGCTGCTCGCAAGGCTGTTGAGGAGGAAGCTCGTAAGACTGCTGAGGAAGAGGCTGCCCGTAAGGCTGCTGAGGAAGAGGCTGCTCGTAAGGCTGCTGAGGAAGAGGCTGCTCGTAAGGCTGCTGAAGAGGCCGCTCGCAAGGTTGAAGAGGAGGAAGCTGCTCGCAAGGTTGAAGAGGAGGAAGCTGCTCGCAAAGCCACTGAGGAGGCTGCTCACAAGGCCGCTGAAGAAGAAGCTGCTCGCAAGGCTGTTGAGGAAGAAGCTACCCGGAAGGCTGCAGAGGGAGAAGCTGTCCGTAAGGCTGCAGAGGAGGAAGCTGCTCATAAGGCTGCAGAGGAAGAAGCTGCTCGCAAGGCTGCGGAGGAGGAGGCTGCCCGTAAGGCTATTGAAGAAAAGGCCGCCGAGGAGAAGCGCCTTGCTGATGAGGAAAAGCGTGCTGCTGAAAATAAGGCTGCTGAATTAAAGGCTGCTGAAGAGGAAGCAATTCGTAAGGCTGAGGAAGCTCGTCTTGAGGCCGAGACCAAGAAGGCTGCAGAGGAGGAAGCCGCACGTATTGCTTCGGAAGCTAAAGCTGCCGAGGAGACGGCTGCCGAGAAGAAACGTCTTGCTGAAGAAGAGGCAAAAGCCGCAGAAGGGAAGGCAGCTGCCGAAGAAGCCGTGCGTATCGCTGAAGAAGCCAAGGCCGCAGAGGAGAAGGCTATTGAGGAGAGATGCATTGCTGAAGAGGAAACCGCTCGTAAGGCTGCAGAAACCAAGGCTGCGGAGGAAAAGGCTGCTGTGGAGGCCGTGGCCGAGAAGCAGGCTGCAGCCGATCTGCGTCATGCTGAAGAGGAGGTTGCTCGCATTGAAGCCGAAGTTAGGAAGGTTGAGGAGAAGGAGGAAAAGACTGTCACAAGCGCAGAGGACGTTACCACAACTGAGCAAGCATCATCTTCTACTCCCGATGTTACTGACAACAAGAACGATGTTCCAGAGGTCACAGTCATCCCAAGCTTGAAGCCTACTGAGGAGATCAAGACAGAGCCTGTTGTTGCAGCAGTAGCATCAGTACCCACGGCCGCTTCCGCCGCCGTAACAGCCAACGGCAAGAAGGAAAAGAAGGAAAAGAAGGAAAAGAAGGAGAAGAAGGAGAAGAAGGCCTGTATCATCATGTAAATTTTTCCTCCCTCGTTTTTTTATATCTTGATCTACAATTTTATATATATTCGTATAGTATTATTCCTGTTATCTAATGTCATTCTTGAACGCGTTATGGACATCATGTTGACCATGATGGCCTAGCAAAAAGCACCCTATCATACCCTTAAAGCAGAAAAAAAAGGAACGCTGGCTTCTTTCTTTTTGTCCAACAATAAAATTAATAAAAAAAAAAAAAAAAAAGCGCGTTACACACGTGACTATATATACGGCGCTCCTCAGTTCATATTAAATATGACTTGTGTTCCTGAACATCCTTAGACAGTGACCGGGAACAAGCGATGGCTCTTTCTTTCTCTTCTTGTTTCTTTTATTTCTCCATTGTCATCATTCTTGTTCTATTCACAGCCAAAGCTGAAATAAGAAAAAAAAACAAGCAACTTTCCCAACCTGTTCTGTTACTCTCGTCACCTTGACATGGTAAACGTGACAGACAAGAAGGGTCTGATCCTTGCAAGGGTAAGCCATGCATTGGGTTTCTCAAATTTCCTCTTTCATGCCTGATCCTCACGCATGCACAATTGCCATAGTTTGCGTTTAGAGCTCGACTCCTGAGAACATGATTAATTTATACATATAAACTCAATAAAAATTGTATAGATTCCAGGAACCTCAGTTCCCCTTGCGCACACCATTTTTGGCGGGTGTAAGTGATCATTCATTGCTGTCACTGCAAATTAAAGGAAAAGGAATGAGTGGAAATACAAGCTGAAAAGGACGGCTGCAGAGTAGCCACTCTCATTGGAAAATGTGGAAGCATAGAAACGTCATTCCTCTCACTTTAAAAAACCAGATATCAAAAAAGAAAAAAATTCCGCAGCATCGGCTTGCTCTCAATTGTTTTCGCTAAAGCCCAATAGTTTTTTTTTTTCTTTTTGGAAGGTACAATGGGACAGCCACTTGTCTCATTAGAAAAGATGAAAAATGGAAGAAGCAGTTATGTATTCTCAGTACTTTAGTAGCTCGGTTCTTGAAATGCTCTTTTTTTTATCTCACTCATTCTTTTGAAGGGTGGGAGCTGTTCAAGAGAGGAATAGACAGAGCCTTTTGTATTCCCGCTCACTGATCCATTCGAAATTGCGCCTGAATACCAGTCACTGATTTTTTTATTACTTGGTTCGGAATCTATTTTAGCCGCATTCCTTCTTGCCTTAGCTATCGGATGCTATGGCCACTACTACAAGATTGTTAAGAATGGCATTGCCGGATATCCAGATGTAAGTCCATTAAGATGCTGCATTTATATAGCATTTAGCTTCATGAACGAGATATTCATAAAAAGAACTTTTTTTCAACCAGGAATGGTTTCCAAGTGTAAGTGCCACAACTGGAGATTGGTACCCTGAGCGTAATATTTGTCAGATCTTTATTGCTTTGACTTCTGGTAACGTATCCTTGATACCTTTGCTTTTAGCTAACGATTTAAACTAAACTAGATCTAATCAGACATGCTTCTAGGATCATTCAGACTTACTTTTTTTTTTTTTTTTTCTTAAAAAAAGGGCCTCGCCTACTATTGTGCTACCTTTGGTATCTTTTAACTGTTCGCAACGTCCCCGCTAATGGTTCAAAGGGTTTCGCAAAGTTTCTTTTCATAAACGACTTCATCAGGACAGTCGCTTGTGGAGGATGGGTCTATATCACATCTTCAGATGATCACGACATCCATGACATTGCCATGATCCTTTACCTGCTTTGCACTGTCCCTCATGTCATTGGGACTATCAAGACCGCTCCTCAGAACCCCCAATCTCTTCGCTACAGAAAATTCTTTGCCTACAGCTTCTTTGGCGCATTGATTCCTATGGTTCACTTCTTTATTCAACATAACGTCCATCGCATTCCTGGAGGTAATACTTTATATCATAGGCTTCATAGCTGGAATAAAATCCTATCCAAGTGTTTGAGCTCAAGAATTAAAAATCGCTAATCTCCCTCTTATCTCTTTAGCTTACACCTATTATGCTTTCTTTGAATGGTCGCTGATTATCTCGGATCTCGCCTTTGATGCTGTATGCTTGATTGACTTCCAGACTTTTGAGCTCCGTATTGTGGATGTGGGATTGAATGGCAAACAAGAAGACAGTGCCAAAGCTCTGAATGGTCTCAAGACTTATGGAGGAAACGGAGGCATTAGTGCAAGCCTCGCAAGCATCAAGCCTTTCGAAGTCATTTCCTTTGCCGCCGATGTCTACTTGGGCTTCGTCTTCTGGTCCATGTTGACTGCACTTCCCTTGATGATCTGGTACTTCCCTTTGTGGCACATGGGTATCTCTGGATATGAGGCTTTCCTGTTCTGTAACCTCATCTCTGTATTGTTGGGAATTAACTTCCTTCGCCGTGGAATCGAGCGTGCCAAAGGCTTTGTTCATTTGCTCTCGTTGATCGGTGTTCTGTGCTACAAGGTCTCTGACCCTGCTCATCGATTGATGGCTGTCGCTGCTGGCTCCTTATTGTCTTTGGTCGCCTGGGCCGCCACTCTTTTTGGTCAGCGTCATCAGAATGGTCGCGCAGAGCGTGGTGTCTTGACTTTGGCTCTGGGATTGATCCTTCACAACGTAGTGAAGATGGCATGGTGGGCAAACAACCCTATCTGGCCAATCATGAATGAGAATACCGGTGGTCAGAACATGATCGGGTTTGCTTTGGGCTTGTTAGCCTCGATCCAGGTTATGCTGCGCAAAGAACCCGGCTCGGATGAACCTAAGACCATCAAAGGGAACTACGGTGAGAACTGGCTATTGGCTGCTCTTGGTTCTGGTGGCTACCTCTTCTGTCTTCACTCCATGTTCACAGACTCGACCACCATTAGCCGCTGGTCCTTGGGAGGATACCCTAATACTGGGCCTCAGCCCGTACCTGGTGGAATGATGGTAATTGCTGCTATGGCTGCAGGGCTTACTCTTTCATCTAAACGCCGCTGGGTAACTTCGTTGATCTGGTGGGCCATCGGAGCAGCCGGGTTAGCTGTCTTGCACTTCAACGAAGGCGATATTGGATTTGCTGGTGGAATTGTTTTCACTGTCTACGCCCTTTCACTCTTCCCATCAATAGTTCATTCACTGACTCGCCAGCCCCCAGGTCGCACTTTCTTTGTGGGCATGCTGGTCTATAATATTCTTGCCCTTGCACATGTCTGGGTTGTCGCTTACGCGTTTGTCCCTGGTGGTGAAGTTCTGCGAGAGCGCACAGACTATGTTTTGATCGCCATGCAGACCTGTATCCTACTTGGTGTCTTCAACTCTAACTCTAGTGCCTGGGATGTTCCCTTAGAGACCCATGCCCGATCTCCATTCTCCGTGGCTCGCTTATACAGTAAGCTTACATTAGTAGGTTTGGTTCTGGCTTCGGTCGGCATCTGCTATAAGCGTTTGCCAAAGTCTTCGCCTCAGCCCTATCATCCTGAACACAAACTGATCACGGCTGGTATCTGGACCATTCATTTTGCGATCGACAATGACATGTACAACAGTGAGATCCGTATGCGTGATGTCATTAGAGACTTGGAGCTAGACGTCATTGGTTTGTTAGAGTCAGATCTGCAGCGCATCATCATGGGCAATCGTGACCTGACTCAGTTCTTGGCCGAGGATCTAAACATGTACGCGGACTATGGCCCAGGTCCCACGAAGCACACCTGGGGATGCTCCATGCTCTCCAAATTTCCAATCAAGCGTTCATCTCACCATTTGTTGCCATCGCCTAAGGGAGAGCTGGCTTGTGCGATCCACGCTACATTGGATGTCTATGGCAAAGAAGTAGATGTTATTGTCTCTCATAATGGTCAAGAGGAAGATTTGCTGGATCGTCAGCTCCAGACCACGGAATTGGGTCGTATCATGCGTGAATCCGACAATCCTTTCCTGTTCTTGGGTTATGTTGTGACTCGCCCAGGTCAAGGTCAAGAAATCTATGAGCTTTTGATGGATGGTGGTCATGTTCACGATATTGAGGTCTCCGACTGGGATCGATGGTGTCAATACCTTGCTTTCCGTGGCGTCAAGCGCGTCGGCTACGCTCGCGTCTCCCATGGAGGGATTACTGACACAGAAATCCAAGTCGGCAAGTACACACTGTTGGAGGACCACCCTACCTCATGGGATAAGAGCCAGTCGATTGAGGAGTTCAGGAAAGAGGAAACCTATGTCAAGATCCCAGAAGACCAAGTTCCTGAGGGCTTGCGCTTCCCATCCATGTTTTATGGTGCGGGCATTCGCAAGCACCGTTTCCACGTCTTTGATCGTCCTTACTACTATGCATAAAGCTATATTCCTTTCTTTGGATCGTTGGGTTAGTTAGTTTATTACCATTATAAAAAGCAAATATTCAAAATATCATTTAGAAAACAAGTCCCACTGGCTTGATACACAATGTCTGTACCTCTTTTTTTTTTTTTTTTTTTTTTTTTTGCAAGGCTATTAAGTTGCGTGAACAGATTGATGCTGAGCAGAAGTTTGTTGAACAAGATGAATTTTTTCATTTTATTTTTGGATCGCTGGAACTTTTACATTACATCTGTCTCTTGGTGATGAATATGACGCCATTTGCAAAGATCTTCTGAATCCTAACGGACCGTAACTTTTTGAACAATAGATTTTGAAGTGCTTTTTATTCGTTGCTAAAGACTGAAGTTTTGTGATAGCGACCAGTAGATGATATTCAAGAGGCTTAATAGCGTACGGAAACACTAGAGATGTATGCACGGGCTAAATGAAAGAAAGCATCAGGGAACCATCCACAACCTATAAGAATACGACCAACAAAAGTGCAAAGTAAAGTGGCATAGTATAGATAAATCGTTTGTAATTCTTTATTTAGTCCCAGAATCGCATAAAGAATATCAACATCTATTCTGGGCTACATACGACCTTGATAAGATATATATTCTGGTCAATATTTGATGCTTGGGTATCGAGCTTGTGTCGTGGAAGGCTTCCTGGTAGTGGTATTTAGACTGAAATAAAGACCCATGCAAATAAAAAAAAGCTCCCCGTGCAAATAATTTTTTTTTATTTGTACGGGGGGAACAGTGTAAATAAGGTACGGGGCCGTGCAAATATCTTTTTCCATTACTTAATCACCATAAAGGAGTTGCTCGGAGCCGCTCTTGTTTGGCCAAGCAGGTGTTCTAGGTTCCTTATCAACAGCATAACAGAATTTATTCTCCAGGAAAGGCAACCGGAAACAATATTCACAAACGATATCCATAAAAACAGGTTTGGTTACCTTAGCAACTTGTTTGGACTGAGACAAGTTTGAAGAAGCCTTGCTCTACTATTAAAAGCATTTTTCCTTACTTTGTCTACCTAGAAGCATTCAAAAGTAGGACCACTCTATTTTTTTTTATGAGCCTTGAATGTAATTAAATTAGATTCATGTCGCTCTGTACACTCCGGATAATGGTATCACATTAATTATTATGATTTTATGTCGAGGTGGTTGTTGTGGAGGATCAAGGAGACATTTGTCGAGAAAATATAACGAGACAAACATCTGGCGAGAATACACTTGATCGAGAAATATTACACTAGCCGAGAAGCAGACACTTGTCAGGAGAGAATAATTGTCATGCTACCACAGCATAAGGAAGAAAAGAATATCCTCTCGCACAAATAATATCCTTCAAAGCAAGGATTAATCTATTTGGCAGCCCATTGCCAAATATAGTCAACTTTCAAGACTCTCTTTGGCAGCCCAGTTGCCAAATAACATTCATTATTTACTTGGCAGCCTACCCAGCGTTATTTGGCCTCTAACTATTTTTTTTTTTTTTTTTTTTTTTTTTCATTCCTAGGAACCGTATATGTATATAACGCTCATACTTTAAATTCCCGTCTTCTACGTCATAGTTATGTGTAGTGACATTGTCTTGTCTCATTTAGAAAACTAATAACTTTTTTTTTTTTTTCAAGTAGGTCGTGAGATGTTTTTCAGATATTAGAAGTCAAGGAGATCAAAAGTTGTTTTTATTATTGTCAAACGAGAGCCTTTTATCAAGGACTCTCTATGACCGTCACATGATATTCTGACCTTATGAATAAAAATGGAAGTGCACCTGAGGTGCACTCCCAAGCCTCGGTACGTAACAACTCCCCCCCAGATTTTAAGGTAAGGTTATTGCCGTTATAACTCGAGGTAAGAGGAAAAAATAGAAAAACCTCTGAATGCTAGAGAAAACTATGAGGAAAAATGGACTAAAAACCTCTCTATGAACTACACTGTAATTGATTGGAGGAAAAAATAAACCTCTTAGAGGGTAAAAATTTAAACCTCACGTGAGACCTACTAAGGTCTGCTATAACAACCTGTCTTTCTTTTTCTCTTGTAAAGATTAAAGAGACAAATACATCATGGAAACCATAATCAGCGAATGAGTCATGGAGCTTCTACAACGTTGTGTAATTTAAAGCAGCCATTGGATAAGGATATGTTTTGCGGGGAATGCAGGCGGTTAATTGTATAGCATGTCAAAATGTAGAAATCTCATTGGACCTTTTTGTCAAACAGAGATCACAAAAGATCACGCCATCTGCCTCCCCCAGAAGGACGAATGAGGTTTCTCAAAGCGAATGATGAGGAGCAAGGAAATGAAATTAGAAATCGTCAAACGATTGCTCATTCCTTCATTCCTCATTTCAACTTTAGACACTCTCAAACGCCTTCTTACACAAACAAATATACCTTGCAATTCAGACCACAGCCTTTTGTAAATCATTATCATTATGTCTTCTAACAGCACCCCTTCTTCTCCATCGTCTGGTGCCTCAACGCTTTTTGAGCGTGAGGACTATGAATTCATTCCAGCGGAACTTTCTTCAACCTCGTCTTCGCCCGTATTGGTAGAGGCTTCAGACGTGGAGGGTGTCAGCAACTCCGAAGAAGATAAGGAGGACGAGAGCAGCTACGACGCTGAGGACGACGAATATGATTACGAGTGTGAGGAGGATCTGTGGGATAGCGACGAGGGAGTTCGTGCCTGGAAAAAGGCACATCACCAGTTTTACCACCCAGAGTCACGGAGCCGCTCAGCCTCTCTGGAGATCCCAGGACCTCGTCCTAGCAGGAAGCGAAAGGAGCCCTCTAGCGATGAAGAATCATCAAGCAGCGAAAGCAGCGAGGCAGAATTGTCAAGCTGCGGAGTATGCACGACTCTCGGGAAGAGAAGACGTTTGATGGTGGAGAGTGGCGATGATTCCGCTAAGAGTCGCCTTCAAAGAGAATTTGCATGGGCTAAGAGGTATGAACGCCTCTATAAGAAATATACTAAGCTGCGCAGGCAAGCAGAGAAGTATAAAACTATGCGAATGCGTGTAGAGAAGGTTGTGGGCTCTCTTAGCTCTCAATTACCATCGCATCCAGTCGCTAGTTGCGATTGCTGCAAAGGAAAGAATAAAGCTGATGGTTGCTGAGTAGGTTGTAGAAAAAAAAAATAATAAAAAAAATAATAAAAAAAAAAAAAAAAAAATTATTGCTATGAGGACATGTATCTATTCTTTTGTCGTCATGTTGGAGAAAATTTATTTGCACAAAAACTCCATTGCTACACGCAGTGTATACTTCCGCGTAGTCTTTTATTTATTGCATGCGTTTGCTTTTGGACCTAGTGTTTCTGGTTCTAGATTGTGCTGGCTGTCTAATCAGATTTTTGTCTTTGAGCTTTTGGATTCTTGCTTGAGCCCTTTTCACTTTATCGTCTTGATTAGCACGAATGTGAGGGTTGCTTTGATTGAGACGTTTCCAGTACTGTCTGATGATTAGATCAGAATCGAAGTCTTCATACGTTAACTGCGAGTTTTCTGAGGAGTCATATCCTTTCCACTTCACAGTGTACTTCACTTCCCCTGATGTGAAATCGTGGTCAACTATAGATTCGACTTCATAGGACTCATCACTTGGAACATCAAGTGCCTGTGTGACTAATTTGAGTTGCTCAGGGGCAAAGTTGCGTAATAATTGACTAATGGTGGCATCTAGTAAAGTATAGCTACCATTTTCTGTTCTAGCCATTACTTTGTATGGTCCATGATATTTAGGCGCAAGCTTGCCTTCCGCTAATGGATCCCTCGTCATGACAAATGACCCTGGAGGAAAATCTATAATGCGGTGGGTGCGATTAAATTTGGAGATCATTTTACGTTGTGTGTCTGCACTCTTTTCAGCGATGGCTGGATAAACCAAATTGGTTAAATAATCCAATCGATCATTAAGCTCCTTGTCAGACAAAAGATGGGACTCAGCTGATGAAAAGTCCGTCAGACCCGCAAATGATCTGCCATAAAATAATGAGAATGGTGTAGAGCCATGTAGGCTGGCGGCCTTGACGTTTAATTGTAGTTGAGTCATGGGTAAATATTTGTCCCATTCTTCCTCATGGCCTTCAAGCTGCTTCTGGATATTCTCCTTGAGAGCTCGAACAAACCTTTCGGCTACACCATTCGATCTGGGATGGTATGGAGTAGATAGTCTGTGATCTATCTTTAGCTTGTCATTCATGAGTTTGGAAAGTCCATTGACAAATTCAGTGCCATTATCGCTTTGGATGATCTTGGGGAACCCAATCATGCAAAATAACGAGAACAATCGTGCAGCAACTGTACTTGGCTCTTTGTTCGGTAATGCCTCTAGTATGACGAATCTTGTACAAACGTCTACCATCACTAACGCGAAATTGTTGCCCTTCGTGCTGGTTTTAAAAGATGCCAAATCAATGGCGATGTGTTCTCCTGGTAGATTCGCATGAATGGCTTTCAGGGGATGATACCCTTTGCGTACAATATTAAAATGCTGACATTTTCTGCACTGACTAACCCATTTAAGACACTCGTCTCTCAGTTTGGGCCAAGTGAACCCTTGCTCATGAATTGCTTTGACCATTGCATTTCCTCCTAGGTGGCCAAATTCATGTACTTTTTGAAGACATGCTACTCTTTTTTCTGCATCTAGGATGGTGTGCATGGGAGTATCCTCATTTTGAATGACATGAATATAGGAAGGCTCTGGACCGGATTGGGGTTGGGATATTTCTGCTACGACTTCACTTAAGTTATGTCTTCTGGCCGCTGCAATCGAGGGACTATTACTACCACTAGAAGCAATTAAATCAGATTGATTTTGCCATGGTTCCTCAGGGAATGCACGCGACAGAGCATCAGGGATCACATTTAATAGGCCGGGTCGATATACACATTCGAAATCATAATTGAACAGAGTTTCTTTCCAATTTGTTAATATCTGGGGTAACTCTTTTTGTTCATGAATGTACGTCAAAGGCCTGTGATCTGTATAGAGAGTGAATCTTCTTCCCCAAATATACTGATGAAACTTCATTAAGGCGAACACTATGCCTAAAA